TGCTAAGCTAGCATATTTTTATTATTATCTGCTTTAATATTATAGCTTTTTCTACTAGCTAAAAAGCAAGTAATTTTAATTGCTTTTCTATTAGCTTTAAACTAGCTTAAAAAAATAAATTTAATAGGCCTTTTTAGCTGCTTATTAGTAACCTAAAATTAGTTTTTTAGCAACTATAGTACTTACTATAATATTTTGCTATTAAAAGCTTTTAAAATAAACTTTTTACTTAAAAAAATACTTTATATATTAGTTAAATAAAGTTTAAAATAGTATTTGGCCTAAACCTAGCTACCTAGTATTTTTTTAAATTTAGTATAAAACTACTAATTTTTTTTTAGTAATTTTAAATTAGGGCAATTTGCTATTATATATTTTTTTTTTTATAGTAGTAATACTTTATTATAGTTTACTTTCTGCTTCCTATTATTACAATTCTAGCTTAAGGATTAACTGTAAGTAAGTAAATAAACTAAAAGCTTTTATTATTTTTTTTAAAAAGCTTTTATAATTTTTATTATAGTTTAAGTACTAGCTGCTTATAAGCTTTTATATAATTTTTGCTTAATACTAATATTTTTTTTATATTTAAATTATTATTTGCAAAGAAGTTAAACTTATTTATAATAAATATTAGCTTTTTAAAGCTTTAAATAAAATTAGCTATAGCAGAATTAACTTTTATTTTAATTAGCTTTGCAGGTGTAAGTAAATAAAAAACGCCTAATATAGTAGCTTTTAAAGCTACTTTAATTAGAAGTATTAATTTTTTTAGAATTTTTATATTTTTTTAGGCTAGTATTCTGCTTACTGCGCTGTAATTAGTAGTAAAAGTATTTAGTTTTTTTTTTTACTTTTAGTACTCCTAAACAAACTTATAAATTTTTTTAATTTTAAAAATTAATATATTTTTAAATTAAAAATAATTTTTTTTCTGCATATAGTGCATTACTTTATTTATATTTTTTTAGGCTAGTTTTTAAAAGAAAAAATAGCTTTTTTTAATTTTTATAACTTATTTTTAGAGCTAAGCTGCTAAGAAGTACATAATAAAGTTCTAATAGTATTTAATAATTTTAATTATAGGCTAGCGCTTCTAAACTTTACTTATATAATTTTTAATAAAAGCTTAAGTGCTTTTTTTTTAGCTTTTATTTTAGCCTGTATAAAAATTCTGCAACTTTTACTAGTATTTAGCTTAGCTTTTTTTTTTATTTTTATAACTTAGAAGCTTTTAGATAAATACTTTATATTAAATTTTATAAAAATATAAAAGCTGCATTTTCTAAGTACTCTTGCTTTATAATACCTAATTAGCTTTAAAATTATATTTTTTTAAAAATTTTATAATATTATGCCTTTTAAACTTTAGCGTATTTATATTAGTAAATTTAAATTAGCTTTTATACTTAAAACTTATTTCCTGCAAAAAATGCAATAGAATATTAGTACTAATTATATTATTTGCTTTAAATAATTAACTTGCCTTAAATTATTAGGGGTTTTAATAATATATTAGTAATAAAATAAATTTTATTATTTTATTTTTTAAATATAGATTGTAATTGTAATTTTAGCTTTGCGCAAAATACTTAAGTAAATTAAAATAATTGCTAATAGCTTTTTAAATAAAACTGCTTTAAATTTTTATAATAGTAGTATTTTTTATTTCTTACTTAAGTAAAGTATTTTTTTTATACTATGCGCTAATTACTACTTTAAATAATAAGCTGCTTTAGCTAAAAGTATTAATTAATACTTATTTAAAAATTAGTTTTGTAAAAGATGCTTTTTAAATTTTTTTTTAAAGTATAATTATAAGCAAGTTACTATAAGCTTTTTATAAAAACTTGCTTTGCTTTTACTGCACAAAAAGCCTTTAAATAAAAAGTAACTACTTTAGCTACTATTTTAATAAGTTTTTAGAATTAGCTTAATACTTAATTTTATTTAATTTTAAGTACTAATAATTTTGCGCTAAAGTTTTCTTGCTTTAAAATTTTTTAATTTTTTTATAAATTTTTTTTTTTTTTTTATTTTACTAATAAATTGTTGTGCGCCTTTTAGTTAAATTATTAAAAATATAGCATACTACAATGCGCATTTAAATAGAAAAAGCAGATATTAATTTATAATTAGTAAAATATATAATTTATATTTCTAGTATTTTATTGCAAGCTAGTATTAGTGCTTTTTTTTTTTTCTACTTATCTAAACTACAATACAGCCTTGCTGCTAAGGATATCTATTACGTGCTAACTTACTATACTACAGTATATAATTTAATAAAAGTATTTAATTGCGCTAACTATATAGTAGGTATATAAAATACTAAATTTAATAGTAATACTTTTACTATTATAAAAGGCCTAAATAAAGTATTATAAAAACTTATTATTGCATTGCATGCAAATAATAAGTTTGCTATATTTTATAAATATGTAAATAATAAGCGTAGTAAAAAGTTTTATAATTTTATTTTTAGTAATAAACAGAATAACCTAAGTAAATTAAGTAGTATTATTAATAAAAAATAATATATACTTTTTACTTTTTAGGCCTAGAATAAAGTATAGTTTTTATATATTTATAGTAATAAGTTGCTTAAACTTTTTATAATAATAGCAGGCTAAATTGTAAGAAATCTTGTAAAGTGCGCAAATAGTATAATAAATAAAATAAATATTTTTAATTTTAGCTTTAATTTATATATTTATAACTTTAAATTTTTTACTTACTTTAAGTAGTATTTACATGCTATTAAAGCTTAAATAACTAAAATAGCAATATTCTAACTAAATTAAATTATTAAAATTAATAGTAGCAGTAGTAACAGGAAGCGCAAATAAGCGCTAAAACTAAAATATATAAATATTTATTTAAAAGTAAAGCAGAGCATATATAAATTTTACTTTAATATTTTTTCTGTATATTTTTATAGCAGCGCCTGTAATTATAGTAATAAAATTTAATTATATAAAAAATAATAGGGACAGCAGGTTATAGCATGCCTAAAAAGCATATTATATATTATATAATTTAAAAATAATAAATTTGCTATTTATATTAGTAATAATAAACTTAATATTGCTTATACTAATAATATTAAATTAGGATTTTTATTTATATCTTTTAATAGTTTCTCTGCAGGGCTTAAGCTTAGAAAAAAAAAAAAAATTATTAGTAATATAATAAAAAGTACTACTATTATAAATTTAATAATTAAAAAAAATTAGTAGTATTAAAACTATATATATAATTTATATAAATAATTTATTAATTTTATTTAAATTTTATATATTTTAGCTATTGCTATTTGTAATAGCCTTTCTTGCACCTATTTCTAGCCTATATCTATAGTTTTATTATATATTAAATATAAAAGAATAGTTAAAAGTAAAATATATATATTTAAAATTTAAAATATAAAAAAAATTAAAATTAAAATTATTAGTTGCTATTGCGATCATGCGTTTAAAATAAAAATTATTAATAATAGTAAAATTAAAATTATAATTTTTACTTATATTTTTAGTATTTTTAGTATTTTTAGTATTTTATTACTTTTTGTAATAGGTAGTTTTAATATATTTAAATTTATTATATTTAGTGCACTTAAAGGTGTTAGGCTTACTAATATAGTAATAAATTTTAATAGTATAGCTAGTATAATTATAGTAACTGTATATAGGGCTGTTGCTTGTATTGCAGTTACTATTTTTATTATTATTATTATTATTATTTTTACCTTTTCTATTGCTATTGCTCTTGCTATTGCTATTAGTATAAATATTAGTAGTAGTATTATTAAATTTATTTTTAGTAGCATTTTAGGCATTTTTGTAATTATTAGCATACTTAGTAATAAAATTTTAATAGTTTATTTATATTTTTTAAATAATAATTTTTTTTTTAAAGTAAAAAAAGTCCTAAATCTTAATAAAAGTATAGTACTATTATAAAAAAAAAATTTTATTAATTTTATAAATTAGAATAGTATAAGTAAAAAAGCTTTTAGCAGTATTAATATTTTTATAATAGTATTTAAAATTAGCAAGGAATAAGCAAATAGCAGAAAAATTTATAAGTATAAAAGCATTTAGCTTTGCTTTAGTGCAGTAAATAATAACTAAATTTAAAGTTTAGTATATTTTAGTAATATTAGCCTAGGCTATATAAAGCTTTTTTTTTTATTTATTATTAAATTTGTCCTAAATATAGTCTTTTATAGTATTTTTAAAAAAATAAAAAGTAGTAAATAACTTTTTACAATACTTATTATAAAATTAAAGCTTAAGCTTATAAATTTTAAGCTTAGCTTTATACTTAAATTAGGTAGTATTATTATTATTACTAAGCAAAGTAATAATGCTAAAAAAAAAGTATTAACTTTTAAAAAATAATATTATAGCTTTAGATGCAGTTTTAGTGCGCAGAAAAATAAATTTAATAAGCTTAAAATGCTAAACTATAAAGCTATTATAGTAGTTAAATAAGCTTTATTAAGCAGCAACTTTCTTAAAAATATACTTTTATTTATAAAAATTATTAAAACTAGTTAATTTAATAAAATTTTTACTAAGCGCCTGCTTAGTATTAACTATAAATAAAAATATATTTAATATTATACTATACTTAATATAATAGTGCTTTAGTAAGTTAAATAAACGCAGTAATTTTTAAGTAATATAGTAATTAAGCAACTTAAGTAAGTTAATATAAATATTATAATTTTAAAATTAATTTTATAATTAAAAAGTAACTAATATAGTCGCGCAATAGTAGCGCAGAAAAAATATAATTTATTATAGCTAAACTGCGCGCAAGTGCGCAAAAAAGTTTATAATTTATAAAATTAAAAAAAAATAATTATATTAATAATAGTTTATATATAAGGGGAAGCTATATTTATATACAGAAGGGAATAAAATTAAAGTAAGCTAGTTTATGTAGGGACTAGCTTGTTGGGCACATGATGAATCATGTGTTGGGAATCCAAACTAACACCTTTCCCCCATGTTCTTGGTCTGACCATCACACCACTCACTCAGGGCAAAATCATACCCTTTGTCTAGATTGCGCATGCCGTGTTCATAGAGGATCTTCCGGGCGCCGCCCTGCGTTACGGCGTATGCGAGCGTGCAGAGGGTACGGTAGGAGCGGTGGTATATTCGTGTGTGAGGTGGGTAGATGGAGGAAATCGAGTCTAGCGGCGCCAGGTGTGAGGGCCTCAGATCTGAAGAATTGGGCACTGTTGGATCGTGCGACAGCATGAAGCGGTCGGCGACTTGGGGCAGCGATGTTGGAGAGGAGACCTGGTGCGGTGGAAGGGAGGTGCCACAATGTCCTAACCAAATGATGTCCCAGTCACGGCCGTAGGGGTCTGAAGATGCTGGCTCATTGGAGATAGGTAAGCGGGCCGTAGAGCGTTTTGCGAGCTCGATGGCATCTAAGACTGGATCCGCATGAGACGGATTCTCCGTAGCTGGAACATGGGCCTGACCTCCTGTATCAAATTGCGCGATCATTCCAGGTAATCTTCTACTCACAATCCCAAAATCTGCCAACTGCCCCCGCACTCTTTCATCCCAGTCCACATCATCCTCCAGTATTAATGCCGTACTCAGGTTCCGTTCCACAACCCTAGAACGTGTCAGCACTTGTTCTTCCTTAGATATTTTCAAGACGCAAGGTTCACTACGCACAATCGTAGAGCATTCATATGCGCTCTCCAACTTCCCACATTACCCTTCGGCATCTGCCTATGATTGCCCGACGGAAAAGCCTTTTCATTGATCTGTGATGCATTGATCCCGTTGATCCATTCCAGAGACAGGCCGGTGTGGGCAGCTGCGAGCGTAATCGAGTCGCGACGGTCGGTGCGCCAAGGCAAATTTATGACGAGGATCTTCTCAAACTATGTGACAAACGTGAGGAGAGGTTGCTTGTAGACACGGAGATGATGTGGACTTACACCAAGGGTTGAGTTTCTTATGTCATTCTGGCCAGAACATGAATACTGTCCGTGTCGACACGCTGCGCTCCGACCGTTGATGCTAGAGTTGAGAAGAAGAAGAAAGAGAGTGATTGAGCACAAGGCGACCAGAAAACAAACGCGGCCATGGCTTTGTGATGGCATGCTGTGTTGTCTGGGCCATGAGCATGCTGTTAGAGACGTAGCCTAGCATGAAATGGGGGGATTCAAAAGAAAAAGTCTACATTCTGAACACCAATGCGTGAAACTTGATATGAGGTAATAAATAATATCCATAGTTGGCATAATTGCATCACCAACATGGTGAATCCAAAACCTTGGAACCAGGGACCTTAATGTACGTTGCAGCATGTGCAGTCCTACGATAGTGCAGGAAGTCCGGCTAAACAGTATTCCCATTGGGCCAAGTATACACTTCGCCGGGATATAGAGTTGTTCGTGGAGGGTAAATGTGCGGGTGTTATACGTCAAACGAAGATCTGCCGACCCTATACGACATAGCGACCAGACACCGGTTTAAGAGACGATGTAGAGAACCAAGAGCCTCCCCAAGCCACGGCACGACCAAGGTTGCGATGAGTAGTCCGGCATCTATGCCGCGTAGATTGGCCGCGCAATGAAAGAATGTAGTCAGCTGTTAGTAGGAACCAACCTCACAGGTTCAGCGCAGAATTGGCGAGCTGCATACGTCGTCCAAAGCCACCGTATATCCACCCTATAGCATCTGCCATATCATTGTGGTACGGCTTCCAATCTGTGTACCGTCAGCCTTATATCCTGCTCCTCAAATCGTGCAGCTCGGCCCCACTTAATCAACAAAGTAAACGTCACATACCTTCCGGCGCAAAGCTACCTACCTTACCCTTCAACTCCTCCCACGTCCTCTTCTCACTCAACCCTAGTTGCACAGCTCTAGCCCTCTGGCCTCTCCTCGCTACTACCCTCACCTCGCCTTTCGTATCCTGTTCCGGCCCAGCAATACGCCAGTTCTCAATGACCTCATGTCCCGGTTTCGCCGCCCAAGGCTGCATGATTCGTCCATCTTCCGTCTTGTCCTCACCAGTAGCTTTATCCTGCTTATGCGGCACGATAAACATCTTGACCTCCGCGCCAGACTCTTCCCCATCCCTTTCTCGGATCAGCGCATCCCAGGTCTCTGGCTGCGCTAGGCGTTTGCGCCGGTGATCGTAGCCTGACGCGATGAAGTCCGTGCATGGAGTGATGTAGGTGAGTTCTTTCCAGGCGTCGCTTTGAAGGAGTGCTTCGATGTCAAAATACGTGGTTACATCGCGCCAGCCGTCGCCCATGCCGAAACCGTGCCAGCAGTCATCCACAACTAGCGTGTCCAAGCAAAGACCGGGAAGTAGGGCGAGGGCGTTGGCGGCGTAGTACGTAGGATAGTACTCTGAACGGCCAGACGCGTATAGTGGAAACGGAAAGGCGCGCACTCGAATGTGGCGGATGCGTGTTACTACGCTTTGATCGACGGAGAGTAGTGTGTCCAACAAGTTTTCCGTACCTCGGAAATGGAGTGTACAGTTGAGTGGGAGGTGGCGCCAGGCCTCGGCAAGGACTTGACGGCAGGTGAGTAGAAGCGCAGTGCGATTCAACGACTCGGCGTTGTTGTTTGGGGCGCTGGAGTGTCCAAATCCATGTCGAATATGGTAGCCGCTGAAGAGGAATTCGTAGATTAGTTCGCGGAGTTCAACCGGGATGGTCAAGAGGTTTGGCGCGTCCATTGTGTAGTTGGATGAGCTATGGAGCCAGCGATTGACCTGGGAAGGAGGGAGCATTACAAGTCTTTCGCAAGGGGAACAGTGTGAAGAATAGATGTAGATGGAGATGTAGAAGTAGTACTTGTCTAGAATCTTGCTTGTTGCGTGTGGTAGCCCGTAGAGTAGCACAATGTGATCTCTCCCTAGATGATAAGCAAGACGTCAGATCTCGCCCTCTCGACGCTGACGCAGTTACTCATCCATTCGACGACAGCGGAATGCGCGGGATATAAAACTAACTTCGCATCTTCCGCCCTATATTGCGACATGATTGTGCAATTGGCTGCCCTGGCGGTAAGATGACGTGAACAGCACGCTAGATACGTGAGCGCAGGGCAGATCGGTCCCATGCTCAGCAAGACGCAAACGGTCGAGAGATAACGATCTTGCGCTTGCCATTAGCTGCTCGTATGCTGCATGTACCAAGCTACGAATGATGCAAAGTTTAGGATAGTTTCGATCTCTCAAATGCGATGCACGCTAGTATGCTGTGAAATGATCTCTGGTTGCTATGAATGGGCATGCTTGTTCTGGGTATCGTCGATGCTCGCTCAAACTTCTGATCTACTCTAAGAAAACTCTGTGTTCCTCCAACACTTCCGTGTCTCAGCCTATTTTCAGTCTGATTTTGACCGTCCGCGACTTCTTTGTTGCTCCTCGCGCAGCTTCTTCTGCTGCCATTGCCATTCAACCAGCACAGGCAGGAACTGCCACAGATCAAATTCAGGCCAAAGACACTTGAGAAACACAATGGAAGTGTTCTCATGGCACTGCCACAGCATGAAGTCGCTCAGCCGCTCAACACCAGAAGTACGAACTAACAGATCGAGTGGTGGGGCGTCAGCTGTCATCATGTGGTCGTTCAGGGTCTGAGCACCGATTGTCTCCGGGTCTAGGAACGTAGGCTCTTGCGATTCGTCCTTTTCGGGTGGGTTGATCGCTGTTGAGGTTGATGAGGATCGCTCATCCTCAGCCTGCGCCGTTGCTTTCGGCGAGGGTGAAGCCGATCGCGACTCGGGCTGCTCAACTCTGCTTTCCGTGTCCTCCTCGAGCATTTGTTTCCGGATGGTTTGGGCAATATGCGACTCAGAGAATGTGCGTTTCGAAGGTGTTGGAAGGTTGTGTATTGGGGTGGAATACGTCTCGACGGTCTTCATGACAGCGGTTGTGATTTCGTGGCGCGATGTGTAGGGGAAGCAAACGTTCAGTACAGCTCTGATTGGTGTCAGTATACGCTTTCTGAATCATGAAAACCCTTACTTCTTGTTGTGTGCAGTCATTGCAACGGCCTTGTCAACAGCTTGGAGGACATCCGGACTGATGAGTTCACGCTGGCCTAGTACTCGAACAGATGCGCCGTATCGATCTAGGAGAGCCCCATGCTCAGCCAATTGCTGGAGCTTGACCTTCGCCATGGACATCAGCGCATCGACCTCGTGTTTCGAGCGCTTGAAGTTCTCTATGCTGAATGCGTAAATAGTCACGACCTTGACGCCAGTCTTGTAGCAGACTTCCAATATCTAGCAAGTGAGTTAGCATAGCGGGAAGAATAATAGAATGGCCTTTGACGTACTCGTGCCAGCGACTCAAACCCCAAGTTATGCCCTTCTACAGTCTCAATGTGGTGATTCCGCGCAAACCGCCTGTTCCCGTCCATAACGAACGCAACATGCTGTGGGATAGGACCCTGCTTAAGAGACCCAATGAGGAGCTCCCGTAACTGTCTGACTGTCCATGCCACTGGAGGCGAGGTCGCGAACCACTTGTGTATGCGGGAGTCGTGGAGGGAGCCCATGTTAAGTGTTGAGGTACTTCGTCTAGGAAATGTAAGGACACTGGAATCGCGAAAATGGCGGTAATGAGTGTAATGCACTGTATACTGCAATGCGCTTGAACGTAATTATAAAACAGAGGTTCATGGACCGAGCGACATGTCTGTATAAGAATTGCGGTCAATGGCAAGATGCTACGTAACAGCCCAAGGCGCAGTGAGCCCTGACGCACTTACCAAGAAAAGCACAAGAAGCCTCGGGGGTCTTCATGCGCTAACCTTGGAAGCGTGCCGGGTTCCAGCATGACTAAGCTCGGCGCGGCTCTACCTTCGCTTCCAATCGTTTGAATCTTCAACCTTTACCACCCGCAAGCCTCTTTGCCGCGTCATCAGAGCTGGTCTCCTATACGTGTGCCTGCTCTTCGATACTGTTGTATTTGTCTCTTTGGTAATGCCTCCATGGCTGAAGTGGCGCAGAGTAACGTAGTTGAGCTCGCCGAGCAGCTCGCGGAGGGCTTTGCAGCCTTGAGTGGGGAATACGAAGCCTTCTTTCATCAGCAGAAGCAGCTCGAAAGCAAGCTGTCGTGGGCTAAGCAACAGGTATGCGATAAGCTTTCTCACTACTCCTCCCTTCTATGATGAAACACTTTAGCTCTAGACCTGCAGCTGCTTCGCGGCTTTGACAGAAAACAACCACAGCGTAGCCTGAGTTCGATCTTGCCTTTGACTTTACCATCTCCCACTTTGGCATGCCCACACTAACAAGTGGCAGTACCTTGACCTCTTGAAACGGTTCACTCCAACATCGCTTTCGCAGGATCACCTCACCTTCCTCCAAGACCTAGAGCGCGTTGGAGATGAGCAACCCAAACTACGACTGAACCTTGTGGATCAGCTAGCACAAAGCGATGACGTGGAGCGGAAGAGTCGAGCCGTAGTCATCAGGAAGGCCGAAGAAGCTGCTATCAAGCTGCATGCTCCCGCCAGCGAACCTGGCGTGAAGATTTGGAGCGGCCCATTGGCCGATGAGCCAAGGGTGCTACCTGATATACAGACGGAGGTTGCCAAGTCCCCTTTGGAAAAGGACTTCACAACGCCGGGAACCCCTAGTAAACTAGGATGCCCCTTTGCATCGACTAGTGGCCGAGGCAGCCCATTAGCTACACCACGTAGTTCGACTTCACGATTGAGTTTGCGAGGCAGGAGGTCAAAGCGCCCGTCTTTTACCGACCCAATCCGCGCGGAGATTTGCAGCAACGATCTCGCCTTGGAAACGCCTTCAGTGGCTGCTTCCGGGTCTGCCGCTGTCTGCCCGATCCGATTTCTCGACCAGCACGACCCTGAAGAGGTTGCCAAGTACTTTGAGAAGCACAAGCACGAGCTACCACGTAGCCACGAGGTGTGCATCACTCGCTTCCAGAGTAATCATGAGAGCATAGAACAACTTGACCGAAAATATGGCAACTTGGCCAACATGATTCAAGGATTAGGCCAGAAGCACCAGGCATGGCTTCCAGAAGACCCAGAAGACGCTATCGAAGAAGAGCCCGAGCTTGAGGAAAACCCTGACCCGGATGCTAAGGCAGACGCCAAGGTCCAGAAGTGGGCTACAGCTGTTTCGGCAAGTCTACACGGTGGTACGCCATCTGAAATAGAAGAGCCAGAAGAACAGCTTATGGACGAGATAAGGACAACGCACTTTGACCGGCCGTTCAAAGAGGTTAGGGTCGGAGAGTCACCGAGCCGACCGTGGGGCATCACGATCCCGTCCAAATATACTAACGCAGAAAGCTCATCTTCGGTGGGTTCCGCTGCGACTGCGTCCCCGCAGTTTCCACTTGATACTGCCCGGCCGGTTGGCGAGACGCCACAAAAGTCCGGTAAATGCCCTTTCGATCACCTTGCTATGGGGAAGATGCCCGAGCAGCAGACTCCGCGACCAGCTCCACACCCGCAATTAAAGCCTGCGCCCTCGGTGTTTCCTCTACCGCCTTCAGAACTTCCACCACAACCACAGCCACCGGCCCAAGAACAACCAAGTCGAGAACAAGAAGCTCCCAAGGTAGTCCCGCAAATGATTTTCAATGGTCCAGTCTTCCTTGGCTATCCTCCAGATCAGTTGATTGCTCTATTGCAGAACAGTAATCTTGGAGCTGCAATGCGGTGAGCGTAGCGCTACTGATACATTTTTCATTCGAAGGGGCCATTTGATCTGAGGTACTGTATTTTAATCTGAAGGTAGGCTCTGAAACTGCTTCTTTGAGCATCTGTTACTGCTGGCCTTTTCGCATGTCTTGTGCTCTGTCCCGCACACGCTTATCCCTCGTCTCAATTGTCGTACTCTAGTCGACTCTTGAAGGCTTGCATGCCGGTACTGACTCATCCGAATCTGTGCTTTTGCGAGGTGTTTGCCTCAATCTGGTTACTACATGGCGGTGCCATGGCCATCTTCAGCCCTCTAACAGGCTCACTTCTGCTTGAGGTCTGCCATCCATGTCCGCACGCCTTTAGCACTATCGTGTGCGGCACGGAATACTAAGTGACTGTCAGTTGCCTGCAAGAAGGGGCATTTCAGTCTTGACTCACGCTGCCGTTCGTTTTCGTCCAGGCCTCTCATGAAGTCGGCGCCCTCGCCCAGGGCGCCTCGCGGGTTGTGCGCTTGATCAGCTATGACGGCCGCTCTGGTTTTGAAAGTCTGCTTATCATGAGCTTGAAACACTTGTGGCGAGGAGGATACACAACGTACATCACTTAAAACCTCAATCATCTCCTCCTCCTCGAATAGCTCAAGGATCCTGGCACCAAGATTGTAAAAGTGCGGTGCCAGTGCGCGGAGATCGACGGTTCGTGGGTCAGCTTTCAGTGCGTTCAAGACGCGTGGAGACAGTGCTGAAGGTGGGTCAAGGGTCACGAGGGAGGACGTATTTAGACTCTGACTGTCGATAGTTAATATATATGTCTGCATCCCATTGAGCTGAGTTGAATTGCAGTTTTGTGATTACCTTAGTGCGAGCATCTCGCCCAACCAGAGAGGCAGCTCAACTTTGGAGCCCTCCTTGATGTCGCCGCTCATATTGCCCTCGAGGTAGCCCAAACCGGGGACGGTGAGCTCGAAGGTGCATGGTACTTTCTGAGCATCGGTGAGGATGGCATCAACATCGTAGTAGGAGCTCATTTTGACCTATAGGAGTTGATTAGGCAACTACTTAATGATGATGAGATGTCGTGCAAGTCGTGAAACCGTGGTGCAAGCGCAGAGAAGGTTGGAGATGACGGCTACCCGACGCAACAGACAGACGTGTCGCGTGTTGTGCCCACCAGCCCGTATATCGGGACGAATATGGGGACGAATATGCAAGGAGACGAAGATATGAAACAAATAAAACCCCATAAGAATAGACGCGGAACTGAACAGAAAGACGCAGACACAAAGAGAGGCTGAGAAGTAAGCGAGCACGAACTAGCCGCGCTCTCATAATAAGGTGGTTTGCTTTGCTTACCTTGTCGTGGCCTTTGTATACGCGTCTGCGAGAGTTGCCTGGCGCAAAGTGGGAGGATTAAATAGCCTGTGTTTGCCCCGGGCGTTGATGCCACTTTGCTTGACGCCTTCCACTCTCCAGCTACGCGTTGACAAAGTTTGCCAAATCAGTTAAGAGAACAAAGTACCCTCCCCGTTCCTTCTGCAGCCCTTCGTTGTTGTCGTCGTCGTCTTCTTCGCACCTGGGCAGTGTCTCGCCTAGCTAGCCGCTGCAGGTAAGCACTCTGCCCTCTCTCTGCCCAAAGCTTCCACCGCCGGCTGGGGGGGGGACATCATCATAGCGATCGATGGCGCCGGCTACCAACATGAACCGCCTCGTCCACCACTAGCTACTGCACAAGAGCTGAGTAGATTTATTATAGCCACAATACACGTTTAGCACCCAACGTCTCTCGCACGAGACGCAGCTGTACCGTACGTTTATGCGCACATGAGCTCAACCCTCCTCTTGTCTCGTGTCGCGTGGATTATCTCTCTCGTTACACGCAGCTCAGCCTATCACCCACAGACATCGCTGTTGCTAATATTTTGTGGCCACAGGACACCACCAGGCTTTTGCAGCTTCCGATTGCGCACTGCCAGCTGTCTTTTCATGCCCGCACGCTACGAGCACCTCTTCACCGCGCCCTAGGCACCTCCCATAGCCTCTGCCCGCGACCATGGCTGTCAACGAACGAATATCACAGCTCATGGGCGCCCTCAACTCCGCTGCCGGCCCCGATACGTCTCGTGCGACCTCACCCGGGGGCGATTGGCGGCAGGCCAACGGCGGCGTCAACGGCGCCGACGAGAGGAGTCGCCCGCGCACCTTTCCGTACTTCGAGTACCTGCCGTATGAGACCGAAGACCAGAGCGACCGCGACGACAGCCTAAACACTTGCCTGAAGCATCTCTACATTGCCGTGTCAGCGGGGGATTTCGCGCCGGGCGCAGTCCACTGGACGCGCGAGATCCGGGGATGGCTGTCGCTCAAGTTCGATCTGCCCCGCAGCACGAGGGTGAAGCTCGTGAATCTCTACTATGAGCTGGCGCTGGCCCCGGGGCTCGACTACCTGGTGGCGGAGCGCTTCGCGAGCATGTTCATGGTCTTGACCAAGTGAGTAACACAATCGACGATCCGTGGTTGGCAGCTGGCACTGACACCTTGACAGGCGGAAACACTACCTCCGACCCGGCAAAGACCTGACGCTCGACTGGCGACCGCTGTATAGAGAGCTGAAGCTGTTCGTTCTCCCTTCAGAGTCTGGAGGCTCACATCCGCCAAATGTGAAGCGCAATATTCGGACCCTCACCAAGATGTGTACATTCGCCCAGCTATACTTTGACCCCAAGGAGATACCTGCCATATTTGAAGAGCTTCTACCCTTCTTCAGCACCTCCTTTAGTGAAGGTGCCTTCGTTGTGGTGGGCTTGCTTAACTTGCTGCTCCCAACTCATCCAGCGCCAGAAGACATGCAGCAATTGCTACCACAAGAGTATCTGCCCACATTCTTCCATCTTTGGTCGCTTGTAAACCGGTCGCGGTTATTCGATGCACATTATATTGATACCCTATCGCGGTTGGCCAGGGACAGCCTGGCCGCACATCATGTTCCATTCTCACAGTATGGTGTCTTCACTGGCGAGCAGTCTTCTCAGATCTTCACTTCCATCTTGAGATTGCTTGAGATTCCAGTGGGTCAAGCAACATCGCCCTACAGCAGTACCGTCGATCTTGGCGCTGGCCTCGCCGTAATGCTCGACCGTGACCAGCGAAAGCATCCGTCTACCCACCACATTGCTCGCATCATTGGCATGTCGCTTTCGCCAGCATGCGTAGAGTATGAAGACTCCATCTTGAGCAAGCTGGAGGGCCTCATCCAGGCTGTCGAGACCTTCTTCCATCCTTCTAACTCCGGCAGCTGGACTCGGCCTCTGGCGCAGTTGGTATACTACCTCGCAGACTTCTTCGTCCTGCGCTGGAATCGAGAGCATAGCGGAGAGATGGATATACCAGAACACCGTCAGCTGAATGATGCAGTCAAGCGGCGCTTCGTGCTCTGCTTACGAGAGGTGACTTTTATGGGTATCTTCTCCAAGAGTGACAAAGCTGTACAATATGCCTTGTCCACCCTTCAGAGCTTGGCTTACTTGGAACCCAATCTGATCCTCCCCGGCGCATTACAGAGGATTTACCCTGCAATGCAAGGGCTTGTTGAGGTACATCGGACCATCTCATCCATCCGCGCGTTGCACATGCTTTCCAAGGTTATGGCGAAAACCAAGGGCTTCCGGTGTCACGTTACGAGCGTACTCGGGCTTGCACTTCCTGGTATCGATGCCAACGACCTAGAGAAGACGTTGCACACGTTGCAATATGTTCAAGGCGTGTGCTACCTCGTCCCGTTTCATGATCTCACAAAGGCAAAGAAGGCTGCAGACGAGGAAACATCCAGAGACGGAGCGATCACGCCCATGCCGGATGGTGGCGGTGATACAGGGCTTGCTGTGCAATGGATCACAGCACAGGTCGAACGGCTGGAGAGCGCCCGTGGTAACATTGAGATCGACTACGACCAAGAGCTGAGTGACGAGGATGAGGCGATGATCCTGCGTTCTTCCACCACGGGGCTGAACGAGTTTCTGATATCGTTCCTCGGCCGTGTATTTACGCTCTTGGAGAACCTGCCCGATGCGTCGCGGGTCCGAAGTGGGTCTCCTGAAGAGTATGTGGTAAATCATCTTCCGGCGGCTTTCACGCCATTACTTGCCGCGCTTTCGCCTGAGCTATATGATGTCGCGCTTGACAAGATCGCAAACTTCATCACGAATCATGTCATTCACCAAGCTCGAGATGCTATCGCATTCATCTGCAACAGCCTTGTCAAGATCAATCCAGAGAAAGCCCTCAAGCGTCTGTTGCCACATCTCTTCGCAGGTATCCGCACGGAGATAGAAGACATTGGTGCTGGCTCAACTCGAACAACAGGCGCCGAGGTACTCCCTCGCGACCGCGCCTTGGTATGGAATCTTAGCATTCTCAGCATGTGTGTCGTCCATGTCGGCGATGCTGTCCTTGAATGGAAAGATGAGCTTTTCGAGATTGCAGAGTTCATGCAGCAGCGGTGTCGGGGCACTCCTACAGTCCATGTGTCCAACTTCATCCACCACCTGCTGCTCAATCTCACATGCACCTACACGGTCGACTATTCGATCTATGAGGAAGATGAGCTTGCAAAAGGACTGTCGACCGAATCCTGGGGTAGGCAGATTGATGTCAAGAAGCTAGACATCAGGTGGCATTCTCCGAGCCCAGAGGAGATTAACTTCGCTGTTAAGCTTTTCGAGACCCATGCCAACAATTCAATGAAGGCACTCGTTGCGCTCACTCAACCCAACCCACCAATCAAGCGCGAGGGCACAGGCAAAGACTGGTCAGATGAGGTATCTAGAAATCTTGTCCTCCTACGGCTAATCATCTCTGGTATCTCGGTCTTGTTCGATGTCCGACATGATCATGTCACTGATGATGACACGGAGTCGGACAGCAGCTCAGATTCAGACGCCATGGATACAGAAGGGATCGACGATGATGCTGGTCTGGGAGAGGCTGAAGACGAAGAAGTCAAGCCTACCTTTCAATACGAGAGTGGTTACCCCTTGCAACGGGATGAAGCCAATTACAAGCTCATCCACGACCTCCGTCACCGTGTTGGGGAAATCCTGCATGACGTGCATCGCTTCTTGATTGAGAAGCAGCCGGACGATGTTCCTTGCTTCAACTCCCTATACAATGCTTACCGCTCGTGGTTCATCGATGTCGGCATTGAACGCTCTGCTCATGTACTTGATAGGATATCCAGACTACTTGACAACGATGAACAACCATTCAGATTCAGTGGTCTGCGAAAGCAATACCCTCGGCCTCTGCTGGTCCGACGCGCCAATGTTTACCATCTACAGCGGCTGCGGCATAACGCCAACCCACGGCCTCACACGGAACTCGACAAGCTGTTACTGCTTGACCTTGCGGAGTCAAGTATTTCCCTATATACTGAGATTCGCCGCACTGCTCAGACTGCCAACGAGTCGGCTGTAAAGTGCATATTGGGTGCTCGACCCCTGGTCATTCCACCACTACTGGATGCTTTTGTCAAGGCTGTGGCAGAGAGTGACTATCCTCGTATCAAGGGTGCCATGTTCGCGCTCTTGTTCGGCAGCCTAGCCAAGACCATCAGTCGTGACTGGAGATTCACCCCCCGGTTGATCAAAGCCTTTATCGAGGTTACTGGTGCCGACAAACCTTCAGTACAGAAACTTGCGACCAATGCCACATTTCAAGTCATGGACATGGGCAAGGCAATGGAACGCATGGTCATCCTCGAGCCAGAGGTCGTAAAGGCCATTGCTTACGCGATTGACTCTGGTGAGGATGCAAGCGTGCAGTCCAAGGTCGTAAAGCGACGAGAATTCATTAAGAAGAAGCGAGCTCGTATCGAAGGCAGGAAAGCAGATCTTTCCAAAGAGCTGGTCGAGATTGCCAACACTGAGCACTGGAAGAAGGTCAGCCGTACTGCTGCCATTATCGTCAACCTTGGTATGCGCTATGACACTATTGCCTCCGACGAGATGATCGATTTGGTCGCGAAGGGCTCCATTGACCAACATCCTAGCCTCCGAGGTCTGTATGCTGGTGCTTTGATTGGACTATTCACTGTGATACAAACTCGCGCTATTACTGGTCACGACTACAAGCAGTATCTGCTTGGTGAAGAAGAGCTACCAGACAAGAGGACCGTAAACACGAGACCCGATAACCCAAACTGGACCGAAGAGTACCTGGAATCGTTTGCGCATCCGGAAGCGACGTACTACGTGGACTTTGACTACCCGGGTTGGCTCGTATGGAACAAGACGATGACAGTTTTCCTACCAAACGCACCCCAAGTCTCGTACGATAATGTCGAGGACGATGTCCGCAAAAAGATTGCGAACCATCTCACACGTTCGTGGTTCTCAAACTACTTCGCATTCATGAAGCAGGAGCCCCGCGATAATACCGCCGACCGCTTCCGAATGTCGAGCGCCATGCTGTTGACGCACTCGTTTGACCTGGTTTTCTGTGGCTTGACAGAGGCTACTTTTGAGGATATCAAGGACCTCACTCAGTCTGTCTACGGCGATGGCAGTGACAAACATCAACACCGTGCAACCTCCGAGATCATGGCTGCATTGATCTCTTGCGCTCCTGACCTCAAACCTGAACAGCGACAAGAAGTTTGGGAATATGTATTCCCGATCGTTCGCGGCATCTTCAAGGATGGTCTGACGCCTGAGAATTCTGGTTATTGGACGACATTCCTACACGTCGTCCTGCAGTCGAAGGACCCGAGGCGAGGTTGGCCTCTGGTTGACTGGCTGGCCAGCTTCCGTCTCGATATGGATTCCAACGCCGCCTTCAAGGAGAGCTCCAAGGTCCATCTGCTGACTCAGTGTATCTGTGACGCGGGCTGGCATTTCCGCCTCGAGAAGCCTATACTAGAAGACTTCTTGAACCACCTCGACCATCCGTATAAGGGCGTACGTGAAGCGATGGGTCAAACCATTGCAAGCATTCACCGAACACGTTACCATGAATCGTACAAAGACGTGGGCACACTCATCAAGGCGCAGAAAGAGTCGTCATCGATCGGTGTTCGCCCATACCAGCCAACAGAAGAGTTCTCTAATATGATCACAGGTGTCTTCGATCGCCTCGAGGCCTGGCGCCTTCAACGCCCCGCTGGTCAACAGACGCCTTCGTCATACACGTCTGGTGGCAAAACAGTACTCCTTTGGCTCGACTCCACCCTCTCCTCCTACGAATGCACATCACTTGTCAAGTTCTTCCCGAATATCTTCATGGAACAACTCCTTCACATGATGGACATCAAAGAAGACCCCGAGCTCCAATCCCTTGCCTACCACGTCTTCCGACATCTCCCCAACATCCCACATCGTGAGGGCGAAGACTCTGAGTTCATCGCCGCGCTCATCCGCATTGGTCGCAATGCCACGAGCTGGCACCAGCGTCTTAGGATCCTTATCAACATCCAGGTCATTTACTTCCGCCGCCTGTTTCTCATGAGCGAAGAGCAGCAGCAAAGCATGTTCGACTGCGTGTCTGCTATGCTCTCAGATGTTCAACTCGAGGTCCGCATGGGTGCTGCTACAACCCTATCTGGTATGATCCGCTGCTCGCCCATCGCCTTACGTGATCGCCAGGTCTCGACACTGAAGGAAAAGTTCACAAAACAACTCAACAAGAACCCATTGCCCAAGAAGCGGATCCCAGGTACACCAACCCCGGAACAGAGTAAGCTCGTGTTAACGCGACATGCTGCTGTGTTGGGCCTGGGATCTCTTATCCAAGCGTTCCCGTACCAGAGCCCGCCGCCGACCTGGCTACCAGATGTACTCGCTACATTGGCGAGAAAAGCGGCAAACGATCCGGGAATGGTGGGCAAAAGTGTTAAGAGCGTACTTGCGGATTTCAAGAAAACGAGGCAGGATACTTGGCACGTTGATGTAAAGGTATGTCACGCCATGCATTTTCCATATTTTGTAACGGGATTGGGGCTAACTTGAAGAATAGGCTTTCGAGCAAGAACAGCTAGAGGATCTAGAGGGCGTGCTCTGGAAGAGCTACTTCGCTTGAATGGCGGATCTCAATGATAGGCACAAGGAGGGTATGAACTAAACGAGTGAGCCTAAGAGTTGTATTATATGCCGGCGGCGAACGGAATGGCACGGTATGCATGTTAAGGCGGGGGTCCTCCGGATTATTGATGAATCTAGAATCACGAATGGGGCCTGCATGAACGGCGCGTAGCAGGATGAAGATATCATCTTTCTAGACAGAAAAAAATCTGATTTCGTGCTTACTCAATGTGCTTCGCTCAATGAACGGGCTGACTCGGGTGATGGTGGGATGCTCGGACTTGCCTATGTACTTAAATCCGCGGCTGCCCCTCCCCCACTTCGGAAAGCTCGACCTCCATCCCGATCCTGTCCATACCCCTCCAGCCATTGTTTATCACAACGCAAAGAACCTAACATTACTCTTTTGGTCCCAGCCAGGTTCAACTTGAGTATCGAGCATGCCGTTGACGATACTCACGGACGAAGACGTGCGTAGTTTACTGCTACAGCTTACCAAGCAAGACATCCAAGACCTGCAGCAAAGTCTCGCAGATGCGTTACACTACTATTCGACATCCACGGAGAATGATTCAAACGGCTGCTCCTCGTCGTATCAACCGCTGCGCACATCACTAAAACGCAGCGATGGCCAAACAACGCTTCTCATGCCGGTGAGACACCGTGCGCCTCCGCTTTCCGTCAGACATGCACTGATCACTCATGTCCAACTTTAGGCTAGCAGCAATGATGGAATTGGTGTAAAGATAGTTACGCTGGCGACTCCTGATGAGAAGACGCATTCACACACCGCCTCGATTACTTCCTCTCTCGACACGCTGTCCCTGTCTCAGCATTCTACACAGGCCGATGCCTCCTCGACAACCGCACCTGAACCTCCACAGTCGCTTGCGAGTGCACAGAGTACAACACCAAAGGGCAGTCTTACCCTTTTCGACAAGAATGGCAACCCCAGGGCACTGGTGAATGCAGAGGAGATCACGGCATTCAGAACAGCCCTCGCGAGTACCATGCTGTTTAAGAAACGGCAAAACGTACATGACATTGTGGTGTTCGGCGCGGGCAAGCAGGCGTATTGGCATATAAGACTTGCGCTGCTATTGCGCGGATCCGATGTCCACCACCTCAACATCATTAACCGCGACTTCGAGCGCGTACATCTTTTGCTCCAGAAACTATACAATCCGCACGAGCAACCAGAGCAATGGTCAGCCTCTAATGAACGGGTCCCTCATTACCGCCAGGCTGAAGGTCATATAACTACCGATCTGCCGAGGCCGAAGATTCAGATCCTGACACCGGGGCACAGCGAGTACGAGAGACTGTTGAAGAGTACGATTCGAGCGAGCAGCGTCATTTTCTTCACCACCCCTTCTCTCACCCCGCTCTTCCCCGCACCGTATCTCACGAATCCAGAGGGCAGGAAGAAAGGCCGCTATCTCGCCGCTATCGGAAGTTATAAACCGAACATGGTGGAAATCCACCCAGACATTCTGCGCCAAAACGTCGCGCCCGAGCACGGTCATTGGCATTTTCACAAGCATGCTCAACAGGCTGGCGCCGTCGTTGTCGATAGCGTGGAGGCTTGTCTCAAGGAAGCCGGAGAGGTTATACAGGCTGGCCTGGGCCCGAATGAAGTGGTGGAGATAGGAGAACTACTCATGCTGAAGCGCGACGCTGAACGACGGCGGTTGGAGTGCCAGGCGAACAAAAGTGCAGAGGGATTGGATGAAGGTGGAGTCGAGCTCGGCGAGTGCGAGAAGTCGAAGAAGAAGCGGAGAGGGAATAGTCAGAAGGATCACGATAGGGAGGATAAGGCGCACCAGAGTTTGATGGACTGGTTGCAGAAGGGGAATGTGATATACAAGAGTGTGGGGTTGGGCTTGATGGACGTTGTTGTTGGGAGCGATCTGGTTCGGTTGGCAGATGAGCGAGGAATTGGAACGAGGATTGAGAACTTCTAGGCGAAGTCCCCGCATCCGTCACCTGGCCTGGAGTACCTTGATTCTTGCGAGTGTAGTTAGAGTTAGAGTTTGTACGACTAGATTAATTAGAAGGTACGGAGAACAACGTAGTCATCACTCAAGAGGGTACAGCGATACAGGCGTGCGTTATCGTAATTGATTCCAGTCAATGCAGTTGTTAGCTACTGCTTTTAACCCTCCTAAACTCCGTGGTATCGAGACCGCCTGCATGCAGAGATAAGAGACACGCCATGAAATTCGTAAAGAACACTCCAAAGCCCTCAACCAAGACCTTCTTAAATCTTGATAGCGCTCTCAATAGCCTTCTTGCGCTTGTCCATGCGGGCATTGGCCTTGGCACCCATGATACCACCGCCCCAGTGGCGCGAGGCATCCTTGTGATGTGACTCGAGGTAACCATCGTTGACGGCGGAGACGAGCTTAGAGAGCTCAGTCTTGTCCTCGGAGCGGACCTCGGTAAGAGCGAGGACGGCGGCGGTCTTCTGGTGGACGACCGTGCCGAGTCTGGCCTTGCCCTTGACGATAACGTATGGGACACCCATCTTGCGGCAGAGGGCGGGGAGGTAGACAACGAGCTCGATGGGGTCAACGTCGTTGGCGATCAGGACGAGGGAAGCCTTCTTGTTCTCGACAAGGCCGACAACGTGGTTCAAACCGAACTTGGTGGTGTATGGCTTCTTGCTGACATCCTCCTTCTTCTTGCCCTCGGAGATGGCGGTAGCCTCCTTGGTCAGGCGCTCCTTCTTGTCGGCCTTGGTCTCGGGGCGGTACTTGTTGAGGATCTTGAAAGCCTGGGTAGCCACTGTAATGTATTAGCCTTGAATCTCCATGCCACATGTGTGCATCTTACGGTTGCGGTCAGCAACGTGCTGGAACTGGGCGATCGCAGGTGGGACCTTCAGGCGCATGTTGAGGATCTTCTTCTGGCGCTGAAGACGGACGTATGCGGGCCATCGCACCATGCGGCCGAGGTTGCGCTGGGGCTGGATGTCCTGACCGATGCCATAGTTCCTGGGGCGCTTCTCGATGAGGGGGTTCTGCCACCGTTAGTCTGGACTGCTTGCCACCGGGATGCAAAGACAGGATTAGAACGTACCTTGGCGGGCTTCTTGCTTCCACCGGCCTTGCCCTGGGGGAAGGGCGCAGGCGCCGCTTTCTTTCCTTTAGGAGGCATCTTGAAGATTTGTCGAGGCTGTCATAGAGAACAGAAACTATTAGCGAATGCTCATTCCACTAATTAGGTTCTGTGTCTCGTAAGAGCAAGAGGGCATTGCTGCCGTTCTACGCTCAAGCCATCTTTGTGTTCGACATGCTCCATTACAGAGACATGCGATTGATATGCTACCGAGCATTCATGATCTGGGTTGCGCTTACCGTATGTATTTGGCGGCGGTCGACGAAGTTGGGATTGACAAAGTCTCGATGGGAAGCCGCAAATTCGCAAGACGAAATTCAAGCGAGTGCGGTAGGCGCGGCAAAACGTTCGCCCGGCGCTAACGGGCTGTCCAATCGCGACGCATCACCGACCGACCTCACCAACATCGAGCGTCGAGATGAGCCAGAACACGAAAATAATCAATCATGCTGGAGGCAAAGCGCGTGAGACAGCTCGCCCTCATCTTCTGTTCATGGAAGGCGTTGCTTCTCCTACTTGCAGCGTTTTGTCCTGGTCCCGGATATGATACCTCAGCTCTCGTACTGTTCAACCCGAGCACCCACCGACATGACAACTTGGATGATTTGTCTCGACAGGATCGTCTTACCATCAACCTATTCCGGTGGGATGCTTTCTATTTCGTCAAATCTGCCGAGCGTGGTCACACTTTCGAGCAGGATTGGGCGTTTAGTTGGGCGTACTCACAGCTCCTCAAGCTAACAGCACAACGTGAGCGCCCCTTTCCACCTTCTTAGTTCAGCGTTAATAAAACATCAGTTTGCTGCGGTAGTGTGGCGTGTCCACTGCAGTACTACATCATCACTGGAATTGTCCTCTCCAATGTCTTCCATTTCATATCCGTACTTGTCCTTTATCGTCTATTGACCATGATTCTGGATCCCCAACAGCAGCACCATGTCGCCTTCAATGCATCCGTCTTACATATCCTAACACCGGCTTCGCTATTTTACTCCGCACCCTACGCAGAGGCCCTATTCTCGTTGCTTAATTTGACGGGCATGCTTTATTACGCCCAGTCTAAAGCCACGGCCAAAGCTGGAGGGTCGCCCTTTCAGGAGGATGCTTACAAGCTAAGCTCCGGCCTGGTATTTGCCTCAGCGTCTTTGATGAGGAGCAACGGCTTATTGAGCGGCCTGATCTTCCTGTACGACGTTGCAAGATATATGCCTCGTATCGCATCCGCAAAGCTGAGCGTACGTGACTTCAGAAGGATATTCGTCACATGTGTCGCTGGTCTGTTCGTCGCTATAGGCTTTGCGTGGCCTCAGTATCTAGCATACACGGAGTTTTGTGGTCGGGAAGCCAGTCTAAATTCCAGACCATGGTGCGAAAAGAGCGTCCCCAGTATCTACTCTTGGGTACAAAGTCACTACTGGTATGCGACGTCAACCCAGATATTATGCTTGCCTAACTGTTCTCAGGAACGTCGGCTTCTTCCGTTACTGGACTCTCTCAAACTTTCCCCTCTTCTTACTAGCGGCACCGATGTTGTGGCTACTGCTTGAGTCAAGTGTAACAGTTCTCCGCAGCTGTATTCAGCGGCCTTTGCATGGGCATCATGCGTCCCAAACTCATGGAACGGTCGGTCCCAAGAGTGCGTCTTCTGTAGCGCACAGCCTCCCAGAGCTGGCATTGCCCCAACTAGTGTTGGCTGTAATGGCGTTTACCAGTTTTCATGTTCAGATCATCAACCGAATTGCTTCCGCGTACCCTACTTGGTACGTAATGATCGCTACATGGCTGGGAGACAGCAAAACCACACGGGGCTCAGGAGAGTTCTCGCGACGAGATCAATGGTTCGTTCGTGGTATGGTCATCTATGCATTGACCCAGGGGATGCTGTTCGCCAACTTTCTCCCACCGGCATGAAAACCAGAATTAAAAGTGTGTCTAAGCACCATCCGGAAAGCAATGTCACTAGCTCAAGTATGCCTACGGCCCTCGGTATCAGCTCCGCGCATCCACCATCCCAGGAAAGCGGATGGGAATGGTTTTGTAATGTGACTTACTCGAATTAGTCCATGAAGCTCACACATACCAATGCTATACTACGTTCGTACACAAACACCTTAGCTCGCTACACACTACAACGGCTGACGCAGCTCTCGCTTGCTTGATGGAGATGACTACGAAACACGATGGAACTAAATTCGCCTCAAACCAACGGCACAATGTTATTGTCTGACCATTGCGGCAAGTGACACATTGGCGTTGGTTCGGTCACTTTTACTATTTTGTGGCGTAAAGCCACCCCGAGCTGTTTCACACGTTCAAGATTTCGTGGAACTACAATCGAGCCGCGCCAAGCTGGGTTTTCGACAATGCCATGGATCGGGTGGACAGTAAGTGCAGTATCAAGCACGTGTATTCCAAGTGGCACTGCCCAGGTGCTGTGGACTACGATAGCATAACATACGTTCTGTGCTGCACGTTCCGGCGAAGCGGATTTGTACCTTTCGGTCGCCCCCCATATGGAGAACGATGCTGCAAGTACGTTAGACACTCAACAACTAGTGGATTTGAGCGCCTCAGAAGCAATGACACGACAATTCACGGCTTCATCAGTTTCGCTATCAATAAACGTATTCCCGGGAGCGTTTGCAAAATAATGTATCGCAGTCGCTCTTACCGAACTTGACTGCTCATGAGAGTGAAGTGGTCTAGCAGCACGCAGTCGACCCCTTTGTCTCAGCCTTGGCCTAGATTCATTTCCTACGACATCGTACCTGCATAAGCTGCCGTCAGTGTTGCTCTTGCAGGATCGGTGTCTTACCGTCCCGCCGCTCGCTTCTGCATTGACACAACGACATGTCGTACGCTCTTACTTGACCTTTCCTAGTATCTTTGTGTACGTATACCCCCGCAAATCAGGTGTCCAATGCAAGATATGGCATGTCTGCGCTGGATATCCATGCAGTAATCGCTCCCCGGTTGTCTAAGCCTAGAGTCTTCGTCATACCATTTCCCTCACGTAGTCTGTCTCGTTACTTCATCCACAAAATGGATATGAACAAGCCACTCTGCGACTGTCAGCCGTTACTCTGCTGACCCCCCAAATCTCCACTTGAGCAGCTAAGGATGCTTTCGTCAAGGAACAGAAAGTACACAGTCTTGCACGAACGCCACTGGGCTTGTTGTCAGCATCTTACTGGAAAAGATGTGAAGTTGCAAAATGATCAAGCAAAACTGATAACTGAGCTCATTGGTACCTCGTATTTTGTGATATCATGGACCACATATATAAGCCATTCTTTCGCTCCTTGATGTAATCATGAGCATCGGACTGCACCGTCTCCACTCGTTTTTCAAAGGTCAAAATGAAGCTCTCCGCATTCATTAGTATCTACAGCGCCTCACTCGTCATTGCAGGGTTCCTGGATGTCCGTCAAGATGGGTGTCGTCAAGATGATTGCTATCGCGCCCTCTGGGGCACTGATCTAGGCTCGGAACACCCTTTCGTTGCCTATGCCGATTGCCAGCAGCACCTTACAACGACTACCTTCTATCGTCCGATGTACGTACTTTGACCTCCGCTCGCTAATACATCTGATAATAAAATGATAGCACCACCGTCACAACTGTGACCAAGACAACTACGACTACGACTACCCCCTGCCCTACCATTCCAACGACCACTATAATCTTACTTCCACCAGGCCCGACAATCACTCTGTCAGCAGAGGTCATGAAGAAAGTCAAAGCGCGTCAAGCACTGCCAACTGAGTGGTTCACAACAACGACCCGCGGTCCCTTCCCTCCGTATGCTACCGATAGATGTACCGGGGGCTTGAGTCAATATACTAGTGCCTGTTATTGCAAAACCATAACACAGGGATCCCTTCAGTTGCTTGGTTCTGTAAGTTGCTAACCAGTCAGTCTAATAAAAAGACAGAGCTGATGCTTTACAGACGACAACTGTCACCACAGCAACTACAATCACGGATACTTTGACGACTGGCACACCTTGCGGAACTTCCCCCGGCACCTCGTCACACACATCCTCCGCTCCGGAGACTACACTCACGACAACCTCTCAAACAAGTAGCAGTTCCAGTAGCAGAGTAACGAGTAGCTCGGCTTCATCTAGCGTGGAAACTTCTTCTAGTAGTGCGGATACCTCATCAAGCACTACGGGCATCTCATCTACGTCTTCGGGCGGGTCGAGTAGCTCGTCCTCTGCAAATAGTGCATCAAGCACTTCGAGTGATCCGTCCACAACTGAAAGCCACTCATCCACCAGTTCAAGCGGCTCATCTACTATCCCAAGTAGCTCGTCTGGAACTTCTTCGTCCAGTACTTCAACTGACTCATCCACTCATCCGGCTACAACTTCAAGCACCTCATGTGCTACACCAACGACTTTGAGCCACTCGTCTACATTCTCTAGTAGCTCTTCTAGAACCTCAAGCGACCCCTCGATGACTTCAAGCAGTTTCTCTACTTTCTCTAGCTCCAGCGGAACCTCTAGCACCTCCTCAAGTGGCTCGTCTACTTTGAGTAGTTCGTCTAGCATCACCTCTTCCTCCTCTTTCGGCACTATAACCAGTTCTTCGTCGAGCAGCGCTACCTCGACCGAATCGTTTAGCAGTACTACTTCACTATCTAGCGTTTCAAGCTCCTCAACTAGCAGTACTCTGTCCGAATCTTCCAGTAGTACTATTCCATCTTCATCGGTCAGCAGCACTGCATCCTCATCCTCACTCAGCACCACTTCAACTTCCCTATCCAGCAGGGCTACCTCGACCGAATCTTCCAGTAGTACTAGTCCGTCATCCAGCGCTTCAAGTACCTCAGCTAGTAGTACTTTATCCGAGTCTTCCAGTAGTAGCATCACATCTTCATTAGCCAGCAGCACATCTCAGACCACCACGACTTCAACCTCCCTGACCACTTCGACCAAATCCTTCAGTACTACTACCTCGTCATCCGATACCTCAAGTTCCTCAGCGAGCAGCACCCTCTCCGAATCCTCCACAGGTACCACATCCTCGTCCCAATCCAGCGCATCCACAACCTCTGCAACGCCCACACCCACGCCCCCTCTCTGCGGCGGACCAGGGGTTGAATTTTGCGACGGCGGCTGCCGTGACACCAAGAACGACCTCAACCACTGCGGTCGCTGCGGCAACCAATGCGGCGCAGGAAAAGACTGCATCAACGGCGTATGCGCTTCTCCACCCTGCGACTCACGCTGCGGCTGGGACCGCATGTGCGGCACGCGCAACGGCACCGTCGACTGCACGTGCGCCCAGGCCGTCGAGGGCAACGGCATCTGCTTCGACAAGAACAAGTTCAAGTGCGACGACGCCAGTGTCATTAGGTGCCAGGCTTCGGCGTTTGGCCGCGGTGGGTGTCCTGTCGGCAGTGCCTGTGTGCGGGAGTATTGCAACTGTGGTACTGTGCCGTATAGCGGTATTTGTGTTCGCACCGAGGGGTGTGGAGATGCGGGCGTGGAGATTCTCGGGTCGTTGATTCGCGTGGGAGAGATGGAGAGACGGCGTAGGACTGTACGCGGGTTGGGCAAGTGAGCTTTTTTCTGCCCCCCTCGATGGAATAGGCGTAGTGAGGAGCTATGTCTTGTGTGGCCGGGGAGGAAAGTTTGCAGCTTTGGGGGTTTAATGGTATTTTTGAGCTGGGAATTGGAACAGGACTGGACGAGACGGCACCACATCTTTCCATTCTCCACATTCCTTTGTCTTACCTTGCCTTCCCTTACCTTTTTTTCTCTCTTCTCTTCTACCATACCTAGCAGCAATTCAACGAGCCGATACACGAGGGAAAACCGCAAATCTTCTATGCCATGAGTGAAATGAACATGTTCATCTACTCGTGAGAATGTTGGTCTTCTTGCTCTCAAGATAGAGCAAAATAGGCCCGTTTCGAACATTGCACAGAAAAAGAAGCGCTTTCAAAACAGGTAAGGTAATATTTACACGTACGTTCCCTGATATGAACTCTCAGTCTCACCTATGAATCACTCATAAGATGATGTAGAGCGGAAGGGAATAGATCGCAGAGCATCACAGTGACTAGGCCTCCATCCCGCATTGCAACATGCGTTGGCAGCACCAAGGGTAGCATCAACACCCTTCATCAAAATACTTATTCACACCAATATGATTCATCAGAGAAGCAAGGACAAAGCATATACGCAGCTCATCATAACCAGGAAATGCTTGTATATTGAGAGACCCAAAACCGACCCAACCCAACCCATTTAACGCCTCGTAAAGATGTAAGTATGATATACACATTTCGTGTCGGCTAGTAGCCCAGCCGTCCCAGTCGTTAATTCATGTCATGCTAAAAGTTCGTAGAATGCTACCCGATTTCCCCAAATAAATGGAGAGATGGGGTGACGAAGGAAAGGATAGGAAAAATAACAGCACAGATGCAAAAATGTCGCGAGCCAACGGATACGCCGATGAAATCCAGCAGTCGCACCTGCAAGACCAACCAACAACCATGAAGCGCACGCAGGATCCAAGGATCGAGATGGTAAATGAGGCGAGGTAAGATCGAGCAAGCCGCCGTAACGTGTATCCAAGGGCGAGGGGATGAGAACAATCGTTGAACCGAAGAGCAGAAGTATGCAGAAAGCGTAGTGAGGGCTCTGATCCGAGAGGTTGATGTCGTGCTGTATCCGGGAGATGTCGCATGCTCACGGTACATCCAACTCAGATCCAATCATCATCCTTCTTCTCATTTCCACCGCCAATAGCAATCTCTTTGTCGAACCCGAGCCCCAACCCCAGTCCAATGTCCATCTTTGGCACCCCTATCTGGCCAATCTGCGGCGGCTTCTCCGCCTTCTTCTTCGGACTCTGCTTCACAGGACTAATGCTCCCCCTGCCGTCTCCACTTCCCATTCTCACAGTCTTAACATCCCAGTCATCGACCAGCGCGGCACCAATCCACACTCTCACACTGTCATGTACAGCGCCGTAGTATTTCGCGTTACAGGCACGCAGGTGACCCATCAGCTTCTCGAAGCCAGAAACTTTGAGTTCCTGACGGAGTGTGTTGCGCTGCTGCTGGGTGGGGAGGGACGCGATGAGGCCATTCAACAAGTCAATATGGGTGGCGAGGTAGTTTGTGGCATCCCACTCCACGCCGCCAACGTAGGGTGCTGCGGGCACGATGGCACGCTGGCCGGGGAAGTGGGTCTTTGCGTATGATTTGTCGAGAGAAGGTTGGGCCGGGACAGGGATGACGTTGAGGTGGTGGATGAAGATCCAGAAGACTTCTTTGGTGACGTTGGTCATCTCTTTGCACCAGACTTGGTATGGGCGCGGTTGGTGCATCTGCAGAATGAAGGGTACGGTTGATGATTCTTTCTCCTTGGCCGGGTCCTTGAGGTACTTCAGTAGCTCCGTAGCACGGGACTCAAGCTCTGGCTCTGGCGCTGTCGAGATGTGAGCAAAGATGATCTCAATAATGAGTTCACGCGTAGTGAACTCGCTTGGACCCTTGTGCTCTTCGTCAAACAGCATAGCCAGCAACGCTGGGTACAGTGTTGTGGAGATTTCTTTGAGTTGCTTTAATGCTGTAGCGGTCGTGCACAAACCCTTGAGACATCGAAGCAGCTCATGGAGCAACGTGTCCTCGTGATCCTCACGCCACTCAATCTCCATGATGCGGTGGAGGAGTCCGACCAATGCAGTCATACCGCCATCTTGTATGAAGGTGTCCACCCACTCCACAGTCTCGTTACGAAGGAGTAATCGGAGCTTGTGCAGCTTGCCGATCTCTACATCCTGAGGCTTCGTGGTCTTCTTCAGGTAGACAATGAACTCGTCAGACTTGGCCGCCTTTGCGCTGTTCGAGAGGGAGCGGTCGGAGGCCTTGGACACCAGCGACCTAGTGGAAGGAGACTTTGGGATCGGAGTCGACTTCGAGGATACCTTGCGCTCGTTCGACTCGCCTTTCTGCTTCTTTGTCGGGGAGTCACTTCGGTTGAATGTAAAGGCCCTGCTCAGGGGGCGCTCCCGCTTGGTATTATTACCTGATTTGTCTACTGAGGATGACTCGTTCTCTTCCTCAGCAGATCCATATCGCGACTTGGACGACTTGGCGAGGACTGACTTTGTTTCGGCAATTGACGACTGTGATGATGTTGTCCTTGAGGCTTGCGGTACATCGAGCTTGTGCATGCGGACAAAATCGGCCTTGACTTCAAGTTTCAGTGTCCGCATCTGACCACGCTGATGTGTAGGGATGTTTCGAGATTCCTAGAGTTGTTAGCGAATCCATATGGCCTTCAAGGATCTCATGACTCACAAGGACTTCCTCGAACTCGGCATCCACCACGTTGGAATCTAGCTTGGTGGGAGATGGCGGGGCAGGATCTACCTGCTTAGACTTGCCATTGAAAGCAGCAACAGCAGCCATGACTCTATTTGGCTTCTTCGCTGCAACAGCAGGTTGCGTTGCGGGCTTGAATGTTATGTCTTTCCTGCTGGTATCGGTACTAGCTCGCTTAAGTATAGGCCTCGCAGGTATGCTCTTGGACGAAGCACTCTCCTTCAACCTGCCCTCATTGCCTTTTGTATCCGACAGTGGCACCCGGTCGTTGCTCTTCTTGCGGGTGAAGGTTTCGAATATCGACGTCGTGGAGGTGTTTTTAGGGGCGACCATCGACTTTGGACGCTCTTTCACGATAGGTCGCTTCTGCAAGGAGGGTTGACCGTAGTCGAAGAAGTTGCGCTGCTTCGAAGGGGAGTAGTCTTGCGGTGTATACAGCGCGATCTCTTCTTCGATGCTCCGCCGCTGATCATTCAGCGGAATCTTGCTTGTGGTTGTGGTCTCTTGTTGCGAGCTAAATTCCGACCAAATGGGAGTGCGTGGCGGGGCAGCTGCATTTGCCGAGCGTGGTGGTGTTGTGTTCTCCTTGTCTCGGGGCTCCTTGGTTGGCGACTGCTTGTTGTCCTTGGATCTGCCCTTGCCAAACATGGCAGCTAGGTTAGTCGAAGACTTGGTCTTCTTCGGCCGCTCTGCCGTCACTTCTTGCTCCTGTGCCCGTCGTGCTTCTGCAGATTGCTTGTCCGTGGACTTGTCTTCCTTCTTTGCCAGGGATCGTAATGAAACGGAGCTGAGTGTCTTTTTATGTAGGCTCTTCTTCGGGCTCGACCTGATGTCTTGTGACTTGCGAGGAGAAGGTGGGTTGGTAGGAATATTCTGGGTCCGAGTGGCCGCGCCCACTTGGCTATGAGGGTGGTCTGGCGGTAGCAGCGGGGCCTGCAGGTTTAACGCGGGCAGATATGACGGGTTGGCTAGCTGGTCCTGCTTCAGTGCAGTGCCATCGGACGGCGTGCGTTTATGACTTTTGGATGTCATGATAGACTTGAGCACAAAAGATGACTTGTGGCGGCGATGGCCTGCAGCGGGTGCTGCCGAGTCGGGCGTCGCCATTGCGGAGTTGCGAGAAAGCTAACAATGATGGAAGCTGTTGGTGAGGCCGGTGCCAAACGAGGAACAAGGAAGCATGCAATGTCTATAGCAGAAAGATGGCGGGCATAGTAGAAGAAGGCGACGAGGTCGAGATGCTGGGATGCTCGTGCCGGCTTGGAGTGGATAAACATTCGGGACGGATTGTCCCAGCAACCAATCGCGCTAACCCCAGGGTACCTGCGGAGGCACGTGATCGCGCATTTCCACCATCGTGACTGTTTGGGGTCCACATGGCTCCACTCTCTATTGTCTACTCTGTCAGTCAGCATGAAGACATGAATCAATGTCGCGTGTCATGCTTCTGTTCTGGCGTTGAGCGACGTCGGGATGCAGTCACTCCACATGCACGCTATCTATAAAGCCCCTGCCAACAGACCCCACTCTCTCTGTAATGTACGACAGCCTTGCAGCATGTTGTAGGGCGCGTTCTCAATATACATTTGTACCTAGTGTATTTCTACCATAGTGACAGTGAATGAGTAGAGACTCATTGTAATTTGTTCGAGTTCTGAGGAACATATCCATGGGTATCTCGTAGCATCATGACTCCGTAACCAATGCCGCTACAACTCTAAAATAATGCAAAAACGCCAAGTTCCCACCGCAAGCACGCTTCTCTGCGCCAGCCCCTATTGGGATACTCTTCAAGCTATCGATTCTGTAGATCACGCTTTCTTCTTCCCCTTCCGCCTTCCCTTGCCTTTGTCACCAACCTCCAAGGTTCCGCCTTCTACTTCGCCTTCTTGCAGTCCCATGACCTCGTTAGCTTGCATCTCCTTTAGCTTTTCTTGTCCCGAAATGAAAAATGACAAGTCTCTGTTCTGTTCCTCAAGGTCCATCTTTTGCGCCTCAATCTCTTGTACCCGGATCGCCGCGTCGTCGGCTTTCTGCTCAAGGTGCTTGATGCGTCCCATGAGAGATTCATTGATGGTTTGCTCTTCTTTATACTGTTTGGTGAGTTTGCGGGCCAGTTCCGCCGCAGAGGACGCTTTCTGTACGTTTCTTGCAGATTCTTTTTCCAAAGAAGCAATCATAGCTGTAGCTTCGCTATACTGAAGAGACAGCTTGTCGAATCTTTGGGAGAGGGATGCCACGGCACGCGATGCCTCATCAGCAGACGAGGCCGCTTTCGCGGCTTTGTCAACTGCGCGCTCGAGTTGTTCTTCAAAGTACGTGCGCTGAGACTCGAGTTGCGAGGTGAGCAGGTATGCATACTCCATACCCATATTATCTAGTTTCTCGCGCGGAACGGTGTCATTGGCGTAGCCAGTCATTCCGGGTGCACTGAAGGACTGATGCGTAGAGGCAGGCATGTCTACCAATTTCCCATCGGCTTTGTTCTGTATGAGGCGGTGTACATATCCATCTCCTGCATAGTCCCAAACATGCTGCGTCTCCACATCCATGGCGTACGTGTGGCTCGTAGCTTCGTAGTGAGCGAAAGCGTGCGCAGAGTCATAGCGGCCACAGCCTGTGTTGCCGCAGATCAGGCATATCCAGAGGTTCTGGGTGGAGCCGCACACGCTGCACTCGTTGTCCGGCCCGTCGCCTTCAGAGCCGCGGTGTGAAGTAAAGGCATCATTCTGTGTATAGCGGCAAACTGGGCAACCTGAACCGCGCCATTTCTCCAGACAGGCACAGTGGAAAACGTGTTGGCACAGGATTGTGAGGAGGCCGGTCGTTTCGTCCATGCGCTCAAGGCAGACTGGACAGGTAGGCAGCTCGACCAGCGACGGTGTAGGTGGAGCGTGTGGTTTTACTGTAAGCGATGTGGTGAGCGAGGGACCTTCATCGGGCGAGGACATGCCAGCAGCTGGCGGAAGAGGGGCGGTAGGCTGCTTGGTAGGAGCAGGTGCGAAGGGGTCGTTGGTGAGATCGGGATACGAGGTAGGGTCGCGGTTTGAGTCGCCGTTCTGGAAGGTGATTGACTTGACGAAGACGACGTGGCAGTATTCGGGCTCCATACTGTTGAAAGCCTTGCCATCCCACTCCTTCCTCCACTCTCTCGCCTGTTGTGCTTCCTGAAACTTCATCAGCACCATGTATTTATTCGCCCTACTCGTTCTGATAAGCCGGAAGTGAGACACATGCTCCCTCGTCTGCTCCCCCATGAAGCCTAGGAAGTCCGAGGGCGTCATGTACGATGGCACCGCCAGTATACACAAGGTTGTGCAGTCCTCCTCGTGGAAGTCTTTGCTTGCTCCATCGACCTCATCGTATAAGCCCGGCGTCCCTTGTCCATCGCGGTACAAGTGCACCACGCCCCAACCGACTTCGGTGCCCTTCAGATCTGAGGGTATGAATCTGCCCTTTGTAGCTAAGCCGCCAGAATTTGTAGCGTGCGAGGGGTGCTTGAGGGATTGGGTGTGAGGTCGAGTCATGTCGGCGCCATTGCTTGCGCTCATGTCGATGCTGATGATGGAGATGGTGTCGAACCGCCAGTCTCTATGCGCAAAGCTCTGTGTCCGCCTGTGGGCCGGCCTCTTCGGCGGCTTGACTACGGGTACGGGGCTATCGTGGTGCTCTGAGAATGAAGGTCGCGTCCGTTGACTAGAGCGACGCGTGGCAGACGGCCTTTCACGAGGTGGAGCAAGCTGGGTGACGTCACTGCTAGAGGGTACAGGCTTCGAAGGGCTATCGTATACTCGTGAAGTTGGTGCGAGAGAAGTCCAAGAAGCCCGTTGGTGTACGGGGAGCTCCGACTTGAAGATGTCGGTATTCGGCGGCGGGGTGAAGGTCGCGTCTGGCGAGGAGCGGGTAGGATAGAGCTCAAAGACGAGGTGGAAGAAGTAGGCGGGCATTAGGGGATTGCAAGTATTATAAGCATCTCCAACGAGTGTCGTAAAGAGAATGCGCGAGTTTGTAGACAGTGAAGCATGAGCATTGGAGCTGTGGAGCTTATTTGGTTCCGAGCTCCAGTTGCTTGTCTCTGCTTTAGCGGGGCAGTGGCGCGTCATTCTGCCAGCAGCCTTCACTCAAATCATGTCAAACTTGCACTTCGTAACAGTCAAGGGAGTTGGTAAAACCAATATGCTGGTATTGCTTTGCTTTGTACCCTGTGCACAGCACAAAGCTCAAACCCCTATGCTAATAGTTATCGGTAGACGCCTTATCAATGCAGCCTTCAGTAACGAAAACGCCATAGCTATGCAATAGAACCCTCCCATCCTAACATAACGCCTTTTCCACACTAAAAGTACGGAAATACAAGCACACAGAAGTAGGTGCTGATGCAATAACAGTGAGTGTTGCCACTCAAAATAATAAAGAATCTGTCTTGTCGTGAAGTCGTCGCCAGAAAACGCGTAGAGGGTATCGCTTTTGAACATGTTCAGTTATATGCAGTTGAAAGGAGTCGGTCGTGGTAGAAGAAGTTAAGCTTGGTCGGCGTCAACTGTGTCGCCTTCGGTGAGGTCTTCGATTTCGTGGCCCTTTGAGTTGACGACAATTCGGCGGCCTCGTTGATCAGCGGGAACACCGTCGCGGGAAGCTCCAAAGTCCAAGACCTATAGTCATGTTAGATAACGCATCTCAATGGAGGAGCCAGCTTGCTTACTTCAATGTATGTCATGCTATTCCGCTGGACGGCTGCGACGCATCGGCGCTCGTTGAATTTGACCTGCCACACCCCGCTCAAGTCTGTCAACAGGTCCTTGACGAACTCGCCCGTCCTAACGTTCCACATCTTGAGCGTGCGGTCTGAGCCCGAGATCACCTTCTGGCCATCATGTTGGAAGCAGGTGATGGCACCCGTATGTGCACAGAGTCTGCTCTTGCACTGCCCGTTCTCTGGATCCCAGATGCGAAGAGTTGAATCTGCGGCTGCTGAAACCAATCGTCCATGGCTCAGATCCAAAAGACCTACAAGTGAAGTATGGCCTTCAAGCGTGAATATGCAGGCACCCGTGTCCAAGGACCAGACTTTGACCATGTTGTCCATAGAGCCACTGATGCAGCGGTTGCGAGCATGATCTAGGACAACGCTATAGACTTTCTGGGAGTGTCCTTGGAGGCGCTGTAGAACCTCTCCAGTAGAAATCTTCCACACTCGAACAGTGCAGTCATAGCTACCGCTGACAAGTGTATCGCCATGAGCAGCGATGGCGCGCACTGAGTGATGGTGGCCAGTCAGTGCGCGTATGAAGTAGGGATTATCGTGATCGTTAGATGGTGCTCCGGTCTGCATTATGCTGCGATCGCCTGGCTTAGGGAGCTTCCACACACGAAGGGTAGAATCTCGCGAGCCAGTGATGATCAGCTCCTCCTTGGGCATCATTATTGGCTGGCCATCTAGAGCCTCGCCAATTTGTGTGGGTTTGAGGATAACGAGACAGCGAACAGTAGAAGTATGGCCTTGAAAAACTTGCGTGCACTTGCCCTTCTCAATGTCCCATACGCGTACCGAGCGATCGGTAGAGCCGGATACCAAGGTATTACCCTCATACTGAAGAGCCCAAACACCACCCTCGTGACCTACGAGGTGGCTCCGCAAGGCTCCAGTCTTGGTGTCATAGACATTGATGTTTGTGTCGTCACTACCAGTCAAAATCTTATCGGTATCGAACTGGAGACAAGTTACAACATGGCGCTGATGCGCGCGGAACGCAATGTGCTTAGGCTTCGTATCTTCTACCATCCAGCTCTTGCGAATGAGATGGTGTCGCTGGTACAGCGACTTGAAGAGGTGCATAGTACCCAGACCAGGTAAGCCCACGTTCGGATCAGAAATGACTGCTTGTGCTCGTCTGGCGAACCCATGCGGCCCTTCCAGCGACTCAACAGGCCGCGAGTAAAGGGCAAGGTGTGTCCGCCCTGACGATGAGACCTTCTTGCGCTGCTTCTTAGTACCAATATGTTTGCTGATCGCTTTCCGCTTTTGGCGTATAGATGATGATCGAGTTACTGCGCCTTCATGATCATGGACGCTGCTAGGCAAGCTAGAAGCAGACAGGCCAATGTAGGCTTCATTATCTGATCTAGAAGCCACAGATTGCGCCCTGAGGTCGCGCTCGTAGCTATCGGACGAATGAGGATATTGCCACCCCCATCCCTCCTGCACAGCGCGCTCCAGTTCACCATGAGGCAGCTTGTAACCATCTTTGTCAAGTAATTCTTTCCAGGCAGTTTCATGCGTGTCAACAAGCTTGCGCCAGTATTTCGACACCTGTGCGGCGCTGCACATACTCTTGACATCCAGAAATCCAATAATTTCCAGACTCAATTCGGTGGGTAGCGAGACGATGAAGTCCCGCTTCAAGGCTGGGTTGACCACATCGGCAACAAAGTGCAGAGTGGGCTTTTTGCACCTCCGAAGCAGCTGGTACATGACGTAGGACTTCATTTGCTCCGGAAGAGCATCGAAGGTATTTAGCATACTGGGTATGCCCATAACGGTCGGGGTTAGTAGTTGCGGGTTGGGACTGACCAGTTCGCTCGCGTCCGGCATTTCGAGGTGTCTTGACCCAGGAGGGAAAAGGGCAAAGTCTGCCATCGGTAGGTTACTCGAGTCGCCTTGTGAGAGGTCGAGTCCTGAGACATCACTTGGATCGTAGTCGCCTCCTAAGCCTGAATACGAAGTTCCACCAGTACTCTGTTGCGCTAAATTTGCGGCAGCGGTAATCGGTGACAAGCTGGGGCTTGGTAAACTGGCATCTTGCGCGGAACCAGTGTCCAAAGGCGTCAGTCGTGCGGGTGCAAAGGATGAATCATCGGCGAAGGGTCCAACCGGTTCCATATCGGACTCTGCGATGGGGGGTGTAGCAGCTACGCCAGGACCGTCGAGGACGCTTGTTGAGAATGAGTGTCCAGACGAGTGCTCCTGGCTCCCGAACGAGCTATCCTCAGTACTCGAAGGCCCGGCAAATGGCTCCTGGAGCTTCCACCGTTCCGCGTATTGCGGAAGGCGGTCTTTGGGATTGGCCCTGTGCAAGGGCCCTGCCCTAGGCTGTGGCAACTTGGACGAGCCTAATCCACCAATCTCTGTATCGGGTGTGGCTGGAACTCGGTCTTCCAAGTCCTCGGGTGTGAAATGTGAGCCCGTATGTGCAGCACTGCTACCCTTCCCAGCATCTGTTCGTGGCTTCTTGCTTCGGTGCAGATGAGCCCTTTCGGCAGCCTCTTGAAGTAATGGAACGGATTGGAACTCGTCCGCGTTGTCTCGTTTACGACGGCCGGACACTGAGCGTAGCGCCGGATGTTGTGTCTTAATGTTTGGTCTCGTCATGCGGCTGGGTGTTGCGAATACCGGGGGCCCGTCAAAGGACTCGACCTTCTGCAGTGTCCCGTTGGAGGATCTTAGCGTCTCGCGGAGAGTCTTGTGCTGTAGAACGAAGAATGTCAGTCTAACGTAATGGGACAGGAGCCACGGTAACAGGAACGGCTCTGGTAACAGGCCTATCCCTGAACCCGCAATAAACATACCTCGTGTGCATGGTCCGACGCGGCATTTGCCTCTTCGAAGCAAGCCAGTTCACCTCCAGACTCGAAGTAAAACTTCCGTATGGAGTCCGGGGCTTGTGTATGGGCGAGTGGGTACTCTTTGGGATCGCGTTGGCTGAGGCTTCCGGGGGCGTTGATGCACATGGGCGGGAACGTCGTCGTGGTTGTGTACGTGGTAGTAACGACTGTAGTTTTAGTTGCTGGTGCGAATGAGAACTGTCCCATGGTGGCATATGGGTCCATGGCCTCCGTGTGCACCGTCTTGGACAGGCCGTCAGCGCCACGGCCTGAAGGGGCTGAGGCCATGTTGTGCAAGTGATTTGGGTCGAGTTGAAGGCGCAGCGTTCTTTCGAGATTCCGTCGGGCGGCGAGAATATCAGTCTCGACGTGTTTGTCGTAGTCGTATCACCTCGTGAATGGGAGCTGTCGAGGTGAAGTGGTGAGGGTGTCTGGGACCTCGGGCCCGTGGCGCGAGCTCAGCAGAACAGGAACACGCAGAGGGGAGGAATTTCAGTCTGTTATTCGTGCATGTCGCTCCTCTAACCGTGACCAGAACGTGCAAAAGTCTCTTGAGGGTGGCTGGTGGAGCGTTGGCGATTGTTCCTCGGTCAGTTCGCCGCACGTCAGCGGCAAGATAGGAGGAGGTAACGACCTGAGGGGATAAGGCGAAACACAGGACGAGAGCAGCAACACGGCACCACTGAGTCCCAAGAGCAAGGCAGTATTTGGAGGGGGACCAGTCGTGTCTATGACAAGAGATGGTGTCGAAGGGTCGGGGGTGGAAGGTAGTCTAGTGGGGGGTGGAGGCGGATGGGTGGCTCGGTAAAGCTCATAAGGTGCGGTGCCCTTGGATGTCACGCTCCTCCAGTCGGCGGCCATGTCATTATTATTTCCTGCGGCACGGAGGCCCCGAGAATTGCAGGACAACGCCGCCGCATTGTATTCGGGCATGCAAATCATGTATTCACGCATGGTAGCACGATTCCACGTCTTGTCAGGGCCATTTTGATCCATGTAGTTGTGGGTGCAGCGCGCGTCGACGTCAACCTCGCGCATGAATCTGATGCTCGAGCTACCGTTGTGCAGCTGCAGCGTCTGCCTGCCGTCTGTCTTGCTATACGGCGTCGCTCGGCACAAGGCCTTTGTCCACGCTGACTCGCACATCAACGCCATGCAATGTTTGGGTTTTTCGCTGCCGTGGCGAATGGGCACCAATTCTTTGTCTTGCACCAGGGAACCATGGTCGGCGCGCAGAGCTCAGGCAATTCACGACACACCTGCACACACTATCGCACAGACGCCGCTAGACGTGTTGGGAATTGCTTCAAACACGACACTATAGGAAAGCCACATGGCATCATCTCGCCGATAGCTACATGGCATACGGGTCGTGATGGCTTGGAGAAGAAGGCTGGCCATCCTACGATTTGGCCCGGCGTACCGTGTATTGTAAAGGTATACCTTGGTGTATTCAAGACAGTTACGCAGTACAAGCCATCGGGCAGCTATGCTATGCCACCTCAACACGAGAACAAGCACGAGGGACGCGTCTCAAATCCATCCATTGCACGGAAGAAAGACGCGTCGGGCCCTCAGGATGCAGCATCATGCTCTCACTCGGCCACACTCCGCATAGTGCCCTCTACACCCTCACATTTCTTTGTTCGACGTAAAGTCAACGCGGTAGGAGAAATCAGTACAAAACCACAGTTTAAGTGCTATGCCTAGCACCTTAGCACAGTATTAAGGCAGTAAAGTTTACACAATGCAGGGCCAGCTGAATGATCATCGAGAGATCCTCGACGATCGCCATCAGCAGGTAGCACCCTCACATATACTCGTCAAACAACAAAAGCTTAAAGAAACTTCATCCTGTCAATACCCTCTGCATTTCTTTTCTCAACAGGCCTAGATGGGCACATCGCCAACCTTCATGTGTGCCGCGCAGCCTTCCTCGCTCCTTCCCTGCTTCAACGTTTCCCCGACGTCACCCATAACCCACGTCAGGAAGCCGCGATGAGCGACTTGTCTGTCTTTCTTCCTCTCACTCGACCTCGTCCCCCCTCACCTTCTCCCTGACGTCGCCGCTGCTTCACCATTGCGTCTTCGCTCACCCTCGCCTCAACCCGGCTGCTCCGCGGCCACAGCAACGCCCATGGCAGGAAAGGCGAATAGCAAGAGCAAGAGCAAGAGCACCAGAGCAGCTGCAACGGAGGTCAAGTCAGCGCCACTGCCTGGGCGCACTCGGGGCAGGTCATGTCTGTCTGCAGAGAATTCCAATGTCACAGCAGAGGTCCAGACGACGATGACGACAACAACAACATCTACGTCGACCACTCAGCATGTAGACGTCCAACAGAGCGTTCAGATCATGCAAACCATGCTACATGGATGTCTTAGTTCTATCGTGTTCCAGAGAAGCATCTTCCCTCCCAACAGTTACGAAACAAGATACTACATCAACAACAGCAGCCAGTGGACATACAAAGACTATCTCAGTGCCAATCAAGGCGTCATCAAGGGAGACGGCACCGGAGGTCCCATCTTAGCCCTCAAGAAAGGGGTTTCGGCTAGGGTGGACCGCTTTCTTGGCCTAATGGTAACCAGCTCCGCCTGAGTCAACATGCGGTCTAACGTACATTTAGGAAACCGGCATCTTTGACGCTCTGCAACGCGGGTTCTTGAAGTCGTTGCATTTGTCAATCTACGAGAAGCAACCTTCAGATATTCTAGAGTCCTGGACGTTGACTGTCCAATACATGCATGTCGGCCCTGCCGGTCAACGCTTACCCTCTAGCTTCGATCTGAAGGAGCGAAGAGGTGCCAAAATCACGCTCAGCCATGTGAAGCTGTCTTTGAACGACTTCGTCCGGAAATTGACCGGCCTCTGCTTGACTTTGCCAGCATTACCAGAGGACAAGAAGATAATTTTGGAGATTGGGTATACAAACGACAAACCCCAGGATTACTTTGCGCCCGGCTTTCCGCATCCTGTATATGATGTTACTCGGTTTCCCTCTACGGATGACTGGGAGAAGGTTACATCGGATGTCGCTCTGATGTGCACCGGATATCATGCGGCATCGTTGAGAGTATCTCACCTTAGAAGCAAGAACCCCAGCATCAAGAATTCCCTCCCAAGCGGGCTGAAGTGCACTGAAAAGATGGGAAGGTTAGACGATGTTATGGTGGACTTGCTTGAGCGAGCTCAGGCGGTATCGGAATCCCGCTCCAAACCAAAAGCCTCGAAAGCTGTCGATCTCTCTTCGTTGTCGATGCAAGCAGACGACCTAGACCTACCATCAAAACCGGAGCATGTGCTACCATCCGGCTCAGGGCGGGGTCCTCCTTCTACGTCGTCTCTAGTTAGGGACCATCGGAGGTCTTCAACTATCGAGAGGCAGGAGCAGCAGCAGATTCGAGACATGGTAAAGAAATTTGTCCAATTGCTTACCATTGAATTGACATGACTGCTAGCTTCGAGCTCCGGTAGATATTTCCAACACCCAAGCAACGCAGCCTGTACTCCCCGATCAGCATGTTTCGCTCGGCAGGAAACCCGCAAGTGGGATAACAATCTCACAAGCGAAGATCGACCAAGCAGACAAGGAACGAAGCGCTAGGCTTCCACCTCGGAAGGAAATATCCAAGGTTCTAACAGCCTATGAGCATCTCGACCAGATTACCATGCGTTGCCAATGCGGGCACCCGGGCGAAGAGGGGCATATGGTAGGCATACGAATGCTCACGAGCTATTTCGATGCTAACAAACCTAGATGCTATGTGAATTTTGCGAATCATACCAGCACCTTCATTGTTATGGATACGTCGGTAAAGATGATCTCCGGCTTCCTGTTACTCACGTTTGCTACCAGTGTCTCTTGAACGGGGAAGAAGAGCACGTGCGACAACTACGTGATCAAGCCATGCATCGCCGTGCCCTATGGCTTTTGCGAGACAACGCCAGCTTCGCCGACACAAAGTCGTTTGGCAGGGGTCTTGGTAGGGGTAGAAGAGTCTTACGACGTGTATAAGCTAACGTCCATAGGTTGTACAGACCGTGAAACGGAGAGACTACTCAAGAAGTTCCGTGCTCTTGGACTGCTTGCTTCGAGTCTCGGAGGGTCCAAGAAGCGAGTGCAACCTATTGCGCTCAACCAGTCCGAATCCGCCAAAGCATTGATGCAGCAAATGTACTTCGACCCCAGCTTTGGCATCGCTCATCACGTAAGTTCTCTTCTTATTGGACTTGGTCGAAAGAGGGAAGCTAATGAGCCCGATAAACAGCTGGAGACAGCCGCGGCCCATGATGGTGAGGTTGGCAGCATGACAGCAAAGTCACACAAGCGACCTCGTGAAGAAGCAGACGCCGAGTTGCCCCCTTCCAAAAGGCCACTCCCCTACGCGAGTAGCGCACCGTTCATTGATGGGAATGAACTGAATACGCCGAAGTCGAGCAGAACACTCCAACCTATCCTACGACAAGAGTAAATGTTGTGCGCGACGAACTTCCAAGGATGCTACGGGTCTACTGCAGCGAGGCTATCTGATCTCTTGGTGCTGTGTGTTTCGTGGAGTGGCGTTCGTTAGCAAAGACGTAAAGCTCCGTGCGTGTTTGCATGAAAGTTAGAAGGCCGGGCGGCAGATAGTATGCAGCTGTTCTTCAGATCAAATAATGATTTCTATGGCGGATATTGACGTGGCCACGTGCGGTAGAGCTGGGCGGTTGGTGTATCACAGCATGCTGATGAGTGATGACATCCTAGAACCCGGACTGTCAATTAACGAGATTCGCGATTGACTGGTAGATTGAGCTTGACTATCAGCGGGCCCGGATTTGCAGAGCTTGGACTTGGTTTGGCACACGATCAGCATGAGGAAGACGTGAAGGGTAAAGCAAACGCTGATCTCCTGCATGTTGCATTCCACCCTACGAGAATCCTTCCTGGACACGATATCATGCGGGCAATTGGAAGAGGCTGTTTCCCGCCGTGGCTTGCAAGACTGCTGCTGTGGTTATTATGAATACGAAGCGTGGTCCCGAAGGCGTCCTGCTTGTGTCACGTCGCTTGCGATAGGATAGGAGTCTTGGTGGAGAAGAGCCACAACACCGTGTGCTTGCATTGTAATTCAGAAACATGATGGAGTGTCAAATTGCTTTTTTCTTTCTCCATTACTGAAGCAGCAAAACGATATACGGGGATCCATTTCTACCTGTAGTAACAGCTCCTGTGTTATTCATACTCGGCGCATGCTTGTCTGTCATGGTGCGGCAGAAGCGTCCATGCGTCCTTCGACGCTTGGTGTCAAGCGCGACCCGTTCTTCTTCTGCCGAATGGCTTCAGACCCCTGAATCGCTCACATGCCAGCAATTGGCCGGCTTGCATGGATCGACTGACTGCCAGCACACCTGTGGGATAGATCAATCGATGCACCCCTGAAGCTTAAGAGGCGCGAGGTATGGCTGGAGGTATGCGGCTACTACCTCCACTCCGTGCCTGCCTGCCTGCCTTCCAGAACCTCCACCTTTGCTGGACTTTGTCGTCGCCTACGACCACAGCGTTCAATGACCTGGAGCCATCGCCGCAAGTTACCGTACTAAGCGTCAACTTATCTGCAGGAACGGCAACACGGCACGAACTGCACCAAAAGCGTAAGCGCAGGAACCCGCGGCTGAACCCTTGGATCATCCTTCCATTGAGGTTATCGGAAGACCTTCCACCATATATGGTCCCTCTCGCAAAACACCAGACCCTGCTCGCATGTCCCGCCCGTGCTCGCAACCGTGGCAGCACAATACGTGCTTTTCCGACGCAATTGAGCGCAGATGTGGGTTCATATTTAAACTTTCAGCGCCCACATATACCGCGATTCAGTGCGCCTTCTTCTGTCTCTGACGAGTCGCGCCCCTGGCTAGGGATCAAGCCACCAATTCTTCTACTGACACCCGACCATATTCAATATGGCTCGTCACAAGAAGTTCTCCTTTCCACTGCCTCGCAGGTCGCGAACAACCGTGGCAGACGACGACACCCGCTCGATACCCTCGATTCCCCCCACGCCCGAATGGTCCTCGCGCCGCGAAGAGCCGTCGACGAGCAAAGCACACCGTGTGCTCGGAACCTCTGACACCATATATCGTCCAACGTCGAATCAAGCATCCTTACCAGCCAGTTCCGACTACATGTCTGTCACCGTATCAGAGGCTAGTTTCGGTTCCCAGTTCGACGACAGAAAATCTGCAACAGCTACCGAGCATAGCAGCAGTTACCCCAAACGACCAGCGATGTCGAAACGACCGTCTTCAAATATTCTGGGGGGTACCTTCAGTGGAGATGGGAGGCGGGGCTCCGACAACAGCTCTGTTGCCCATCGACTACAAGCTCAGACGTCAAATTCAACCATGCGCTCGCACTATGATGCGAAGAGCTCTCCACTGTCCATATCACAGCAGACATCTGACTCGGCAGTGCGGGACAGAGCGTTACGGAGAGGGCAGCCGCCAGTCTTGATGGATTATGGTCACAACGGGCATGCAGCTAGTCCAGTGTCCCCTTTGATGCTAGACGAGACGAAAAGCAGGGAGAACCGGAAAAGTAAGCCTACGCGGTTAGACCTTTCGAAGCTGTTCCCAAAGCCAAGAGGCGGCAACAGCCAAAGCTATGGACACGCACTGCTTTCGCCTGCCAAGATGGTGAACTCACCTGCCGCTATGTCAATGTCTTCAGACTACTTCCCCCGTCCCATGACCCGAGAACCGACGCCCCAGGTAGGGGATCAAGTGAAGCTGAGGAAGACTACGACCCAGCCACTGGCTCCAATGATTGAGTCTCCAAGCAGTCCAGTGCGCAAGTTCAAGCGAGACCAGTATGACAACGCCAAGGTCCACGTCCGGCGGCCACCGAAGGGCGTTCAACACTGGTTCGATGCGCTAGATGAGGACAGTGAGGAAGACTCGGAGGAGGTACGAGCACCCATTCACGCTCCAAAGGCTGTGCGTCCAACCGGTCCGCCAAAGGTCCCTGTTCGCAACGTATCCCTCGGACGACTTCATCCAGATAAAGTAACATCACCACAAGCCCCACAGGCGCAGAATATGGTACCCAATTTCAGAAGAGATACCTTTACCCATGAAGACATCGTTGATGTTACCCATTTGACCTCACCCAGCCAGTTTTCGGTGAACTCGCTGGTCTCGAATAAGACGAAGGAGTCCGCATTATCAAAGAGTAACCTGCAGGACTCCAGTGTTCTCTCCTTCTCGTCATCAGAAGACGAGCAGGATAATTGTCAACCAAAAGGCCGCAAAGTGGCAGTTCGAAAGAGCTTAGATATTGATGATGCCGGTGAAGTAATCATCGGACAGGCCCAAGCATTCGAGGTACGGCCACAACGAAGAACATCGGCTGGGATGATGAGCACGCGATCCACATCCACAAGTGCCGCGACGATCGAAGTCATGTACGCTCCGGAAACACCGTATCATTCGTACCATTACCCCAGGAACAGCACTTACAGTGGCGGTAGACGGTCGAGCCACGTCAGGCAGCCTTCAGTCATCCTCGAAGATGAAGACACTCGCCCCAGAACGGCCGTTAATATGCCTCATTCACCGTCCGCTCACAGCATAATAAGTGCACGTACCTCGGCAAGCGAGCCCAAGCTTCGCTCCAATAGGTCCAACAAGTTGATGGCAGTCACTGCTGAAGAGGAGGCTCTTCTGGAAATGATGCGCAAAAAGCGTGCAGCCATGGCCAAGAACGGAGTACCACATGCCAAAACCACCGTTGTCGAAGAAGAAAAACGACAGAGAACTCCGACTAAAGAGGTACAAAGGCAACATCGTACATCTGCATTCTTGTCGATGGAAGGAAGTCCTGTTAGGGCAGTGGAGACGAAACCTACGCGAAGATCGCCGGCAAATACACCGTCACCACTTCTCCTACCACCACGAGGAAGGCCTATCAGAGCTAGCCATGAACGGGATACTGTAATGAGCCATTTGCGGGATAGCTCCGCGAGTGATACCTGGTCTGACCGTCACAACTCCCCCGCCAGCCGAGCAAGCATCCCACATCACCTTCCTACTCCAGCCGAGTTCTCACCGTTTGACCTCTACCTACCTTCATCAGACACTCCTACTGCGAGCATAACATCACCAACTACAACTGAACATGCGTCTCCCCTACCTTCTCCCATCACTCCTGGGCTTCGGATGGGCGAAACAGACATCGCAGTTAAAGTGGCTAGTAGCGATACCAGCATCGACCATGAAGACGTTGGTATCCTGGAGCATGGCATCATCGGTGCACCAACCAGCAACATCAAGCCCTCTTCACGATCCGCTTCGCACGAAATGGGTTCACACCGGCGCCGTCGAACCGCTTCCAGCGGAGCCGAAGTCACGTTCCCGGCTCCACCTACAAACGCCGCGAGAGACATGACTTTCGTCCCTGAACCCTCTTCCCGCACGCCTAGCGTTGTTGAGCCGCCGCTCCCTAGGCTGTCGAGCAAGACGTCAAAGCGGGTGAGCGGCGTATCGCTGTCGACCAGTGGTCAACCGAGAAGTAGGCAGAGTAGTGTTCACTCGACCAATTCGCGTACATCTACTTACTCGCACACGTCGAGTCTACTCGGTGGCCTCGAAAAGAAGAGCAGGCATTTGAGCCGTGGTGATAGCTTTGTTAGTATGAATGGGAGTGCCATGGAAAATAGGGACAGCGTCAGTGATGATGTCCTGGCTGCGTGGAATAGCTTGGGTGGGACATATTGATGGTCGCACCACGCTGTTACCTCACGTTTCTTTTCCTCTTATCTTTTTTTTTCGCTTTTTCTCTCTCATCACATATCCTCACGAATCTCCTTCGTCATTTTTTTTCTCTTTCCTCTTGTTTTCCTCATAGCGGCTTGGTATTCAGCCACCTTTTGCGTTTCGGCCTATACATTTTTTGTAAAAACATCTCTCACACGGCGCGCAGCAACGAATCTCCTTGTCTCTTTTCTTTTAGTTCGACTCTGGTCCTTTGCACAGTCATCGGTTTATCTCTCTCACCAGTATTCATGTACCGGGGTAGTATTTACCTTATCATGTCTGTACCTGGTACTTTGGGAATGGAGTGCAGGGTATAGCTAGTAGCTAGCTAGCTTTCTGATGATGATTTGCAAAGAGTTCATAATGGTAGTTGTAGTAGCTAGTGGTATGACGGTGTAATCAACGCATGGCATAGCTCTGTGCTGGCTTGGTTTTTTCACTTACACTGTGCTTTTCTTTTGATTCTCGGTTACACTATGATATTGTTTGCGTGCTCATAGTTTGAAGATTATACCCTACCATGAGCCCATGTCATGTTACCATGAGAAGAGGTTCATCCGACCATAGGGATTCACCTCGGTTGACCCATGGCACCTGCCTAATTAGGCACGGATACTATCGCGTAAACTTGCCCCATGGTTAGATGACATGGCCGTATAGCCAGGTATCCTATTTAAGCATAGCCTATACAGAGACGTTTTGAATATATCGCCTCGAAGGGATCTAATTGAGTGGTTCCCTCTCGGAGGGAGCAAATGCAGGGACTAATTACCCTATCCCTAGTTGATTGCGATATGCGAAAGCCTCCGCAAATAAGTTCTAATGCAGGCTATATCATACAGTACATAGATGACACTTTTACTCTTGTCTTTCGTCATCTTCGCAATGGAAATTGTTGATGTAGTCGCTGTAATAACGGTCGATGATCGCCTCGAGTCTTTTTTATAGCCGCGCCCGTAACGGTGACGCGCTCGATATTCTGGACAAAGGGATATACAAGCAAGCAAGCGACCCGAACTGAACCTCTAAATGACTCGATTGACACGAATAGTAGGCGCGGCACAATTCGAGCGATACTCGATACTCAAAACTCAAACTTTTGTATACATGCCTTCAAACACGTGTTACATCCCAATCGCGAGCTGATGCACAACAAGAAACGCCCTCAAACAAGCCTTCAATGACTCGAGATCCAATGCTAGACTGACACGCTATACGCCCACCAAAAAAAAGGGCTACGCGGATAGTGGGGTGCGGCAGCCCCAAGTGAGCATAGCAAAGCAAAAACGCAGAGAATTGGCCAGCAGCGCCCTCGTTTTCCGTAATTTACAACCAGGCCAGGGAAAGTAAAAGTAGGCTCACGACCATGGGGACATTGTGGCTCGTGAGCGCAACCGCCGCACTTATGGACTGGGTTCCACAACACGACTTCTCATTGTAGGAGACGTTGTTCGCCGTCGCAGCCACCTGAAAGACCGATCCATTGATATTACCAAAGTTGTAGTAATCGACGAGCAGCCAGTTGGGTGGGCGACCCCACATCTTCTCGCAATTCTGCACACCTAGTCCCAAGCTGCCGTTTCCAGAGACGGCGTTGACTTTGTCTAGAAGTGAGTAGGCTGGGATGAGGAACCCACTGATACCCGAGAGATTGATCTCAATGTTAAGATTGTGGTTCATCATGTACATGCGGTTCCGCGAGACGTCTTCAGCCTGATTTGGCGGGCGTTGCTGTGTGCATGGGAATGCTGGGTCTGTCGGGGAAAAGGGAGTCTCCCACTGGTAGTTGAACTCGCTCAGCAGCCAGGGGACTTGGCTTTGGTCGGTGCCATAATCCATCATGACGACTACGCGCTTATTTCTAATAATCATTTCTGAGAGACTGGGCCAGTCGGTCAGATTCATACTGGGTAACGATGGCGTCCAGAGATACTTCATGATTCCAGCATCTTGAAAGGGCTGGACATAGTCGGCTACAGGTATCCGTGTAGTCTGCCCATTATTGTTCCCCATGATTATGGCAATGACTTCGTAGGGATTAGAGTCGAGCCACCCCTTAACTGTTGCGAGGTACGATTCGAGGGTGCCCACATCGAGCAGATCGCAGGAAGTGTGGCAGAGGCGTATTGCGGAGGAGGAATTGGGCTTTTGGGTCTCGAATTGAACTGTTCCAGATAATCAGATCGGCAGGTCAATGTAGCTTATGGGCTTTCAGACTTACGGCCTCGAATACCGTCATTGAGTTGGTTCAAAACTGGGTATACCTGATTGCTAGCGGCATTACGCGGCCTTACAAAAGGGCTGTTGTGAGCCACGACCATCGAGATGTTCGAGAATTTGCGGTCGCAGAATTCAACGTGTCCATTGCAAGGTCGGGTATTCGAGGGTCGTGCACGAGCAGAGGTGGTAGCTGATGCGTTCCCGTTGGTTGACGCCGACGGCCCTACTATGACCGTAACATCTGCGGTCGTTGATGAGGACGTAGCGGTAGCATTTTGCGATCTAGGGGCGCTCGTTGTGAGAGGAGATCCGGAGGGATTGTTCGAGGATTCGGCAATTGAGATAATGAGACTGCTAGTTATAGGAGGTTCTGATATTGACGAGGAGACTTGTGCTACTATGCATTGCGCGAAAAGGGTCACAGGTAGGAGGAAGGTCGTGGAAGGAATCATGAGGATCGCAGTGGAAACGTTGAATGAATGAAAGGCGGCCGTCTTACCAAGCCCTCAATGATGCTGAGCTTGTGTATTCCAATGGAGAATTGGGGTCACAAAAACCGAGAATACGTGCCCGCGCTATTTCGGCAAGACAACAAGTGGAAGGCACAATGACGGCATGTTGGGGTGACGCGTTGCCCCGGATCTGCGCGGACGACGCTAACAAGACGCGATCAAAAGCCCATTGTTCTGAGACGATTCTGATATCGAGCAAAGGAATCCTTGGCCGATAGCGGCGGCCTAGATGCTCCATCCCGAGTCCCGGAGAACGCGAATGAATGAGGCTCAAATGGTTGATGTATCTGAGGCCTGCAGCCACTGCTGCAAGCGGACTCGGTAAGGAAGTTATGACGCAATAGCGTTACGACGTTGATCAACAGTAATTTAAACACTCTGAATAATCCCAAACGAAAAAGGAGACGATGAGAGCGAAAAGGTAGTATCGCTAAGAGTGCGAATAAGTGTTGGAAATAACTATCCACGGAAGAGGGTTTGGTTGAATACGCTAGTGCGGAGCAGTCCATCATGCTTCACGTTTGAACAACACAAGTCCCTTGCGCTTCGAACTGTCAAATTCAGCTCTGTCATAGATCAGATTAAGGTGTCCAATTAGTCTACAAATGGGGGCTTCAAGACCAAAATAGAACTTTGCAGCCAATTCACATACTAGAAGGATACAATACGACCTGCATAAAGTAAGTAAGAATGTTGAGAACCCTTTGCGTAACCTACTCCGTATACTCCAACCTCAAGATAAATCAACAATATACCAAACATCAAATCCACCTCCTAGAAATCGCTATAACGCAGGCTCAAAGCATCAACTGCATATGCGTCGTCCGCCAGACAGGATCCTCCTCCACATCAGCTATCTGAAACCCACGCTTCTCCCAAAACTCAATCGCGCCCGGTAAGAAAGGGTGGGTATGCAAATACAAGCACTCAACCCCCTCTCCCCTCGCATGTTCCCGCAGCGCCGAAACCAACGCAGTCGCCAGCCCGCCGCGGCGGTGTTCAGGCAACACGAACAACCGCACGACCTCGACCGTCCGCAACGTGCGATAATCCAGCTGGGGAAACCGGTGATCGTACGGCACATAGCCGATTGTGGCAATCAGTTGCGTCTCGTTACGAGCGGTGAGGAAGTAGCCGCTCTGGACCCATCGTGCGACATCGTCTGGCAGCTGCGAGCTGAGCGTTGGGAACATGTCCTGGCGGGCATGGTTCATGAATGTGACGACTTCATCGATTGTATCGGGTGTGGTGGGCTGCAGGGTCCAGGATGGCGTGGGAGAGTGACGCTGCATGGTGGGATGCATGTGATGTATGCAGGCTCGCCCAAGGAGATCCATGTCCGCACTCAAAGTTTTGCTATACTAAGCCAAAAGAGGTAATGTGATTTAACTAACCTGCAACGTAATTCACGTAGGTCAACGGATGCTATAGTCGTATATTGAAAGCTCTTCTAGAACTAGACAAGTTGCCCTCATCCGGTTTGCTATGTGCTGGCATCAACGTTGTCGTTACCAACCCAAGTCTTCCCCAAATATACCACCCTCTCCATATGAGAATACTGCCCACTGCACCTCCGCGTAAAACCAGCCTTTGGTAGAAGGTGAATTATTTTCCAAGTCAGCAAACAACATCAATTGTGGACACCCTCGAGATTCATGTTTCAGCGTTTCAATGTGGATTGAAATGTGGAAAGCGCTTTTCATCATTACCAACACCATGCTTAATGTACAACTACGCAAATATTACATGATACTTCGAAGAATGCTAGCATCAAACCTCCACTCCAATGCTACCGCGCATGACATGACGTAAAACACAAATTTGGGGACAAAGACCGCTACCCGTATTCACAACATAACTTTTCTCCTATGCACCCTCTCGTGTACAACTTTATGTCTCAGCCCACCTGGCAATTGTAACGCTCGTGGTATATACCATAGCAACAAGACCAACTACCATCATGGCGATATCCCCAAACTTCACCCATGGCCGCTCAGCTACACCCTTGTAATGGAGATAGGCTGGGTAGATGTACACCAGCGGCACACAAGCGAAGCTTCCAATGAGCGCAACAAACTTGTCAAGATCGCTTGCTCCGACTGCGGCAATGATGCCGCAGAATAACACCAGCACGGTTCGGAAAGCGTTCTTCTTCCACTTGGTGAGGTTGCTCTTCTTTCCTGACGCACGGCCAAAGACCTTAAGCTCAATCGTACGCATAGCAGGGAAGAGCTGGACCGGTGTGCCGACTAGGACGGCCAGGGAGTAGAGAAATTGCACGGCGTTGACCAGTTTGCTATCCTGTGGGAAGTTGGTGATGACCTCGACAGAAACGTGGTCGCCGAAAGTGCCGTAGCAGAGAACGCCTACGGAGGTGAAGATGACTGTGATAATGAGCATGACGAGGTAGAGAAGCTTGCTAAAGTGTTCCGGCTGCTTCATGCTCGATTGGATGGGAAGAATCAGTCCAATGCCTTCGAACGTGAATATAGCCGAGCCGATGGTCATGGTGAAGTCTCGGGGATTGAAGAGTTCGATGGAAGGGTGGAAGCCGCCCATTTCACGGATCGATGAAACGTCGTACCAGTAAATGTAAATCAGGCCAAAGAGGATGAAGATGTCGGCGAGGAGAGCGGCGGGGCCAAGCTTGGAGATGTTCCGAATGAACGCCAGCGGAATTAGCACGATGAGTTGGATACCAATGAGCGCGTTGGTAGAGAGTGGTGCGTCTTTTGTATGTGAGACAGCGTCAAGGAACGAAGCCAGATTGTCTGCCGTAAAGATGAGACCAGCGCAGACGAAACCAATTTGCGAGAGGGTGATGGAAACAAGAATCAGGGCGCGGAACTTGGGTCCAACGACAAGTTGGCCGAGATCTCCATAACCGCCGCCTCCGTATCGCTTCCTGCACGACAGAAGCAATTCAAAACAGAGTGCGGTAACAGCGGATACTACGATCATTGTGATTGACGAGAACAACATTCCGCCGTTTTTGAATGCTTTCGGCAGGAACATGATGCCAGTGCCAATAAATGCTTTCAACAGGGTGAAGAAAGTAATCATTTGCGAGGCATCGCCCTGGGCCCTCAGCCTCTTGGAGCTTTGTCGTCGGCCGAGCAGTGGCCTTCGCTCGTTTTGCTCTTCTTCTTCCTCATCTTCAAGGGCATCTTCGTCGTCTGTCTCGTCAAGGTCCTCGCCTGCGAACTGGCCGTACAAAGCCAGAAACGAGATGAAGTTCCGCGTGACCGGTTCTGAGATGTAGCTAACACGCTTGCTTTGCCGCTGCAGAAATTGCCGTCTCATACCGCCAGGGGCGAGTTGATCTCGAATTGGGAGCTCGTCATGGTCAACATCAGACTCAGAAACCCGAGGTGCGCGGTGATGCGCGCCTGAAAAGGTCGCTGCTCGTTGATGCAGCTTCTGCCGCCTGGCCTGGCCAGCAATCTTGTACAGATCGCGGTGGATGTCGCCGCCCTGTAAACGCAATGACGATTCCGGTGCCTGACGGAAGGAGTTGGAAGAGCTTCCTGGGCCCTCCTCCTGTGATAATGGCGTTGCCGGGTGGAAGTCGGCAGCAAACTCGTAACCGGGGTCCAAGTGCTGTTCCAGTACCTGGGCTTCCTTGGGATCTGCACCAGCAGTTGACTGCGGCGTGTCGGCCATTGTTGTTCCGTCCCTAAGGAATATGTAGCGATTGGAGTATGTGACAGAGGGAAGAAAATGCAAAGAACAATGGCTGCCCGCGCAATTGTTGGGCGTGGCGGTGAGGTGTCAATCGTCGAAACACGGGCCAATGAAGGGGACTGAGCAGAAAGTTTAGCTGGTCCGAGTGCCTGACATCACCGAACGTCCGAGTCTAGCAATGGCAACGATCTGGACCAAGATGTGGAAATGACGATGCGGGATGGCAGCGTACAAGTAATTGCGCGCAAACCCTGTAGCAAAAGGAGGAGCGAAGAAAATGCGGTCCCTGAAGGTCACCTGCGTGGAACCTGAGAAAGGCCCGATCGATCGTGACCACTTGGCACTGCAGCTCACGTGGTGCGGAGAGCGTCACCACCCCTGCGTTGACGGCCACGATGCGATTGGAGCACTGCCGACAGATGCTGCATTACAGACGACTGGCATCAAGAGAGCCGTTTAATCAATACAGATTGCCGGCAAAGCGGTTGTGCCTTTGAACCGCAATTGACACGTTTCGTCTCATCACAACCCCAGCGTTTAAAGGCTGCTACAAACTATACGAAATGCCTCAGCGAACAGTCCTTTCACGATTTCCTCACCATGGCACCGCCAGGATTCGGCCCGCCAGGTTATTCTATCCCACAGCGCTACAGGCACCGTGAAGCCCCGCCACAAGGGGCTGACACGAACACACGCCCCTACCTGATCTTCTTCTCCTACCTAGGAACCTGCGTTTCTGTGACTGTCTTCATCATCTTGAAGATTTTGAAGAGATACTCTGTATTGCAAAAGTCAACAACCGCACAGCCTCCACCAAGGAAACATGTCTGGCTCTTTACGGCGCTGGCTGTTGGTAGCCTGGCGACCACGTGGTCCTTCATGGTCCAGTACTTCAGCATCTCGTACCAGACTTGGCTGATGTGGCGGAGTTACCTTGAGCTGGATCCGCATCATCGCCATTGGGGCTTGTGGTTGAGAGAAACGAGCTTGTTCAAGGAGGCGTGGGAGACTCTGATTGTGGGAACAGCAAGGTATTGGTGGTCACATCAAATATTCTTTTTCGCGCTCGGCCTTGGGTTGTATTTGGAGCAGAAAGGTGTGTGCGCATGCTGATATCCAAGCATGGTAACTGACGAGAGTAGGTATTCGTCGGGGTATCAAGTACACCTGGGCCTTCATGCTCCTCGGTCAGATCGTGGCAATCAGCTTTGCTACGAATCTGTTCTTTCTCACTCTTCTCCTGAGCCCGCCGGCACCCCCGCCTCCATCTTCTGGGGTCTACCGTCGGAAATGGCTTGGTCCATGGCTCCTCAATCTAGTCGCCATCCTGGCCACCACGTATCCTGCTCTTCTACTTGCTGATGAGCACTACTGGCACCATCCTACGGCATTCATGCCTGTACTTCTAGCACCTCATGTTGCCTTACTGGTTCTGCCCTTCGCACGTGCGATCCTCCCGGCCAAGTACTTCAACGACAACGATGTTGATTTCACCGATAAGGTCTACAATTACATGTGGGCACTTGTGCTGGGAAATGCTGGGCTCATGTTGCTAAGAGCTACCGCTTCATCCTATGCGTACAGCGGCTTCCGAGGCATCCGGGATGCGCTGCTAGAACATCCTGTCGTGAGCACCGTTGGCTTTGATGTTATCTTCTGTTGGATCACATGGATTTGCTGGTACCAAACGCAGAGCACGACCACGAACACCAATGTAAAGGAGCGCTTTGTCGGAACCGATGGCGGGCTTGTTGGAGATGCCTCAAATACAGCTGTTGGTGCTAGTGGGTATGATGGTGGAGTTCGTCGTCGCTAAAGGAGCAAGTGAAAGAGCCAGTTGGAATGTAGTAAACCTCTTGCAAATCTCAGGTGCCGTGGTAATTGCATGCGCGTGGGATGTGTAGTGCAACAGGCGTGAGATGGCGTACAAGAGGACCAGCTCTGCAACGGCAGCACAAGCAATCCGTACACAGTGGTCCGCCAGGCTCCCTTGAGCATTCTACCAATCTCTTCCACATTTTTCCGCGTCGCGATAGAGGGGTTGAACCACGAGGACGAGATTTGACGGAAGGCGGTCCCGTCTAGGATGATTTACGCGTCATGAAATGTCATGGACGAGGTTGAACGAGTTATGCATGTCCATTCTATGCAGTTAGTTAGCGATACATTCTCCCGCACAAAGTAATTCATACTGCTCACATCAACTTCATGCACTCTGTATAACTAATTCTCTTCATCACTCTCATCCCCCATAAATGCATCTACAGCGAGCATCGCCCACCTTGTCAAAACTAACGCCCCAGCCAGGGATGCACCAAAGATGAGGGCGCTTTGCACGCGAACACTTTTCTTGTGCTTTGGCATGACAAACGCGAACGCGAAGTGTTCCGACTTCGGATTGAACACTTCTCTCTCGATGCCTTTCACGCTGTCCCAAGAGGCGGCTTTAGGCTTTCTGTCCTTTTCCGACCGCCATCTGTAAGGTTGGACGCGAGGGGCCTTTTGGGACTTCAGGGGACGAGGTGCGCGAGGGAGCGGTGGAGTCTTTCGGGTGGGCAGGACATTAGGCGGTTTTTGGAGGAGACAAGCAGTAGTCGTAAACGCTCTACGATACGTGACGAGCATTCTCACATCGTCATAGCATGAGGATATAATTGGGGTGATGGCTGTGTAAAGTCGAAGATATGACGCGAAGCTACTACGCGACACGATGGTAACAGCGCTAGGTAATAACTCCGGCTTACATCCGATCACCATGACGAGAGCGCCATCACCATACTGTAGAGGCTAATGTCTTCCATGCCTCGTGACAGTTTTAAGCTCAGTGGCGTTCAAAACAATAGACTACATAGCCATCAACACATTATCAATCGCCCGTATAGTGCACATCGTGCCACGCTTATTCACAATTAGAAAGAGCGCTTCCAATATTCACGAGATTGCGTGCGTCACATAGTACGCAACAACGGTCACTATGAATTCGTATAATTAGTCATAGTGGTGCTAAAGTGTTTATGAGGAACGCAACGGCTGTTGCACAAAAGGAAAGCTTATTCCCAAATTATCCGACGTTTCACAAAGATTCGCTCACTAATGCACAGTGCTGATCCATAGTTCTCCACTAGGAGTGGAAAACCCCTCAAACAGGATATCCTGGAGCGTGATTTGGACGAATACGAGAACATAGGGTGGCGAAGATACCCGCTAGCGAAACGTCATAGCCTGCGGATCGACGTGTTTGTACGCCTGACCTGTTGCATAAGTGTAACCTTCCGCAGGCGTTGAGATGAGGCTGCATGTGGAGCTGAAGAACGAGAATTGTATGTGTATAAGTATAAGTCATCCGGCTGGAGGGATGCATTAACAACAACCTTCATCCCACTCCATCTCTAATACGGTCCCCGTGACGCCAATTGGTCCCAATTATTCGAAAGGCCGGGCATTATGAAGATCGCATCTCTCATCCTATCTCTTATCGCCGCCACGAGCGCTCAGTACTATAACGAGACTTCTGCGCCTTTCAAACTCGTCGTCACATCAAAGGATGGATCCATCAACGATACGCTGAGCGCATGCCATACTGGAGCAGCCCTCGAATCGCTCTGCCTTAGCCGCAGCAACACAACATCGAAACCCAACCCTTCCAACCCAGCATCCTTCCACTTCAACACCTCCGTCTATGCTCAACCACCTTCTCCTCCGCTAGGACCATCTGGCATCCTGACTTGGATCTTGCCCTCCATCCCACCCATCCCATCTAGCGTCTTCTTCAACTACGACCCCACCACCAACATCGCGGTTCCAATTCTCGGCCCAGGTTCTGAAAGCCCGCAGATACTGACTTTTGATAATCTCGGCAAGTTGGCTGTGCAGGGGTACATTGACTGGAGTGCGAATCCACCGAATGGAAATGGAGGTCCGAAAGCGTATTATCGATGGTATGCTTGCCAGACTTATTACGCTGGTTATCAATATGAGACTCTGGCGTGGGGACTGGGACCAGGCAAGCCAGAGAATCCTACTTGCGTCGAGGTCAATGTAACGAGAGTGTTTGTTTGAAGCGAATGACGGTAGAGATTCTTGGACAGTCGTAAGAGCAAGCTGCATAGCATGGAAGAGCGATGTTTTAAAGTGCGCATAAGTAATGTCTCATGGCTGATGATATTAATTGATAATGAACTTTTGTAGAACAACGCATCTAATGAAGTTCCTGTCATACTCTAACAGTTTTGATGCATGTTCGTTCGTGGTGTCTGTTCCTCGGATGTGACATGCTAACGATGTGATGTTTGAGTAGATCCGCCGACTTGTATCTGGGGACAAGGGTGTTGAGTCGATGTTTCACAACGAGTACATAACTTTGGTATACTCAGATGCAGTACATGTTGATGTGAAATATAGCTTTCATTTTTCGTCCTTTTTGTCTTTGCTTGAGGTGCTCCTTTGGCTGAATATCTTCCTGGCTCCTCTAATTTATTCCTGGCCGTTTCTTACGTTTGTGAATGAAGCCTATGACAGTCAGAGAAGAAGCAGGAATAATTCCATGTTCTTCTGAACCTTATCTGCCAACCTTTGCCTATCTTACAGCCTTGCATAGTCCATCTACTGCTCACTCATAGATCGATCAGCAGCCCAGTAGGCGTAGTCCATGACCCCTTCGACTCTTTTGAGCTTTGGTTACAATCTTTTTGACCATCGAGCTTGCGTTTTTCCTCCTTTAGCTCAACCCAATTAGCTACTTCGAGGTCCATGTGATGCACATCGAGTCTGAATCTGCAGAATGATGATTTTCCTTGTGCACACGCCCTATTTTGGCAAATATGACCCATAAAGCAGTCTCCGCGACGGCATGCTCCCTTCTTCCTACACGGAATTTGCTTCAGCGTGTACTTAAGGCAATAAGATACGTCAGAGCTGATGGGCTTATGATCGTACCGACAAGGCTCGTTGTAGCAGGCACGAGCTAGGTGAAAATCACTGCATAGGTTCTTGATACTAACCCGAGCTTTATAGAGAGCCCATTGGGCGGCGGTTGGTGGGGTAATGTAGGTGTCGATGCGATGGCCAGCCCTATTAGCGGGAATGCTCTCTATCTTGCGTTGAGTAGGCAGTCGGGAGGTCAAAGTCAGGGAAGCATTCGGTGGAGTTTCCAATGCTATGGAGGTTTTCTCCAAGACATGGTTGGCGCGATTGTACTTGGTCTTAGTGTCTTTGCCATGGCAGCCTTCCTAGTATCATTGTCAGCCATTTATTTCTTTTCCCAAAAAGGTGGCTTCTAGGAAGCGCGGACAAGTACTTACATAAATAGTGGAACCACTTCCACCAAGAGTGTCAAAGACTTGCGAGAATGCTAGACCCTTAAACCCCAGGCCCGTGAGACTAGTATCCATGGCACCTCTCTGAATGAGCGTGATTTTCTCAGCGAACATGGAATGGGTCTGCAAGACGCGCACGTATTTCGTGCTGCCGCTTGCACCGAAGAGAACATGCTTGCATTGTGGGTCTTTGACATTAGATTTGAGGAGTTCTGGATGGTGATTAGTTCAATACACTGCATGCATTGCGGTCAAGAGGAACCTACCTATGATCTTCCTCTCAACCGCCTCCTGGCCAACAACGTCCACGAAGTCGAAGAAGACTTCTTCGTCAGAGAAGCCTGCCGCAAATGCACACAGATTGCGCAGAAAGTTGGGCTTTTTGAAGTACGAACTCTGGTACTCGTATTCATCTTCGACCTCGAGCGAAAGATTCTTCAAGTTGGCGTATACGCGAGCATTGATGTGGTATATGTGTTCTCCTAGACGAAGATCCGCGACGTATTTTGCGACGGCCTCCCGAAGTAACTTTGCCGTTTGAGTACCGCCGCTCTCTGTGCCTTGCATAAGGTTTCCCTTGAACTTATATTCTGGTCAGTTGTTGGCTGTAAGAACAAGCTTGCGCGACTGACCCTGTGACTGTGTGCATCGATGAGCACGGTGACATAGCCACCTATCCCTCCCTCGTTGATGGAGGCATTCTCAAGGGCCTTACTACCATTGCACCTACTCTTCAGCGTGTTATACTTTGCTAGTAGTTTGTCATAACTCTTCTGACTCTGCTTTAGAGCCTGCCGACAATTATTCGTCGCTATCTAGCTTTTTGTTAGCACTCCTCAAATATACGTCAAGACCCGTTGTAACTACCTCGAGCTCTTGCAGCGCGCGCGGCCCACTCAGAGGCGTATCCAAATCTACATCTACGTCCATTAGATTCTGCTCTTTGTCCATACTGATCCTCTGTATGCGACCGGGTGATATGAAGAAAAGTCAGGTGGGCGGTTGTGGAGGTAAATGAGGAGGGTATTACAAAGACGAGTGTTTGTAGGTAAAAGATGGAGGAGAGCTTTCGGACCCGGGTATTTGGGCCAAGTCAGCTTCACCTGGGAATTTGAAAGATGAACTTGTGTAAAGGCACATAGAAATCAGATTAGCAGTATTGAAACTACGCTTTACCTTCCAGAATGTCCAACGCGCTGCTATCGCTCAACAATATCCCACATCTCCTCTTCCTCACTCGCGATCATCTCCCACCCCTCTCCCTCTTCTGAGTACATGTCCACATCTTTAAGTAGTTCTTTCGTAGTTCTCCCGTCATTTCGGCCCTTCATGTACACAGTCAGCCACCCTTTCCCTATCATCTCTCCTCTTTCTCTTGCTCCGTCCTGGTTCTCTAACATATCCGCTGCGCTCTTAGCTACACTAGGGCAACTTGGTCTGTCTTTCTGCTGTAAAGCAATCTCGATATGTGCCTGTTCATTTTTTGATGTTTCGCCACATTCGTTATATACGGTCTGCTTAGGCTTAGAGACCTTCGGCGTCTCCAATTCGGCCACAACCCTAGAAGCACGTCTGTACCCACTCTTAGGAATATCTGCTCTTATCTCGCAGGGGCGCTCCTTGAAGCGGCTGGGCGGCGGGTATCTCGGTGCGTCCCAATTAATGGGTTTGGGCATCTTCAATGGCCCTCGATCGGTAGACCTAGCAGCTTTTACGGGTTTGGCAGCCGCAGCGGGCCTGTCGTCTCGCCAGGCCTGATCCAGCATCCGTGTTATATCCTTAATCTGCTGTGTCACATCATCGGCCTGCTGCACAAATGAGGCCAAAGTAGATGATGCACTCTTCGTCTTCGGCGCAGGCGGGACTGGCGGGTGCACTATCAGTGTTGTTTCTGTATGTGACTTCTGATAAGGGAATAGTTAGCAGGACTTCATAGCGCGTCATGTTTGGGGAGGCTGGTAGCCACGCGATGGGCAAATATGAAACCGTTAGACTTGCAAGAACTTGGTCTGCAAGAGACGCCCAGGCGCCGGAAATCTCATCTGCAACGGATGTAGGTGATAAGCTTACATCGCATGAGCAGCCGCGAGAATCGGAAATGGTTCGTTCAGCATCGTGCCCTCGGTCGCCGTTGGGATTAGCAAAGCCCAGGCAGGAAGTGCAGCCCATCTCGTAAATTAGTAGTGGCTCAAGTATCTTCGATGGTCTTTGTGGTTGTAGCCTAGATTTATAGACTTTGCGAAGGTGGGTGAAGTAATATGATCACAGGAGAGTCACGCGGGTCCTGCGGGAGACTTAGAGGCCACGAAGTATAAATGAGTACTGATATGCATCAAATACCGTTCGTTGAATTTCAAACGGAAGGTAAGGGTCCTCGTGGGTCCAATACATTGAAATCTCTTACACGTTATTCGTTCGTGCTGGAGCAACCTATGATGGCTCACGCATTACGCAACTGAGGTTCTACTTTCGACCAGTTCAGCGCCCGTGAGCCGTGAAATTAGAAACTGTCCATTTTGGTGGCTTGAAACTGGTGTCTGCCTGCAGTTATTGAAACCTTGGGTACCACGGTAAGCACGAGAAATAGGAGCTTGGTACACCAACTTCGGTATGAATTACTCGCACACTAGTAGCTGCGAGGAAGATCAAGAGCTTTCTCGGCGATGTAGTTCATAATCATCTCCTGTAGTAAGTTAGCAATCATTTCCTCTTGCGAAGCACATCATGGGCTTGAAACTTACCCGACTGATTGGCGCTATCCGCGGTACAAAGACCTCCCTCATGTATCTCTCCACGTGATACTCTTGCGCATATCCCATACCACCGTGTGTGAGGACCTACTAAGCGTTAATATCGACAATGTGCGCCTGGCATATATGATCGCTTACGGCTCTTTCGCATGCAGTAAACGCTGCCTCAGCCGCTAAATATTTCGCACTGTTACACGCCACACCCACCGCATGCTGTGTGATACTCTCATCCTTCTTACTGTTATCATATAGTCTTGCAGCATGGTACGTGGCCAATTTAGCTGCTTCGAGATGCATATATGCGGAAGCGAGAGGATGCTGAATGCCCTGGTTCATGCCGATCGGGCGACCGAAGACGATGCGCTCTTTTGCGTAGGCGGTGGCGCGTTTCAAGGCAACATAGCCTAGGCCGAGGGCTTCGCCGGCGAGGAGACAGCGTTCGGCGTTCATGCCGTGTAGGACCTGTGATATCAGCCAAGATTTATTCCGGATTAGTGGCGCAACGACTTACAATCTTGAATCCCTGTCCTTCCTTTCCAATTAGGCTATCTGCCGGGACGCGAAAGTTGTCGAAGAAGACTTCATTCGCGTCAATGGCTCGGCCGCCCATTTTCTTGATCTTCTTTAGCTCTAGGCCGGGTGCTGATTTATCGAGATCGACGAAGAAGAGGGAGAGGCCTTCTGAGGGTTTCTGGACATCTTCTAAAGCTGTTGTACGAGCTAGTAAAACCATTTTGGTTGCCACTTGTGCGGATGAGATCCATCTACATGCCTGAGTGATAGTAAGACTGATGCGGAGGTGACATACATTTTCTGACCGGAAATGAGGTAGCTGTCGCCGTCCTTCTTTGCGACAGTCCGCAGTTTGAGTGTTTCGAGGCCGGTGTTTGGTTCGGTCACGCCAAAGCAGGTTCTCGTCTTACCACTGATCAAATCGGGGAGCATACGCTGCCGTTGCTCGGGTGTAGCAAATCTTGCGACAGGCTGCGTTGCGTAAACATTGGCGTGGATTGACTGCGCTCCAGCAATACCGGCTCCGCTCCTTCTGTGTATCAGCGACGTTCTTCTGTCCGATTACTTACATTTCATACTCAGCGATAGTATGTAGCATCATTGTGGCCTCTGAAATGCCAAGACCAGCACCTCCGAGCTCTTCTGGTAAGGCGATGCCTATCCACCCATCTTTTGCTAAGTCTCTATGCAACTCATGCGGATACTCTCCTGTGTTGTCATGTTCTGCCCAATACTCCTAGTCATTGTTAGTTGAAGTCTGCCTGTAAGGAGCCCAAGGCGTATTACGTCAGGGTAGTTGGCACAAATCTTCGAGACAGCGTCCCGCACATCTAGTTGCGCCTCGGTGAAGCCGGACATCTCCATGATCCTGTGAGGCGAAGAGACGGAAAGGCACCTTGAGCCTCGGTTATGTGACAATGGACCGAATCTGAGTGTGGAGGCTGCATGACGTCGTAAATGTGAGAAGACATGGGATGTTGAGAAGGCTTTTGAGGCCATGATGCATTTGAGATATGGTAAGGATATCTATCGATAATACAAGATAACGAAGGAAGAACAAAGGCTAGCAGGCGGCCAGTGTTGAACGGATATAGGCGATCCTTGGTGGACCCATCATGGGCAAGTCGGCTACATGGTCTCAGCCGCGTCGTGACCTGTATAGACCTTCTTCTGGACAAGGTAAATGCAGCTAGATGATTGGGGGTTCAAAATGTTCACACACTTGTACAGCTTGGATCCATAATAGATGACCCCATCTGAAGTGGGTGTGTTCGGCTTGGGACACCATGTCAGTACGGGAGCTATTGCTGCAATAATCGGGGATTTGCTTGGCAGGTGGTCAAAGCGGCCCACTCCAATGTTTGGATTCGTGCCGCGTCACAACACACAATCTCCAACACTCCAACACCGCTGCGACACCCCGACCAGAGCACTCCCCGCTTTATGCGCAGCTACCCACTTGCAGAAACACATTCGAAGCGCCATGTATAGTTAGCCTAGGCCGTTCCGTGCTCTCTCATCTAGATCGCGACGCGTCGCCCGCGACGCGCTTTCAACATTCACCTCTACACATCAACCATGGCTGCACGCACCAAGACCCCTGCCGTTGGCTCTTCCGGATGGATCCTTGAAGAGCGCCATCAATCAAACGATCTCGTCTCCCAGGAGCTGGAAGATTTCGGCTTCTCTGTGCGCAATGAGCTGGAATGGCTCAACGAGCACATGTCCGACATATTCGCCAACGATGGACAGTATGTCGCGCCTGTTGCGTTCCAGCGCGTTCTAGACTGACATTGTTGACAGACATAATCTCGAGGTGTTTAAAACGCCCGGCAAGCTGCGCGGGAAGACGCCTCACACCGCGCGCAAGAAGAATCCGGCCGAGCCCCGTCAGGTATGATTCTCCCTTACCCTTTCGTCCCACGTTCTAACAGTAAGCAGCCTCTCGCCAACATATTGTCCGCCAATGGACAGAAGCGGCCCAGCCCTGCTGAACAGAGCTTGAAGAACAATCTACAAAAGTCCGCAAAGGCGCGATTTCACATTGCAGAAGACACGGAGAACACGGTCCCCGTAGAGTCGCCCGTCGCAAAGACCCCAATCGCGCGACAGCTGTTTACCAAGTCTGTGGGTACTGGCAAAGAGAATGTCGAAAGCAGGCTCCAAGCCGACATGTTCGATGAGCGCTCAACTCTCCACACCGCCGCGCCATGGAGCCCAGTCCACTCTACTCAAGACACAGTCATGAGCTCACAGGACGATGACGTCTTCTCTCCGCCACAAACCCAATCTACGCAACCCACACAAGCGACCCAGTCTTTCAGGCGCTCAATAAGCGAGCAGGAGGATGAGCGACGCGACACAGGCGACAGCTTCGTCTCAGCAAAAGAAGCATTTGCAAGCAAAAATACCTCAAAGGACAATCTACGCGAGAAGCGCGACGACGCCATGGATCTCGATGACAGGGCAGATCTGTCGCGATCTGATACGCAGGACACTATGATCCGCCACGAGCTCAGCTCCGCTGGCGAGGATGACGATGAAGATATGCAAGATATTCCTGACTTTCCCCAGCCACCCCGCGTTATCTCAGAGCAATACAGTATTTCAGCTGAAACCCACGACGCACTCGACACAGCAAATCACCGAGCTCTTGCACCAGAGCCCAAGAACCTCTTCGCCCCAGATCACTCCACGACCCCCGCTGGTCCTCCTCCGGCTTCTTTCCAAGACGCTGCGCATGACGACACTGTTGTCCACCATGATATCGATGACCAGATGGATATCGACGATGATGTACGCTCGCCCTCAGATGGGTCAAGCCCTGTAAAGCCGCTAGTTAGGAAAAGCAGCCTTACGTTTGCTTCCCTCCCTGCGCGTGAACCGTTACTCGCAAAGAAGAGCATGGGCAATCGCGTTTCCAGGACAAGTCACGTCGACCCGAGCAAGGCTCGTAGCAGCCAGATGGGCAGGTTCACAGGAGGTAAGAGCTTAGGAGGTTCCCAAGTCGTGCAGCCCGTGGAAGCACACCACGATGAGGATGTGGACGTCGATATGGACCGTCCAGAACTCCAAAGAGAGGAATCAGAAACGACCAAGATCCACAATAAGACCTCTACTCAGCGCCTCTTCGAACGCATAAATATGCTCAAGCAGCAAAATGAAGCACCCAAGCGTGTCAGCCAGAATGTTCTATCATCACAACCTGCTCAACCTCAGAGCTTCTCTTCCACACAGCCCAAGGACGATGTCCCGCACATTCAGTCATCACAACCATCGTATCCGAACCTACCTTCGTCTGAAGCCACGGGAGACGATGATGACGACGATTGGATCTCTCCGGTCCGAACTGCAGCAGTTGCTCCCAAGATTTCTAGACCTGCTTTCAGTAAAAGCCATTCTGCAACGACGCAATCGTCACCACCTAAAGCTATGCCTTCAAAGCTGACTTCAGTATCAAATCCCGATCTATCAATAGTGGTAGAGTCTACCACTCCGGTCGGTTCTCCAACTAGTAAGAAATACATGGATGGCCCCCTCAGCGCATCCAAATCTAAACTATACTCCGCATTCCGCGCAGCAAAAGAAAAGCTCATTGGATCAAGTGCCACTAGTGCTCAAGCCAAGCTTGACGCGCTTCACCAAAGTCCAGCAAGACAGCACGCACAGGATTCGTCAGACGACATCTTCAGCAGCCCAAAGCGGACAGAGAAGCCAGGCTCTATCTTTTCTCATTTACGCTCGCCATCCAAAGAATCAAAGAAGTCTGCAAAGGGTGCCACAATGCCTAGCAGTCCTACAAAGGAAAGCCGACGAACCCGTAGCTCGACTGAGCGCGAGAAACATAAAGAGAAGGAAACCCGAGAGAGAGAGACGAAAGACGCCAAGCAGCAGCGCGCTGAAGCCAAACTCAGGGAAATGCGCGAAAAAGAGCAGTTAAAGGCTGCTGCGCACCACCACAAGAGCAAGCATGCCGGAGCAAAGACGCCATCCGCAACGTCATCTCAATCAAGCCTTAGGCAACCTAACGTTGCCACGGCGGCCACCAAAACACCAGTTCAAGCAGCGCCACAGCAGCAGCCACTTTCTCGACCGGCTATCACCCGAGTCAATACGGCTTCTTCAAGAGAAGATATCGATTCTGCCGATGAGATGCCGCCCCCGCCCCCGCCGAAGAGCCAACTACCTACGACGAAGACTACTAAAGCGGCTCTTCGAGAGCCCAGGAAGCTCGCCAAACCATCGAGCAAAGATGCGCTGCCCAAGGCAAAGGCGCCCCAGAAGATCATGGTCAATCTCAATAGCACTAGATATGGTCAAGCACCCCCTACGGCTTCTCGCCCTACCCCAGCTACAACAAGCAAGCCTCTTCCTATTGCTCCTCAAGGATTCTCCAAATCCACTGCTTCGGCACCAAAGGCAGCCCCTGCAAGACCAGCCTCGGCCTTATCCACCAAATCAGGACCAGCACCTAGGGCAGCCCCGCCTACTACCAAACCCGCCGCTCCTCGAGTTGCCCGCCCGCAACCACAAGCTATCGAAAAGCCGAAAGCTCCAGCACCGCAACCTCGAGCTGACCTCGGCGCCGCTCGACCTGTGTCACGTATGCAAACGGTCCAAGATGCCAACCGCATCAACGTTCCCCCGGTCAACCCGGCTAAGCCTCCTAAGCGGCCGTTCCAGGGCGAGAATGACGAGACGCTCCATCGCCCCGCTAAGCGCCCTTCACAGCAAGCGAAGATGAACCCAATGACTCCTGCTCACGCGCAGTTCGCAAAGGGCAAAATTCCCTTCGCAGAGCCTGCCCATGCACCGCAGCCTCAGATCCAATACCCGAACGGCGACGACATCAAGCTCCCGGAGATCATGACTGACTCCGAAGACGAAGACTCCGAAAACGAGTTCGAACAACCTAGCTGGGTCAACACACCCAACCTCCGCGAGATGCTCTCTAACCAACAACTCATGGACCCGGAAACGATCTTCGGTCCCATTGCGCCTCTTGAGATGGAGAAGGTATTCCCGAACAAGGAGCGACACAAACGTTTCCGTGAGCGCACTAGCAGCGCTTATTGGGCCAATGATCAAGTTACGGAGGAGGAGAGGCGGAAGGAGCGTGAGGCGAGGGAGAGGCTCGTTAAGGAGGGTGCTTGGACGTATAATCCATCTCCACGTCCCACCGCCGGCCCATCCCGTTGAGGAGGTCAATCGTATATTGGTTCCACGGTACATGACTGATGTTGATGGCATGTGTAACACGATCCTGATGACCAGTGGCTTTAATCGTTCTGATGGCCTTTGAGGCTACATTGCGTTTGTTTTTAACGGCGTTTTTGGGGTAGCATCGACCAAAATGGTCGCTATGATGGCGCTTGAGCGGTACTTGAGTTTGTTTCCTCTTCCTTGCATAGGTATTGTCAATAAAGACGATGAATGTTCATGATAGGATCCTTGTTTGTGATGATAGACATTCTAAAATGTGTACCAAGTCCTTCCATCGGCCCGAGCCGACCGTCTCAAGAAGCGGTAACAGTCATTAACCTATAATCAATCTCAATTGCGATACTAAAGCTCACAAGGTCGTGTACTTCTCCAAGCCCTCACTTCCGTTTGATCAGTTATAAATCACGGACTTTTTAGCAACCCTATTTTTTCCCTTAAACTCTAGGGACGTCGTAATACACTCTGCTCTACTTTGAAGAAAGGTTTCAAGTTTAAATCGCTCTGTGACTGTTGTTTGAGCATATTATAAACTGAACTAGCATGTTTACTGTCTCTACATCTTTATTGTGAATGCACATCGTAGTTGACCGTGTCTTTGCCAACACCAGTAAATAATCACTTTGACTCGCCATTATTAGAGGAAAGGGGGTGGGGTGTTCTACAAACCAGTTTGCCAGTTGTTGCTTGCGGGCTTTTATCAAGTGCAAGTGTACATTTTGAACAAGTTTTCCTTACGTTAGGTTTGCTAGTCTTGTAGTTTTGTAAATTTATCATTGGTGCGTTTTTGGGGATGCTGAAAGATGGGCCTGGTGTGAGTGAGCAAGTAAACAAGTGCGTACCTTCTAGGGTAGTTTGTTTGGTGCATAGCAGCTAACAAACAGACAGAGATGGAGATTTAGTAGATTTTAGGCTTGTGGATTTTTGTGTCGGCGAAAGGTGTTTGGTTTTGTCTTCCTGCAGGCTGATAGCAAGCATCCACTTATATCACACCAGTATATGAGTGACCTAGCTATGCTCTCTTGCTCGGAATCGTACTTGTTCTGTTTTTGTCTGATATATAGTCTCTAGTGGTGTATTTGTACAATACTTTTAGTATTAGCAGTACGACGAAGACACAGAAGATACTATGTTACATTTTTCTTCATTTACGCACACGCACATCTCCCTACCTCACTCACATACTTCGCAATTCACCCGCTCCGATGATTATAGTCTTTCCATCTGATTCCCTATACTTCTTATAAACTTTCCTTGCCTTGGTGCGCCAGTGTGAAACCAAGACCTTTCACTGTCGGTCCAACCCATCGCCCACGCAACCACGACCCCTCCTTGCACTCCCTCTTCCCAAGGGAAAGACGCCAAGCCTACCGTCACCAACGTGCAGGCATCATAAGCCAAGACCACAACCGCGATGCTGATGGGGCATAATATCTCTCCCAGTCTGGGGGAAGAGTTCCATATCTGCCTTCAGAATCTAGGACGACCTCCAGTACAGTTGAAGATTTCGATATCCCCCTTATTTCCAATCATCTCGAAAACATCACCGCAACGATGTCGATCTTCCTGACCATCCTCGCGGTCTTCCTCGCCACTATCATTGGCATGCCCAACCCCCTCGTCAAGGCGACAAACCTTGTTTTGACGGTAATAACTATTATCCTGGTTATTGTCATCTTTCAAGTTGCATATCTCCAAGTCCTCGCTGAAAGATGGGGATTAATACTCGGACAGCAACATGAAGACACGACGCCTGGAGAGAAGCGAAGTCCGCCAAACCACGCCGTCCTTCGCCTTCGTCATCGCCGTAAATGCGAGCAGTTCGTGTTGTTCCCATGTGTGGACCGCAGCAGGATCTTCTGGGACTTCAACACTGTGCTGCGACAGGCCGTCGTGGGCTCTTACTATTTCCGAGCCTGGATGACGATGCGTCGCGCAGAGGTTCAGCACACTCGATCAAGGGCACCAATACAATCGATGGTCGTGTTGTTGCCTCAGGTGCTGGCACTGTTGAACAATGCGAGGCCCGGCTTTTATGTCCCTCGACCCATCGCCACAAAGATCAATTTGCAGACGCCATCTTTATTCCCCCAAGCGACTGATAATTGCCACATGATGTCGCTGGTGGTTTCGAAGATGGTATGTTCTGATCTCTCGGCCTGATCTTACATTGTTAAATGCTAACAGTGTTTATAGATCACCACCTTGTCGATTGCCGCGCCATCTCCATCTCCAGATGAGACACGCTTAGTTCTCTCTGGGACCCCCAGCACTGAAGAGCAGTGTGCTGCATATCATGCCACTGACATCGATCCAATTGACCGAAGTGGTCCTGAAGCAGATGCTGTAGACGAGACTTCCGCGGCTGAGAAGCCCAAGACTGCTACAGGTTAGTCTGCCACGGTTCATGAGAATAGTGGGCAGATACTTACATTGTGTACAGCTTCTGCTGACCCAGCCCCTACCTCGGCCACCAAGCCGGAAACTTCCAGTACTTCTAAGAAGTCTGGAAAGTCCACCACTGGTGGCACATCTTCAAGACCCGGCACATCTTCAACGCCTAACGCTACCGGAGAAGGAGCAGCCCATCGCTTCTGGACGTCACTCGGACCAGTAGACAAAGCCTACTACTCATACTGGCTAAAGGTCTACAACACCTCCCAAGGCGCGTACAACGCCCACAAGACAACATGGGATGAGTACGTCGCTGCATACCCCTTCGGCAACCAACATTTGGGCCGAAAATATGCAACATGGGAGCTATGTGTGCCAGCCTTCACAGTAGCCGAAGGATTCCTACCGGGTATGTACGGCGTTCTCCACCATTGGAACGCGTACAAGGAGTTCAAGGCCGTCGAGTCGGCTCTCAAGCAATGCGAGCAGGTGATCAAGACGTGCATCGTGCCTGAGATCAAGAGCATGCTCAAGTGGGACCAGCAGAAAGAAGCTCAAAAGATTGAGCGAGATGCAAAAGCAGAGCGCGTCATCCTGATCGTCGAAGAAGATGAGGATGCTCCGAATGGTGCTGCGATCAGAAAGACCAGCACCAATATCCTTCAACATCCCGGTTTAGAGTCACATGGTACTCACAAACTCGAGGACTCGATCGCATACTTCCTCCCGAGCTTGATGCCTCATTGGCATATGGAGGGTGATGCCCTCGATCCCACGCTCGTGAGCGCCGCCCGTTCCCTGGGTGTGCGCCGTCCTCGACTCACGCCTGCGGCGGAGTTGAACCGTGTCCAAAAGCTCTTTGAGAACCCGTATGGAGACGAGTTCGAGCTCTTGAAGACGATGACCTTTGAGGAGGTCTTGCTATACTGCGGCCGACAAACAGAGCCGATAGAGGAGGACGAACGTCCTGAAGACACAATGTCTCAGGACGAAGAAGATGAGGACGAAGACGAGGAGGATGAGACTCCCGACGGCATGCACGTTGATTGGCAAGCAATCGACGAAATGCACGGAGAGAAGCGAAAGTTGCCGAAGAAGGCAGGCGACAGCTTCCTCCAGTATGTCGCACTGAAGAAGCGTACGCGCTTCAACCTCATGCTTCCTGCCCGTCCTGTTGGAAAGATTGACCATCCCGGGTATGCTCCTCTCGTGTCGGATGAAGCGACCACATCCATTTCCCTCGCCAACATTTATAAATGGATCTTCGCACCGGGTGCGACGTTCAACTGGGACCGAACCATGGTCGATGTACCTGTAGAAGCATCAATGTCTGCAGATACTGAGGCTATTACCTCAGTCGCTGGCCCGGACACCGTCGACGAAATGGATACGACTCCATGGGAACTCCCCGTAGAGGACATGCCTGACCTTTTGGAGTTCACTCCCAGCCCGCCACCTAAGTCAAGGAAGCGCAAGTCCATCGACGAAGGCTTGGAGAAGATTGAAGCAGTCGACACTCGCGACAACAAGCGATTGCGCAGGAGGAAAAAGCGCAAGTCCTTTTTTGGAGATGCGAACGAGAGCGACCACGAGAGCAATCCGCGGAAGCGTAAGTCCTGCGGCGAAGAAACGGAAGCAGTCGACACGCGAGACAACAAGCGTGTCAAATTGACTCCATAGAGCAAGGTCAGAGGCAAGGACAAGCGCTTTGTCCGGGGCAAGATGTCGCTTCCTTCCCGCTGGCGCACGAGGAACGCAGCGCCCCAGCAAGAAGCTCTGTCCTGAGGGGTCAGACACTGCTCGGCTTCAGTATCCTAGCAAAGCTACCATCGCCATTGAAACTTCGCTCAATCAAACCAACACACGCCGCCATCACTAGGCCAAGGAGGGAAACGTGAAGAAGGGCAAGGACACGAAGGAAAGGAAAATGAAGAAGGAACGATGAAGGGAGCTTGAGAAGGGAGGGAATCGGCAAGGCACAAGGAAAGGAAGGACCTATGCTTGCAAGATTTGCATTACTTATACATTACTTTTACTCTGCAACAGTTGTGGAGAAATTACAAAGAACTTCGCAAGACTCGGTTGTGCAGACTTTTGTGGCTGGTGATGTTGTGATGTTGTGCTTCATCGGGTCGAGGTGTCATGACTAATGTTAGATGACGTAATGGGAGCTTATGAGCCATGACGGTGTTGCAGAGGAAGGGTACGACGAGCAGTATTGTAGTGTTCCATGGTATCATATTAGCTATGGTATTCCTACAGGCGCTAAAGATCATTGCAAAAACGCCATAAGCCATATCTGATGTATGCGGGTATTCCCATTCCAATCCCATCCAATCCCATCCAGCATCATGGCAACCAGCACGATGTATCATCCATCATCCAGATCGTACAAGTTCCCAAATTTCATCGTCGTGAGAAGTATCCGCGTTGTTCCGGACGCGTTTACACGTCGCTGCAGTCCGATCGCGTGTTCCACGACGAATCCGAGTACACATTACAGGCATCCTAGACCTGACTCATGGAAGGACCACCGCGGCGCATACCGCGTAGGTTGGCACCGGAGCCGCGCCCGCTCATAAAGGAGAAGACGAGCGACGCGACGAAAGCGGCCCATCCGAACCATAAGAAGACGGTTGTGGCCTGAGCTTGACGGCAGTTCTTCTCGGTGTTGTGCGAGCTGTTCGTGACCTTGTTGGTAATAGTGTATGCCTGCAACTTGTTAGTACCACTTGAACGAAAACTAGCGAGACAATTGCATGACGTACGCTATTGGAGCAGCTGTGTGCGCCGAGATATGCGGGCATCGCAACGGCAGCGCAGAAGCCGAAGAGAACGCTGAGGCTGTCCATGGCGATGTCCACAACGGGGATGCTGAACTTCTCGATGAAAGAGGTAGGCAGGAAGTACAGCAGGGTGACTAGCCACCAGAGGCCGACGAAGAAAGAGTAGTTGACAATCGAAGTCGTGCCGTTTGTTGCGCGATGAATGTTGTTACCCATCAACGCGGTGACAATGACGGCGCAGAGCAACTTGCATTACTGTTAGCGACGCGTTTCGCACCGTGAGTGATGGGATGGATGCATACCTGCCAGCCGCGAAGGCCCATGGACAATGCTCGTGAAACCATTTTGACGGTAGTATGCGATTGTGTAGCGTGTTGTAGTGGGAGTGATGCGGGTATGCAATGGACAAAGACTCGAGGCTATCAAAGCGTCAGAATGCGACAGACGAAGGATGCGATGATGAGGGGAAGATTTTCAGGGCAAATGCAAAGAGGCGAGGCTTGGTGAATGATCTGCTCCGAGGGAGCTTCTGTAGCAAGTCAGCGGGAGGTAGCGGCATCGGCAGCGTCATGGCAGCGCGCCTACGTCACAGGACGCGCCCAGGTGAAATCGTCCCGCCAGCTGTGCGCCGACTGTTCCGGATTGGGCACACTTACAACGTGAGCCTGGCGTCGATCGCTTTGTTTAGCTTTTGCGATATGGTAGTAGTGGTAAGAGACTTTGCGAAGAATGTAGGAACGACTTCAGAGCGAGCAGCCGTGTTTCTATTGATTTCAACTGATAAAGGCTGTGAACATGGTTGCTCCGCCGTCGTGCTCGTTACTGTGGCAGCGATGATGCGGCCCACGCAGGGATCAACGTCCTCCCCCCCAAGACGCCCACCACAACCCCTTCGATCACCCTACCGGTTCGCCACATTTCAGACCAGACTAACTTATTTCCCCGGCCGAGCTACTGCAGTCAACGACGTAGAACGCACGCGCATGACACACCCATTACCCTCCCGGAACATCGGCACCATAGGGACGTCCTTCTTGAGGACTCGGAAAAAGCGTCTTCCCGAGGCAAGACGTGGTGGTGTCATGAAGAAAAGCGTGCCAGATCGACGTGATCGTCATGGTTTGCGCCCAAATGAGGCCTGTTGCTGGGCTGGGTGAGGTGAGGTGTTCCGTTGCGGTTTGCATATTAAGCTCGAGGGGTTGCGTATTAAGTTCGAGGGCCACTGGCCAGTCAAGCTGCTGGGAGAGGGTGTCACGGCAACCACCACGGAAACAGCGCTTGTGTCAAGAGTTCTGGGCTTGGGACACGATCTCAAGCTGTACAAAGGACAGCCCTGAGTCAACTTGTAAGGATGGCGTAATCTTGAATGAACTGTTTTGACTGTCAAGTTCGCAGAACTTTGTTCATGTAGTAAAAGTACAAATGAGCATTCTCTTTCGAGGTCAGTCTCTTGTTTGTGATAATAACTCATAACAAAGTAACTTCGTATTCGACAAAAGGTTTTCTCATGGCGAAGCTCGAAGAGTCGTAAAATTAACCGTCTGAAGAATAGATTTGTTCAATTCATAGTAAACAAATCTAGGCTTTCTTGTTATGGCAGATGCATTGTAAGCTTGCCCTTGTCCTATACTATCGCCCTTCTACCAATCAAAAAAAGGTCCTTTGAGAACCCTGGTATCGTACCAGGAAGTAAACATCACTTCAATGCCACTAAAACACATGATTCATAAAGATAGATCCAATTGAAACTACACTACACTCATCCATTCCTACTAATATGTTCAGCCCGTATCTGTATTGCAAAGACAAGAATCTCAGTCTAGGCGACTTTTAAAGGCGGCTCGTCACTCAATCCATCGCCACCGAAGCAGGAGGATATCCTAACAATCAATCTTCGACCTGTCTGACAACTGACGAGCAGTCTGTCAACACCCTCCCATACCATTGACTCGGCTTTGGGAAGGTGGGTGAGGGTCGGTCAGCTATCTACTCGAGGCTTGCAAGTCATGACTATTTACAAGAGTCCTTTGGATGTCACATAGGCTGAAGGTGTGAGTAGACTAGTTGTGGTGATGAATTGGCAGCTTTCACGGCAGTACGGTGACCTGCTCCTACGACGAGGCTGAAACAACGGAGCGCGACATCCATGGTATACGTTTCGAGCACGTCTTGTAGAGGCCGTCATGAAGGTAGCCTGCTACAGAGTAGCCCTCATTCGGTAGATTTGGACTAGCAAGGAAGACTTATATGGCTCCAAGTCGCGTTGCTCTGAATAAAGAGTTCAGTTCCTCAGACTTGAGATGCACGTCTGACGCCCAAGGGATGCAGAATTGCTTGCGACCGAGTATCTAGGCTTGTACCAAGTACGTACCATTTAGAACTGCAATTAATCAGTATGCTCAGCCTCCACGCGTTCTATCATAACAACCATCGTGACCAGCGCGTTTTGTACCTTGTAGATGGATGCATGTCATGATGGCCTCTATCGGGCTTTTCTAGTCTTAGGTTGTGAATCAATGCCTCGAGATCAGTCCGCCTCGCCTTGCGATCTTGCTTACGCTGTGAGCCCCTCCTAAACGCGGCTTGGCTGTTGTATACACCCAAGTTCTGCAGAGACGCTTATGGCTCTTGCGAGGGGATAATGTGGATTTGTGGTACAGGCTGTTACTGCCACCTGCGGGGTGTTTGCGCCTTGGTCGGGGTTGCGTACAGCTTTCCCGTGGAGGAGCGTGATTGCCGCTGACACTCGAGTCCATCCTTCGGCCTTGCGACCTCGACAAGGAGACAAGGAGGCCCGAGGAAGCTTCGTAGAGTGCTGAGCGCTGGTAGTTGTAGAGCCCTGGTTCGCATTGCTCCAATGTGACGCTGCAGTTGTATTTGTCATGATATGAGCTCGAAGGGAGTATCTGCTAGACAGCGCGGGGCGTTCGAGTCTGCGGCGGACATGTTGTGCATGCGATGGATGCGATCAAAGCTCGGCGTAACTCCAGATGTAGGGGATGCTGTGAGGCGAATGGGTACGCGGGTTCTTGGAGGCTAGCTGTCGTAATCGAAGCGGTGCTAGAGGGGCGTCTTGAGTGTTTGGCGTCTGGGTGATGCTGGGGGTCATGTGGGGCGAAGTAATGGCGGAAAATCGAGGGGAAGGCCGAAAGGTGCAGAAGAAGGAGAGCCTGGCCAGGAAGACAGCTCAGTAGGGTGCATCTGGGAGGCACAGAGCTTGTCATTACCTCCACAGTAGTCTGTTTGCGGGTGTGAATGTCGATGGCAGTCGTCTAGGCCCCCAGGTGTGAGCTATGGCCGGCCAGACTTTCCTTCCTGGCAACCAAATTACCTGCATCACCAAGCAGACAACCCCTGAACATCACCTGTCTACATCTTCATCCAAGGTAAAGGCAGGCCTTAGTTGCCCCTCTTCCCCTGACAACATTACCTGTCGCCAAGCTCACGGCTGCTGTTGGCTATGGTCGCCCCCCAAGCACACCAGCGTGTTGTTGCCTCGAGCTCCAACGACCTCCCAATGGGCTTGCGCGCGCGAGTATCACACCCCGCAATACACCCGCAACAAATATCCTAGGAGAGTTTCTTATACCACTCTACCACCGGCGACCATCCTTCTCTTTTTGAATCCTTGCCCGTAGGTGTGTGTGGTTCTGGCTGACCACCTCGAGGACAGGGCGCGAAACGCACAACCGCAGCAACCAACAACACCCCCTCCTCACATCTCGCCGGAGTCAACAACCCATTCTAGACGGACGGACTTAGCTATCCTTCATAGAGGAACCCCCCTCCCCGCTTACGATCGAGATGAGCATCACGATGCGGAGACTCAACAAAGGCCTCGGCGAATTGCGCAGGCGGCGGCACACCAAGCACACCGGACCGGCCTATACTATTGTGGGACAACTCTTATGCATCAGAGAGTATCGCGTCGACAGGGAGACAAGCCATAACAACGGCAGAGAGCTAGCTTAGCCGTACGTTGCGAACCACAGCCGGTGGCCCTGCATATCAGACCCGCTCGTTCATCGGTAACGTGAGCACGGCTTCGCAAAATGATGAATTGGTCCGTAGTAAACCAACATACAAACTGCAGACATGTTTTTTGGAATACACAATGAGCCGGCGAGCTCACTGCTGGCTCTTCATCCTCCAACTTCGTTGTCTGGGCAATGGAATGCGGATGGCTTCAAAGCAACATATGAAGATCTTTTCTTGTCAACAGGACAGTCGTATGATGCGTTTCTTGCACGGGAGATTAGCGGCAGCGATGGCCACCCGAGCGTGCACATCGCTAACTGAAGATCCCGAGAGCTTGGCCGTTCAAATTAACGTTAATGCTATGCAGGAAAATGCGGGGTTGACGAGCATTCCTCGCAGTTCTGGGCCTGACAATCTGCACAACCGAGAAGCTGATCCTTTCCAGCAGCATGTCGTGCTCGTGTGATAGGCACCAACACAAGACGCATTGTAGCACCCTAGGGAATGCAGACGGGGAACACCTCGCGAACCATGTAGGAGGCTTGCGCAGTATCGTCCGCATTTAGCTTCAGGGACGGCTTTGCAATCGAATTGGTATAGTTGTAACAACGACTAGTCCATTGGCGAATGGGGCGACTCGAGGATGTAGGATCTTTGCATCGAGCGGGGCAAGCCGCTGCTGCAGCATCCAGCAGCTAAGAGCTTGACGTCCTGTGTGAGGTGATCCAAGGGGCGCGTGATCCCCTCCAGGGCTGAACTGACGGGCGTACTGCTCAAGGCCTATTTGCTACGGACATAGCAGGCCTGGGATCCGATTGAGGGCGCTTGAAGCGAAGCAGAATGGCGTGCAGCAAGCATAAAGCCCTGAAAGAGATGGGGTGTCATTCGACGGGCCCAACCGAGTCCAGACGGAAGAAATGAGGGGTTCAGTCAATAACCGGCCCTAGAAGGCGACCCCGGCTCATCGCAGATCGGCAGCTGAACAGGGAGACATCGATGGAAATTTGTTGAGGTTGATGGAAAACCGTGTGGTGAAGGATGGTTACGAGAGGTTTGACGGGAACTGATGATTCGATGGCACCGGCCCTGTCCCGCGGGCTCAGCAATTTGCAGGTGTTCGCCTTATGCATGCACGGCTAGCCACAGTTGGTCAAGCTGTCTCCGCATTTTACTGCGCAGACCACCCAGAGCCCCTGATCCTTGGCCAGCCGTGTGAGCTGCAGAAGCCTCAAAGGCGTTGGATGTCTGCGTGTTTCTGGCTTCCGTCTGATCCTCTGTAATGAGTGTCTTGCCTCGAGATCCTCCTCCTGTCCAGCTGGCAGCCAACCATCGACTGCCTTTCGGATCGCCATAAGCTGGTCGCGCTCCTTTCGTCGTTGCCAGTTCATCCCCTGATCTAACAACGCGTGCGGAGCTGCCTAGTGTGACCTGCGTCGACTGTCTCCAGCGTTTCGAACCTGCGCCAAGGGCATACCCTCCAGCTAGCAGTCTGGTTATCGTGGACGTCCACCTTTTCGTTCATATCCTTTTCCTCTGTCGCTCGGGACACGGGGCGACAATGTGCTCGCTCTAGTAGTCGCGTGTTCTTCCTCCGAACACTGACCCTCGATCTATCGGGACAGCCTTGGGCATTTAGAGCGTGGCGCTTTCCCCACTCTTAGGTTTAGGAGCGCTCCAGCTGATCACCGACCTGTGTAATCTTATGCGAAGACCGATGCCATAGTGTGTCGTGTTCTCGTTCGACATTCTCCGCAAGAAAGACTAGGGATAGACTGGTTCAAGAATTTGGCGCTTGGTTTGCGTTTTTGAGGTATGTTGTCGTCGAATCGGATCGAGTTTGCCAACGCGGCATCGCATCGCTTGGGCTTACTCCGTTGCCAGTTACTTTCCGAATCGATTTGTTCTGCTAGAAAAATACCGCTGTCATTGTGGAATAGAGCTTGCCTGGTATGTTTCCCCCCCGCTTCAACCTCTCTGCGTCGTTGAGCTTGCCGCGACTCTGGGCGGCGGAATCCAACAGACGCTCTTTTGTCTCGCGTCGTAGGAGGCCGCAGGTGTATGGAAGGACATGGCGCTGACCGAGATCGATAGGATACACCGCTTGTCGTATTGATAGATTCCTTTCAAGCCTCGGTACCTGGGTCGTCGGCTTGATTCTCGATAGACATTTACCCTATTATTCAGGTAAGCAGGGACGGCCTTTCTTTCTCACCATCGCTACAGTCCGTTTCTGAATTCCCTTCTCGTCTCTACCGCTTTTCTGGATCGCTTTCGCTGTGTAAGGGGGTGTTTTGGAGAGTGTGGACGCGGGGTGTCGGGCGTTGGGGCGTGTGAGGGTGCGGAGAAGGAAGGCCGATTGCCAGCTATCTCAAGCCCTGCACGTATGCTCAGCCGTTAAAGAGTCCTGCCGTTCTTTCAGGGGGGTTATGCATCTGGTTTGTAGGAGCAGACTGTGTGTCGTCTCGATATGGCCCTGCTCCCGATGTTGTGTGTGTTGAAGGGAGGCAGCACAGCAAAAGCTCCATGAACGTCACGACGAGGAACAGGGCTATATCATCATTGCACGGAGGCTCTGTAGGATGGATGCAAGCCTCGATGTAGTCTCTTTCTACTTTCCATTCTCTATCTACCCATGTACCTTGCTAAAATGCACCTTGGACGACAGTAATTGCTAAAGCTCCTGAGCCCTGACGCTCCTGCCACACCGACATCATCGACGACGAGCCCATCAAACGCTTGAAGGCGGCACTCGAGCCACCTGACTATCACCGCCCCCGTGCTGGCCCTCACCGCCCAGTGCTGGCCCATAAAATCCCCGCTGCTGGTGCCATTTGCTCCTTCCTTCCTCCTCCTCCTTCTCCCCACACTCGGCCATACCTTTCTCAATCATTCCCATTTCAGCATCATCAATTCGTCTTCTCACTCTACTTCTGCTTATAGGAGCAGCTTCCCCACAGTTCGCTGCAGTCTCTTGAACCTCCTGTGGCACCGCATAGGTGAGATCACTCGCTAGGCACGCGGCACACTACCTGTCTACTACCCCTCCTCCGAGCTGGTGTCTCTCTTTCTCTCTCTCTCTCTCTTCCCACTCCACCTCCACCTCCACCTCCTCCACTTCCTCCACCCCCAAGCTAGTATCTCTCTTCCTACGCCTCCTACCACCTACACTTTGGCATCTGCAAGCTGCAAGCTACGAGCTGCGACGACGACTTGGTCTCTCCCAGCATCCGTAGACGGTGCCGGCCTCTCCATCGACCTGCTTCATAGCGGCACCACTCCGCTGAAGTAACCAACAGGTAAGTCTCGCTGGATTACTTCGAATCAACAACACCGCGAGCCTCGCTTGCCTTTTGCTAGCCTTCCTCTTGTCATACACTTCTTCCTATCCATCTGCAGCACCTTCTGTCTATCCCGACAACCTCGTCATTTGCGTTGTCATACTCGTCAAGTCGCAATATCACATTTCTCTTTAGAGTCCCCTAACACCAAGAGCACACTAACACTAGTTCTAGAAGGCGACTTGGCCCCTACAGAGCGTCATCCGTTTCATCAGCTATTGGCAATACGACTGTCAAGACCTCTTCGTGCCAAACAGCCGTAGTCTCAGCATTGGACATATCAATACTCTTGAACGAGGGTCGAGCTTTCCGGCTTAGCTCAGGTACTATCTTCAACAGAAATCTACAGATCAGGTATGTTCTACCCATCCACCTCCTATCTACGTTCTTTCAACATCCCCCGTCTACGTTCCTTCAACACCCCCCCTCTACGTTCTGTTGACACCCCCTGCCTACGTTGTTTTGGCACCCCGATTACGTTCTGCGACACTCACTGTCTACGTTTTTTCAACAGCCTACATTATCTACGACGACTGAGCTGTATTTTTACCCCGCACGCGCGCTTATACCTTTACCTCTCTCACTATTGTTACCCCGCTATTGCCGCTTCGTCCTTAGTATGTCCGTGCTGAATGACTAGGCGTTTGCCTCTACAGGTGACTATTCATTTCCAACATACGGCCAACCTAGACAACATCTATTCTTGCATACCTTGCTACAGTCCCAAATATTTCTACTGTGTGCAACACGTACTTCCTCTGTGAAGATTCTGTGCTAGTAGACGCCGACATATTCATTCTATTTCTATTAGATTTCAAGGTCAGTTTCACATTTTTCCTGTTGTTACCTTGAATTTTGAGATTGATCTGACGGCATCAAGACCAGATAACTCCTACATGAGTTCCAACAGCTACAAAGGCGGCTTGACCGTCGGCGGGTCAGCTCTCGAGAAGTCGAAGTTGCAGCTGCGCCGCCCCACGCCTGACAGCGATGTCTTGGCATCGAGCGACGATGACCGTGAGCACGTGCCTACAGTCGTTCGTCCAACGCCCGGCGGATATCCTGGTGGTAGGCGCCCCTCTTCTGGCTGGCTCCAAGACATACAGCCCAACCGCAAGTTCTCCCTGCCATCAGTGTCGTTTGCCGGGTCACAGCCCACCACGCCGAGCATCGAGCTGCCGCAGCAGTCACGACCAGGCACCTCCGCATTCCAGTGGAACACAGCGAGCTTCACGTCCGGTCAGTCCAACATTCGATTCAAGGACGTGTTGCCTTCCCCTACGTCAGGTCACGCACCAAACGACAAACCACTTCCCTCGCCAACTAATATCGAGGGCGACGAAGGCATCGGCTTTCTCTTGAACCAACAAAATTCTAACCCCCTCCGTAAATCTGTTCGATCCCAGTCCTATAGCATAGGTCAAGGCGATATTGAAAACAGTCCGGTCGGCCAGTTCTCTGCTGCTCGTTTGCGATCTGGGGTGCGACATCGACCTTCCAAGCCGAGTCTTCTTGGCGAATCCGCTATCGGTCTTTCGCAGCTTCGTGAAGACGAAGCTGACGAAGTTGAGTCTTCTAACGGTTCAGAACACGGTGTACGCCTGCCCACCGGATACTGGGAGCGTGAACAGAAGCAAGCTCTCTTGAAGCAAGCCGCTGTGGAAAACGCCCGTGCCCGCAATCGAGCTACATCTAGCGGTTCGCCAGTCTTGCAACAGCGTCGCAAGACCACTGCAGGTTTGCGCAACGTCGCCTACGGCAGCACTACTGAGTACGCAATCGAAGAGCTCGACGACCCAGTAGCCACCATGAACCATCCAACCCTGACTCTCACCCGCCGCTTCAGCGAACACGTCTCCGGCCTCGGGCGCGAGCAGGAAGTGGACATCATTGACAGCCCCCGCAAATGGACAACTGGCAACATTCCACCCATCACCGTGGATGCTCTCGGTCGTCGACATTCCTTCGCTCACTACGGTGGGTACAACCCGTCTCTGCCTCTGCCGACTCTGGGCCACACGCGGGAGGAGGACGAAGATATCATGTCTCCCCGCCAGTCATCCCAATCCCCCGAGGAGACCGAGCCATTTGATGCTTCTGCCTACTTCACCGGCTACGGACCTGCTTCCCGTGCCATCAACTCCTCTGCTATCTCAGCGGCTCATCCTGATCCAATTGTCCCCAACACGGCCATGTCTGCTGGCAATCCTTATGCTGTACCGCATGTCCTTGGCCGTCCAGGTCGTCGTCTCTTTGTGGTCACTTTCAAGTGTTCTCGAGCGGATATCTATTACCTCTATGACAACACAGGTCTGGAGATCCGTCGTGGTGACCTCGTCATCGTCGAAGGCGACCGTGGATGTGACCTTGGCCAAGTCACGCACGCCGATGTGAGCCTGGAAGACGCCAAGAAACATAAAGCTGAGGCTAACGAAGAACACTTCCGCTGGCTTGTTATGTTCTCGCAGTACTCCCTTGCCGGAACCTCGAACGATTCTGGTATGCTCGGTGCCCTTGCCCGTGCTAATGGATTCCCCAATCCTATGAGTCGATCTCAACTTACTGGCATGGGTGCTCAACAGGAGCAAGACGCAAAGCCCAAGATGATCAAGCGTCTTGCCCAGCAGCACGAGATCATGGCTCTCCGCGACAAGGAGGGATCGGAGGCGAAATCAAAGCGCCTCGGAGCTCAGAAGGCTGCCGACCACAAGTTGCCGATGGAGATTCTGGATGCCGAGTATCAAGCGTGAGTCTGCCAACCTTCGTGCCGCTGCCATATGACTAACATCCTCCAGCGATTACCACAAGCTTACATATTTCTACTATGCCGAGTCCTATGTCAACTTCAACGATTTGGTTACGGACCTCTTCAAGCAGTACAAGGTCCGCATTTGGATGTCAGCTGTCAATCCAGCATCAGTCGTAAATCCAGCAGGCTTGACGCAAATCCCACCACCTTCTGCGATCGGCCCTGGAGCGATCTTGAACTCAAACACCGCCAACGCCCCTCTCAGTGTCGGTCCTGGCTTTGGGTCCAACAACCATCGTTCCGGCGAGCAGTATAGTAAGTGCTATTGTTGAGCCTTTACCTAACAGTTTGGGCTTCAGCTAACATTGATCAGGTCGAGGACGCAACAACGTCTCATACGCCAACTATGATGACGGCTATGGCGCTTTCTCTCATCAGTTGCCTAGCTACCCTCCCCCTCAACCTGCGTATAACATGCCACCATGGGCTCATGGCCAACAGCTCGCCCCCCAGATGTATGATCGCTATAGCCCGTATGCGATGCAGGCCGCCGGCGGCTACCCAAACGCGACTGCGAGTGGTAGCCCAATGAACTACGGAGCTTACTACCCGCCCACGACGTACGCTCCCTCGCCCGCCTACAACATCGCCTCGAGCGGTCCGTCGTACCGTGGAGGCTACCAGGCTACGACTGCCTATGCTGCTTCTCAGTCGTACACTTCCACCGCTGGCCCGTCTTACGGCCACTATACCACTTCTGGTGCTGGCGCTGGGTATCCCTCATCTGGAGCCAGTTATTCCAACGCATACGGAAACGCCTCGTACAGCTCCAGTACTACAACTGGCGCAAACCTCGGCACCTCCGGCGGTTACGGCAATGGCTACACGGCAACTTCTGTACCTTCCTACAACGCTGGCTACGATACTGCCTTCTTGACAGCCATGCACAACCTGTCCTTTGGTGCCAAGTAAGCTTGTAGTCTTTCAAGACTAGATGGTCCTAGTCAACAGGCTAGTGCTTGCAGTGCTCCCGGACATACTCACCAATGACGGCTTCACAGTTCTCCACTCCACAAACATTGTCACTTTGCCTGTAAAAGCGAGTCCTGCGATTCCTGCGATTCCTGCGATTCCTGCGATTCCCACTATATCAGCTATGAGTCCACGGCTGATCTCATCATGGTTTTTTTTCGGCGACGACAACTGACCCGGCGAGGACAGTAACTATACTATCTATGGCTGCTGATACTGCGATAACAACAGCTGCGACAATCATGAGCAGGCTGATGATGGTATATTGCGATTGCTTTCTGTGATTTCTTTCGGCGACGACAGCTGGCTCGGCGAGTACAGTCACCATACTATCCATGGCTGCAGATACTGCGGTAGCAACAACTGCAACAGTCTCGAGCAGGCTGACGATGGTATATTGCGATTTCTTTCTGTGTGTGTGCTTCATTTCCTTACCTCAAAATTTCTCAATTTTACTTTTCTTCACGGGGGCCAGATCGTGGCTTCTACCCCTATATGCATCAGGGGATATGGATGGACAACTATTAGCTTATGCATGCCTTATATAGATATATGCCCATGGCGAAAATGACAACCTTCTGGGCCAAATAATCCTTCACTGCCAGTGATAACAACAAGAGACAACTTTGATTTGTGGTCAGCCCACTCAAAACAGCCCTGGAGATGGAATGGGATCGGTTAATTTAGTAATTTTCAAGTAGTCTGTGTATTTGCGCTCTAATGTATTTCTATGTTGCAACTATATAGATGCATGAGGCTGTTCAGGCTTCGCGATGTGCTCTTAGAGGAAGTGTCCTGCGATTGTGCGGACACTGTTAGTAACGTTGTAGTGAGAAGTCTGCACCCTGCCATGTAAAATAGCAGTGCATTCGAGCAGTTCACCCAATACCTGACTGCGCTACTTGCCAGGTCTCTTTTAGAGGATTGTACTCTACATACGCGAGCCTTTGAGCTTACTGATGTTGCGCCTTCCTTTCCTAATACACGTGCCCTCACCTCACCACACATACTCCGTGCATATATACAACTTCTACCGGAACATGGCACGACGACGTGTGCAACCGCCAGTGCAAGACGCCACTCAAGGCAGACGGGCCCGTGCTAAAGATGCCGAATCCGAAGACGATGCATCGAAGGCTGACAGCCAGTGAGTACTACAGGAAACCGATGTAAGAAGCGTGTATTCACAACGTACACAGACAGATACTCGCATTGCGTCCACTACTCAAGAAGCCCAAAGGTGGCGATAAGGAAGTTGAGCACTTTCGCGAAAAGGTTACCGCCGATCAGGAGCAGCTTAGAGCTCTGCTCGAGCAGCGAATGCACCAGGCGTAAGTATCACGTCCAAGTGCAACAACACTCCCATTGGTTTGACTCGATGACTGATAGAGGGACCTGATGTAGAGAGGAGGAGGAAGCGCGTCGTCGCTACGAAATCGCTGCTACGATCATGGAAGCTCTTGAGACTCCAAACCAAGCCATCCAAGGCCAAACACCAACCTTAGGAGGCACCAAGATCGCTAGCAATACAGCCTACGCCTCTGTATCCGATGTCCTGAAAGCGTCCGAGGGCCTCATCGTAGAGTATCAGAGGCTCGATAACATAATCAAGGGTTTGCGAGACGAGCGCACGGAGTCCGTTGCAGATACATGGAAGCAGAATCTCGACGAGACGGAGAAGCAGCTGAAGATGGGAGCAAGGGTGGCGCTGAGGAATGTAAAGAAGGTGCTTGGAGCTGATACTGAGGGCGAGGAACTAGCACCAGTGGATGAGGATGGAGACGAGAAGATGGAGGGAGTAGTGGGCGAGGCGGAGACAGAGACAGAGCTGAACTATGAGCTGCACAGGAGCTTGAGGTATGCGGAGAGGGGTGTCAAGAGGATGGTCAAGGGGCTTCCGAACGATGAAGTTGCCTAGGTACTGACCTCCTGCATCGCATCGTATTGCATGGCATCACAGTATGTTGTTCGAAGGATGTGCAAAGCTATCAGCAAGGGTTCTCATGAGAGCTTAACGTAACTAAGAACGATCGATACTTGCTTTAGAAGCCTTTACAGTGACTTGACTGCAGACATTACTTCACTGAATTCAGCTGTCATTCTAGCATCTGCCAACTGATGAGTACAATCTGAGTCAACTAAACGACCGTCACACACTCACTAGAACGACAAGTAGAGACCGTCTGCTTATAATCGACACGGAATTTGGACAACTCCTAGGTTCAGCTGCGTCAATCTTTCAAATATGCATCAATCTACAAAGAATTCAATGCCAGGTTTTTGGGGAGATTTTTTTAGCTACTGATCAAATAACTCTTAATGAGCGTTGGTTTACTGGCTCGCGCCGGGGTACTCGTGTGGAGAGTGTGTTGGCCTTGTTCACCAGTTCTGCCGGGATTGGCAGGGTTAGTTTGAAGATGCTTACATAATAATGGAAAAGACTCCACTATTTTCGCCAAGGCGCGCTACACACTTCGCTAGACTTTTCCCCATCGTCACAAAATTCCCAGCAACGACAACGTCGACAACCAACTAACCAACAGTCAAGGTACGCTCTGCTAGACACGCTGAACTCTACATTTGACGACCTTTACTAACACAAACCAGATGGGTGCCCTCAAGTGTAAGCCCGCCAGAACCCCGCAGCCACGGCCTGCAGCTAATTTGCGCCAGATGTCGAGGAACTTCAGAAGAAGAAGCAGTCGGATATGATGCGCTTTCTGATGCGCGTTCGCGTACGTATATTCAATTGAGCCAAAGGTCGAACTATGCTAACGTTTCCATAGTGCTGGGAGGTATGAATCACAAATCCTGGACTGCGGTCCTCGTTGGTGTACTCGTTGAACATTGCTGAGAGTACATTGATAGCTTCGCCAACTGAAGGTCATCCACCGCGCCAGCCGCCCGTCGCGCCCGGATAAGGCTCGCCGCCTCGGATACAAGGCCAAGCAGGGCTACGTTATCTACCGCATCCGCGTCCGCCGTGGAGGTCGCAAGAGGCCCGCGCCCAAGTACGTCCCGTAGAGGCCTTGAGAGAGGAACGCAATGCTAACAATATGTGCTTAGGGGTGCTACCTATGGTATGCTTCGCACGCTCGATGTCGCGGTCGGAATCAGAGAACTAACAATTCGTAGGCAAGCCCACCAACCAGGGTATCAACCAGCTCAAGTACCAGCGTTCGCTCAAGTCGACTGCTGAGGAGCGTGTCGGCCGCCGCTGCGCCAATCTCCGCGTGCTCAACTCGTACTGGATCAACCAGGATTCTACGTACAAGTACTACGAGGTCATCCTCGTCGACCCCCAGCACAAGGCCATCCGCCGTGATCCCCGCATCAACTGGATCGTCAAGCCCGTCCACAAGCACCGCGAGAGCCGTGGACTTACCGCCACCGGCAAGAAGAGCCGTGGTCTTGGCCGTGGACACAAGTTCAACAACACGACTGCTGGCAGGAGGAAGACGTGGAAGAGGCACAACACTCTGTCCCTCTGGCGTTACCGCTAGATGTGTTGAGGGTGTGGTGTGTGTGGTGGAACGTCTGGTCGTCGATTTCTTCAAGCGTATTGACTGGCGTGAATGGAAAAGGATATCCTGGGCTGTGTAGCTTCCGCCTGGCATGATGATGGCTGGTCAGGATTTTCAAAATGAAATACCATGGATTCATGATCTCTATGAACAAGCATATCAAGGGCATCATTGCATTGTGAAGTAACCTCATCATCTGCATATGAACATGGCCTCTCTCTGGCCAAGTGGCACTCTATAGGCCCGACTGCTAATAAGATGTGGGTGCTGTAGATTCAAGGGAGCATGATTGGGTATTCCCCCCACCCCATGTCGAGTATATTGGCTTTGGCTGGGGTAGCTGACCGGTGGTGGGCTGCATGGTGAGATGGCAGCACGACGTCAGATTGTTTTTTGCAACCACACACACACGTGCTTCTTGTCGTCGTCTAGATGAAAAGATATGTCGCTCACACAGCTTGAGTGTTATCTGCGTATGGGGGTTCCAAGGTCATCTTCCAAGTTCAAGGATTATGGCTGTCGGTTTTGGTGGGGGGCAGACTAGGATATTGCTGCTAAGGGTGCGAGTGAGCGTTGCCGTGGCCTCGACGCACGCCAAAACACAGCAGCCCAACCGACAACACCTGCACCTCAGCCAACACGGCAAGCGAGCAAAGAGAGCTCCAATAGCCGCGACGGGTGGGCATTCTCTTCTACAAATCAGTGACGCCATGCGGCTGACAACCTGACCTTGTCTAGAGTTCGGCTGCTGCAGCATTCCAGCTTTACTTGCACCATGCCCCGACGTCCACGCGCACGGCCGACTATCATCTGAGCGGCACCGCCTCGCTCGACAAGGACAAGAGGCCAGGCAGTGAAAGGGCAGACTTGTTGGTGACTGCACAGCGGCTGTGTCTGCCTGTTGAAGGTGATCATACCTAGGCAGAGTCGTGTCGCCAGCGTCCAGCCCGCATCTTCACCAAGCCTCTTCGCACAACCACCACCGCTGCCGCCGCCATGGTCAAAGCCGATCCCACGCGAAATTACTATGCCGACCTTAAGATCTCGGCCAACGCAGGCGAGAACGAGATCCGCAAAGCCTTTCGCACGCTCGCGCTGCAGTACCACCCAGATCGTAACCCGGGACGCGAGGTCGAGTTCGTCGTCAAATTCCAAGAAATCCAGGCTGCCCATGAAGTGCTATGCGACTCGGCACAACGAGCAAAGTACGATGCTGAGCGGAGGAAATACCGCAATCTGAATATTCCTACCAACACGCCCAATACACCGAGAACGAGACCCCCACCGCCTCCACGTAATGCCTACACGACAACGACCCCCAGCGGCTCCTACTACCGCCCCCCTCCCCCAAAGCCAGCTCAGCAGCCGCAGCGTCCTCCACCGCCGCAACACCATAACACTTTCAACAGTGGCGCCGACAGGTTCACCAGCAAGAACTTCCGCCCGCCGCCCACGGCACAGCGACCGGATACGAGGGCCAAGGATGCAGAGGCTCGAGCCAATGTCTTCACGGCATGGCAGAAGATGAAGCAGCCCCGTGCCGAGGAACCGCGACAGTACAGTCCAGGCGCTCAAGGCAGTCCTCAGGGCAACCCTCATAATGCCCAGAACAACCCGAATGGCACACCTTTTGGCCGCACCCAGAGCACGAGGGCACCTTCGTCAAGACAGGGATTCAACCCAGCAACACCAGGCGCTGATGAAGGCCAGGCACGGTCGTCGTATAGGAACTATGCCCGTCCTGCTCCAACGCCGCCCACCGCTACCCCTTCGCCTCGTCCATCATATCCCACGAGAGACACAGACACCACCGATGTGCCCTACTCGGAAGCGAACCGCGTGCGAACACCGTATTATTCCAACACGGGAGGAGAGCGGACCTCTATGTTTGAGGGCCTGGGAAGGTCTGCCAGCGTTCGCAATTCACCAACACATCGACGAAGTTCTTCGCAAGATTCCTCAGGTGCTCACTCTGACTCCGGCCGAAGGCAGCAGCGGAGTTCGTACAGCGGGAAGTCTACCAAACAGTTCCCTCAGATGTACCCTGACTCGAGCGATGAAGAGTCCGAGCCGGAAGTCTTCCATGTAGGCAACAAGCACCGAGGGCCTCCTCTGCCGCAAAAAACTACACATCCACCACCAGCACCATCGTGGAGCCAGGAACAGTTCAAAACTCCTCAGCAGAGTCAGCAGAGCAAACACGCAACAGGAAATTTGCCGAATAGTTTCAAGAGTAGAAGTGAGGAGAGTATCAACATCAAATTCTCACCTTCGGACTGGCATGGCAAGTTCGAAGGCAGCGCTGACTATTTTGCACCTAACATGCAAAAGACGTCTAATAGTAGAGGTAGAACCTCGCCGACTCGGGGTCGACCATCTCAGCGGACTGCTTCGGAGCGAAATCCATTCCTCAATCAGCCTCAAGTACCGCCTCCGGTTTCGCCTTTTACGCAACCGCTGTCGCAAGCACAGTCCTATCCCATACCTCCACCTCCTCCTGGGCCTCCACCTAATGTGAAATTCCCGCCCCCTCCCAGTGCTGGGGCTCAAGCCGCAAAGTTTAGCCAACAAGCTTGGAAAGATACTTTTAAGGATCCTAATTGGGTTTATACGGATTCTAAAGAGACTTCTCCTCGTCGTGCACCAGAAGCCACTAAGCGACCCAAAGCTGCCCGTAAGCCTTCTGTGCCCCAGAATGGGGCCCCGAGGACACAAGATAAGCCTGATACATCGCGGCCAAAGTACCAGGCCTTTGCGCAGGAGGCGGCGAATGGCGACGGTGATGCGATGGACATTGACTCGAGCACACCCCCTATCCCTAAACCCATGAAAGGAGGAATACGTACAGCGCCTGCATCGCCCAAGATCAACACGGCAGCCGGCATAGGTACAGTGCCAAATGGCTCTGCTACCGCACCTTCGTCTGCTACAAGTGCGAGACCTCCGGTTCTAGGCCTGAACGGTCTCTCGGGCATTGCAAACGTGGAACCATTTCAAGCGCCACAAAACGGCGGTATTGGGTTAGATGAACTCAAGGACACTCTTCCGTTCCCTTCACAATCTGCCAGCTCCCATCCCACGAAGCCCAACACTGCTCAGAAGTTGAAGTACCCTGAGATGCCAACAGCGCCTCCTCTACCAGCCAAATTGGATCAGAGCTCAGCCGACCAGTATTTCCATCGTATGGAATCGTATATCAAAGCATACAAGAACTACTGCAAAGCACTCACTGCCCATTTCGTTGCAAGAAACACCGAGCTTGAACAGCTTGATGATCACTTTATCCACCATCGTGGCGAGACGACCAAGAAGCTCGGTTTCGCTAGTTACCTGGCCAAGATGAGGGAAGACGAAGAGGTTATGGAGACGTGGAAGCTGGCGCAGGAGAGGCATATCAATGCGCTTCAACAATGCGAAGAAGTCCGCCACAAGACTATCAAGCTGTACCAGACTCTTCAGCTCTAAAGATGGCTGTTAGATGTGCAAATGTGCTGACATTGCAGTAGAGCTGATAGTCTGCAGGGCGATTCTAGTTGTAGTGGCGAAAAGGGTGTTGGCCAAGAGGAAGAGAGCGCTCTCAAGCGAAGCCTTGTTAGTTCTCGGCGACGAGGATCTACTTCCTTCACCGCCCGAATATCGGGGCTCTTTGGTACGTCTCACATATGGACACCAACGATCGCGGACATGGCCATGATGTCAGCGACATCGACCCCTAAACCTCAAGCTTTGTTGCTCAGGAAAAAGAAAGTGCGTGTTCATAGCTAGCGAGGCGTTTGGGTGCCAACTTTCAGATATACCCGAGGCATCTGAGATTCCTTGGCTTTGGTTTTTGCGCCTATTCAGGTGCTTGTTGGATAAGCGCGTCTACGTAGTATAGGTAACATAATGAAGCTGATGCAACAGCCTGAGAGGGATCAAGCCTTACACCTGTGGTCTCCTGGTGAAGTGGAGTCCGCAGACGTCGTGTTACAGCCATCGAGTGTACTTTGTGCTTCTGTGCTTCTGTGCTTCCATAAAGGATGCTCGGGCGACTTATACACTACAGAGTTTCTGCCCCTTTCGCTAAAGCGTGTCAGCTCAGCTTTCCCCATGTACCCTCTCAATATAGTTACGCGATTCAGCCTGGTTAATTGAAGGCGGACGCCTCTATATCTTCGTGCGGGCTAGCGCAAAGCCACGGGGCCTAGATTGTCGAACACTGACGCCGACTTGTGCTATCATGCTTTCTGACTGTGTTCTACATCTGTCAACAGGTCGAGATGATGCCGTATTGCGAGCAGATACAAACAGTGTCCGCCTGACAGTTTCTCTATGATATTGGTAGCTTAGTAATACGGGCATGAGCGCATGTTGCTATTTCGATCATGCCAGCATCTGCCAAGCATGGCGGAAGCGGCAGCGCCTTCCTAACCCGGGCTTAGTGCATGGCAAGGGTCCACATCTAGCCCTACTGATGGCTGGCTGCATCTTTATCCAATGCGTCCAGGCGGAGGAGAGCTGAGGAATGTAAAATATCGAGGGCGCGCAATATGTCGGCCTACTCTCCTCACCTGCGACGACTCCACGTAACCTTTAGGGGTTCACTGCATTCCTTTAATCCGAATGTTTAGGACATGTGGAGCCAACGCGCGTTCTACAGAAGATCGGTCCTACTCGCAGATAGGTACAACTGGAACCTTTAGTACGGATTGGGCGCACGAGGGAGAGACACCGAGAAACCCGCAGCCTTCTCGACTGCGTCGTACCTTGCAGTAGCTGGCGACCGTACACATGCCACAGTGTGAGCGAGAGAAGAATCGCGGTTTCGATCGCTCCTCCTCCCCGTCCCCATCCGTTCCGAATACCTACAATCCCCGCCAATCCTTTCACTACACGGAGCGCATGGCACTCTGAGCCTCCTCGGGCCTGAATACGAGTGCTCTCATGGCGGGCGATACCATGCAATCCATGCCAATGTCTCCGCGACAGTCGCCGGCAGACATAGGGAGCGCTGCGGTACAATGGGCGTGCACGAGAAGAGGGAGGATGCTGCTTCTGACTGTCTTGTTCTTCGCCGTATTGATAGGCATGACGGGCATGAGGAATCACGAGGTAGGTTAGAAGTCTCACACATATAGAGGAATAGTAGACGTGAAGCTTGGTACCACTTATAATTGGCTCTTACTAACCCAATGCCTAGGCCATTTCGTCAAAGTACCACGACATGTCGTCGCATTACCAATGGCGACCCTATCTCCCGAGCCTCCCCTCGATTATACACTCCCCCTTCAAGACGCCTTCCAATACCACGCTGCAGCTCGAAAATGGCGAAATCAGCCATGTACCCGCAAACCTCAAAAAGACGACGCCGAACTTCCATCTTCTTATGCCCTCCGAAACGGATACAGATGGCTTCTGCAAGACGACGCTGTCGGCCATGCTGCTGAACTACCCTCCGCCGACCGTAGTCAACCTTTACGCCGCATTTGAAACGGACGTGCAATGGGAGAGGGACAAGCTGAACAATACAATACACTATCTGAGCAATGCGCAGTACGTGCAGGATGAGGATCTTGTCCTCATTGTGGATGGCCAGGAGTCGTGGTTCCAGCTCCCGAGCGATGTCATCGTCACTCAGTATAAAAGGCTGCTTGAAGAAGCCAACGTGCGCCTGCTGGAGAGGTACGGCGTGAACAAGGACGGCTTCCAGAAATTCAATCAGACCATCGTCTTCGGTGCGGAGAAGATGTGTCAGAGCGACGACATGGCTTGCAAGTACGTGCCACAGTCGATACTGCCAGGTGACATATACGGAAAAGAGATGGGGCGACGTATCGCGGATATGCCGGCCAAGTTTATCAATTCGAAGATAGTTATGGGTCCGGCGGGTGACCTGAGGGAGTTATATTTGACTGCGTTAAGGAAGCTCGAGGAGAACAGGAGCCAATCACAGACAGTGCAGTCAGTGTTTGCAACCATCTTTGGGGAGCAGCAACTACGAAGAGATGCAATAGAAAAAGAGAAGAAGCCTGCAGGTTCCAAGTTGAAGGCGTTTCTGGGAGGCGCTACATCGAAAACAACGAACGCGGACGTTGCACTACAAAATGCTACACAGCACGAGTTCTCGATCGGTCTCGACTACACGCACACTCTTTTCCAGCCGCTCATCTACTGCACCGAAGACGAGCTGGTTCCTCTGATGCACGACAACTCGACGGACCTATCAAAGTACCAGCACCCGGACTCTTGGACCCAATACCTAGATCTCCCCCCGGTCTTGAGTGAGACCAAACCTCCCTTTTGGCGACCCGATCTTGTTAAACATAACCCCTCTCCTAACGAAAAGTCTGCCTGGATCGACAAGCTAGAATTCAACAAGGACCTCGACAGCCTCCCCAAGCGCAAATTACCCTGGAGCGACGTCTCACTGCTCCAAAACACGTACACCGGCGCCGTCCCCGCCGTTTTACTCAACAACCCCATGGCCATGAGGAATACCGGAGCTGACCACGCCCCCAGCGCAAACGTGACATGGTTCAGCCTATGGTACGCCCCGTACACACGCGCTCTCCTACGAAACTACTTCCGCACGCCTCAGTCCCCCAACGGCTACCACAACTCCCTCGTGGGCGGCGACCGGGCGTGGGACCAACGTGGCGGGCGCGGCGGCGTATGGACGGCCTACGAGCAGATATGGCTCCCGTGGGGCGAAGTAGACGGCGTATGCGGCACACTAAGCCAAATCAAAGAAGTTTTCAACGACGAGAAAGGCGTGTGGCTCCATGAAACAGATGAAAATAGCGAAGCCGACCGCTTGAAGGAAGAAAACGATTTGCATAAGAAGATTGAAGAAGAGCGGAAAAAGGAGGAAGAGAAGCAGAAGAGTAAGCAGGAACAAGAGGATAAAGAGAGAAAGCATGCAGAGGAACTAAGGAAGGCTGATGACGCGAAAAAAGTAGAGAAGACTAGGATAGAAGAAGAGCAGAAAAAAGAGGGCGAGGAGCAGAAAGGTAAACAGGAACAAGAAGAGAAGGAGAGGAAGAATGCGGAGAAACTGATGAAGTATGAACAGGAGAAGAAGGCTAGGATAGAAGAAGAGAGTAGGAAAGAGGATGAGAGCAAGAAGGACGATGACAAGATATCTGCATTGATGCAAGGTACAGTCGAGAGCGGAGAGGAATTGGCCGGCCAAGACGGAAGCGCATTTGGCCCTGGCAAGGGAAATAGGGTGGAGAGGAGGTGGTATTCATAAAGTGCGTCATAATCTGGCGACGGCGTTATAAGGGTGTTACGGGCAAATCTCTCATATTTCAAGAGTTGGCTGGCTATCTACTTAAAAGAAGCACTATGCATTATACCTATCTAGAGGTTTTGGGTGGGTTGGGTTCGTTTAGATTTGGCGTTTGAAGTTTTTTTCCCTCATCCTCTTATGGGTCAGAGGATAGGGCGTTCGTTTTGACTGGCTGAGTGAGTCACGCATTGAACAGCTAGATACAAGAGGTCAATAAATATTACACTTTTTAGCGTCTATTCTACCGCTCGCCAAAACTCCTCATGAAAAAGCAACACACCACACCATCAGTAGCATCATGCTCTTGTGGCAAGTTCCTACACAGAAAATCCAAGCTAGCCAAAAATTGCCTTCGACGGAACACTACTCCACTACCTTGAATTTTACTTCACCTACGCTCGCAAACTCGATATTTTCAGTCTTCGCTAAACTAATACTACTCTAAGAATCGAGAGAATCTATAATTCCATCGACGGTGGCCCCCGTTCAGCACCACTTCCTGCCCGAATGGCTGAGAATATACTCCTTTCCAACCTCCAGCTCCGACTCCCTCCAAATCGGGCCCCCGATTTCCAACTCCCGATGTTCCGTGTAGATCACTTTTGAGTTTTAAGGTTCTTCCCTTTGATGTTCGTCGTGGTCGCGATAAACGTCTCAGACCGGATGTTAGTTCGAGACGCGATGTTGCGTCTAGGATCTTGACCTCGGAATACGCAGACTTGACGCGCGGGCGATATGCAAGGACTGTGAGGGGATATGCAGCGTTCGTCGAGAACGTGAGGGTATTGTTTGTGTGGATGGCGTAGGAATGTCTGACGTAGACACCGAGCCGATGGATGGCCCTGCAAGAGAGTTTAGAGCATTCTCTGCGCTGGCCAGCCAGTGCGAGATAGACGTCGTCGGCTTGAAGTGTAGTCTGTACTTTATACCTGGTCGGAGCGAGGAGATTATGAACGGCAGTTCGTAAGACTCACGGGTATTGGATGACGTAAACTGGGGTTATTTAGTATACTCAGCATATGAGAATGCGATAGCCGTCTCCACTATTTCACTATCATACTTCTGCAATGCTCTGGACGATTTTGCCCTCAGATACGCACTGTTATTCAGTGTGAGCGCGCTGTTCGATTCACAATCTGCTCCACTCTACGTTGTTTCCTGTTCCGACTCTCTTCAAACTTTGTATAGTGTAAACGATGTCCGTAGGCTCTCGAATTTCATCTACATAAGGTACCTGTCTATTCCGGGGCATATCTATGGGAAGCTTATGAGCCTTTTCACTCATGAGACCAAGCCATACCCTTCCAGTTCGATGGAGTCATGGAAATTTAACTGCAAACCCACCATCCCAATATGGTCCTAAAGCTGTCTCCCGTACATCCAATACACACTATTATAGCCATGGACCAATACCATAAGCAAACCCTGTATCACAAATCAGTCCTGTAGTCCTACAAGATACGTGGAATCCGAAGCCCAAGCATCTCTAGCCGAGCATTATAATGTCTTCAGGCGCAAGATTGGACTCCACCTTTGGAACTTGATCAATACATAGCTCCCGCAACGCCTGTCCAAAGTGACGGTAGAAATGCTCGCGAAACATCTCATATCCATCTAACTCAGAGTCCCAGTGTGTGACCCAGATGTCTAGATCAGCCAGATCCTGCTCCATATGCTCGATGTAGCGGCCCAGATCCCAACTATCTTCGTACGTATCTTCCCATACTTTGGTTTCCCAAGCGTGTGTAAGCTTGTTGGGATCAATATGGCTCAGTGGGTCTTTGACATATGGATCGATATGAGGATCCTGCTTCTGCTTCTCTTCAGTCATTACTTTGGTGTCATGCTCTTTTTGACGGAGTAGGTCGGCAATATTGGTTATGACAGTGAACAACTCTTGTCGGTACTTTTTGCGACTAAGCTCTTCCGTTGACTGAATAGGCTGTGCATTTTCTTCGATAGCCGCGTGTATCGCTTCAGCAGCATCAGCGAATGCCGTATCTACACCACTCGCCTCCACTGCTGCAGCCTGGGCTTTGAGATCCTCAGTGATGGACTTGCGCAGGCTAACGGGAATGTTTTTAGTCCTAGGCTGAGCGAGTTTGCGTGGTACCGTTGCACCGCGAGGTAACTTGAATGCGTGGTCGTCCATGTTGAAGTAGTGGTATTGCTTGAGGTGCTGGTTGAAATGAGGGAAGGATGATGTTGAGTAGATGATGAGATTCTAGTAAAGTGGTAGTAGTATCAAGGGCAGAGTTGAGTTTATGATTTTATAGCAAGTAGAGAGAGGGAAGTGGAGCAAGGTTAAATAGGTAAGTTGGAACAAAGCATACCGACATTGAGTCACATGACCTAGTCACGGTGCTACCCTTTAGGCTATGACGTTAAGAAACAAGTCATATTGGTGATATGCAGACCTGCACACAATTGTCTGTAATTGCCACCAAAATGGGGCGAGCATAGTAGAATCTCACTCAAAAGTCGTTTCTAATTAATCTTCTTTGATATCGCCTATGCACATCCTTGTATTCTTTGTTGTTGTCTTTTTACCTCGTTGAAAGGCATGCCGCTCCTTTTCCCGCCCGTGTCCACCTCTTCAATCCTATCTTTGGGGAGTCTGCTCCAGCCAATAAATATGTATGTTTAGGCTCACCAATTGTTGGTAGAGCCGATGAAAGTAAAACAACCACGAAATCAAAAACTAAAACCAATGTTAATCTTCAGCAATTCGCTGACTAAAGCTCGCAGTCACAGATCTGTTTGCTGTTAGTAGAAGTCCGAGGAAATGCAGGAAATATAATGTGACTCACATCGACTGACAACTCCTCAAGTGGAGTATCGAAAGCTTTATGAGCTTCCTTGATCCGCCCACGGTAATCGGCCAAAGTCCAACTGGCCATTTCGCCTATAGACTTCGTGGGTAAGGCAAATACACCCCACATATATAGGTCTTGTATTGCGTCGTAGTACTCCCGGTAACGGTCGACCAGCACATCTAAGTCCGGCTTCGCAAGTTCAAGCAACTTTTCGTGAGCTTGAGCTCGCCCGGCGGCTAATGCTTCCCATCGCTCAGCGAGACGTTCTTCCCCGGCCTCTCGGTATCGAATTGCTGTCGTTGTATATCCCTGTTTCCCGGACATGTTCTCGCGGAAATCCTTCGCGGCTTGGCGCAAGGAGTCCTGGGCCTGGTTGGAGAAACAGAGAAAGAGGTGATGGAATGCATCGACTGTTCTTCGGAGCCTGTCCCAATGATTGATGAGTTCACTGAGTCTCCTCTTCGTCGCGCTGTCAGTCTTGTCCATGTTTCGATATGCGTTGACGAGGTCTTCTGCACTATCTATGAAGACACGAGGGACGCTGACGCCTTTCATTGCCAACACCAACTCCCACTCGGTTTGGTAAGTTGTGATGCGTGAGCATAGTTTGTTGACCTCAGATACTTCCTGATCGATGACGACAGGAGCTTCGGAGATATGTATCTTCTTCTTGGGTTGCTTCTTGGATTTCTTCTTCTTTGGCTTCTGTGCCAAAGGCTGGACTGCTTCAGTAGGCTGCCCTTTCTGCTTGTGCATATTGGCTGGCGATATAGTCTCTTTACCAGTCTCCTCAGCGAAATTCTCCGATGGAGGTTCCATTCGGATATCGACAATGTTCTTTGTTGTTTCAATCTCCGGGACATCTTGGGATATGGTGGGTTGAGCAACCATTTCAGCAGTCGTTGTTTCGATGGTCAGTACTTCGTGCGCCGGCTCTTGAGACGGCTTCTTGCTCATCTCCGGAATCTCCACCAGCATGCTCATAGCAGCCTGCGGCGACAAGCTGCCAAAGCTCCCAACATCTTGTTTGATTTCCGAGAAGATAGGATCTTGCTCATCGCGCTGATCTTCGGGAAGAGATTCTCGAACGCTCTCAAACTTCTTGCCGACATCGTTGATCCTTGTAACGAGGTCTTCATGCAAGCTTGAAATGTGCTTCATGATGCAGGCCATCTGGGATGGGGAAAACTCCAGAGTCTGGGACGCTTTTACCGCTTCAATTCGGGTATCCGAGGCGCCGGCATGGTCGACTGTGGGAGGTGACTCAGATGATGTTGGATTGTCGTCGGTCTCATCAAAGACCTTTGGGTCATCTGTGTCGGTCTCATGCGCAGGGACCAGCCCATGCGCACAGATGTCGTCTTCGACCATATAGACAGTCGCTTCGATTGTATTCTGAGCGACTCCAGGGCTGGTTTCCTGCACGTCTTCTGCCACCTCATCATTCTCGCTGACGCCGACGTTCTCATCAACCGGCTTACTTTCAGTTGCCGATGAAGGGCCTTGATCTGCTTCGGTAGTCTGAGACATACCTATCGATTCTTGTGAATCTACTTGAGGCACAGCAGGCTCACGCTTCAGCGTGCTAAGATTAGCTGTGTTTACACCAAAGTCGATCGTGGTGCGAGACAGGAACGACGTAGTGCTACCCATGAAAGGCTTCCCAAAAGTCATTCCGGCGGTGCTGAACATGAGCCCAGAGGACTCAACTGGTGTTCTAGTCTCTGGGGACGTTGACATTTCAGTGTCAGCCCCCGACTCAGAACTGATCTTCGATCCGATGTTCGATGAAGAGGTGTCTGCAATGGTACTGACATGGAGGTCGGGCATTGCGACGTCTTTTACTCCTTGATCATGGGATTCAGCTACAAGCGAAGCTGATTGAAGCGGCAGCTTCTTGTATTCGTCGGCTGAATGTGCACCCGGTTTGTCGGCCTGAATGATCGTCTCTGTGAGGTGGTGTTCGAAGTCCATTATATCATCCTGCTCGGTATCAGGAGGAATGTGGGATTTAGGTCGGATATTAGAGAACTGGTTTTGATCTGACAAGAGACTGTTCATGTTGGAGTTGTAAGGTGGACCTCCGAGGTCTTGAGAGTCACTAGCAAATGTCTCAAAGGAGCCATTTTGCAATTTCTCGCCTTCGAAACCATTGGTTTCCGCGTTATCACCCAAATAGCTATTTGAATAGCTAAATTCAGATCGGACATCGTCGCCGCGGTCTTGGGGTGCGGATAGAGGTAGAGGAAGTGCAGCTCCAAAGGAATAATGTGGGGCGTTATCTTCGTTGATCTCGCCTTCGATGTCCTCGACGATTGGGATGCCGTCGAAGCCCCGTTGAGAAGAAGATGGGGAAGCAGGACTCTCGATTATTTCATGTTCGTCCTCCAAAAGGTTATTCGACACATCGATGTTGTAATCGTTACCGCCGCCCAGTTCATACAGTTCGTCATCCGAAACATCGCTGTCAGCTTTGTAGTGTGAGCCTGAGGCTATGTCATCCTCCTCTTCGTCGTAATGCTCGTTTTCGTTACCACCAGCTAGGTCATATAGTTCGTCATCCCAAAGGCTATTTGACACATCGCTGTCAGCTTTGTGGTATGAGCCTGAGGCTATGTCATCCTCCTCGTTTTTGTCGTAATCTTCGTTCTCGTTACCACCGGCTAGGTCATATAGTTCGTCATTGAGCTCCGGCGACGTCGATTCGGGAATAAGGTATGCTGCGCCAAAGTGCTGATCGAAATGCTGACGGAATGCTTCTTGACCTGTTAGACCATTGTACAAACGATCTTCCCACAGTTCACTATAAGATACGATCTCCACACGCTCGTTTTCGACGTGGTCGAGATAATCTGCAATATTGAAGGTCTTTGCGCATGTGGCATTCCAACTCTGGAGCTCCCATGCCGCCGCAAGTTTCGGGACATCGATTCTTGCCATCTCGTCGTCGTTCACGTAACATTTGACGAGGTCCTCGATTACCCATTCGAATTGGTTACGGGCTTCTGTGCGCTCGTGATCTTCTTTCGACATCTCGGACTGCTTGGCTTGCGGCACAGGTTCGTTGAGACAGTCCTCCTGGACTACGACATTCAGCTCTTGCGAGGAATGTTGGAGCACATACTGCCTGAACATAGTGCATCCCGTCCGTCCGCCTCCTTCATCAGCATCTTCAGACTCCCAGTAAGTATTCCAAGTATCAAGGTCCTGAAGCTCATCCAGTATCTTATCGTCATAAGCAGAGATTTCTTGAGCATTATTGAATGTCTCCTCCCATATCGATGTTTCCCTTGATGCTGCAAGGTCGGCTCCATCGAGCTTAGCTAGCGCATCTGTTTTTGGGAGGAGCTCTATCAATGTGCTGATAGCTTCTCTGAACTGTCGGCGATTCTGCCTACGCTTCTCATCCTCCGTCGACAGTTGGCCTTTGCGGTATCTTTCTGCGTTGAGGGTAGCTTCCTTGACTTTCGCAGCGGCGGCGGCAGCATCTCTAAACACCTGATCCTGATCCAATGGAATATACTCTGGCGTCTTGAACTCACTCGTGTCGACTTTGTTGTTGCGTTTGCGAGTTTTAGGGACTTTGGGCACGAACCGCATCTTTGGTGGAGAGGTTACCGTAGTTTTTTGCTGAGGCAATGATCGTGACTGCGCGAAGTCTTCCGGAAGCAGTTGGTAGATGCGATCGCTGAGCATCTCCCGTCCGTTTCCTTCACTCCAGGTGGAATCCCACTCATCGATATCATGTAAATCGAGATCGATGTTGTTCATATACTCGTCAATGTCCCCGTCTTCTGTCTGTGTCACTCGCCAGACAATAGATTCCCAACGCTTCGCCAGCTCTTTGTAATCGCACTTCGACAGGTCATCCGTCTTTGCGAATAGCTGAAGAGTATAATGGAGCTTAGTCTCCAAATCTTTACAGCTCTTTCGGCGGATATCATCCTCCTTTTTTGTCAGGATCTGGGTCTGCCGATGAGGCCGTGAACCATCAGTACTACGTCCGGCGTGAACATTATCATAAGCAGTGAAAGCTTTCTTGACTAGCAAACTTTCGTTCTGCAGTGTGTGGGGGGCGTCGAAGGTGCTACGATCGATTGTGGCGTGCTTTCGTCGGGGCCAAAGAGATGTGGGCTTGAAAGCGACTTTGGGGTCTTGTGGGCCGGTTTGCATCTCCATAATTGAGGCAGGTGTTTCTCGCGCTGTTGAAGCTCGTGAAGTGCGCTGCAGGCGCTGGAAGTATGATGTGACGAACGGGTCTAGTAGTTTATTGGTGTTAGTAAAGAGACACAGGATCGGAGTGCGGCGCAAGCTTGAAGGTATCAGGAGCGATTACCTACCTCTAGTGCGACTTTAAGGAAGAAAAGTTCGAAAGCCTCTGATCTTTCAAATACGGTTTGGTGGGGTGTAAGAACTGTACGATAGTACTCTCGGTGTACGGGGGTTGAGCAGGGAAAGGTTGCAATTGACCGCAAGTTAAGGTAGGTTGTAGGGCTGCTATTGTCGGGTCGAGCGTGTATTGAAAATTTGCGTCCCTATCCCCTCAGGTGACAGACTGCGGAAATTATGCCAAGCCGAATATGTGCGCGGTGAAAGCAAGTGTTTGTATTCTTGGGCGTTAATCTGCCGCCCCAAGGTGAAACCAACTTGTGCCTGTTTGCTGAAATCACTACTTTGGGAATGAAGCTTGTAACGAAGCTTGGAATCTCGGGTTGAAGTGTGTGCTGGTCGCCATAATGTGCAGAAGATATTAGGAGGGGAAAAAGTAGTGAATAGTCGCGGCACCTGTAAGTTCTTGGGAAAAGGCTGAAATTCATGCTTCGCTAATCATAACTTGAGCCGAACAGTAGGAACTTACAATTATTCAGTCAATAGGAAGCTCTTTTAGAGTGTGACGACAACTCGATGAATACTATACAGACTGAAATGCTACTTACGTGTATGTCAGTCTCAAACAATTGTCGGGTCAACGATACCCCTCCCCGCACCACGTACACCCTACTATAGGATGAAACGGCAATGTATACGAGTCGAATCGGGAAATCCTCCATGAATGTTATATTGATTCAGCCCATGTCCCAGCTTCATCTCTTTCCGCTTGCCATCGCAAATGGGGGGCCACAACATTGCATTTAACACCGCAGTTCTAGCAATAGTCCGCCATGAGATGCCGCATAGACGACAAAAATATAAGAACTTGAACAATATGGCCCATGCAGCTGGTTGAAACCACGCGTCCGGGTTGCAGTACGTAGCAGCGAAGTATCCGGTCCATGTTTTGATGTGTCCCAATACCCACGCGAAGTGAAAATCTATGTGCTATGAGAATAAAGTGACGGATGGGCGTAATGAAAGGTGGCAATTTTTCGTATAAGCGCCACTATTTTTATGTCGGAAAGAACATTATATCGAAAGGTGCCACAGAGGAAGCGCCAAAGCAGTGAAGAAATCTGGTAGAAGTGTGAGTGAGGCTTTGAGAGCGCGGAGACAGTAGACCGTACATGGACACAAGTTGCCGCTGTGTGACTAAAAACGCCATTGCAGTTGAGGCGAACAAAAATGATTGAGGAGGAGAGGACGAGAGTATGTGAAACCCACTGAGATCGCAAACGATAAAAGCCAGATCGGGCAAGGGTCGACCAGGCAGAGGACTAATGCCCGAAGAGCAACCGAAGCAAGGCTTGCAATGATCATATGCACCTGTATTACACGGACTGGGGGAATAGTTCTTTCGTTTGGGGCATTGGCAAACTCCATGGCGTTGTTGCTGACTTGTATCGTGCTGGGGTTAGGTGACAGCGGTGAGAGTGCGATGTCAGTTAGAACAAGAAAAAGGTGTTAAGCTTGAGCTGGGGTTTTCTGTTATAAAATTGAGAAGAGAAGATATCCCAAGGTCAACGGAGTTGAGCCAGCAGGACCTCTAACTTAGCAACTACTTTTGGTGCGCGGGCAAGAGCAAAGGTCATTTCGCGCCAAGTACAACCAGTGTATTTTCCAAGAGCATTGGTGAGCTTAAAACTTCTACCTGGCAGGGAAGTGGGCTATGAAACTCCCCAGAACTTTCTGCATATCGTTGAAATGGTGTTGTAACAATGAACGGTACTCATTATGGACGCAGCTTGGAGCAACGTGGAGCTGAAGCCAACCCCACGTAGCACAGAGTAACAATGGATACAGATGGCGACGTGGAAACAAATTAAGGAGGAGGAAATGTATGACTGTCCAAAATGTGATTGTGCAACAGAGAAATGACTGCATAATTCCCATGTGTTCCAAGTAGTCGCTAGTGGAAGTGGATTACTGGGGTCTTTACTCAACAGCCTTGACGGCGTCCACAAAGATGCAGTGAGGCAGTCTGATCATATCGTCTAAGCTACAACGTAGCGCCTGGACAACAGTTGGGTCGTGAATTTCAGCAGCGGAAGCCGTCGCGCTCACCACAACAACCGAAGCAAATCTGGATACCAAAGAATTGATAGAGGTAAAGTATCACCTGAACTTTGAAGTCGAGATGTAGCGTTCCAGAAGGCATCTGCTCTGATGTACGAGCTTTCAGACGAGTCCGCCTGTTGTAGGTACGGCCACGTTCGCCAAACAATCGACTCACCCTTCGTACTTCTCTGCATAGTCCATAGAGCAGGCTTACTGGATCGTACCCACAGCCCACGATAGGAAGTTGTGGAACATGTGCAGGACAGGGATCGGCTCCAGGACGAACCCTCAGCTCTCCACAGTGCTGCAAGGAAGCGTTACGGTGTTATCGAGTCCGACTATCAACGTGCTGCAACGCTGGCGGCACATCGTACCAAACATTTCCATCTGCCAGCCAGAATCTATTAGGAGATACTTGTGGTACGTAATACCGCGAAACGCAGTCGACTTGTCCTGTAATGCGGCCGTTTTTTTACTAATTGTGCATTAGGCATACCGAGCGACATTTGGTTATTCCTCGGAGACTTTTCAAACGCTGTACATGATTTCATTCAGATATTCACTGCTCTGAACAAGGACAGCGTCATTTGTCATAAGAACGCCTACCAGTGCCTCGAAGAGACCAAGGCTATCGAACCAAACACCACAGCAGCCAGTCTCGTCGAGGAGCTTCACCGCCAGATTTGCGCCAAGGAGTTTCTTTACGCTTCGAAGTGGTGTAGGTTGATTCCGGTTGTTTGGGAAATTGTTGTGAGATTAATTCTTTTTGGGCGCTTCATGGGTGATTCCTCCACTCGTGTAAATATGCAGATTGTAAGTATACTTCTTGCTTCATCTTATTTGGATATCCGCTAACCGCACCTCAAGCCAACAAGCATGATGCCAAAAACTCTAGTTCTCATCTCTACGTATACACTTTCTGCAAACTACTATGCCCGAAACCATGTTGTCTTCAGCGTTACGTTTGAAACACTTCTGTAATATCCTGCCACTCGCCTCTCTCTCTGCACTCCCAATATCCATCCTTGCCACCTTTGAGTCGCCAAACCTCCTCATCACCCAAGGCGACAGCCTCGTCGGGCCCAACTTTGGTGAACCAGCGCGGTTTCCACTCTTCACCGTGCTCCTCCATGATCCTCCGCCTCGCTCTTTGACGTTCCTCCAGCCGAGCCTTGAGAGCTTCGGCGCGGTCCAAGTCGCCATCTTCTAGAGCGCGTTGATCAGGTCGGAGACGCGAGTCCGTGGGCGCTACGTGGTTTTCCTCGATGGGTGTTACTTGGTTCAGCGCAGCGGCAAAGGTGGTTAGACCGTAATGTTTCTCGGCCTTGTCGACGAGGTCGCCTACTTTCCAGGCTATTTTGCCGGTTGCTTGGCCGTTGGATGTGAACTCCAGACTGGAAGTCCACTTCCCCGTTGCTCCCATGGGCAAGGTGGAGCCGGTGCTGTCGAAGACTTCTACGGATACATCTTCTGAGCGCCCAGCGAACATACCGCCGGCTTTGAACATACACACTGCCTTTGCACCTGAGGTTTCAGATACGATTGTCATTGTACCTGACGGCTCGATGTATTTTTCGCCTGCAATGACATTGCGCAAGTATGATGTCGCCAGCGTCCAAGAATAATGCTCCCCAGAGCCGTGAAGGAAGATGCGAACCCGTCCATCGGTGTTGAGCTCGGCGCTTTTACCCCAGAATTTCTGCACTGGCATAGGAGACTGAACGAAGGTCCATTCCTGTGCTTCAGCCTGACACGCCATTCGTACAGGTCGATGCACAACCTTCTCCGCAAAGAAGCGATAGCCTTTGTCTTCGCGAACGAGTTCGTAGGTCTCGCCTAGCATGGGGTTAAAGGGTTTCCGTATCGCGCGATCTTTGACACGAGCGTTGCTAAATGCTGAGATTGCGAAAGCGGCCATGTACACGAGACGTTCACCCGTCTCGGGTGCGGCGTTGACTGCAGCGTCGAGGAGCTCGCTGTATTCTAGTTGCTCGGCGAGGCGTTGGAGGGCGGACATGGGCTCGTTGGCGGACACGGGCATGGCGATGGTAGAGAGATCCTTGCCGACATTCTTTCTGAAGAAGGCTATCAAACTAGGTGGTTGTACCTTCGGTGCTAAGACAGTAGTTCTCCGATTCACGGGCTGCAGAGGCAGAGGCGCCAGAGATGTAGGTCTTCTGGGGAACAACGCGGGCGTTGCTTCTCTTGACATGCGGGGACGATCCATCAGTCCCAAGCCTCCATTCTCCGAAGAGGACTCTGACTCGCCATCAGACTCCGAATCTTGGTCTTGATCGCGATCACGATCGCGCTCGTCGTCTCTACTATCACGTCGAATGGTGAGGAGCTGTGACTTGTTCGCGTTATCATCATTAGCATCGAAGAACTCGTCTACCGATTCTGCGGTCGACTCAAAGCTGTGGCGAGATGCCAATGCTGCGGGTGGTGCGGGCCTGCGTCGTTGCTTGCTTTCGTCGACGAGAGTTGAGAACTCTCTTACAACAGAGTCGAGGTCACGAAGCAACGCCATGCAATTGTCGTGGACACTCTCCTCTTGCGAATGCGATGAAATACTGGTCCGACCATTTCGTTTGGGAACGGAAAGACCGCCGTTTGAGGGTAGGTTTGCAGGTAGGGAGGGGACAGGGGGAATAGCGCCCGGCGAAGCGACCCCTACTTGTGCGGAGACGCTCCGCCTGAACATGCCAGATGGACTTTGTGCAGAGCTACTGGGTTTACGCTTCCAGAATGTCTTTTTCTCCGGCGCTCTGTCATCTGGGAAATAGTCGGTCGCTTCTGATTCTGTGGGAGTCGGTGACAAGCTATCATGAAACTTGGTGGTCCCCTGAGCTGCTGAAGAGCTGTACTTGGGATCCGTATCCTGGGCCAATCTTCGTGCTGCATCTCTCATACCCGCAACTCTTTCCACTAATGTTTCAACTCTTGCCCACTCGTTCTCCTCTGCCCCATTCAGCACATGCGCAACACTCTGATACGAGCTATCCTTGATTTGTAAGGTGGGTGACGATACACGTCCAGCTGTGCGAGATGCCTTGTCGAGGGCGTCTCTCCACATCTTGAAGTCTTTCACATTACTCGCTCTCAGTTGCCAAATCTCTGCTCCAGAATCGACAGAAATCTCCCTCGTGTCCTCATTTGCACCAATTGCTGCCAGTGACAAGGGTATCGCTCCACGCAAAACCGAAGAGTGGTCGTTGCGATAGTATGATAGCGTAGAGGATGTGAAGTCGAGCGAGAAGAAGCGCCTGGCATAGCCTTGATTCCGCTTCCTCCTTTTCTTATGCAGTACTCCGGTCAGGAACGACGAGCTGGATAGGCTGCCCTGTTTCGGTCCAGGTTGAGACTTCGGTTGGTCGGCGTGTGGGTAAGGTAAGGATTCTGTTGACTCGAGAGGCCCCATGGACGGGCTGGATTTGGGAAGACTGGTCGAACTTCCTCCTGCCATTGCCTGGGCATAGTGCATGTGGTGACCCGTCTTGGGGGCCGCATTGGTGGGGTACGTCATGAGAACGAAGGTGGCGGTTTTCGAGACCGTCTTGGAGAACGTGTTGTCAAAGACGAGCCCATACATGCCACCTTCGCCCATCGGAACGTCGAATGTCCCAATGGACACTTGATCGGCCTCGCATTTCCCATGCCATTGTACCTGCTTTAGCCCGATTGCCGAGAGCTTCTCCAAAACGACCGTCCTGTCGTTTCGCGATGTCGATGCTCCGCGTCCGCGGGTGGTGGGTGGCTCTAGGCTAGCTGGAGCAGGTCCAGTTTCGAAGGTTGCGGAGGAAGGAAGGTTGGGGGTGGCGCCAGTCGCTGTGCCTGGGTGTTTGAAGATGCCGAAATTCAGCGACTTCTTATGCGGTTGTATACTCCATGATATGGTGTGACCGGCGGAGACGTTTACCCAGCGAACGAGGTACGACTGGAGCTTGAATAAGCCTAGACGGACTGTGTTCAGATCATGTACGTACCTTGCTATGGATTTCGATATTCTCCATCCCCGCCATGATTGAGGATCCTAGCTGGCAACTAGCGCAGTCCTTCTGGTGGAGGTTTAGACTTGGTTGCGAATTGAGCTTCTGACGCGGGGCCTCGGGTGCTTGAAGATGGCGAAGCTATGAAATGTCCAGCCACCGAGTAACGAAAGCAAGTCCGGCGATGGTGACGATGTCTTTCAGCGAGCTAGTATGGGAAACGGTGGAACAGATATAGGTAGCGCGGGCTCTTGAGCACTCGTCAGCTTTGACGATGGGCTGGCAGAAACCTGTATGTGTCCACGGTTGCGCCTGGGACAGTCGGAGCGCTATACGTCCGATGGACCAAGAACGCGGTAGTTTCAACGGGGACAGCTATTGGCAGATTGTGCGGAGCGGGTTTGATTCAAAGTCCATTCCGAGTGCGTTCGCGCTTATACAGCAGAGGTGGTTTCGTCTTGTCAGGCGGACATGATGTACCTTTCATATGCCTGACACGCGCGGGCTGGGAACATCGCAGCTTGGACCCTTCATTCAGCCCTACGCCGCCCCGTCAGCCACATGTACATTGAATATTATTCATTCCTACTACCCGATTAGATGCTCAGCTCATCCTTCTAATCTTTTCCCTCCTCTGTCATCTGTAAAAGCGCCGAGCACTATACTAACGCCGAGCGCAGTCTCGCTTCTACAATTCCCCGTCGCTCCCAGCCAGCACAGTCTTGTCTCAGGCGTCTGTCGTGATGACGTTGAGCGTGTCTCTGCCGGCTCTGCCTCGGCCAGCGCGCTTTCTGTTCAGCCTCCCGGGCTATCCGACTTGTTTCTGTTCAGCGGTAGTTTCTTTCACCATTCCTACCTAGCGGCCGGCCGAGTCGCGACTTTCTCTACTGGACTGGTCATGGCCTGCAGTTGGCAGCCGGACTGTTTCAACTCCGCTATCCCGCCCTCCACCATGGTTGACCCGATTCCGGCACAAGCCGCCATCGAAGTCAACGCTTCCCCCAGCTATCGTTGGTTCTACAGAAATGCCCTCACAAGACCAGCCTTGGGTTATGTCACGGTGTCCTTCGGGTATTGCTGGTTGTTCGCCATTTAATCGTGCTTTTTGACTCGTGACCACATCTGGCCCTTTGGGAAATATCAGCATCCCTCTCCATGGTTGAGCCTAATACATGCTGACGTTTAATCAAGCATTCCGTATTAGCCATGATTGTCTTTACACCCAGTTCGCTCGAACAAAACACCTAGGTACTTGGGTCCACGGGCACTACTAGGTAGAACTTGAGGCTGCTAGCGCGATCATCGCTTCCACCTCTCCAGCTCTTACGCTTTACCTATCTCGACACGGAGCATCATACCCTCATCACACTACCTGATTGCTTTTTTATACATAACAGATAGCGTTCTATAATTCTTCCGCAACTGTTCGGTGCAGCCTCCGTCCTACCTCCAATTTGTGGGGTATTGTACGTCAATTAAACCAATATCGTCTACCTGGTTCACGCCGGCATGGATCCTCTGTTTCCGCGATCCTGGTTAGACAGGTACTTTGATATTCTTCAGCATCATAGATAACTTCGCCAATTCCTGTCCAGGAGAACTTTGATCTATTTCATTTTTACTTCTTATACTCAGATCATGGTCAAATCAATTGCTCTCGCCCTGTCGCTTGCGACCTCTGTTCTTGCAGCACCATATCCCACGAACTCTTCAGCGTGGTCGGGATGGAAAAACGTCAAGCATTTCTTCGTCTTGTAGGAACCTCTGAATCAAATACCTGCACAAATACTGAATATAACTAAGCGGTGATTCCTACACCCAGACCGGATTCGATGTAAATGGAACGCAGCCAAACCTCTCGAACCCTTTTGGGAACCCGCCATATCCGTACATCTATCCTCTCTTTCGAAAAAAGATACCACTGACAAACCCAGCGGCTGGACATCATCAAATGGCCCTAACTGGGTCGGTTTCTTGACAACTACCTACAACACCAGCGCCCTCCTTACTTATAATCTTGCTTATGGCGGCGCAACTGTCGACTCCGCGCTCGTAACGCCTTACAAGCCAACTGTCCTTTCTCTAAAAGACCAAGTCACAACTGAATTTCTCCCCACATACGCATCGCCCAATGCATCCTTGCCATGGATGCCCAGCTCCTCGCTTTTCGCCTTCTTCATCGGCATCAACGACGTGGGAAACAGCTGGTGGCTGAACAACGCCACTCTATATGACAGTATCTTCACCGTCTACGCAGGACTGCTCGACCAAGTATACGAAGCTGGCGCGCGGAACTTTCTGTTTCTCAGTACACCGCCGGTGAATCTTGCGCCGTTGACACTGAACAAGGATGACAACGGGTACGCGAAGGAGAATGAGGGCAAGGTGATTCTCGACTGGAACAAGCGTCTCAGCGCTCTGGCGGCTGCGTTCAAGGCGAAGAATGAGGGCGTGACGGTTTTCGTGCATGATACCTGGGGTGTGTTTAATGCTGTTATCGAGGACCCGAAGAGCTTCGAACAGACTGCGGGACTGAAGAACGTTACGGGTTTCTGTAAGGCGTATGCAAAGTAAGTCAATTGACAAGGCTGTGCTGAGAAAAGTATGGAGTTACTGACACATTGTTACAGTGGTACGCCTACTTGGTACACGAAAGATCCTAGTTGCGATTACCCCGTCAACGAGTACCTGTGGCTTAACGACTTGCATCCTACGTTCCCGGTGCACAATGCTACGGCTGCGTCTATTGTAGAGTTGCTGAAGTGAGGGGACATCACTGTGAGCTGGTTGAATGGAAGCCATGTTCTGATCTAAGAGTAGAAGCGTAGAAGAAGTGGGAGAGAGCTTTCGCTGTAGATATTCAGATTGCTGTCTTGAGTCATGTCTTAAAGCGTGTATGGCCACAAAGCCGCGATATTTAACCCTTACGAGAAGGCCGACATGTAAATACTCATTAACGTGCATCCCTGTTCATATCACGTCATACGATACATTATATAACACTAAAGTTACAATTCCTCCCTTTTAGAATTATGATCATACCCTCTCACTGACCCAAATCGCCCCCCGACAACCTCCTCGAATCACCTCCGTAAGCGCCTCATACGGTCTCGCCGCTTTCGCATCATTTTCCACCGCGTGGTCCAAATGCTCCAACTCCTCGTCCCGAATCCGCCTCAACTCGCCAATCAACGCCTCCAACTCAGGACCCAAGCTCTCCCCCCTAGCCTCACACTTCTTCGCCCAGTCAACCAAAACTCCAACCTGTTCATTATAATGGGTCCCGATTTCCGTCTCGACAGCCTCGGTACATGCCATTGCAGCTTCGCGGCCCAGGACAGCCGTGGACCAGCCGAGTATGCTGGCGGCGGCGGTCCAGAGCGGCGTCATGGCAGTGGGGCGGATTCGGTGTTTTGAAATGACTTCGTTGAAGTACTTATAATGCCCGGCTTCTTGGTCGTACATGTGCTTCATCAAGGGCCGGAGGTGCGGGTGGGAGCGCGTTAATACCGGAGATTGCGCGGCGTAGATGAGGATTGCGGCGAGTTCGCCGGTCTGGTTTACGCGTAGGGCGGAGGAGAGGAAAGCCCTTTGCTCTTGGGTGAGGGGGCGGATGGGCTTGGTTGGCCCATCTTTCGAGGGCTGGGAGGGCAGTGGGGATTGTGATGGCGGGGCATTCGTTGTATTTGATGGCTGTGGTGTCTGCGCGTGGCGGTATGGTTAGCTAGATGTTAACTTGGTGTGTGAACAGCTAGACTATGTCTAGCTATGCTTGGACTGCTTCGCGCAGCTTCCTGATGGGACTTCAAATTGCTTTATGGTGTATTACAGACACAGCTAGACAGTTTTCCAGCTAGATTTATTATCATATCACGTACAATTGGTGGTTGTGAAGAGCGTGGCGGTGAGGTATGGAATCGCGAGCTCTGGCGTGATACTGCGGATATGGTACATGGGGCAAGAAAGTCCAAAACTGGATAATGGATGCCGCGAGGTGCTCGACACACTAATGACATGGGTGAGAGAAGGGTAGAAGACATGCTGCGTGGCTATTGTACAAAGAAGAGGACAATAGTGATTGATTGTTCAACTGAGGGTGAATGTTGGGCATGATGCGCTCACTACACGCTAGTATGCCCATGGTCCGTGCGCAAGCGTTCAATGTTGGTTCCGCCGTCCAGATATCCTCCACCCTCCTCGTCCTCACCCCTAACCACGACTTTTCCGCCCACCACCGCCTTTGCGACGCTGTTTTCGCCTCCATCACCCGCCAAACCACCCAGAAATCATCGCAAACTCCTCCAGGCCCTCTCCTACCATGTCTGCCGATGATATCGACGATGAGCTCTTCGCCCTCGCTGGCGGTGACGAAGATGCAGACGTCGAAGAAGGCGAAGCGTGAGTGCCCTGTCTCGCTTCTGCTCCTTTGCATCTACCAGCTTTGCTTTTCATCTCCGATCCAACCTCCATCCTTCCATCTATCTCTTTGCTGGCCTCTGGTACCCCCTTGCACAGCATGAAGCTGACCCCGCCCAGCTCGTCGCCCGCAGCCTCGTCGCCCAACTCACTAGGATCGGACGCCATGGACGAGTCCGACTCAGACCGCGACGATGACGTACCAGAACGGAGCGCAGACGTCCCATATCCCCTAGAGGGCAAATACGTCGATGAATCAGACAAGCGCAATATCATGAGCATGTCGCAGCTAGAGCGAGAAGAGATCTTGGGACAGCGCGCGGAAGAGATGAGCAAAGCAAACTTCCAGGCAGAGCTGGCAAGGCGTGCTGCTATGCAGAATGACAGAAAGAGGAAGGCTGACTCCGAGGACCCTGATGATGCGATGCGCAAGAGTAGCCGGCCGAAGGTGCAGCCCAGGAAGAATGAGAAGCTCGAGGCATACAAACGCGAACGAGAACAACGTGGTCAACAACGACAGCGACAAGACGACCGGCGCAACGGCCGCCGGAGGTCGAGCTCGGCAGATCGGGATGGCCCTTCAGATCTCGACGCTGATGGCGACAGTGACGTCGAATGGGACGATCGAGTACCAGAGAAGGCCCGCGAAGAGCTCCCCGCCACGCTGCGCGACTTTGAGTCAGTCCGCGTTGGTAGAGGCTTCTTCTCAGAAGTCTGCTTCTACCCCGGATTCGAGGAAGCCATGACTGGCACCTTTGGACGCGTTGGTGTGGGTCAGGACGCTCAACGGAGGACCCTGTACAAAATGGCTCAGATCAAGGGTAGGTTAGCCGGCATCTGCGAGAGACATCTCACTAACCCATCTTCCAGGCTTCTCCACAGGCAAACCCTACGTGTTCGAAGGCAAGAACGGCCAGCGCATTGCAACAGACCAATACGTCGTCGCACAGCATGGGTCAGTGAAGAAGGACTACCAGTTTCAGTTCTTGTCGAACCAGCGCTTCCTAGAGACCGACCTCGACATTTACAGGCAATCCCTCTCAGAAACGAACGCCAAGGTTCCTACGCAATCCTTCCTACAGCGGAAATACGATGACCTCAAGGCTCTCCAGAACCACTACTGGACCGACGCCGACATCAGCGCACGCATCGCCAAATCCAAGAAATACTCTCACCTCCTCCACCGAAGCAACTCCGATGCTCAACCCAAGATTGCCACTCAGTCCGAAACCGCTGCCGCCCAAATCGCTGAACTCAACCGCAAGAACCGCATACTAGAAGCAGAGCGCGTACGGAAAGCACAGCTTGATCAACAGCGCCAGAAGAAGTTTGAGCAGAAGAAAGAAGCCGCACGGCGGAAGGCGGAAGAGGAGGCCAAGAAGGCACAGGCAGAGGCTATGCTCAACAAGAATAATCTAGACGTCGATGCGCTGTTTGATGGCGATGGAAGCTCGCGGGCGAGTACGCCAAAGCCCCAAGAGAAGAAGAAGACGGAGCGGAAGGGCTTACCGACGTTTCGGAAGCCGAAGATGGATGATGACATTATTGCCAGCATGGATATGGGCGTCGACATTGAGATCTAAGTACTCTTCAGATTCAGAAGAGATCTGGCTTGCATGAGCAGATTCTCTATGCGCCTGTCGTCGAAGAGCTGCAGACGAACGTCGCCCATCCTACGATCATCTTGTGGATCTCCTACCATCTACACGACCACTTGGGATATCGCGACCGTCACTAGCGTCCACGAATCAGATGCTTCTAACTTGACTAGTTAAAAGTTTTGGTTTAGAGCACCTACCTCTGTTCATTTCGGGTTTCTTTCATTACTGGCCTTTATTCCCCAGTCAGGTTCAAACATTGCACGGCGTTGGGAGCCTGGAAACTTGGCGGAAAACAACAGATCTTCATATCTTGCATTGAACTAGAAGACTTTTCGGTAGTTATGCGCTGCGGTGGTTGCGCTACATCATACCCCAATTCCTGACTAGTAGTAATTTAGAAAGAACAACCCTCTTCCTACGATGCTGTTCTTTTCAAGTCGTTGCAAGTATATCATACCTCACATTGATGCTTACATACTTTCTCAAAGTAGTGCTTTGGGTACATGAGACTTGATGGTTTGGAGTGTGTATTTATGTAAGAACAGACAGGCAGACTATGTGGTGTTGGTGTACCAGATGCATCAAATCGTGTATAGTAGACAAAACCGCGTAGATAACCCATTCAGGAGACGATCCGGGGCTCTTAAGATAAATAAATAAATCATCCGTGAGATGAACCTACAGAATACCTCGTATGACAACTCCTCCATATCTATAATACGGAAACGCTAACCTCGCATACTCCAAAACAACGCTCGCTATACATGAAAGAACAGAGCAATTCCTACTTCCTACTCAAACCCACCACCCAAGTCCCCAAGCACACTCCTCATACCTCCCGCCCTCTTCCTTCCACCCTCGACCTTCTTCCTCAAAGCTTCTTTCCTCTTCCCATCCTTCTTCTCTAGCAGAGCTTGTCGCTCCGCTTCTCTCGCTTGCGCGTGGATGTTACTCCTACCCGTGCCGCCTCTCCTCACCGTACTCTCAGTAGGCGTGTTGGCGCCGGAAGAGGTTTGGCTCGTGGTAGAGGAGATCTTGCCTGTCGCTCGCCGAATGAGCGAGGGTAAATTGAAGCCTGGTGTAGTTGTTGCACGAGAGGGTGCGTGGAAGGCCATATTCGCATCTCCGCCCGCCGCTTCTGACATCGTCGACGTCCGCGAAAGTGTGAGGCGGTCCACAACAGGCTTCCGTGAAACTGCATTCAGTGCAGGAGACTCATCGTCGGACTCGGACTCGGAATACTGCGAGTCTGGCACAATGATACGTGAATCTTCCAAGAGCTCGGAAACAGAGTTCTGCACGTCGGCAAATGTGATGGGTTTCCGTGTTAGATTGTCCGACCCAGCGGTGCGGCGGAGATGGGGCGGTGGGCGATTTTCTTTCTGCGAGTCGGGGGCTTTGCGTTTCAAGGGGTTGGCGGGAGCTGGCATGCTTGTAGAATCCGCAGTCTGAGAATCAGGGACGATATCTTCGAACCCGTCGCCCTTCTGGAGATCCTCTTGAGACTGCGAGGTATCCACATCCATGCCCAATTCAGCAGGCATATCTAGGAACTCGTAATCGCCCTCATCTGCAAAGTCCGCTAACGTGTTGAAGAACGCCTTCTTCTTCTCATCATCCGCAATCTTCTTGACACGTTCATCTTTCAAGAGCTCTCTGGACATCTTCTGAAACTCGGCGCGCTTCTTCCGCTGACGCGCTTCGGCCTCATCCTCAGAGTCGGACATGTCGAAGCCATCGCGGCCGCCGGCTTGTCTACGGAGACCACCAGTTTGGATCTTCTTGTAGAGATCGGCAATGTTCTTCTCGTCTTCCTTCTTGGCCTTATCACTTGTGTGTGTCAGTACTTTGTTGTATGCAGAAGGGACTTAATGGTGGGTGGGGACTTACGCGTAGAAGGCAGCGATTTGTCGCTCATCCACATTGACCTCGTTGTGGTCGATCATATCCTTGAGCTCCTGATCTTCTTCACCCTCTTCGTCATCACTAGCACCTCCAAGACCGGCATACTCGTCTTCAGACTCATCAGCTTGTTCCATGACTGCATCCTTGGCCATGCTAGTCTTCTTGTCAAATTCGTCGATAGCCTTTTGCTTCTTAGCGTTCCTTTTCATCTTTGAGAAAGCATCTCTGGGCTTGGGTGGACGCTGGATGTCGTCTTCGTCGCTAGCAACTTCTTCAGCCTCCAAGAGGTCCGCTTCCACGTCAGAGAGCTCAACAACGGCTTCTTTTCGCCCGCGCTGAAGCTTGCCCTTCCTTTGCTTGATCGGCGATTCGGCAGTTGGTATCATGACAGTATCGATAGTTGAAGGTGGCGGGATAAGCCCTGCAGGGGAACGGGAGAACGAAAAACCTGCATCCTGGGTGGGCTCGAAGTCCTCGAGTTGCGTTCGAGAGAAAGCTGGCGAGTTCCTAATAAGCTGGCTGATGCCTAAGCTGAATTGGGATTCCGTGCCAGTTTGCGAATCTTTCTGTGGGGACATCAATGACTGGCTGTTGGGTACCATGAAGTCGGAGGCCTGACTAAAGTTTGCACCAGGCTGAGTATCCGGTAAACTTCGTAGAAAGTCCAGAGAGTCTTGCTCTGGTGCAGGGTTGACAGCAGGTGTAGACTGTGAGCCCGATTCCAGGTTCGCCATGGTACCCGCAAACATTTGTGTCAAGCCAAGTCCAACGTTCGTGTTCCCAAACCCGAATGCTGCCATGGCGTCGTCTTGAGTGGTTTGTTGAGTAGGAGAAGCAGGCTTCGGTGCGTCAGCGTCGCTCTCATCATCGTCATCAATCACCCGGTTACGAGCTCTATTGATTGTCCGCGTGCGGATAGGTGCGCTCGTTTCCTCGTCCTCCATGTCCGCGTCTTCATCGACATGTTGTACTTGAGGCGCTTCTTCTAAACGCTCGTCCTCGTCCGCCATTTCGTTGATGAGGCCATTGGAATTGTCTGCCAAGTCTTTCACTTCAGCATCCTCCTCCTCCTCGGACCCTGAAAGCTCAAGCTCAAGCTCTTCCTCTGCCTCATTCTCCATGACTTCCTCATCCACATTCTCCTCTCCACTTCCAACGTAGTCACCGTCTGATTCGTCGCTAGAAGGTAGACCATCAATAGTCTCCCCATTCTTCTTCGCTTCACCTCTCTCTAGTTTAGCGAGCTTGAGGTCTTCCTGCCTCTGTTTCTCGAACTGTGCCACCATGTCTTCAATCTCCGCTTGGCGCTGCTCCCTCTCCTCTTCAGTCTCAATAGTGTGACCTCGTTGTTTCAACTCAGCAATCTTTTCCTCTCGCTCTTTGTTCGCTTGTTGGCGAGCTTTCTGGGCTAGAGAAAACTCCATTTCAGCAAGCGTGACTAACTTTTGACCCTTCTTCCCTTTCGGTGGGGATCTTATTAATTGAGCTAGAGAACGTAGGTGTAGCAAGGACGCATTTTCATGTTGCTTCTTCGTTGGCAATCGATCAAAAACAGGGAACCTGCTCCTAGCTTGTACTACTCGGGGTTCGTCGTCTGAATCTGATAGTTCCACCATAACGTCATCAGAAGGCTTCGTGTAATCGATTTGAGCTTTCTGGATAATGACTGGCTCTTCCTGCTTCATCCATGGATGTTGGGGAAGATGTTGGAACTCGGGTGCTCGTCCCTTGCCCTTGTCCAGTTTCGTAGACACAGGCGACTGATCTTGGTCCTGCTCAGCGCCCATGGCTGTTGGTGTTGCCATAGAAGTCGGTAAAACATGCTTCTCTAGGCGTTCCTCTTCCCTTGGTGGGCTTGTTGGTGGAGTGTCGTGGACCTGATTTACCTCTGCGTCGGAGGACGCTAGCGCAGAGCTGGCGTCAGGAGTTGGGAGGGCCCCTGTTTCTTCGCCAGGTGCAGTGAAACCCATCCGGACGAACAGGTCTTTTGTCGAGTATCTCTTCTTCGTCTTAGCTTGATGAGTAAGCTGCATATTGCGACTTATCCGCTGCTGATCGCGAGCCATTGCTTCTAACGCCTTCTTGCCGGCCCTGCGAGTTGGCTTAGCCTGTTGGGTGAGTCGTCTGCCATTTTCGCCATCCGTATCACTACCGGACCCTTGATCTACTTGCCGCCGGGCGATCTTCTTCGGCTTCACTTGTGTTGTTTCTTCCTCTTGCTGCTTCGCCAGTCTCTCCGCGCGTATTCGCCGTACCCGCGCTTGTAGGTCAGCATTGTGCGAGGGCTGTGGAGAAGCGTCTGATCCGGACCCAGCATCTGCTACAGTTCGCGACCATTTCTTCGCTGGCGACGCATTTGGGGTTACGAACAGTCCTGGTGATGATCGCCGTGATCGAACGCTCGAGGTGGGCGAAGCGGGATGGCTTGTGGGCTTCGTGTTTTTCGGTATGTTTCGGCGGGCGGTTGTTCGCACAGGCATATCCTCGTCCTCACTGCTTACGACGGTAGTAGCAATATGCGACTCTTTCTGAACCTTCTGCGCCTTTATTGAGTTCTTAGTAGCGGCGAGTCGTTTCTTCAGACGCTCGTATGCAGCCTCTCCGTCGCTCTCTTCCTCGTTATCAGCCGCATTCGGCTTTGAATGTTGCCGTGAAACCGTGGGTGATTGCGTAGTTGGTGGCATAGCTGAGGCTTCGTCTGCAGATACAGAGACATCGTTCTCAGATTCGGTTTCGCTTCCTGAGGACTCTGTAGTCGGTTTCCGTAAAGCTGCCAACAGCTTGGGTCGAGGTTTGGCGGACGCGTCAACTGCGCGTGCCGAGGGCGATGAGCGCGTGATATTGGGTGGTGCTACTGTTGTTTCGCATTCTGAATCCATTTCGATACTCATTGTAGGCAAAATCGCTCCGTTGCCCGAGTATTGTAATTGAGGATCGAGGTTCTATTTGTTGATGCAGTCGACAACGGTGCACGTCGAAGAAGGTAAAGGGGTATAATGGAAGAGTATTAGCAGGGTCTTTCTTTCCGCAGCTGTGGTTGAGATAGAGATTGTTCAACGGAAATAATAAAGATGCTGATGCAAGAAGTGGTGGAGATGTTCAATTGCAAAAGTGCATGGCTGGCGGGGAGACAGCTTGTCCGAGCTTCACGCGACGGAAGTCGCGACGCGTCGCGCGTCTGCCACATGTGGCTTGTAAGCGACGCTATGCTCTTTTCGGCGCATCCACGGATTTTCAACTTTCTCCCTCCTGTGAGAGCTTCTTCAAAACCCGGACTCGGTGCTTGAATGACCACTATACAGTGTCGGCGTACGGATCACCTACAGTTTTTACTAATGCCATCGTTCCACAACGTACATCCAACTTCGAAGCGTAAGCAATTAGATCGCCTTAACTCTCACCTCAGGCTCTGCACCTCGGCTGTCCTACACCACCATGAGATCATCGTCGTTGGACATATTCAGCATCCAGCATTCAGCATCATGGGTCAGGAAGCCGATATGGTACTCCATAGCTGCCGGCCTCGTCTCTACATGGCGCGTCAAATGCCCCAGCTAAAGGCCGAGGATGTCCTCCTATGCTCAGCCCATGGCTATGGCCGATCTTGAAGGCTTCCAAGAGCTACAACATTATTTCACCAATATTGTGTACTTCAGATTAATCAATTCGCTGTGCGAACGATGTTCTAGGCGCAGGCGGCAATTGCACCAAACCCCATATGCGACATCTTTGGCGCGGTTGCTAACAGCTCACGTTTTCGGCTTTCTTTGTCATATTGCTTCTATTCAGCATTTATATGCATCCAGTATCTATATGCCAGCCTGCATATCTTCCAGCATCTGATCCGAGGCCTCCTTGATTAACGAGGGTTTTGATAATAGCCCACCCAGACAGTGGAAGAGCATGGAGAAAGTAATTGACGGCAGTTCACGAAGCATCACTTTTCCTGGTACGCGCAGACTACACATCTCCAGCCCTTTCATCTACCTTTTCATAAAATGTCTTGGGTTACAACGCTGCGTTTCTCATAAGGTGCAGGATTAACGACTACCAATTCAGATTCAAGGAAGCTCACCGACTGACGATCTAATCGTCGTCCGGTTTAACCGTTTAGCCCAGATCCACATTGCTGATCTTGCGCTCCATTGACGGCAACCTCCGAGAAGAAACGTTGACTGGGTTATGGGCATATCTGGGATAATGTCGGCGACCCTTGGTCCAGAAACAAGATTTTCACGACGAACGGACTTTCTCCAACCTCCCCAAAGCTCAGCCCTACACTTCTCTTTCAGCTATGTCTCCCGCACGCAAGCATGCGGCCCCGGCCCGCAGACAAAGTACAGCCGGGTACCGAGCTGATAACAGCATAAACGCCACCTTGAATGCAATCTCCTCCATCAGAGAAATATGATTTCCCTTTATTCTCTCAACTACATCCAGAGACCTGATAGCTCCGATGCAAATTGCTCTCTGCCGCTGAGAAGACGATCTGTCAGTCGAATCAACTTCAGCTTTCTCTCACTTGCTCCCTACTTTTCTTGTGTTTGATCTTAAATGCCAGGGTAATCTAGTTTGGTGCTAAGACGAGGAATAGCTATATGTATTCGTATACCTATAATATGGCTGTCCCAGCTGCGCTCGGGGTTTCCGTTACTGCGCCGCAAAGGATCTGTTTGGTTCACTCGGTGGTAGGTTGGTCAACTCACTTCAGTGGGCGTGGTTTCATCCTATGCAAGATCATAGTCATGGACAAGGGAAAACTCCGTGGCTTTTGACAGACGTCTTTCCTGTTCCGGTCGGAACGTTATGCTCCGTCTGAAAATAGTACAGGTTTTGGCTCTCAAGTCGTCGAACATCCGCACCCCAGGATGAAGGTCGGTTGCCAAGTAGCAGTTGCAAGGTAACCTTGGTTTCGAGCGCTCGCAACGATGGCAGATCACCGGTAGGGCGATCACTTGACGACATGCTAAAATCTGCAGGACTCCTTTACTTATTTCCCACCACGAAAATGACGCAGCCTTGCGACCGAGCGGACCAAGCGCGAACGCTTGTACGAGTACACGTGAGGAGGTAAATTCTCGTTCACAGTCCAATAGGCGCCAACAACTTTTCCTCAAGGACCAAGAACTGGATTTATTTGCAAAACCCATTTGGTTTGAGCTGCTCTGGGCTTCCACAAAGATCACAAGGTGGCAGCAAATATGATGTCAGCTACACCGACAAATTCTCACATTTCAAAACCTACATCAAAGTCATCGTCAAGCGTACGCTCTCGCTCTCATGTCTGGTGTTACCCAGAAAATCATAAATCGCAGGAACGCATCCTGAGACGTGTCTCTGACCAGTGACCGGCTGCACATTGCTCTCACAGGCTGGTGGGGTGATCATTGGGGCTTAGCTCCCATACATAGTGCAAGCGAAGGCTCCAGATGCTCTGACGCGGTTGATCCAGACACCATCTAGCGCTGTTTCACGTTGTTAACCCCTGAGCTCGCTCCCCAGAAGCCCTGCAGCGCGATCGCGGCCAGCACGGCGATCCGCTCAGGAACATCTGTCGCGTTTGCTTTTGCGCGTGCTAGAGGGAAACGCGCGAAACAAGAGGAAATGAGTTGGTCGCCGCGCATTATGCACAAGAATGCGGCTTACCGTAGAGATCTCCGTGCTATATTTACCAAAGCCTTGCGCGGGAGAGATGACATGTCCATGCATGCCTGCAGGCCAAGGCCCTCTCATCGGAACCTTGGACTCTTCTTGAAACCCTTGAAACGGTCCACACGGATGCTCCCCTTCTAAACAAGAGCCATCCGCCTCCACCCGGGAGATTAGACGATCAGTGTCTTCCTAACGGCCTAAGATCCAAGCTTGTACCCTTTCATCCATCGAACAAAAACGCGGCACCTTCTCGAACGCTTCCGTTTCGCGTACTTCCGCCTCCCTTTCGTAGCGACAACAGCACGCTTCCCGCCCAACACGGCCCGCAACCTAACAATTACCGGCATGATACTGGCTTCAACACGCGCATTTGGATAACATGGAGACCGACGAGCCTCAACTTTATCAATACAGCACTCCTCAGCAGAGTAGCACCTTCAAACGCCCGCGTCGCAGTCTACAGAGCTCCACGCCCTTGAGCAGCGTTACCGAAACCGTGTCGTCGTCACCCCGTCACTCTGGTCAGAGTCTTTTCGCTCATCAGGTTATTGATCACATCAATGCCTTGAAACATCTCGATGATCAACAGATCCTGCTGCTGCTACAGGCGGCGCGCAATGGAGGTCAGTAATGGCGCATCCCTAGCAACGCGTTCGCTCACTCGTTTCCAGATGGTATGCGCCTTCCAAGCGCCGACAGGTCGTCCATGTCGACAGTGGGAAGCCGTGCGTCTTCGTATCTAAGCGTACCGTCAAGCAGAGTTCCCAGCATGCTCTCCGACCCACGTTCATCGGTCGCTTCCACGGATTCGTCGTTCACGCATTACAGCGCCGCATCCTCGCGTCTATCAACCGCGTCCTCTCGTCTCTCGACCATATCTACGGCCTCGACACCCGCGCCGAAGAATTTTGCGTGCACATTTTGTGACAAGGCCCTCAAGTCAAAGCCCTACTGGAAGTCGCATGAAGAAGAGTTCCACGAGCAGAGACTCACATGGCGCTGTCCAGATTGCGAGCAGATATTCCACGCAGGAAAACGCTTTCGTGAGCATCACACCAAGCTACATGTACGACCGTTTCCCGTTCTTTAGATTGTGGCATACTGACATATGTTAGGGCTGTGAGCACTGCAAACAACCCAGGGAGAGCGGACAGCCAACAAGCAGAAAAGCATCACCATGCGTCAAGAAATACGAGATTGTAATGCACGACAAAGACGCTTGGGGCTGCGGTTTTTGTGCCTGTCTATTGACCACCTGGGAAGAGAGATGCGAGCACATTGCGTTGCACTTTGAAGAGAAGGGAAGCTCGAAATGGAACTTTACTAATGTCGTCCTTGGCTTGTTAAAGCAAGAAGAAGTTTCACATGCGTGGAACCAGATGATGGTACAACGACATGGAGACGAACCGAACTGGCCAACGCTGGCGTGGGAGTCGAAGAAGTGCAACCGACTGAGATACAAATTGGAAACAAAGTGGGACACCAGGGTGTTTGACACCGAGAAGCTGGTGCAGGATACCTACGACATGGCGGAGATCGAAATTAAGGATGTCGTTGAGCCAACGACCGAGAGCGCCCCTGACGTTTCCGAGCCTACCGATTCTGGCCATGGCGAGATCGTCGAGTTCAAATTGGAGACAGCTGACTATGGGTCTAATCAACGACTCCAAAGCTCCCATGGAGTCCCATCCGACCACACTATGATGGACATAGATCCAGTGGAGCCCCCTCAACACATGCACCACCAAACGTTACAACAGTCGCAATGGCCCGTTAGCACGGACATTTCCCAAAACAACATGAATGCGGCGGTTGGAATGGGTGCTTTCAGTGGATTCGATACCAACATGACGACCCTTCCGACAGACTACTCCCAGCCTGTTGCTCAGGGCTTTCAACAGCAGCAGACTTGGCCAAATGCAGGCTTTGTATCTACGCCTGATCTCATCAACTTCCAGCAACCGACTTCGTACTTGAACTACAACCAACCGAAGGAGGTCATCTCCGTGCCCACGTCCCAATACGCCAATTTCGCACACTACCCTCCTAGACAAAGTCTCCCACCGAATTTCCTCCAACAGCATCCCAGCACCCCGACATCGCGTCGGTATGTGCCAAAGCTGATCAACATATCAAACTCGAGTCATCGTGGGCTACAGCAAGAACAACCGCCGCCTCCACCTCCTAAGGATGACCACCAACAGAACCGATTTTCGCGGATGATCATGCGACGTCGTCCTAGCAACATATCACAGCATAGTCTTGTGTCGCAGCGGGACATGGGCGGGACATGGAACGATGAACTCAACTGGGGTTAAATTTCAGCAGTTCTTTCCCCTTTTCGACTTGAAAGCCGGCTGGTTCGGCACCGCACATTTACGCTCTCCTTTACAGAAACAAAATAAACCCTCACTGAGAAAGTGACTCCGAACCTCGCCCCGTTTCCCGACGCGAGCTACACGTCACCTCAACGGAGCCAGTATCTTCCCTTTCTTTCCTTACGTACAATGAATGTTTGAGCGGCGATGGGAAGATGTTATACCCATGATGCAGCGTTATGCACGATTGATTTTGCAGAGATGAGTCTCCGTGTAGTTAGTGTTTTGCACCTAATACCCCCTTTTCGTCACACTGCTACTGAGGTTCATGGCATGTTGCAATGCGATTGACGTAATGATGCTGGACGGCAGGCTTGGGCAAATACCATAGATAGAGTTTAAATAACTTCAAATGTTTCTTACTTAATACGTCTCGATCGATATACCTTGGTATCCATCAATTGCATACCCGAGCCTAACCAAGAACAGCTGCAGCTGTCAAGGCCCAGCCAAACCCGATCTACAACCAGAGGGTTGCCGTCCGGCAGCGCTAGTGCTTGCCGACAGTTTGTTCCCCGCGCAGCTGCACATTGAGTCATCCATTCCAGGCGTCCGATTACAAATTCCCCTTGTGCGACTTAAATTTGAAGACAAGAGGCTTACTGCGCATACCTGTGTTCGGACTTCGGTCAACGTAAGCTTTGCAGCAGTCTAAAGTTCGGCCTTGAAGACGCCCATAAGATTGCGCAAACATTCCGAGAACATACTTGCAGCGTTCCCAGAAAAACAGAAGCAAGACCGAATCTTGATCGCTTTCAATTTTTCAGGAATTGCATATCGATCCATTTCGACCTCAGGGCGGGCGTCATCACAATGGCGCTTTCTAATGCCACACAAGGAGCAATCATACTGTCGGCTTTCTTCCTACCGATTCTGACATATATTTACTTCACACGAAGTCCGCAACAAAAGAATGCAGCTGGGCCTCTACCTCCACCAACCGAAATTACCGCGCTACTCATACACCCGATCAAATCATGTCATGGCATCTCTGTACAGTCGGCGAAGCTATTACCCACGGGGCTTGATCTCGGTACGTCTCTCAAGTTTTGCGTACGCCTGCAGCACTTTGTTAGGGCTTTCCGATTGCTGTCTCAATTCAACTAGCTCTACGAAGTGATCTATGACTATTGGTCTCCATCCCCGGTCAAATGAATGCTGACAGTTATCAGATCGCCAATGGATGTGGGTAACATATCCTGACTATGAATTCCTCACTATCCGCCAAAACTCCAGGATGACCTTGATCCGAACTTCCTACGACGCAAAAACAGACACCCTAACCGTTACCGCGCCGGCTCCAAACACCATCGACGAGAAGCTAGAATTTTCGATTCCAGCTCACCCTTCGGAAGATTGGCTTTCCTCAAACACCGAATCGCATGGAGCTAAGATCTGGAACAAATGGACGTCTTCATGCGTGTACTCTACCGACCTCACTGCTCCTTTCAACAGGTTCTTTGGTAAAGAAGTTAGGCTGGTGTACAAACCGCCATTCTCCAACGATCCCAGGACATTGGCCTCGAATGGAGCAAAGCAAGTCCTAGGAAGAGATGCCTCAACATGTTTTCCTGATCTCATGCCTCTTCTTGTCGGCAACGAGAGCAGCATCGACGAGCTCAATACGCGCCTGAAAGCTGCAGAAAATATCACCATCGACATCCGACGCTTCCGGCCAAATATCATTGTCAGGGGCGATGCAAACGCACCCTGGGACGAAGACCGTTGGAAAACGCTCAAGATTACGCCCAAGTCCGGTAAAGGATCGATTACTCTTGATATTACGCAACGCTGCGCGAGATGCCATGTTCCAAATGTCGATCCTGATACAGCGGAGGAGCACAAGAGGCAACCGTGGGATACACTCATGAAATATAGGAGGATTGATGAGGGGATTACGTTTAAGCCTTGTTATGGCATGTTGTGTGTGCCTAGGGAGACAGGCGAGTTGAAAGTTGGCATGAATTTCGAGGTAACGGAAGTCACAGATAAGCATCGATATATTACCGGCTTTTGAGGGTGCTCACCTGGGAGATGCTAGTCTTTACCTATGGAGCAAGTCTTTCAATTGACCTAGGACGCAACCCGCACGAAGAATTAGTTTCCAAGTTCATCTCTTAAAGAATACCACATGAATTTAGAGTACGACAATTTGTTTCTTGGGGCAGCTTTGGTGAACCAAACTTTCGTGCGTTATATGAGTCGATCGGGCATCGATTCATCCCTATCTCACGTTCCGTTGAGATGAAGAGCAGGTTATCAGGAAGAAACTCGGAAGAGACATGTATATTGTAACGGCTGATTGGCATTTACGAAAAGCCGTGAATATGTCTAGCTCTCCATATTAGAAACTGCGTGTGATGTTCCTATTTCAACATGATGCTAGTGTTGTCCGCCAGCCCGAGGCATTTCGCGCATCGGAACAAAGCCCGTGTCTGCGCCGGAAGAATTGACGGCTAAAGCGTACATTCACGACATCATCCTTTTCTTTTCTCTCAACTGACCCGTTTTAACACCGCGATTGAGCAATACTATGACGGTCTTGGATGCAACAGACAGACGCTTGGCCCCAGGATAGCCGTCCCGACGGTTAAATAGGCCAGCTCTCCCGCGCCGTGGGGCAACACACCCCTCCATCCATAAAGTCATGGCGAAGCCTACATATAGCTGCTGTACAATTCGGTTGCCCACCAGTACCACTCATATCCCTATCATCGACCGCTGAACCCTATACACCATGGCCGACAAGAAACCCATCGTCACCCATGTCTTCACCGCCGACCCCTCAGCCCACGTCTTTAATGGCAAACTCTACATCTACCCCTCACATGACCGCGAGACAGATATCAAGGATAATGACAATGGCGACCAGTACGACATGAATGACTACCACGTCTTCAGCATGGAGGAAGTAGGCGGCCCAGTAACAGACCACGGCGTAGTCCTCAAGCAAGAGGACATCCCCTGGGTCCAGAAACAGCTTTGGGCTCCCGATGCAGCGAGCAAGAACGGCAAATACTATCTTTTCTTCCCTGCGCGGGACAAGGAGGGCGTGTTCAGAGTCGGTGTTGCAGTGGGAGATAAGCCCGAGGGACCATTCAAGCCCGAGCTGGAACCAATCAAGGGCAGCTTCAGCATCGATCCCGCGAGTTTTGTAGATGATGACGGCGCGGCGTATCTCTACTTTGGCGGTATCTGGGGAGGGCAGTTACAATGCTGGGCGAGCGGCGCGTACATCAAAGATGACTATTCGACCATGGAGGCGCAGGAGGGCAATGCGTTGACGGCGAAAGTAGCAAAGCTCAGCGACGACATGACGTCGTTTGTATCAGAGGTCAAGGACGTGGTTCTTCTCGATGAAGCGGGCGAGCCGATCAAAGCCGCTGATCACGACCGCCGCTTCTTCGAGGCTGCTTGGCTCCACAAGTATAATGGGAAGTACTACTTCTCCTACTCCACGGGCGATACGCACTTTTTGTGCTATGCGATAGGCGACAACCCCTTCGGTCCGTTTACGTATGCAGGCAGGATACTCGAGCCTGTTATTGGTTGGACGACGCATCATTCGATTGCTGAGTTCAAGGGCAAGTGGTATCTGTTCTACCACGATTCTTCGCTGTCCAAGGGTGTGAATCACCTGAGATGTGTCAAGATTAGGGAGATTGTGTATGATGAGCAAGGCAAGATCAAGTTGGCAGAGGACCAGCCAAAGGTTTAAAGGTGTAAATAATTAGCATAATGTACTTCTCTTCAATATTCTCTTCTAGGGGTAATATCTGAAGTTGCGAGTGATTCGCTCTTTCACAATATTTAAGCCATGCCAGGCAATACGAAAACGCCGTACCATACTTTGCTTCATATCCATCATGTCTCATGAACCAATTATGTACATCATATAAATAGAATATAGAAATCGGTACAACCTCAACCTAGCACTCAACCCAGCTAAGTCAGATCCAGCACCTCAACCTCGCTCTCTCGCCACTTTCGTCTCTCTTTTCCTTTGAGCTCAGCATTTGCGACACCCTCGCCCACCTTTGGCGGACTATCAATATCCACAAAGTCCCATGCACCAGCGACACTTTCTCGTAGTACAATCTGCCGCTTTTTCTTTTCCCGCGCTTTCCATGCCGCTGGTGGTGATGTTCTTATGCGAGGCTTCGGTGACGTGGACTTGTGATTGCGTGGAGAGCGGCGGAGATTTGAGGGGGGGCTCTGAGTAAGCGATGGAGAGAGTGGTGTGGTGGTTTTTGATACTGGTGCGGGAGGAGATACAGGGGAGAGTTCTGATAGGTCCAATGTGTCAACCTCTGGTGACATAGAGTGTCTTGCAACGGGAGGTGGGGTTGTAAGATCCAACGTGTCGATCTCTGGAGAGGCGGATGCTGTCTTGTTGAGACGAGGCGAGACGCGTTGACTCCGAGTGGTAGTTGTGGCGTCTTTAGTGCTGGACCTCTTGCTCAAAGTTGAAGATGAGGACGATGTAGAACGCCTAGAAGTGTGTGAAGCGTTGGAAGATAACGAGATTGATGGCGGCCGCGTGTACGATTTTGGAACAGTCTGTCGGAGCTTCAAAGGAAGAGGGTTCTGTTTCTGTAATAGTAATGGCGACGAAAGAGTCAAATCTAATGTGTCGACACCTTCGGCAGATGGTCGAAGTTCTGGCGGTACAGATATAGGTGCTGCATCAATTACCGGCGTAGCATCTCGTAGCTTTGTAGGTGTTGCCGAAGCTCGCCATGTATCCAATGTAGTCTGTCTCGACTTTCCTGGGGCTGAAGTGACAGAAGTACCGCGTAGGGCTCTCATGAATGGTACAGTTTTCGCAGCTTGTGCTTTCGCTCTTTTTAGGGGAACCTGTGAGAGTGAAGGAAGTACAGGTGAATCCTCCAAGTCCAACACTTCTATAGTGTCTAATGGTGGTGTGTTTGGCCGACCGAACGAAGTAGTAATATCGGCCGAGAGTGTGTGGGAGCGCTGTATCGGGGCTCGCCTTCTCTTCATCACGCTCGGTGGCAGCACTTCCATGACTGGAGACAGTGACTTCTCACGTACCGCCTGGGGTGCTGGTGTTGTGCGTTGTTTTCGCACAGGCGACGAAGATAGTAAGTTTACCACATTTCTTTTTGCTTGTGGTGCAGGCTGCGATGGTGGCCGGGGGGGGCCAGAACTTTCATCTTGCGTCTTCGCTAAGGATCGGGACAGCTTCACGCGAGGCTTGGTGACTTTTGCAAATCGTTCAATGGCAGCCTGTGGTAGATCTCCCGTAGTTTTCATCCTCTTCGCACCACTCCTCGCCTTCGGTGCAGTGTTACCAGAGTCTTGCACCGTTGCTGCTCGCCTTGGTTTTAGCTTCGTCCGTCGTTCCGCTTCCCAATCTTGAACCTTCAACGGCACTCCAATCTTGACAAAGGTCTCCATGACCCATATCCTCGCAGCCTTTGCAGGGTCGAACTTTGTGGGACCGCGTTTCTTACCGTCATCTTCAAGATCCAAGGGCAAGTCGTCGTCTAGATCAACTTCGCCCATCTGTGAGTTCGGGGGCGGTGCATCGGGCTCATCATCGGGGTCTTCCTTACTGATGTCGATCTTCACAAGCTCAATAGGGTTGAAGCTTACACGAAGTTCCGTACTATTGTCGGTAACCGGGTGAGTTCGTTTTCCGTGAATCCCCTTGACAAGGAGTGCTTCGTCTTCTTGTATGGCCTGAAGATCAGACGTAGGGAATCGATCGAGCTTTTTAGCTCGCATATGTAGTTGGCGCACGAGAAGAGAGGGCGCAAGACTGCGGATGAAGTGTTTTGCGCCTTCCAGTTTAACCCAATCGAACGCATCGTGGGTAAAGTCGCGTAGGCCTGGGAAGTCAAGATCTTGGTCCCAGTTGATCGATCGACGAAGTTTATCCAGTCCAGCCTGGTTGGAAATGGCCGGATGCGTGTAGTATCCTAGAATATCCAGTCGAGGAAAGTCGTGGGGAATTTTTAGAGCGCCGTGCTTTCGCTTGAAGTGCTTGCTCTCATTCGACTTCAACTCGTGCTGTAGTCGCTCTCGCCACTCTGACAGAGCCCTGGCATCATTCCTCGGGATTTTGCATAGGTCGCTCCCAAAGCCAGCCTTCGCGGCCTCGCATGCCGTCTTTGGACCGCACCCGGGAATACCTTCGGGAACATAGTCTCCTCCACTCATCAGCGCGACCAAAATCATGCCTTCCCGATCCAAGCCCGTCGGCCCGTTCTTTGTCTCGACTGCATCATAGACATTGACATGCGTCGGCGTCTTGCCTGTCTTCTCTGGCGACCAGTTCCGAATGGTGATGCCGCTTCCAAACATGAGAGTATCCACATCTTCACTCAACACGGCATCGACTATGCCTTCGCGCTGTAATAACGCGCATTCTGCCTCTGCCTCTCCTGGCGCTAGGTGTATAGGATAACCAAATTGTTTCAGGAGCTGCTTCGCTAGGAATTCGGGTATAGATGCGACATTGGGGCCGGTGCGTTTGTTCCGTTTGAAAGGTGGCTTGTTTGGTCCGTCGAATACGAAGACGGGATGAATAGCGAGTGCGATCAAACGAAGGAGGCGGTAGTAGAAGGTGCGCAGGGCGGGATTAGTGCCACCTGTTTGCCGTCAGTGTCTCTTCTACATCCACGTGCGATCCAGACTTGTATACCTTTGCTTGCTTGTATCTGGAAGAGCCAGATAGATGTGTCGATGGCAATGCGCAACGGTCTGCCGGTCTCTTCAAACTTCTCCACGGCGAGTTTCGAGAGGGCTATGCGCTTTCCGGGCCCGATCTCCTTGTAGATTCTGTGCGCATCAGTACAAGTAAGCAGGTTAGTAGAAAAGTACGATACTCACCCATGAATGCCCATTGCGAATCCATGCTCGACAATTGGGTTGTCTGGCTGGCTGTGTCGAGGTGATGCGCCCAGCCGGCACCGATAAGATTGTTGCTAGGGCGACTGCGCGTAACACGTCCCGCCTGCATCCCAAGAGCAGCACGTTTCAACGCCACCACAACTATCGCTACCAACAATACACCCATTCCTCGGAAAACGCCCTAGTTATGGCGCCTCGAGGTCGAAGTACGATTGCGAGCCATGATGGCGACCGCAGTTACGACTCAAGCCCGGATCCTCTGGCCCTCTCTACAAACGAAAACACCGCCAAAGCGATGCGCCAAACAACCCAGAGAGAGCCGTTCACTGCGTCTTCGCCGAACAAGCAGAACAACAGATTGGATTTGTCGGGGGTAGACTTCTCGTCGCCCTCGAAATCACTAATCATGAACACACCACGAATGGGCAGCGCAAGCCCGTGGCGCATCAAAGTCACTGTACAAGCTGAGCCCGGAAGCGATGAAGAGCACGCCAGATCCCCAAGTGTGAAGCGATTTACAAGGACGAAGACCACCACCGTACCATTGAAGGATCCAGACGCGCAGTCTCCAGCTAAGCGCCCGCGTGGACGGCCGAGGAAGTCAGATGTAGCAGCGGCTGCTAGGCCCAAGCGAAGCGGAACACCACTGAAGAAAGCATCAAGGTCCGATTCAAGAGATGCAAGTTTGGGGGCCGTGGAATCGAGTGCGGGAGATGTAGATACCGATGTACCGCTCAAGAAGCGGAGGGGTCGCCCGAGGAAGAGCGTACAGCTACCGGCTGAAGACGACGAAACGTCGGTGGTTCAGGTACCGGAGGCTCGGGGCGCATACTCTTTGAACGCGACACCGGAACCTGTCATGAAGTCGAAATTCTCGAGCTCAAAGAAGAGCACGCGCTTTGCCACCCCAGAGACACTCATTCCACTTATCGAGACCACGGATGCCACACCACAGGTAGTACCAACCGAGCTGGGGAAGACACTACGTCCCCGCAAAGGCACTCCACACTCGAAGAAGGCGATCTTTGTCGAGCCGATATCAGATGAAGGGTCAGATGAAGGCAGCGACCTCCTCACTCCATCCAGCGGGGACGAAGATTTCGAACATACAGAGACAATGCAGAACACTATTGTCCCAAGAGCGATGTCAGCAGACCTGCATACACAAAGCGAGAATTCCTCTACACAATCGAGTGAAGAGGAGCATAATGCCCTGACCGGCACTGATGACAATGATCCCGACGTGCCGCCAACTCAAATGTTCGAGGATGATGACGACGACGAATTTCAAGATAATATGAACTTTGCTTTTGACGAAGGCGCTACAAGGATGCCAGATGACACAACCGTCCTCGATAGCGAGAGCTTCAGCATGATCTCTGTGGACTCTTTACCTAATAATGGAAGTTTGAGCAGTCCACCAAAGGCCGAGGACGTGCAGAATACTGCAAAACCACGCATCGGATCTTTGCTTCAGCACGAGTACTTGCGACCAACTACAAACAGCTCTAATGCATCTGGGTCTCAAACGACCGATAGAGCCTCGTCAGACCTGAGCTACGATGCAGCATGTCTGCTGCCGATCGACACATTACACCCGGTTCCATCACCACGTTACAAAACGCCTGCTATTGACACTGAAGTCCCACAAATCCCGCCAGCTATTAACCCAGTACAAACCAATGTGCCGAAAACCGAAACCCCAAGGCTCGGTCGAGTGGTAACGGCTGGCGTCGTTCTCCAAGGCGTTCTGGATCCCAGTCGCTTGACACCTCAGCCTTCGCAGAAAGCGCGCGATGAGAAGCGCGATGAGCTTGATGACCTCTTTCGAGGATTTAGTGAGGGCACGCGAAAGGAACTGCAGGCAGGTCTTCGTCTGGGTGAGCAGCTTGCACAAGATCAAACAAATGACCCTGCTTCACCTGGCCCCTCCAGCCCTATCAAAGAGGAGCCTAAACTAGCACTTAAAGAAGGCATCTTCAGAACTCAGCGAAAGTATCGCCAGTCCCGTCTTTTGACGCCTGAGGAACGCGACGATCATATCACCACACCCGCGGGGGAGTCCGTCGAAGCAAACGATGTTCAATATCCATCTTTGAATGTCGAAGACGTAGCAAGCTCGCTAATCAGTCCTGCGAGTAGTGAAGATGAGATGAGCTGGCGGATTGACACTCCTCCTGTTGTCATAACAAGTGCCCAGCGCGAGCGCTTCGAGAACGCTAGTAATGAACGTCGACGCCTGCTTCGTGGTCGTGAAACCGCAAACGCGGGCGAGGCGACTCAGCGTACGCAGCAGGATGATTACCCAGACATCTGGCAAGAGGAGGCCAGTCGTTCGTCCAACTCGTTGGAAGAAGAAGATGTACCTCCGGAGGTATCTCTGCAATTACAGGATATTTTTGCAGATGATGGTGTAGTTAAGCCCGCTCGTGGAAAGCTTCCCAGGACGTGGCGTCGCAAAAGTGCAAACAACTTCCAATACAGTGACGAGGCAGAATCTCCTCAACAGCTGTCGCCCCCACAAACGAAGTCTTCTGAGCCGGTCTCAGCAAGTGTTCATGAGGGTAAAGCAAAGCTAGCCGAAATTACTGTTGCTGAAGATGGAGAGATGGAAGATGATGATGAGGAGGAGGAGGACAGCTATGCTAGCGATGCTAGCGACGATACGGGCATGTTCTTTCAATCAAATATGCCCAACATCTTCAAAAACAACCGAGCTACTGAACTGAAGCAGAAGAAGGTAGACAAGCCGAGTCTTTCTACATTATTGAATGAGGGTGAAAGCCTAGTTCCAGAATCCTCACCTCCAGTCGCAACAAAGAACTCGCTTTCTGCGACAAAGACAAATCCATTTTTAGACACACCACCTCGCTTCCCAGGCTTGCCAACGTCACCAAACAAGAGTAGCCCGTTGCGTCGGGAGCTTCGTGGATCTGATATCTCGTCCGACTCTCCTTACCGTATTACAGACGAGTCATCGTTGCCACTTCCACAGAGCTCACCATTCCATACCATTGTAGACGGCGAAAGTATGCTTTCGGTAGCCTCCGACCAGCGCCAGTTCCGCGTCGAGATGGAAGGTTCGACGACTTCCAGCATCCGGCGTGTACGCAATGAGGCGAATGAATACCTTGATGCTTATGAGCCGCAACAACGTAGTCTCAATGAGATCACTGAAATCACTGAACCGAGCAGAACTTGGCATAAAGACACAACCGTTGTCCTGCCAAGTCCACCGCCGAAACAGGAGAGCTTTGCGCAGAGCATGCTATCTCCAACTCGTAGACCAGTGTCACTTTTTAGCAGCCACAGGGAGTCGCATCAGATGGCAGCAGCCATGCCAATGCACGCTGAAGATGGCACAGAGGAGACTGGGACGGATGAGAGCTCGGTGTACGAAGACACAGACGCCAGTTCAAATTCGGGCGCTCAACCTTCCAATAGCACTGAACCCACAGAGCAACATGAACAACCCACCACAGGCATTTTCAGTCGCCTAACGTCTACCTTATTCGAAGCACTCAGTCGCCCAGCTACGGCAGCCGCACACCCTATTCTCTCCAGACTTACTCCTTTGCCCAGGATAGAGCCCTGGACGAAGACACACTACAAAGCCCTCGACAAACTCTACACCACACACCTCAAACACCCCGCTCTCTTCTCGCCCTCTATCAAACCAGCAACGCCTCTATCGCAAACCAACACCGACCTCCTCAACCAGTTTCTTTCTACGAGCAAGCATGCGTACGTCGGAGCAGTGTATTCGGTATGGGGCTACAGCATGGTCATGAGCGAGGAACTGGTTGTGCTGTGCGCTGTGTATATGCAGTCGCTAAGTTTGAAGGGCATTGATGAGTACGAAAATTTCAATCAGAGAGAGATTCAGATGGGTGATTGCGCGCCTGGTAGGAGCGGGGACGCGATCAGGGGTGATGACGTTGTGAAAAGGCTAGCCACTATAGTCATTGGTGAGGCTGTGCGGAGGGATGAGAAGGCAGGGAAGGAGATACACAGGAGAGGAGCTCTGACGGTCGCGTGGCCGCAGTGAGGGCTTGATGTGAGGGTGTGTGGATGGAACCTTGCTGGGAGTATTGTCCTTAGAAAGGTGTTTGGTCTTGAGCGGGAATGTGTGATAACGGCCGACTATCTATGGAGTTTGGAGTTTACTGAATGGGTTTCATGCTATGATACCACAATACTCAATTTTATCTTGGAAATGAATGTTTCGGCGCCAATATAACATGTATAAAAGAGAAATGTTTCCCTTTGCCCAGAGTTGCACATCAAATCAGAACTTGATTACCTCGATTGAACGTGAACCTGCCGTAGTTCGTATAGTCCTTGCATGTTAGTCGATTCCTTTGTCGCAAGTGGTTCCAAGAGCTCAAGGCCTTTTACGTTTCCTAGTTCCCATTCTTACACTATGCACGAGCTCAACATCCTGCATTTCTAGCGGTCGCTTCTTCTGCTTGGCAAGCAGTTGCGCGGTCTTTACAGTATTCTTGATCTGTCGTCCGTTCAGTGGTGTTTTCGCTAAACTTAGCAGCTCTTCCTCGCTCAAATTGCTGCTATATACGCCGTCATAGGAAGGAGTCATAAACGTTCGCCAAATGTGCAGACGACTCTGTTCGTCCAGTGTTGGGTAATCGATCGTAAGATGAACTCGCGATTCGAAGGCTGCATCGATCGTCGATACACGATTCGTAGTCAGGAACATGACACCCTTGAAGTATTCGAGGTGTCGGAGAAAGACTACTCGATTGATTAGTCTACATGGAAAAAGTAGGGAAATACGGTCAGTCCAGTTTGACGTACTTGAGACTAGTCTATTACGACGGATGTCCGTAGTAGTACGTCTTTCCAGGAAGATGTCACACTCATCAAGCAGCAGGATTGCACCCCACTTCGATGTGAGTCCAAGTACTGAAGTTAGTGACCCCTCGACTTCAGACGCCGTTTCGCCGAGCTCGCCAGCGCTCATACTGTATAGGGGCTTTCGCATCTTCTCTGATACTGACACAAGTCAATGCATGTTTAATATTTCCGACAGAGAAAGGCTTACCGGACTCGGCTGTAAGTGTTTTACCGACTCCTGGTTCACCACTGAGCAGCATTATGAAACCTTGCCCCTTGCCCTGAATGATGTCATCGAAGGTAACTTCTCCGGATAGCTGTTCCTCTACAAACGCATGGATAATCTCTTTATTTCCGTGCGGAAGTACTAGTCTACTGAAGGCTTGCTCATTCCATCTAATTGGGGCTGTGTTGTTTACATAGAATTCCGCTTTGCGAATTAGCGTAGCAGAACCAAATGAATAGTTGACTTACCCCACTTCTTCGTCACTAAGCAGAAGCCCTTGACTGTAGCAGTACATAGCATCAGCTGCTCGGCTGTGAGCTTTGAGGTACTTGTGCCCGTAAAGAGTCTGTCGTCGTATTGCTTCACGATGGAACTGAATCTCTCGAATGCCTTCCTGGTAGCACGGCGCATAACATTCAATACACCGCCGATAAGATCGCCATCATCAGTTTGCTCGTTATGGTCCTCGAGTGGTTGAAATCGATCACGAAGTATTACTTTTTGAGAGAACATGACAGAGTCAACAATGATCCGGCTGTTATCGATATGGTGTTTTCCGTTTGTACCTAATCGACTGGGTTGACTATGGTCGAGAAAAAGACCAGAGTAGGCTAAGTGGTGAAAACCATTGAGGTTCTCAAACTTCTCTCCCCGTATTTGGAGTCTCCGTACCAGCCCTTCTGCGTCCGGGTGTAAATGTGCAGGGAAGATCTCCAACTTCGTGATCTCTCTAACACCTTCAAAACTGTATAAATTTGTTCTGTGATGGACGAAGCCGAACTTCGTGCCGTCGCCATCAATGTACCGGCATTTGACGTACATATAGCGGGTGCCATCTACTTCAACCCCATATGCAGTCTTTACCAGACTGAAGATGCGCTCTTGACCGTCAAGTTGCGAGAAAACGTTGGTTCCAGGAGGGAAAATTGCCCATAGGTAGTCGAACGAGATTACGCCGTTTTTGGTAAAGTCTTCCATTGTTTCGATGTGTGGAAATATCTGGCTGTGAACCAGCGGAAATATGAATTCGAGATGCTTCCTTGTTGGTTCGTCCTTCTCCTCCTCCATTAATCGTTCGAGCCAGTGCCATCTGTAGTAGAACTCGTGAAATGGAGCATAGAATCTCAATTCCTTCAACTTGGTACTGATACCCTCGTATCCTTCAAACATGCGATTAAGCACTTTCCGTAAAAGGGGGCTCTGGACGACAATTGAGTGGAGCACGAGCGCAGGCTTTGGTGGTCGTCGCTCTTTATAGACAACAATAGCGCGTTTGAGTGATTCTGGTGCTGTTGCAATGTCTCGTGGGACATTATCTGGTATCCATTCGTCCCACTCGTCATGGGGTTTCTCGCGATAGAGCTCACCAACCTCCAAAGTCATTCCTAACTCGCTATCGAATTCGACCTCGTCCTCGCCCTCACCCTCAGAGTCGTAGGGGCTCTCATAATCCGCCATGACGTGTTTTGTTGACACAGATATCAATAAGAGGAGCGATTGTCTGGGAAAGATGAATGAAAGAAGCTATGTATGCTGTTGTTGCCTAATCCGAAGTTGGTGGGGGAAGGCTCATGGGTCGCTTTCCACTGCCACTTCTATTGGCTTACTGAATAGCGCGCGCCTTCGTGTGAAGCTTGGATTTTCCGGTGAACAGCGGCCTAGGTATATCTGTAAGTCTACCTCCCACTGGATGGAAAGTTCGCCGGATGCAGCGCCTCCAAATATCGGTCAGCGTCTCGTTGAGCAACCCCGCACTGTCCCGCCCGCTTTAGCACGGCTACACTTAGATTCTTAGGAACAGAACTGTCCCGTTTGATCGGTGTTGATGATGGCCAAACCCTCGAATGAGATGATTGACGACACGAGAGGAGAGCCTTGCACTGTCACTGTAGCTCAAATCTCGCCTTGGATCGATAACATAGCGAAGCACAGAATTACGCAACTCCACACAAGAGGATGGGCACGTCGCTTGCGTTTCCTGACCTTCGATGGTCCTGGCTTTAGTTCACAAGATGGGCCAGCACAATGTGCAAGATGCGAGCTGGGCGTGCAGATCCCGCGTAATAGTCATTTCTGCAATTCTCACCGTCGAGTCAACCGGAGTAATGTCGAGAAGGCCGCGAACGATTTGCAAGCATGTAACCATATTGCCAAAGTAACATGCTCGTACTGCAAGGATCTACCACTGTTTCCGAATCAAGAGAAAGCGACGAGATTTAGAATTCGCCGAGTCATTTCACGAGAGCAAAGTCATAGACATGACTTCGATGATGGTTATATACCAAAAGAACCAGGCCATGGAAGAAGTACGGGAGATCATGATGAATGGCCATGTGGCCATTTTGTGGCAGTATCTTACTGCTGGGCGGCTCCATCGACGCCTAGCAAAGGTATGGATACGAAGACAGAAGTGCCATATCGCATAACGGAGGAAGATGGATCGGTCAGAGACGCTCGAGCTTCTAAGCAAACAATACACCGTGCAGTAAATTTTGCGGCGCAGAATGGCTATCGAATGATCTGGATAGACCAAGAGTGCATCCAGCAAGACGACGAATTCGAACAATCAATTGGTGTCCAGGCAATGGATGCCGTTTATTTGTACGCCCATATAACCATCGGACTCTTCTCAGCGATTCTAGACCAGAATGAATGGGAAGCGATGTTGTATTGGAGCGAAGCTATCAACCAACATTTCCAGATTTGCAGCCGCGCGGGTCCAACGCCACGCCGGCTAGTCATTCGCGCTGAAAACTTATCAGCGGCTTTAAAGAAGGTGCTCTCGGATATCTGGAATACACGAGCTTGGATTTTACAAGAAGCTATCGCTTCTACCGGCAAAATTGTCCTCCTATTTCCTCTGGCCAAGCCAATATCACGAAGCAGACTACAGCTTGTATGCCACGAGAAATCCTTCACTGAAATCTGCGTCGACTTCGAAATACTATACAAAGCACTCAACATATCTCATGGAATACTTCTTCCAGATCCTCCTCAAGGCTTTCCCCGTGAAGAGATGCAGAAGAAGCTAGCATGCTTTCATCCTGGGGCCCGAGATTTGGTGCTTTTCAGTATGTCTTTAGGTGGGAGTCGGTCACAAAACACCTGCAGTGCCGCTATGGCGGTCGCGTATCTTCGTGATCGTGAGAACAGTGTCGTTTCTGATCGCCTTGCAATCATAGCGAATATCTGTAGGTATGATTTACGACTTGATGGTACTGCCCTGCAGAAGTCTCAACGCAGTCTCGCTCTATGCATCATGGTCTTGGCAATTATGAACGGCGACTTTTCACTTATGACGCCGGAGTTGTATCGAAACCCAGATTTGTACCAGATGGTAAATAAATGTAAGAAACTCAAAGCCTCATGAAGACAATGCTGACAATCAACAGCTTTCATGGAGTCTATAATCCTCTACTTACAGTATCTACCGTCAATTTCTGCGAATAAGATGGCACCGCTCGGTATCAACCTTGGACCTTCGGCCCCAGAGTCCTACCTTTTATCAAGCAATGGTCTACGTCTCGCAGGATTTCTTTGGAAACCTCATACTTTCATCCATCTTCCTTCCATCCAGAAAAAGTATCACCAGTCCTGGCTATCACTAAATGAGGAGCGGTACCAGCTGATTCTGAACTATAACAAGACGCCTCGGGAGCATACTCCGTGGCAGAGATCCCACTCTACCCTTTCAAGGCACATGGACCGCCGCAAATTAGCTGTTACACAGATAATGTTCGACACTTTAGTCGATCTGCGGGGGGCAGGAGAGGTGGCTACAGCAGATGCAATCTGGCAGTCGGTATGGGATCCGAGTTGGCCAAAAGGAAGGACGACAGTGAAAAAGCTCATCGAGTCTGTCAGTCAGTTTCCTGATAACCTCCAGGTACAGAATCGAGGTGAAATGTTTCGATTGGAACGCACCGAACATATGGCTTATCATCCAGAGTGGCTTATCAATCGCATCATTTCGCACGGTGGGCTCTGGTCCTACAGCTTAGTGAAAGCGACCCAGGACGACGTCTACTTACATTGCACCGAGGAATCGAAAAAAAGCGAGAAACAAGGGAAGAATAGAGACACCAAGGACTTGTTTGACGAGAGTTATGCGGATGATGATCTTGAACTCCCGCCGACTGCAAGTCTAAGTTCAGAATCTCAAAATGACGAAATAGCGGAAGAACATGGAGATGGGTTCACACGCGTATGTATCAATGGAAAGGAAATGAACATACGTACACGGAATACCAAAGACGGGAATCACGATATGGCATTTCTACAGACATCCCTGGGTTTGACAATGGTCGGCTTTATGTTGCAGAAGACGATGGAGATTTTTATCACGCGCTGGGTTTGCTATCCCCAGATTGAGAAACCTCCTGGATTTTCTCGATCACCAGCGTACTATTCTCAAGCAGCGTTCCTCGGCAATCTGGATATGTTCGGCAACGGAAAGTATCCTCTAGGGGACGTACGCTGTTTCCATGATCTATTCGGATTTTCTAAGCAGCGTGCTGTGTTTGATGTCGACAGAAGCGACGGAGAAGGGAGTTTAGTTTTGACTCCCTTCCAGCTGGCTCTAGAAGGCATTGTGGCGCCTGATCTAAGACGTATGAGCATCTCGAGGGTGGTCGACAAGGTCCCAGTGGGAACAGTGGATGATGGATACGAAACTTTTCGCACGAGGTACATGGTTAAAGGTATGTGGTGTTCCCTAATGTACCCTGGAGGACGGTACAATTTGATTTAGTGGGGAGAGATTGACGTGATGATGCTTCTTCGCTTTATTATTGTGGATGTTGGATTGAATAAATCATACCTCAATGCTACAATTTTTCCCCCTATTCTATCTCTCTCACCTCGATGCCCGTACCGCCTACTCACCCATCCAATTCTATTACGTTCTCCCCCAGACAAAGTTATATTCCTCTCGCTCCTCCGCACACCGAATTTTCCAAAAAAAAAATGCATCGTAGCAAAAGATAACTTAAAGGGCTCAACCGGGAGTTGAACCCGGGACCTCCTGCATATGAGATATAGAGCCCAAAGCAGGAATCATTCGACTAGACCATTGAGCCGTGTTGGTGTTTTGTTTTTGGATGACTAATCAGCTGGTTGAAGAATTTATATAGTATTATGGTAATATTATGGCTACTGATGGGAAGAGGGCTTGACGAGTGGGCCTTGGGTATGATTTGGCGTAGTCAATCTTGCGGAATTCAAGTGTGGGGTGTTGACGTTACAAATGCACGTAATTGTGGAGATAGTGCATTGGGCGGTCAGTACACGCTTGGACATGAGCGCTCGATAAAACGTCGCTATTTCAGGAGAGCAGAGTGGGGGCTAGTAGAGACCGAAAGGTGTATTTCTTTGCAGGAATCTGTATAATGAAATGTTTTTATGTTATACATTGATTATTTTGATATCTATAATTGCGCTTGTCTGCTCATGCAAGCCTGACCCGTACGCTCTGCAACGGCGGCTATGGGCGACCCTAATCCAAGTCCTGTCTTGGGGGGAGCTCGCTCGCTTGCGCTTTTTGGTAGTAATACAAAAGAAAACAACAGTTGCGGGCATGCGTGCGACATCATCTATCCTGATAGTCCCCTATTTCCGAGGCTTACTTCATTCGGGCCTTCTCCCTCTTTTCCTGCAGGTACCTCCATGACCTCTGTGGCCCTGCAGTGAGGGGGCCCTTCAGACTCTGGACTGTAGACGGCCACTTCACAGTCTGGTTAATGGCCTTTGTAACCATCTGCGGCAAATCCTTCTCCCCTGCTATCCGCTTGTCGAACGCACCGGCGACCTGCTTCTTCAAAATACCCTTCGCGTCGTCGTCCTTGCTCAAATCCAGCATCTCCTGGTACTCGCGACCTGAGATACCAAACTTGCCCCGGTACTGGAAGTATACCTTCTCTCGAAACTTTTTGGGTAGCCGCCTGACCATGTTGGCTCGTCGCTCGGGATCCATGTCCTGTGAAAGCTTCAAATCCAGATCGAGGTTGTCTATCCAGTCTGACTTGGCAATGGCTGAATCATCGGCGTATCGAATGTTCGGGAGGGACATTATGAGGTCGTGGTAGAGAAGACGGAAGTTCCGAATTTGATGTGTGACAATGTTGTCGATCTTCTTGGGGTTCTCGCTTCCATACTGCATGCGCGGGTCGCCCTGGTAGCTCAAGCCTGTTATCGTCGAGTACAACTCCTTCTCGGTGAAGGTTGGCGGTAGGAGGAGGAGCGCGCATCGAACGGCAGAGAGAAGATTGCGCTGGTTTGCAACTCGGATGTTTGGCTCTTCGAAGAGGATCTTGACAGGCTTCTGTAGACGCCCGGCGAAGTACAGCGAGTCCCAATCGGTGAGATCGCGCAACAGCGTCTCGAAATTGACGACTCCGTATTTGATCAACGTTCCATTGACAGTGATGTACGGATTGAAGTAAGCGCCAGCGCCATACTTGTCCTGCACATGGCTGACAACCCCCGAGCCCAGCGACCCAAGGAACGAGTAGTGGTCCCGGTGCTCGCGCAAATTGAGGGAGTGAAAGTGCTGGGAGAACCTCGGGGTCAAGATGAAGTCAATCATCTTTCCGCCGCCTTTCTGCCACTTCAGTATCGCCTCGGGAGGGTTCGGGTGAGGGGAGTGAGTCGTGCGCGAAGCGGTCGCAGCAGATTGAGGGAAGACGCCGGAGCCATAGGCAAAGGCGTAGGTGATGGGAGGGAACTGCTTGAGTATTCCTCTTAACGACCTCTTGAACTCCTCATTCGTTTCCATCAACTGATTCTTCCCAAAGTCCTTATGCGGCAGCTGCGTAAAGTCCGACAGTGCAGGTGCTTCATCTTCCCACTCTGGCGGCAGCGACTGGTATTCATGCGGCGCATTGGCGGGCTGGGTTTTCTGCGATGATATGAAGCGGCGATTGACTTGCAGCAACGGCCTCCTGCACCACGCTATCCGATATAATGGGCCAATTCGATGCATCTTGTGCAGATCTCGATGCCTGGGGTTGCGCAAAGTGAGCCAGCAGGTGACGTAAGCGCATTGCTTTCGTAATAAGCCTTGGCGGGCCAGATGTTTATATCGCGCCTTCCTCGCCAACAGTCGCGACACCCTCTCCACACCACTCCACCACACCCACCCGCAGCCAGCAACGCCCGCAACTCTCAATATTGCGAAACTCTTCAATATCTGCAACTACACAGCTGGCAGCGACATCCCACAACACTCAGGCGGCCTCATCAGCAGCCCCACGCCATGGACGCGTCTCTGGCCTCTCTGCAAGCGCGACTTGCGACCTTCGAAAGTGCCACGTCAGCCAAATCACGACGCCCTTCAGCCCGCTCCAAGAAGGCAGGAACAAAAGCAAAACCCGCCTGGCCACTGTCATCACCCAGCGCTCAGGACCTAGCATATGCTGGTTTCGTCTGGAGGCCCACGACTGCCAGCCCAGACAATGTCCAGTGCTACTTCTGCAACTGCCAGCTAGATGGCTGGGAGGAGTCAGATGTACCCGCCTTTGAGCACCTCACACATTCACCGAGTTGCGGCTATGCTGTCGTCGCCTGCATACGACTTCGCAATGGAGATCCAGGCAGAACAGAGGAGGATCCTACTAGTGAGGCCATGGTGGCAGCGCGTCGCGATACATTTGGCGACTTGTGGCCTCTTGACAGCAATGAAGGCTACCCAGCGGTAGACCAGATGGTCAATGCCGGATGGTATTATGACCCCGCAGATGGCACGGCTGATGGGGTGACGTGTGCCTACTGCTCTCTATCACTCGATGCCTGGGACGCGGGTGACAATCCCATGGAGGAACACCGTCGTCGCTCACCAGACTGTCTGTTCTTCACCCTCTCACAACTCTACAATCCACCACCCAAGCCTGAGCCACCCAAGGAGAGCAAGCGCGCCTCTACTAAAGCCAAGCGCGCCTCTACTCGCTCCTCCACGTCATCCACTGCTAGCAAGAAGCCTACACGTGGCAGGAAACGCGCCAGTGATACAACCCAAGAATCAACGTTCTCCATGATACTCCCCCCGCCTACACGTGGCAAAAAACGCGCCAGCAATGCAACAGATGATTCAGAAGTACTCCAGCCTACGCGTGGCAAGAAACGTGCGAGTGCTACAACCCAAGAATCAACGTTCTCCATGATACTCCCGCCTACACGTGGTAAGAAACGTACCAGTGATGCCATCGAAGAGCCGGAGTATTCCGACGTGCACCAGCCCCCAACAAAAAGGTTCAGATCGTCTAGCTTCTCCAGCCTCCCAGATGACCTTCCCGTCGGTACTCCTAAGAAGACGCCGATGGAAGTCAGAGATACTGGTGTCACAACCTTTGAGATGTCCAGTCTGCCGGCTTCTCTGCTCGTGGGAACCCCTAAGAAGACTCCCACGATGTTGAGGGATGCGGAAGGCAGTTACGACACTCATTCCTGGCAACCGACCGACATGGAGCTCTTCTTCGCCGATCAGTCGAATGAAGGAGGTTTCATGAATGACATTCTCATCGACGCCGGCTTGGATGATATTGCTTCCGCGGGTGCCAATCCCGAAGACCTCTACGCTGCTGTTTTGGCGGGTCTCACAGACCAGGAGAGGGATATGACAGTTGAGCAATGGGTGCTCTACAATGCCAAGCGGGGGGAGGAAAAGCTTCGCGTAGCATGCGAGCAACAAATCCTCGCCTTTGAGGCAGAGGGCAGGCGTGCGATGGCGATGCTTGAGAGCATCCCTACCTTATAATCACGAAACTTGCATCATCTGGGCAGGAGTTTTTTTTTTGGAGCATTGAGCTCGGTCTTTCTTTTTGATACCCCGGCCCGAAATGGGCATTTTGAACGCGTTGGTGTTGATAGGTGTTGATGGGAGTTTTGTTTTTGTTGGTTTCTGGGAGTGTTTTGAGTAGCCGTATACGCCCCTTGCCCTCATCGAGGCTTGAGATGAACCCTAAGGTTGCAGCCGCCTGCGAGGGCTGGCTCCCTAGGGGGCTTCAAAATAGCCAGGTGAGGGTTGGGATAGGCGAGGCCTTCATCTGTTCTGCGTTTTGGCTTGGTTAATTCTGCGTTGTGTTTTGCGGTTTGCGGTTGGATGGGCACGATGATTACTTTTTGTTTCTTTTGAGTACGAGATTACGATGAATGACGATGATTGAATTGCATGACTTTGCTTCTACATTGTTTTGTGAAGCTATCTAGGCTGTCTGCCATGCGATATTTTATCAAACTCTGCTTGCGTAGCTGAAGCCCTTTACGCTGTCGATATTATCAGAACGTACTTGGTTGGCTTTGGCGCTTTGAACGCACGCCGTGATATCCCAACACACCAGATTTTCTTGGACTGTTTAGTCAAGCTGTTACTGTGAGCGAGCGGTGGCTAGACGCCTACGCTTGCTTGCTGAGATCGTGCCAAGCATTTCTCCCCTAGCGGCGATGTGTCGGCAATTGCTCCGCTTCTCAGCTCTTGCTTAGGTATTTCAAAGCCGCAGGAGTGGGCCATCTCAGAGAACTGCGACCCATGAAGCTATTTTGCTGATTAACGCGGTTTGACGCGTGGTCACGTGACGAGGCGTTTTCACTGATCACTGCATTTCCTGTTCCACAAACCCGCGTATCCTCTGCAGATTCTCCAGGAAGCCACCACTTCTTTGCGGTTGAGGCTGTTGCTGCGGCTTGGGCACACTGCCAGTCCTGCCCGGTCTCTGCTGTCCTCGCTCTTTACTCCTCTCCTTTTCCTTCTCAATCTCCCGTTGCTTGTCCTCGGCCAGCTTGATCAGCCCGTCGACAAATTTCGTCCGAGCCTTCTCTTCTGCAGTGCCCTTCCAGACCTGCGCTAGATCTCGCAGCGCTAGTATTCTGATCTCGGCCTTTTCGATGCCGTTTTCTGGGTCGCCCGTGATCAGGTCGGCGATTTCGGAACGCAGCGATGCGGCGAATTCTTTGCCTTTTTGTTCGCGAGATGCGTGGTCGGTGCCTGGCTCTGGGGCGGATACGCTGATCAGTGAGGCTCCAAGCGAGACGTCGGAAGGGGGTATGGTCCAGTGCATGGCTTCGCCGAAGACTTTGATTACGGTTTCGAGGCGCGAGCGGACGGTGGTGAGGGTGCGGAGGTCAGAGATGTACTCTGGGGTGGGATCTTCTTGTACCTCTTGCGAGGTGGTTGCTGGTTGTGATTCTCCATCTTGTACAGCGTGTGTTGCTGCAATGGGGCTCTTGGCCTCTTCGTCTGTGTGCTCGAGTGGCAACGAGATGCCGCCGGGCAGGAACTTGTCGATATCGCTCTTCAGCCCGTCTGTCAGGGTTTCGGCGAAGCCTATCGTCTCTCCCCTTAGCACCTCGACCTCGTAGGCCAAACGTCCTCCGCTGCGCAGTATGTCATCGGTTAACTGCGTCAAGATTGCGGAGAGACGGGTTGTGTGCGCATTGAGCTGTGAGAGGAGGTCTTGTGTCTGGGACGAGAGGTCTGCTAACGAGACGGCATTGCCCGACTTGAGCGGTCTGGAGGAGACGGACGAGAGCGCCAGCGAAGGAAGCGTAGTGTTGAGGTACTCGGCGGGATCGAAGTGCGTGTGGAGGAAGGGTGCGAGTGCTGGGTCGGAAACGTGTATAGATTTCGGCTCCGTCTTCTCTTCGGATGCTGCCATGTTGCGTGTGCGGGGATACAAGAAGAGTGAATAGTGTTCCTGTAGTGTTCCTGGATCGGGGCTGGAAATAGTGCCTAGACGCTCGGAAGCGTAGCTAGACGAGTTTCGCTCCCGCGTCCTAGTATTAGTAGTAGTAGTAGTGGGGGAGGGGCGTCGTAGCAATGGGGAACTCTTTCTCTTCGTCGTCTCGGTCAGACATGTTTCTTTCTTTAGTTATTGATCTCCCCCAAGCTTGCGAGAAGACGCAACACCATGTCTTCAATTGCTCAATAGCAGGGCGTCCTGGTGGTGGACTGGCGGACTGCGGGGTGGCTGAGGTGTGGGCCCATGCTCATGCTTAAGCTCCTCCTCTCTAGGCAGCAGAGAGCTATTGTAATGCACGTCGTCTTTATTTGCACTCAGGCCAGGCAGCGTTGCACGAGAAGAATTGTGGTGCCAAGCGCCTCTGTCTGTAAAAAAATAAGTAGGTCGAGCTACTTGCTGTCTTCTTCACCTCTACTTTGCTTCACTCGCTTCCACCACGGGCTGTGCTCGATCCAACCTTGGGACCCCCTAACCCGTCGAGCCTCCCCGTCGTTTTCCCCCTCGTATAAACCAGGTTTGACGTCACCTACGAGTATTTCCTGACCCTCGTCACTCTCTCTTTCACTCGCTGTCTGTGACCTGGGATTCATTTAATCTCTCACCGAGCTGCACACGTCGCGCCTGCCCCCACCCCCCACGGCGAGTTTGCTCAACCACCGGCGTCTACTACACGCAATTACAAGCCCCAAACCGGAAAAAACACCAGATTTCAGCTTTATTTGTAAACACCACTAGATACATTCTCTGGATATCACATTCGTCAAAACATGCCGCGGCGGGAGTTCCAGGCCGACCTCGCCAACGCTGCAGAGGGCGTCGCGATTGCGGGCATCTCGGACGTGCAGACGGGAGGCGATGACGGCGAATTCACCTTCATTTGCATTGCAGACGGGCAGCAGCTGAAGATTTCGGTCCTTGTCCCAGGTACGTTTGATTCCCTATCCATCTAACTACCCGTCAAGTGTAGAGCGCCACCACCCTCGCCTGACTTGTCTAGTCTCAAGATTATGGTACCTGCTAACCTTATTTATAGAGCTCTCTGACTATCCTTCACGCCACACGTGCATGATTTACGGCGCCGACAATGCCTCTGCTAGTGTAGCTGCTGCTCTCAACGACATTACTGACACAGTCACCGGCAAGACGATTGCACAGATTCTAGAACTCGTGTCCAGCAGGCTGAAGTCTACCGACCGTGATGGCGACCAGCAAATGCTAGATTCACAGGAGTTTGACGACGAGGACAATGAAGAGGACAACGAGGTAGACGACGACGAGACTGAGGACGAGGACGAGTACTTCCCAGGCGATGACGACTTGCACACGGGGCATAGAATTGCGGACAACCCTTCTTTAGCACAAGGCGGGGGCTACACAGAGGCTACGTCAGCCTTTCGGCAGCGCATTCGCAGTGATCTTTTGATGGCGAAGAATGAGGGTTTCAAAGTCGGCCACCAAGGAGGTCTCATGGACGGCCTAGGATGCTATGTCAGCCTCGCAGTCCGCATCTCCAAACTGGGCATTTCAGAAGAAGCTATGCAAGCCTGGCAACTCGAGCCAACAGAGTATCTGGTCACCATCTTCCACTATCCGAGCGGTTACAAGAGCATGGACAACCTCAAGTCGTATGATACAGTTTCGGCTCGACGCAATTTCGCTGTTCGCGTTGGTATATCTACCAATTACAAACCCACCATACAGGAGGCGATACAGGCCTTCACCGTACTCAGCAGGGAAGAAGAGAAGCGCCGGGAAGATTCACAGCAAACCGATTCGCAGGATGTTTCTGCACTGCCCAAAGGCTTTCGGAACTCGTTCATCTCACGGCCTTTGAACGATTTATTGGAGCAGCGCTTTCACATGCTACTCAAATACCGCTATGGCGGAATGCCATGGTGGGGTGCCGAATCCTTCTACAATGATCGAGTCCTCCATACATCACACACAAATGCAGATGCCTCGAACGACCAGTACTACAAGGACGAGCAGGTCAGCACTGCATGGCCCAAAATGGTTACAGGCGATCATATCCAATCCTCTATTAGCGAGGAGCACTCTCTTCCACTGGTGGGGATGCAATTCGTTCTGCGACACTTTGTTCGATGCACTGAATTCTGTCTCATTTGCTTCAGCAAGATGCCAGACGATCTTCAAGCGATCAAACCGTACGTCTGCGATAATCCGCTGTGCCTGTACCAGTACATGTCCCTTGGATTCGGCCCTAGTATCGAGCACGAGATCCTTTCTCAGCCTAAGGTTGTCGATCTTCTCGTCAGCTTCTGCCATAGCAGCGCCCATTTGGGGAGGTTGAAGGACTTCCCCACTGGTCTCAGCCTGGCGGTTCCGCCTGCCACATCGAATGAGAAGGACTTCTTACGACTCCCACAAATTATCGATTACATCCACTCTCGTCAGCCTGTACAACAGCCTGTGGCACCTCCCACTAGTGAACCAAATCAAATCGCGCTAAGCATGAGGTACAACATGGACACCAGAGAAATGCTATTCGACGACAGACTGAAAGCTTGCCCCGTCATGACCGGGAACTGGGTTGTCATCCGAACAGATGACGACCCAAGCAAAGCTTTGCACTGCCGTGTAGTAGATGCATCGCTCTATCCGTCGGTGAGAGTGTCAGATCCCATAATTCCGGAGACTGTACAAGACCAAGTCAATCCTTATTCGACCTCGCGTGCAACCCAACTGCAGCAAGCTCTGGACACCCAAAACATCCAAAAGGGCAAGCCGCGTACAAGCGAATTCCGCTCAGCCAGTTTCTACATCTACAACCAGAACTTCGATGCCTTGTCGGACCCGGAGAAGAGACAAGCCCTCGTCGTACTCATGAATCTACTTCCTTCCGTTCAAGAGATGAAGAAGTACCTTCTTCGCAAAACACTGTCTCCGCTAAGCGCATGGGTCGACCGGCTTTCTCCTGCCACTCTTGGGATATTGCGCTGGATTATTGCTTCAAACCGAGCGTGCATCCTACAGGTTGATAACGATGAGGATATTGCAAACGGTCGTAAGGTCGAAGAGCGTCTATATGGCATGGCAGGATGGGCTCAGTTTAGGTTCGCGATGGGTGCCCCTGATAAGGAGCGTCGGTTCATACAGGCTGTACGAGAAACAACCAATAGGCTCCGTCTCAAGTATCCGACCTTGTTCGCGTGGCATGGCAGCCCTATCCAGAACTGGCATAGTATCATTCGTGAGGGCCTACACTTCAACGATACCCTCCACGGCCGTGCATATGGTAATGGCGTCTATCATGCCCCTGACGTCAGTACTAGCTTGGGCTATTCGAATTATAACTTTAGCACCTTTTCCTGGCCAAAGAGCGAGCTCCAAGTGCAGCAAGCCTTGGCTCTCAACGAAATCGTCAATGCACCCAAAGAGTTCGTGAGCCAGGCGCCGCATCTTGTGGTTGCTCAACTCGACTGGATTCAGACTCGCTATCTCTTTGTAAAGACTAAGACTGATAGCTCAACTACGGCTACCACGGCTACTACGAATCTAGACGCGGGCACCAAACCACTCGAGTGCGTTGAACAGGACCCCTCCAGGACTCCTAACGGCGTCAATGGCGCGCTCGTGATTCCCATTCATGCCATTGCGGCCTCCCGCCGACCAAAGCCAAAAATGACGACGGTATGTCCACTCTTCGAGCCCCTGGATGTTCGCTGATAATTGTACAGAAGTATAAACGCCAGAAAGCGTCAGGGATGACCCAATACGATCCCATCGAAGTCGACGACGATGACGAAGCAGCAAGCATTGCCACCCTCGACGAGGATCGAGCCATTTTCGAGACGGATGAAGATTATAAACCAGAGCAGGCTGTCGAGTCACTCCCCACGCCAAACTCGATCAGGGACGATAAAGGCAAATCCAAGCTGGGAAGTCTCGCTTCTTCATTTGGCTCAATCTTTAGTTCGAAACTGCCATCAGCATCTAAGCCTCTCACCGACTATGTTCCGGGGACTCTTGATTACGACACGCTGCCTATGCTGCAGATGCCTGCTTGGGCTACTACATCTGCTACTAGGCGCTTGATGAAAGACTTCAAGGAGGTCATCCAGATTCAGAAGAAGGAACCTCCACATGAACTTGGTTGGCACATCGACGAGGAAAAGATCGAGAACATCTACCAGTGGATTGTAGAGCTGCATTCTTTTGACCCCACCCTACCTTTGGCGCAGGATATGAAGAAGAAGAACATCAAAAGCATCATTCTTGAACTTCGCTTCGGCAAAGACTACCCCATGAGCCCGCCTTTCGTTCGCGTTATTCGCCCACGCTTCTTGACCTTCCTTCAAGGTGGCGGTGGTCACGTCACTGCTGGAGGCGCTATGTGCATGCAGCTGCTTACAAATGACGGCTGGAGCGCGGTGTCCTCCATTGAATCTGTTCTACTTCAGGTTCGGATGGCCATGTCGTCCCTTGATCCCAAGGCGGCACGCCTACAGTCGGGCGGTCCCATGGATTATGGCGTTGGTGAGGCGGTCGAAGCGTATATCCGTGCCTGCAACATGCACAACTGGACAGTCCCGGCAGGATTCAAGGAGATGGTATATGGTGGGTCGGGAAACGCGAGCAGCACGTAGAATCCAATCTAGGCGACGGGTAGCTCTCTGTAATGGGCGAATCCTCTGACACACCTGAAACGAAAACTTGGGGAATATTAGCATCCACGATGGCTGGCGTTTTTGGGTCTGGCATCATATGGCGTTGATTTTATTGTGGTCCCGTCTGCCAACCGCGCTTGATGGTGCATTGGGCTGTGGAAGATAATACCGAGTGACCATTACATGAAGGGAGAGGCGCGCATACAAGGACACTGGCATGTATAGTGAATAGGCAACATGAAAAACTGCCCATTATGGCAATACTTTAGAATCGTCTTGACATGAATGTGTGTCAAATACCCAAGATCCATTGGCACGGCTCAAAACTTAGCATACGTCCTCATCTACAGATGCGGAACCTTCAAACTTGCTAATAAAAGGTTTACAATACTAAACAATCCTTCGCCTAGGATCAGCCCACTCGCTAGGACGATGATGGGTGTCTCACTGCGGCCCTTCCAGCGCCTCCACCACAGACTGATCAAACCCCCGATTGTGCGCGCCAACGTGAACGAGGGCGTGTTGTACATACCTAGACACAAAAGTCAGTAAATTTCATTCACACGCAGTAGAGAGTAATAGAGAAGGACAATACGTACCAACAGCGACAGCAATGCCTCCCGGCACAAAATCAATCCACCACCCACTCAAGCCCCTCTGCTTTCTATTATTGCCCCAAACCCTCACCATCGTGCCAACCGCGAAGATCACCGCCGCGCCACTAGCCCATTCTTTGACCATGGGCGGAAGGCCTTTACCTGTGACTAACCGCGCGGTGAAAACCCATACATAGCCTGTGGGGACTTCGAAAAGCCCGCCTGGGATAGTATACACGTTCGTGTACAACTTATACACGACGGCACTCAAGACTGCGCCAACAGCCGAACCGATCATCTGGCCCCAAAACTGCGCATTCGGTGCTGCGCCAAGGAGGTGTCCACACTTGAGATCCTGAAGGAGATCGCCCGCCTGGAGAGCAGCCGACTCTGAGATAGCGCCCGCAACCAAGTTGATAATGACAGCGTTTTTAGCGCCCGGGCCCGTGGTGGGCGTTACGAGGGCGAAGACAAGCTGTGTGAGCTTGGAAATTCCGGATACGGGGTTGAGGTCGGTTTCGCCGAGGGCGCGGACGCCCATGACTGATAGGAAGAGCGAGAGGAAGAGGGCTAGGATGGTCAGGCGGAGGGGAATGAGGTTGGGGAAGGAGACGTGCACGGCGATGATGCAGAGGACTAGGGAAGCAATCATGCCGATGATGGTGGTGCGACTCGATACGAGATGTTCGGGTGGAGCGTCGGGTTCGGCGCCTTCGGCGAGGTGGTGTTTGATAGCTGATATTGGGTTCGCTGAAGTGTCGTCGTGGAGTGGCGTGTAGCGCTGTTTGGACGTGATGTTCAGCGTGAATAGCTCTTTCCACGAGTGCGTCTGGAACGTCTGTTTCGCGGTCGGATAGTATGCTTTCCCTATCGAGATCAAGGGGCGGAGGATGAGCCAACCCAGGCTGACGAGTGAGTCTACCAGCATAATGGCGAGGGAGATCCAAACAATCCAGCCTTTGGAGCCGTTGGTCCAGTCAGAAACTGGGCCTGGAGCCCAGCCTTTGTGCTTTGCGAGCGGAGAAAGGATACCCCAGCCTATGACAGCACCGAGGAGCATGTGCAGCGTGGTTGCAGGGCCCATGATGATGCCCTGGCCTACATATGCTGGAGAAGGGTTCAATGTCCAGAGCCAAGTATTTGCTAGTGGAAGGCCGAAGACGGGAATATCGTGGAGTTGCGGGAGGAAGTATGACACAACGGTATAAAGTGCAGATCCAGCGAAGGATATGAGTAGCAACCGGATTTTGGATTTCCAGTCTCCGTCGTCTCCTAGCTCTTGTTCGCTATCATGATCCCGGACATCATCATCGACTGATGGCCTCAAGTCATGCTCCTCACGCTGCGTGCTCGAACCTTGCAACAGGCCTTGCGCTTCCTCTTCACTCTCGTCAACCTCATCTCCATCTCTCCTTCTCCCCCGTGTAGCCACCGTCTTTGACTTTTCATCTCCATGCAGAACCTTGATCAAAAGCGCCGTAGCCGTCCCACTGGGAAACTTCAGTTTCTCTCGAATAATCATCTCTCTCCTTAGCGGCACCGCAAATACCACGCCGAAGAAGCAGATCCCCACAGACCACACTATCAACTTCCAAAGACTGATATCCAGCGGCCCGTTTTCTTCGGGCTTCAACAGGTAATTCAGTGCCGGAATGACGCCGACGAATCCACATCCCAAGGGCATCGTGCCCACCGAGCCAGCAACCGATTGCACTAAAACGTTCTCTACAGGCGTGAAGGGAATCTTGAGCGTCCGGGCAACCACTTTGAAGTACGCGAAACCAATCAGCGCCGAGGGCATAGCCATACTGCTCACCCAGCCAGTCTGCAGGCCGAAGTACATGTTGGAGAAACATATCAAAACGCCAATTGCTAGACCGGCAAGAACGCCCCGGAGTGTGAAGTTTTGTGGCTGTGACGCTTGTTCGGCTAGGTAATTTCGGGCTCCAGGTCCTCTTCGGCTGAGCGCATCATCCTCTGTTTCTTCGTCATGTCCAACTCTTTCATTTCCTGGTTGTGGTAATCCCCGATCTGGCGCCATATTGGAGAAGTTCTGTAGGGGGATGGATTCAGACAGCGTGTGTGAGGGGCAGCATGCGATGGACGTTCAAAAAAGCTACACCATACGTCTCGACTTGGGTAATTGCGTTATCGGGTGCATGTTGCCAGTGATGCAATTACTAAACTTGTGGGTAAATCTAATTTGCACGTGATGTGTTCTTATGTGCGGCTTATCTCCGATTTGTCATTATGACCAACATCAAACGTCCATCGTGAACTGCAGTTCGCGATTCTTCTACCCCAGCGCTCTTGGCTCCTTGCTGTCTCTTATTTACAGGGTACGGTCTACCTTTCCCTCACTTCCAACATCGCGCCCGAGCTTCCACAGCAAGATGAAGTTCTCCAGCGTCCTCCTACCGCTGCTCGCCGCCCCCTTCGCTGCGAGCGAACACACTTCCAACTGGGCTGTCCTCGTGTCCACCTCGCGCTTCTGGTTCAACTACCGCCACCTTGCCAATGTCCTCAGTCTCTACCGCACCGTAAAGCGCCTCGGTATCCCCGACTCGCAAATCATCCTCATGCTCCCCGACGACATGGCCTGCAACCCGCGCAACGCCTTTCCTGGCACCGTGTACAATAATGCAGATCGCGCCTTGGACCTGTACGGCGACAACATAGAAGTCGACTACCGAGGCTATGAAGTCACAGTGGAGAACTTTATAAGATTGATGACAGATCGGGTTGGGGAGGATATGCCGCGGAGCAAAAGGTTGATGACGGACGAGCGGAGTAACATCTTGGTGTACATGACGGGCCATGGAGGAAATGAGTTTTTGAAATTCCAGGATGCGGAGGAAATCAGTGCATTTGATCTTGCAGACGCGTTTGGTCAGATGTGGGAGAAGAAACGGTACGTGAGCAGACTTCTTTGAACTGTCTACCCTATCGCACAATCGGAGAATGCCAGGCTGACAAGAACTTACAGATATCACGAGCTACTCTTCATGATAGACACATGCCAAGCAAACACAATGTACTCCAAGTTCTACTCGCCCAACATCCTCGCAACCGGCTCCTCGGAGATCGACCAAAGCTCCTATTCCCACCACGCAGACAACGATGTTGGCGTCGCCGTCATAGACCGCTACACGTACTACAACCTCGAGTTCCTCGAAACCCAGGTTCGCGACCCGACCTCCAAGTTGACAATGGGCGACCTGTTCGACAGCTACGACGAGGAGAAGATCCACTCGCATCCAGGGATACGGTATGATCTGTTTGAGGGAGGCGAGGAAGCCGCGCGGGACAGAAAGGTTATGGATTTCTTTGGCAATGTGCAGAACGTAGAGGTTGAGGGTGGGACTAAGAATGAAACGATGTGGAAAGAGGACCTAAAGGCGATTGAAAGAATGATTCTTGAGGCGAAGAGGAGGCATAATGAGAGTCTGCCCGTGACACCGCAGGCACAGCATATTGTTGAGGAGGTGAAGCCTGTCCAGAGTCTGAGGAGAGAGGCCGCTGTAAGGGTTGATGGAGAGCAGGGGTGGACCAAGCAAACGTTCGGTGCTCTGGCGTTGGTTGGCTGTGCGGGGATATGGCTTGCTGGCAGTTTGTTTGAATCTTTGTGAAGTACCATAGTCTGCCTCAGAGCCATGATATTTATAGTAGCAGCAAGATACCCAAGACATACACGATATTCATATTCATCCCGATCACAGATCTGATGGCACACTATGCACAATCGTATATTTGCTACCATAGTCCAAAATCCACCTCTGCTACCGCCCTCCCACCCATTCTCACCTATCTACACATACATTATAACCCTCTATTTCCACTCCTTTCAACGTCGAGGATGAAGGGGTTGTCGATACTGTGCTTACCCTGATTGTAGTTTGCAAGATGAAGGTCCAGTTCCCAAGGAAGAGGTCGTTGCGCATGTTTTGCGACAGGCCGTTTGTGGCGTGGTAGTGCACCATGTATGCGCTCTCTTCGTGCAGGAGTGTCAAGCTCTGAATATCTTGCAGAAGTTGATGATATGGAAGTCTGTTATTGGGACCACCTGCTTTGCTTTATTCTCGATGTATTCGTGTGGATGGGTGGCGAGAGTCATATCCACAAGGCCCATTCGACCATTCTACGACGAGGAGATAAAGCACATATAAAGGGTTGAGACACTTGATATTCCTCAGTAGCTAAGATGTAGTTGTACTCCACATGCATGCACATCTCATCAATACCAGTTATTAGCCACCTTTATCAGACTAGCGCCGGAAGAGTGTGCTTGAAGCATCGGCGTCTTGATCTAAAAGGGAAATGAGGTCATAGGTGAAAGCGACTGACTGCTGTGGGAAACGAAAGACAAATAAGAGCAACATGCCGCAAGCCGGACTCGAACCTGCGCAAAAAAAGTACTTTTAAAGCTAGGCCCACCGTATGGCTAGCTTTGAGTTACCCATATGCAGGCGTCAACAGTCGTACGATCCATTGAAAGCCGCTGGTCAATCTCGGGCTAGCATGTACCGGACATGAGAGAGGTGGAGAACCCGAGGGTTAGTGCGTAAGTCGTGTAAAGCAACCACCTCTACTATCACGTCTTTCCATAACTTGCTTAGAGACTCTGGGGAATTAATATGTTTATATGTGCATAAAGAGTGCGGGGGTGTCCTCGCCAGCGGGATCGAGGTGAAGCGCAGCGTGTGCGCCGCCGCTGTCGGGATCCAGGTGAAAGCGACAATGCGTACACGGCGAAAGCGCGTACACAACAGGACGCTGCGGGGAAAACCTAGTTGTTACTACTCGCAATCTGCTTACAGTAAAGGGTCCATGCCGTCACTCTGAAAAGAGGATGCCTTGAGATCGCGCTTCAGCTGTCGCATGCCTAACCTACGTGCGGCCCTATGCTAAGCTCATCAATAAGGCAGGTCTATTGAACCTGCGTAGTCGAGTGGCCTCAGGATAGTCACTGATGGGTTCGCTCGGGATTCCTGAGCAGTACTTTGAGTGTCAACTTTCCAAGTCTATGTGGCAGAAGCGAAAGTGAGATTTATTGTGACCAAATTCCGCAAAGCCATGCATACTTTGGTGTAGGAACAGTAGTACGAGAGGAGAAAATGAAGTGAATGGATAAAGAGAGCACATGAAGAAGAGATTCAGTTATTGACTAAGTGGAAGCGATGCTTGTCTGTGGGCTCTTGACGCTGACAATAGCAATCATTGAATGAATAGAGCCTTGAGCAACGTAGACTCATCGTGAAAGGGGTGCTTCACCAACCACTCCACAGTGAACATGAATATGAGAGAGTAAATTCTGGGCAGGATAGGTAGAAGGTAGAAATAGGATAGTTGAAAATGGCGAGGGGTTGACAATTGTAGAGTAATCCACGGACGATAAAGGCAGCAGAAACATGTAGGAAAGAATATTGCGATTGTAATTTTATCGTAGCAATGCGGAAACACTCGTTCATATTCTTCTATATCGCGGCAGATGCGAGTGGTAGACGAATAGGTGAAGGCCGGGGCATGTAGAGAGAAAGTGGAGAGAAAGATGACGGAAAGAGGGATGTTGTCGGATCAAAGTTCGCAAATCTGGAAAGCACGACTTAGACATCAAGCGATACCACATCGGGCATCACGCCCGGCTGGGAACTTGTGGGCCGCCCGATGCACCCCACAGAAAAACCCACATAACACGCTCCACTTCTTCAACATGGGAATACCGGGATTGCATTCAGTGTTGCATATACACTATTCCAACATTCGCATGCTTCATGTGTTTCTGTTCCCATGAAGCAACCGCACGAGAGCAATCAATACAGTGCTCGGCAAGCGGGAATGGTGCCACTTCCGCTCATGCAGGACGTACCAGACGTCATTGCCGGCGCACAACAGTCACGCCCAGGCTGCTGACGGCGCGGCAGTTTACCGCAGACGGCATCTCCGACTAGTTGATGAGGGGAAACTTTGTGGTAGCCTCCAATCGCATCGCGGAGCTCTCTAGAGGATGATTGTGTGACGTCGTTTGGCTGACAAGCCGAGGGTGAGAAGATGGGGTTGATTTAGTAGAAATACTCCGCTATACTTTGTGCAACTGCTGGCCTTTTGCGAAAGTACGTGCTATTTAGACTGGAGCTACTCGTCTGTTAGCCTATGTTTGCTGAGATAGTTTGAATCCCATCTTGAATCATCACCTACCATGGCCACCACCAATGGACCCATGGCCCCAGGCCCATCACGCTCCCGCGACTGGGCCGACGACCAATCAGATAACCGCCTCAATGGAGTAACTTCCAACACAAGTGCTACGCCTCTAACACAGATACCAACAGAGCATTCTGTACATTCGACTGAGCTCTCGCCGACCCGAACATCAACCAGCGCGCAAAGGACGCGTTCGGCATTGGGTCTGCACCCCCAGGCACCCATTGATGAAGAGCATGATCAAGGTCCAAGATCACATCTCAGGTGGTCTAAGATACGAACTGTATTGCGCGAACCGTTCGCTGAGTTTTGGGGAGTGGCCATCATGGTCATGTTTGGCGATGGATCGGTCGCCCAGGTATTGCTTTCGACAGGCCAGACGGCTGCTCCCGGGGCGAACGGCTTTGGATCTTACCAGTCCATCAACTGGGGGTGAGTCCTTCCCATGTTTGCGTAACGAGACCTGTGCTCATATCGGACAGCTGGGGCTTAGGCGTCATGCTTGGTCTCTACGTCGCGGGCGACTCAGGGGCCTATCTCAACCCGGCTGTCACATTCTGCAACTGCCTCTACCGCCAATTACCATGGCGGAGATTTCCCGTGTACTTTGTTGCGCAAATGCTTGGAGGGTTCGTTGGATCCGGCATCGTGTACGCCAATTACATCAGTGCTATCGATTGGTTCGAGGGCGGGAAGATGAGAACAGTACCGCCTGCAACGAAAGCCACTGCTGGGATATTTTGCACATACCCACAGCCTTTCGTTACCAAGGGGAGCCAGTTCTTCTCCGAGTTTATCGCAAGTGCATTGCTCATGTTCGTCATCTTTGCGTTGAAGGATCCGAGCAACAACGGTGTTCCAAAAGTACGTGCCCAGTGTTGAGCGATATGGGTGAAGCTAACAAGCATGTAGAGCGACAAATGGTTCCCACTCTGTCTGTTCTTCTTGATCTTCGGTCTAGGATCTTGCTTCGGATGGCAGACGGGTTACGCCATTAACATTGCGCGTGATTTTTCCCCACGGCTGATGTCGTACGCTGTCGGGTATGGCAGTGAGGTTTGGTCTGCCGGTGGTTACTATTTTTGGGTGAGTTTTACATTATATGATACTGGGAGGGGCCACTGCTAACACAACGACTAGATACCAATGGTTGCTCCATTCTTAGGCTGTGCTTTTGGCGGCTTCCTGTATGATGTTTTCATCTACACGGGCCCCAGCCCGATTAACACCCCGTGGCTAGGCCTGAAGCATTTCAACCCTAGCTACGCGAGGAGAGCGAGGCGGGAGCGTCTTGAGAGAGAGAAGGAAGATGGCATTGTATGAGTGTCCAAGTCTTTTGTCTGAGCGTGATAAGCGCATAAATTTCCATTTCTTGTCTTGGTTGCATGTGAATGAGAGCCCCATGTATAAATGGGGTTGTGGCGCAAGGAGAATGGAGTCTATGAGGAGAATGAAATTCTCATGTAGGTATACCATCTCATAGTGCAATGCTCCTGTTCTGCCAAAGTCTTCGCATCTTTTCGCAAGAGCCCCACTTTGAGCTCGCTTACATTAGATTTTACGCATGTTTTTTCTTACACAACTCAGGGCGCTTATGAATTTTTATTGCCAGGTCAACTCATTGCAGTCCCGATCAGCTGTGAAGTAGAGAAGTTATCGCTCTGTTTGTACTGTTCTGGATGGTGGGCGAGAAGCGTGGTTCGCTACGGTTGAACTTGAAAGGTGTATACTGCAAGTCGGAACTGGATAGTAATGTGATCTTATGTAGAAGACATGGTAGCCAGTAATTAGAAGTTGGAAAGGCCCATTTCCACAGAGATGCATCGCTCGAGGCCTGAAGCTTAGTCATTCAAGTATGACGCCAGTGCCCCGCTGTCGCTGCCCTTCCCGCAGGCACCTCCGCTGTCCCGCCGCAGTCTACCAAATTTTGACTCACCAAGTGTCAACACACCACAACTCCCACGCCTCTTTCTTCCGCTACCGATCCCAACGCGAGTCCAGTTTCCAGAAATAGCACAGCAGACATGGCGGGCAAAAAAGGTGGTGCTGCTGGAGAGAACTCAAAGAAGGCGCAAGGACAGGCCCGCAAGGCAGACGCGGCTGCCTCGAAGCAGGCGGCAAAGAGCCAACAAGCTGAAAAGGCAGAAGCAGAGGAATGGAACAAAGGCTCTAAATCAAATGCAAAGGCGTATGTTGTTCACACGCCATGCCACTTTCTCACGAACCTCCAACTAACCAAGGCATAGTGAAGCGGCAGCTGAGAAGGCCGCCGAGGCAGCCCGCAAGAAAGCCGAGAAGGAAGCTCTGCTCCGCGAAGAAGAAGCCTCTCTGCCATCGAAGCCCAAGGGCAAGGCACCAAAGGCCGAAAAGAAAACCCGCGGTATTGACTCTGCCCTCGGATCGTTCGATACCAAGCCCAGCGCCATCAACGCCACCGGTATCGACAACGCGCTCGACGCTTTAGATATAACACACGGTAGCCAGGACAAGCTCGACCGACATCCCGAGAGGAGATTCAAGGCTGCGTATGCTGCGTTCGAGGAGCGGAGACTCGAGGAGATGAAGGACGAGAAGGGTCTGAGGCGGGGACAGAAGATTGACCAGATCCGCAAAGAATTCGAGAAACATCCCGAGAACCCGTTCAACCAGGTGTCCGCGACGTACAACATGTCAAAGGAAGAGATTGCGGCGCTCAAGGACTCGGAGAAGGAGAAGAAGGAGAAGAGGCTCGCGGGCGGCCTCAACTAAGCTGTTGCCCTTGGATCATTTCGTTCTTTCGCATTTGTCGTTGGCCAGCGGTTGGCGTTATGGATAGACGTGCGACGGGACGCTTCGATGGAGGATGGACCCTGAATGCACACAATGGTGCATATGAGAGGTCTGGTTAGTCCCACGTAGGGTGTGAGTGCGGTACAACCGCATAGTAGCAATGGCTACAGCACTGTGGTATCAAAGAGCTTGATCAGCTTCATCTTGCTTTGGCATCATTCGCATGTTTGATTTTTAGAGTGACCTAGTGCAAATAGACTCTTGTCTTGGGCATGGACATGGACATGGACATGCGTCATGGAGCTGGCCAATATTCAGCCGCAGATCCAAGAGCCACGGCATGCCAACCACAACAAGGGACAAGGCTGCCCAGATATAAACAGGAGAGGCGGCTGCGGAGCGCCAAAGGATGAAGGACTGCACCGCCCAACTAAAACAAAGCACCCCAATGTCTGAAACGCGCGAGCTAGTCACCGATTGGCTGCGCGCGTTTCTTGTTCCTGCATGTTGAAACACCTTGTTGCCTATTCGGGAAGGGGTCCCTGAACCGCGCGCTCCTTCCACGGCAGTCCAGAATCATGGATCGATCTTTCACTTGTTCCTGCTCGTGCTGGCAGGCAGCCGGGGCGGTCAGTTACGAGTCAGCCTATTGATTATGTCTGACGCCGCCTTCACCATGGGTGGCTTCTTCCTTCACGTTCAATCGTTTGCTTCATCGAAGCTCATCCAGTCTTTACTTTCCCTTCTTTGACTTTTCGACCTTCTCTTCTCTTCTCACTCGCTTCCTTTCTTAGTCACATCATGAAGTTTTTCTCAACTGTTGGAGCTGTGCTCCTTCCTTTCATTGCGGCAACCGCTGGCGGCATCCAGTTCAACCCGGAAGATGAGGCTTCTATTCGCAGCGTCACCAGGCAATATGCTTACGGCTTAATGTCGCTCTACCAAAACAATGCTACAAACACCCCAGCAGAAGACGTCGGGATTCTGCCGAAGCCGCACTACTGGTGGCAGGCCGGTGCAGCCTGGGGAGGTGTCATCGAGTACACCCAGTTTACAGGCGACAACTCGCATGTGAAGGCACTTCAGCAAGCCTTGACGGCCAACTACGGCCCGAACAACGACTTCATCCTGTCATATCGAAAGGGTCAAACAGTGCGTTCTCTTGACTTTGCTGTACTAAACTTGCATGCTAAGCAGTAGACTAGGGCAACGATGACCAGGCTTTCTGGGCCCTCGCCGCCATGAGTGCGCTCGAATACCAGTTTCCCGATCCCGACCAGGCCCCTGCAGCTTACCTCGAAGTCGTTACCAACGCCTTCAACAACATCGTCGGACGATGGGACGAGACCACATGTGGCGGAGGCTTGAAATGGCAGATCTATCCCGAGAATGCCTACGGATACAATTATAAGAACTCCATCAGCAACGGATGTGCCTTCGCGTTGGGTGCACGTCTTGCTCGATACACCGGCGAGCAGAAATATGCGGACTGGGCTGTCAAGATCTACGATTGGACCAAGAAGGTTGGACTCATCTCCGACAAATACGAGGTCTTCGACGGCACCGATGACAAGAAGAATTGCGCAGCGGTTGCCGACAAAACCCAGTGGACCTACAACAATGCCATGTTCTTACACGGTTCAGCCTTCATGTTTGATCAGACCAAGGGCGACAGTGTCTGGCAGGAACGTACGACCGGCTTCTTGAAGCACGCCGAGCTGCTCTTCTTCCGCCCTTTCGAGAACGCAACCGACATCATGTATGAGTGGGCCTGTGAAACTGGCGAATCAGGAAGACACTGCAACCTGGATCAACAGTCGTTCAAAGCCTACCTCTCCCGTTTCTTGGCGAAGACGGCCGTTATGGCTCCTTTCACCAAGGATACGATTACCAAGTACCTGAAGGCGTCCGCTATTGGCGCTGCAAAGTCTTGCTCAGGCGGAGCTGATGGGGCAACATGTGGTAGCAAGTGGTACACTGGTAGCTGGGACGGGACATCTGGCGTCGGTCAGCAGCTCTCGGCGTTGGAGGTCACCCAGGCACTTTTGATGATCAAGAAAGGCACTCTTCCAGTGAAGAAAAGTGAGGCCCAGCCAAAGCCATCCGCGACTATTCTCCCGAGCCCTAGCTCAACGCCACTTGCCACGCCTACCCCGGCTCTTCCCAGCAAAGCCCTTTCGTCCGGCAAAGCCTCAGTATCAACTTCCTCTGCGGTCGAAGTAGTGTATCCCACTTCAAAGATCCCCGAAGTTGTGCATACCTCGTCGAAGATCCCCGAAGCTGTACCTCAACCGACTCCATCTTCGAAGACCCCCGACGTTGTGGCTGCACCAAGTCCCTCTTCGAAGGCCCCCGAAGTTGTCCCTGCACCAAGCCCCTCTTCGAAAATCGCTGAGGCTGTGCCAAAACCAAGTATAATCGGTTCATCCAGCTCCAGCTCCATCCGGCCTTCAGCTATCGTAACCCCGAGTCCATCCTCAACGCTTGCGGCAACAAGCCAGCCTGGCGGCGAATTCCAAGAGGGCAAGCCGACTTCAAGTGCATGCGCCAAGTCTGGAGGCGTGTGCACCTGCACTCCAAGCACGACGATCACTGTCTATGTTCCCGCAGCGTCCCAGACTACGGTGGCTGTTGTGCCGCCCACCTCGTCGAAGTTGATCCCGGTTGCGCCACCTGCTAACAGCAGCTTCCCCAACCCGAATCAGCCAGAAGAGTTCTTGGGTGCGGCTGTCAACGTCAAAGTGACGGGCTGCTCGTTGTTGGGCGCGTTGTTTGTGGCATTTGTTGCTGGGCTGCTATAGAGCGCCGAATTCTCTTTGCCTAGTGCCTCTCTTCTTTCTTGGTCCCTAGGGGACATTCATTGATGCTGTAGATATACCTTCTCCACTTGTTTTATATCCCATCACCGACCGGCATAGACTTTCCATGTCAGGACGGCGAGAACCAGTCTACGATGGTTCATACATAGATGAGATTATAATTGAGTTCTCGACACTTTTGAGAGCTGATTACCCAATAATATTTGAGTTTACACCCACCATGGGAGTCCATCTTGCGTGATCAGTATGCTTTTGTTTGCATAAGCCTTGTACTGATTCTGGATAGAATTGAACAAGGAAACCTCGAATAGATGGCGTCACGAAGTCTGAAAAACCAAATGATTGAAAAGCAAGTCTGTGTAAGAGGTAGGACCTAGCTAGGGCTGTGAAGTTCTTCAAACCGCACGGGATGCTTGATGCGACCCGCCCGTTGCTACCCCACCAAGAAACGCCACATGTCTTGCCAATAATTAACGTGCGATGACATCGAAGTTCGCGCTACCCCGGGCCCCTATGCTACCTCCACAACTCCGAGCTCAACAACAGAAATAGCGCCTCGTATACGCGCAGGTAGCCGCTTGGTCAACACGATTTGCTATCTACATATCGGCTGCCAGGGTGAAGGAACCCTCTTCACGCCATACTATCATGTTTTGATGCGGTTCTGCCGCCTCACACCCACACGCGACATTGGACAGCGATACACAGGACTCGGAGACTGTAGAATAGTGAAGGTGCGTGACTCTTGTGGGAAGAATGCGGCACGATGGCTAACTCGATGCGCAGGCTGCAGCTTCCAGCGTGTCCCCACTGTCAACAGCTCCGCTTTTTCCATCTCGAGCGCATATCGTAAACGCCTCACGTCACCCCTCCATCGCTACCTACATACCTTTACCCCCAAGTATACACACCGCATCACGAGCGACTAGCAGCCATAGGAGGCTACATCAATAAGACCCTTCCTCGCCCAGGCGCACGGCATCCTCCTTTGCCTCGCGGGCGGCGTCATTGTAGTCTCGACAACCAAAATGACGCAAGATCGGAGAGATGCGAGCGGCAAGAAGCTCGCGGTTATGAACAAATATGTCTACGATGCCTTTCTATGGACATTCTCCATACTGGTGGAGCTCTTCTTTCGAGAGGTACATCCAAGGAGTAGCTGGAAAGTGCCAAAAGAGGGCCCGGTCATCTTCGTCTGCGCACCACATGCGAACCAGGTATGATTCACATACTTCGACCTTGTGGCACGAGGCTTACTGGAATTAGTTTGTCGACCCCCTGATGTTGATGCGAGTCGTCAAGGCTGAATCGGACCGCCGGATACAATTCCTGATCGCAGACAAGTCTATGAAGCGGAGATTCATAGGTTCAATGGCAGGCTTGACGGGTGTGGTACCTGTCGGCAGAGCCATGGACCAGACGAAGCCAGCCAAGGGCAAGATTTACCTCCCCGACCCAATTAACGACCCGTGCCTACTTCGAGGCGTCGACACCAACTTCGAAGAGTCGTCCTTCCAAGTCGGTGGCTCGGTCGTACTTCCAAAGGTGGACAACAAGGCAGCTACTGCAGAGATATTGGAGATCAAGGGCCCCGAGGAGATCAGATTGAAGCGTGGCTTCAAGGGAGGCGTGGCTATGCAACAATTAACTGGCCGCAACGATATGACCAAGGATGGCACTTTCGTCGACGGGGCTGCACAAAAGAAAGGCATAGCCGACGGATACGAAGGAACCATCTTTCAAGTTGCACCGAAGCTGGACCAGACCGAAGTCTACGACGCTGTACATGCGGTACTTCATCACGGCGGAAGCATCGGCATTTTCCCAGAGGGCGGCAGCCATGACCGCACTGATCTCTTACCTCTCAAAGGTGCGTGAATCCACATCCTACTTCTCCGCCCATGCTAATAGTGCGTAGCTGGTGTTGCCATCATGGCTCTCGGTACAGTACAAACCAAGCCCGACTGCAACCTGAAGATCATACCAGTCGGCATGAACTACTTCCACGCGCACAAATTCCGCTCAAGGGCCGTCATCGAATTCGGCACCCCAATGGATGTCCCAGCCGAGCTTGCTCAGAAGTTCGCTGGTCCCGGGAGGCGTGATGCTATCGGCGAGATGCTAGAAACCATTCGTCAAGGTCTCATCTCAGTGACTGTCACAACGCCGGACTATGACACACTCATGGTATGTTGACTTCCTGCTTGTTACCCGCACCACCACTCACATGCGCATCCTAGGTCATACAAGCTGTGCGTCGTCTTTACAACTCAAAAGGCACGAAGCTCCCCTTACCCAGGGTCGTCGAGCTAAATCGCCGCCTCGTCCAGGGCTACGAGCGCTACAAGTCTGACCCTCGCATTATCGAGCTCAAGAAGGAGGTTACCACTTACAACCGGAAGCTCAAAGCCCTTGGAATTCGGGATCACCAGGTGCATTATGCCAAGATCCATCCTATCGTAGCATTCGGCATCTTCTGGTACCGCCTTGGCAAGCTTCTCTTCCTGAGTCTTCTTGTCCTGCCTGGAACGCTACTCTTCAGTCTTGTCTTTATTGCGACTAAACTCATCTCGATCAAGAAAGCAAGGGAAGCTCTTGCTGCCTCAAACGTCAAGGTCCAAGCTAGGGATGTCATGGCCACCTGGAAGCTTCTCGTCGCCATGGCTGCTGCCCCAACAGCTTACTTATGGTACGTGAGCATAGGGCTTTACTGGTACTCGTACAACAACTGCAACGGGTATCTCCCACCAGGCATCCAGAAAAGATGGCTCATTCTCCCTCAATTGATCGTGTATGTCACGGTGACCTACGGCGCCCTCCGATTTGGCGAAGTCGCAATGGATATCCTCAAATCACTCGGCCCACTCTGGAAGATGATGAACCCCTTCTCTAACAGCGAACTCGTTAAGCTTCAGGAGCGCCGCGAGCACCTTGCCAACCGCGTCAATGATATCATCAACGAGCTTGGCCCAGAAATGTACGAAGACTTCTACTCTAAACGCATCATCCAGGATCCCTTCTCTCAAGATCAAGAAGATGAATCCGAAACGCCGCGCACGCCGCCCAAAAAGTCCGATGCCGATGCCGCCAGAGAAGCCGGTCAAGAAATCGAGACGTACGACTTCCCCGCCTCGCCCAGTACCGACGGCCAACTTCCACGCAACGAGTCGTTCCATGACCTTACCAACCAAGACATCTTTTCCTCGCGCCCTCAGACACCGAAGAAGAGTAGATCGAGGAATGGTAGCTCGGCGAACTTGGGTGGCTTCCAGCTCAAACCATTTAGTACCATTGATGGGAATCTAGATGAGGTGAAGAGGAGGCTCAAGGATGGGGTCAAGGAGAGGACGAGGAGGCGGAGAAGTAGCGGGATCGACGGGGAATGGGAGGACGGATATGACACGCTAGAAGGAGAAGGAGAGGGAGAGGGGTTGATGATGGGGAAGAAAGCGAGGTAGGGCTATGGCAGCGGAGATTTTAGGGGACGATGAGGACAGCATTTGGGCTTATAGTACTAAAGATACCACATTCGTATTCGTTTCCTTGGATAGATAAATAGTCCGCGAAACAAGGCAACGAAGGTCTTGAAATTACTTGTGAATACGATTTGCTTGCTATGCTAAGAACTCCATCATCGGTCGCTTTGTATACCGCCCACGCGTTTCATCTGATGCCAAAATAATAATAATAGATCCCCCAAAAAGAACATGCCACGCTATGCTTACCAATTGCGCTTGTCGTTTCAATAGCCCGGCCCCCTCCACAAAACCCCTCGTGGTGTCGTGTCGTATCTCCTTTCCAAACAAACAAACAAACAAACAAATACCACCACCACCGTCTACATATCGTTCCAATATGCAGATAGATGCCCATACTACCCCACAACAGCCTTCATACTCAGCCGCTCTAGAAAGCCACTCAGATCCTCCTTCTTGATTTCAATGACACATGCTTCAAAACTGTCCATGCGCACTCTTGCGCCCGTCTCGCGAACGACTTCCTGAAACGCGTTGCCGAATCGGTTTCTGCCTGACCCTCTTTGCTCGTCCAGGTCTTCATCGTCGGAGGAGTCGTCTTCATCGGAAGAAGCATCATCATCATCATCATCTTCTTCTGTATCGTCATCGACTTCGTCTTCCTCAAGGCCTGCGGCCAAGTTACGTGCAATGCGCGCTTCGCGTTTCTTCTCGCGCTCTTTTTCGCGAGACGAGCGCCTCGCTTCTTTCGCTTTGATTTTCGCTTCTCTTTTCAAGAGGCGCTCTTTTGCAGATTCGGTTGCGCCACCACCGCCTAGCCCAACGACGACGTAGAGGCCTCGAGAGTCGTCGAGACCCGCCATGACTAGTTCGCTCCCCTTGTTCTTGCCCTTTGTCCCGTTGAGCTCGACGATGGCTTCGGCTATCCAGAGGGCGAGTTTGGTGAGCGCGCCTGGGTGCGTGAAGAGCTGGACGTCTGGGCCTTCTTTTACAACGGCCATGCGGAAGGCGCGGAGGTGGCGGATTTGTCTCTTCTCGATGAGTTGGGTGCCTGTGCGTAGGATAGCGCGGTGTAGGTGTTGTGCTGTGGTGATGTGATCGACTAGCATATCTATTGACCCGAGGGCGTCATAGGCTGTCCAGAATCGGCTTGTGATGTGTTCCTGCGCTAGGTCCTGCTGTTCTTGTGTTGTTGACACAATCTCGGAGTGATCCTGTGTGCCGACGAAGTTCGAGCTGTCGAACGATGACTGGTTCAGGTTCTTTGCATCCCCAACTTCTAGGATAGCACCCAGGATGACGCCCGCGTCAATGGCGGAAAGGCATGCTTTCCAGCCCCAGCATCTTACGAAACCCCACCCGTCTTTCATATCGCTGCTTCGTCCCACGGGCGGGACGAGCCCGTCGAGTCCATAATGTGGTGCAAACTTCAGGAGCCGTTCCCGTAAGCCGCGTTTGAGCTCCATGTCCATGTGCGTGTATCTTTGTTTACATTCTGTCAACGACACGCCCATTTTTGCGAGAAGTTTGGCTAAGCGTTTCTGCCCTGCGTCACTCCAGATGTGCAGTTTGGCTGAGAGGTAAGGCGAGTGTAGCATGCTCTCGTATAGAGACCAGTGGCGGAGGAGGAGAAATCGTGGTTCGGGGGAGAGACGGATGGATTTGTCTGTTGCGGAGCGAGCACTGGTGGGGATGACGCCGCTTGCTTCGCCCATCATGGCGTCGCGGGCTCCATTGGTAGCATCTGTGATGGGATTCAGGCGCCGTACTTCGTCACGCAGGACGGACCTTATCTGCTCGCCTCGGTTGCCGTTCCACCCTGCTGAACCGCCTTGTGCTGAGAGCGGGTTGAGGCCAACACCGCTACCAGTTCGCCCGTACAGCTCTAGACTGCTAACACCTACAATGGCATTCCAAAGCAGGTCGTTGTCTTCGCGGCCAAGCTCAGAAGCGAGATTGTATACGAGAGAGGAGACGGGCTCCGAATATGATGTGCCGAGTTGGTAGTACTTGTCGAGGACATTAGTGTATTTGTTGCGTGTCTGTATGAGCTGTTTCCGTAGGTTCTTTACGGATTTCTCTTTCGGTGCCGCTATTGACGGTGATGCTGAGCGGCTGCGGGAATCTGATCGTGAGAAGTCTGAAGAGCCGCCTAGCTGATTTTCGATCAGTAGACCTCTTCGGGCGGGTCTTCGTTCTGGTGATGATGGTATTGAACCTCCCTATCAAACTGTTAGTGGCAATCCTCCACCGGAACCCATGCTAGACGTACCGAGTTACTTCTTCGCCTTTGCCGCGGGCGCTCGTCATCGGTCATATCGTCTTCAGAATCATCTCCCTCGCCCCATGACTTCCTTTTCTTCGGCGCTTGTCCAGACGGGGGCTCTTCCTCGTCTTGATCATCTGAGTCCTCGTCCAAGTCCTCTTCCTCACCAACCTCGGGCATTTCCTCAAGCCCACAGTACGCTGCTCTTTCTGCCTGAAGTTCTTCTTCGATGTCGCCATCATCAAATACTATGATTCCTCCTCTTGACGTCTGATATGACTGCAACACCTTTCCCTTGTCCACACCAGACTGTCGCCTCCCAAGCTCTCCTGTGGCCGGGTCCTCACTAATCGGCGTGCCGAACACGTTTGCGAGATTCCACGGCCGTCTCGCATCCAAGACCCAGACCTCGACATCTCCACTTCCGCCTTGCCCATCTTCATCGACATCCAGACCTAATATCTCCTCTAGGTCCACCATACCACCGACACCCAAACATACGACCACGCCTCCGCTTCCGCCATCTGTAGTCCGCATTGGCCGTACTAGCTCTTCCGCCGCGCGTGACAGGTCTCCATATCCGGCTATGGGTTGTATCTTGTGAGGTATATAGTCGCGCTTTAGTAACGCGGTAAGAATTCGGCATGCGCAGAGCGCGTCTGGCTCAAGGGCGACGAGGAGTAAAACTGGTGGAGCGGCGGCGTGCGTTCGCTTTATCAGGTTTTGGTATAGGTTTGCGATCAGATTTCGTGGGAGGTACATGTCGACGGTGGGAATCTATGCGTGCTCGGCGTAGGGATATGCGAAGACACGCGTGCGGAGAGACGCGTCTGCGGCTTAAAGAGGGATTTTAATGTAGGTCACGGGCTCATTGCGTGTTGGACCTCTGGGAAAAGAATAAAAAGAGGCTCTATTAGAATATGGAGAACTGGGAAAGGCAATTGGTATGCGTGGATGCGGGTGCTTGCACAGCTTCGTGACCGTGCTATGGGAGATGGACGCGCGCGATCCACGCTAACGTCGTATTGGGCATGGCGCGCCCGCCTCTTGACATGAACCACTCAAGTGCTTGACATTGACATCTGTCCCATCTCACTACGGACCGATCACCCATCTCTCGTATCCCCTTCTACACTCACTCATACGAATGAATGACCAAAATATGGTCCTCTAGTAGGTCTCACGAAATGCAGCAGAACACAGTTGTCTGCTTGATTATCATTTTTCTACGATCCCAGTCCATCTCGAACGAGAGATTGATCATCCACTTGATGATGCTACCGGACTATCTACTTTCTGGACAGAGACGGCGTGTTTCCACCTAAGCACATCCATGGAGTGCACCTCTGTAAAGCATACTGGCTTCAATCTCGTAGATGGCACCCACCTCGCTGAATCAAAGCTTTTCCAATCTGATCACCGCTTCTCACCCTCGCTCAATTCTCCTATCCCTGAAGTAGAACCTGAAGTAGGGGTTTTCTCCTCCTCCTCTGCTACTCTTCCTGTGTTATGCTGACATGAAACATCCAGGAATACGCATCTCGACCGTTTCGGCCTAAGTGCGCTCATCCTCTTGCTTGATGTTCGGCTCGTGCTTGATTTGAGGTTCACCATTGATATCAATTCCACCGGCGAAACCAGCTTGAATATCGAGAGAACGCTGATCCTCGACATCGGCCCTACGTTCCACACGCATAGTAGGCTCTAGCTGCACCAAAGCAGACACGATATCGTAACGCTGGTCAAAATTCTCACCGTGTGCGTCACCCCACTTGGCCAGTCCCGGGTTGATGACGAACGCCACAACTCCCTCTCTCATGTCTTCGTCATCGCTTTCGCCATTAATTTCAGGAATAGATGACATCTCGTCCCTATTCAACAAGGCTCCAACCGCGGGGTAGGTGATCTGAAGACGCGAGCGTTGCAGAGACATCCGCATTGCTAAGCCAAAAGCTTTGTCGACAATTGGATGTACCTTTGAAGAATCGTATCCCGGGAACATCAAGTCGAAATGACCTTCGATAACGGTTCCGACAAGAGTGCGGTTGTCTATCACACTAGCTTCTAAACACTCAGGCATCAATCCCACGTTGCCATGCGTGATGGTATCTTGACCTGCCAGCTTTACCAGTTGTTCCATCGTCTTGTAACGCCAGTTTTCGCATTTTTTAGAGGGACGAGGCCAGTGATGGTGGTGCTGTGCCCCGAAGATTTGCGTCCAAGCTTCGTGTAGAGATTTGCAATGCTCCCCTAAGAACACGAAAGGGTTTCTGAAAACAAGGCAAATGAGAATGGACCAGACCCATGCTTCGATCAAGCTTTTCTTCCCGGCCCGACTATTCCAGTGATGTGACGAGACATCATTCAGCAAGAGGAGCGGACCAAGACCCTCAAGGATGTCTACCTTGTCGTTGACGCGGACTGTACGACTCAATGTCTTGATCAATGAGGCGAGCGAGCGGAATTCCTGACTGAACTGGTCATCAGAGACAACTTCCACCTTGTCGAGTTTTGCCAGCAGATCCTTCTGTAGCTGCTGGACTTGGGTTCGCAATGTCCGGACATGGCTGCGCAAAGGCTTGGCTTGTACAGCTTCCTGCAACAGTGGCTCAAGAACTTGGTCAAGAGATTCGGCGGTACTATCATCGAACTGAATACCTCTCTTCTGCGCATAGGAGCCCAAGCACTTGTCAACGACATATTTGTAGATGTCGTCAAGGTGGTCATAATCGGTCTGCCATTGCGCGCTCTCATCTTTCAGTCGCTTATTCTCGTTCACCAACTTGCGATTAGCCACATCAAGTTTATTGATTCGAATTCGCTGCTTCTGGAGCTTGCTGTCTCGGTCTCGCAGTGCTACTCCGAGGTCTCGTATAGCATTTTCTGCATTCTGATTCATCTGCGCAGATCCACGAGTAGACCTCTGAGTATCCTGCGAGTTGTTTAATTGATCTCTCGGATCTCTGCTGTTACGAGTATCGTTTTGAGTTGGCGACTCGTTCACTTGTCCTTGACTAGCATTCCACTACATTGCTAACATGAGCTATTGAATCTTCGTTATAGGCAGAGGCGTGACTTACGTAGCTGTAGCCAAGGAACATGGTTACACCTTAGTGTTGCTTTGGTAGTTAATGTCGTGGTTGGTGTTAATTTGTAGGATGCTGAGCTTGTCTCTTGCGCAAGGTGACCTTTGGGCGTCCTACTAAGGCTAGACCCGCAAGACTAGTTAGCTTGGCCTTCACCTTCACTTTGGGCCGCCCATCTCACCTCCGGTAATCAAGAGGTACTCACCTTTACTTGAGACCCTGTAGCTCATCAGTGAGCCAGATAAGTGTCCTAGCTTCTTAACAAACCTCGGGATCAAACTATCCACAACTACGACGACTGTAACAGCGAACCAACCGTCGTTTACGTCCACTATGAAGAGCAATCGGTTGATCGTCGGCCTCGATTACGGCACGACTTACACAGGTAGGTGAATATACCCAGACTTTGATCACGGTGCTTACTGGCGTAGGCGTATCCTTCTGTGAGACTTCGGATACTGGCTCACATGACGAACACATTGAGGTCATACACGATTGGCCCTCGAAACATACCAAAATCGGTACCAAAGAGAAGGTTCCGAGTGAAGTCACTTATCAAAAAGAAGGCCTGTTATGGGGATCTCTTATTCCTTCGAACATTCCACGACACATGTGGACTAAGCTTCAACTCGACGCCCGTCAGAAGGGAGCAGTAGCCAAGATTATTCGCGAAGTTTCGACATCCCCGCAGAGTGCGCAAAAGCAACCAGTTGAGATCATCGCCGACTTCTTGGGGCAGGTGAAAGCGCACCTCATCAAGAATCTTGACCAGAAGTACGGGAAGACACTTTGGAGGACACTACCCCTCACTTTAGTTGTTACCGTACCTGCAGTTTGGGCCGATATCGCCAAAGCCCATACCCTTGAGGCAGTACGCAAGGCAGGCTTCAACGAGCTTGAGTTCCCAGAGTTAAATAATACCATCATGGTAACTGAACCGGAAGCAGCAGCTATCTACACCATTAAGGCATTACGAGGTATGTACCTCCTTATGGGGTTGAGTTACTCTTGTGGTATTTCAGTGGCTGAAAGCTAAACGTACCATCTACAGGCACGACTCAAGATACTCAGTTCAAAGTCGGCGATGGCTTTATCGTTTGTGATATGGGTGGTGGAACGGTGGATCTCATATCATACCGAGTTGCAGGCCTTGAACCGACCGTCATCGAAGAAGCCACCATAGGCAACGGAGATCACTGTGGTGGTAGCTTTGTGGATCGCGCCTTTCTTAAATGGCTGGAACGTCGACTAGGCACCGAGGACTTTGTGGATATTGCTGGGTGTCGAAGCGAGGACATCCCTCACACATCGCTGTCCAAAAAGGCGGCCATGATGCTACAAGATTTCACTCTAGAAGTAAAGAGCGGATTCTCCGGAACTGAGACGAACTACTTGCGACTACCAGGCGCAATTGCCGACGATGATACCCGAGGCATCTGCGACGGAGAGATCAAGATCAATTTGTAAGCCCCCTGTTTTTTCAATTGAAACATGACTGACGCAACTAGTGAGGACACGATCGAGATGTTCGAGCATCCCATTCGTCGAACATATGAGCTTATTGGGGAGCAGCTACAGCAGGCGCGACACAACAAAAAGGTGGAGATTAAGGTCAGTTACTTACCAATCAGCGCCCTGTTCAAGTATTCATACAAATCTTGAATATTCGCTCACTGACTTCCGAATAGTTCGTTTTCATGGTGGGCGGATTTTCCGAGAGTCCTTACGTCTACAACAAAATCAAGGCCTTCGTTGAGACTAATAACTTGCAAGCGATTAAGCCTGCTTATGCGTATGTAAAGCCTGTCGGTCGTCATTGAATGTCGGCTAATTCTTCTCCTAGTTGGTCTGCTGTAGCACGAGGTGCAGCCGCAAAAGGTCTTGAAGGTGACAAAACTGTAATCCAGAAGCGAAAGGGCCGTAGGCACTATGGAAATTCCTGTTCTCCTATCTGGATTCCACGGAAACATACAGAAGCGGAATCGTACATCGACAAACACGACGGCGAAAAGCGAGCTTCTCATCAGATGAAATGGTTGATCAAGAAAGGTCAAGACCTGCCGACTTCTGGTCCGGCTCATGCGAAAGTCGATCTCTGCGCTGACTTTCGGCCATATCATAAGAGGGAAACACACCTTACCCTTTGGGCTTCGGATGCTGATAGGGCCCCAAAGCGCTCCACGAATAAGGTACGTGATTTCAACTGCGTGTTGCAAGGGAAATACTAAAAGTCATGCAGGATGTATACACTGTAGCCACAGTGAAAGTAGATCTGGGCGCTGTTCCCCAGGGCCAGTTCAAGGCTAAGCTGAGCGTTTCAGGAGCCCTCTACTATCGCCTGGAGTACGAAATTCATGTCTCCGTTCAGACCTCTCTGGAGTACTCGCTCGTAGTCAACGGAAAGACGTACGGGTCCTTGACTGCAACATACGAATAGGGCACGTGAAATCCAGCTGCGTATAGCAGATTAGTATTTCGAAGACTTTCCCGGGTATATGGTACCTAGCTATTTGGGCTCGGAACTTGAATACGAGCGCTGGTCATTCTGGGAGCATCAGGGAACGGATCGCCCGGATGACTACGGGGTAGTGGCGCTGCTAATTATATTGGCTGCCAACTGATGGGTTTGAATATGCTTTTTCTTGTAGAGCGCATCTTGGGTATCTCCAGATTTCCCATAGTATCCACATAGCGATGGTAGCAACCTGGATACTTGAAACGCACCTTCGTGGCCCCTTCCTCACCCCTCTCACTGAACACGCTTGTTCGATGCGACCTCCTTTGTCTTCCTCCATGTCCCCAACCACTTCCCAAACCTACCTCCAATCACCCTCTGCTACCCCGCCAAGTCCATCATGCAATCTCAACCGTTCAGCCGAAACTGAGCCTTAGGCTCGTCGCTAAATCACATGACTGACTTTCAATGCGCGTCATGCCCGCGCCATACCAAGACAGGCACGCTAGCGGAATCCTGCGCGCTGATCAGAACAACTCAGACAATATACTCGTTAGCGCTAGCAGGTAAGGAGAGATAGCGTGTTATGTGGCGCTTGCGCCGCGCGACGCTAAATCGACATCACACTGGCCGTTCAGCATGTGGAAAGAGGGGCAGCACAGTGGGGGTTGGAAAGAAGCGGAATCGAATCGCAGGACCTGCGGCAGCTGGCCAACGTGGAAGCGTGTTGACAGAGGGTTCGGGAAGACGACACATGGCTAGGCATCGTCGCGACCCCGTACTTTAGGAACTGTTGACTGACTACCTCCTGTTCCCGCGTTTCGGATAACGGGGAAGTGTAAGTTGTTGAGAACTAGCATGGGGCGCCGACGGGTGCATCTCCGATCCAGTAAGCGTGTACCAGAGAATGCACTCTAAACTACTTCGTTAGGCCAGTTTCACAGACTCGTCTTGCATCGCCTTGCTGAGTCTTTTTTATACGCTATTTGGCTGTTTGGGGCAGGTGATTCCACGCTGAAGTAATTTGAGCACAATAGTGGGGACTTCCCGAGGCTTTGGTAAGGCCATTCCCTGATGATTGTTTCTCTTTCAGGTTCACTCAAGCTACACCTCTACCGGCTGGTGGTAGCTCAACAGGTAATCCTGGGAGGTAGGCGCTTTTGATTTTTTGTTTGGTGGCAGGCCGCTAGAAACAATAATAAACGGCGAATTTACATTTCTATCTCGCGGTGTTGCCTACTCTTCTACAGTGCGTCTTGGGAATTCTCAGACTCTCCACGTGTTAGGATAGTTCGGGGCACATATTATTCCTAAAAGGTCATGCAACAGACGCTGACAGCGTCAGCGCTACTAAGGATCATATCTGTCGAGCTTCTAGCTACGGCTTTGCTTATTCTCTTACACTGCGTCCTGGAAGTCTTCCGACACTTCACGTTTTAGGATTATATAGGAGTTGGTTACGCTTGAAGGTCCTTGCAGTACTGGTACTTTAGCTCTGCTTAGTTTATCAAAGTGCACCCGGGGTATGTTCAGACCCTTAACATTGATAATAAAGTAATGGTAGTAATTGGTGTATGAGAAATAAAGCCTTGATTCTGTACAGTTCCCTTACTAGCCCATCCACTCATTAAACCCATCCCAGTAACCCATGCCCAACCCGGTCCGCCTTTACATACCCGCACCTGGACCATTGTACGAATACCCCGGAGGCCAGTAGGGCCAGGCCAGACTAGGCTCGTTGGTGGAGCCAGTATAAGGGACGTTCCCCATAGGAGGGGGGTTGCCCATAGGAGAGGGGTTGCCCATGGAATGGACATTTCCCATTGAAGGGGCGTTCGCCATGGAAGCAGCGTTCCCCATGGAAGGAACGTGTCCCATAGAAGTAACGTGCCCCATAGGAGGAACGTTACCCATGTGCGGGATCCTGCCCATGGAAGGGACGTTGCCCATGGGAGTCGTGGCGTTGGGGTCGACAGAGTACTCCCGTCGGCTCCTCTTTGCGGGTGGCTCTTGGTACCCGGGGTTGGGCAGAAGAGGTGCGTTTGGTGCCGGAGTCTGGTCCGAGGTGTATGAGCGCTTGTGCGCCATTGATCGGGCCTCCTTCCGGAGACGTAATCGAACTCCTTGGTCCGAAAAGGCGCGAGAGAGGTAGGTGGACTCCTCGAGTCCCTTAAAGTCTTTTGCAGCCAAGACTTTAAACTTATCGCTGATAGTCGAGGCTAAATACTGTACCTCATAAGAATCTTGGTGGAATTCATACAAGGTAAAGCAAAGCCTAAAAGTACCCACAGTTCTAACAGAGATATCCCCAAAAACAAAAAATCCTCCATCTTTATTGCTTATATCTTTTAAGCGGTGCAAAGAAGATACTAGTGTCCCTACTAGGGACTTCTCTGTGCTCATCTCGCACGGCTCGTCTTTATCTGGCTTATAAAGCGTCGCGCAGGCAAACAAGTAGGGATTTTGGAGGAATTGTTGTTGCGGGTCAATTCGCGCATTAACAACAAGTTCCAGGATGGGGGGCGGATCAACTGGCTTCCGCACTTTTTCTTTCCCTTGCAGGGAAACAAGCGCCTCGTGAGGCTGCTGCCGAAAATAAAGTTGGCATGTCCCAGGGCGTAGGGGGCCAACAGTGGGGTTGGGAACCTGCTGGTAGGCAGATTCCGTGGCGGGAGCGGCGAAGTAGGGGTTGGAGAACATGGTCGAATTGTAAGTAGTGGTGTTGGGGTTTGGTAGTTGAGTTGTTTTCGTTGGGTAGTGTTGGTAGAAGTGTGGTGGTTGAGTTGAGGTAGTTGAGTGGTAGTGGTCGAGTAGTTGTGGTAGTGGTAGTTAAGGAAAAAAGCTAAGAGAAGGGAATAGAGACATATAATATATGAATGTCTAAGAGAAATAAAACACAATCTCTGGTTGAGAATTATCGGCCTAACCATAGAGAAGTTGCAATGTCTCTCGAACTTTGCAAAACAACTCGAATCCAATATTGTGATTGGATAGGGGTGGGTAGTGGGGATCGGAAAATCGAAAGGTTAACGAAATATTTGAAAGTGCCTCTCTAGTGACTGCAATATTCCCGTTTGAGCTACGGCTGCACTACGGGAGTGCCCGTCGTATCAAATTACCAAGGCTGGAGTGGATGGAATGGTTTCCAGCTCGGACCTAATCCTAACGAGCACGGTGCACCCGTTCTTGAGTCCAAATCTTCTGGTACACTTGATCTACAAAGGACGTCGTAAGAACCAATCAACACCACGCGTTTGTTTTCCCCCTACGTCCTATGGCGAAATTTTTCTGGTGGTTTGGGGCCTAAGGTTTCCGTGCTCGCTTCCCCGGATGCATGACTCACGCGACGTACAATTTCAATATTGATTGGGAGAGACGTGTGGCACCGTACCGTGGTAGAAGCTTGGGGTATCGTGTGTGCGCAAAGTCTTCAATACTGGTGACGATTGTTGGACTAGTCTGAATAAGTCGAGTCCGAGATATGTGGGTGGTTATGATCCAGGAAGGAGCTATCAGCCGGTAGAAGGTCTAGCCCCGTCGAACAGTGTTGCACTCGATACTGAACAGACAGAAAGTGTGCGAGGGGTGTGGAGTATATCAGGCAACTTCGTTGCATTCCTATTCCCACGCCAGAATATTACTCCAAGACTACCCGTCGCTCTCTGAAGTTTGACGAAACCGAGGTGTCCAACTGACGGCACCCAATCGAATCTTTGGCCGAACCGATTGTCAACGGCTTTGGCGATCTGAATTACGAACGTGAAGTCGGGTACGCCATGCAAAGCTTCCTCCTGATTATCGTACGAGTGTTTTCCTCTTGAGCGACCCACAATGATTAATTGCACCGAGAACTCTTTGTTCGTTTCCAGAGCTGATGATTCCTTCTTTCAAACACTGTATGGAAGTACACTGGTAGCGCTGTGTCGTCTGGGCTGCAGTTGTAGTACGTGAAAGGCCGACCTCGTCAACAGCCGGAGCGGAAAAGATTGAGACTTTGCCGTTTGAGACGAAGTCCTCTCCACACCCAACCGTGGTTGACCCTGCCTTAGGGTATGTAGAGGTCCGTTTTCCAAGGTACCCGCGCTCCCGGAATTATTAGCGCCGTGTCGGCTGACCGAATCTAGACGAAGTGAGGTGCCGGCTGTGTGGAAGGTCGGTATTGTCCGTGGGAGATGAAGATGAGGGATGAGTGGAAATAGTGCTCTTGAGAATGGAGACGGCGTGCAGTACAATGCCAAAATCATACACTCGATGATTGAGTTACCGAAGGGACTTGAGAGTAAGTTTGCTGAATCGGAACACTCCGCTTTCGTCTTATGGCCTTGCGCCTGCACCGCTAGCCTCGAGGACAAATCGTCGCTTCGCGTTTAGTCTGAAGTGCAGCGGGCACCGAGCTATCTGGACGCGGCTGCCGATCGGCACACGGTAGGGCTTTCCGCTAACAAAGCTGTTCGCTACCGAATTCGGCGAGCTAACAGGTGAGAGAACAGCTGGTAGGTTAGGAAACGGTGGGCTAAGAGGTGAGAAGTAGGGCAGCGTGAATCATGCGAACAAGCCTTAATCGAGCCAGTAAAGACTATTGTGCAACCTTATTTCCTCTTGTACAGCGGGATTAGATAAAAGGCTGGTGTCTCTCCTTCTTGTCAAGATCCTGAAGTGATTGCTCGTCGAAATAGGTCCAAGTATACGGTTGACCGGCTTGTGTCCCTCAGTGAAGCTGCCCTAACGGTATGGTATCCAGGGTGAGATCGAAAACGACAGAACGGTATGTGCTCAGCGAAATACCGGGGGTGAGAGACAGGGAAGAAGCTTGTCCAGCCTGCTGGCGCATGGGTAAGTGTGCGAAGAGGGCACAGCGGGACCGACGACGACAACGACGACGACGAAGAAGAAGAGATCCTGAAGCGCCGCACAGATATGGCGACGAAGAGTTGTATATGCTCAAAAGTACCGCCGATTGAGGATGATAACCAGCTAAGGCCTGTTCTAGGGTAGAGACGGAGCAATAGCCCGCTTGTCACATTCTGCCAGAGCGAGGATATCCCATGTAGCCGATGAGCGACTCCAGCACCGCACAGACTGAGCGGCAGCAGGGCATGGGTGGCAGGCTGGCCTCCGTCGTGCTTCGATTCAACGGCAATCCCAGGTTTGAGGGTGGTAATGGGCACTGTCCAGGGCATCGGACGGGGGCCCCCGGGTGCATACGACGGATGCAGAAGCCCATGCCTGCAAACACCCAAACAAGGCTCGAAATTTAGCCATTGAAACTACTCTACTTGAGAGATCGTATATAACTCCCCGTTGGCGCCCAATATCTCAGCTATCCCCTCGTCGCCAGCATGTCTGCCAGAAGTTCCTCTGATCCGTAGTCTCGAGGCACAGAAGACTGGAGTCTGTTCAGCAGGTCCCAACGCATTTGTCCCGACCACTTGCGGACAAGCATCGTCGCACGGAACACGTCTACGCACATGGCGGCTGTCACCCAGGCTCTCCGGCGGCGCTTGAGGGCGGCTCCGGGGTGTAGCTCGAGACTCGACGCCGTTGACGACCTGACAGAGGGCTTGAAGCTAACGCATTCATTGCATACTCACGTCACACGGCAGGCGACGGCTCACACGCTGCAAGTATTGCCTGATACTCTGCCCGATCGTCTTCCAAGGCAGACATCAGACGAGGCCGCCAACGCTCTTCTTCGCTAGAAGCGGTGTTTCCAAGTGCGTAGCGGGGGGGCTTGACAGATGGTGCATGGGTGCTGCACGGCAGCTAGCCCCGAAAACGGAGGGCAGACACGGGCGACGTCGTTGGAGTCTTTGTTCTACAAGTGGGGAGTCGATCGCCATCGAAGCTTGCGGTGGCTGGGAGGATTTCTCCCAGGATCTTGCGATGAGGTGCGCCCGGGCCGCCCACTGCTCCGTTCTCCATGATGAAGGAATTCTACGATGTTACACCACCACTCACCACCCCCGTCCGTTCTCTGTTTAGCCACATAACATTCGGCGAGTGAGCGCGTCCAAGGCAATCCGCACAGCTGCTGGCCCGGCATTCCTCCTCTGACAACAGCCGATATACCCAGCCCTACCCTTAGCAAAGCTTGGCCGCTGGGCCATCACCAGGTAATCTTCGTCTCGCATCAAGGCACCGCAATCTGGCCGCTACAGCCTCTGCTGCGGCACTATGCTTGCCTGGCGCAGTCCCTGAACAGATCGCTCGGCTGTCCCAGCCCCTTTCCTCGTACTCCTGGTATTCTCTCCGCGCTCTGACCAGCCGCTGTTCCTGCAGATATGACTGCATATACCGCTAATGACGCGCTCCACACGTTACAAAGATTGTCCCAACATCGGCCCTATATGCTTTTAATCTACTTGTTCGCTTACTCCCAGTGAAGTTACGCAGACACTCTCCCCCTCAGAGATGCTAGATTGCGGCCATGGGCATGCCGTCCAAATGATGCTGCCACCTCGACACAGCTCTTGCGCAGTCCCGCAAGGACTCCTTCGTCTTATCCGGATCGGTTTACAATACGTCACCAACAGTTGCCCCGGGATGTAGCTGAACACAGATGAGATCGTACAGAAACATTACATATGCTGCTTTGACTGGTCTACTTCAGGCGAGTGCCACCACAGCTTTCTGCAGTGCGTCTTATTTGTGCTGTTAATTGTTAATCCCCGATGGTAAGCAGAGAGTCGCCTTAATTAACACTGACCGCAATCAACTCGCTACGTACTCGGCTCTGCGCGCTTGTTCACCTCTACCTGGTGGATGTGGGGTACTGGCATATCTGCCCCCTATTACTACCACGTCTCGTGGCAATTTTCCCTGATTTATGAACATTTATCTAGAGGATTATCTCTATGTGCCGGTTTCCATGAAGCTGGTCAAAAACGGGTTCGGGTTCGCTAGCTATTCGCAACTATAATTCCTAGATCCTTTAACGCTCTGCCCTACGTGCAAAGATTATCTTCGATACTCAGCCAAACCGCAGACTGCTAAACACAAACATATCTATCAGATAAAATCAGCACTCTTTTAGATGTTGGATGTTTCCGCGGTCAAGCCAATGCAGGTGATCAAGCATATTGAACACGGTACTGCTACGTTATAGCAACTTGAACGTAAATAGACAGCACCATGTTCTTGCTGTACTCCTCTGGATATGGCGACGCGTGCCAGGTGTCCATCTCCCATCCACCAAGATTGACACACTTTGACTGCTAACTTCTGGCAAGATCGTCTCCTCCAGTGACTTGGATCTGCAGTCTGGAAGCCGCATAGCTCTAACTAGCTGGGCATTTCTCCTCGGATGCTACGAATGTCGCTGAAGACCCTCATCGACGATGCTTCGCCAATTATTGTCCATAGATCTCAGAAGTTCTATCTGCATCCTGCAACGGCAGAGAGCTGCTCAGCCTATATTAGTGGCTCTAGGCGAATCAGTACGTCTAGTGGCCTACCATGATTGAGCTCCGATACGTTCTTGTTTGTCGTCCATCGCGCGAGTTGTTGGACCCCTCCTTTCTTTCCCCACAACTACTGCGTGTCAGCACTAACCAGCGCTATGCATAGTAAAGCAGTGATTTCCTTATGATTGAAAGGAATCAGGTGCCTGTTCTCTCAACACCATGCCTCGATCCCAGGAATTCACGGCACTTCACTAGCGATATGTGATACTAGTTAGCTTCGCCTACCCTGGCACTCTGCCATAGTACGACCCAGCACGGTCTCATCACGCTTGAACCGCTGGCCAGAACCAGGCTTCTTCGAGTCGAGCTTGCGGGTAGGTGACTCGGAGTTCCGTCTGGTCACCACTCCCCACAACAACCCCCACATCCTGCGTGGCTAACGTGCCCCTCCATCAGGGCCGATATCTCCAAGGGCTTTGCAATCGTTCGTCAGTCTCCAGGTATACATATGACATGCATTCATGATGCATCAGAGTCCGCAAACGGCGGTTACGGCATGCGGAGCTCTGCCTTCTGCGTGGCAGAGATGAACTAGACTGGGCCTCATGCGAGCCAAGAGTCTTTTCACATGCGCACGCGCACTGCTACTGGTTACGCAGACTACCAGGATCCCCGAGGACAAAGGAAAGACGCAAGGTTGACTTCAAGCGGACTTGAGTGCTCTCGGCGTTGTTGGCCTCCGGCGTTTAGAAAGACGCGAAGATAAACTTTCCCTCGAAGCTTGTTAATTAGCCCGTAAACTATGCAAGATTTCATTTCAAAGAATCACGACAAGGCGCATTGCAATACAGCACCTTCCCCATCAAGACAATACTGGAATGGAACGCGTCGTAGCCTGCGACACTGACTAGTTGGGTTGTTCTCAAATGATGATAGTATTGCTTGAGGATTTTCGAGCATTTCCCCAGAGCGCTATTGCGGTAAACAGGGTCGCGAGCCTTATCTCTACCATGACTCACATCTGCACTTCAAACCCCTCCCGGAGGCCGGCCGTTCCAGGTCCCCTCGTTATGCTCTATAAACCAAGAACCCGGCTGTCATTGGACGGGCACATTTCAGTGGGGCACAAGCCATACATTCCTATCCTCGATAGCGGGGAAGGAATACCGAACGAGGTTCATTCTACGCCTCGTGGTCATGGATACAGCTTATTCAACCTGATCATGAGTTTTTCGCTCTTTGGAGGGGCAGTATAGGCGTCTGATTGCTCAATATCCGTATCGTCCACGATTGTTGTGCTGTAGTTCGAATACAGTGCAGCGACAATGTACTTCATCTCTGTACCGAAATTAGCTCACAGGCCAGTATTACTTTCGCGAATATACGGCGACATCTCCGAACATGTCAAGACAAGTCTCAGGCTGGTCAGCTAATTGGAGTGACAAGCCTATCGCGGACAGATCGAACAGTTTAGCATGCGCGCCGCAGACGAACCGAAGAGACGACAAGAATAGAAGTATCAACCATGGTGCGCAAGAATGGTAAGTAGAAGAGGTCACTCACGGTACACCGCCAGATGACTTCCAACACACATGCGTCCGCCACTGATTGTCGTAAGTCGAGCATTCCAATGGCGCTCACAAGCCTCTTGACTAACCTTCCAAAAGCCCAGAACCATCTACTCTCCATGTCCTTCCTCTTCTCAGCATCGAGCTTCTCCATTTCCAGCCACCGATCTGGCCTCCACTCGCTAGCGCGCTCATAAACCGCCTCGTTTAGGTGCAGCAAGCCTGCACTCGCGCTGACCCTCACACCACCAGGAACATAAAATACCTTGTCTTCGGTACCAAGGCGACAACCTTGCGGTGGTGTAAAACGCGGCTGCGGGCCTGGAATGGCCGAGTGTAGTCGGAGTGTTTCCCAGATCACAGCGTGTAAGACGGGTAGAGCGTCTACTGTCTTGGGATCTGGAAGACCTGGCGATGACGAGGACATCAAGCGTGGTGATAGAGCAAGAAGCTCATGCTGGAGACGAGCCTGGATATTGGGATGTTGCGAGAGCTCGTGGATGATGTAGGTGAGTGTTATCCCAGATGTATCGAAGCCTGCTGCTAGATGGTCAAGCACTTCACTCGCAAGGGGTGTTCTCGACGGCCTGCCGTTCCTGTCCGCTTCTTTGGTGAGAGCCTGCGAGAGATGCTGATACACAACCGGCAGGCGCTCTCGACTCCCGTCGCCTGAAATCAACCATGCGTGGGCGCGTTCGCACATGTTCGCCGTCCACTTCTCGATCTCGCTATTCGCTTCGTCAACCCATTTCGGCGTCAGTCTATACCCGAGCCGCTTTTCCACAAATGCTGTGAGCCCGGGGAACTCCTGAGGCCAGAAGTTGTATGATCGACGTGAGTTGTACAAATCGAGAAACCAGGCCAACTGCTTTGGGTTGTCGATAAGGTTCGAGCTGGCATTGAGCCCGAAGATGTAGCCTGTGACGATATCCATGGTAGTCGCGCTGAGTAGCGCGTACATATTGAGTACTCCAGACTCAGCATTGTCGAAAGTTGATGCAAGATATGGCAAGAAGCGGGCATATAGGATGGTAGACATTTGCGCCCGGAGAGCCTCATTTGCAGTGACAAAGGATTTGCTGTAGATGTTGCTCAACATCCTCTTCCTTCTCGAGTGCGGCTTATTGCTTCCGGTGGAAAACATGTTATCGACTCTAATGAAGCTATCAACACCGCGCCCAGTATATATGTAGTGTGTGTGCAAAGTCTTACCCCCCATAGTTTGAGAAGAAAGAATACCAATTGTATCCGCCCTTTCCACTGCTCCCCTTCTCAAACCCGCCGGTGTACACATCTCGGATTCCGCCTTTCACACAATTGACACTGACTTCATTGGGTCCAAGGCAGACAATTGGTCCCAGGCGGTCGTGTGCTGCTTTCAGAGTGGCATTTTCAATCGACCGCCAGCGAATCGAATCTATCCAGAGAGAAGTAAAGTGCGCTAACGGGTGCGCAGAAGGAACTTTGCGTAAAGGATTCCTAATGTAGCTGATGCAGACATGGCCGACAGCGAACACAAAAGCCAAAATAGCAAGGTCCGTCGGCGTGAGGGCGAGCATCCTGCGATCTGACGCGCCGCCACGGGTGCGAGAGTACGTATAAAGGCGAGCGAAATAAAAATAGAAATAAGAAATGTCCACAAGAGGCTCAAAGAAAGTGGATTGTAGTTTACTAATACATTTCTATAGCTTTCCCCTCGCTAACAAAACAGTCGTTCACATTGCTCCCCGCAGCGGAGCGATCTGCTTATCTTATCGCCGCCCATCTACCCCGAAATCCCCGTCGCTAGCCGCACCATCAGCTTGAGCCTCCTCCACACATCCGTACAACACTTAAACACGCCCCAGCTCGGTCGTCATAAAGAACACCAGACTCGATTCCAATCGATGCAGTGCATCGCCATCTCGCACGCCGCTCGCCGCTCGCGGTCGTCATGTCCAACCACCTAAATCTATCCCGGCCCAAGTAAAATCCCGGTTTCGGTGTGCCCACCCGCCCTAATAAAAGTTGCGCGCCCATTGACCGATGTCACGTTCCATGTCGCACCGCTGCATAGATGCAGAAAACGCATCGGAGAAATTGTTGTGCAATGTGCAGTGAATCCATCAAGTAGCCGGGTTTGAGGAAGATAGAGGCACGGCATGTATCGGTTATGTGCTACTGCGGCTGTTGTGACCTGCTCGGTACGCACGCATACTCCGGACGCAGAAATATCTAGGATTCAGGGGGGAATAGTGATGTGATAGACGAGAACGAGATTAGAAGCTCCAGTGCCTAGAGGAGCCGTTCTTACTCTGTCATGAGGTGTAAAAACATTGCATTACTTTAGTCGGCCCTTCATTACAGTAATCGCTACCGACTCCGCTTGGTGAATACGTTATGATACCATTTCTTCTCAACCGTTACCTAGGATAGGTGGATTGTTCGCGTGAGGAACGACCACGTCTAGCTCGACAGCATCGACATGCTGCCGGTCAAAGATGTTACTGACTTCCTCCAGAGACAATCCCTTAGTTTCCGGTACGTAGAAGAACATAAATACGACTACGAAGACCAATATGCCCACATAAACGAGATAATACTTCCACATAATCCTCTCCAGTGCGATTGGGTTCACATACTGATTGAAGCATGTGGCGACAGCCTGTGTTACCCAGAATATACTGGCCCCCTTTGCGCGCAGGTGACTAGGCCAGATTTCGTTGATGTAAAGGACGGGGATAGGCGTCAGACCGATGACATACCCACCAAGAAATAGGAAAAGGAATACTATTACTGCATAGCCTGCAGAAGTGGATTGAGTACTCGAGTATTGTGCAGAGCAGACAGTGACCATGATCATGAAGAGCAGCATGGTACCGGCGGAAGTCAAGAATAGGAAGCGTCGGCCCACTCTTTCGGCTAGAAGCGCTGCGCCGCATGCCAAAACCCAGTTGTAAATCTGGAGACCGCCATTGATGCCTTGCTGTTTGAAATAGCTGGTAATACCGACGGTCTGCAACACCGGAGCCAGGTAGAAAGTAATGATGCCGTTGCCCACCCACTGAGTCGCTATGCCAATAGCGATGGATAATACAAGCCGTTTTCGGTTTCCAGGCGTGGTGCAAAGGGATCCCCAACCGACATGACGGCTTCCACTCTCTAGCTCAGCCGATGCGATGATTTTAGAGAATTCGGAAAGTACCAATTCATCATCAGTGTGACCATTAGCGTGGAAAGTAGCTAAAACCGCCTTAGCCTCCTCTTCTTTCCCATGTGCCACGAGCCAACGAGGCGATTCTGGGCAGAACAAAATCAAACCAGACTGTAAAACGGTCCAGAATAATTGGACAGCCACCGGCAGCCGCCATGACCATGAACTTTGGATATTCAGAGCTCCATACGAGGCCCAAGTGGAAGTGATTGAGCCAACGAAGAAGAACGTATTGAAGAAGGCACCGACAACAGCTCTTTGACGAGGATGGGCAAGTTCGAGGCACAGAGCTGATGAAGATATAATGCTGAAAATGGAAGCAAACCCAGCGATAAGACGCATGGCGAGGAACACACCAGACGACTTGCAAAACATCTGTCCAATAAATCCGCCTGTCATGCCCAGATTCCCAATCATAATTCCGGCGCGGCGGCCGTATCTATCTGAGAGCCAAGGTGCTGGAAAGAAGGCTGCGATAGAGCCCAGAGGCTGAGCTGCAACACCTAGGCCCAACAGTGTTATATTCGAGAGGCCTTCGAGGTCTTGAAACCACCTCGGGTTCGCAATCAGGCTCGAAATAAGCGAACTAACGTAGCCGTTAGACATCGCGCCCAGATAACACGTAAGAAGCAGGACATTGAGCTTCCGCATGCCGGGATCCCTCCACCATTGCGGGTGGGTATTGTTAGTAAGACTGGGAATCGGCATCGGACTCAACTCTTCCTTGACAGAGGCGGCGCACAACGAGTGGACAGAAAGATAAGTGGAGATTGTGGGCGCAGAGGTGAGCTTCAATGAGAAGTCCTACAAGGCGGGGTGGTTAGCTATAGATATGAGGTATCGCTTTTCGAACGTCTCGTTCCCGGCAAGCCGGGCCGTCACAGCGAACCTTGCCATGTCATGTCGTCGGTCAACCAATCGCTATCCCCACCCTAGCAACGACACGTTATCATAGATAGCAAACGCGCCACACAGTCACCCTTACGATACGCACGTTTGGCTGATTAGAGACGCGAGACATATGCTTGGGTGAGCATACTCATCCTTGAGAGAGGCGCTTGAGCAGATTGCCGGCTTTTTGTTTTGCTGCTGTAGGCAGCAGCATCGCTGTTACGTGGCTGGAATTAGTTCTATAGTTCTGCGACCAGATTTTGCGTCGCGGTACTATACTGTTTATTTTATTGCAATACTGCTTTTACAATTTGCAGAGAGCTTCTGAGCTTTACAACTTATTCTTCTCTCTCATACTCATCCAAGCATATCCCCCCGCCCCCCAAAAATATTCAAAAGCGCCCTCTCTCCAGGTTTACCTATTGAGCTACTCTTTGGTTCTCTGGGGCTACTTTGAGTACGTCGCGAGCAATTGTCAAGCTCATACAGGTCATGTAAGCCAGCAAAAAGATTATATGATTAATTAGGTAATAGTCGATTATGGTAACGTAGCAGTGGCGGTGGGTGCACGGTGCTGTGCATCTTTCTAGAAATTTATTCGTGTCAGTTCAAATTATACTCAAATAGCAGTTGCTTTAGTTCGCTGTTTACGTGCGTTCAGATCTTCCTGTAGACTCCTAGTGGCTGTGAACCCAATCTTTTGGCCACCTAAACGTTCCGGAAGCACAAACAAGCGGAAGAAGATAACTTGATATCTTTTGCTCTAGTCGAACCTTCATAATTAATTATTTTGGGCGATGGCAGACTCACAAGACGCAAGGCATAAAGGAAGCCTAACCAGGACAGACTTATGCAAGGGATAACATGTAGGGGCCGCCACCCTCCCTCTTAATCGCTATTTTTTGGTAACTCCTAAATTATTTCAGCTAGTCTCACAATTGTTCACAACGATTTAACGATGAGTTAAAACGGCGGGCAATCACTTTCACCTGTATCCTTAGAGCGAGCCAGTCATCACTTTGTCCCGTGGTTCATAACCTCTGAGCGCCCACAAAGCCGATCTATAGCAAGCTGTAGATGTTCGATTACGAAAAGTTTGGGCGCAGGACGCGACAATGGAGCTGGAGGTGGAGATATATCCTTCTGCCCAGCTTCGTTCTTCTCTCCGTCTGGATGTTGCGGCAAACACAAGTTCTGGCACTCGAAGGCAACGTACCGTATAGTCAAAATGGTGTCGAGCTTCCCACATTCTTTACTCCCTTTACATGCGACCCGAGAACACTTCCACAACGAGTCCGTATGATTCGCCGTACACATGAGGATTATGTCTTGCTAGGACATGGATTCAGCGACGTCATAACAGATTACAATTGGGACACCCAGGGCAACGACGGTTGGGAGAACGACCTTACCCGACAGATGAAGCTGTACTTGAATGCTATCGAGGCACTAGAGCCAAGTCGTGCCATTTTCATTGATCTCGGCGCAAACATCGGCACCCACATGCTTCACCTTGCTTCACGAGGATACGAGACACATGGCTTTGAGCCAGCCTACGCCAATTATGTTCTCACTCATTGCTCTCTTGCATTCAGCGACATTACTGGCCTAGTTCGATTCAATCACTTTGGGCTGGGTGACAAAGTTCAGAGTGTTTGTATGAGCTCTGTCAGCGGAAATATGGGCGACACCACAGTGGCTACCACGCGGCAATGTGGAACGACCGAACGGGCCAACATGGATACTCTTGACAATTACCACCACAAATTTCTTTGGGGTCGAAAAGTTGCTCTCCTCAAGATTGACATACAAGGCTCCGAGATTGCGGCTCTGCAACATGGGAAAACACTATTCGACTCTGACAACGCTCCCGAGGTCGTCATGCTTGAATATGAGCCTATCAGCATTCGAGCGGAAGGCTACGATCCACCCGAGTTGATTAAATATTTTGAGCAACGTGATTACTCTATATGGCACTTTGGAAGCTCGCCATTTGGATCGGTAACGCCCGAATATGCTAACGGGACATCCGTTGCGTGGAAAGAGTCTGACCTGTACACCTTTGATGACGCAGAAGGTGGAATAGGATATTTTAACTTGGTGGCTATTAAAAGGCCTTGGAAAATGAAGGCAGAGAATGCTGGATACAAGTTTACTGGTGGGACCTTGATGAGATCATAGGCATACACATTTGGGGATTTATTTCCCTTGCAGCGCGACTTATCGGGATTAGTGTTAGAGCCATTGACACCTATATATTTCCGTACTTGAAACTATAGATTAAGCCTATGAGGATCTGAGCCGTATCGTCTCTTGAAAGTTTCGTCGTCAGCGCTCGGGCCATTTACTCTGCCTCCTTTACCGACCGCATGAAGCGGGGTAGAATAGGCGGCAGTTGCAGTTCTATTGGTCAGGCCATGTCTTTTGGATCACCTCAAAACTTGGGCTTCAGAACCTGAGTTCTACGGAGGGTAAGTCTCTCACAGCACTTGCATCAGACGCATTGAGAAGGTGCGCGTCTGCCTTCTTTAGTGATATCACCAACACGGCAGATCAGAATATGGAGGAGCACGAGTTGGGCGCAATGAGCCTGAGTATATTGTAAGACTTTCCCTATCTATACGAGATTCCATACCCGAGGTTGCAGTCTGAATCTCCCTGAAGGCAAATCCAACGAAGTCAGCACGAAAAGCCAATATGCCCATCTCACAACAGCGCTAAGAAAATGGATAACATTGCCGAATCCAACTTGGTGGTTTTAGACTCAGCAGCATCATTTAGTAAGTCAGTCACACAACAAATGCGATAGAAACCTCCTAAATAACTAGGCATTGGTACTCAGATTTCCACACATTCCAGCCCGTCCAGTTTCAATTTTACTGCGATGCAGATAGAGATCTCCAATATAACGACAAACCCAGAACTGGCATGATAATACCCGCTACTACTCAAAATAGTCACAGCAAATACCGTGTCATGGAAGGGAAGGCCCTACTTCTGCAGCAGGTGCCTCTTACCAATCTCATCCTCCATACAATATTGCCTGTTTCTGCTTTCTCACAATTGCTCGAAAGTTCAGAGACTTGCGTTTCGTCTACCAAACGTGGGAAACGGTGCAAGACCAGGCTGAAGGAGCCGATGAGTGAAGTTCCCAATATGCTTGAAGACCTGGCCAGTCTCGATTTTCGAGAAGAATGGGACAATGTATACTCCAAGCTTATACAGATTGTCGAGATATTGTTATGTCGGAGTACGCATGGAAGGAAGGCGATTGAAGAGCTGCTAGCACTGAACAATCGGATGATCGAGTGGTTGTACAAAGGGGATGAGAAGAGAGCGAATATATCTGTGGATTCCACCTTGACTCTCATAGAAACGTGGGTCCAGGAACTTTGCAGAAACAGTGACACAACTGTCGCAAAGCTCCGGGATCATCTAGAACAACGAGCCAAGTCTGAATCCGGGGAAGTTGATCAAGCCGAAGCACCGAAGGCTAGAGACGAGGGCGAAGCATTGGCATATGATCCACTAAAGTTGTCTTTGCGGAGCACCCTGAATTCCCCCTTAGATGAGGCCGATAGGATTCAGTATATTCACCACTTTTCACGTTATCAGCCGAAAAACGTTAGTCTTCTTTCGGCGCGCTCAGCAACAACAAGATTAATCAGAACGCCCCTTACCAACACAGAATTAGTTTCGGAATACGTCTACATCTACTGGTGCCCTGGAAATTTTGGCTACGTCAAGATTGGTGTCACAGATGACGTTTCCCAAAGACTAAAGGGTTGGGAGGAACAATGCAAACAAGAAGTCCGAGAGCATTTCCAGCAAGATTCAAGTGAAAGGGTACTCGTCAAACATGCTTTCCGGGTTGAAAAGATAGTTCATACAGCGTTGAAAGAGATTCGATATCAAGAGATAGGCTGCAAAGGGTGCGGAAGGAGACATATCGAGTGGTTTCGTACCAGCCCAGAACATGCTGCACTGGTTATTAAGAAATACTCACCTTGGGCTGCAACAAACCCGTACCCATTTGACAAGTCAGACAATGGTTGGAGACTGGATAAAAAAATTGGGGAACGCGAAGTTGAAGAGCTCACTGAACTAATCGGTAGCCATGAGTCGAAGCACATCTCAAAGTTTCGGAGAAGGACGATTCCTCGCAGAGTTACTACCGGAAAGCAAGGCCCTGGTGAGTTATACGCTAGATGGAAGTACAGTTTCTTTTATCCACTGGCCCAAGGATAAGCTTTTTAGGGGGCGGAAATTCTTCGAGAGACCAAAACCACGTTCACCTACAAGTAGCAGGATTGGTCTGTGAAGGCGAGGAAACTGCAGGACGGGTGCGTCATCACAACTTATTGGCCAATTGACCCAGTCATTGTTCTCTTGTTTAAGGTGCCTGTTGAAAGGAGACGGTCACGTCAATGATCGGACAGAGGTGATGTTAACGGTTTCGCATCATTTATAGCGGTCGAGTCCGCATATTCAAGGGTTGCTGCAACCATATCTATCTGTATTTCATCTGTATCTTTCTAGTTTTCTGTACGCTCTCTGTAATACACAGTAATAGCTTTGTTTCATAACAAGCTCGCTTCCTTTATCCCCTTGGCTAAAACAGTCCCATTCCAATTCTCTCTCACCTGTCCCCAACCCTGATAATTCCAATTCGTAACATAGGCCTCCGCCGTCCCGTTCCCGCCATTGCTCGTCGCATATGCACCCAGAAGTGCACCGGTAAAACCCCAAGAAATTATGTCGCCAGATACATACGCAATCGTCCTAAGCGGAACCGAGCCGTCAGCCGGCCCGGCGCCGAATGCATAGTGCGTTATGTTCACTGTCCTCAGCGTCAGCGTTAGAGGCTTGTAACGCCATGTTTCGTCAACAGGGGCCGTGAAATCGGGTGGGACGCGTATGTGGGATATAGCGTGGAAGCGGAAGTGCGGCACTAGGATGCCATTGGCGGCGAGGGGCAGCATGGCGATGCCGAAGCGGGCGTGGTGATTTTGCGAGAGGAAGAGAGTTATGCCTGCTTCTTCGTTGAGGGTGGTGGGTTGGTAGGCTAGATCGAAAGAGAAGGTGAAGAGCGTGTCGACTTGGCGCCTTGAAATGAAAGTCTGGCCGCCGGGTCCGGGAGAGTTGCCGTCGAGAGCTGTTAGATTAAGCTTTGAGGGCTTCAGGCGGAGCGTGTTTGGGTGGCCTGGAGGGGAGATGGCGTAGTTTTCTACGTTCGGAGGGCGCCAGTAGACGAAGTGTGGGGGTATTGACGAGTTTGGAGGGAATGTGAGCTTATTATCTCCTTCATCGACGAAGGGGCTGCAGTCCTTTGTGAGTAACGATATTCAGCGTGGAGAATATTCCTCGATCACTCACCCATTGCCTGGAAGGTCAAGAATAATGCCAGGTAATGACCATCCTCGCATGTCACCTTGGACCGGGTTGTGGAATACAGGCCAGGTCCCATTTTCCCACGTCACATTGGTAAGGATTGTCTCTCGACCCATGGGAAATGTCAACCATTCGGGACCAGAGCGTACGGCCAAAGCAACGCCCCACCATTGGCCTCGCGCATCTTGGAACAGGTCGGCGTGTCCTACAGCTTGGACTGTAGTGAAGGTCAATTGAGATGCTAAAGCCAACCCGAAAAGACTTACAATATTCTGAGCTGTTTGCGTTTGTCAAAATAGGGTTTACTGAGTTGGGATCGTAAGGCCCATAGAGATCTTTAGAGCGAGCGATCGTCTCCATATGATCCAGGCCGGTGCCACCTCCTACCAGTCAGTCACATAATGGATACTGGTTCTGAATCATACCTTCGGCGATCATCAGGTAGTAGTAGCCATCTTTCCTGAAAATATGTGGACCTTCAGGTGCCTTTGAAGGTAATCAGCATTCCCTTGAGCAATATCTCCCACGGACGTTACTCACGATTCCACCGGTGCCATTCCACAAGTTCGCCCAGTTGCCAAGCAAAGCTCCAGTCTTGAGGTCAACCCTGTTGAGATGGATACCATACCTAAGCGCGAATCAGCACTTGGGTCTCACCTCGAAGCTGCTTTGGCCACTCACGCTACCTTCCAAGCATGGCTGCCCACAATGTACGAGTCCCCTTCATCATCCCAGTGCGGGCTAACGTCATACCCGTTGAAGTCAAAATGCACAGCATTACTCCACTTGTTATTATCCCATAGATCCGGCGTTGAGAAGATAATCTGAACAAAGTCAATTAGTCTCGCTTTTTGATCGAGGAGCTGAGATAAGGGAGCAGGTATAACGTACATTATCCCATCTCGACGAATCATTGGTCGCCTTCTTGTCATGCACCATGGTAGTTAGAAGATAGAATGTGCCATTATGAAAGCGAAGTGCCGGTGCCCAAATGCCACTTGTCGAACCGACGGAGGCCGCAAGCTCGGGTAACTGGGTCTCTCGATTGAGTGCGTGGCCTGTGGTGGTCAGTTGATTTGAGCCAAATGTACAACCCTGAGTGTACCAAAAACCGCACTTGCACCCTAGTATTGCTAAACCATGGCTGTGGTGGTATGTACGTGCAGAGTAAGTTTGGTAGCGAGAGTTTAAATGAAGATGAGGAGGTTGGGGGTAATATAAGGGCCCTGTCAATCGATAAGAGAGTACGAAGATGTTCGGTAGATCTTGTCATGTCGTGTGCCTGGACTTGCAGAAAGAAAGAGGCTAGGAAGTGGAGCAAGCGGCCAGAAAGAGTAATCATATGCTTGAGTCGAAGTAACACCAAGAAAACGAATCAAAAATTCCCATGCGTTACAAACCCAGCAAACAAAAGCATTGTAACATATGAACCAGCAGATTGTGGATGGAGGGGAAACTTACCAATCAATCTCCAATTAGTCAAATCCTTACTTGCATGAATCGGGATTCCAGGAAAGACATTGAAGCTCGAAGATGCACAGTAGAACGTTGAGTCCAACTTGTGGAAGATACAACTTGGATCAGGGTGGAACTAGATCGTCTGTCAGCACCTGTACGACTCTGCTTCTTGATTTTTGTAGAAGGCCCAGAAAAGGTTTTTATCCAACTCACCCCAGGCAAGATAGGATTAAAGAACCTTGAATTGAACTGCTGCGCATACACCAGCCCAGACAGCAGCCAGGTTGTAGCTAACATCAATTTCACCCTCGTCGCCATCAGAAAATGATATAATCTTCCCATATTTTCCCGAATCCAACCAAGTTACGTTACGCTTGCGATATCTTTTCTGTCGTCCGTCGTGTGGAGCAGGCAGTGTGAAGCGAACCGAACATCCAACATGCCACCACAGCCACCAGCTTATACTTCCCCCCACCCAACTACCAACCGGGATGGCTTTCATATTCCCTGTCCTGGCGTCATTACACTGCAGATCCCCTCACCAAAAACGGGGGACTTTATCCGGGATATTTTGTCGAACGATGCTAGAAAGAACTGGAGACATGGAAGCGATTATGACTTGGGGCCGTGGGGTAAACTAGTTTAGAGTTTAGCCTCCTCTCACTTCCCTTGTCACCGAACTTTGAATTGACGTATATTGAAAAAAAAAAGACTGGAACGTAAAGTAACGTGGAAGCGGGGGAGCTAACTAGCCATGTGGAGGAGGAGCTTGAGCAGATGTGTTTGTGTGGGGCGGGCGTGGATTTTTGCATCGGTTAAGGAGCCGGTGGATAAAAGATGTGCAGAGTATCGTGCTGGCATTTCGGGGGCTAGCGAGGAACAGGACAACATGAAGCAACTGTTTCGCCTACACATAGGAAGAGCTTGAGAAACTCACCGTTCCGAATAATTTTACACAGGACACATGTGTGTACCTATGCGCATCGTTATCAACGGCTAGAGAACCTGTTAATGTCGATCTTCACCGCAGACACGCAGCAGCTGATCCAAGTCCGACGACCCGGATTTGAGCTTGCCATTATAAGGAAATTAGATTTCCTACAATGCTATTACTACCTAGAATGTACGCCAACTTTACTTGTGCTATCTTATATCACATTTTGATGTCATGGCTTCCTAAGTTAAGACATTTCGGATTGGACAGTTCTACCACCAGCATTTCGTGGGTAAAGGCATGGCTTCAAAAGGATGTTAAGGATGTGGAAGAAGTAAACAGAAAAGGAGGGGAGGCATAGCAGGCAAACCTCCCTGTTGAAGCTGTGCAGGAACCAGTACTTTGATAATCTTACTATCGTTTCTAAATCACCATCAAAATCTATCAAATAGTGTCTCTTTCTCTTTCGCATAATAAATGACACGGTAATATGTAGGAGTACGCTTATCTAGTGCTAGCGGAACGGCCTTTGGGCAACGTCTGCATCTAAGACTGCGCACTGGTTCGTTATACTTGGAGTTACTATTTAAAAAGAAAATGATAGTATGACTAACGTGTTTTGATTGGTACTGGTAGGGTGTTGAGCGCGTTTGGTAATGCTACTATGCGGGTAGGTGTCAGCTTCGTCTCGGCTTCGTACTTATGCCATTGGCTACTAAGTACAATTTAGATGACGCCTGCATTAGTGCTCTAGTCAGCTATGAAGTTAGGGTAGACGAGCTTATAAGAGTCCTAAGCTATCGCATAAACACTCAACACGTTTATATCTAGTCACCAAGCTTGTTTCGTTCAATATAATTACAATCTCTACACCTTCGTCATACTCAAAGTACCACCACAAAACCGGTCATAGCCCACACTAGGGTGTAGGTGCTGTTGAATTCATCTCGACAACAGCATCATCATCTATGTCACTTTTCAGCAATTACACCGCCACGATGAAAGCGTTTGCAATTTTTCTCATCGCAACTCTCCTCGGTGCAAATGCTGCAGTCCCAACCGTCACCCCAAAGCTCATCAGCATACCCCAAAACTGCGGGTACTGGCCTTCCGGTCGTTTCTTAATCGTCGTCGACTCTGCCGAAGACCCCGCAGTGAACGGCTTACCCGCGCAACCCTACGACATCATCTTCCCCTCTAAAGTCCTTCCCCTGTTAGCCATCGACCTCCGCGCATCCCGTCGCATCGCCAAATCAGTCTTTGCTTGCGACGCTGGCCAAGCTGTGATATCTTCTTCGCCCGTATTTAAGAAACTTGGGATCTGCCAGGACCGTGAGAATGGGCACATCTTAATCGATGCGCCTGCAGAAAAAGTGTTGGTTCCGGAACTGTACAGGCATGTCGTGGATGGAAAGGAAGTGGACGGGCTCTACGTTGGAGCGAAGAATCAGACGACTTGGGGTTTTCGGTACACCCCGTCAAGCTGCTATGCAAATGCGACGGTGTCTACAAGGGACTATTACGAAGTAAAACTTTTGGGGTTGCCGGAGAGTAAGTATGACACTGCGGGATACGAAGTAGAGTTTCAAGGCTTCTTAAAGGTTGTAGAGTGGTGATGACATAGCAGCGTGGAGCAGAACAGATACTTCACTGGTCCAACACTCAAAATGTTGTGGATTAGAAAATTTGCCTCTGATGTGTAGGCTATATCGTATCTCCGTTGATCTTGTTACAAATATAATAGTGTGTTTACTTCTTCCCTTCTAATGATCCTAACAGTTTTACTTACAAACAAGACGGACTTATTAGCCTTGGGCTCCCAAACGCTCCCTCAATGTCTTTCCCTCATACTGCCCCCTAAAAGTCCCGCGGCGCTCTCTTCCAGGGAAGATATGTGTTGACAAATTTCGGCGTGTACCTATTGAAAGTAGTCAAATAGCCGCAAACCCATCCGTAGCCACCCACAGCCTTTAATCACTTTTGCAAGCCATCAGCAACGACTTAGATCTGCCACAATGAAGACACTCCACGCAGCCTGTGCCTAGCTTCTTCTTAAGTCTTGTCCTATATTACCGCGCATACGTGTCAAAATCATGAAGCTTGTGTTCGAGTAATAGTAGTATCATTGTTAATCCCAATAAACAAGGGCATATAGAACAGTCTGTTGGTACAGGTAATCTATTACCTATCTTGCCTGACCGCAGCTTATTCTACAACGAGTCATTACTTTTTAGATCCCCCTCTCTCGCTCTGAATGTCCAGCTACAACAATATCCATCAATCCACCAAGTTCATCAGAAGTATATCTAATCTTAGCAGGCGCTTAACGCTAAACTGGTAAACGATCCCTTAAGATATGCATTGCCAAACAACAACTGACTGCGCCTTGTGTGTGTAAAAATGACATTACTTTACGTCCATCATGAATGCTAGATGGAGGAATCAACCACACCACCCTATCCTTTTCGGTAGACACTATAATGTGATTGTTGATATGAATGCAAAACGCCCCGTTCCAATGTTCTCTAGTAAAGATGAAAACTCCGATTGTAATGCGTAAAATGGATATGTGTACAGAATATATAAGTCAAATGTAGCGTAGCGTAGCGTGTCCCGGACGACCAAGCGTTAGATGGTTGTAGGTAGGGGGTCTCAATGTTGCGCGACAATGGTCTTTGACAAATTCGATCGCTGCGGAGTCGCGTCTTTCCGAAGTTGACGGACCAGGGCTTCGAGTTTGCGACGCTCTTCTTGTTCAGTCTACGGGTTTGTTAGCATATATTATCCATTGAAATTCTGCGCGATAGTACGGTACTCACTCTAAGTGCTTTGAGTCCCTCCGATGTCCGATCCCTCATCATCTTCCTGAAATCTTCCCTTAGCATCCGGATACTCGTAGCCCCTAGATCCAGCTGGCCGGCCCCGCCATTCGGCATCCCTGGACTCCTGACGCCCAGCCATTTGACCTTCTCGTCACTCAGTTCGCGCTCTAGCGCCTCTTTCTCATCTCTTAGCTTGTCGATCTGGCTCTCAAGCACATCCCGATCTTTCTCATTCTGTATAGCGTCGCGAGTGAGCGCTTCATATTCGCCGGCCATACCAGAGAGCTCAGCCTTGAGGTTGCGCTCTGAGTTGCGCGCTTCCGCTTCGGATTGCGAGGCTGCGTCTTGGACTTTTCGGAGAGCTTCAATTTCGTCTCTGAGAGCCTGGTTTCTGTCGCTCAGCTCGTCTAGCTCTCGTTTGATGGCCGGATTCGCGGCAGAGTCGGCCGCGCGTTGGGCTCGAGTGCCGTATGCACCGTCAAGCTCGGCTTTGGCGAAGGTGAGTTCGGTGGTGAGGCGCACAATTTCGCCTTCAAGACTGCGGAACTCTTCTTCTTTGGCGTTGAGCGCATTCGTCGCGTCCAGAGATCGAGCCTCTGCAGCTTCCTTTTCAGCTGTTACTTTCATGAGTGCTGCTGCAGCTTGGTTGATCTTCTCCGCAGACTCTGCGAGCTCGGCTTGAATTGTTAGGGATTCGACACGAGCACTGTCTTGGGTCTCTCGTAGCTCATTCTCGGTTTCCCGTAGGTTATTCTCAGTTTCTCGTAGGCTATTCTCAAGGGTAATAGCGCGCTCTTGTGCGTCCCGAACATGAGCCTCATAAGCAGCGCTACGTCCCTCGACTTCACGAGATTGCACATTGAACGCAGTGTTGCGCTCCTGGTGATCCTTGAGTTCCTTTTCGTATGTGGTGCTCCGTTGCTCAACGTCTCGTAGCTGATTCTGATAACTAACGGCTTGTTCCTGCACGTCCTTGAGTTGGTTCTCATAAGCCGTGGCACGTGTCTTGGCTTCTTTGAGTTCGGTTTCGAAAGCCATAGCACGTTCTTGCATGTTGATAAGCTGTGCCTCGAGCCCGGCGTTACGCTCTTGTGTCTCCCGCATTGCTTGGGCCTCAGCCTGAGCCTTCGGCTCGTCGAACTGTTGGAGTTGGCTCATTGCGCGCTCTAGCTCGTCTTCCATGGACATCTTTTCAGACCTTGCGCTAAGGACCTGCACGTTGAGCCGCTCGAAATCAGCCTCTTTCTGAGCATCTGATTTGCTGTTCAGCTCGCGTTGCTGTTTAATCTGTCGCATCAGGACCGATTGCTTGTCCTTGAGGCTGGTAGCACGGCTGAATAGCCATTGTACCTTTGCTGAGAAAGCAGGTAGCGAGAAAGATTCGTTGGCGTTGTAATCTTCATCAGGCGACAGCTGTTCGTCCGCGTCTGGATCCTCTGCGAGTAAACGGCGACGCTCTCGTTTTCGTTCCCGTGCCTGCTCCTCACCAGCTAGAATAATCTGCCAGAGGCCGATCAATGTGGTCTCATACTTCTCTGCTTGCTCCGAGTCTGGGTTGCTGGGGGCTTTCGATTGTAGCTCATCAATTTGGCTGCTCAGCGAGTAGTGAACCTGTTCGAGGTTATAGAAGGAATCTTCCAGGTAACTAAGTTGTTCAGTCGAGCCGCTACCAGTAATAGCAGGTGGAGGTGGGATTTGATTGGCGCCTTCAGCATTCGTCCGACTCAGTACGGCGTACAGCTGATTGTTGATGCCCCCGAGACGACCTTCCACCTCGCTCGACGAGTGCCTCGACTTCTTGTGCATGTTGGCATGCTCAGCGCTAATGCTACGGAGGCCTTCATCGAGAAAGTCGAGCTGGCGATCTACGGTCGCAGCGTCCGGGACACCCTCGAGTGCTAGTGGTGGGAGAGCATATTCACGTTCCTGTTCCGGACTGACTTGGACAATGAGCGTCCGCAGCTTCTCATTCATTTCTTCGAGACGCTTTGCCGTCGAGGTCAGGGCTGGTTCCTGGCGCTCAGTAGGTGGAGAGTGGTGGTAGGTCCCGTTTTGTAGCACATTCATGAGACTGTCGAGATTCTCTGGCGACCTGTAAAAGCTGCGTTCGTCGAAGTCACCCTCGCCTCGAGTGCCGTTTCCCCGGCCAAACTCATATGCGTTCAGGCTGGCTGGGCTGTCTGGTCTTCGAGATACCTCGTCCGACATGGCTGAGTTCTCGATGCGGCTTTTGGGGCCCTTGTGCGTTAGCTGGAGTACAGCGGCGGTATGCATCAGCAGCTGCATATCAATCATGCGCATGCGAGATTCGATTTCCAGCAAGTCTCGGATGAGTTCCTCGACCTTCTTGTTGCTTACATCCAGTCCCTCTTGCGACTGGACATCGTGCTCCTGGGCTCCATCACTGCCCTTGCTGCTTAGACCCCTCGTGTGCCTAATGCCTTTCTTGGACGCCAATCGACTGAGGGAGCGCGTTGCATCGCGGATCTTCGTCTCCGACTCCAACTTCTTCCTCACGGTGCCCAGTCGCGCATCGAGCGTCTTCTGCTCCTGCTTTAGCGCATCCACTTCTTCCACGGTCAGAATGTCAAAGTACTGGCTGTCTGCTATGGCCGTCTCCACCAGCAGGTGCATAGCCACGGGATCTGTATGCAGCGCGTCGGAGCTTCGTTTTCGCATTTCTTGTGGGGTGTAGCCGCCGTTCTCGCGCACCGTGTCTCTGCGGCCAGAATCAAAGACATTGGGCGGTGGAATGAAGGCGCTGGCGCCGAATCGCGGGGAGATTTGGTAGGCCATGGGAAAGAAGCTGGGTGACGGTGCCCCTAGGCTAGACGGGTAGTTTGAAGAGGGCGAAGGGAAGTCATATAGCGGCCGAGGACTGAGGGCGTCCCCCGCGTAGGGGTATTGGGTGCGCAGGCCATTGCTTGCCATGTTCGCCATGATCGCTCTCGGCGCAGGTCGCGGTGGGACTACAAAGGCGGAGTCGCGGGTGCGTGTAGGCGCAGTAAGGGTGCGGATGGAGAGGGCGACGGGGGCGGCGTAGAGCAGGAGTCGCGCAGCCAGCTGGTGCAGATGGGGGCTCACGGAGAGCGACTGTGAGGCATTCTCAAGAGGAGGATTTGGGTTTGTAGCCAGGGGACACTGGACATTTGTTTTCCACGCGGCTCTCCTCTCCCAACAAACGACGGACGGGCATTAGGGGTCGCGCACTACCAGGTACGGTTACGGTTGGTTTATTAGTAGCTCGGGCGGGTAGACAGGCATGTGAGCCCTTGGCAGGCACCGTAAACTCCCCACCTACGGCGCCTTGGAGCCTCGTATTCGTTGTCTTCTGCTTGACGACATAATACGAGGCCCCCGCTCTCAGCTTTTTGTGCTGCAGGAGAGGCTCCGCGTCGTGAAGCCACATATTGACATATTCCCCGTGGCACGCTGTCACAGCCCACATCTCTGACGGCTGAATTGGGATTTGCACACTGTCGCCGATCGCTCAATTTTGTAGCTCCTACGATCAGCATCATGGCTGCCGAGCAACACAGGTCGGCATACTCCAAGGAGCAGATGGCGAGATACTTGGACCGTCTCAAATTGCCCCATGGGGAGCGACACTTTGATGTCGCGGCATTCAACCCCAATGATGCGCTTGCCTACCTTGCCCTGTTGCAGAAACACCATCTCGCTGAGATACCCTTTGAGAATCTAACCCTACACTACTCAGTACATCGGCAAGTCTCCCTCCACCCCGAAGAGCTGTTCAAGAAGATCATTGGGGACAACAATGGCCGTGGGGGCTATTGTATGGAGAACAACGGCCTATTTGGGACTCTGCTCCACTCGCTTGGCTTCAACGTCTACTCGGCAGGCGCTCGCGTTTTCGACCATGGGCAGTGGACTGGTTGGAGTCACATGGTCAACTTCGTTAAGATTGGCGGAACCAAATATCACGTAGACGTAGGCTTTGGAGCCGAGGGCCCAGTCGTGCCAATGCCGCTGGATCGCTCGGGCGCGATACAGCAGCACATTAGCCCAGCCACGACACGGCTTCAATATCGCAACATTCCTGGCACCACCGATCCTGATCAGCGTTTCTGGGTCTATGAGTACCGAAGAAACGGCGCCAGTGACTGGGAGATCAAGTACTCGTATACCGAGCTGGAGTTCTTCCCACAAGACTATGCCGTCATGAACTATTTCACGAGCACCACCCAACGGACTTTCTTCACGCGAATCGTCGTAGTGGAGAAGAAGATACTGGGACGTGACGGGGACATGGCTGGGAATCTGATATTGATGGGAAATAGTCTAAAGCGGAGGATACACTGGGAGAAGGAGAAGGAGGTCGAGTTTCATAGCGAAGCAGAGAGGCTGGACGCTCTACAAAAGTACTTCAATATCAGCTTCGGGGCGGCCGAGCGGGATGGCATTCGTGGGCTTCCATCAGAGATCAAGTAGCTTTCCAGACTGAACAAGAGAAGTTTGGCATTCTCGATTTGGATGTGTATCATTTGTTATGGAATCTAGTGTTCTTCTGTCGCTCGCACCCGGCTTATAGGAATCGCTGCTCGCACTGTCTGATGTCAGTCCTGTCGTCTCCGGGTGAATCGCAATCCATACCCTCCATGGGTTGTTTAGCTCAAATCCGGCGGGGGCTATCGGCTTGTCTGTCTGTCCTCGCGCAAAGCCCGTCAATCGTCGGTCGCGTTCCATCACTGCCGTCTGGTGAGTATAGTCGAATCAAGTCATCGTGGAGTTGTCATACTTTGCTGTACAATTGTTAGCAAGACCCAAAACGCTGCGTCCAGATGGCTACTCACCCTATCCCATTGGTCGATTCCTCGTCTCGCCCTCTTTCCACCATTCTGCATTTCCCTGAGCTTCCCGACGGATATGGCGCTGAATGCGAAGAACTGCAGCACCACGTTAGCACCCCTCCACGGCGGCCAATGGGTCCAGTCAACGTACGCCAGTCATGATCGCATACGGCAAAAAAGCCTCGAATGGGATACCCATGGTGGCGGTAGTGTCAGCAGTCGTCGTCGTGAGTTGCGGGGAGGCGGCTGGTGGTGAACGGCGAGCTTGAGGGATGGAGGTGAGAGGAGGCGCTCGGTCCGGCCTTGGCTTCGACCCCCGAGCGTGCACCTCGCAGCCAAAGGGTGCCATTTCAGACGGGCGAATTTCATCTCCCACGCACTCTACAGACGAGCTACAATTATTCCCCGTGTCGCCCAGCATCCCACTTTCATACGAACCGCAAACATTGGCACCTTTGCGCCTCGACACGCCCCAATAATTGCGCGTGGCTGCGACGGCACACCACCACCTCCCCCACTGCCACCCACAACGCGACTGCGAGCCTCCGACATCACACGCTGGCGCCTTTGGGCCTTACGAAGCTACGTCACGACCCAGATACACGATATTGACGCGGTGGACGGTTTCACGGGTTACCACAACGCGCTACGACTCCCGCACGACGCGACGAGAAGCGCTACATGAATACGCCGCCAAAGTACCTACTACTCTTCACGCGGCCGATGTGATAGAGGTCCTACTACACCTGGGTTGTGACACTGGCGTTTCTGGCATCCAAACTGGCGGCTGTCGTCTCCTTCGCCATGGCGGAGCCCGCCCGGCTCATGGGCCAAGCCGCAAGCAACACCGACCAGGACGACATGGATGTGGATGGAGAATACGAAATGGACGATGCGGAATATGAGCAACCTCCCGCTGAGGACAACAATCCAGATGCAAATGGCCACACAACTGATGCAGAAGGCTCAGATGTCGATGCCGAGGGCGAGGAGGTAGACGACGACGAGGACGAAGCTGAGCCTGTTGGCGCTGTCAAGATAGCCCTGCGGAGGCGCACAGCTTTCGACGACGAGGAAGACGACGACGACGACGACGACGAGGATGACGCCGTAGGAGATTCGTCCTCAGATGCCAAAACTAGCGACAGCGAGCACGCATCAAGCAGCGCCGAATCTGAAGGGGAGCACCCATGGCAGGCCGAGAGCGACGGCGAAGAGAAGGCAGAAGTCGCAACATCATATACCATGGCGTGCACGTGAGTATCAGTCGGGTAACATGGGAAAACGGAACATGCATTTGCTGACAATGGAATAGATACTGCAATAAGGACGAGGATAACGATCCAAGTCCAGAGTTTGAAGAATATCTCGCATGCGTCGAGTGTGGGGAGAATGGTGCGTAATTTCATGGAATGTTTGACTTTACGAGCTCGGGTAGCTGACATCTTGTTCCTGCAGCACATCGGCAATGCGCCCGCGCCGCTAATACGCTTAGTCCCGATGACGGTACGTCCGCCTTCCAGCATGTTCATATCACTTCTGCTAATGTTCCATTTTAGACGTAGAGCATTGGCGCTGCACGGCCTGCATTCAAGATGATCTTCATGCCGAAAAAGAGTCAGAACAGGCCCGTAAGAGTCGTAGGCAATCATCCTTACCCAAGCTCACCAAGGAGTTACTGCCTGCGCATCGTGGCGTAGACCCAGCAGGACACTCTATTTTCAAAGAGCTAATCCTCCCCGATGAACCAGCAGATGGAACAAGATCGCTACGTCACAAACGTAAATCATCACATGAAGATGAGCTTCCACTCCCGCCAAGGCAAACAAGAAAAAAGCGGAGACCTTCAGAAGCCTCCAAATCGGAAGCGGGACCATCAGTAGCTGCATCCTCGCCCCGACCGCCTTCGAGAAGTGTCCGAAGTATCCGTAGTGTCATGACAGATGGCCACGAAAGCGAGGGTGATGCGGAGCCTTCTGGCTCCGACCAAGAGGCTTCCCGCTTACGTTCATCGCGCGCACGCCGTGGACAGCCTAAGAGGACTGACAAACGGCCACTCGCTTGGATCGAAGAATCTCAAGGTCTCAGCTTGATCATCGTCTTTCACCTTAACAACGAGAAAGTGCAAAAGATCGTCACGTCTAAGCCGAAAAAGAAGACTCTCACCCTAGAACAGGAGAGACAGGAACGACGGCGAGAGAGGGATAGGGAACGGCGCGAACGCAATCGTCGGGCTGCACAAGCTGCAAGAGAATCCCCAGAAGTGTCTCACTATCCGACCATACACGCTCAACATCCTACACCGTTCCAGGGCTTCACAGACAGGGAGCCAGACGAGACCAAGAGCAAGCCATACGGTGGTGTCCTCTCCGAGGCTGATGCTGATACCTCGAAGACATACCCTTCACAAGCTGACAGGAAGCGGTTTGAAGAGGCTCGCATAAAAGCGGAAGAAGCTTGGAAAGAGAAGCAGACTGCCCTCTACGCTCATTTAGAACCTGCGAAACTATCGAAGCAACCAACTGCTGCAAGTAAAATCAAGTGTGTCAATTTTGGTGGATGGGAGATTGACACCTGGCACGCGGCGCCTTATCCAGAGGAATATAGCAAGAACAGGGTGCTATATATTTGCGAATTTTGTCTCAAGTATATGAATTCTGACTACGTCGCATGGCGACATAAGGTAGGCATAAATATTCTCACTTGTGATTACAAGTACTAACAAAAGTCAGCTTAAATGCCCCGCGAAGCACCCTCCAGGTGACGAGATTTATCGCGACGGCAAATACTCCTTCTTTGAGGTGGACGGCCGAAAGAACCCCGTCTACTGTCAAAACCTCTGCCTACTCGCCAAGCTGTTTCTCGGGTCCAAAACGCTATACTACGATGTTGAACCGTTCCTCTTCTACGTCATGACCGAAAACGACAATTACGGCTGTCATTTCGTTGGCTATTTTTCGAAGGAGAAGCGGCCCAGCTCGCTCAACAACGTCTCGTGTATCCTTGTGCTACCTATTCACATGCGCAAAGGCTACGGACAATACCTGATCGAATTCTCTTATCTTCTCACACGCGTCGAGAGGAAGACGGGAAGTCCTGAGAAGCCGCTTAGTGACATGGGTCTGGTAAGTTATCGGAAGTACTGGCGACTCGTTCTATGCGAAGAACTACTGCAGCAGAAAGGACCGATCAGCATCTCAGCTATATCAGATCGTACTGGTATGACGCCTGATGACATTGTGTCAGCTTTGGAAGGCTTGCGTGCTCTCGTGCGCGATCCTGTCACAAAGAAGTACGCACTACGATTGGACCTCAATTACTTCAAGCAGTACATGGAGAAGTGCAACGCTGCAGGCAACCCAAAGATCGATCAAGAATGCCTCGTCTGGACGCCGTATGTCATGGGGCGCCTAGGCCAATACGAAGACGGACCCGCACTGCAGACAGTACAGCAACGTGATGAGGTTGAAGAAGAGGACAAGCCAGTACCGGAAGAGGGCGTGCAGATGGACATGGCTGCCAAAGCCAATGGCACGGGCGACGAGGCCGACCCAGCCATGCCTGACCTACATGCAGAAGAGTCACTGAACGGCGGCTCGCCTGCACCTGGCACACCGCTTGCGAATGGCAGTACTGAAGCTCTTGCCGGCTCACAGATGGATGAACCTTCCATCCCACCTTCACGCTACGAGATCTTCCCTCCTGTCCCTGGACAGCCCGCGCAGAAACGCCGGCCAGGACGACCATTTGGTGCGCGACGGCGCACCAGCACGCCAAATCGTGTACGCAACACATCGCTGTCTATTCATACAGCCCCTATATCGAAAATGCAGCTTTCACCCAGTAGAGGTGCGAAATCATCACCCCTTATAAACGGCAATCTTACCCCGAGTACGATTCCACTTCGACGGACGAGGAGCAGACTAGCCGAGAGCGTCACGAATGGTGATGACGTTGATGAAGGAGACGCTGTCAAAGCCGTCATTATTAACGGGCGAAGAAGCACCAGGAGCTCTGCTAGTTCGCTGGGTAGTCCACGCAACGGCAAAGATCTGAAGGGCAAGGGGAAAGCAATGGTTGTTGAGGTTGAGGAAGCACAGGATGAGGATATTGATGCAGACGGCGATTACGATGAAGATGGCGACATGGACATCGATGCGGAAGGCGAAGAAGACGATGACATTGTCATGGCGAATGCTTGATCTGGTCGCCTAACTCCTACTCTACTTTCACGACATGAAAAGAAACGCGCAAACCCATGTTGGCGTTCAGGGTTCTCGCGTGCTCCCCCTATATTGGAGAGCGGCATTTTTTTCGCTTGAGTGGGCTGCTTGTTCGGCCTCCTCTGTAGTTTTACTTTTTTTCAATATTGCACTTAGGGAGATACCTTGGGAAACGGGGAGTTTATCAATGCTCCATACTTCAATTCTATCTATTACGGAACCCCACTTTTTGAACTTCTCCGTCCCATCATGGAAATCTCGCTACTGGCGGAAGTCAGCTATTTCCTATACACATGTAATGCAGTTTTTTTTTCTGGCCCACAACACCGTACATCCATGTTTGTCATTCGGCATGTACTATTCCTCCGCCTCCGTCGCCCCCCGTATAACAACCTAAGCCTAAACCACCTCTTAGCCTTACCCTACCGCACTAGCGTAGCAATATAGATTAAGTGCCTGTCAGCTTACTCGACTTAGCCCAATACGATGATCGATTGCGATCCGCCCACCGGTTCAAAGGCAGGTAAACTGTGGAGATGTAGAAGAATTCCTTTTTGGCCCCCAAGAAGTGGCTCGAACAGGACGTTGGGCATTTGAATTTTGGCTTTCGACGTCTTGTTTAGGGGCATGCTGCTCGTGTAGTAATAGTACTGAGGTTGTATAGCGGTAAGATGATTGAGTGAGGAACCAGGTTGGAAGGGTTTGTAGATGGGGAAAGGCGTATAAAAAGCTCAGTAGGGCGCGAGTTTTGCAAGAGTATCGCTCAGATTCCTCATCTCCTCATACCTCGTCGAAATAACTCACCATGCATCCTCTTATCGCCGCTATCGTGGTGTCCATAACCACTCTCTCAGCCACCGCCACCGCCATAGCAGTCCCCGAAGCCCCACTCCTCCACTCAGACTTCTCCTTCTCCGCCTGGGTAGACAGTCTCATCGCGGACCCCAGCACGGCTCTAACACCCTCTGAAGCCATCGCAGCTTTCAACTCCTCCCTCACCTCATCTTCCTCTGCGCTCTCCAAGCGCCAGGAATTCCGCAACTGCAACCAAAAGGGCTCGCGGCCTGCCAAAGTTCCCGAAGCAGTCTGGTGCATTAATTACCTTGCGGACCGGGGCCGGAAGGGCGAGACGTGCGATTTGGGCACGCAGTTTGTTGCCAAGGCGCAGTGTACGTGGTATGATGCGCAGATTGTTAGTATTAGAACGAGGGGGGCATTAACGGGGATAAATTGGTATGTTTTTGTTTTGCTTTTTAACTTCACCACTTCTGTTTCTTCTTCTTTTTCTCTTGTTATTTTGAGTTCTACTACCTCGAATACACAGGATATAGACTTGGAGAAGTTAACTTGCTGACACGGTGGGGTTTGCTTGTAGCAATGAAATTGCCAAAGCTGGAGGTTCGATTATGGATCACTGTTTTCGCGCCGATAATACGGTGGCCGGCGAGGCTCATGTTGGAGCTGTTACTATTCAATTACAGATGCCCCTCGTCTAGCATGTTTATTTGCTAGTGCAATGGATTGTGTTTTATCCTGTAGGTAGTGGAGTCGGTTTGAATTGGCAGGTGTGTTAGTTAGTACAGATTGAAGAGGGAGATGGGAAGAACGGATGATGGTGTCTTCTAGCTTGTTGAGAAATATATACGAAATTGGAGAATCAAGGATTCGAAACGAAGTTCTTTCAAATTGCTGGGGTTAGGGAACGCAACAATACTTGATTAGCGCAATCGTACTCATCAGACAAAGAATTCTAGGGATCACAGTCGAAAAATATTGTCTAAAGAAGTCTTGAGATATCTAGGGCAGTGCTGCATGTGGATCAAATGTTAAATGCACACTTGCCGTTGTTTACGTTATAACTCGTCGCAAATGTAAGCTCCGTCAGTTATGTTTTTCTTCGCATACTTACTTTCTTGTTTTAATTGATGTCTTAAAGTCTGTAATATGACAATCCTGGGGCGATGTTGGTGAGTAAAGAGAAGAGAAGACCTTTGAATTTGCCTATTACAGTGTTGTCGCTAGACTTCAAAAGCACGGCGAAGGAAATTTCTTACAGCGGTTTATTGCTTTGTGAACATTAATAGGAAAGCTCAAAAATATTTTTCAGCTTTAGCACACACTTGTTAATAAGTACTCAACATGTGAGCATCAGCTGACCAAACCCACCAGAGTGGGGCCGGTATCCTCCAAAACTAACTCAACAACAGTACCTACATGACCTTACTTCGGATGTTCGGGCAACAGGGGACTATCCCAGCATCCCGCAACCAGGCAATATCCGTTCTACCCGAGCGAGGCTTGTCCGCCCTTCCCGTCACCCCAGTTTTTAGATTGCTTACCACCAAGGAAGATGATTTCAAATTCGCCTATGCCCCATTTCATCTGTTGAGCTATCGCCGGCTCTGTTGCCAACAGGGAATGAATTCCTCTTGACTAAACCAGCTGCAGACTATTCGAAATTGGAAGTCAGTCTCGTTCTATCGCCCCACTTTCGCTTCCTGCACATGTATTGAGAAGTGCAAGTTGAACGCATCTAGCTTAATTTTCTCGTCCGAACAAAGGACACTAATGCACATAGCTATCGATGGTAGTTCACTTCTTTACATCGTTGTCCCTGCATCATATTAAGCACGTCTTAGGCTCATCTTCGGAGAACCAACTCGCTTCCATTGTATTCCCACAACCTCACGGTCTTCACGAGTGGAATGTAATATAGTATATGAGGCTATCCGCTCGATGTCTCACTCAGAGCTCCAGAGGAGAGCCCTACAAGATATCCAGGATATAGGTTACCCAGTGCCCATGTAAGGTACGGCGTTCACAGAACCGGAGATAGCTCCACAGGTAGCACTGGGAAATAGGCGCTTCTGAAATCTTCTTTTGTCCATGTCACGTTTATACAACTTTTTTTGCGGGCCTCCGACATGCTGCACTGCAACGAGAAGACTATTGCCTTGCAATCCCTGCCTAGTTTCCATCTATGAGAAGAGCGTTGTCCTAGACATATCCTTCGTGTCCGTTAATCTCGTGCTGTGGGTCTGCAGAACAAGGATTTTTGCATCGCATCACGCTGGAGGCTCGAGTTGGATATGTTTTTTTTGGTATAAAGAGAATACCGACCACCCGAATTTCATGGCATCAGAGTTCTCACTTCTTTCTCCGATTCATCACCACTACTTCAACTCTTCTTCTCAGGCCACCACAGTCCCTCGTAATGAAGTCCGCCGCCCTTTTCACTACCCTAGCCTTCGCCGCTACTGCTGTCGCTGCAGCTAGTCCCGCTGCAGCTCCAGTCCAAGAGCCAGAGGCTGCGATTGTCCACTCTGACTTTTCATTCACCGCCTGGGTTGACAGTGTCATCGCTGATCCCGAAAATGCCCTGAGCCCCGAGGAAGCCGTTGCAGCTTTCAATGCTGGCTTATCTACGCGTCCGTTCTACCTCCTTTTGCTAGTGTGTCAATACATGTTATTAACATCACGTCAGTTGAGAAACGCCAGACATTTGGAAACTGCCAGCAACTCGGTGACCGCCCTGCTCAGGTAAGTTTTCTCATATAATCTCGAGAATGGGGATGGGACCACATGCGGACAAAATCATCTGCGAGTCTTTGCCCGAATTCTCTCTTTTCCCTTCCACAATCTTTGGTTTTACATTTACCTCTCCGAATCTGCTGACGCTTGCTGGCTTCAAGGTCCCCGACGCAGTATGGTGCATCAACGACCTCGCGGCCCGCGGCCGCGCAGGCCAAAACTGCGACGTGAATAGCTCCAGCCGCGCACAGTGCACACACAACGTGGCGCAGATCGTCACAGTGCGAGGACGGGACGATGCGCCTAGCAGCGTGAATTGCAATGACATTGCCCGCGCGGGAGGTCTGATTATGGATCGCTGCACGCGTGGCGATAACACGGTTTCGGGGCAGGCGTATATCCCTCAAGGGGGTGTTGCCGTGCATATCCAGATGCCTCTCATTTAGAAGGATTAAGTTTGAGTGAGAAGTTAGTGTTAGCTCGGTTGGATACATGCCTTAAGAGCGAGTGACTCCTCGCAGATATAACCACAACTCGCATCAGACTCATTAGTAGTCATCAAAAGCAGAAAATCGATATTTAGTACTATAAAAAAACAATAATAAAGTTTGGAACTATGGTTGGCGACCGTCTTGAAGCCTATCCTAGAAGAATTAATGTAATTATAAACATCTCCGCACTCAAAGTACTTTCACAGAACCAGCGATAGCTCAACTAGGGCGTAGGCGCTTTGAAAATCCTCTTAGCTCGGTTGGTCGGCGTTGATGGGCGACTTTCGTATGCGTCGAGTGTTTGACGAAACTGTGGAATCGAAATACTGCCGACTAGTTGAAATAGACTGTCACTCGTAGACGTTACGTTGCTGCTTCTAGCGTTTACTAAATCTACTTGTGGAAGACTTAGTCGAACGTACTCCATACCCATAATCTTCTCCCCCATCAAGTTTTACTTTCCCACTCGAAATAGCGTTGTAAATTCATCTCGGCCGTTGCCTTCCTTGCTCAGATACTAGTTTACCTCCTGACCCACTTGCGTCAACTACCCGCAACCCCTGCCCATGGCCGCAGACGCCACCACGTGACTTGGCGTTCTCGTCGCTTACTGCATCCGGCAGTTTTTCCTTTCCCCGTAGAAAATAGATGGCAATGGGGCTTGGCGCACGGATAATTTCTGGTGCTGGTTGGGACGGGCCAAGTGAGCACAGCAGCATGGCAACCCAGAGATACGGTTGCCGGGGCTGATGTGCAGCAACTTTGCTCTGTTTGCGCAGGCATGGCATGGCATGGGGAGCTAGAACACTTCATCTTCAAGCACCCAGACTGGAGCTGGAGATGTTGAGAAGGAGTTACTATCGACTAAGGTTTTACATTAGGGCTCCGTCTACACCATATCAATCTAATTTGATGTTGGCTGCAGCAGCGAGTCGAGAGAGTCAAAGTGCAACTTCATACCTTCAGGCTGTCAGTCCACTCAGATTGTGAACAAGACGAGAATGCACTTACTGGTCGGCAACGGTATCCACTCATGCTGCGCTTCACTCAGAAAGCTGACAAGACCATTCTCGTTTTTCTTTAGCAGCCTCCCTTGCGTCCCCGGCGCTCTCTTCAAGCCCTCTAGCCTGCCGAAGACCCGTAACTGGGCGGCTAGTCCTGCGATAATTATGTCTCTGATCAAGGAACCGTGCAGCCCGTCAACAAACGGGAGGTACGACGCCTGTGATCGATCGAGCTTGATCGCCTCTGGATCCGAGAATTTTTCAGGATCGCGAGACGCAGCTGCGATGTTCAAGTGCAAAGTGTCGCCTTTTTTGATGGCCTGCGTGTAACGCCAGTCACTGATGCTAGGGAAGGTGTCGGAGATGCGAAGCGTAGGTGCTGCAAATGGAACCAGTCGGAGAGCTTCACGCACGTATACACAAAGTGATTCAGAGGCGTAGGGTGACGAATCGTTTGCCAACTTCTCGATATGTGGCCAGTTTGTAGAATAATACGGTTCAGTAAGGAAAAGATCGATCATCTGGGAACACTGGAAAGTCAATATATCGGCATGATTATATCAGAGTCAGGTCTCATCACATACGAAAAAAGAGCCGGAGATCGCCAAATCGACAGCTAGCAATGCCACCAGCGAAGAGACGTCGTCCACAGTCTTGCCACTTTCGAAGAGTCGTTGAAGCAACTCTCTTCCATGGCGGGGCATGAAGCCATCTTTGACATTCTTGTCGTCGCGATGGAGCAGTCCGTGAGCAAAGGACGAGCATTTGAGCGCTTCGCATGTGTCTTTGACTTCTTTGGTCAACTCCGTGTTCGCTTGAATTGCCGGCTCCCTGATTACACTAGACGTGTTGGGATTTCTGTCAAGGTAGATAAATCGAAAGATGGACACCATGTTTTCGTATAAGTGCTTGTCATCGAAAGTGGCTTTACTGTCATTTGGATTATTTAACGGGATGTAGAACAAGCGTGCTGCAAATTGCGTCCAACTAAGGGCCGCAACATGCTTGATAATATCAACATCATAGACGTCGTGAAGCTTGTGCGTGTACTTGCGGATTTGCTCCTTGGTTACCATATCGATAAAGCGGGTGAAATCTTCAGCAGAGCTCTTCTGACTAAATATCGCATGCTTGACGATCTTTTGCTGCTTGATACCTCTAGGGCCATTGCTATTGAGAGCATGGCTATCATGTCCAAGTTGTCGCATGGCCCGATTCCAGGGCAGTATGTAGGATGTTGAGTCTCGCAGGATGCTAACAACCGTTTTGTAATCGGTGATGACCTTGGTAGCTGGCCTGATCTGAGGCCTATTGTAGTCGAATTCGGCTTCATGCCCGAGTGATCTTTGGATGGCCCTCATCTCGAAAGGAACTGTGAATGGGTAGAAAGCGTACATTGAATTTCCAGAATACTAGTCGGCTTAGAGGCATCAGCTTCCCAATCACGTATACATAAGCCTTGTGACTTACGGAAAGCCCGCATGAGTAGCTTGTACATCACGCCTCCACCGGCAATGGAACGGTTATTCGAAGCCTCGTTGTATCCGAAGGCCGTCAGATGATGCGGCGTATAATCGACCGTGTAAAACCTGTCGCCTCGTACTAGGGCAACAGCGTCTGATAGAATAGCTCTGGTGGTTGTGAATCCGGCACAGAGACCAGATCCAGGAGTCATGGGTATCTTAGGCTCTTCTACCTGAATGTCAGCGTCAAATCGTAGGGATCTCGCATAAATAAAGCTGAGGGCCCTTACAAGACTGCCCAAACTTGAGGAACGTAGTATGGACAATGATGAGTGTAGGTACATTAGCTTCATAAAGGCGTGGGATCGCATACCTATGACAACGCCAGGATACAACTCAACGTTCTCAACCTCCCCATACAGAGCTTCAAGAGAAGCCGCAATGTCTATGCTAGTTAGTCTAGCGTCACCAAATGATCTGGACAACAGCTCATACCTGGATCTGAGTTGATATCCATGAACGTCTTATGTGGTGCCAGGCCGAAGAATCTTCTCATTTCGTTCAAAGACGCCACGCCCCAAGCTCTCGCTTGCTCAATGCCCATGACTTCAACAACCCTCAAAGCAATAGGAATATGTCGAGGTCCAAAGCTTGCAGCCACGTCTTCCGTAGCTTCTGTCAGGATTTTGACTATCTCGGCATCGTTGTAATAGCCTCTAGCGTTTCTCTGAAGGCCGCCAAAAGTCCGTTGGCTAGGATCATCTGGAGTTTCTGCGGTAAGCCTGCGGATTCCAGCACGCATCTCTCCTGTCGTCAAGTGCTCAATGTTCGAGTTTGGGTAAAGTTTTGCCATGTAGTCGTTCAGCCAGCGCTCGCCCTTCGCCGATATAGTGGAGTGCCATCTATAAATGAGATTAAACTCGACGCTAACCTGGTTGCCACTGCCTTTCTCGATGTTCTTTTGCCCGAGGATCTTCTCGACATCAACTCGTGGGTCTAAGCTCCAGGATGTCTCTACACGCTGCAGATTGAGGATTGTACGGACGTAATCGTTCAAGACGATATTGATATAAAGTCCGTTTGTCACAAGGCGCGCTGTTTGGAACAAGTCGTTATCACGCTTGGCGAGGGCACTATTGTATGACGAGGTGTCAAATTCGGCTGCATTAGCAGGCAAGCTGAACAAATCGCGTTCATTAATGAGTGCGAGCTGCTCTGCAATCGAATTGTGGAAGCGGCTGAAGCATAGTAAGAGGGCTGAGAACTATTACCAATTAGCGGCATCCAAGCATGAATTGCAGATGTAACACACCTCTGGCGGCCGGCTGAGGAACCTGACTTCAGCGAAGGTATCTGGCTTCAACTTTCCATCGGTAAAAGTACGGATCGAGTTCTGGGTCTCCTGGTCGGAACCGTACAAAGGTGAAAGATCCAGGTATGAGGACGTGTTTACAACGTTATCATCGCGATCACTCGTACGGAACACGTCATCTATGATGATTCCAGCCAGTGCAAACAAAAGACTCGATATCTTGCTTGGGTGTTGTTTCGGTTCTCCCTGCCGTGCAAGAAGTATGTCGAATAGCACATTAGCGTCCGGTAGGGCTGTTGGGACATGTTCCGGCTTTACAGTTCTTGCGTAGTAGGAGCCGGCTCTACCTAAGTTTGGGAATTGGATGCTGTTGTTACTTCCGTCGGCCGTTCGATATTTGTCTACCAGCACATCAGCATGTACCACTTTTGCCGAGAGAGTGATGCCAACATGGATCGCCGAGGGAGGAGGTTGTAGGGTGCTCGAGGTTCTCCTAAAGTCGTCTGAGCAGAATACCAGTGCCTATATCTCGAGTCGGAGAGTCGTCCGGAAGCGACGCAAGAAGTTGCATGAGTTTTTCTTGCTACCCTGGGTTAGGCTAAATGCGAAAGTGTGGACAGCCTACGAACCACGTATTCTTTGTCGTCCACGCCGCCACCAACAGCCGCATCAGTGAGGGCATCGAGTAGTTCGTGATTTGATTTTAGCCTATCAAGACCCAATTGGCTATCGGCATCTTGTATCAGTTTGTATATGTAGAACTCCTTTCGGTCCTCGGACTCGGAGTCACCCCACAGTGGCTGGAATAGGTGTTGCATAGGAATAGAAACGTGTTCGAAAGTAAGCAAGGTACTGGAAATTAATATGTATGATGACTATGATACTTAGGGTGTATAGCGGGGAGGTGTATGAAAAGAGGTGCGAGCAAATGCAGAATAGTTCTCCTGGGGGTGGCAGTCACGCCTATAGATGCGCTTTCCACGTACCCACCCGCATTGCACTTGCAGTGTCTAAATAAGTTCATCTACTAGTCTTGGTCCTATCTGACTAATAATGCGACTTCAAAGCGTTAGTTGGTCCAATATTGACGATGGTCTGCAATCGAGGTGTAGAATAATATCGTTCACGAGAGATTCGAGAGGAAGAATTGCTTTAAGGCAAACTTTAATAATTAGTAATATTAGTATCGACAAAGATATATATAATTTGCGGAGTTGTATCAACACCTGGCTGTCATAGTCAAAGCGGATGAGGCTGAATGAGACGTTTGCGGGGGCGAATGACGCTAAAAGTCGCAGGGCTGAGCCTTAGCGAGTCCTCCCACATGAATTCGTGGCGGTGACATCAGCAATCATCAAAACCGAACTTTGAACTCTGTAAGTTTTTGACGTCTAGACTATGATTCGGAGAGGCCACTGGATTCTAACTGGAGCCCAGGATCTCTAAAATGCCATCAGCTACAGCAATGGGCGACCAGAAAGCCTCAAAGTACTATCCCGCTGAGGAGGAGGCGCAAATGAAGAAGGTACGCGCTATTCTAGAAATCGAAAACCACTGGGAGTTGCGAAACTGCTAGAGAAGCTGTAAAAAGTGATTATCGTGAGCGTAGGGCTAACAATTCACTCTCAGGCCCGCAAGACCGCCCACCCGACCAAATACCGCGATTCTCTCACTCCCGGCACCGTCTTGATCCTCCTCTCCGGTCGTTTCCGCGGCAAGCGCGTCGTTCTCCTACGCCAGCTCGAACAAGGTGTTCTCCTCATCACCGGCCCGTTCAAGTCAAATGGCGTCCCACTGCGCCGCGTCAACCACCGCTACGTGATCGCTACCTCGACCGTTGTCGATATCGCAGGTGTTGACGAGGAGGTCGTAGAGCGCGTGAGCAAGGACGAGTACTGGGCAAGGGAGAAGAAGGAGAGCAAGGGCGAGGATGCGTTCTTTGAGCAGGGCAAGGAGGGTGAGGTGCAGAAGAAGGAGACAGACCCACAGCGGATAGAGGACCAGAAGAAGGTGGACAAGGCGCTCATGGCGAACATCAAGAAAGTGCCGGAGCTGGAGGGATATCTTGGAGCGAGCTTCAGCTTGAGGGGCAACGAGAGGCCGCACGAGATGGTCTTCTGAGCATGTGCATGATGGTGGACATTATACCGGAACGATTTTCTGGATGAGCTTACGAAGTACGAAACGAGAGGATGCAAAAGCCCAAGCTCTTCGTCTGCTGACGAGAACCCCAAAGATGGATTCGAGCAGCATCATGACACGAATTTATACGTAGATTATACCCACAAAAAAATCATGAATAAGTTTAGATATTTCTCTGCTTACAACAAGTTCTTTCTTGTTACGTAGTGTTTGCCCGAGGTTCTCTATTATGTAACATATCTATTATCCCATATATAATACAATCGTAGTAGCGCAAGACTTGAGATCGATCTTTGGGTATCATATCGTTTACTTCTTTTCGCTCCCATCTCTCTTAGCAAGGCCAGCCTTGCCAATCGCGCCATCTATACCGCTCAACTTCCGTACAAGCAACTGTACCCCGATGGGCAGGACACCGAGGATCTGAATGTACCTCGAGTAGAGCGGGAGGGCCACCTCACCGCTCTCGCCTCTCTCGATAAGCCTGATGATATCTTTCCCAACTTCCGCAGGCGTAACAACTGGAGCGAGGAAGTTGCTCGGTGTCTTGACGCCTGCGAACATCTTCGTGCTCATCTGCCCTAGCGTGACAAGGATCGTCTTGATCTCTTTGGCATCCGGATTCTGCGCAAGCTCAGCGCGTAGTGAGTGGTGTAGCGCGAGAAGTGCGGCTTTCGATGCAGTGTAAGCGGAGAGATTTGCGGCGCCGAGGTGGCCCAGGACGGAGGATACGGTTATGATGGTACCACGGCCTTCCTTGAGCATGTGGGGAAGGAAGGTGCGGAGGGTGTTGAAGTGGGCGAGTGTGTTTACGCGAAAAGTTCTATCCTAGCTGTCAGTTATGTTTCATACTAAAGGACAAAGGCTAACGGACTGTTCAACGTCTTCTGCGGTCGAGTCGAGGATTGACGTGGTGTGGACTAGACCAGCATTGTTTATCAGGATTGTAGGAGCTCCCAGCTGCGTCTATTAGCACGTATCTCATCATTTGGTCTTAGGCGTCTCACATCTTCAACAATCTTGGCCGCAGCAGCTTCCACCTGCTTCGCATTGCTCACGTCGCACTGATAGTACACGACACCCTTCTCCTCTGCCTCGTCCTCGTCCACTTTCTTTGTGTCTAAAACTGCAATGTTTGCGTTCCGCATGCCATACGTCTCGGCGAGTAGGCCGCCCAGGCCCTCCACGCCGCCTGTTATGACGATAACCTCCTCACTCAAGTCCACTTCCCTCGGTGACCCGAACGCGATTTTGTCGTTGATCAAGCCGAATATACCAATAGTGGTCATGAGCAGAGCCCAAGCCAGTGCGATGCGCATCTCAGGGGCTTCATAACGCGTGTATTGCGCCCGTAGGCACAGTACAAGAATCCAAGATACGAATGGGTGGAACAATGTGTATCCAAGGACGTACCAGATCACGTCGATGGTGAGGTAGTGATGCCATGGCTCGTCCGGTCGATCGAAACTCTTAGGCAGGTGAACGGGCACCTCTTTAATCGCGGAAGACATGGCTGGCACTTCGATACAGGAGGGATGTTGAAGCATGGAGGGTGGTGGGGCGCGAATGGGCGCGTATTTGAGGCTTGGTCGGATGGAGGCTCTGAATGGTCTCTTACGGCTACAAAGCTACCCGGGATTGGATGTGAAGATGTACGAGGAGTGACGGAGCATCAGAGACAGGTTTGAGGCCATGATGGCCTTATTGTGCAGTCGCTGGTCCTGAGGCTTGCAACATTGGTGTTTCATCTCCGCCTCGGTGTCGAAGCCGCTAGCCAAATCGACTCAGGCTGGAACCCTTAGTAAGCGAGCGTCTACTTGAACGTCGACTCTGAAGAACAACGTTGCCGTACATGTGCAACCAAGCTTTTAGAACCTCACTTTCCTCAATCAAGGAGTAATCGTAGCAACGTCTAGTCCTTTTCGCGGTTCTCGAGCGTTGTGACAAATGAAGGCACTTTGAAATATCCTCCTTCCCAATGGAAGAGACTCCTCCCAGACTGTCTTGACAATATGGCAGTCCACGACGTTGGCGCAGTTCTTGTAGCTTGGAATTGAGCTTGGTTCGCTAACAGAAGAGCCATCGTTTGCGACGTGCCCAGGCGACTCGAGTCTTCTCGTCGCAAATCTAACCGGTCGAAGCGCCATGGCATACCCGTAGACCTAGGTACAGCAGGTGTGCCCTCTAGGAGCACAGTGATTTCCTCCCACCGATAAACTGCGACTGGCGAACTGACCAGAACTTACAGCGGGAGACACCACGTCCTTCCTTAGTCGCGTTGTGCATACCTAGGCTGGTCCAGTCGAAAGGAGCAACATGCCACGTCCGAGGTCTTCCCGGACTGAAGGCAGGATGCGGGCACTGTGACAAGGCCATGGCTGAAGCCGGCTACCCTTCGTGGGAACTTCTCCTGCTCTACACGGTGCGGTTCTGAAGTTTGGGAGGAATACCCTCGACTCGACTGCCGACACGAGTAAGTGCGCTTTCCCCGGCCATCGCTCGCCTGCCAGAACACCAGCAGGCGACATGCAATCAGGCAAGATGCTTCTCGAGACTGCCTCCTCTCGGTCGACAGAGCAACGTTGGCTTCAGCTACGCTTAAAAGCTCGTCTTCCCTCCCATTCCTCCATTTCTTCTTCACTCCACTCACCACCCAACATCCATTGAGTTGGTCAATCAGTTCTTCTTTTATCATCACTACCCCATTCATCTTTTCTCCCTTCCTCATCTCGGACACGCTTCCCTGTTCCACCGGGACCATGACGGGCCGCACCCTCACCTTGAGCGCCCTCGTGGCTCTCACTCAGGCCAAGGCCATTGTCACCAACCACTGTTCCCATGAGGTCTACATCTGGTCGATTCCGCATATCGGCTCCTCGCATACCGACAACGTTCCCATCAAGCCTGGTGGTAGATACGAAGAACCATGGCGCTATGGGTATGCGACCAACACCGGCGTTGCCATCAAAATCTCCCCTGAGGCGAACGGCATCCACGAGGGCAAGGACGAGATCAACTTTGCATATTCGATCGAGCACCCCAACCAGTCCAAGATCTGGATCGACCTCTCCTCTGTCCGTGGAAAGGCTTTCGACAACGATGTTGCCTTTCATACCTGCCACGGATCGTACCAGACGCCGGATATCTCGACTGAGTGTTGCGACGCCACGGACGACATTGAACTGGTCCTTTGTGGCACCGCACGCACGACTCCCACCAAAGACCTGATACCCTTCGACAAGATCCGGGAGTGCTACGACTATCACCATTATCCCCACGAGCCAGAATCGGACAATCCCAACTGCACTCCCGACTGTCACGATGAGTCTGAAGACGAACAACCGACATGCACATCTGATTGCGACAAGAAGCCAGGGTATGGTCAGCCCAAGTCCGCGCCTCCATGCGACAAGCAGCCTGGACATCCAGAGTGCACCAAGGGACCCGGCCCACATCGCCCGTCACCAAAGCCGACGGCGAACAAGCCTTATCCTGCTCCACCCATGCCCTATACGGAGAAACCTCACTCGCCGCCGCCGAAGACAACTTCTGAGAAGCACTATGATCCCCCAAAGCATACGACAGAGCATCGCTATGCGCCACCGAAGCCGACGGCTGATCCGCCTCACTATCCGCCACCCAAGCATACTTCGAACGAGCATCACGGCCCTCCAAAGCACACCAATGGACAATACCCACCTGCCAAGCATACGGATCAACAGCACGGTCCTCCCCCGGCGCATACAGAGGGAAATTATCCGCCTCCCAAGCCCACGAACGGACAACACGGCCCTCCCAAGCATACGGATGAACACGGTCCTCCTAGGCACACTGAAGCACGAGGTCCTCCCAAGCACACTGAAGGTCAACATGGGCCCCCCAAGCCCACGGCTGGACAGTTCCCACCTCATAAGCCCACGAACGGACAACATGGTCCTCCCAAGCCTACGGCTGGACATTACCCGCCTCACAAACCCTCGAACGGACAATACCCACCTCATAAACCCACGGACGGACAACACGGTCCTCCCAAGCCCACGGATGAACAATACGGCCCTCCTACACATACTGAAGAGCAACACGGCCCACCCAAGCCCACGGCTGGACAGTACCCACCCCACAAACCGACGAACGGACAACACGGTCCTCCCAAGCCTACGGCTGGACAATACCCACCTCCCAAGCCAACGAATGGACAGCATGGCCCTCCCAAGTTTACAGGTCAACAACACGGCCCTCCTGCGCACACTGAAGGGCAACACGGTCCTCCTAAGCACACTGACGGTCAACATGGTCCTCCTCAGCAAACGGACGGAAGCTACCCTCCCCCTGACTCTACGTCGGAAGAGCGCTACCCGCCTCCTATGTATACCTCGGACGAACATCGCACTTCACCTGGACCATCCGGGAACGGCCACTACCCTCCCTCAAGGCCGACACAGGAAGGCCACTACCCGCCTCATATGCGCACCTCGGGTGGGCACCGCCCTCCACCCCGGCCAACTAGCAACGGTAACTTCCCCTTACCTCCTCCCAGGCCGACTCGAGGCGGCCACTATCCTCCATCGCGACCCAGCCTAGAGTATCCTCATCATGCTCCGCCCAAGAACACTGCGGGTGGGCCACATTATCCTGCTCCTAGCCATACCACGGATGCGTCTCGCTATCCTCCTCCCAGGCCTAACAAGGACGACCCTCACCATCCCCACCATCCTCCGAAGTATACAACCAATCCTTCGTCCTCATCGCCTTACCAGGGTCCTCCGGAGCACACGACTGATCCGTCGTCCTCACTGCCATACCAGGGTCCCCCGAAGATGCCCACTCGCACGACAGCTCCAAGGCCTGAGTTTACGAGGAAGCCGTACCCACAGCCGCCACAATCCACTGGTGAGCAGCCTTATGCACCGCCTGCTAAGCCAACCCATTGGGCAAGGAACATCGAATCCCAGTCTACATGCCACAAGACACAATGTAACAAGCCTCCTGTCCCAAACCACTGCTTGGCTAGGGTTGTCTACCCTGGGAGACGAGCTGCACTCCTGAGGGATAGGAACAACACCAGCGTCCAGACCAAGCTGCGAACCACGATCCCACTAGGCACTGTTCTACAACTTGAGGCTGTGAAGCGCGGAACGGCCACCCAGGCTGCATCACCTCTCTGCGATATCGCCACCAGATACTACCCTGGGATTACCGACTGTAACGAGGAAGAGATGGAGGTTTATGTGAAGGAAACCTACAACCACCTCTGCGATCCCGAGTACGAGGATATTTTGCAAGGTGCCGATTGTAATGAGGTCAAGGAGGAGTTGAAGAAGATCTTTCCCGATGTCGACAAGCCCTTGAAGTCCCACCCTGGGGTAGCTTTGAACGCCACACTTCATACCAGCCCGCAAAAGCGCGAAACGAAAAAGATTTGCATTTCAGAACTCTGTTACGACAACCGTTACAGCAAGAAGGCATGTGAAGAAGCCGAGGATCTCCTCGAACAAGTATCCAAGGACGAAAACAACCCAAAGGACTACACCACCGATGATGATGCCTGCGGCGGAACTTTGGCCAGCCATAATGTTACCATTCCTACGATCGCCAGGCCAATCTTCTCCAAGACTCCTGCTACCTTGATCCCACGTGTTGGGAACAGGATCTGTATACGGCCTTATTGCAAGGATTTATCCGAGGAAGCGTGTAAGAAAGCCAAGGACTTCTTAGAGCAGCAGGAGGAAGACGATGGCAAGGACGTTGAATACACCAATGAGAACAGTGTTTGCGGTACAGGAGAGTGATCCGTGCCGCCAATTCCACACCATCGCCAAAATGAGCGGCAGCAAGGCTTTCCCCGCTGGCGAGGAGGTTTGCGCGATGCTGAGCTACGGTAGGATTGAGTCGCGATGATGAATTGCTGCTATGTTTGTGTTTGGACCTCATTGTTCCGTTTGTTATTGATGATGATGGAGGGTGACTGGAGCTATTCGTAACGTTTGTTCTGTTATCGTTTTTGTTTCTTAGCGCTTGCAATCAAATCAATGCTCTTCCGTTTTCATCCTGACATCTTACTACATTGTGCGGTTCCTTCCTATGTGGCGTGGGGTTATTTTAGTGTCTTTGATACTAACTCATTGCGCACTAACTATTACGTTGATAGTTCAGAGGCACTGATCTTACAGATTTTCGCGGTAAAATGAGCTTAACGGGGCGTTATTTTAATTGATTCTGGCAATGTGTACCAGTTTACGACATGCCTACTTCATCGACACCATTCACTTCAATATCAGCGTATATCCATTCTTCATCACACCGATCTGCCTCCTCACTCCACGGCCTAGCATACAGACATTTCTTCAACGCACCACCTTCGAATACAGGCAGTACTTCTTGCTCGGCAACTCTCATAGCCCACATGACGATCCTCACACCCAAGTTTTCAGTTCGCCCGTCAATGAAGACAGGTACCGCAGTGCCGACCGGCTGATTCACAAACGTAAGGCCAAGGTCGTCCAAGACATCCGTGGGCGAAGCGCCTGCGTCGGGCGAAGTAAGGTGAAGAAAATCGGCAAGGTGTGAGTCGACAAAGGTATATGTTTCCGCGTCTTCGATGCCATCCTCGAGCGCGGGAAGCGGGTGTCTGGTGAAGAGGTCGCGTAGCCAGGAGGAGATGAGACTCCCCTCTTGATCTTTGGGTGTAGTCAATATCAGCGATGCAAAGACAGTGAGCAACAATGTCCAGATTACGCCCTCATCTTCCGGACCAGCAATTTCATGCTTGTTAAGGCCCTTGCGGAATGTCTGAGCCTCTGCGGGGAACTCGGCTTCCAAGGCAAGGATCGCTTCGAATGTGGAGAGCAAGACTGGCCTGCGGGGTGGCATTTCGCTGCTCGATGTACGCGCCCTGTCTACTGCGGCTTTGAGCTCGCTTCGAACGGAGTGGATGATCTTGGCTTGGCCATCGCGGTATATTTTCGCGTACTTCTGCTTGTAATTGCTGGGCTCGCTGTCGTTGGAAAGCGGGAGGCTATGGCATCGCTGCTCGATAGCCTGATGTAGCAAGACCAGAACCTGCAGTGTGATTCTAGCATCCGGTCGTCCCACATTGACAGCGCGGACATCCGCGTCGAGGGCGAGCAGGGTCTGAATGAAGAAGAAATGCACAATGTAAGGGGGTATACCACGAAAGTATGGGATGCAGTTCTCGTACCGCCCAAACGGGTGCCCTTTTGCTCGCAGAAAGTGCTGTTCTTTGTTTGGGTCTGTGTCGAGAAAGGCCGGTGACATACTAAAAGGTACGTTCTCGGGGTGAAGCAAGTTCATCTCCTGCGCGTATTGTTGTAGCATAGGGGAAAAGGCGAGCTTCAAGGCGAACTGCTCGATAGGATTGTCCTCCAGACAGAAGCCGTACCCGAGAAGTAGCTCATCGTTCTGTTTAGGCGCATAGTTGTTGAAGAGCTCCTGTCCCGCTTCGAAGGTCTCGCCTTCGAGGCACTTTAGGGCAAATGACTGATGAGGCTGAAAATCCCACTCTACCTTGGCGGAGACGGAGTGATTGAGTATGTCGACAACGGGGAAGAGGAGGGGTATTGTTTCCCGGTTCGGAAGAATGTGTGTGGAGATGAAGGCACGTGAGGTAAAGATGGTAGCTGCCCATAGAAGTAATTCGCTGATGCTCGTTAGCGAGATGTCGCTCAAGAGCTGATGTCAGACTAGAATTAACCAGGTCTGATGTTTGCATCGACGTGAACGGATAGACTTCATGTTTGATCTGTCTCAAAGCTTTGAATCTAGTGCTGATGGACAGCGCACTCGAAAGATGAGTCATGCAAGGCAAGCTCGACAGTGAAGCCAAGGCACGGCAGTTTGGTTGTTTTCAATTGGGGCTCCAGACCAACTTACAAATTGATCTCGTCAGCCAGTGGGATACAAAGCTCCTTCATGACAGTCACAGCTTGCTCCCAGTGTCTCTGCATGTCCTCTTTCCTCTCTCTAGCAGCAGGGGCTAAGCTTGTGCCTGTGAGGAAGGCCATGTCATCTCCATCAAACCAAAGGGGCGTAGTCATGCTCTCTGGCCCCGGTAAGCATGCGATGTAAGCGTGCCATGGCGAGCCCGTCCCTTTCTTGCGCTGCTCGATTAGAATCAAATACGCCAGTATGTGATCAGGTATCTTGCCCTGGCATTGTCGAAGAGGGCTCTCAATATGCAGCACCTCTTTCTCGTCTGGGTCAAGATTGAGAATGGAAAGTGTAAGCTTTAGCGGAGATGACGCTACAACCGGGGAGCTCAATGGCCTCACAGCTCGCATGTGGAAGCCACGTGAGTCGCTGTTGACAACCTGAACATCGGAACTAAGCGATCCTCCATTTTGGGTGAACCAGGTCACAAGTTCTTGGGCCAATGGGTGCGTGCTAAAGTCTTTGCTCGACATCGGGCGTTTGGGACGGCTGTGATAATAGCGTGGTGGCTTGAGCTACCCTGGAAAGGCTGACGAGACGAAAGTAATTTTTTAAAACAGTTATTCGTCCGTAGTAGCTATTAGATCCGACGTTGCACGAGGGGTCGGAGTGTCGGTTGTTCCGATTGAGTTTCTGATGATGCATTGGTTGTCCAGCCAGCTGACAAGAGCTCGTGAGTTCGGCCTCGGCCTGAAAATTTGAGGCGTGCAGACGGAGCGCAACGGATGTATCGGATGGTCAACCAGGATAAAGGCCTCGACCTGTGAAGCGAAGGGAATCTGCAGAAGGTTTGGGGTGGAACGGGGCATGCAGAAAAGAAGCTGCTCTTGGCAGCGTGAGGTGGTGTCGGCAGTGGGTCGAAATCTGGAAAGGCACTACTACTGTACTGTACGCAGGTCGACTCACTGCAGTGTGCGGTTTTGCTAAATTGCCCAAATTTCAACAGCATGGCCCAAACACGCCCTAAGCTTTCCAAGCTTGAAATTAGCAGCTTATTATGTCTCTGATAGTGCTTTGGCTCCCATGCTGATGTTGTTCATGAGAGTCAGCTGGTGTGCCTTGAGGTTGAGCTCGATGCATGCCACTTCGGCTGAAACGGCAGCCACATGGGAGCCAATAAGCCTCTCTACACAATACGGCCAAATGCGCGGTGTTATACGCGGCAGTACTGTACTGTATACTGCTCTTGCGCGCCTTTGTTTGTAACGCACGTCTGAACGCATCAACGACCGCCGGAAGGGCGCGGAAATGATGTATTGCTGTCGCTCACCCATGTCTCCGACCAACGACGGTTCCTATACTTCCCCATCGTCAGCAGGGAGGAGGAGGAGGGGAAGGGAGGGCTGCGACTACGGTCATAACCAAGGCCCATACATAGTAAGCAACCAAGAAACGCAGCACCTGCTGGCATCGTCGTCGGTTGCTGGACAGTAGGCCGCTGTTGAGCCAATCCCAGAGCCGCGTCACCAGCAAATGAAAAAGGTGTCAGTAGCGAGGCCTAACCACATATGTCCGAAACGAGTGAGATGGGCCTCTGGCGTCGATCTGAGCAGATGGACCAGACGATGCAACTGGTACAAAGGACGACCGACGGCAATGCGCTACCGGGCCCGGGACGGTCGACATGCCGGCATGCCTTTGTGGCCTCGTGCGTGCGCGATACGGACAGAATGAATAGCCTTGCCCGTTGCATGCCGGGGCCCAAAGGGCTTGATGACGGGTGTGTGTGGAAGCTGTCATCCGTTGGGTGAGGGCTTTGCTCTCCTCATTCATATCTTCGTCTTTGCCCATTAAACCCTTCCTACTGCTACCACAGGCCGCCATCCTTCGAATTCATGCTCTCGTTACCGAGGCCAATTGGGTCCCACCCTGCATAACGTCAGCGACTAGCCGTGGCTTGTAAGTTCAGCCCTGAGCCCTGGCGTGTACCTTGGTATTTATTTGCGGACTGCGCTTGGTCAAGAGAGGGGAGGGGCATCCTCCTAGACTTCCGCACAGCCCTTCTGCCACCGACTCATAACCAACATGGCGTCTTCTCCCATTACCGTCCCGTGTTCGCAATGTCCTGCGACTCGTGTACTAACAGACGTCCCAGCATGTCAACCCTCGAGCCGTAGCGGGTGCAATGCTGCTCATGTCGCCAGCTGATGCCGCAGCCAAACATGGCCATGTACATTCACCACCACACCGCGAGCCTTCGCCCGCGAGAAATGGCTCTTTCCTCGCCCAGATGCCTCTGTCCATCCTTGGTTCCTTTCTGCGCGCGCAAACTCCCTCTCCGTCGCAGGCGACAATGACCGCAAAACATGTCGACCATGTACAATCCATTCCTGATCAGAAGGATGGAATGACAACCCCCCGTCGAGATCCTCCCATTTCTCCCGCTCCTTCGAGACCTGTGTCCTCCGGCAGCAGCGCAGCCGACTCGAGGTCGAAGAAGCGCACTCCTCGCTCAAGGACGTCCTACCTAATCGCCAAACCCCCACAACCTGTCAACCCTCGGTCCAAGTTCCACATACGCCCCAAGGTGCTCCTGCAACTACACCAGGTGATCGAATCACAGCGCCCGAAGCCTGTCTACGAAGTCATCCCTTTCTCCCTTCTCCCGCAGCGATCCACGAGGCGCCTCGCTCGAACCTTCAACACACGGGAGAAGCTGGGGCCTAAAGACCTGCTGATCGTCAAGGCTGAGACGTATAGTAGCAAGGAGGAAGACGTGAGGTCTGATGATGAGCGATGGGGTTCACGAGAAGTGATTGGCGTCATAATTCCCGGCAAGTGTGAAAAAGGAGTCACGGGGAAGACGGAAATCTGCATGGACGACGGGATGAGCCGCTGGGAGGTGATCAACATGCCGAATGGTGGCTATGAGTTCAATACTACCGACAAACATGGCCTGACGCTGAAAGCAAGATGGGTGCTAAAGCCTGCCCATACCCGTCGAGTGTCGGGCATGTCGACTACTTCCCAGTTCTCCCCCACACTTCCGCCTGGACAAGAGGACAAGAAGTTCACATTCAGTACATTGAGCGCCAATTCAAGGCGCCACCCCATCATTGCAACTATGACTCGAACTCGCATAGATGTCCTGAATTCCTATGCGAAACCATCAGCAACATCGCCGCCTACACCAAGTTTCCCGTCCTACACCCAGTCGCCTGCTGTGACGCCTTCGAGCATCGACATGAACTCTTTTCTAGATAACGCAAGCCTTGCTCTTCCCATCGAGACTGACGACGCCCTGCGACACTTCATCGTCGTATCAGGCGTATGGGTGGCATCTCAGAACTTTGGGTCACCGGACAACAGCCAACCGTCGACTCCCTCGTTGACTACATCTGCCACCTTCCGCCCGCCAAACCATCGCACCGTCTCCATGTCTTTCATCGAGTCTCCTCGATCTACCTCGCCAACTTCCACCATCGACGAAAGTCGCCACTCGTTCTCTAAACCGTTTAGACGGAGCGTAGAAAGGCTCCCTCGTAGCACGAGCTTCACGGAGCCTGCCTCGTCTCCCATGTCAACTAAAACCTCGCCAACCTCCTCTCCTAAACTGAAGACCCGCGGGCGCCGAGCAAACTCTACCGGTAACACTCACTTTCAAAGCATGACGGGTAGCATGAGGAAGCGCTATGGGATTGCTTTTGAGGATGCACCCCAGGAAAGTGAGGAAGAGAGGCAGACTAAACGCAGCATCGAACTGCTTCGAATCAAGGAACTAGCTCTGCCGTCTCCCCTCGAACAGCCCACTATCACGGTGCCTGTCAAAGAACCTCAGTCGAGACTTGCCTCTATACCCTCCCCTATCATCATCCCTCCTCCCTCCGACGGTCTCATAAATCCAACACCATCGCCCCCTTTATTATCCCTTCCAACCCCAGATCCCAAACGAGCCAGGAAAACACAATCCGCGTACAATCCAATAACCACCGCTGGACTGTGGGATTCTGGTGTTACAGAAGGCCCTAGCCTCAAAGCACGACCAACAAGCATGTTTGTCATGGACGAGCGAAAGAGGAAGCAGGAGAAGAAGCGCGGGCAAAGTAAGAACAAGGAGAATAGGAAAGAAGATAAGAGGGGGTCTGTAGAAGACAAGGATTGGTTAGGACTAAAGAGGAAAAGTGACTGGTACAAGTACAAGATTAAGCTTGGCCTCAAGGAGCTCTTCAGGAAGGGGGAGAAAGCATAATTGCAGCTTCCCTGCATACGCCTCGCGGCCCTTTTTCTTTCTCTATATACTGCATGGCGAACTTGGTAAAGTTACGTCTCTGGCGTTCTGGGATCCGGGCGGCTCGTTGCCTGCTACCCACGGGCTGGTCCTTTGGAATCGGGCCAACCCCGGTTTTTGCATAGTCTTTTCGCATCCTGTAAATAAACACCGCTCTCGACCTAGAGGTCTTTTTTCGGAAATGTTGACTACAACCGTTTATACCCTTTTGAACCACTCTAGCCTTTTAGCTACGGATGACATTACTAACTCTCTGACGCCTCTATCCTCTAAGAAGAGCTGGATGATATTGCTGTATACAACCAATTCAACCACGCACTATATATCCGCCAAGGCAAATCAAGTACGACCTCCAGCTGTCGCCCTTGCGATCACCACTCACTTCGACGTGAAATCGTGGCGTTCATTGGTGAATACCAAAGCAGCCAATCAGATACAAGACGCGCCGCACTAGCGCGATTTCCCTGCAGACTCCGCTAACAACGCGAACCAAAACAAGCGTCGCCTCCCGTAAACACGACTCTGCACTCCACCTCCTCACCACAACACCTTCGTTTCTTCTGCACGATAGAGTTTATACCCGCTCCACCTTTGTGAGCTTGCGTTTTTGCTTTCTTTTCCCTCACCTTCTTGTCCTGCGGGACCTGGCAATCAGCCTTTGTTTGCCATGAGCGACTCGCTTCTCGAAGACTCTGTCTTCGACGAGGGCGCGAGCTCAGATTTCGCGCCGCCCGCCAAACCCGCAAAAGCAGTCAAGGCTGTAAAGGCAAAAGCAGCGCCAAAGAAGGCAGCGGGGCCACCGAAACCGCGAGGACGACCCGCAAAAGATGCTTCCGCAGCTGCCAAACCAAAAGCAAAGGCCGCGCCCAAGAAAAAGCCCAAGGACGACTCAGACGGCGAGAATTCAGACATAGATATGCACGATGACCCCTTAGACAACGAAGAGTCGCTGCTTGTGGATACTCCTCCTAAACAGAAGAAGGCGACTGCGCCGAAGAAGAGCAGCGGCCAGCCGCTTGCTGATATTGCAAACGAGAGCTTTGGCATGGACGGCTCGGACGATGGACTAGCTGCAAAGCCCAAAAAAGGCCCAGCAGCCGCCAGTAGCAAGTATCAGATGGTAAGTGCTTAGCCAGAGCATAATGGGCTAGAAATCTAACTCAGGAGCAGCTTACGCATTTGGAACATATTATGAAGCGACCAGACACATACATCGGCTCCGTAGAGCGGCAAACCGACAAGATGTGGGTATACAACACAACCACCGAGTCTATGGAATTCCGCGACGTGTCCTACGTTCCTGGTCTCTACAAGATCTTCGACGAGATCCTAGTGAACGCGGCGGACAACAAGCAGAACGATAAGAACATGAGCGAGATTCGAGTGACGGTAGATCGAGAGACTGGTGAGGTCTCCATCAAGAACGACGGCAAGGGTATTCCCATTGAGATACACAAAGAACACGGCATATACGTCCCAGAGATGATCTTTGGCCACCTCCTCACCTCCTCGAACTACGACGACAATCAGCAGAAGGTCACTGGTGGTCGAAACGGTTACGGTGCAAAGCTCTGCAATGTCTTCAGTACCGAGTTCACGGTCGAGACAGTCGACGCGAAGCAGAAGAAGAAGTACAAGCAGACCTGGACAGAGAACATGAGCAAGATGGGCAAGGCCAAGATCACCGACATCAAGGCCGATGACTATACAAAGGTTTCCTGGAAAGCGGACTACAAGCGATTCGGTATGGATGGTATCGATGACGATTTCGAAGCGATGGTCAAGCGCAGAACCTACGATATCGCTGGTACACTTCGAGGCATCAAAGTCTATCTAAACGGCGATCGCGTCAAAGTCACTAGCTTCGCAAAATATATGGAAATGTACACCAAGGCCATCTCGCGCGAGCAAGGCAAGAGCGAGGAGGATACGCAAAAGGACGTTATCATCACCGACAAGCTCGACCGCTGGGATATTGGTTTTGCTGTTTCTGATGGATCTTTCAACCAAGTCTCTTTCGTCAACTCCATCGCCACGACTTCCGGCGGCACGCACGTCAACTACATCGCGGACCAGATTATTGACAAGCTTATGGCGATCGTCAACAAGAAGAACAAGGCTGCCGTAAAGCTCAAGCCCGCCCAGATCAAGAACCACATTTTCTTGTTCGTCAACTGCTCCATCGTCAACCCTGCGTTCACCTCCCAGACCAAGGAACAGCTAACGACGAAGTGGAGCCAGTTCGGCAGCAAACCTGTCCTAAGCGAGAAGTTCTTAAAGGCAATCGAGAAAACCGAGGTCATTCAGAACATCATGCACTTCGCTCAGCAAAAGGCCGACCAGATGATGAAGAAGACAGACGGCAACAAGCGTAACCGCATCAACAACGCCAAGCTCACCGATGCCAATAAGGCCGGAACCAAGGATGGTCATTTATGCACTCTTATTCTCACCGAGGGAGAGTCAGCCAGTGTGCTTGCCTTGGCTGGACGTGCTGTTGTGAATCAAGATCTTTTCGGAGTATTTCCCCTGCGTGGTAAGCTCCTCAATGTACGAGATGCCACCGTCGACCAGATCATGAAGAACGTCGAGATCCAAAACATCAAAAAGTTCATGGGTCTGCAACACAAGAAGGAATATACTGTGGCAGACATGAAGAGTCTCCGCTATGGCCATCTGATGATCATGACCGATCAGGATCACGACGGTAGCCATATCAAGGGTCTACTCATCAACTTCCTTCAGTGCCAGTTTCCAAGTTTGCTCAAGGTACCCGGCTTTCTCCTAGAGTTCATCACTCCCATCGTCAAGGTCTGGAAGGGCGAGACGAAGAACCCGCGAAGCCTACGAAGCTTCTTCTCCATGCCTGAGTATGAGGAATGGAAATTGCAGCACAAAAACGAGAAGGGCTGGGACCACAAGTATTTCAAGGGATTGGGTACTAGCGACATATCCGATGCCCAGTTATACTTCAAAGATTTGGATACACACATGAAGCGTTTCCAGGTCATGCGAAATGAAGAAGAGCAGCTTATCGAACTCGCTTTCTCGAAAAAGAAGGCCGACGCGCGTAAAGAGTGGTTGCGCGAGTTCGTCCCTGGCGACCATCTCGATCTTACTACGCCTGAGATCTCCTACGATGACTTTGTCAACAAGGAGCTCATTCTCTTCTCTATGGCCGACAATTTGCGATCTATTCCATCTGTCATCGACGGTCTGAAGCCTGGTCAGCGCAAGGTCCTCTATACCTGCTTCAGGCGAAACATCAAGAAAGATGTCAAAGTCGTGGAGCTCGCCGGTTCAGTTTCTGGCTCTACGGATTATGCTCACGGTGAAGCGTCAATGCAAGGCACAATTGTCGGATTGGCACAGGACTTTGTCGGCTCCAATAACATTAACTACCTTGAACCTAGTGGTAACTTTGGTTCGCGTCTCAAGGGTGGCGCCGATGCTGCCAGCGCCAGGTATATCTATACCCGCCTGTCACCATTCGCACGACGCATCTTTCACCCTCATGACGATGCTCTCCTGAAATACGGCGAGTCGGATGGTCATAAGATCGAACCTGAAATGTATGTTCCAGTCCTTCCAACAATTCTCATCAACGGCTCCAGCGGTATTGGCACTGGTTGGAGCTCTGAAATACCCAACTTCAATCCAATGGAGATCATCGAGAATATCAGGCTTCGTATGCAGGAGGGAGCTACGAAGGAAGACATGAAGCCTATGATTCCCTGGTACAAGGGCTTCACCGGTACGACTACAGAGCTCGGCAACGACCGCTATCAGTTTGCAGGTACCATCCGACAGACTGGTGAGAACGAGATCGAAGTCACTGAACTGCCTGTTCGATACTGGACTCAGGACTTCAAAGAGAAGCTCGAAGAGATAATCAAGGCCGAGAAGACCCCATCCTTTATCAAGGATTACATCGACTACAACACCCCAGATCGGGTCCACTTCATCATCAAGATGGAGGACAAGCATATGGTGGCTGCTCTAGCAAAGGGTCTCGAGGAGATGTTCAAGCTTTTCAAGCCGCAATCGACCACAAATCTTGTTGCTTTTGACGCCCATGGTCGTATTCACAAGTATGCCACTGCTCTTGATATTGTCGAAGAGTTCTATCACGTCCGCCTACGATACTACGAGAAACGAAAGCAGCACCAGCTGGCGTTTATGCACAAGGAGCTGTCGAGGATGTCCAATCAGGCTAAATTCATCCAAATGATCATTGATGGCAAGCTCATCGTGTCAAAGAAGAAGAAGGCAGTCCTTGTTCAAGAGCTCAAGAAGCTTGGCTTCACGCCTTTCCCCAAGAATGACGAGGCTAAAAAGGCGGGCGAGGTCGAAGACTTCCAGGAAGATGACGACGAGTCCGAAGAGACGGAGGCCGAAGTGCAAGCAAACGACTACGACTACCTCTTAGGCGTAAGTACCCTCTCAAATCTCGCTCATCACTTACTAACGTTGCGTAGATGGCCATCTGGTCCCTGACCCAAGAGCGAGTTGAGAAGCTACTCAAGCAGATCGGCGAGAAGGAGGAAGAGATCGATACGCTCATCAAGCTTTTACCAAAAGATATCTGGACCGTCGATCTCGATGCTTTCGTTGCTGAATGGAATCTTCAGCTCGAAGAAGATTCGAAACGTAAGAAGAAGATTGCTGCCGTGACCCGCCGCCCCTCTCAAAAGCTCGGCATTGGCGCAGCCAAGGGTGGCAAGGGCAAAAAAAAGAGAAAGATGGACGACGGTGATTCGGATGACTCCGTTTCGGACTTTGGTCCCGTTAAGAAGAAGACCAAGCCGAAGAAGGAGGGTTTGCTTGGCTATCTCCAACAGGATCTTCAGCCTAAGAAAAAGCCAAGTGCGGCGGAGGCTTTGAAAGGCAGTACTGCGTTCGGATCCACAGCTCCTTCGAAGCAAGGTACATTGTTATCACATCTTGTCAAGAAGGAGGATACGCCACAGACCGATGGCGCGTCAGACAGCAGACCTGCCACCGCAGATTCTACTTCGGTAGCACCGAAGAGAGCTCGGCCTGGCGCCACGAAGAACGTCAAGAAGCCCGCTCCAGTCATTGACTCAGATGACGACGACTCGGATGTCTTTGCTGCAGTCGCCAAAGAAGTCGAGAAGAAGCCTGCCGAGACTATCACGACCTCCCGTGCCGCTCGCGCCAAGGCAGCGCCGAAGTACAACCTCGGTGATAGCGATAGCGATGATTTAGATGGCGACGATCTCCTGGGCGATGTAAGCAGCATGGTGAAGACTATTGGTGCTGGCAACAACGGTGCGCCCATGTTCAAGAAGACGGTCTCTGCCCGCCCTGCTAGTAACGGAAGCGCTGCTGGAGGTCCCAGGCCTGCGAAGAAGGGCAGTCTCATCGAGCTCGACCCCGACGAGACGAATTACGAGGGTCTCATGCCTCAATCTTCACCTCAACGCCCCGCTCCTCGTACTGTCAATGACACTATTATGAGCTCCGATGATGACGACTTTGGTCTTGTTAAGAAACCTATCGTGAGCAAGTTGCCTGCTAAGGCTGCGCCTAAGCCCAAGGTTGCTGCTGCGAAGCCCGCGCCAAAGCCCAAAGCAACGTCGACCATGCCAACGGTAAAGAAGACCAACCCTCTCAGCCCCGCAGCGAAAGCCTACGCCGCTAAACTGGCGAAGACTAAAGATGCGCTTGCCAAACCTGCCCTGAAGGCCAAGAAACCAATCACCATCGACTCGGACGATGACGAGACCATGGAGGATGCCGATGCGCTCGCTGACGAGATCTTGTCTGATGAGGACGATGAGCCTACGCCGAAGGCGGCACGCGCCCCAGCTGCTCGACCCGGTCGAAGGGCTGCTGCGGCAAAGCCAGCGAAGTATGTCGTCAGTGATGATGAGGCAGATTCAGATGAGGCGTCTGAGGCCAGCTTCGGTGACGACAGCGAGTAGACGACTTGCCTCAAATCGTGCAGGGGCAGATTATGAGCTCAGAGGGTGTTTGATACCCGGACGGACTGGCGCTGACGGCGTTTTCGTGTGTGGATGATATTTCTTTACGACTCTCTTCAAAGGATCACTGTAGGCGTTTGGCTTCGCCTTTTCATGTCTCTTCTCGGATATGTATAACATAGGAATTCGATGAATTACCATAATAATCAGCGTTACTACACTTCTTTTGCGCTCTTCCCAGAAGCTTGTGCATTCGCTTGATTTGATCGTCGAGGCTTCTAAGTCTAAACAGGGAAAGGTTCACGCAAAGACTTCCATCTGCAAATATCTGCAGAGGTAGATACTCCTTACCGTTCGTTGTGAACAATATACAAGCATTGATTCACTGCAGCAAGTACGAAGCGCAAAAAGGAGGTTAAATGGCACATGTATCATCCTTCAAGGTAAATTCCCCCAACTACTGTCATGTTAAATCTCTACCTTACGAGTACTGCACCATCAGTGCTAAAGGTAGCACATGCGCCATTCTTGTAAAGGAAGTGTATCTCCGTGTACCGCTTGACCGGCGCTCGCACCCCTTCTTGGCTTTTTGGATTGGAATATCAAAGATTTGTGTAGGGTTACCGTGCGGCTACTTGCGTTTTCCCGCAAAAGGTTCACGACATTGGGGGCCAGAAAAAATGCATGGCTGCAGCGGCGAACGGTGTGTTGGGGGCCAGCATCCGTAGCGATAGGGTTGTCATGTCGCGTCACTGTGGCGGCCACGTTGAGGGAGATGAATGTAGGACGAACGGTAGATGTAGGACGATGGACGTGGGACAACGCCCTGCGAGGAACTTGATAGGCTTCTAGAATACGAGAGGAGAGAGGGTGGGGTCGCGGAGTATGCAGCTTGTGTTCAGGAACGAGTGGATATGACTAGTCGATACTCTGCAATTTGCGCCTTGAAAAACGTTATCAAGAGGCCGCCCAGGCGCGGCGCTGTGCCCGACGGCTTGTACTACAGAATGTGCTGGCCGGCGGCTATAGCTGGAAAAGAAATGCAAGTGACTAGAATGAGGAGAGTTCGAGGACTGTACTTGGATTAGATAGTAGAGCAACATAAGTAAACAACGTGTAAAATTGAGTGAACGATATAAGGAAAGAGAGGGGTAGAATATATGGAACAGTTCAGTATCCTGACAGAGTTGCCTATTTGCTCACATGGTTGCTTCTTTTCGACAGTTGTGCTCCAAAGACTCGCACAGTAGCACGTAGCTGTCAAGCTGTCAAGGACATGGTGCCATACCACTGGCGTGGCACCTCGCCCCCCTCTGAGCATCTGACCAGACAGCCTTGTGGATCAATCGCTTCCGAGCGCAGTGTTGCATTGCAAGCTCCCTGCAGTTATTAGAGAAATCAGCCTAATAGGTAAACCATCTCCACCATGGCTGAAAAGGTAAGTGTTTGTGCGATATGTTGTCTTTCCAGGTCTATGGAGTGGGCTACTCTCGGGCACTATGTTAGCCTCATTGTAGATATAGGACTAGCCTTTACGATTACAAAGCCTATAGTAGCGTCAGCAGTAAGACCAGTAGATAGGCAGCAGCGTGCTAGAATTGTGAGTACATATCATCAAGATCGTACGTGCGATTAATGGCGAAGCGGCTTCTTCGCATCGTCGTACTGTGCGCAGACTTTCCGCAAAGATTTCGAACGCAGATCTGGGTACAAAGACGAAAGAGGTCATGACAGGGAGGACTAAAAGGGTAGTCCCGAGACGATCTCATGGTTCTACTACTTTCCTCGAATGTGAACCCGTTCCTACCTAATATCACAGCTTGTCCGACCATGCCAAAAGCGCCATAAAGCTTGATTGCATCACAGCAGCTGTCAGTAAGAACCTACTACAATGACAGGCCCCACTTGCCCTCGAATCCTGTATGTCCCAACAAGATTACTCCAGGAAGTTGTGTGTCATGGCGTCGTCATCTGTGCCGCCGGTTCGCAGTGGTTCCTGACATGAGGACCGGACATTGTGCCTTTGTATGGCAATCATCCGAGTATACCACTGTACCCTCCCGGGCTCTTTCAGCCCGAAGAAAACCGCTTAGAGTTACCATGTGCATCGCCCGTAACTAGGCGAGGATTTTGGGGGTTAGGTTGTGCAAAAGTGGTCTGGTGGGACACTAGTCTGGCAACACTCGCTGCCCATTCCGTGTTGAGGCGGGTATTGCACATGTCCAATACGTCACCCGTCTAGCACAACACAATAAGAGTTTGACATGTCCGTTGCACGATGTGCTGCAGCTTAGACATCGGATGCCTATTCGATTGTCGGATGATGGACCGAGTATGTTGTGGGATGATGTTAATATGCCGTGGGAATTGTATGGTAGTGCTGCAATGCGGTGACAGGTTCAAGCCAAATTCGAATGCGGGGGGAAAGCGAGCAAAGGGCGGGGGCTCTTTGTAGGCTCTTTTGTGACAATCGGTTGCAGAGGAGTTTCTGATTGGTGGATCATGTTGCCGGCACTACGAATTACAGTTAATTTTGTGTGCGGGCGGAAATAGTATGTTTAAAGTTGATCTGAGACTTGTGAGCTATATGAACAATTTGAAAGTAATGGAGAAGCATCGGAAGAGTGACGAAGTGTCTTGAATCGGAGAAATAAGTAGAATGTGTCTATTCGACTCTAGGTAGATCGGCAGATGGCTATGTCGTAGCGGTAGTGTTGCGGTCTCGCAAAAATGGTCCTACAAGTACGCTACTCCCGTGTCTACATCTTGGGTCAACGATCGAGTGAGGCACACCGCAGGCCAAACTAGCTATATCAGATTTGCAGGGGACACTCGACGAAGTATGACATCTTAAAGAGACACGACATACCCAAGTTTGGGGATATAGACAGCTTTGGAGCGCAGGTACTACAGAGGAATATAAGTGTTTTGAACCATCGATGCCACCTCGTCATACGCTGCTAAGCCCAACATTTTGAGTCAAATGTTGGAGTTGAGCCAATTAGCAGAGTGATGATGTTTGAGAACGGCTCACTAGTAAGGACTCCATGATTTGTTTTCCGAGCTGGACTCCTCTTGGGGACTCGAAGACGGCCGTGCGTAAAGTCAAGACATCAGCAGAGTTCCTTGACCTGGCCCCTCACAAGTTCGACCTGCTATGGAGCAGCTCACAAAGTTACGATGGATTTTCGTTAACTTTGCCGGTTCAATTTACTTGACCCATCTATCATCCCACTCGAACGGCTCTGTGTAAGCGCGGAAGCGGCAGGAATCCTTAGCACGCATGGCGAATCGATAGGGTACGACTCGTCTCCACTTGGGCGTTCTGCGGATGACCAGCAGTCTCAGAGGTGCTTCAAAGCTTCAACCAACTGGCCAAAACAATGAGCCAGTTCCATGTACAATTTCACGCGCTCCACCCTGACCGGACGGCAGTGTGAGTTGTTCAAGGCTCCCACCGCCGGCTACGCACAGTGACAAGGGGCTCAGGAGTAGGTATCCAAAATATCCTGCGAGATGACGCCGATACGTCAAGTTCGACAGAGAGCGATTCCAGAAGAGTCCGGAGGCGCCTCTCATCTACCGGTGGTCACGGGTTGCGACAGCTCGAGCTGCAGCTTGGCCTTTGTTTTCTTGAGCGGTCTGCGGTGAGACAAGAACACCGCCTCTTATTCAAAATGGCCCACAAGCGGTCAGGATGCACACTGACGGAACTAAAACAAAATCCTTTGTTGATAGCTCTCCGGTGAAGCACGCCCTAGACAAATGTTCTTGTCAAAAGCCTAGTGTCGCAAGCAAGTCGACAGTTTGTAGGAGGAACGCCATGTCTCATTGAGGAGGGAAAGATCCAACTGTGGGAGAGCAAGAGCTTCTTGCTCCGTCGTAGCAGAAGTCAAATCTGGCGCCATCAGAAGAACAAGCGAGTGGGGGCAGGGCGGCATCTCTCGAGTATCCCCAAGAAGAACAAGACAAAACACACCGACAATGTGTACGCGGGAGAGTTCCTCTATCGGGCTCGCAATTTTGCGAGCTGGGAACCACGTTTGCAATGTGGACAGCCAAGGAATGTACGTGCGCTTGTACTTCACGGGTGGTTACAGGTACACAGCATAGTGATTCGCTCTCTCATGCCATGTTGACAGGCTGACCTAGTATTGTAGGAGAATGCCAGCGAGGCTGCTGGACAGCTACCAATTAAGTCTCCGGTGGGGGGCGATCGCGCGTAGTGGACGCAGTTCAGTAGCACTTGGCGATCTTTCGATATCTTCGCAATTCGTGCTTGAGAATGAAAGAAAACTCATGAAGCGACTCATTTCCTCCTCTTATAGTTTTTCATGACAATGGAAACCGAGCATATTCATTCCAATCGACTGACATGTTGCATATTTTGCCAGTGCTGTGAACCACTGACAATCGCGTCGATACTACGAGCTCGCACGTCCCTTTGCTCATTGGCAATGTTTTGATCGTTGTCATCTCAAACGATCCCTGAACAAAGGATGTACGGTAAAGGCCCCAGTCTCCATGCAGGGTTCACTGCCGGAGGGAGTGTTGGACGCCGTGCGACGCTGTTCCCTCGATCCTATCCTCCCACTATCGCAGTGTCCGCCACCCAGTACTTGCTCTCGGTAACCAGCGTTTGGTCCAATTAGTGGATTTGCCGTCTCGCAACCTATCAAGCCATATAGTGCGCATGCTGAAACCCTAATGTCTACTTGCACACCGGATGTCGTCTGCAGGACGCTTGGACAAGCTTTGGCGACGCGCTTCCGCTAGAGGTAGCAGCTAGCGGACCGAAGAGAAAGCAAGATATGACCTGTTAATAGAGCTACAAGTACCTTCGCTAGTTTTCAGCGAGCATCGGTCATCTTTCCTTTAGTGATTTCGTCCGAACTGGTCGTTGGAAGAACAAGTACCCAGTGGCTTTCGTCCCGCTGTTCAACCTCTCGTCGCAACCTGGTAATGACAGCGTTTAGACATTCCATTTCCGGTTTTGACATCTGCTGACTTGTCCCAACCCCATAGCCAAAGTCACTGGCTGAGCTGTTTCCTTGGAGTAGCCGAGCAGGACTATCCGTTGGACACCACGCGAGGGCCGTCTAATCGCCACGGGACCGAGCCGTTTGTCTGAAGGAGCCACCTTCATATTGGGTCAAAACCAGTGTTTAGCGCACACCTTTCCACTGCAAGATCTTCCAGTCTCCGTCAAGCGTGCATTATTGTGAATTTGGATTCCACTCGTAATACGTACGTTGCGGAAGCTCGCTATTTTCGTTTCGCGAATGATCTAATATTGTGTAGGTCGCATTTTTGGGCAACGGCGCTCTTGTTCGACGGTTTCGCTGGCTCATCGTATAAGGTAATCGTCCCGTCCTCGTGAGCAGTCTGCAAACGCGCTGGCCGTCAGCCTCCTTTCCCCGATCACTGCCACCAAATTCATCTACCCAAGGAACTCTCTCGTTTCACAACAGCTTGTCTTGATACCACAGCCTGGTCTTTGCTTTTTCAAGTCCGCCATCCTTGCAAGGTGGAGTACTTTGTAACAAGTCCCGACGTCAACAACTTGAGCCCTACCAAGTCGAAAGTAGTCCCACGGCCGCATTTGGACCATGCAGATACATAAGCTGCTCAACCCTTCCTTTGCTGACCGCGATGGGTATCGCGACTCGTCGCCAATACCCGCGTCCTTGTCCCGCCCGGTAGCCTCGATCGTAGTTCCAAAACGACAGAAGGTCCCTAAGGATGCTCCAATCTTCTCAGAAGGCAACAACATTGTAGGCTATGTGAACTTCCCTCCTCATGAAGCCCGGGACGACCATGATCTCAAAGCTCAGCACCAAAAATTCCAGGTTTATCCGTTGGGCGAGATATACAAGAAAGGTATCCGACACATCCCCTACAACAGTGATAAGAAGGACTTCCTGGATAAAACGGGACGCGATGCGTTCGAAAGTAAGCCTCGTTCCGGAGCATGTACTGCTAATGTAAGACTAACCGAATGGCAGTGTTCCAGTACACCTACAAGAGACCTGGTGACGAGAAGGAGTACGTAGTAGTCTGGGATTACAACGTCGGTCTCGTTCGTATGACGCCTTTCTTCAAATCCTTGAAGTACTCAAAGGTGAGGATCGCCGCCGTCTGAGAAGGGTACAGTCGCTGACCAGTGTAGACGATGCCAGCTAAAGCGCTGAGGGAGAATCCAGGGCTGAAGGACATCAGTTATAGCATCACAGGGGGTGCTCTAGTGTGTCAAGGTCGGTCGAGTTACTTTCCAAGGCCCGAAGGCGATTTACTGACCTTGTTAGGGTATTGGATACCCTACCATGCTGCCAAAGCGATTGCAACAACGTTTTGCCATGAAATTCGATGGGCACTAACTCCGGTGTTCGGCAACGACTTTCCTTCGTTGTGTCTTCATCCGAAAGATCCAAACTTTGCAAAGTTTCTCATCGATCCAGCAATCGTGAAGTACTGTGCCCTCGAAACGATTCGATTCCGCACAGAAGGCCCGTCGTACCGCGTCCTGAATTCGAGCGTATCGTCGCCCGTCGAGACACCTACGATGCCGTTTGGCTCACCGCTATGGAAGGAGAAAGGAACGAAGCAACGCCATGTGTGGTCGGCGGATGTTGAGAGCGGATATGGCACCGACACGGATCAGAGCGATAAATGCCACTTCTCGCCACAGGTGTCTCCCCGTGGTCAGGGTGCGTGGACATCGGTTAATATGTCGCAGTCCCCATCCTCACCACGCACAGCCAATTCTTCCACCATGGGCTCGCCCGTCAGCACTCGAGGCCCCCCGGTGCTGATAGCGGCAACTTCGGTTCCAGGCGGATACTACGACGAACCGTTCCAGACGAAGCGAACACTCTCCAAGGTGGCCTTCAGCGACACTTGCGATGGCGACACGTTGAGTCGACCTCAGACCGCCGCTACTATCGACAGCGACGGCGGGGATGAAGTCCATTCGCGGGGCGATATCGATGCGGCGGAGATGCTACTGTCGCTCAGTGCGGCTGACAAGAGGTTGCCGCCGCCAAAGCGAACTCGTCGTGGGTCCAAGTACTAATAAGTCGATCTGGTGCCCCACCTTCCTTCCTTCCAGAACGGCTGGGGGTGCCTTCCTTCTCGTCACGTATGACGTCTCTCGGTTTCTTCCAGCGCTCATTGTTGGCACTCGCTACGCTACTTGCATCAAGTCTAGCCCTGTCTTTTTTTATGGTTTATGGGGGCGTAGTACTGGCACCCAGGAGTAGTTATTGAGCATCGCTTCAAATTGACGTTTGTGATATCCAGCGGCGCAGAATTGTATCATAATGGCTTTGGGGGATGGTATACTGGAAAAAATTGTAGATAAATGTAGGCTCCCTGGCACTCTATGGATAACGTTTCATAATCTCACCATCGTCACCATTGCTCATATATACCATCGCGTAGGGTGAGCTCACTTTGCAGTCGCCTTTGCCCTCAGGCTCTCGATCTTCTTTGCGGTCCCAGCGATTGTCCGCTGTGAAAATGGAGGTATACAGTCAGTACATGTCTCAGATGTAGTTTATATAGAATTCCTTACCTCCTCGTCCCAGATGTACGTGACGCTTTCGTGCTTGACCACCTCGGCAGCCCACTTCGAGAAGTTGGGAAGTGCGTCGAAGCCTGAAACGACCGATTGTGGGATAAAGCCATGTTTCGCCAGCGCGTAAATACGTAGGATGAAAGGTGCTATTAGAGCCTGCAGGACCGTTAGCCATCTCGCACAAAAGCTATATACTCGTACGCCCTATCTCTGAGGCGCACAAAGTGTAAATTATCTGAACTTACCTCGGCCAGCGTAAGCTTCGCGCTCCCGCCAAAGAATGGTTTCGCATTCTTCAACAACGGCTCAATCTCCTTACCCACAATATCCACGAGCTCTTTCGCTAGCTTCTCCTTATCCTCATCGGACTCCTTGAGTAGGATCTGGAACCAAAAACTGCCTGCCTTCGAGAACCAGGTGTCAACGAAGAAGCCGATGCGCGCACGGGTCAGCGCTGCATCGGCGGAGCCAGAGGCGGGGAGGAGGTGCGAGGGATAGGCATCAGCGAGGAACTGCGAGACGATGCCGGACTCGGTAATAATTTCACCGTTGAAATCTATGGTAGGGACGAGACCGCGCTAGACGAAGACATTAGCATGGCCATAGTATGTGCAGGAATCAGTTCTTGAATATGAGCGTACCGGGTTAATCTCAAGATACCATGGCTCCCTCGGCGTGTTCAAATCGATGATAACCTCATCAAACGACAATCCAAGCTCCTTAAGGACGATATGCGAGCGGTGTGCCCAAGGGCAATTGTGGTTGGTGTATAGAGTGATCTTTGGGGCGTTCCCGTTGACTTGAGCCATGATGATTGTACGAGTCAGGGTGTTATTGAAGTGCGTCAGCAATGACTAGGAGTTGGTGCGGGGTGATAGTAGTAGGTAGTATTCGAAAGATCGGTGCAAATGCCTGAAGTGAAGTCGGAATGCTTAACTTTACAAAAGCAGGTCAGTATATGTACGGCCTTTGAAGTCAGAAGTTTCCCCGCTGATATTCGCGGATCGGTGTTGGCTTAGAAATCAATGTATTGCATCAGAATGCCAGTAGATCGCATGCTGGTGTGGGGTATATCCTTTCGCGAATGATAATAGCAGATAGCGCCGCAACCCCCCGAGCGTTTTCGCCCGTGTACCATGCGGAGATGCTGTGCTGATGTCTGATCCAGCAAAACAAATCGGCCAACAGAAAAATGCACCCCCAGTCCGACGCCAGTATGTAATGCAGTATTATAAATTACCCACCGTCTCCCGGGTCAGTTGATGATACCGTCACCCTCAACCTTCCATTCCATGGCATTATTGTCGCTCTTCTTTTTCGCCCGGCGCTTCTCGTTGCGCAGACGCCGTTTCTCTTCGGCCTCCTGCTCAAGCTTATCCTTATTCAACTGTAATCGTGCATCGAGATCTGTGACCTCGAGAAATTTATCCTCGTCTCTCTTTCGCTTCAAGTATCGTAGGCGATCTCGGACTTCTTCGAGGGTAGCGCGTCGTACTTCGCCCGACTGGCCGGTCGCGACCAAATGCTGCTTGCTGTTCAAATGTTCTACGTATTGGATATTGTCCCTGAGATTCATTAGCATAGTCCCATAGGAAACGCAGAAGTGCAACACACTTAAATGTAAGATCACAAGCCTGACAGTATGCGCCTGCTCCACGCCCCCTCTTGCCCACAGCAGCCGCTGCTGAAGTGAGCGTCTGCTTGCCAATCATTTTACTCCAGTCTATCCTCTCGGACCTTGCTTCGGTCTGCTTCAGATCCTCGGGTGTGGAGGCTCGCCCTCTGTACGTCTTTCCAGCAAGCTTTGCCTCGTATCTTTCCTTTCCTTCATCGCGCTCTTTTGCCTCTCTATCCTTCGCCTTCTTTGCCATTTCATCGCGGTCCCATGTTTTCCTAAAGTCTGTGTCGCCTCCACCACCATTCGCTCCATATGCTCCTGCTTTACCACTCATATTGGACGATTGTCTCGCGCAAGATGCGCGATCTGGGAATTGTGCGAAGACCGGTATCTAAACACTAAGGGAAGTATCGATCGAGTTTGAGGAGTTGGCGATGAGTCTTAGGGGTCAGGATTCCCGTCTTAGGAGCTGTAGCGTTCTGAGCTTGAGACTCCGACCAAAGTTCACTGCCAAGAAAAAGCACAGACTCCATCCGGAAGGCAGGTATTGCCGACCTAAGACGACGAGAGACGGTTTCTCACACTAGGTGTAGTTTGTTTTTTTGGGATTACAGATTACAGATTAGATTACAGATTACAGCAAATTGTACCACTCCATGAGATGTTGTCATATGAAGGTTCCTCATTACTCAGGGTGACAGAATATTAGACTTTAAAGCACTTTGATCAAGTGTGAGTAGCGTACATTGAATTGATATACAATCTGCCTGCTGCTCCGTCTTGTTATGACCGCTCATTATCGTTCATGAGCATCAAGGAGTCCTATTGGACGGGTAGTTGCCACCCATCAACGACAAGTCATTACGAGAAACTCCTCGCTATGCTAAAGTTTGAGAACAAAGATACCCTTCCAATGCAAAGTTGAGAAACGTAAAGGCCACAGCTGGAGACTCTGTCATATACTAGATGATCGCATATTGTCTCGGCATCGTGTCATCTCCGTAATGCGTGGGCCTTTCCAGCAGCCAAGGACACACCCAGAGATCTTGGTAGTGTCCTAAAATCCAGAAGCTAAGGCGCAAGTAGACACAAGTTCCCGCAGCAAGGGCGATTTTCCTCAGAAGTATGAACCTGGTGGTCGAGGATATGCTTCATGCTGAATCGGAGGTGTTGGGACGGGCGGTGGACCTCTCATGATCCGATGCAGCGCAGTATGTCTCTCTGGCGGAATGGACCCTTCCCTATCCCGTCTCTTTTTCTTCTTTTTCTCTACACTTAACCTCGAAGGATCTGCATAGCCTCTATCCGCATACCCTGCCGCAGCGAAAGGCGGCTCTACGACCCTTGGCGACCGATCATCAGGAAGTCTCAGTTCGATGAGGCCGTAGAAATAGTCCAGAATTTCTGGATAGCGAAGGACCGATGCGCGCCAGTCGGCATCAATGCCCCGCTTCAGCTCAGCATGCGCTTCCGCAATCTGTGTTTGTAGCTGCGCAATATACATGGGATGTATTGGCGGATGACCGGAGTATCGCATGTACACTTCGTAGTTCGGAAGCGATGCGAGGTAGGAAGAGTGCGCTTGTTTGCGTGTAGAAGTTAATCGGTCGAAGGCGTTGAGGATGTGTTGACGGGCGTGATTGATCACCCAGTCCCTAGGAGCTAATAAGCACTGAGCACTGGGAGGTATAAAATGTAACAAGCCTACCGTATCTCGGCCATTCTCTCGTCCATAGCCCGCTGCTCGGCCTGTTTGACGGCAATCTGTAGCCGCTCCGCCTCACAAGGGCATTCGGGATAGGCTGGCGCATTGCAAATAGCGCAGTTGGGAGCCGCATCCATCTCATAAGTACCGTCTTCAAGCCGCAATCTCGGTCATTGTCAATTCAGTGTGAATGGTGCACGATACTCGATGCTGCCACGGTGGTTCGGAATATGGGCGTAGGGCAAGGCTCTCGTATGAAGTGTGTTCGGATTCGAGTAAAGGCTAAAAGACGAAACGCTGGCCGTTGAAAGAGCAAGCACAGGCGGTGACGAGTGACAGGTTACATGGCGACGATTGTGGAGGACATGCAGCGGGAACTGGCTAGCTCTGGTGCGGCTTATGGAGTGGTTCTGCAGATTGGACAGAGTGCGCTGCGTTATGAGTTGGCAGTTCGCTAGCCCATCGAGCACGCACTGAACCTCGGGTGCGCTAGGACTGGACATGTTCAACGACGTTCACATTCCTTGGGCCATATAAATTACATTCGACGAGTTTTGATTCCAAAACTAATGGCAACTTTCATCCAAGCTATCGAGTCGTGAGCGCGGATAACTGAATGATGCACAATACTTACCACCACCCCGCTCCCCGCTTAACAGTCATGCACGACCGACCCCTCCATCTCCGACCCAGCGCACAACCACGCGAAGCTATGTGTTGTATGCCACAATCAATGGCAGTCTCCACAATTGAACGCTCTTTTTAAGCGTTCTGCAGTTGAAAAGCTATTGCTGAGCATAGTTGTTATGTCTCGGAGTCGTGGAGTTGTAGGCTGGTATTGGGTAGCTCGCTGGCCGGCCAGAATAGATTGAGGCGCTGTATCTACGCGTGCCTGTCTCGGCGCGCTGAATGTTCGAGCAGAGATGAGATGGACTGCATTTGTCGTACTCTGGGGAAGTGGTCGATGTGTTTGTTGAGTCTGCTGTACCCGAATTTGGAGCTCATACGTAGGTCGACAACGTCCGTATCAGAGTATTAGTTGGAATAGAAGAGACTTAGGAGCGAGGGTAGGCATATTATGGCTAGGTCAAGGGACGATTCACCGACAACCACAGGATATTGGAGTGTGTGATATTGCTTGCTTGGGCGTTAGCAGCCGTCGCGTCCGCACGCGCCTAGCTTAAGATGAAGCCATGACGTCACTTGGTTAGATCTGACACCTGAAAATGGCATCTTTCCCCCATGGCAATGTGACACTTAAAATCATCACATAACGCCCTCCCCTACTTTCGGGGGCTAACCAGCCACCCTAAGGTAGTAGACAACCTAGAGAACACGTACGCACGTGCTCAAATGGATAATCCACGGGTTAGGTCCTGCCGCCATTCAGCCGGTACTCCGACTCTCGCACTTCTCGTATTTGAGTGCAGTCTCCGATGATTAGTGTCCTCGACATGCTCCCAAAGTTCCCTAACTGCTAGCCGCTGCCCGCTTGCCGTACAGCCTGGTGCACACGCTCTACCTAGGGTAGCTACCCTACGGCTGGGGTTACTCATTTGGTGTGCCTGCGCATTGCGCTTCTTCCTTCTGCCTAGCGGGGAGTTCAACACTCTTGGAAGGGTCCACTATCCTCCAGATACTCGCTGGTCAGTCGGAATCCGCATCAAGGCTTAGTGGAGAAGATTCGCTAGGATCGTGCAGAACCGAAGTGGGGTTTGTCAGCACCCAACGGGCTGAGGCTTGAAGTCTCCGTAAGATCCCTTTGTGGCTGTAAAATTCAGCTTTCATGATATCTCAAGCTCAAGCTCTTTTATACCGAGTCCGCGAGAAAGTACGGTATAGTAGGCTTGGGTAAGTTCATTCTGCTTATAATTAGCAGCCAGATATCCTTTGCGATCCAGCTCGAACCGTACTTTTGCAATGAGTGACCAGCTTTGTCGAGTTCACTCGCAGTCCCCGCAGCAATGACTCAGCGATTTCTTTGTAGTATTACCTAGTACCGGCTATACGAAGTACTAAGCTTGGATTGGCCAATTCTTGACATGTGCACGGGCTGCGCGCCCTTCGGATTTGACATCTGTCACGCTGTAGAATACGGCTTAGCGCATGTCTGACTGGAAGCTGATTCTAGCATCGGTCCCAACTTCAAGCCTCTTATAGCATCCCTCCTCTTACGCCCTTTGACTACATCTTGCCGGAGGGCGCACTTGTCTTCCCATCCTCAAGCCGAACGATCGACATCCAATTGGGTGCAAGAGCCTAAGTGTGTCATCCCATCACCATGGCTACTCCTGGCGCATCCGATATGGCACAATTCTTCGATTTTGGGGAAGCGGCTATGCCAGATGTTCCAAAAGAGGCAGTTCAGAATAACCAAGTTGCAGATTCTAGCCACGAGTAAGTAGAGCCCCCGTCCCTGACTACACCTAGCACGGACAGCAGACCTTGAAACAACCGAACGACTGGCCCAGCTTGTCGCTTCGAAGACCCGGTAGAGAACTTGGGAGGCCGTGCTTTGAGATGATGCCGAGTACAGCAGTGAAGATAGGACTAACAAAGTGCAGTCAAGTTGGCCTTGAGACCCCATTAGGATTCTCAGATACCAACAATGTCCAGTCAACAGACACCGACTTCAACACAGATTTCTCTAGTTGGCTGCCTCGGTATCAAAAGCCTACCAATCCTTGTGATTACTGTCGCTCGAGGTCCCTTGAGTGCTTTATCTACAATGCCGAGGGCCCAGGACAATCACAGTCATGTTGCTCACCGTGCAATGCCTTGTTTCGTCCATGTAGCTTCAGCAATCCAGAAAAGATGCCATCTCTCAGACAAAGGACCGCTTTGGATACATTAGACGTTGTGGCTGAGAACGGTCCGCGACATTTTGGTGGGCTCACTGGCAAGAAGCAGATGCGATCACTAGGCCACATGGGTCCAATTGACAACGACAACGACGATGAGGGAGAGCAGGGCCCCAAGAAAGGGGCCGCTGCTGCAAGATTTCCACGAGCGGCTGTCAAGGCCTTGAAGGACTGGATGCTTGTACACTTCGACCACCCTTACCCAACTGATGAGGAGAAGGAGGTTTTGAAACAACAGACTGGTCTCAGCATTGGCCAGATCTCCAACTGGATGGCGAATACCCGCCGAAGGCAGAAGACCAGGCCCAAGAGAAGCGCATCACCAAGTATTCGCCCATCGACTGAGGCGATCAATATTCCAGCAGGCCGAACTTGGGAGTCCCTTAGTACGTATACCAATTCTGAGCCCAGCAAATCGCATAAGACACTAGCATCTGCTTCTGCCGGAAGGTTTCTGACCTTTCGTGTGGGTGGTGGACATGCAAGTGTTGATTACGACAAGGACATGTACCCTAGCGCCTCATCTCAGGTGGCAGTGTCACAACAGCAGAACTGTTTCGGTTAACTCGCGACAGATCCCTTCGAGCGATGGAAGCACTCTCCCCCTGAGAACGAACCGGCTCCCATGACTGCCATTGCCCAGGCCGTTGAAACTTTTGACCTACCAGAAACCCATAGCATCAGCAGCAGCTACCGAAAAGATGTTTCGAATGATAGCACGGGTAGTTATTCGGTGTTCAAGGCACCCTCCATTTCGTCGTTGGAGACCGGCTTCACAAACGTCTCATCCGGTTCCCTCGGATCACACAACTCAGCTTACTCTTTTGGCTCACGACACTCCCTCGGTTCGATGAATAGCTTGAAATCGAAGGAAAGGCGCAGGCGGCGACGACTCCCTACCCGAACACCGAAGGCCGATTCTGATGAGGGAGCACGGCTGTACCAGTGTACGTTCTGTACAGATCGGTTCAAATCGAAGTATGATTGGTATGTAATGAATTTCATACAACTGAAGCGCTTCGCTCAGCGTAGTACCTAGTCCTTTGCTAACTGTGTCCTTGTAGGTCTCGACACGAGAAGAGTCTTCATCTATCGCTCGAGAAGTGGCTATGTGCACCGATAGGCGAGGTTGTCGCTGATAAAGCGACTGGCAAACCAAAATGTGTATATTGCGATGCATTAGATCCAAGCAAGGGTCATCTAGCTACGCACAACCACAGCGGATGCTGCGATAAAGGCCCCGAATCTCGAACCTTCTACCGGAAGGATCACCTAAGACAACATCTGCGGCTGATGCACGGCTGTAAGATGACCGCAAGCATGGAATCCTGGAAGTCTGAGGCCCAATTTATCAAGTCTCGCTGCGGTTTCTGTGGCATGAATTTCGATAAGTGGCAAGATCGTATCGACCACCTAGCAAAGGAGTTCCGCAATGGACTAAACATGAAAGACTGGAAGGGCTGTCGAGGTCTAGACCCTCATGTCGCCATTCATGTTTCCAACGCAATGCCACCGTACCTCATTGCGAATGAAAGCAAGTCGCCCTTTCCGTTCTCTGCTAGCAACACTGCAAGCTTGAAGCAACCCAATGTGTCATTTGATAGCCAGGACCTCGAGTACCTTCTATCTACCACAACTAGCAACAGCCCTGCGAAAGATTTGTTCGTATCTTACCAAGACGCTCGGGACCCATCCACTGTTGGTCCAATCGTTAAGACGACATCGCAGCACTATACTGCCAATCCGAATGCTACTTGTTGGGAGATACTCACTCTCCGATTGGGACGGTTCGCCCGACAGTATATCGAAAAGCACGGTGCTGGTTCCGTTACCGATGAGATGCTTCAATCTGAGTCCCGCTGTATTCTGTATGGTGAGGACGACCCATGGCACCAAACTGCGGCCGACAATCCTGAGTGGCTTAATTTATTCAAGAAGGCGCATGGGATTGGTACGCAAGCCACGGTGACAGGTACGTCCAACGGCATCAGCCTTTAGCTTCAAAGTCGCATGGGCTCTGAGTGGTCGATACTAACATCGTTCCAGGTATAAACGCCCATCACGAGGTGTATGAAGACCTCGGCGTGCACGCTCACAGTGTCCTCGATCCAAGCTTCAGCATGAACAACTTCCCGTGCGTAACTATGAGTGAGAACGATCCAGATCGCGCCCTTGCCTTTGACTGTTCGCTGTCAGGTACGACGAGGATGTCTACAAATCGAATGCGACAGCTCTCCTCCGGCCGTCAGTCGCCGTATAGCTTACCCGGGCTCACTGGCTCCGTCTCCGCCTCCCCGACGTCACCGGCCTTTTACGCTCCACAGACGCTAGGTATTGGAGCACCAATTACGGAAATGACATGCCCAACACCCGGGGGACCCTGCTTCGGCGAGAATGGTGAAGTAGGGTTTTCTACGCGGGACCAGCAGCAGAAGAAGAAGACCTACTGGTTGGACTCGAACACAGCCCACATGGCTCCCTTCCCCACAGTGACAGAGAGGAAATGTACGCGCAGTGGTGAGCCCATTGAAGACCGCTCGTTCTCTTCTATCATCGAGAAAGAATGCACAGCCGATGGTGAGCAGCTCATTCCGACCGTCCAAGAGAAGACTTGTACCGAGTCTGGAGACGCGATACCGGATGACTTCCAGTTCCCATCATGGGATCAGCTCCCCGTTGATTTCCAGAACCCAACAACTAGCGCTGATTACAACTCAACGATACCTGTCAGCATGGGTGTCAGTATGCCGGCCATGGAGGGAACTATTAGCGGTGGCCCAATGGGGTGGGACGATAACGACCTAAACTTCGCCATGGATATGGATCTAGACATGGATTTCGACCTCAGCGCGCTGGAAAAGAGCTGAATCGTGCTTGCGTGGGACATGGATACGGAGGTCTTTACGGAGTGTTAGTTTTAAGTAGGTAGAAAGAGCTATATGGACGATATCTCACTTTCATCTTGAACCAAAATCAGGTAGCGAGTTACAGGGGTTATGCGGGTTGGCGTACCTACTTTAACAAAATGTGTCACGGCTGTGTTCAAAATACGGGTACATAAAGTAAGTGTAATGGCATGTGGAACGAATTATGACTTTCTCAAGCATTCAATCATAAGTAACTAATCCAAGTACCCAGTCTACGCTCCTTGCTACGGAATGAACTCCCTAAGTCAACTTAGACAACAGCGTACTCACTCAAGTAACCTGGCGAATCTAATGGAAGCTACTATCAATGTGAAACGTCATGGCTAACCGCAGATCTTGCTCAACCTACCTGTCAACTTTTCACACATTCTTCGAACCACTGCTTTCTCTATGTTACAGTGTAACAGTCCTGCATGCACCTTCCCTTCACCTTGTGCGTATCCGCAACACACCGCCAGTCCACTCCAACAGGCTCACAAACACAGACGTTGGGTCACCCTAGCGCCCATATATCACTGTATATTTACTCAATCAGTCTTCACCGTATCAACTCAGCTTCAACGATATAAGATTTATAATCTTGGTAGAGTATAATCAGCCAAACAAGCAGTTTCGAGGGCGTGGTGGCGGAGTGGTTTATCGCGCAAGACTTGAAATCTTGTTCCCTTGGGAGCGTCAGTTCGAATCTGGCCCACGTCGTTGTTTTTGGTCGTTGTTCTGTTTGCTTCGCTTGGGTTAAGGATGAGGTAGGGTCAGTAGGGCGCGAGGAAACAAGTGAAAGGGAAGGAGAAGTGTGTGGGTGGGTTTGCGGTCAGTGGAGACAGCTCGGAAATATACATTGTCCGTAGGTGATCCTGGATATGTAGCCTTTTCCTTCTTTCCTTCGTTTCTTCTTTTTCCCTATGCATTTATAGTTGGTCTGCGCTTACTCTTTGTACAATGATGCCGCTTGCAGCACCGCCACCGTTGCAGATAGCGGCTGCACCGTACTGGCCAACCTCCAGCTGGTGCAGCAGTGTGACTAAGATTCTGCTACCAGAGCTTCCGAGAGCGTGTCCAAGTGCAATGGCACCTCCTCTTGGATTGATGTTGTCGGTCCCGAGACCAAGTATTTTACCATTGGCCTTGATAACAGCGGCGAAGGCCTCGTTGAATTCCCAGATGGAGATGTCTTCCTTGGAGAGTCCGGACTGTTTGAGGAGCTTCTCAACACATGATGCTGGCGCGATGGGGAAGTCGATCGGATCTGGGTATTGTTAGCTGTGTATATGGGCTAATAGCGAGACAGCGACGTACCAACAGCAGCATCAGCATACGTGATAATCTTTGCCAGCACACGACTGTCCTTGCCGTACTGCTGTGCGATCTCCTTGCTTCCCAGCACTAACGCCGATGCACCGTCGCTGAGAGGTGAGCTGTTCGCCGCAGTGACTGATGCGTCCGGACCCTTGTCGAAAGCAGGTTTCAACGTGGATACCTTCTCGAGCTTGAGTTTGTTATACTGCTCATCCTCGGAGATGATGACATCGCCCTTCTTCGACTTGACGGTGACCGGCACAATCTCGTCTTTGAAGAGACCCTCCTTGTATGCCTGCTGCGCACGCTTGTACGTTTCGATGGCATAGTCGTCCTGGTCTTTTCTCGAAACTTGGTACTTCTTGGCTGTGTTTTCCGCGCAATTGCCCATGTGAATTTGGTTATATACATCCCACAGTCCGTCCGCGATCAATCCATCCTGTAGCTTCTGATGTCCAAATCCTGGTTGTTGACTTGCCCTGTTGAGATAATACGGCACCCGTGTCATGTTCTCCATGCCTCCTGCAATCTGCGCCTCCGCCTGTCCAAGCTCGATGGTCGAGGCGGCAATGTTTACGGCCTTCAGACCAGATGCGCATACTTTGTTGATAGTAGTGGCCTCGATGTTGGTGGGTAGGCCGGCGAAGATGGCTGCTTGTCGTGCGGGTGCTTGCCCGACACCACCAGAGAGCACGTTGCCCATGTATACGGCGTCGATCGAGGAGACGGGAACTTTTGACTTTTCGAGTGCGGACTTGATGGCTGTTGCGCCAAGTTGGGTTGCGGAGACGGTTGTGAAGTTGCCATTGAACTGTACTACGGTCAATGTTTGTGTAGAGTTGACAAGGAGATATACCTACGACTGCAGTCGGCGTCCGACTTGCGCTTATAATGTATGCGTCTCTGATCTCCTTCTTTTGTGGCGCTGAGCTGCTGAACTGCCTCTGGATGCTAGCCAGGCGTTGTTGCGGCCTCGAGGCCATTCTCATGGATGTACGGAGTGCGGCGGATGACATGGCTAGAAACAAAATGTGCAGAGCAAAATTGAGAAGGGTTCAGACGCAGAGAGAGGCCCTAACGAGTCGAAGAGCGATTGTCACATGGCGGCTGGTTTCCGTAAGTGAATTGCGGGCGGAATGTGGAGGCGGGAGGCTGCTATGCCGAGGTCTGGCGGTCTAGTTCGGCTCAAGACGTCCATTTTGCCCTGCAGTCATCCCATGCTTCCGCGTTCCGAATAGCTTCACGAACAGTTGCAAATAGTTTGATAGCACAAAAGCCGTGAGAGCCCTCATGGGTTGTGTAAAAACGTTCTGAAAAAACATTGCCGAAACGATGTAACTATTAGTAACTATCCTCAATCGTCCGCATCATTCCCAATCGCGTCTCCCTCGCGCTCCACATACTCCACTCCATCGTCAACAGGAAGACCACACACGCGCAAAGCCTCTTTGAACCACACGCGTCTGATCACGCTCCCTGCCTTGGCCTTTTGCTAACCCCAACCCGCAATCTCATCCCTCGCTCTAGTAACAGAGCGTCTGTTCCGTTTCTCCCGCCTCCCGCGGTCATGTGAAACGGAGGCGGCCACGCAGCATCGACTGCCTATCGCGGTGTGATCGATACTAGTAGCCAAGGCCAACTATAGTACAAGGCCCACCCAATCTCGCGCTCAATGGAGCTCCTGGAGTCCCATATCTGGCATGCTGCGACAAACGGACACAGTCACCGACTTTTGACAGTTGACAGGCCTGTCGTAGAGACATTCGTCTCACGCCAGTGACAGTTCTTTGTCACAACAGTATTGACTACGCACCTCCTCTTCGTTCACCGGTCTAGCTGTCACACCCAACTATGGCCTTATGTTCTATACTCGGCTGTCACTCTATTTGCTACTATTGTTTCCCAAATATCTATATGCACGGGTGTGACTAACGACCTGTACCTGCGTCAAGATCTCGGTACCACAACAACATGACCTTGAAACTGACTGTACTACCCGGCTAAAAAAGCTCGACCTTGCCTTGCCAACATTCGAAGCTATGACCACGGCAGCTTCATCCTCCTCACCTTGAAGATGGAATTGACCGGACAGCTGCAACACGGTGCCATACTCCTACAGTCTAGATAGGGTGGACGGCACCTTACTTCAGGCAGTGCCATCGTACAAGGCGACTTCCAATACATCTTGGCATGTGCTTCAGACGAGAGCACAAGAGAGGCAGGACGTACAACGGGATAGATGCGGCGCCCTCGCGTTGTATAAGAGGAGGACAAATGCTCCTATTTGAACCCTCCAAGCTCAAAGTCATCGTCTAGGCTTCAGCAAAGTCAAGCTCAGCTCCGCAGCCACTGTTTTCCTCATCAAACTCGTTTTTACAACACTATCAAAACTGTCGCCATGCGTCTCACAACTTTCCTCGCTACCCTCGTCCTCACGGCCAGCACTGCCTTCGCAGGCGTCACCATCGTCACCAACAAGTGCGACTTCGACGTGTGGGTGACATCTGTCAGCACAACAACAGGCCCGACCAAGAAGATTGCTTCCAACAGCAGCTACACCGAAGGCCAGTACTTCGATGGAACCGGCACCGCCATCAAAGTCACCCGCGCCGAGAAGGGCCTATGGCAGGGCAAGGCCGTACTTATCTTTGCGTATTCGTACACCAAAGGCGGACCCATCTACTACGACTTGAGCTCCCATTCGGGCTTCGACTTCTGGGGAAAGAAGTTGACAGTCCAGGGCCAGCAAGGGAAAGGTGCCGAGGTTCTGACTTGGGAGGGCACACCGAAGCCAAACCATACGGCTGTCTACTGGGGCGAGACTGATCTGACGCTTACGCTCTGCGCTTGAGCTCGTCCGCTTCGGCCATGCGAGGCACCAAGCGATAAGGGAGGTTCTCGCTCGACCACAGGGTTGGAGGCTAGGGACGTGTACTTGGATTCGGAAACAGGTGGTGCGGAAGTGAGATGGTAGGGGTGATGGATGATGTTAGCCTGGATACACGGTCTTTGTAGTTGAATTAGTAGTAATGTATGCTAGGTTCAATCGTCAAGTTCTCTTGGTCGTAATATGCCCTGTGATGGCAAGTGATGCGTTGGGACGGAAGCGCGAGCATGGTCGGTGGTCGGAACCTCCCATGGTTAGACGCACGAAGCTAAACCCGATTCGAGACGCCTGGCTCAAGTGACGCTTCCGCCGATTGTCCACAGCCAATTCACTCTTGCAAACCCTCTCCTTCCTCCTCCGCATATCTCGGCCTGCCACATGTCTCTAGCTCTGTAGGGATCTATCGCTCAAGCTGAGGCTGCTTGTTGTCTTCTTTCCGCCGCATATTGCATCCTTTTCTTACAGCATCCACTACAAGTGTACCTCTACGGATCGCAGCTGCGGTGCTCTGCCGCTACACACTGTCTTAGACAAGCAAATCAACCAGGCCTCAGCCCCAGCCTCTCACAGCCCTCGACCGTCTTGTCTGTCGTCATGGTCCGACATGGCAGCCCGTCGCCGGCGGACAACTTTGCGCTCGGCCACTCTGCAACCTCGCCGCAACCGCAGCCCTCGAAGCGGGATAAACGGCGCAACATGCTGGCCGAGAAGCTTGCGGACTTGATGGCGTCCTTTTCCGACAACAGGGACACTCATTACAGAGCCCAGCTTGCAGCGCTGCAAGCCGACATAAATCTCATCATGAAGGCAGACCCGTATGCCAACCAGCCGCTCGAGGATGGCGGAGAGGAGGCTTCGGAGCTCATCTCGCAAATCATGGGCAACAATGTGCCGAGTGCGCCCAGCGCCGGTACTGACTACATTGCGCAGTGTGGCAAACACTATTCGCGCTTTGTGGATGCCGTCAACGATGCCATGGAGGAGCGCGATTACAACCTCACCATGCTTTGGGTAGGCCTTGCTGCGCTAGTGTAATTCACGGGGTATACTAACCACCAAACCACTGCAGAACAAACACGAGAACTCGAGGAACGAAATCGAGAATTCCCACTTCTACAAAGTCCAGGTCGCCGAAGAAGAGCACAAACTGCTCGCTGCTACAATCCGCGAGCGCCTCATCGCAAGCATACAAACACGGACAGGGCGGCTGAAGCGAGAGAAGGAGCAATTGGATCTGACCGACAGCAACGCCATGCTCCTTCACCCCAACCAGTTCAGTATTGGCCATCCTGCCAGCCCCGGCGGACCACAAGCGCCTCGCAAGACACGGCGAACGGGACACAAATTCGGAGACGCCGAAGACATGGCAGCAGCCAACGAACACAAGCGCAAGCGCAAGCTGTTCGAAGACAACGACAACGACTCACCAGGCCCTGCAGGCCGAAATATCGAAATGGGCATCGGCTCACCCTTCCGCGAAGCCAAAGCACGCACCATCAACGCGCAATTCGAATCCTCGGCCTACTCCCTCGAGCGACTCTTTACCGAGAAAGAGCTCAACATGGCTATGAACCAGGCCACAACCGCCGCTTCGCACTTCTTCGCAAAGATGAAGCACGCCGACACCACTCCCCAAGAAGCCACATCGAACGGCAATGGCACCACCAACGGGCACACAAACGGTGACCACGCCTCGGAAAATGGCGACGCCGCAGATCCAGACCAAGACTCGGACGACGTACCCGGTGCCTCAGACATGATGCGCCAAGTCTCCTCTAATCCTCATGCGACTCGTGGTGCTACCCGCTCAGCTCTAAACCCCACAGCCGCCATTGCAAACGGCCAGGTGCCCTTCATCTACCAACCTCCTTTCCTCCTCGACGCGAAAGTTTTCCAAAAACAAAACGCTGCGGCCCCAACACCCCCCGCGCTCTCCGCGCAGGATGTGGAGCAGGATCTCAAGCTCATGTTGCGGGATGCTCGGCCAGACGACGAACTCAATGAGAAGCTTCTGCAAGCCGCATGCAACCCGGTCAAAGCGAGGGATTATCAGGTGCAGCCACCAAACTTTCACGAGCCGGTCAATGAGATCACTAGTCACATCAGGAGTACGGCACCACTACTGGAGGTCGGAGGGTTCGGCGGAGTGCCTATGTCTGCGCAGAGTAGTATGGCGGGGTGGAGTGATGCTGGAGGGAATACGCCGTTGAGGTATGGCGAGAGAGAAGCGCTCGTTGTGGGAGGTCATGGTGGCGGTGTTGCGATGACAAGGACAGCGAGTGGGAGGGGACGAGGGCGAGGAAGAGGAGGTGGCTAGCTGCTGCCCTGTTCTTCTGCTTTTGCACACTGCTTTCGCGGTCCATCCGTTTCGTTCTATACCCAGACTGGCGTTCGGAAATAGGCCACTTGCCTTTCGGCTGGCTGAAAGGGCGCATCTTCTGGGTTGTGTTGTACTACACTTGTACAGCTTTGACTATCATTTCACCGTATCGGAGAGTTTGCATTCACAATCGGCGTTGGATTGGGCATTTACATATGCGGAACGACCGGTAGGATTCGGTTTGCTACATTGACTTTATCGGCACCCATCTTAGTGTAGTGCATGCGCATTCAATGCAATCTTGTCCTTGAAATCTACAAGGGTCGCGTGGGAGGCCTTCCTAGTGTTGTCATTGACTAAAGTAGTACAAAACAGCATCTTGCAAGGAGATTTACGCACTCTGATAATTTCCGTCATTCTGTTCGCTTCGTTTGGTTGAAAATTGTTGGCCTCGGTGTGTACGATTAAGCTGTTCAAGTCGACAAGGTCGTCTGCTGCTGAGGTTATAGTTTGCTGTCGGCTGTTTAGCAAAACAGACTCAAGTCTATTAGTTTCGAGTGGGACCTAGCTTTGATGAAGTTTTTAATGCGGATGCTATTGTATAATCTGGCAGGGGGACAGTATACGGGAATATCGTATTGAGGACGAAATAAAGGCATAGAAGTTATAATTAGTGAGTAGTAGTATTCACCTGTGATGTGAGCAAATCAGGCGAACAATTGTGTACTTTTCAAGTTGATACGATTATAGTTGGGTACAGTATTGATCAACTAGATGTGATTGCGAACGAACATGTCGATATATTTGATACAGTACCATTGCCTCTTCAGATGGGTCCTCTGCTCGCGTTGTTTAGCAGTTCTCCTTGCATCCGACAAAAAGTTACCGTTTCCCAGCAGACAGGATAGACATTGACCGTACGTGCACTATGCCGCAGAAAAGTCCGTGAAAGCGCATTTCATATCGTCTCGGCCGCATATGCGGACATGGGCGCGGAATCATGGCCTATGTCTGAGAGTTTCAGGCTTACCGTCTACAGTAACGGACGTGAAGTTCAGCATCACGATGTGCACTGCGATACGTCATGAAGTCCGTGCTCGGATCCGGGTGGAGATGTGTAGGCAGTTCATCATTTCAACTCACTTTAGCGCAGAAGATCCCGTCATGTCCCTTGAACAATCCATTTTGGGCGATGGGAGATCTCCGTCCACATGTGCTTGGGCCGGTGGACGTCGGTGAAGCTCGTCATATACACCCTTAGCGTACCCCGGGATGATCAAGGGGGAGGACTGCTGGAATTGTGTAAGCTGCGCTTGTGCATGCAAGCAAAGGCTCAAGAGCGGGTAGTATGTAGATCAGAGCAGCAGTAAGTCAGTAGGACAGGTAACGGAGATATCAGGGGCCGAAAGGGCTTCTTGTGTTCTGAAGCTGGGTGGATGCTGAAACGTGGAAGCGCTTGCTCTGGAACCTGCAACAAGCACACCAGGCAAGCTCTCAAACAGCAACAGAGAAGGACGTCTTGGAGACTCGTCGATGAAGATTGCGTAAGCTGTCGTGCATCTAGCCATCTCTAACGGTGCTTGACGTTCCGATGTTGCCATATTTGGAGTGTTACGAGCGCGTAGTATGGGCGGCTGCTATATCGAGACGTGGGTACGTGCGAGGCGCGTAGCGGGGAAGGGCGACGACAACAGAGCCGCATGAGGCGCTTCAGCTAGGTAACCTTGTTGCGTGTCTGTGGTTCGTAGAATCATCAGCCGGAAATTGATGATATGAATCGTGATCAAGGGAAAGCCGCAAGCAGCCAAACCAGAGTCCCTCTTGGACGCGCGCTGGAGGCCCAAAAGCACAGAGGCAAGGTGGTTGGTCGCATCGCCGTGACGTGACGTGATTTGATAGCGAGTTCCTGTCTTCTGACAAGCATGCCATCAAGGTTGCAACGTCTCAGGTCGCCACAAGCTTCTAGAATTCTAGAAGAGGGAATGTCGAGGGTGGAGGCGTTGATAGGCGAGGTCGACGAGGCGGTGCAGCGGCTGGTGGAGGAGAGGCAAAAAACCACGAAGCTTGAAAGCTGATTGGTAAAGGCTGGCATGAATGTTGAATTCTTGGAATAGGAATAGGAGAGGGCGGCGTTGGCCATTCACATGCTCGACCACACTGGCTTGCCACATGTTGGGAGTAAACAGGTGTTGAAACAAACGGCGACTTGTTTGCATAGCATGCTGGCAAATCAAGGGTTGATTACACGGCACTCGACCCTTGCGCATGACATTTGGACGCGCACAGTCCCAGTCGACAGACAGGCTTGCTAGCTGTCTATCAACGTCCAGGTTTTGACAGTTGGCACAGGTCGAGGCTGATCAACAACACATCATCATTTGCTGCGGGCTGGGTGGTATGTTCAAGTGCGTCTCGTCTGGTCTGGTCTGGTACGGGTGCTGGCCGAACGCCGGGTTTGTCGAATGCTGAGCCACCGGCCATTCATTCATATCCAGAAGGGCCCTCTCGATGCTACGGTCCACCCTGCGCAGTGCAACACGCGTCTGCGATGGCAAAACCATGCTTCTCAATCCGGCCGACAGCGATGCTAGACCTGCCCTCGCGTCCGCTGTATGCTCGGCTGGCGGGCTGGCGGGCTGGCTGGGAACGAGGCTGGGTAATGTACGTTCGCAATGCTCTTCGCCGCGCTCTTGGGCCACATAATCGTCACGGTCAGGCTGGCGAGAGTCGGGCCTGGCACAATGGTTCGTAGTAGATATATGGAGAGTCGTGGTCGCATGCTATCCATCAAGCACAGCGATCTGGCTCCACACAAAGACTCACCGCCTCATACTGAATCCCAACGTGACCCAACCTCGGGCAGCAGACCTTGTTAGCAGCATACCAGCATAACGAGTACATATCGGCCAGTGCTGCTCGGCCTACTCCATCCTCACTTGCAGTGCAGTGCAGTGCAGTGGTTGTTGACCACCACCCAGTCATTGCTCCACAGTCAGCGCTGGCGAGTACGTACACGACGGCGTGCAGCGAGCGGCATTCTATCTTTCTTTCTCAAACACAGTCTCGACGAGCTTGACGACGCTCGAAACACGATCGGGACGCGGGACCATTGGCTGCTAGGCCTTGTCGCTCAACGTCGGTGCAAAACAACTGGCGTAGGCTTGAAACACGGCTATTCCTGGGGTCCTGCACCTCCCACCTCTCGCAATCTCTGAAGCGACCCAAACTGGCCATAGAACCGCTGGTCTCAGGCTGGCGAGGCGCGCTACGTACCTGTTGCGAGCCCCCAAGCACCATCGATTGGATCCTGCGCTGCAGCCGCCGAACCCCACCGGCCTGTGGGAACCTCGTCCCAACTTAGCATCGACTTCTTGCTCCCGCTCCAGGGGCCGGGGATAAGTATCACGCTTCTGCCGCTGATACTCGAATTTCGGTCAGTGCAAGTCTTCACTACCTTTACTACTGCTACTTCATCTTCTTCTTCTTTCTTCATCCTCCCTTCTTTCCCCCGCCCGTTACACCCAAGTGGTGCAGGCACATTCTCCAGTCAGGCACTGCCCTCGTCCTACCCGACCACCAATCCCGACTTCCTAGTTTGGCAGCGCCATCCTCGCTCTCTCTCTCTCTCGCTCTCCCTTCCAACAAAAGTTCCTTGCAGCCTTCGTTACTTGCTTCTGCACTTGCATTGCGCCTTCCAGTAGTTCCGCCGGCCGGGATTTCATCCACTTCATAATTTCTTGCCGCCTTCGTTTTCAACCTTGTCGTCTTCTCACCAAGCCCAAGCCACCACCTCGGACTCTGCTTACCCCACGTTAAACAGACCGGACTCGTTGCTTTACGCCTTGCAGGGCATACTCCCATACGAAGTCACCGTTGGACAATCATTCTTCCTCAGTCAGGACTCGACTTCTACTCAAGGTCACCGTTCTCTTTAAGAAGTTTCAACCACCCATCCACAAGAGCATCCCTCAACCCAACCACCATGCCTTACTCAGCAAACCTCGTCGCCGAGAGCAAAATGGCGCTGGATTCATTTGTCCAGCAACCCGTATCTCAGGATATGATTTCCTATCTCTCCCAAAAGGCCACACAAGTCATCCGCTGCGAGCCATCGTCACACCTCAACAAGAACCTGCCGCCAACACCACCTGCCTCGCCACCCCAACACGCTGCACGTGAGGCGTCTGAGCCGCCGATGCCATCTATCGAGGAGTTCATCACGTCCCTGGTGGAGAGGTCACATGTCCAGGTCCCCACCCTCATGTCTTCTCTTGTCTACCTCAGCCGGTTACGGTCGCGCCTTCCCCCTGTCGCCAAGGGCATGCGCTGCACTGTTCACAGGATCTTCCTTGCCTCTCTCATTCTTGCGGCCAAGAACCTCAACGACTCTTCGCCCAAGAACAAGCACTGGGCTAGGTACAGTGCTGTCCGCGGCTACGAGAACTTTGGTTTCTCCATCACCGAAGTCAACCTCATGGAGAAGCAGTTGCTCTTCCTCCTGGACTGGGACCTTCGTATCAACCCCGAGGATCTTTACTACCACTTCGAGCCCTTCCTAGCGCCCATTCGTGTCCAGCAGTCCCGCCAGGCTGAGAAGGCCAGGCTTGCCAAGAAGGAGAAGGAGTTTGCCTACCAGCTCACCGCCGAGAACCTCTCCCGGTCTCGTATCGAGGTCCAGCCTTATGCATCCACTGCCTCGTTCTCATCGTACGCCGCTCGCCCACAAAGGCACCGTGCACACCACGCTGCATCATCGCGCGCTCCGTCGCGTACACCATCGCTATCACCACCTACCCGAAGCTCCTCTGTCTCCACTTCCTCCGACTCGCCCAACAGCTTCACTGATGAGCCCTCGGAGGCTATTCTCCAGCGCTACGACGCCGACCAGGGTGCCAACATTGTATATATCAACGGCCCAGTCTCGCAGACGAAGCTACAGCACTCGCTCCCACTCTACGACACCCAACCTTCCAAGAAGGCAAAGACGTCTGGTGGTTTCTTCAATAGGATGTTTGGCCAAACCGGCACATATGCTGGACGCCAGCAAACCTATTAATGCACTCGCTTTTTTCCACACTACCGTCTACTAGACCAACGATTTCTTTTACATTGTTCACTCTCATCTCGCAAAAGAGATCGAAGGAAGAATACGGATATGATAATGTTGACTTGATGAAGGATCTCCCTGGATGGACATATCACTTCACATTTTGTCACATTGCATGAACAGGTGTTTTTGTGTTTGGAGCATTTGTACGGCATAAGCATTGCATGGCGTTGGGCATCGCATCACTAGCATTTTTTCTCATCATCACCGGCCGGCGCGCCTTGATATCCCATAGTAGTTAGCCATATCGCGCTCCCTTCAGCGGGAGACGCGAGTAATGAAAGACATTCAAAAAATATCCAGCCTATCTGCTTGGCAAAACGGTTCGCGTCCTTCCCTTCCCGCGTGCTTTCGGCCGATGGATCTTGATTCTTGAACAATCTCCTTGCAATTTCGACACAGAGTAACCTAACAGGCAAGCTAGTTCCAACGGCTATCCTGAGAAATTATCGCGTTATTGCGTAGTTTTCTGCAAGGCTGGGAGGTATGGGATTAGCGTGAACGACAGGTCCGCATTCCTTTGCGCGACGACTCGTGTAAACACGTGTTTGACCTGACGGATCCCACGTCCCTTTCAAATTTGCGAAAAATCATCGCGTGCCGTCTCCATCGTAGTGGTGGCAGTTCCACGAGAGGGGAAAAGGGAAGGCTGTGCGAAGAATGCACCTCAGCCCAATTCAATATTCCGCTCAACATGGCCACATGTAAGACACTGCTGGTGCCATCCAACCCCTCTTTCGTAGGATCCAATGGACCATTGTAGTACAACAGGCGGGCAGAGCCCACAACGCGACTCCTACCCCGCCCATTTGCGGTCATGACATCCAGTGATTGCTCTGCCTCGCACATCTTTTACCGGCCGCTTGCGCAGCCACATTAGGCTCACCCACGGCGTTTCGACATCGATCCAGCCCACCTCCTCTATCATCGGGGCACTAACATCCACTACTTTCCTGATCACGGCCTGTAGCTCTAACATGGCTCAGCCCATGGCCTGTGACCGGTGAAGTAAATGAAAAAAAAACCCCTCACACGGTTGGCTTCATCAAGATACGAACCATGACACGACAACTCGTGAACGGTAAGACCGGGAAGAAAAAACCATCGTGAACGGCACATACTGGAAAGTGCGTGCAGGGTGCCAAGACAGACCGGTTCGAAGATCAAACGTCTGGTGGATGATGGATGGATTTTGAACGTGTTGGTGTTTCAGATTTGGTGCCTCGGACGTGGACGTGTGGCTGGATGCGGGTTGGTGCAAAAGGAGCGATTGGTGGGATTGAAGGACGCGGTTTTCATCTCTTCATGATCGTCTTCTCATCACCGTTATCATGTGTACGATTTTATTTTCTTCTTCCTGAAGGCGTCCGCGAGCTACTACTGTACGGTGATGGGGGCCTTGACGGAATTTCCACCAGGCCGCCTGTTGTTAGTCTCACCGCTGACGGCTCGACGTGTCTCATTTTGCGACGTGCGTCGTCGTGCATCCGCATCATGCACTTGGCTCTTATTATCTCGCATATCTAGGCTGCGAGTTTTTCAGCTGACCGGAAGAGCAGAATATCGTCTAGCGAGATGTTGGGTTCGGCAGAATCCACATGCAAGCACCTCCGGCTCCTCGCTCAGCACATCTTGCTATGAGAGTAGAGAGATGCTCATCTATCACTGTGGCGCTAATTACTAGAAAGAACTCGATTCATTTGTCTGGTTCACGATGTTTGGCTTTTGCATCTCATCCATTATAAGCTCCGAAGTTAATTGTTCGTGGTCTGAGAACATGTGCAGTCCTGGCTCAACAGTCCAGAAATTGTCTCTTATGGAAGTTGAACAGCACAATAGTTGGCTTACGTGCCCTTCATGCGGATAAACCCATGCAAATCCTTACCGTCAAGCCAAAGGGCGCAGGCATGAACCTCTGCCACATCTGATACACCATCTGGCAGCCCGTATAGCACGGTAGGTCACTGTGCCGGATCCTACCAAGTCGGTACCGTCTCTTCATTGTTATCATTGCCCTTTCTTTCGTCGCTCGTTTTCCCGCCTTCATGGCTTCTGTTCGTTGACCGCTGCGCGGCCCCCCTTTCTTGATGGTTCGTCAATTTTCTTTCCTACCGAGTGATCGTCGACGAACTGGGCCTGATGGCAGGACTCAGCGGTACAGTCACTGGAGGCGCTACAATACCTTCTACGGCCTGGCCTTTACCACAGCACTATCGACGACCCTTTTACTGGCGGAAGTGTACCAATGGCGCGTCACTGGCTACGTCTTTCTACTTGCAAATCGATTTCCCGCATCTGTTGCACTCGTCGTCCAGCTGGTCGCTGCTTTCTTTGGGCTGCTCCATGTGGCTGTCATCTGCAAACTCATCAACTACGCGCTCCGGCTTCGACTTACAAGAGTGAGTGTTTCGCTAGACACCTTGCGGACATGGGTGGATATGAGCATTCCGCGTATTGATTGGGATCTACCGCTTCGATTCTTCTTCCCCGTATTGTTCGTCGTCTTCCTCAGTCTTGTTCCTGCAGCGCTATGGGCTGGTTCCATGACGCCATCAGTGTCGCGTACAACAGACAGCGGCATGTTACTGATACCTAGCTACGAGGACGTGTCGATGATCAGAGAGTATCCTATGATGATAGGAAGTGCGGGACCTTCATTGCGTACGCAAAAGGGATTCTTCACATATTCTATTGGCCAACAGCAAAGTGGACAGCTACTCTCGTCCGCTGCTTCCGCATCCTCAACGGGCATAGGGCCTCATGTTCATCGCAAGCTTGACAACACCCAGTTTAGTTACAGGGGCAGGTCCTATGGCGTTGGCGCTCCTGTTGGACTCATGGATCAGGGGATATCGTCCAATACCCAGGTTGCGGGCTACATCTATCAAGAGGAAGGCTATCTCGCCAATGTCACCTGCGCCTACAACACGAGCTCGAACTTTATCCTTTCAGGGCCAGTCAACGAATGGATATATGCCGCCTCGGGCAACCTTCCTGACAGCGTGGACGGCTCCGAGTATTCCAACTACATTGGGCATGATGGCAAGGCTATCGTCGCAATTGGTGTATCATTCAGCGAACGCTCACCGCGTCGCTACCTCGCCATCGCTGCTGGCGAAGCATACGGCTTCCTTAACAAGACGCAATGCGAGTTTGATTTCACGCCAACCCTCTTCAACGTCACCGTTGACATTGGCAGTCTCAACATGACCGTTGAACCAGTATCAACCATGGAAGACTTCAACCCGCAACGCAACATCACCAGAACCGTAGTCCGCCAATTCGAACTAATGTCAAACGACATGACCAACCTATACGTCTCCCTCCTCGGCGAAGCCTTCAACTCGAGCATCGCCGCCTACAAAATGTCCCGTTCGTCGGCGTCTCGCAATCCTTTTACCGAAGAAGAAGCTACCTTGGCCGGGCTGACAAACTCCATTACCGCCATGGCAGACGACATGCTCGTCGCCTACGCATCAGCACAACTCATGGTCGGCAGAATGTTCACGCAGCAACCCGCCAAAGTCTACGTGTACGCCCTGCAATTCGGTCAACCGGGGTATATTTACGCCATATTCAGTCTCAACTTGCTCGTCATGCTCGCTGTGGCTTGCGAAGCTGTGCGGACGCGTGGGTGGTCGGCGCTTGGTCGCTTCAACTACCTCGATCCGCGCGATCTCATCATCGCTGCTTCCCGAGGCGGCGCGGATATTGCGCAGGCAGCTGATGATATCGTGGATAAGAGGGATAGGAAGAAGCCAACACATGTTTGGCTATTGAGTGATCCGGACGAGGGCAACGGGTCGCTGGTGGTGAATCTAAAGGGCGATCAGCATGGACATGTCAGGATCGTAGTAGCTGAGGAGGAGACGGGGACAGATGAGTGTGACAACATGTATGTTCTGGATGAGAAAAAGTCTACATTTAGCTTTGTGGATGAAGAGGCCAACGAAACGGTGCGCTTGAAGAAATCGAAAATGGGTATATTCGGGTCCGTGTAGCTTTAATAGGGACCTTGTGGTGGTAATGGTCTTATTGGCGGATGTTCCTATATCATACGAGTTAGGTAGGGGACGTTTGCAGCAACCATGATGAACCATGCATGAACTGGAGAATACCACAACACATAACCACAACACATAAAACGGGAAAGTGTACCGGGGTGGGCTTCAACCAAGTTTCGCGTTTCAAACTCTACCTCAATAGCCACGCCTGGACGCCTTCAGTCACTCAAGCATCAATCACAATCGAGGCATAATCACAAGGCAAACATGAGCACTATATTGAAGTTATCATCTCGATTCTCTCTACTCAGGGTATAAGACCCTTTCATTAGAGTACATGCTATCCACCAAACTTTTCCCACTCGTGTGATCGTAACTCATCCGATGCATTGAAAACCTGTGAAAAAATGGCTCGCTGGCCAGAAACTCCGAGAACTACCACCCAGAAAAGAATCTATGCTTGAAGAGGGCCGATGAAGGAGACAAAGAAGACAGCTCAAGGAGACGATCCGCTTAGTCGACCTCCTCGACGGTGGGGCCGTCATCGTGGCTGGCACCGCCGGGGCCGCCGGGACCACCAGGCATGCCGCCGCCGGGCATACCGCCGGGCATGCCACCCTCGCCGCCAGCACCGTAGAACTTCATCATGATGGGGTTGGCGACACCCTCGAGCTCCTTCTGCTGCGACTCGTACTCGTCCTTGGTAGCAGTCTGGTTGTCGTCCAACCAGGTGACGGTCTTGTCGATCTCGGCCTTGAGCTTCTCCTTGTCACCGGCATCGAGCTTCTCGTCGACCTTGGAGTCGGAGAGGGTGTTGCGCAGCGAGTAGGCGTATGACTCAAGAGCGTTCTTTGCGGAGATGCGGGAAGCCTCAGCCTCATCCTCCTCCTTGTACTTCTCAGCCTCAGCCAACATGCGCTCAATCTCCTCCTTGGACAGACGGCCCTTGTCGTTGGTAATGACAATCTTGTTGGTCTTGCCGGTACCCTTCTCGAGGGCAGAGACGTTGATGATACCGTTGGCGTCAACATCGAAGGTGACCTCGATCTGAGGAACACCACGGGGCGCAGGAGGAATACCGGTAAGCTCGAACTTTCCGAGAAGGTTGTTGTCCTTGGTGCGGGCACGCTCACCCTCGTAGACCTGGATGAGCACACCGGGCTGGTTGTCGCTGAAGGTCGAGAATACCTCGGACTTCTTGGTGGGGATGGTCGTGTTGCGCTTGATGAGAGCAGTCATGACACCACCAGCGGTCTCAATACCGATGGAGAGCGGCGCAACGTCGAGAAGCAGGATCTCGCTGGTCGACTTGGAGGACGTGTCACCGGACAGGATAGCGGCCTGGACGGCGGCACCGTAGGCAACGGCCTCATCGGGGTTGATGGACTTGTTGGGCTCCTTGCCGTTGAAGAAGTCGGAGACCATCTTCTGGACCTTGGGGATACGGGTAGAACCACCGACCAAGACGATCTCGTGGACGGTAGACTTGTCAATCTTGGCGTCGCGAAGGACACGCTCGACGGGCTCCATGGTGGAGCGGAAGAGATCCTGGCAGAGCTCCTCGAACCTCGCACGGGTGATGGAGGTATAGAAGTCGATGCCCTCATACAGGGAGTCGATCTCGATGGACGTCTGGGCGGAGGAGGAGAGGGTACGCTTGGCCCGCTCGCAGGCGGTTCGGAGACGTCGGAGAGCACGCGCGTTGGAGGTGAGATCTGTGTGGGGGTCAGTACAAACTCAGAACGGACAATGAGGCAGAAAAACAGTTTTTAAGCAGCAGAACGCTTGATATGTCCCTTGCTGTTCTTATGTTGCTTGAAATTAGATTCGAAATGAAAAGGACGGTCACAGGGTTCGCAGTAGTAGTCGACGCCCTTCCCTCCTCGCTCAACGGTTTTGTGGTGGCGTGGAGAATCGTTGTGCCTAACGAGTGTTGCGTTGTCACGGCAATCGACGTCGCAGATGTCGCATCGGTAGAGCTGGTCTGCCACTGCTGCTTCCTGGCGTGCCTTGGTTCCAGCCTTCTGGTTCTCGTTGTGGACTCGCATTCTCTCCTTGAACGCTTCGGTAGGGTTGGCTCGAAGGTTGCGCTGGTAGGTGTATTGGTAGAGACGATCCTTCTCTCTGATAGCGGCAGCGAATGCGTCGAGTTGTTCAGGTGTGTAGTCGATGTCACCATGTATAGGTTCCATGAGGGGGCTGTGACTGCAAAGCCCTTTCCATGTGAACATATCTCGAGGCCAAGGACAGAAATTGCTGAAGCCATAGGATTTGTCGAGATGATACATGGACCAGAAGAGGCAACTGAATGCAGCCTCCAATGCGACGACGACGGTGCGGAATACGGGTACGTTGCCTGCAGTTGGGATTGGACATTCGGCCAGCAACGCAATGTGGTGAATCTTGAATCCATTTTGCTTAGCCTTCCTGACATTGGCAGGACAGAGGACGCCATTGTGATGTTCGTAGATGCGACACCGTACTCCTCCGCGAAATGAGGTTCCTGATCCGATGTAGAGAAGGTACCGATTACCCTTCTTGAGGACCAAGACGTAGATGCCCCAGACATTCCTTGGAATGATGGAAGTGATAGACTCAAACCAGTGGATGGATGGTGGTGCAGAACATTGGACGACGCCCAATAGGCCGGGAGTGAAGGCAAAGCCGATACGACCAAACAGAGTAGTAAGCCGATCCTGAGAAGGCAGGACATGGCGGAAGCGAGGGTTGACATAGGCCGGGCCATTGATGCAGTTCCAAGTGAGTGTTTGAAGGATGGTTGTGACGTCGACTTGGTATCGCATCCTCGGTGGTGCAAATCGCCAGGGTCGAATTGCTGTGGGAGAGAATGTCGGATGGTTGTGGAAGAGAAGAGTAGACGGGGCAAAAACCAGTTTTTATCCCCTCCACTGGAGGTGAGCTCCTGCCCTCCCTCATACCGGACAGGCAGGACGAGTGAGTCGTTGAGGAAGGATGGGCCGGCCGAAAAGGACTTTTCGATACCGGGCAGGCACAACGAGTGAGTCGTTGAGGAAGGAACGGCGGGCCGAAAAGGACTTTTCAATCCCGATTGGAGGGAGGACAGGAAAGAGGTCGTAGGCTCCTGTCCTCCCTCTCACCACCAGGAAGGCATAACGGAGTCCTCGAAGGAAGCGACGACCAAAAACCAGTTTTTGGCCGCTCGTTGGAGGGAGGACAGGAAAGAGGTCGTAGGTTCCCATCCTCCCTCTCACCAGTGAGCGCAATAAGCGCCCCGTTGAGCAAGAAAGAAAGAACAGCTACATAAGAAAAGAAAGTTCGGAGTTTGAGAAAAGAGAAATACAGAAGTTACCCACTGTGGCATGTTAGCGAAGTTCAGCGGTGAGGGAGGGGGTGGGGCGGAGCACGGACCCTTTTTTCGTCTTGCGTTTGAACTCATTAGTGAAGTGGTTGACAAGTCGGTTGTCGAAGTCTTCACCGCCGAGATGGGTATCACCGGCAGTCGACTTGACCTCGAAGATGCCCTCCTCGATAGTCAAGAGAGAGACATCGAAAGTACCACCACCAAGATCGAAGATGAGGACATTGCGCTCGCCTGTGGTCTTCTTGTCAAGACCGTAGGCAATGGCAGCAGCGGTGGGCTCGTTGATGATGCGGAGGACGTTGAGGCCAGCAATCAGACCAGCGTCCTTGGTGGCTTGACGCTGCGAGTCGTTGAAGTATGCGGGGACGGTGACGACGGCGTTGTTAACGGTGCCACCAAGGTACGACTCTGCGGTTTCCCTCATCTTGGTCAGGACCATGGATGAGATCTCCTCGGGGGTGAAGGTCTTCTCCTCGCCCTTGAACTCGACCTGGATGACAGGCTTGCCGCCCTTGTCGATGATCTTGAAGGGGAAGTGCTTCATGTCGGCCTGGACCTCAGCGTCGGCGAACTTGCGGCCGATGAGGCGCTTTGCGTCGAAGACGGTGTTGACGGGGTTCATGGCGACTTGGTTCTTCGCTGAGTCGCCGATGAGGCGCTCAGTGTCTGTGAAGGCGACAAACGAGGGCGTGGTGCGGTTGCCCTGGTCGTTGGCAATGATTTCGATGCGGTCATCTCTGAAGATACCGACGCAAGAGTACGTCGTACCGAGATCGATACCAATCGCGGGGGCCATGATGTGGATATGTGTATGGGTATGGGTATGGGTAGTGGGGTATCAAAGAAGAAAGGGAAACAGTAGAAGTGCTCACAAAGTCTGGGACTTGGTATGGGTGAGTCTTTGTAGAAGGAGTTTGTGTTGTGTAGTGGAAAGGCAGCAGAGGGAGCGGGCGAGGAGTTTTTATTTCTATGGGCGTGGTGTTTTTCGATGGATTTCCAGCACCTTCGACGCTTTGGCCGGCCAACCAGAAGCTTCGAGCAGTGTCTGAGACCCACCGCCAAAAGCCTGCCTGACGGGCTGCTGGCGGGCAATTGTTCTGGATGTGGCCCACTAACACGGATTGCTAGCAAAATTATCAGTTGCGCCGCCCTATGTGGTGCCGGCAGACCAGGGCAGGTTCCCGTGTCTTCTTTCGCCGCCCTTCTTTTTGTGGTTGCCTGCCTGCGGGTCATGACGGCAGAGACCCCACTATGACCGCAAACAGTGACATAAGCGAGGGGCTTGACGTGCCCCGCCATATCAAAGACTTGCCCGCCCACCCCTGCGAAACCACGGGCAGCTTCAGGAAGCTTCAGGACCTTCGAAACTGGAAACGTCTCTCACTGCTGCCCGTCGACACGTATCGACACGTAGTGGTACCAGAAGACTTTTTCCCCAGATGAGGCCGCTTCATTTCGCGAGAAGCAGGCGCCAAGTCAGGGCACGAAGCGCGAAGCACGGTTTGCGCCTTGAGAAGCTGCCCCAGGGTGCTACTCGCTTTGTCTGTCTCTACCGTACATAATTGCAATCGTCTTTGCATCCCAACAAACGCTGAGCCGCTCGGTCACGAGGTGGGCTCACTAACGACGCTGTATACCTGGTCGACGGTTTGCAGTACGGCCTGGAGGATGTCTTCAGTTCAGCAGTCTTGCAAAGAGGAGCCAGCAGTTGCCCAAAACAACCCAAAGGCATCCAGGCTATACCATGAAAACGCTCTTTAATAGCAGGCAAACAAACTGACAGCCCGTCATGGCTCTGAAAACGACTCCACAGGTTCCTCAACGCCGGTCTACAAGGGTCCCCAAATTTGCTCGAGGCTGCAAGACGCCGATGTATGTCCGCACGTGACGTAGCTGCCCGGCCACAACAGCATGACGTCAGTTTGCCGTTCACCTCGCGCAGCCTGTTGCGGGGAGCTTGCATGGCCAATTTTGCTGCTCATCTCTCCTCTGCTCTCTGCGTAGCTGATATCAGTGTGGTTTCTTGTCTCCCTCAGTTCCTCGACAACCACAATGCTTCGAAACGGAGCCTCGCGCCTGGCGCTGAGGTCAATTGCAGCTCCAACAGCGCGTCCAGCTGCCAGCTTCCACCGCACATCTCCAATACAACAATGGACAACACAGTTCGGATCCATGGCCTCGAGGAGACCTCAACTACCACAGACGGCCCAACTGAAGCCAATTCAGGCCGCCATCGCGCGTCGAAACATCACCGAGAAGCAGCGGCAAGCTGAGAGCAAATACGCGCACGAGGAGATCAAGCCAACGCCAGAGACCGTGTCGTCCACCTCATCCACCCACCCCATCTTCAGCGAGGTCGCAACGGAAACCCCGACAAAAGAAGTTGATATGATGGCAGGAGTGAAGCATGATGTGGTGAGTAAAACACCCCATGTTGCTGGTTTCAGAGCTGACACGTCTAGGGTACTGTTAAAGAAACCTTCAATCTTTCAGCTGTTCCCCGGGAAGCTTACTACATGGGCCTTGCCGGCACGTTGCCCTACCTCGCAACCTCAGTATCCACTGTTTACCTCGCCTGGGAAATCAACCATGCCAACTCTGGCTACGGCTTCCTCATGAGTGAGACAACCGCCATACAACTTCTACACCTCCTGGAACCCCTTCAAATCGGCTACGGAGCTTCGATCCTCTCTTTCCTCGGCGCAGTCCATTGGGGCCTCGAATGGGCTGGCTTTGGAGGTTATCAGGGGTACAAACGCTACGCAATTGGTGTCGTTGCGCCTGCAGTGGCCTGGTCAACACTCCTCATGCCCCTCGAAGGCGCCCTCATTACCCAGTTCTTGGGCTTCGTGGGGTTGTACTATGTCGATGTGAGGGCGACGTACAAGGGCTGGACACCAAACTGGTATGCCGTCTATCGCTTCATCTTGACCTTTATCGTCGGTGCTTCCATTGTCGTCACTCTGATTGGACGAGGCGAGCTTCCCGGCCACGTGCCTTCTGCAGTCACTCGCGCCGAGGTTTTCCATGACAAGGGAGCTTCCGAGGAGAAGTTGTCCAAGGATGAGGAAGCCCGAGCTGCCAAGAAGAAGGAAGCTGCTCGGAGTGATGATCGTGGTGAGGATAAGTGATTACCTCGAAGACGCTTATTCGCAGTCTTGTCTCATATTTTCTTCATATATCCCCATGTACGGGTAGGTAGGCGCCTGGATATGAATGTTTCCTTCTGTCATTGCTCATTTTTCGGCATACTCGGTTGCTATCAACGTAAATAGTCTGTGAAATTTGTAATTCTACATGTTTACACTATTGTACATGATGACTTGCGTGAATATCCCGAGTTCATGATTCCTGCGCCATAACTTGGCCTTGCCAACGCCTTGCTTTCATTATTTTACATTCGTCCAATTTCTGGTATACAGTGATTCTCCATGGACTTGTCCAACACCCTTCTCGTCCCCCAGACCCTTAACCCCTCGCCCCTACCGCCCATCCTCCGCACGCATACTAAAAGCACCCCTAACCTCCTCGCCTACGCCCCTTTTAACCCACACATCCTCCGAGTTCGGCCCAGCCTTCAATCTATTCTCCTTCTCCCTGTACCTATCCTGGACCATGCGCTCCTTGACGTCCCTCCCGCTATAGCTATTCTTAGTGCGCATGCAGAACCAGAAGTCATTCCAGTGCTCTGAACACGCGCGCAGTTGGCCATGGCGGTATATGTCATTGAAATGTCCGCCCAGACTGGAGCAGTAGAAGGCGCTGTCGAAGGCGGCACGACAGGACATTGTGCGGGGCAGGGAGGGATCGAATTCTGGCTCTGGCGCATTGTCGGTTGTGGTGGAGCTTGAGGTTGTAGAGAAGGAGGGAGGCGCGAGGTGTGGGTGGGCGGCGTAGAAGTCGGGATCGTGCGGTGCGGGTGAGGGTGGAGGTGTTTGCGTAGTCGTTGTGGGAGGCATTGGTTGCGGCGCTGTTGGGAGAGGTTGTTGATCTTTTGGTTGTGCTTTGGCATCTGTGCCTGAGCCTGAGAATGGCCACCAACTCATCGTGAGGGTTTGTGTGTATGGAGGTTTATTGTATGTAGTGCTAAGACGCTTCGCAATCGAACTGTCGAATATATAGCTTCAGTACACGATCGCGCAATATCTTTTGGTTGTGGTATATAGCCTGTAGGCACCGGGGAAGTTTATTCGGGTAATTGAGTTTCAAGAACACGCGCCGTGGAAGTGCAAGTTCCCAGCGAATGAGAGACGAGACGGCCCGCTTCCACGACCAAATCATGTGAGTGGCATGTTTGAATTCCTACGTCATGCATACTCTACAGTAGCGCCTGCATCTGCCTTGCAGTGATCGCTATAACTCCACCTGGACGCGTTTTGTGCTCTGAATCATTGCTGGTTTGTGTCTTGCACGACTTGTTTTTTTTTGTCGGGCTTTCCTTCTCTTCGTTACCCTCCTTGCGACCTGAATCTGGTCTGCTATTTCGGTAATCCTCGAAGCAGTACAGCTATCAGACACTGTACTCTAATTTCACCCCTCCCTGGGTGTTTACGACCTACGATATCCACAGTCGCAATACTCCTACGCATCACGACTCTCCCCTATGACTCCACGACGTCTTACGACGTAACGAATCCCTCTCTCAACCCCGCCGACCCCTACAACTCACCCCGCGACGCCCCGACCTGGGTAACGGTCGTCCACGGTCGTCATGCTCGAAGGCCTCGTTTCAAACCTGCTTAATCGGTTCTTGGGCATGTATGTTCAGAACTTCGATCCAAAGCAACTCAATGTCGGCATCTGGTCTGGCGATGTGAAGTTGCGAGATCTCGAGCTCCGCAGGGAAGCCCTCGACCAGCTACGCCTACCACTAAACGTCGTCGAAGGCCACCTCGGCTCGCTCACACTCTCAATACCGTGGTCGAATCTGCGCGGGAAGCCACTCAAGGTCAACATCGAGGATGTGTACCTACTGGCAGCACCGAAGGAGGATGCCGATTACGACGCCGATGAAGAAGAGCGGCGAGCACACGCTGTCAAGATGGAGAAATTGGACAGCGCGGAGCTACTCAAGGAGCGCAACACCGAAGGCATGAGCGCAGAAGAGCAGCAGAAGAACCAGAGCTTTACTGCCAGTTTGGTCACCGCCATTGTAGACAACGTTCAAGTTACAATCAAGAATATCCACATCCGTTACGAAGACTCGATATCCGACCCTGGCCATCCCTTTGCCCTCGGTGTCACACTCGCCGACTTCAGCGCTATCAGCACAGATGAGAACTGGAAGCCTACTTTCATCCAAGGCAACTCGACCTCGACACACAAGCTGGCGACATTAGGTTCGCTGGCCGTATACTGGGACACGGATACAAAGCTCATTGGGACCGGAAAGGGCAATCAGAGTAGTGAGGAGCAACATATCGACCATTCGGACTTTATTGAAACGCTCCGGGACATGATTGTGAGGGGCGAGAGCCCTGACTTGGGTGATCACCAGTTCATCCTCAAGCCTATCAGTGGTCGTGCTGGCCTGGAGATGGACAAGACTGGCAAGCCCGACCGGCCCAAGATGAAGGCTCGCCTCCTCTTTGACGAGCTCGGTTTCATCATTGATGAGGATCAATATCGCGATGCCCTTATGCTGGTAGACCTCTTCCACTACTTCATCCGACACCAAGAGTACAAAAAGTACCAACCAAAGTCATCACCGAAAGAGGATCCTGCTGGGTGGCTCAAGTTTGCAGGCCAGGCCGTCCTCGACAAGATCCACGAAAAGAATCGCCAATGGAGCTGGGACTACTTCAAGGAGCGTCGCGACGATCGAGTACGATATATCGAGCTGTTCAAAAAGAAGAAACGTGAAGAGAAGCTCAACCCTACCGAAGCCGAGGATCTCGATAAGCTCGAACGCAAGCTGAGCTACGAAGATCTCCGTTTTTGGCGCTCATTAGCACGGAACCAGCTGCGCAAGGAGAATGTGGGAGTGAAGAAACCACCCCCCAAGCAGACTTGGACCTCTTGGGCTTGGGGCGGTAAGAAGGAAGAGCAGCACGATGACGAATCCCAAATGAGCGAGCAGCAACGCAAGGAGCTGTACGATGCTATCGACTGGGATGAGAAAAAGGCCATCACCGAGGCAGTGGATATGCCTCGAGAATATGTCAAGTTGGAGGTCAATATGAGCCTTCGGACCGGAAGCTTCACGCTTAAGCGCGACCCTCACGGAAAGTCAGCCGAGATACTTCGTCTTCTCTTCGACTCATTCAGCACTCAATTCTTGCAACGTACAGACTCCATGTTTGTCAAAGTTGCTCTTGAGGGTATGCGTCTGTATGATGGTACGACAGAGGGCAGCTTGTTTCCACAGATTATCACCATCAAGGATGCCCCACCCGTGCCAGACGACAAGCGCATTGAGGAGCTCAATGATGATGAGTCGTCCAAGGACGATGAGGGCGAGGAAGAAGAGAAAGAAGATCCGTTCTTCTACCTCACATTTGAGAAGGACCCACTAGACAACAGCGCTGACACGTCTCTCACTATGAAACTGAAGGGTATGGAGTTTGTGTATAACCCACGATTCGTGGTAGAGGTGGCAAAATTCTTCAAACCTCCCGAGCGACATATGGAATCGATTGGCGCTCTCATGGAAACTGCTGGAGCTACTATTGAAGGCATCCGGCAGCAGACCCGTGCAGGCCTGGAGTTCGCACTCACCGAACACAAGACCATCAATGCACAGCTGGATCTGCAGGCACCACTTATAATTATCCCGGATTCTGTGACCAAAAAGTCCAGCAACTGTCTCATTCTCGACGCTGGTCACATCAGTGTGACAAGCGAGCTCATCGACAAAGATACATTGCGTGAAATTCAATCGAAGCAGAAGCAACAATACACCGATGAGGACTTCCGACGGCTAGAGAATTTGATGTACGATAAATTTCTTCTAAAGTTGCATTCGACCCAGGTTCTGATAGGACCCTCAATCGAGGAGACGCGCGCACAGCTCGAGGAGGATTCTGCATCGAAAAACCTCCATATCATAGACAAGATCAATATGGACTTCAAGATCGAGATCTGCATCGTTCCGAAGGCGTCCGATCTGACCAAGTTTCGCGTCTCAGGAAATCTTCCGGTCCTCCACGCATCAATATCGGACGCAAAATACAAGAACTTGATGAAACTAATCGATGTGGCGATACCCAAGTTCGACAACGATGAGCCAAGCAAGCAGGTCGCTGAAGGCGCAAAGGGTCCGTCTAACCTGAAGCCAACGAGCGATGCGAAGGCGAGTACAGACCCTCTCGGAAGACCTCGATCAAAGTCATTTCAATTTGCTGCCCAAGACCATGAGCTTGTCATGGAAGAAGAGGAAGGTCACGGCGACGAAACAAATGAAAAGTTCGAAGATGCGCCAGAAGTCAAGGACAATAAGGAAGAGGCTCATGTTCATCAACGCAATTTCGAATTCAAGTTCACGGTCGATAAACTACAAGGCTCGCTATTCAGGACTGATCCAGAGGGTCGCAAAGCAGACCAACTGCTAGTCGAACTCATTGCTGAAAGCTTTGATCTCGACTTTTACCAGGAGCCGTTTGAGATGGGTGCAGATGTGCGTTTGAGAAGTCTAGCTGTTGAAGATCATGTTGAACAGACTCCAACACCTGAGTTTAAAAACATCATATCTTCAGAAGACGTTTCAGCGGACGAGCAGAAAGACCTCTTTGCTTTGAAGTTCGTCAAAGTCAACAAGGACTCCCCAGAATTTCAGACAAAGTACGAGGGCATCGCTACGAACTTGGATGTTGCAGTTTCGACAATCAACTTGATTGTGACTAGACGGACGCTTTTGACGCTACTAGACTTCGTTCTCGCTACCTTCACGAGCCCTGGGCCAGCCCAGGATCAACAGGCCCAAATAGCTGCAAAGGCACATGAGGACCAACAAGTCGCCCAACAGCCTCAGGCGGAGCCGGATAAGATTCGCATCCGCGCTGAGTTGAAGCGCATCGCAGTCGTTTTGAACAACGATGGCATACGACTTGCCACTCTGAGTCTGAACTCTGGAGATGTTGCTATCTTCCTAAACGGCAAGACTATGCGCATCGGTGGACGACTCGGCAACCTGTCGTTGATAGATGATGTAAACCAAGGTGTCTCTGAGGAGTCATCGCTTCGCCAACTCGTAACTATCGAGGGCAAAAACCTGGCTGATTTCAGCTATGAGACCTTTGATGCTGATTCGGAGAGCTACCCGGGCTACGACATGTCTGTTGCGCTCAAGACCGGCTCTATCAAGATCAACTTCCTCACAGAGCCCTTCAGAAAGATAATGGAGTTTGCCGTCAAATTTGGCAAGATGCAAGCAATTTTTAACGCAGCTCGGCAGGCAGCGGAGAACCAAGCAACACAGATTCAATCAAGGGCGACCAAGTTCCATTTCGATATCACCATCAGCACGCCCATCGTTGTCTTCCCAAGAATGGTCATTTCGGACAAACCTGATCGTGACACTTTAACTGCGAACCTTGGAGAGATATATGCGAAGAATACATTTGTTCCGCTGGATGATTCCAAGGATGCGGATGTTGCCAATAAGCTTTCGGCTGGAATAAGGAACATCAAGCTCACCTCAAACCTCCATTATGACGAGGACCGCTCAGAGGAGCTTGAGCTTATCGACAAAGTGGACTTGGACTTCAACATCACAATGGTCGAGCATAGGGAGGGACAACAGCGTCCCGACCTGGAGATTGATGGTTCGATGTCAGATATGAACGCGCGCCTCACACCCGAGCAAATGAAGTTTGCACTGGAGCTGTCGCGATCCATTCCGGCAGCATTTGCTACGGAGTCGGAAGCCATTGAGGAAGATGTTCAAGCTGAATTGCCGAAGTCGACGACGGAGCCTGCGCGTCGACTCACCGATCAAGAATCCACTGACGAAGAGCCTTCCAAGAATGTGGTGTCATCGCAAGGGCCTGAACTTCAGACTAACGCTGATAAATGGACGAAGCTCGACTTCGTTTTCAAAGTTGGCACTATCGGCTTAGAATTGGTCAAGTCTAAGGATGGCGAGCCTGTTGGCGACGTTGAAGCTGCCAGCCTCTCCAAATTCTCACTTAACGACACCAATGTCAAGGTTCGCATGATTAGTGACGGTGCAATGGAAGCGGAGCTGGTTGTGCAATCATTCACCATCCGGGACAGTCGCACTCAGGGAACAAACAAGTTCCGGAAAATCATGTCGCTCATCAACAACGACGTCAAGCAGCAGTTCATGGCTAGTGTCTCGATCTCGGGTGGGCAAGAGCGTAATCTGATTGCGCTTTTGACAATTGATAGCCCGAGGATCATCTTGGCTCTGGACTACCTGTTCGCTTTGCAGGCTTTTGCCAATGCCGGCCTTGCAACAGATGAACCTTTGGCTATAGAGGAGGAGACTGAGAATGACGAGACTGATAGCGACGACGAGATCATGTCACCGGATGGATCTCGAACCCCAGCGAAGCTAGAAGCCGCTCCAGAATCCACCCAAGGAGGGATGAACATCTCATTCCGAGTCAACTTGGTGGATGCACAAGTTGTGCTCATCGCAAACCCCGCCTTGGCCAGCTCAGAAGCCATCGTCTTGGGCACGAAACAAGTATTGGTTTCTAAACAGCAAGCCATGACTTTGCAGGTAGACAAGGTTGGCATGTTCTTGTGTCGCATGGACCGCTTCGAAACAAACCGCATGCGCATCCTTGACGACTTCAGCATCCAGACAGCGCTCGACATGCGGAACCAGGGCTCGAAATCGTCTTTGATCAGCATTACTGTCGATATCGAGCCTCTTGTGCTCCGCTTGTCGCTACGAGACATCCTGTTAGCTATGCAAATCGTAAACCGCGCATCTGCAATGTCAGGAACCGATGACAAGACGTTAGCTAGCGAGGTACCGCAAAAATTGAAGCCGGGCACACCGTCCAAGAAGGGTGCATCGATAGCGGGCAAGGCGTCGTCGCAAAGGCCCCGCGCAAAGTCAATTGCGACTACTAAGCGATCCAGCCAACACGGCACGCAACTCCAAGCTCCACAACCTCCTTCTGCTGTGCTCAAGAGGGAGGAAATGCATGTTAGCATCGAAGGCATTCGCGTGGTGCTTATTGGTGACGTGCATGAGATGCCGATGCTGGACTGGCGCGTGAAGAAGTTTAATGTCGATGTACGCGACTGGTCCGGTGCCATGGTCGCTGACACCTCTCTGGACACCCTCATTAATGTCTACAACTTCTCGAAGTCGGCTTGGGAGCCCTTGATCGAGCCCTGGAGTGTTGGCTTTCACATGGCCAAAGACCAGAACCCGGACAGGATCTCCATGGATGTGTATTCCCGCAAGGCAATGGAGCTTACGGTAACTGCGGCTACGATTGCCCTGGGGTCCAAGTCCTTCGACTTCCTCACTAGTGACGAAGATATTCTTTCTAAACCACGCGGTAGTGATGCACCGTACCGCATCCGAAACTACACTGGCTTCAGTCTCGACGTTTGGGCTGAAGGGAAAGAACAAGAGGGCTTTGCAGCGAAGCTAGATGATGGTGAGGAGCAGCCATGGCGATTCGAAGATCCCATGTCAACAAGAGAGACGTTGTCCACAGATGGGGCAACAGGTATGATTGGCCTCAGGCTCCAAGGAAGCGGCTTCGACACTCTCTCACGAATCCCCGTTCATCGTGAAGGCGAGTTCCTGTACAATCTCAAGCCGAAGCAGGACCGGATACAGCACCGCATACTTGTAGAGGTAAAGCTTGGTGCCGACAACATCAAGAATATCACCTTCCGGTCTCCACTACTAGTGGAGAACAACACACAGATACCAATTGAGCTTGGCATGTTCAGCCCTGAAGAAGGCCATCTTCTAAAGATCGATAAGATAGCTCCCGGTGACGCACGACCAGCACCTGTTGGCTCAGTCTACATGCATTCGATCGTCGTTCGTCCAGACCAAGGCTTTGGCTACGCTTGGTCAAATGAGCAGCTGTTTTGGAAAGACCTACTTAAGCGTCCAACTCGGACAATTACCTGCCGCGGCGAGCAAGACGAACAGGCACCGCCATTTTACTTCCAAATGCACGCAGCTTACGACAAGAAGGATCCACTAACCGGCGTATATCCATACATGCGTCTCCGCCTACAGGCACCAGTCGAGGTTCACAATCTTCTTCCGTATGACTTCAAGTATAGGATTTATGACAGCAACACGAAGAAGGACTGGACAAACTTCCTTAGGAAAGGAGGTATCAGCCCTGTCCACGTTGTTGAGCTCTCCCATCTTCTGCTCATCAGTGTGGAAATGCAAGATGGCCCATTTAAGCCGAGCAAGTTTGGCATCATCAACTCCACCGATCGAGAGAGCTTCCGAAGGGAGAAAGTTCTGGAGGTCAAGGATGACAACGACACAATCTTGCACCTGAACATGCATTTCCAGTAAGTTTGATAGCCAAAGTGTAGGCTCGTAAAACTAACAGCATTAGTAACTTCCCCGATGGAGGTGGCGCATTCAAGGTCGCAATATACAGTCCTTACATTGTCCTCAATCGCACCGGGCTTCAGCTTGATGTTCGGTCACAGCAGTTCATGGGACAAGCCAAAGCTGCTGCTGGACAGGGTGTCGTCTCGGATGATCAGAATGACGCTGGCAAGGCTCTACCTTTCATGTTCTCTTACCCGACGGACAACAAGAAGAACCGCGCTCTAATCAAGGTTGGGGATTCCAACTGGAGCAAGCCTCAGAGTTTCGACGCGATCGGAAGCACCTACACAGTTGCGTTGCCGAATAGCAAATCACGTTCAGACATGCATCTCGGCGTCTCTGTTGCTGAGGGCGAAGGCAAGTACAACCTAACCAAGACCGTGTCCATAGCTCCCCGCTTCATCGTCAAGAACAAGATCAAGGAGGAACTGCTTATCCGCGAGCCTGGCCAGTCGGATTGGATGTCGCTGAAAGATGGCGAGCTACTTCCTCTGAGATGGTTGCGTCAAGGAGGGTCACCACAGTTGTCTCTCTGCTACCCGGGTGTCAACAACCAGTGGTCGTCGCCCTTCAACATCTCAAATGTTGGCAATGTTCACGTGAAGCTATCCAAGGCCGGTCAGCGTCAGAAGCTAATACGCATCGACATTTTGATGGAACAAGCCACCATCTTCTGCCACATTAGTGTGGAGAATAAGCACTGGCCATTCTCGTTCAAGAATATGAGCGATCAGGAGTTCTTGTATTGGCAGGCGAACCCCCATCTCGACGAGGATGAGGACGATCGCGGCTCTGGCTTCCGCCCAATCAGGTACCGCTTGCCTCCTAGAAGCATCATGCCGTATGCATGGGATTTCCCAGCTGCGAAGAACAAGGAGATAGTCATCAGCGCCAACGGCAGAGAACGGCATGTCAAGCTTGCCGAGATCGGCCCTCTCATTCCCTTCAAGATACCACCTGGGCAAGAGCGAGGTGGTATGAAGGTTATCGATCTCAACGTCGTGGCATCAGGTCCGACGCAAACGCTCGAGGTCTCGAACTACAAGCCGTCGAAGAGTCTGTACAAACAGAAGTCCGCCACATCATCTTCTACGACGACTGGATTCGAAGTCAAGGAGCAGGATACCGACGTCACTTTCAAAGCTCAATTGAGACTTGCTGGCATCGGTATCTCGCTGGTCAATCGTCACCTCCGCGAATTAGTCTATATCACCCTGCGCGATGTGGAGCTAAAGTACTCCGATTCGCCTCTCTATCAAATGGTCAATATGCAGGTCAAGTGGATCCAGATCGACAACCAACTCTACGGTGGCATCTTTCCTATCATCTTCTATCCCAGTGTGGTCCCCAAGACTGGCAAGGAGATGGAAGCGCATCCTATCTTCCAAACCAGCATCACTCGTGTCAAGGATGACTCTTACGGTGTCCTGTACATCAAGTATTTCACGTTCCTCCTTCAGCAAATGACGCTCGAAATTGACGAGGACTTCATCTTCGCCATGATCGACTTCGCTAAAATCCCTGGTGCGTCCTGGGCGGAAGAGAAGGAGGGTAAACTATGGGATGACGCACTCGATATTCCGGAGCCCAAGCAGGAACAGTCTGGTCAGGATGTCTACTTTGAGCTGCTGCATCTGCAGCCGATGCAGATTGATCTGTCGTTTGTCCGAACCGAACGCATCAACGCTGAAGATACCATGAGCACTTCCAATCCCTTCATGTTCGCGGTCAACGTTCTAACCATGTCCATCGGCAATGTCAATGATGCACCAGTTCGATACAATTCTTTGATGTTGGAGAACGCTCGTATCTCAACGACAGCATTGATCAACAACATCAAGAACCACTACGTGCAGGAGTCGCTGCGACAGGTGCACGTCATTATTGGTTCTGCAGACTTCTTGGGCAATCCGGTCGGTCTATTCAACAATATCAGCTCAGGTGTTGCCGACATATTCTACGAGCCATACCAAGGTCTGGTCAAATCCGATCGTCCCGAGGAGCTGGGTATTGGTATCGCAAAGGGTGCATCAAGCTTCGTCAAGAAGTCTGTCTTCGGCTTTTCAGACAGTATGGCCAAGTTCACAGGTAGCATGTCGAAGGGTCTCTCAGCTGCTACACTTGACAAGGAGTTTCAAGATCAGCGCCGCATGTCTCGCTCGCGCAACAGGCCCAAGCACGCCCTTTACGGCATCACAGCAGGCGGCAACGCCTTCGCCAGCAGTCTTGCAAGCGGTCTCGGCGGTCTCGCGCGCCATCCAATGCAGGGCGCTGAAAAAGAGGGTGCACTCGGTTTCGTCAAAGGAGTAGGCAAAGGCCTCCTCGGCGTTCCCACTAAAGCAGCCATTGGCGCCTTTGATCTTGCATCGAATATGGCTGAGGGTGTCCGCAACACAACCACCGTCTTCGATCAAGAAGGCCTCGACCGCGTCCGCCTAACCCGCTTCATTGGTACTGACGGTATCGTGCGCTCTTACTCGCAACGCGAAGCGCTCGGCCAGTTCTGGCTCAAAACATTGGACAACGGCAAGTACTTCAACGAAGATTACATTGCGCACCTCGAGCTGCAAAACAAGGAGATGCTTGTCATGTTGACGTACAACGGTGTGATGATGGTGCGTACGAAGAAACTGCAGACGGAGTGGGATGTGCCTTTGAAGGACGTGCAGACTATTAGCAAGGAGAGGACGGGATTGGGCATCACGTTGAAGGGGGGTACGAATGGGCCGTTTATTCCCGTGGGGGATGAGGGGAGTAGGAATTGGTTCTATCGACAGGTTGCTGTGGCGGTGAATGCGTATAATGATAAGTGGAACGCCAAGGGCTAGAATGGAAGCTTGGTGGTATCCAAGCTGGGGTTGGGAGTTGGGTGGTATGGATTATGCAGGGCATTGCGAGGGTATCAGATTGCCTTTCTTTTCGTCGTGAGAGTTTTGTAATGTATATTCTTTCCTCCTTTGCTACCAGAGATGCTTTCTTTTGGCGATGTAGGGTATAAGCACTGAATGAGCACATAGGTACACTGAGAATTGCACTCTCAATATGCCGTCACATTCAATGCTCGTGGTGAATATGTGGAAGGACATCGATGTACATGGCATATGTAATAGATTTTTATTCTTATACTCATCTCACCTACTGCATTGTACAATCGTACAATCCACTGCTGGCCGGATATAAAGAAAAAGGTATCCATCCTTCCTGGGAGCTCGCGGGTCCGAATTCGGTATTCCGCGGGAGGCAAAAGACGGTGGATCTGTCCTGTGGAGATTGACCCACTGTATCTGAAGTCACCGTGAGCCCGACGCGCGGATGGAGTGCCGTGCTAGAAGGCTAGCTTTGCTAGAGGCGGAGTGATCGACGGTTTTGACGAACAATGGGCGGAACCTCTTGCTTTAGCTTGGAAGAGGCTGAAAATGTTTGAGGGGACATGTGACGAGCCTGGGCAGCGGCGCGGTTGCTTTTCTGATATTTCCCCTCCCCCGCTTTAAAGTAAACAGCCACCCCTCCTTCAGGCGTCATACCGCACCTGACTGACAGGCACGCACGCGCAATTGTCCCTTTCGCATGCCCATCCAACACCGATTTCTTCTTTCCCTCCTACCATGATCTCATTGCAGTCTTGTTGCACAGCACTCTACCACTTCTTCTCCCGCCCATAAACCTCTCCAAACTTCGGTCTTCATTGTCGCGAGTGTCTTCTCACCAACGCGCATTTCGGAACAACGTCATCGGCTGCAATAGGACGCCTCACCCAGTGGGACTACCATACCCACCCTCCATTCGTCGAAAAGCAGAGAATTCCTCGGCGCCTCCCAGTCCTACGGATCATTTGCTTCTCATATCATTTGGCCTCGACAGCAATTGTTCCGTAACTTTTGGCCACTAATTCCCGTGCCAGTCCCCTGCTCCGCAACACCACACCACACTGTTCGTCCAACGAGTGTGCGCAACGCACTTATTTGAGGCTCTCAAGTCCACGCGGAAAAATAACCAGGTCCTATCAAGACTCTTCATCGCACAACCTTGGAAAGCAAAGAGCAAGGCATTTAGCATGGCGATCGAAAATGCCTCGGCGCAGGACCCTGATCCGCAACCCATACCCAAAGAGCAGGTTATAGACAGCACGCAGTCCACTCAACTGGACGAGAAGAAGTTGAAGCAGTTCTTCATCGGCAGTATTGACCAGGGCACAACGAGCACGCGTTTTATCATATTCGATGGTCTCGGGGAGCCGGTGGCGCAACATCAGATTGAGTTTACACAGATGTACCCCGAGTCAGGGTCAGTATCTTCCGAGTGAGGCCTCTTCGCGTACACTACTTACGCGTACAGATGGCATGAACATGACCCGAAAGAAATCATCTCGTCCATAGAGCAGTGCATTGAAAGGGCGACGAATATCTTCTTAGACCAGGGCCACGAAATCGAGGACATCAAAGCTGTCGGCATTACTAATCAGCGTGAAACGACAGTCGTTTGGGACACCAAGACCGGCGAACCACTCTATAATGCAATTGCTTGGTACGTAGAGTTCACATACCAAACCGCATACGAGTTGCAACTAACATCTCATCTCCACCTTCAGGCCAGATACCAGAACCAAGGGCCTGGTTCGAGAACTGAAGCACCACAAAGGTGCCGACGAACTGCTAAATATCTGTGGGCTTCCGCTGTCAACCTACCCATCATCGGTCAAGCTGCGGTGGATGCTGAACCATGTTGACTCCGTTCGAGAAGCTTACGATGAAGGCCGGCTATCTTTCGGCACCATTGACACATGGATTCTGTACAATTTGAATGGCGGTAAAGAAGCTGATATACATGTGACCGACGCCACCAATGCGTCAAGGACAATGTTTATGAACTTGTGAGTCACTCTATACACCTAGGAGCACATATGACTCTGTTCGCCAACGCTAACGCTTCTGCAGACACACGGTTCAGTACGATGACAAGCTCCTAGAATTCTTCGGACTAGACCGCAAGAAGCTGAATCTGCCGAAGATTGTCCCATCATCATCACCAGACGCTTTTGGGTCGCTAAGGACTGGTCTCTTGAAAGGCATCCGTATCGCAGGGTGTTTAGGAGACCAGTCTTCAGCTCTGGTTGGTCAACAAGGCTTCATACCCGGTATGGCAAAGAACACATACGGAACCGGATGCTTTCTCCTGTACAACGTCGGCGAGAAGCCTGTCATCTCAACACATGGCCTCCTCGCTACCATTGCATATGATTTTGGTGGGAAACGAAAGCCTGTCTATGCACTCGAAGGCAGCATCGCTGTCGCAGGAAGTGGCGTGAAATTCCTTATGAACAACATGGGCTTCATAACGCACTCACATAAAATCAGTGATCTTGCAGCCTCAGTGAAAGACAATGGCGGATGTGTTTTCGTAACGGCTTTCAGTGGTCTCTTTGCGCCGTACTGGATTGACGACGCCAAGGGCACCATTTTTGGTATTACACAATTCACCGAGCGGGGTCACATTGCTCGTGCAACTCTTGAAGCGACTTGCTTTCAAACTAGGGCGATTCTCGATGCGATGGAGCTTGACAGCGGCCACAAATTGAACATGCTTGCAGTTGACGGCGGAATGAGTAACTCCAATCTATGCATGCAGGTACGTGATCGCTCTACATTCCACATGTAGTCGACTTGGCCTTGTCACTAACCACATGTGACAGACACAAGCAAACATCATCGGTATCCCCGTGGATCGTCCAGCAATGCGCGAGACTACCGCCCTAGGTGCAGCTATAGCAGCAGGCTTCGCGGTTGACGTGTGGAAGGAGTTTGATGAGCTCAAGGAGATCAACCAGAAAGATCGTATGATCTTCGAGCCGAATATCAGCAAGGATGAGGGCGAGAAGATGTTCAAGAAATGGGGAAGGGTGCGTAACCTCCATGTACCAACTGCTAGCGAGACATGTGCTAATTTCAACCCTCAACTTTTAGGCAGTAGACATGTGTCGTGGTTGGCTCGACGCTGACGAGGCCAATGGAGAGTTCCGTGATTAATACGCATAATGGAACTTTATATACCCGCAGAATATGATCTTGCATCTTTCCTTCAGCGTTAGCATGGAACTAACAAAACCAAGGCGAATACACCCGGCAGTGACTCGTTACCATGGGTGGACACTGGTGATAGGGTTGCATTCGGGCCGTTGAGGTTGTTGGGAGAACATTGTTGCATACTCACCAAGTGCCTATTAGACCTACACCCGGCCTCTCCCTATATGCTGACAGCCCTAAGATTATTGGCACCCACGGGCTCCTTGCGACACCGTGGGGCAAGATCATGATTCGATGAGAGTGGATATTCGGCACATAGCCAACCTACCGTGGCCGCGGTACCGTGGAAGGGACATCCATGTCATATTTCAGCCTGAATGTACGGGTGTCTCTGCCAAGGATCGTTCGATGGACCTTTTGGGCATCCATCGAATCATTTCGGGACAGATTGACGCATAGGATTGAATGATGTGCTCATCTATGACATAGCTTGAAGGCGACTGCGGCCTTTCCTCGTGGAGATGAAAAAGCAAGGTGGAAAGTTTCAGCCACTTTGAGCGTTGTTGGCGGAGGAGCATGTCCCGCATCCGCGATTAGCTTTTGTGTTGCGGCAACTGATCCCTATGGTCGACATGTGCACGTTTTGTGACTGCTAGTAACAAATCATTGGGCCGGTTATAGGGCGATTGACCGCTACGCGTCGTAGCGTAACGGCTCATTATGAGACTGTACCTCGCCTAGATGGTCTAGAAGCCCACGACTTGGCGTTATGAATGGACGCTAGTTTGCTGGGGGGGTTATCTGATCGGAAGCGAAGGACTCCGACGCGCAGTAACATGAGGGATGAGCGTTGACTGGGCACACATCTACACTGGCTTTCTTTCTGACACCAGGTACAGCTCGTGGCCAGCTCATGGAAAGGCGACTCGCTTGGGTGGTACAACGTTCATCCAACATCCTAATCAACGTCAAACTAAAACAGGACCAGGCCAGCGAGTGGCCACGCGTTCAGCCCACTGATCCTCGTCTTTCACGCTCATTTCTTTCCCCCGGCGTTTCCGCATATTCCTCGCAAGAAGTCTAGGATCTACTCTTGCCGTTAACGCATAGCACCGAGTGCCTGGTCGAGAAGGGAAGGTAACAGGGGTATTACTTGGAAAGTGACGAACGAATAACATTTGGCAGGGGACCTGTATTTAACATGATTCGTTCGTAACTTTTCTTTTCGCGTCTCAAATCCCTGTTACTTTTGTTCTGGCTGACATGACGCGGTACGAAGATGAAGATACAAAAATGCGATGCTGATTTTCCAGATGTCCCGTCGCATCTGTACCACCCGTCCTTCCAAGGATCGCGACGTGATAGGCATTATTGTGTTGATAAATCAATTTGGTTTGATTGAATAGAGAGATCACAAATGAGCACCTCCGCAAGGTATACGGAGCAGTAGTTGCGAAAAGGTCCATATCTGGCGGCATTGTCATCGCTACATGGAACGAACAACCACCCTAGTGCCAAAGGCGCAAGCCAGAAATAATCGGAAGCTTACAGCACCTCGGAGAGGGTTGTAGAGAGTAGTGAAGCTAAACAGCCTAAGACACATATGGGCCAATCAATGATGATAATTATCTTACCATGACGGAGTGTGAGCCCAACAAAGCTCCTGAGATTTGACCTACGCTGGCCACGAATCGTCTGGTCACTGCATGCTCACCAAAATGCGGGACGGTAACTGCGATTGCGCAATATCTAACTTGCGGGCGTTAGTTGCAACATGGGGAAACGGGTAATCAAGCGTGTGGGCCGCATCGGTAAGAAGTGCCAGAGTGTCACCGAAAAGAACCTGGGGGGGTTAGGGACAACGCAGCGGACCAAGGCCTAACTCACTCCACTAGACAGGAGGCTGTGGCATAAACATACGCTTTATGCACCACGTAGAAGGCATATAGAATGGGTGACCCTTGCGTCTGATGCTTGGTGCTGCAGCCTTGGATCCACTGGCAAGGGGTTCATCGGGTCACCACCCCACGTAACCATCTTTCGCATCAAACGTGCCAACCACGGTCGTAGATCAGGCCTGCTCCGGCATGTCTAGCAAGTTTTGCTCTAGTGCAACTAGTCGACCAGGCGAGCCAGAATCCTTAATTTCTACAGCTTCCCGACCACTCACATGCTGCAGCAGCCCGTCATTTCGTCACTTTCAACCTGGGCGCGAATCTAACTTTCTTTTCACCTCGTAACCATCTTAACTCCGGAATGGTAGAAACACCCTGTAGATACGGTCAGGCTACCCTAGTCCTGCCCGCAGCTTGCCGGAAGCGGGAGGACTTCAAACATGGATGGCTCCACTTGAGTCTACGCTGTGAATACTCGACCACACTCGGACACCCAGCTCCGCTGCGCAAATCATAGCTCCTGCCACAATGCATGTCAACTGAAACAGGTCCCATTAACACGGTCTAGCTTTGCATTACTCTACGGGTACCTGACCGCGCTGACGTGCCCGGTTGTTCCGGTCTGCAGAGCTATAATATGACGGACCGTCGCGCAGCTACATGCAAATCCGGAGATTTCAAGAAGGTACCAAAAATATTTGCCTGCTTTCCACATATTCTTACCTTTATTCGATTCTTATTCGTCACTCGTTTCTGCTACTGTGCCTCGAACCGAACGTTCACCGACACCATGTGCGATTACACTCAAGTACAATACAAATGCACCCACCTCCGCTACGTCGTTCGAGCATGGTGCACAAAATATCAAGAGACCCACAAGAGATGCCCTGCAAATGTGGTTGCAATGTGAGCATTGAACTTCCGGATTACCACAAAGTACTGACGTCGCTACAGAGAATATAGACTCGATGAAAACTGCAGTTTGTCATCCCCTCACCAATTCTGCGCAGCAAAACCGTCCTAACCAGCCCAAGGTGATTGTAAAAGTTCTCGGAGTAAAACAACATTACGTTATTAGTCGACTTTCCCACATTTCCCATCCATTTACGGTTGTATTTCAACAAGGCGCACACGGCACGGCACGGCGGACAGCTCCACAATACCCATTTGACAAAAGTTTCGGTCCATGTTCAATAGTCGAATATCATCAGATCACCACGTTTCTTAGAATGTCACTCTTATCTATTGCCATATCACCACACCACCTTGGCAGTGAAGCGAAATTGCGATGACCAACAGTTCCCGGCACCAGCTACCAGTCCTCACACTAGTGGAGCATCTGCGACTGCATGGTGCAGTATTTCCTCAGAATCATCCTTTTACGATACGGAGAAGGAATGAAGACATGATCATGGAAAGTACTATTCGGGCCTTAATCAAACCTTAAGACGTTGTCGTGGTACCACAGCCTCATACCAAGTTGCACCGCTGCAACGTGTGACGTACGATTTTTTCCGAACGGCGGCAACTCCGACACTCACGCAAAAACTCACCGTTTACCTCTTAGCCGGTACGAATTATGAATGGCGCGGGATGCTTCCGGAGGCCGGTTGTACATGTCTGCATTTGGCACTATCTCAACCGTTACAATTCACATGGATCTTTGGACCCCAGACGTGCTTCGTACAGGTGAAGGCGGAGTAGCACATGACGATGGAGACTGCACCTCGCAGCTTCGCCCGGTTTTCGGCGCAGAATGGGACACCGCAGGGCATGAGATATTGCATGCTTCTACAACAGCGGCATAATACCCTTTTCGGATTGCAAAACACATCGCTTTCGCATCAAAACCCCTAGGATTCCAAGGACTTTACCTACGACGAAACTTATGCATATCATACCACATCGAGTTACTTGAGAAGTACGTAGGGGCTTCACCCAAGCCTATAAAACGGCTAATATTATGCTTCACGAATCATCTTCTGCGACACAGAAGATCACTCTGCCTCCAAGCACTTCCTGCCTACTTCGGTAATACTCCGGTAGTTACCCGCTCTGCTCACGCCAACGGCAGTTCTTCTAGACTCGTGTTCGGCGTCGGGTCTTCACAGCACGGGTTGAACGAGTCGGCTCGGCTATACTCTGCGCGTATGGCGACGAGTAGCTGCCATCCTCCGGTATGGCTTCGCAGCTTCGGTGGTATCAAGAGTCAGGACAGTGCATGCAGCTCCATCCATGACTGCTGACAGGCACGCTTATTAGCCGCCAAAAGAGTATCCAGATCTTTGATACGACAAAAAGGCCTAGGGCGAACGTTCTTGACGTTTCGTCGGATTAGTAAAGTTGCTCCGAGACTTCAAAAAGTGAATGACGCGATGGAAGGCTCATTTAACTAGCTTCTGTAACCTTTAGCACCCTAGCATATGAAGACTCTGTACGAATCGTAGCATGAAACCTACTCCTGTTCGACCTGCAATCCTGCGATGTGATGGCTTCCACGCTTGACCGCTTAATCTTCTCGCGAGGGGCACTCGCTTATCAAGATAGCCACTTAGCAAGAGAATTCGGCATAGCTCTGTAGGGGATAGACATTGCCCTAGCAGGGGTTGTAAGGCAACGGCTTGCTGTGTTGCATCTCGTAGAACACTTCTGGAATACTGTCCACATGTAGATTCAAGGCCGCGTAAGGATGAGAAGCTGGCGTGACTGACTCGTGTTTCGAGTTATGGGCCCGGATGTTTACCGGTGACAACCGAGAGCTGAGTGTAAATGATGTATGATTAGGCTCGTGGCCATTCTAGAACCACAAGATGGGACTAGTTGCCTCGGAGGTGAGGTAAGATTCGATTTTCGAGATACGTACACGGTACGTACGAGATATGGTCGTGGTCGACTTTCCAATTTTTTTTTTAACCATGCACAGCATTATTCATACACGTCGCATCGTGGATCTTCTCATGTACTGACACGCTTCAAAGCGTTGGATTTGTATCACTCCACCGCCATACGTCCGGGAGAATACTTTGTCTTGACCTATAATAAGTGCAAATAACGCCGGGGCACATCGGTTCCGTATGATCCAGTCCCCGTCGAAGTTGTTGCGACCGCAACTCCAAACAATCACCACACGACACGTCAGCCCCAACGATAGAGTATCAGCTATGACATAGGTGTGTAATGGACAGACTAATACAGCGCATCAAGGAACTGACTCTTGTTGACGTCGAACCATGGAAGCGTTGACTATACCGTCTTGAACCATTCGGGGTGATGCTTCCGTCATTGGGCCTCCATTCTTCTAGCCTCCGGTGGTCAGAATTGCTGTCTGAGACATCTTTCCGTCTCCCCGCTTAGCAGAAACCCAATTATGAGTTGAGTCGGCGCTCTCGGGGAAGCGCAGGTGCGCATCCTATGCAAGGGTGGCGGTTAGCAGTAGATGACGAGCGTGAAGGGGTGCCGATACGATGGCGCCTAGTTGGGTGCAAGGAACAATGTCATGGGCCAGCCATCGCGTGGATAAACTTCCGGTGCTTTATTTTCAAGCAAGGGCTCGTCTTGAACTCAAGCGTGAGTGGATAAGTCCATAAAAAGCATTGATGCATGTGAGACAGATCCCATGCTGCATTGCAGGTTAATCATGTGCTGCCCGACCGCACCGCGTCCAAAAGGCCGACCCACGGTTATGGTATGATTTCCGAATAATCTCTGTCCACGACGTATGAGAGCTATGTTGGCTAACTTCTTCAGGATCAGCGGCCTTAGCATGTGAGAAGTTGGTGGAGCTATGCTGCGAGGCATCCCGCTAGCTTGATGATCCGCCTCGTGAAACATGGCGAGCACTCTCTTCCTCTCTTCACTCCATTGTTTCATCACTTATCGGCTGTATATCGGTGCACGCTTCCAACAACGGCTAATCAGATGGTATGCCGGCAGTTTGCGCATGCGTCGGCACTTGCGAGCCACCGATTGCTCGACTGAATCGCATCCGCGTTCTCTGACATACAGTCAGGCCTTGCAGGTTAGAGCAGCGCTTGATAGTTCTGATATAGTAAGTCGAGGGAGTGCGGTCTCACGCTCCGCCACGCTGGCTCGTCCGGCACGGCCCGAGATGTCAGCTGAATGCGTAGCCGCAATACTTCTTCCATGTCTATATGAGAAGGTGCCGTGCGTAGGGTTGCACATGTGCAAGCGGTTCAGACTTACTTCCCAGATTCTTTCTAATGCGAAATCATACTAGCACTTTTGCCACCACCCCAGGGGACTTTCAGATGCGTCACCAAATCCAGGGCCACAATGTTACAGCCAGGATGTTGTGGACCACCCATGACACTGACTCAAGAGCTGGGACGACAATCTCCACTTTCTTTTGGGCGTCAACAAACCTTGTAGCTATCAATAAGTGTTTCGGCATTTCCTACGTACGTAAAGCAAGCAATCACCTGGACACGGCGACATCTCGGAGCATCTCTTCCCCGGAGGTTCGGTTTCTCGGTCCCTCCGTAGCTTCTCGCTATATCAGGATCTATGCGCTACGGCACCGAAGGAATCACTCCGATTCATCACTCTTGATTCGACGCAGGACCCCACGGAGCCGTCTTCCGCCAGCCAGGTTCAAGCGTCCAGCATTATCACACGTCTGATGGGCATGTCACTTGCGCAGGTACGCATTGTTTAGGAAGTTTACGACCGATACCAACTCTAACTGCGTTATGAGGCCAGTCTTCACTAAGTGCTCTAAAGTTTAACACACACTCAACAAACTCTAATCGACGTATCCTCTAGAAGATGGGCGCCTATGCCTAGCTCCGCGTTGGCTACCTTCATCCAACGCTGGGGTTGGTGTGACATTCGGTGCCTCTGCGGTCACGTCCGCTTCGTGTCCACTTTCTCTTCCATCCTCCCCGAACCCATGATGCTGGACGTAGACATCTTCCCCGCAAAGTTTGTCCCTCAAGGCAGCAATACTGTTCAAGGATACCGATGCAAAGAGCGTCAAATGATGATTTTAGCGTATGATCGATGGGTTGAGACAACCAGGATAGCTCATCGCGGACGCACGGGAGAGTAGTCGGGCCGAACTCTACCGTGTCTAAGCCGCTACGAGAACTCTGTTGCTACTTTCAAGGCTTTCGGCGAAGACATCCTCGGAGGAGTGATCCTAGGAAACTTAAAGCTGCAAAGGGCCTTCTCTTCTGCGACGTCCTGCTAGCCTTCCGACACAAAATACGAATTGCATACGAATCTGGGTGCCCTAATCAAGCTCTATTCAAGCTCCTTGGAGAAGTGATTGGTGTGCAATGGACTAGGAACCTGCCGACTACATGAGTATCAAGATCTAGAATTCGGCTCTTGCAATGTTCCGAACGAGGTCACCAATCAACATATGACATGAGAGCAAGTTGTTTCGGACTTGCAGTACAATACAGATGCCGAAACAAGATACGGTTATCTGATGGCACTTGGCTCTCCTTCCTGGGGTATGTATAAGTTGTTAGTATATTGCAGAAGGCATTTTGTTGACGCTCTGTGCCTCCTTTAACATCACTAACAACGGAGTAGACCAGCACATTGGCTTTCCGTTCTGAAGACTTTTAATGGTACAGTAGACAAGATGAGACTCGCCATGGAATTACATCCAGCTTTGCGTAAGCTCCATGAGAATAGGCAGTTGGAGGAGGCTTGATCAGCCATTCGATATATGCGAAGGCCTTGGAGAAGGAGTTACTAAGTTTTACTACTTCATGTTAGACTCTATTTCAGTATCATGAGTGCAGGATACTGTTATTTTTCTGGTCTTCTAGAGAATATGCCTCCGTGTTCGGCATATCGATGCCGTCTTGTGATTGGTCATATCGCGCGCATGGTTGTTTAGCGAGTTCGGGAACAGGAAACTACGCGGACGAGGCCGCATCCCTCTCTCTAGCCCAGAATGTCGTCTTTAGAAGATATACCAACACCCGACAATGGGTTCTACGTCCTTGTCACTGGTGCAAATAGGTTTGCTAACCCACTCGAGCTCTCCGTGTCCTCAATTGACTCTCGAATAGTGGCCTGGGCCTCGGAATCGGGAAGCGCCTAATAGACGAATTTCTCCAGACCCGCCCTCAATCCGAGTCTCTTGTCCTCATTGTCACGACGCGTGACCAGCGCAAAGGCGATGCGACGATCGAGAATCTGCAACAGCACCTGCGCAAGGTGATTGCCAGCCATGAACGAAAGCTACCGGGCATCGCACAGGTGTTGCAACACCGCATATTCTTTCGGCAGGAACGGTTGGACTTGCTGAGTTTGGTCTCGGTGCAGAAGCTCTGCAGGAAACTGCGAGAGACCACACCAAAGCTTGATGTTGTCATCTGCAATGCCGGAATTGGTGGCTGGACGGGCATCAACTGGCCACTTGCTGTCTACAAGATTCTCACTAGCTGGTCAACCGCCGTGTGCTGGCCGACATTCAAGATATCAGGCGTCGGATGGGTTGCGAAACCGCAGATACCGGCGGAGATGAAGGTGGAGGAACCCCCTCTGGGAGAGGTCTTCTGTGCCAATTTCTTTGGACACTACCTTCTTGGACACTATCTTGCACCGCTGCTGGCGAAGCACCCAAGGAGCGAAAACACAAAAGGCAGGATCATCTGGGTCAGCAGCTTGGAAGCCTACGAGCATGTTCTCGACTTGAATGATATCCAGGGCATCGGTTCTACCCTACCATATGAGGCGACGAAGCGGTTGACAGATGTCATGGCTATCACTTCCGCCCTACCTTCTACATGCGATGTAGCAGACGAATATCTCGACCAATCTCAAGCCTCAGAAAAAACCACGAAACCGCGCATCTACGTCACACACCCCGGGATTTGCGGTACCTCGATCGTTGCCCTTCCCCTTATCCTCGAATACCTCATGTTCACCGCCTTTTACGTAGCGCGCTGGCTCGGTAGCCAATGGCACCCCGTCACGGTCGACAAGGGCGCTTGCGCCATGGTGTGGCTCGCCCTGGCGCAACAAGATACCTTGGACAACATGGAGGAAAAGGAAGGCGTCGGCAAGTGGGGTAGTGCAACGGACTTTTGGGGCCAAGAACGAGCGGAGCGTACGGAGGTGGCGTGGTGGGGATGGGGAGGGAAATCAGCAGAGTACAAGAGGAAGAAAGGCAGGGACCCGTATGCAAAGGATGCAACGAAGGAGAGTCGGGAAAGATTTTTGGAGACAGGGAGGAAGTGCTGGGAGGAGATGGAGAGGTTGCGGATTGAGTGGGAGGGACGGCTGAGGAGAGCTGGTGTTGGGATTGAGATGGAGTGAAAGCAATATTGTGGCATGTGGATGCACCCAGCGTTGCCTATGCTTGATCCGCGTATTCCTGCGTAACCAACAACTAGAGGCACGAACAGGGCCATGTAATGTCTTGAAATCTACATAATCACTTCTTGTCCATATACGCTTTGATTGAAGAACACGAGGCATACTTCACACTAGTAATTGTATTCCGATCTCGGTTCTTCTCGAGAGCTAACGAGGATCTTGGGCGCAATCGGACAAGGGAAGCTAAAACGAGCCCGAAAAGCAGCATCGTCTCCACTCTCAACCATGGTAGCCCGTCGGCACGCGAACATGACAGCCCAAGCAGGCAGCCCAAAGCAGCATACCTTTTCAAGCAGGGTCTAGGCAGGGCCGAGGCAGGGTAGTTTTTGCGGGGTAGATAGTTGCATTGCATGTTCTACAGCCATCTCGCAGCACCACAAGACGACTGTCTGTATGATGCTCCAACGTCTGTGTCATTTCAACGGCGGATCATCTGCTCAGAGGACATGACGAAGCGCACAAAAAGCAAGGCGACGTCAACCCTCCATGTTCTCGTGCATGACACAGGGCGCTATTCGTGAGGCGGACAATGTTTTCGTTCGCGCCAGGAACGCCGCCACTTTTCTTTTCTTTTCTTTCCCTCCCAAGAGGAGTGATTGCTTCGTAATGGCGTAAGCAAGTGTGATGATCTGAGTCCAGCCCAACGCCTCCAGTTCGTGGTGGCTTTGATCGAGACTAATGACCATCTCATGCACGCCGCCCAGGCTTGCACGCACAATTCCCATGGAGCTGCTGTGCGGATCCCCATGCAGGCACAAGTTGAAGCAGCGAATAAGAAAGGCTGGGGAGAGGCAGACCGTTACGCTGGACCGCGCCGGTTTGCGTCTCCCGCTGGGCCCCCTTCCTCACTAAGCTCCTCTCGGGCACGTCTTCCCTTTAGCTCTACCCATCGACCATAGCTGCTGCCCGACCTGATCGCCGCGCTCTTCATCCCCCTTGAATTATCGACCTTCTCGCAGAATTCACGCCCCCGTCGCGCGAACTGCTTTTACATGGCCCCGCGTTCCCCTCCTGCGCAGACGGGCAGTGTTGAAAGCGCATTTTGCGGGTAGCGTAGCGCATTTTCCAGGTGCATTGCTCCAGTGACGTGGAATTCAATACTACCCTTTCACCGCTTATTTATTCTTCACCACTTTCCAATCCAAAGAGTCGTGCGTCTAGTTAGTTGTAGTATCAGCGACTGCTGTTGACTGCGAGCAGAGACATGGAACCGAATAGCGACCCTCTCTCAAGCGATTTCCCGCCCATCTTCGCCGGCGCCGCTACCAACTGACCTCTCCCCGACGATTGGCTTCTCTCACCGCGACTGCACATACTTTTACTGTTGGGTTGTTACTTGAAATAGGCACATTGTGGATGCTTGGGGCCTACAATCCCATTCACGGTGGGCTTTGTTCTCTACTGGAGAACAAAGGGCTGTTCCCAGGTGTGCATCAACCAGCAATCCTAGATTCATAATCTTACCTGGTATAAAACTCGGCGAATACCTCCACCTCAAATAGCATACAAACATGTCGACACCACCTTCATCGCGCAGTTCGTCGCGCGGAACTCCTCAGCGACCCTCTACGCCCGACCATTCAAGACCTACAACCACGCGAACAGCCTCTTACCCCGTTGCGCCCAAGTCAGAATACCTGCGCCATGCGCTTCAGGCCCGCAGAGCACAACACACGCCCACTCCATCTCCTTCGGAAATGAGACCATCACCTCCACCTGCTGCGAAGCCCTTGGATCTCATGACACCCAAAACCTCGCCTGACATTTTTGCGGAGTTTGCCCTGTCCGAGGAACAAACCACTCCCGTCTCACCCATCCGCCGAAGAAGACCGAGCGATGCGGGACCGCCACGTTCCAAAACAAATCGAGAGCTGACCAGCGAGATCGATAGGCTAAAGGACAGCCTCATGACGTCCAACATGCGGGTCGAGCTGCTGAAAAAGAGCAACTCTGAGTTGCAACATAGCTTAACAAAGGCGAAGGAAGAGCTGGAGGAACTCGAGCCGCTAGAACAAGAGAACTGCGAGCTGCATGATGAGAACAACTATCTAAAGCTCAGGGTTGAAGACATGGACGAAGAGATTTCGCACTTGAAGGAAACCAATGACGATTTACACATGACCAACGAAGAGCTCACTGCGATCGCTAGCGAAAGCGCTGCGCATTGGCAAAACCAGGAATCTGCAATTGACGAAGCGGCCGAATGCATCATTAAACTGGAGGAAGAAAAGGCCGCGCTTTCGAAAGAGATGAAGCAACTCATGCAACGAGTGACTGCTCTAGAAAACGCTTCATGCGCCAACACACTCGTGGATGGTAGTCCTGGGAAGTATCCATCGCGCGTCCATAGTGTTGACGAGTCGAGGCCGTCTACCAGCCATTTCGACTCTGACTACTATTCTCAGCCAGATTCGCCTCACGTGCAGACTAATAGGGATTCTATTAATTCTCTCACGCCCTCGGAGCGCTCCAAGAAGTTCCTTGATCTAAGCGAAGAACGCAGACGATCTACACAAGATCTCGCTAAGCGCATGTCGGCTGCGTCGCTCAAGGCATTGAGGTTGCTAGATGACTCTGCTGCACCTGAGGTTCCGAAGATCCCGGCCGTATTTCAGCAGCAGGTCCCTCATGTTGATGAGGAAGACCGGCCTGTCAATCCTACTCCAAAGCCTCCAGGGCGATACCGCAGAGGGTGGCAGGTTGTGCCACAGTCTCTGCGAGATCTAGCACGTATCTCCCCAGTTCGCACAGATAGGTCAATCCCACCATCACCAGCGGCCCAACCTGAAGGTCTACGAGGCCTTTATCGTCCTGCCAGACACACTAGGAGTAAGACATCAAACGACTTCCCACCTTCATCAAATCATATCGTAAAGCCCAAGAACACAGTGAGTTCCGTACGCCGGCAAATGTCCATTGCCGACCCATCACCTCGTGTCCCATCACGCGGTAGCAGCAAACATGCACACACCAGCAGTTCGAGCGAGCACCTCCAACATCAGAGCCCTCGTCACCGACGACAATCTGAGGCAGACATAAGCTCGGCAGACTCTACTCCAAAAACTCAGACAGACCCCGGATCATCAGAGTGGGGATCCTTGGCCCCTCCCCCATCTGTCTCTGTGTTGTCTCAGACTGATCTAACGACCGAGCTAGATCCGCGAGAAGACAAGGACAGGTGGTGGCGCGGCGTAGACAAGGTGAAACTCTCCCAAGCAATGGCACGACCTCAACTTGCTACACCACAAGTGATAGAGGCCCCGTCACAGATCATACCGGAGGCACGCCCCCCTCCAGAAAAGCTAGACGCGAGTAGTACTTCGATCAGATCCTCGAGGAGTGGGGAGAAAAACAGTAAGACCACACCGAGTCAACCGGCCTACGAAAGTAACTTCATGTTCAATCCAACGGAAGATGAAGAGACGTTCATAAAGAAGACAAGGATGGCCGGTAGTAGGAGATAGCCATGAGAGAAGTAGAAGCAGCGATGATTGTACGACTAAGCTCTTTCTCTTTTCAGGTGCTATCTTCAAGCTTTGCATGGCGTTTTGGATTTAAAGAATTGAAATGGCGTTTTGAAAAGGTACACTCCGCGAGGAGGTCATGACGGACACTATATCCTGGGTTGGAGGTCTTGTCAAATATCGCGTCTTATGTGCGCTTGTTTTCGCTAGAGCAGCGTCTGTATTTTTATTATAAGCATAATCAGGAGTCACTTTCTCTATTCTATCTAACGTGTTCACCCACAAGATAAACCAAACCGTCGAGCTGCACTGCGTTTTACACGTGACATGCCGACACGGTGGTGACTTCCCATGAACTGTGGCACCTCCGACCTTAGCTCCGCACACGTCTGCTTGCATCGTCATCCCACCAGTCGTGCAACATCCACATAGCCATGCGCATATACAACACCCCTCTACACCCTATACGATGATTTCGTCCGGCTTTACGAATGCGCCTGTCTCGCAATTCCTCGTCTTCTCGACCGTTATCGGCGCTATACTTGCGACTTTCACCGACACGAGATACTATCTACACATTCAGGTTGTGCCGCACATATGGAGTTATAGGCAGTTTTGGCGGTTTGCCACATGGCAGGTAAGTGAGACTGTGCTCTAATTTGTAGCGGACAAGGGGACGCATGTACATCTGCAAAGCATTCGGACAAAGGGCATGAGTTATGCACACAACTAATGCGCACGTACAGATATCCTTCACGAACTCGACAGAAGTCCTCTTCGGCGTCCTAACATTTTACCAACTCCGGGTCATCGAGAGGCTATGGGGGAGTAGGAAGTTCGCTGTAAGCTCTCCTCTATCACCCTGTTTCCCACACCTCAAAGACGTGCTAATAGCCATCATAGTCCTTCCTCCTAGCTACACTCCCCTACACAACGCTCCTCCCACCCCTCTTGCTAACCTTCGTCCTCCGTCCTCTCTCGTTCGGCCGCATAAACTACCTTCCCGCTGGCCCAACACCGATCCTCTTCGCCCTCCTCGCAAACTATTACGCTGCAATACCGTACACGTACCGCTACAAAATCTCCCCTTGGGCATCATCATCTCCACAATCAAATACTCAAGCGCTCTCGTCTCTATGGTCTCGCAGCATAACTCTGACATCAAAGACCATGTCCTACCTTCCACCCCTGCAACTCGCGCTCTCTCAGTTCCCGGGCTCGCTGTTAGCGGCAGCAGTGGGCTGGGTAGTGGGGACGGCGTATAGAAGGGATTTACTGCCTGGCGCGTCGCGATGGAGGGTTCCGGGGTGGATAGTGGGCGAGGAGAAGCAGAAAGGGTTTGAGGGGCTGCGGGCGAGATTAGATGCAGAAAGGGATAGGGAGGGTGGTGCGAATGGACTTGCGACGGGGATCCTGGCTGGTGAGACTGGGGAAGGAGGAGGAGCGAGGAGGCGGACGCTGGGAGAGATGGTTACTGAGCAGTTTAGAGGGAGGAGTTAGCTGATAACTTCGAGGCTTGGGTTTATCCATTAGAGCGCTGCTCTATGTTGCGCTTCGCAACTGCGACCAGAAACGACTTTCCCCCTTTTCACATGTTCAATCTCTACGGATAGTCATGACATGCTGTTATCGCGCAAAGAGCTCTCAGTTGACTTCAGTTCAAGGACTCGATATGTTGCTGGCGAAACGCGCGAGCACGTGAGCAGCCCCACATATCCGAACCACCCGTCATCGCTGCACGATTCCCCATACACCAGTCTTCCACATGTCCATATCGGTTCTACCCAAAGAGATTCGTCTCCAATTATGGGCTCATGCGTACTTCTCTCAACCGCCCCGTCTAGTCGCGCTCGCAACGAGACCTCATCATGAAGACCACAAAGAAGACTCTTTTTGCCCACGATACTCACCCAGTCCCGCGCCGACCGTCGTCAACATCTGCCAGGAAGCGCGTGCGGAAGCTCACTACCAGGCCCTCAAGGTGGGACATGTAGTAACACTTCCATATGATAATGAACCGAACTACACCAGCGAGGCGTTTTACTTTCGCTTCGAGACGGATATCCTGTATCTACCACTTGAAGGCCCACACGTCAAGCACTACGATGACTCTCCGGAAGTAGGACTGCTAGCTCATTTCCGCGAAGCGATCGGCTGCACGCCTACGCTGCTGCGCAATATTGCCATTGAAAAAGTAGTTTACAGCGGATTCGAAGACGGCAGCCTGTCCAATGTCCTGCGCGACTTCCCCACCATGAAGCGAATGATTATGCTGATCACGGAGAGAAACATGAGGGACGATGCGGTGAAGAAAGCAAGGTTCTGCCGCGCTGCAAGGAGGATTGAATGGACGTATGAATTCGACCAGTGCAAGACGGGTAGAGATAGTGAAGAGTGGTTCCGGCCGCGACCATTTGCGTGTAATGTAGATTTCGCTACAAGAAAAGGGGGCGAGCTGGAGATAGTGCCCAAGGAAGTTTGGAGGGAGTGGACTGCTGAGGGTCCCTCAATGGATGACGTTGAGTGAATGAAATCTACTTCTTCGTGAAGTATGATACGACTGGCATCCGGGGACTCTTTTCCAAACTTTTTCAAAATATTCGCGTCGTTTGAGACAGGGCCTGAACCTTGCTCCTTTAATAGTGTGTAGGGGTGAACTGAGAGACCAAGGAAGAGGAGTATCAAGTCACGCCAGCCCCTGTCCGTCACACAGTCATGAATTGAGATTTATTGTAGCCCTCCGAGTGCTCCCATCCTTCATTTTTCTTGTCTATTTTTGGTTCAGTGTATCGACTGTCCGACTTGAGTGGCTACATCTGTCTGTAAAGAGTCTTTAGGACCTGAGTTGGTATGTAGTTATAAACATGTTCATTTGATCTATGATTCATAATACATGTCTATGCTTTATATTCATCATCATCAGTTTCCTCACCTTCCCATCATCTCATGCCTCCGGCTGCATCTTGGGCCCAACTTCCTTGATCCGCCCCTCCAGCCTCGGCGCAATGGCCTTTGTCCAATTGACCTGAAATTCGTCGTCTCCCAACTCATCACACGCTGTAGGAGAGCCCTTCAACCCGGCAATGCGCCACCACTTCTTCATCACTCTTCTGATTACTTCCTTCTCCCTTTGTTTGAACTGTATTGGCACTCTTGAGTCGTACATGGGACCGTCGTTCTCGTCTTCATCTGCATCTGGGTCTTCGGACTCACTTCCGGATTCCGGCGTGTCTCTCGTGTTTACGAGTCGATCGATGCTTGGATGCTGTGGGAGTTGGGGAGATGTGGTGGAGGTTGGTGAGGGTTCGTGAAAGGTGTGGCTGTGGTTTTCTTGTAGATTAGTTTGTATGGAGAGGAACTTGGTGCTCATGGACTGGGGCCAGCGCTTCCATTTCCCGAGGACTTTGAGGGACATGAAGTACTGGCGGAGGATGGTGGAGATGAGGACTCCGTTCTCTTCTGAGACGAGTTCTTTGGCAACGCCACCTTCTTCCTCGATGAGGAGGGATGTATAGCCGTCTGTGAATGATTGTAAGCTTGTATCCTGACCTAAGAAGAATGGGAAGGACGGTCTGCAAGGGGAATGAGGTAAGAGATGGGGATATCATACCTTTGCCGCGCCCCATGTACCCACGAGTAGCGAGTATATACTCCCTCGTATGATCCACCGGCTCGTCTCCTATCGTTACGTTCTGTATCCTCGACATTGGTTCTTTTGAATAGTCTACCTCAAAGGTAATGTTGGAAACCTGCGGAAATCGTCCTTCCAGTGCGGGGTAGTTGCTGACGCCATTCTCCAATGCCTCTTGTATTGCTTTGCCAGTGACTTTCAGTACAACAACAGGATCCTCGAAGGGGAAGCAGTTGACAATATCGCCAAGCTTGAGAATCCCAGGTGGGTAAACTTGATCTCTGGAGGTGGAGATATAGTCAGTAAGGTACCGCGAGAGATGGGAAGAGGAGACGAGTAGCAATACGTACCTCAGATACTCCTAGAGCACTTTAAGTGACTTGATAGCCATCCGAAGTACTGTAGGAGTATCCAAGACATATCACTTTCCCGCAACCTGACGTACCCTCGAATAGTGCCTGCAGCCATTATGCAACAGTCGGCAGAGTAGTAATATCGCATGAGATCAGATACAAAATTTCCGATATTTGATTCTTTCGTTCGCACAGTCGTAAAGCGCGCATCAAGTGGCGCGGCCGTATAACCAATGGGCTTGTCCAGTCGCTTCCTGATCTCTTTTGTCTGCCCCTCTACCAACGCCATTGCCTGCGGATCTTGTGGTATACTGCTGACAATATCGCGCCGTATGATCTTGAAGTCCCAGCCTTTGCCTTCTGGTTTCCGCCATGCCTCGATGTGTGACAGCTGCTTGAAGTCTGTTCCCGACCGCAGTACTTGTGTTCCGTTGATATAACTATAAGAGTAGTAATGATCGTGGCCACCGAGTATGATGTCAATCAAGTCTCCTCCGCACTGCTTTGCCAGCTTATTATCATTCGGTTCTCGTTGATGCGAAACACACACAATGATTTCGGCGCCCTGCTGCTTCAGTCCGGGTATTAGCTCCTTCGCCGTAGATGAAGCACTTTTGTAGATGATATCTGGGGGCAACGAATTTATTGTGTCAAGCCATTCTCGTTCCGCAAGGCCGATGACGCCGACTTTGATGCCGTTTGACGCGGTCAGCATAACCGTCTTCTTCGCGTTTCCGAGTGGGACATTGTCGCCGAGGGCCGGATCGAGGACGTTGGCGAGGAGCCATGGGAATTTGCATTTGGAGGTGAGGTAGCGGTACTGTCTAACGCCGAAGTCAAGGTCGTGATTCTGGCGTGTATGTCAGCCTGTGCCCGACTTCTGGGAGGCTATTGGGACACTTACCCCTACGCAAGATACATCCGTGCCAATATTGTTTAACACGGGAACCATATGGCTACCTATATACCTTGATGAGCTCAATCCTTTGCGACTTTGATAGTATCTTGAAGCTCCTCATCACACTGACCCTTCGTGATGCTGCTCTCAATGCTTGGATTGAACGCATCTCCCGAGAAGAAGGTCAAAACCTTGGGTTGGCCTTTGAATTTCTCATCGTCCCTATAGTGATTGACCAAAGTTTGGAACCTCGCATAGCCGCCGACCGGTTCTCTAGACCCGGCTTCGACGTGGTAAACATCATTGTAGTGTAGAAACCGGAGATCTGGCGGGGTGTTTAGTGCCCCGCCTTGAGGCTCGCATATAACATGTTCTTCCTCAGAGGGAGGGATTTCTATTGGCGCCATTGTGTAGAATGTGGAAGATTGGAAGTAGAATTGGAAAATGTGCGAGATATAGTGCTCAGAGCGTTCGTGGTCGCGTGTTTTGAGCGGTGAGTGCAGCTGTATTGAATCGTAGCTTAGCGTTTCAGGGTCCAGCGCAGCTTGAATTACCCAGCTTGAGCCAATAATACTCAAGTATTACAAACTTGTCTGCAGGGGCATCAAGTTTCCTTGGGTGGATTCGTCATCAGCGAACTACTATTAGTGCTGCGAAGACGTTCGGGCTGCTGTAAACATTATCACACCAACTTTTGTAAGTGTGTCGAGGACCTTCGGGCTGCTGTAAACATTATGACACCGACCTCTGTAAGTGTGTCAAAGACCTTCGGGCAGCTTTAGAAGTTATTGCGCCAACTTCTATAAGTGTCGCAAATGCTCTTACGCTGGCTGGACATCACCGGTGCATTTCATCATTGGTTGGTCATCGACTTGCTTAATGAATGCATCGTTTGCTATGCGCTTGCCGTACAGTAGGCGGAGAATGGGGAGAAACCTAAACATAACAAGGACTGAAATGCAGCCACAGGGACAAGGAGAGGAGAAAAAAGAGAGTGCGCCTCGATGCAGAAATGCAGACACCATCAGCGCTTCCAATGGGCCTGGCGTTTCCAAGCGTCATGATCATGAGAGCCACGCCGTATCCCTCATCCAAGAACGCCACGAAAACCCGCAGATCCAAAAAAGCAGACCAGAAGCAGTGTCAAAGGGCATTCCATCCGTCCCAAAGATTAAGCCGAGCCTTGCCCTTTCCCTTGGGGCCCGGCCTAGACCCAGCCGCCGCTGGACCCGTCTCAGAACGCCTTGAACTCCTTCCTAATTCCTATTGCCTACTGCTTCCCGGGCGGCCCCCTTTTGCCTTGGTCTTGGTGTAGTGATCCTTGCATTCGTCGCTGCAGAACCACTTCGTTCGCCCAACTGGCGCTTTCTCCAGACGCACGCAAGGGAGATGGAACCATTCGCGAGGGCAGTTGTCGTTGTCGCATGCAATCATGTTGCCGTACGACACTTCATTGCAGTAGCAATACCGGGGCTCTTCGCCGTCTTCGTCCGACTCTACCTCTACCTCTACCTCGGCCTCTGCTTCTTGGTATTCCTGTTCCTGAACTATCGAGCTTGCGGCAGAGGATGGAGGGTTTGATTTCGCGTTAGGCACAGGCTTCAGTGCAGGTGAGGCAAGCGCAGCATTCGACATCGGTTGCCCATTCTTCTTGTGACCTCGCTTCGACACTATGCCTGTCATAGTACTGTTGTTCTCAGACGAGGCATTGGAATTCGAATTCGAGTTGCCATTATTCGCATTGCGAGTGCTGCGACTCCGCGCCATGGGAACCTCGGGGAAGGCATCAACGACAGGCGTTGCGGTCTTGGATGTTCGGCCTACCCTGCCTGTGACTGGTACCGCTGTCGGCACATCAATCTCCATACTCTCTGGCTCTTGGTGTCCTACATCTTCCAGTTTCATGGTCGAGTTTTCGAATGAATTTGGTGCCTCCATGGTCTCTTTCGGCGTCGATGCACCCTTCGTAGATACAGTATCGTGTACGATACCAGCGGCCTGCTCCAGCTCGGTCATCACGTTGCTAGTGGTAATCTGCTGTACAGAGTGGGAGGATGAAGGGCGGCCGCCAACCGGAACCTCTTGAGCACTGACTGATGCGACAGAATTCGCCGTCGAGTTCTTTCTGGCACGGGCCGACAATGGGCGTTCCGAAGTGCCCGCGATGACTTTGTTGATGGCAAAGTTCGCGGCGAGCGGTGACGAAGCGAGGGGAGGAGAGTACGGCGGGAGCGGGTTCTTGCGTGGAGCTGGCACGGGAGCTGCTCGTGGTTTCCGTTTGGTAGCTGTACTGTTCTCTGGGCCTGGAGTTCCTCTAGGGCTCGATCCACTCCGTCCGCCAGCCCCCGCAGCCTTCAGGGCGCTACTTAATGACCGCTCCATAGGCTGAGTTGCGGGGGCTGCTGCTGCTGCTGCTGCAAGAGCCTTTTCAGTCCTCTTCCGCTTGCCTTGTGGCCCCGCGCCATTGCTTGTTATGCCTAAGCCAACGTTGCGATGGTCTGGAGCTGCCGACTCCGCTGGCATAGCTTTCCGCTTTTGGGGTTTCTTCGCCGGTCTGTCATCAAAATCGGAATCAACTTGTTGGTGTCGGCTGCGCTTGTTCGCCAACATGGCCTCTCGTCGGGCCTCGCTTTTCGCAGCGATCGAGTCAGCATCATATACATGCTGAGCAGCCGCAGCCAAGTTATTCGCTGCAGCCACCTCGCGCCGCTGCCGCTCATGCGAGGGCCCGCCCTTCTTCTTCTCTTCCTTATCCGCATACGCCCAGTGCGAGAGGCTGCCGTATCGCGCTTCGTCACTGATCTCGCCATCCAGTTGGGAGTACGAGTGCAGCATGCGCGCGAGGCCCTTGTCTTTGGTGGCTTTTGCGCCCTGGAGCACAACCAGCTTCTCGTCGAGTGTGGGGAGCATATTCGCAATCAGCATGCGGAGGCGAAAGAAGAGCTGGCGCTTATGTGTGATAGCTCGTTGTTCGGAAGAGAGGCTGTCGAGGTTCGGCGGAAAGAACTGCAAGTGGTGAGCTGCTCGTCCTGCCATGTAGATGAACGAAACTTACACCGATGCTATTCTCTGTCTCAACAGTGGTTTGTTCTGCAATAGCCAGCTGAGCCTTGGTAGTGACGGGCTGCTGGGCGATCTCGTCGAGCAGCTCCTTCATCATCTGCTCCGGATCGAAGAGCTTTGCCTCGACCTCCTTGAACATGGAGAAGTGCTTGATGATCTCCTTTGGAAAGGCATCGACGGCGCCGGTGAAGTGTGTGAGAGCCGGTAGAAAGCCGGGCGCGGTGTTGGAGGCTTCTGGCGTCTGCTCTAGCCCGCTCGCAGCGAGTCGTCCGGCGAAAGTGCGCGCATAATAGTTTGAAGGTCGGATCGTGGCGCGCCCTTGCCGTGTAGACGTCCGGGTGCCCGTAGTAGGAGGCATGGTGGGTGGAAGAGCGCTGCGCTGGTGATAAGGCGTGGGAGGTGCAGCGGCGGGCGCGTTCAACGTGAATTGGAGTAGGTAAAAGCAAGTAGCGTAGTATAAATGACGTGTAAGGGCATCTCAGGTAGCAAACAGGGGTTTGCTGGCGTTTCCCGCGATGTGCGTGCCAAATGATTGTAAGAGAGCGAGCAACAGGGAGCTGTCCTCTCTCCAAAGCGCGTATGCCAAGGGAAACTGACGGAATTGAACTGAACCTACTTTAGCACGTGTTCCGGTTATCGGCGGACAGATTGTCCGATAGGTGACTAAGCCTCATCCACTGAACCTCACATTCTCAACTCTGCTATCCGGCACGGGTCATGCATCCTGCACCCGTGCCTTCTAGGTGAATAGGACGTGATGGTGCTGTGAAATCTGACTCTGCTCCGTCCTTGTTAGTTCCGCAACCAGCTGTGTCCATTTGACTGACATAGCTTACCCCTCGGAGGATGCCAATCGATGGACATGCTGAAAGACGAGGGCATGAATGAAGCGTCTCCCTTTCCGGTCCGGGCCAACTGCGTAATCAGTATCGACGGCGTGGCTCATTCATATCTCAAGCATTCTGGAGAGGTAATCTGTCAGGGGGGCTCTATAGAGCCTCACATCTGTTTTCTGTATCACCCCCTTTTCATAGCTTCAGTGCCATAGTTTGGATTTATAGAGCTCCAGTACTCTTTATGGCTGCTACGTCAGAACTGCGCCCAGGGACAGGCCTATTCAAACATGTTTCCCGGCGACTGGTCTTCATTCTGGAAATTCCAGACACCAACCGCCCCCCGAGCGCATCTCTGGCAACCCGACATGGCTTGCTTCATGGGCACTGTCGACAACCCCATGATCCTACAATCTGTCGCGTGCCTTTATCACGCTTGTAGCCTTTGTTGCATTACCCTTGGTCTAGTTAGACGACGCAATTTCGCTCACTGAGTATGTTCCTAATCATGGACGAAGAGACTGGGGACGTGCTACGCGTGGGTCGGGCGCTGTCACTTGGATCACCCACAGTCGTAGGTGTTGTCACACATGGGCCGGTCATCTCTTTTTGAATCAATTTCTATTCGTCATCTATCCCACGCTCCCGTGTAGGCTTAGGCCACAATTCTCAACAGTTCGTGCCCGATACCTGGGGCTGTCTCTCGTTCTGCCACGTCTAGAAGAAGCCCCGTATGTCTGCTTCCCGATTGTCACCGTGAATACTGTGGAAGCGCGCTGCGGCCTCGTGTACATTTCCCTCGGTGTATTCAATCAATGCCCAGCGGACAGTCAGCGCAGATGACTTTTGCACCACCAGCTCTGATTGTTTCGCTTGGTTTCCCCGCCATACCCAGCGTAGCTGTTGCTCACGCCTTCGCGCTAGGCCTGTTCCTATGCAGTCCAGCGGTCATATGCGACTCGAAGGGACGTTGTCTGGTCTAAGCTCGCGCGAACGCTTGGCTTGGCGGTGATTCAACAGGCTGGACGGCGCCATCGTGAGGCCGACGAGCCTGCAATTGGTCCTTATTGTCAAGCAGGCTATTGTTCGCGCGGGACTGAAGCGGTGTCGGGCAGCCGTGCCCACAACTGGAGGTGAATCACGGACTATGGGCAGGCAGAAGCGCGCGTGGGGACGACCCTTCCTATTCTTCGGTGACGGTGACGGCGAGTAGCTCAGGCAACGGCTCAAACGCTGTATCGTCACATCAACCCAGCTTCACCTCTGATCAGCTCGAGCCAGCCCGCCGCAGTCACGTCGCCCACTCTGTATATAACCAGCCCCGCCCACCTCCCTCGAGATCTCCTTCTCCTTCTCCACCACATCGTTACAGCGACACCTCAACCAAGCTCGATCGCGCATCTACTTCGATCAGATCTTACCCTCACCAAACCGCTCCAATGTCTCTCCCATCCTCTGTGGACCAAGTCCCCAGGTCAACCACCCCTACGGCCGACCCCCCCAACACGGCTGCCGTATCCGAGGCCGATATAATCAAGGCCGGCAAGAACACCATGAGCCTGGCCAATCTGCTAGCTCCCGCTACCCCGACTTCGTCTGACATGACTGCAAACCCGCCTGAGCTCGCTCCTCCTTCCACCCCGGCCAAGACAACTACTCCTGTCCAGGACGAGGTGGCTGGCTCCCCAGATGCCGCCATGTCTGACATCTCCGAGCCTGTCGGTACTCATGAGTCTGCTGAGGGTGCCGATAACGATATGGATGTCGACGAAGCTGATCGTGAGTTTATCTGCATGAATGATGAATATACTTCGTGCAAGACTGGCCAATACACGAAAGATCTGTCCCGCAAGGTCATCTCCGACCACTTTGGCCGCAACAAGGCATGCACCCGCGACATCACCGACTGGCCCCTCTTCTGCCGCAAGCACTATCAGCGTGCTACCTACAACAAGGACAAGTGGCAGCTGCGCAAGGTCGCTCTCATTCTCCGCCAGTTCGATGTCATTGAAGCTCAATATCCGGGCACGACTTACGATGTCCACTTCAAGAAGTCCGAGGAGACTCGCCTGAACCAGTACTCTCGCCTGGTCGCGGCCGGATTGACCAACGAAGACGCTGCGAATACCGTTACCCCCGTTGCCGGCAAACACTTCGAGGCTCCTATCGACGTCCTCCGCGAGCTCGATCAGTGGGTCGGCAAGGGCAAGTCTCACAACGAGGTGAAGAAGGTCGTCGACGTGATCCTCCAGATGCTCGAAGCGAAGGAGACCGACCAGGTTCCTTCAATCGAGTTTCTGCCTCAACTGCCCGGTAAGGTTGCCACCCCCAAGAAGGCCGCCACCACCAAGGCCCGCACTCCCAAGACGCCCAAGACTCCAAAGACGCCAAAGACCCCTTCTCGCGTCTCGGCCAAGGGCTCCGTCAAGAAGACTCAGCAAAAGGCTTAGGCTACCTTCTGCCTCACTTCCTCTCGAAGTGACCGCCGTCAAGGCAAACCGGCGTTGCGGCCGCCGTTGCACTCTTTCCATTCAGCACGATCCACGATTCCGACGCCATTACTCAACTTGTTTTACGACAATTAAGTTTTGTAATAGCCAGTTTGTCTTTTATTACACGCTACATGATGTCTTTACACTACCCGCGTCGGGGTGTATCAGTACGCTACTCAGCGCACTAGACACGCATTACGAGGTAAGACATATTCTTTTCTTCTCTCTGTTTCTTTTCATCAGCTCTGCCAAGCTATTTGTTTGTTTTTATCGGCTCTGCCAAGCTGTTTCTCTTTACTCTCGGGCAGTTTAATTAATTTTCCAGATACCCCACATCAATACCATGATACCCTCTCATATCTACTCCACAGTGGGTAGACATGGAGTCTGGCGTTTGGCGTTGGAGGGATATGTGCTGGCTCTGGTTTGATTTGGTCTGGTGCTTGGAACCAGGGGACTCGTGGATCGTGGTTTTATAGATAGTAATCGAAATGCATTCGAAGCACAAGCATTCATCACTCCATCGTGTCTTTGATTCTTATTACAACACAGAAAAAGCATATGACTCACTTCGGCGCAATGTGAAGTAAAGGAGCCCGCAGACTCACTAACATTATCGTTGATTTACCAGTGAGGCAGACACGTGGCTGAATGCTCCTCTGACAGTAGCTTAAAAGGAGTACATCAGTCTTCAAACTCTGGTTCCTGATTCCGAAGATACAGCGTGGAGTTCTCTAGTCTTTTTTTTGTAAGTAGTCCCTGACGTTAGCTAAAAAGCAGCCTGGAGGTTTTCATTATATTTAATTCCTAGTTCTAAAATAATAGCGTGGAGTCCTTGAGTCCTTTTTTGTAAGGAGTGCCTTACGTCGGCCAAACAGTAGCCTGGAGGGTTTCATTATATTTGATTCCTGGTTCCAAAAATATAGCGTGGAGTTCTCTAGTCCTTTTTTGTAAGGAGTGCCTTGTGTCGGCAAAACAGCAGCCTGGAGGGTTTCATTATATTATATGAGTGTCCTGTGTATTCATCTGCAGAACATTCAAAGGGCGATGTAGTATGCAAAGCAGTCTATTCTCGGTAATACACTCTTCCATCATGTCAAATTTACCTCATATCATTCCTCTTATTCCGCGAATCTATCCCCCCTAACCTGCTACTTCATCTTGCTCAGCGAGGGCTCCATCTCTTTAATGAACTTTTTACCTTCAACGAGAATCTACTGTGGGCAACCATACGCATACCCCAAACAGAACACAACAAGACAGACCTCGCAACATGGGCATTGATCACTCTGGACGGCATTAACAAATTTGGAAAGTACACTGGAGAAGCGATCCTACTACTGGGTAGAATCAATGTGATCACAAACATCTCCGCACTAAAAGTACTTTCACAGAAACCAGCGATAGCTCAACTAGGGCGCAGGCGCTTTGAAAATCCTCTTACTACTGGGTATCGCAGCGCTATGCTCTCTCACCATGCGAGGCATTGGGAACAGTGACTTGGTTTCCAACCAAAGCATTGGAGTAAGTAGCGGAAGCTCCCCTGATAACGAATGTGTACATAAAGGCGCAAGTGTGGGGGATGGGTTTTTAGTGTGAGGCTGACGCTGCCGACTCGACCAAAGTGCCCGACACCGGTAATCATGCGCTAAGGCCAAATCGAGAGCCGCTGCGTAGGGGTCATCACACGCTCTGGTAGCTGACTATGAACAGCGTCTGCTGGGTGTCTTCAATATGAGATTTACTGCAGCTCTGTGCTACCGTAAACCATGCATATCGACAAGAATATCGACACAAAGTCGCACCGCCGAGGTGAAGAGAATCTCAGGTCTCTCTGAACTAGACTGGAAAAAGTTCTGGGTACGTCTTTCAGACGAGACTCAATGCGACGCAGTCCAGACTGATTGTGTATGGGATCAGAGTACTATTTGCGGAGAATGGAAGCCTGTTGATCGCAAGGAGTATGCGCTACTTGGTGTTAACGGCAGAGGAGACATGCTAGACCGTATAAATGCAGCGCTGGCCAAGAAACGCGTTCGTAGAGTCGACTATGATGTCGGCGAATGGGCAATTCACAGGTGCCAGACGGTGTCGATACAAGTCTTTTCACGTATGTGATGCAATGAGCGCATATTGTCTTCGTACGCGGCACGCTCAAGCTAACGCATCCAACAGTATCCGAAGCAAAGAGAGAGTGGGCAGAGAAGTTCACCGAGGAGCACCCAGTCGATTTCGAGTCCGGACTGGAAAAGATTATGGTGACTATCACGTCTGGTTTGTTCGGCCCTAAATAGTTACAAGGGGGCAGGCTTTTATACGAGCAGCAGTGGACCAAAGCATCGCAACTGGAGGTCGTTGCCGGGTCCCAGCAATCCCAGAGCCCGAGCTTCAGACAATTTGTGAACAAACCAAGATATTTTGCATACGAGAGAAGATGCCGGCAGCTAACGAGTGGCCCTTACTCTACTGCATCAAGAGAACACTCTACAAGGCTAGAAGATTAGCAAAGAATAAGCCTACGGATGTGGTAGCGCAGCAGAAGTAGACAAATAATATCCATGGTAGCTCAGAGCTATTTTAATGAAAAATTCAGTGGCACATCTCCCTAAAGAACTAGCTAGGGGACATGAGATGATAATAGCTGCGGGTTTCGCACGACTTCATGAACTACAACAACATCCTTTGTACTCTGCAGTGTGCTTACTCAGGTAGCGTAGGCCGCATAATCCACGGGAGTAAACCAGATTGCAGGCGACTTTCTACCTTGGTGCCCAAATATTATGTGCTGATGTATGTAAACAGTTGATAAACTGTCGTAGCGTGTATAGCTTCAATACATTACAAGTGGTGTTCTCTAGCTAAGAAGATAACTCAAACGCAACCAGCCTATGCCTTCTTCTGTCTCTATTTGTTTTAATATAGCTTTGTCGTCGCTCTATTTCATAAGAATTAGATGAGCTACCAGATGCAACCGTCAGAACCATCGTAAGATTTAATTGACTCGTATTTTCCCAATGTGTGAATACGAACCACACTCCAACTCTGACCCATTAACACTTATTAACTCATGCCTGGCGCACGAAAACTATCGAAATCTTGTACCTAAGAATGGCGTGAAGCTATTGGGCTGATTATTGTGGATCGATCTAATTGCCACTGCGGCGGCTGGCGACAAGTACGAAGTGACTAAATAATGGAACGCTTCCACTTTTGAGCCTCCTCGCGACAGGTAGAAGGGTGTGATCGAAAACAAGCGCGGACAATACAAGCTATCCAGCAGAGTTCGCTTAAATGTCGCAGTGCCACCCCTCGCCCCTGATGACCCGCCCTTACATAACTAGTTCAGTGACACACCCTTACATGATTAGTTCAATGACAAACCCTTGCATGACTAGTTCGGCCGAGGCTCATGCCTGTCCATAAGCGGCGCTTCGGCGCTTCGGCGCTTTTTGCAAATCTGCCTTATAAATTTTTGATGCACCAATTTTCTCATCAATCATCTCTAATAGAGTTACAACAACGGCCTGATGGTCTAGTGGTATGATTCCTGCTTTGGGCTCACGTGATACCTATTCTGCAGGAGGCCCCGGGTGTAAGTTCATCCATCACGGTTCGAAATTGAACGTCTTTCTAACAGGCGCCCACAGTCGAATCCCGGTCAGGCCCCATCTCTTTTTTTGCACTTTTAGATGCTTTACACAGCCTTTCTGCTCTGTCAAACCCTTTACCCAGCAGATATCTATCATAAAATAATATGAACAGCAGCAGCAGAAAATATTTTCGTCAAAAAAAATTCCCCTCCATCTCACGTTGCGCAGGGACTTTTGTCTCCATCAAATGCCGTTCTACGGTTACACAATTGCTCACACAATTGCTCAGCACATATACCTCAAGTCCTAACTACTGCCACAACGCCCTAAAGCCTCGCTTCAATCGTATTTTTTTTTCCATCCCAACTCTCTCTGCTCGCTTAGTCATACTACCCCTGAAAAACGTTTTCTGTTTTTCAAGAAGTCAAATAGATAGGCATGAGTATTTTTTATTCAACGTGCTGTATTCCGCTAGGTGTGTAACGCTATTTAGGGTTATGTAGTCTTTCTTGTACACTGTCTTACCCTCCCTTGCCTAGTGTGTTTCCGGAAGGCATCCCTCCGTGCGTTCCGCTCTACTGCAATAATCTCTAACCGCTCTTTGATTTCCAATTCCAGTGGCGATACCTGCTCTACTCGATTGCAGCCTAGTTGGACAACAGCCTTCTTTTCCTCAGCTGGCAGCCTGTTCCTTATTTCATCGAGCTCAATGTCAAAGGGCAGTGCATTCCACCTATCCTCTCCGTGTGTTGCTCTGTTATCCGATATCCCATTAAGCAGCGCTTCTTCCTTTTCCCGATTGTATTTCGCATCTTGTTGCTTCATAACCTCCAATCTTGCGCGACTGAGCCTCGGCCCGTCCGGGATGGGCGGAGGAAGACGCTGTTTGAACATTCTGCTCTTCAAATCGCCGTATTGCGGGTACAGGTGCGATTCTGTGTACATTCTCTTCATTCCTAGACATTTCGGGAAAGTGTTGCTTTCTTGGCAATATATTTCTTCCATCCCGTGCCTTTCTAGTGTGTTCCCAACCATGAGACCTCGCGGATTTGAGGCGGAAACAGGTATATGCAGTCCCATGTTCACTTCACTTTTCCAGCGTCGAGGAGGAGTCTCTGGTCGGTGCCGTTTTCCAGTCATCCTGCACTCTTCCTTGGGGAGAGTGCTGGTTCTAGAATGGGGGATTGCTGGTAGGAAATAGCTGTATTCGCTTTTTTGGTATCTGTTTCGGAGAACCTGCGCGTAGGCCGGAGAGATTGGGGAGAGGCTTGTCTTTGTTGGAAGGCGGTCGTGCGAAGCGGAATTCAACTTTGGTACCGACATGGCGTGGGGAGACACTCAAGAGACGCAGGGTAGAAATAGCTGGAGTATTCTTGCCGGAGTGCGTTCAGATAAGGGCTACTGAGCGAGAACTGGGAACGATCAGATATTTAGCAGATAGGGAGACCTTATAGTTTGAACATTGCCGAGGGTCTATGAAAGGGTACGTGATCTTGCTAACCATGATACATCTCCCAACTGAGCGATCCCCGCACAATACGCTAAACAACATTACTCCTATTTTGGTACGCAGAAACAAGTTTATCTACGCCACAATAGGCTGAATTAACTGATGCTCACTAAAGCCTATGCGAACATTGGCCCCTCGCCGTGCGCCATATGCATGCCGCGAATCAAATTGTTGGCATTAGGAATGCTCAAGGCCCAGCATTACGGATTCAGGGTACACAACCATCCGATGAAACTTTCATCGTACCGAAGTATTTCAGGCCCTAACACACTGAACCAGAAGCCCAGTAAGACTAGCATGGTAGAGTAAGCTTCGAATAAACGCACAGTACACCTCATTGCTCTTCACAGTCTGTCGGCTCCCTTCTGGGTCTCTGTGAAACTATAGAAGTCAACCCTGCACATCCAGTTCATCCAGGTACCCTTTCCACCGTCGCATCGCATGTCACTAAATCCACCATCACAAGCACTTGAAGCAACGATAGTTAACATGTCAGAGCACGAATTCGTCATTTCTAATACCGCTTTCAGTGCCCATCACCTTCCACCGACTACACCTATTTCCGAATCCTACACACCACCTCAATCATCTACTCCTTTCCCCTCCATATGACCAGCTTCCCCGCCCCCTTACCCACAGCATCCAGCCACCCCTTAAACGCCTGCACATCCACCCTATACCCCTCAATCAACGGCACACTCCCCGCCTTATCCAACTTCAACACTGTACGACGTAGCGTCTGTGCGCCCTCTTGAGCCGCTATGTCGGCTATACCTCCTTGGGCCTGCTCTGAACTGCTGGCTGAGCGGAGAGCTTTGTGTATGCTGGAGGGGCCGTGAGAGTCGCGGATGAGATTGTGGAGGGAGCTAAAGCGCGTCAAGGGCGTGTCAAGTAGTGGAGGGTAAAGCGTTGACGGGGCTGAGTGAGCGTCGGGGAAAATAGTATGCAGGCAGTCGGAGGAATCAGTTACGGCAGAGACGTGGAAGGCGATCATGAAATGTGGTGGCGTCTCTTCCTTTGTAGCCTGGTAGCCTTTGATGAGAAGATATGCCCATCTCCCTTCGCCGGTGGCGGCTCGCTGGTGCATAGGCATATTCCGACTTCCCTTGTGGGTGTCGTTAGGAAGGCCAAGGGCCCTCTTCATCACTTGGACCTTGCAGTCTGGCTTTTGTTGTGCTTGAAAAGCGTCCAGGTCTCGTTCGCTCCTGAATGTGTCAACTTCGCCATAGATCATCTCCGCCGCATCTCCAGGGCCGAGGAAGCGGATCTCTTTGTGCGGCTGGACACTCGTGTCATACAAGCTGATGGAGATGAGTTGTTCATAGATGGGCGGAGTGATGGGGTATGGAAAAGCTGGGTTGACGGGAAATGCCAGCTTAGGATAACGTTTATAACAAGACATTATTGTGCAGGACCAGGTGAGAAGGATCGTCATCAGCGCGTGTGTATTGCCGGGAAATTTGAATTTCCACAAGGCTTCTGATTCAATGGGAAGGGCGGGCAGGCCAGTGCTATGTTCGGCACGTGCGCGTGCCAGAGGAGGTCCGTATAGTTGTTCTGTCGTCAAGGACGGCGCTCGCTTTCTCGATATGGGCATCTGCTTTGGCGATGGTGATTGCACCATTATCTTGGGGACGTTCGGTGTTGTTTGTGGACTGAAATGATCCGTTACGACCTTATCGCGTGTTTCGACCGGTACGCCAGGAGCATGGGCGCTCGATACGGAGTTTTGAGGAGCAAAACTAGGCTGTCTCTGTATGAAATCCCAAGGCAAATTTTCCACCCGAGGGGAAGGGAAAAGGTTTATGGGGACGGAACTTGACAGCTGTGACGAAATGCCGTGTCCTTGGACCCCAACCGAAGGATTGTATGTGTAAGAAGCTGCCGACAAATCGGCCTGCATTGACCAAGGATCGCGTTGTGGCAGAGTGAAGAAGCTGGTCGATCGTTGGCTATGGTCACTACCATACGTCAGAGCTTCAGCAAACGAGCCGGCTCTCGCAGGGGCGGTCGCTGTGTTACTGATCGATACAGGGAAACATCGTGACACGGATGCTGAGCTTTCAGGACGTGATGCCCCACTCTCAGCAAGAGTAGTGCTAGAGTCGAAACCACCGTAAGCATAGAGGTCCAAGTGGCCCGAATTAGTATTTCCGACATCGATGTCGCCGACAGTGTCGCTCTCGCAGGATACAAGAGTTCGACTGGCAGGTAGAATAGCCGCTTGCTGTTGGCCGCTGCCAGCGATAGCCTGCATTGTTGAAGGCCAGACTGGTGGGACGATACGAAGGCCTCTCTTAGTGCCAGTGTTTGCATCCACCTCGACATGTATAGCCTTACCAGGACTCTCCATCTCCTCTCTACTATCTGATATCCCTCCATGCCCCGTTACCGTGCCTAGTCCCATCTGCTCCAACTTATACTCTAGCCCATACTCTTCTAGTCCCTCGATAAACTTTTGCTCGAGATCTTTCGGCATCTCCGGGGGTCTTACAAACGGCTCCGGGCCCTGCTGTCCTATTATCTGCCGCCATTTCTTACTCGCATTGAGTGTGCGACTAAATCCCTTCAACGTGTCCATCCTGCTATATTGTGGAGTCTCGTTGTTAACCTTCCAATGTATATCAGGAACTGGGTCGTCTATGGCCGGGGACTCGGAATCCGTGTTCTCCAGAGTCTGGCCACCAGTGAAGTCCATGGCTGGTGCCGGGCACAAGGGATTGTTCGGCGGGTCGATTGAGATGTTCTGAAGGGCGGCGATTGGCAGCGTCTAGGTTGCTCTGTGAGTACGTCTGCGAGAAATCAAGGGAGGTACTTCGAGCCGATTACCAAGAATCAGTTTACTCTTCTCTTCGAAAGTTTCTGCAAGTTGATTGCCCAGTAAGCCCCGCGCAAATGGTTGTCGGCAAGAGTGGTTCCACGACGCGAAAGGTGAATGCGCACCTTTTGTCGATGAGCGCGGTGCGACAGGCTGGTCTCCATGCGCTGCGATATAAATGTAAAGAAAAAAGGATATCTGACAAACGGTACTTGGAAAACGCATGTAGTTGTACGAGGAGCGTGATAGTAGAGACGCGACGAGGTATTTAGAAAACGGTCACGCATTGCTTGTTGACTGGGTAATTAGGCTGCTACGACGGACAGCACAAGTGGGAGGTGACTGAGGAAGTGAAAGAGGGACCGAACCGGACCCTCATTACCATTATTATACCCCAAAGGGTGCCTAGCTCCTACCATAAATCATCGAACCCGTGGGTATCTTATTACTCTATCCAGGCCTGGTGAGGTGCCACTCTTGTGCCACATCTAGGTTATCGCATTTCTACCCTAACCGCCACCAATGATCTTGTCCAAGCGACTAGGAGATCGTAGAAAAGACGTAGTCAGCTTCCAGCGTATAGGCAGGACCGGCAGGACCGAAAATCTGCTTCTTCTCGCGCTGCCACTCGGGCCGGTTGATGGCGTCAATCCAGTCCTGGACCTCCATGACCACGCAGCCGTACTGTTGCACGAACGCTTCACGGCCTTTTAGACCTTGGGTGGACTTGATAGGCAGTGTACCTTTGAATTGTTAGCAGCTTGCAACCCAGAATGATTGAATTCACGTACCGTCCTGACCCCCGCAGCTGTACATTTGGAAAGCCTCTTGATCCGAGAAGATATCGACCTTGATACCCGACCACTCGCTCGACAGGGAAGCGACAGGTCCAGAGGTGCGCCAGTCGTAAGGGCCATTTTGGGCGCGGTTGACAATGTAGCAGTTGTCGTATCCGGTGCAGTTGGTGCCACAGTTGCCGAGGAGCGTGGGCGCAGTAAGGTTAGCACCGATTTGCTTGGGTGCGGACCAGAAGTCATTGACCGAGTACTTCTCATTGGGGAGGATGATGCCATCAGGAATCAAGATGCCATCAACACTAACGCGCTGGCCGGAGTAGGGTAGATGGAACGTGTGGTTGAGGGCAGTTGGGTCGTCGGGATTAGCGAAGCCATCAAGATTCCAGTAGGTCTAGTTTTTGTTAGCTCCAGCGGTTGATGTATCGGTCTGAGGAGGAGTACGCACGTGAGAGGTCAGCATGATGGGCGTCTTCTTTGTAGTTGCGAGGGCCACAATCTTGATCTTCCAAGTGTTCGGAGTCATGGTGTAAGTCACGTAGCTCACAACCTCACCCGGGAAGCCCTCCTTGCCATCCGGATCGACAATGGAAAAGGTAATCGAGTTCTTGGTGTGCGACACAACAGTGAAGTTGCGGTAGTCCCAGCCGTCTGGTCCACCATGCAGGGTGTTGTTGTTGTTGTGCTCGTTGGGCTCAATGTGATACTCCTCTCCGTCGATGACGAAGCTGCTGTTCCTGATGCGATTCGCATAGCGACCAGGTACACCTCCCAGATGGGGGTGTACCTTGCCCTCGTAAGCCGTCGCATTGTCGAAGCCCAGGACGACATCGCGCTCAACGCCGTCCTTGCCCTTGATGAAGAGGTTGGAGACGGAAGCGCCGTAGGGGATGAAGAGTGCTCGAATGCCATCAGCGGAGACCTCGTACTTGCCGTCCTTGTCGGGTCCAAGCGGGGCGTCGTACTGGGCACACGCAGTCGTGGCGAGCAGAGAGATGAGAGCAGTCGAGAACCACATGGTGCAACTTGTCAATGGAGCCTGAGTTGAGAAGTGTAGTTGAAGCGAAGGTGGAGGAATCAGCACCACAGCTAAGGCGAAGGGCAGTTATATACAGGAGGGAGCGCGCTTTAGCATTTCACCGGCCGTGTGACCAGGATCCTATTTCTCTCTTTTCCGTAGGCTACAATCCCTACTACGCCTACGACTATACTCTCCAGCCTCCGGGTTACGGGGCGAATGGGGTTGCATTGGTGGGGAAAAGCGGGTTACCGCCCAAGGGCAACAAACATGCGTGCGTGCGTGCGTCCACTTTCCCCGCAGACAGGCCCTCGAGGCATGGTCGATCGTCAGGAACAGGCTATGACTGAATGAATCTTAGCAGGGCTTCCAAGCTTGCCTGGAGCTTGACACCTTCTGCTTCGGTCAGTCAATTTGAAGCGCGCGAGCATGTGGTTCGCACCGCCGTTGTGCTTTGTTATGCTCCTTGTGCCCGTTGTCGCGTTCCCCAACCGGTCTTGCTGAGCACGGGGAATCGCAAGTACACTCACCCAGCCGCTTCTCCACGAGCTTGTGCGGCATTGGAACGGCCAAAGGTACATATTAGACATAGCAGCGATTCGCGGAAAATACACACGGAAATATTACATGCGCCGCTATCCCGGGCGGCGCAGTGGAGAAATGTTGGTAGTTGATTTTATGACGTGGAGCCCCCGGCTGGGGCTTGCAGCTCCCTCCCTGCGCTAATGAGCTTGATTTCCGCCTCCAGTGTGCCTCAGTCGGGGGGAAGGGATACTGCACTCCGCACTACTTCCGACAGCTTCTTTTAAATCTTGCTTTACACTGTCCACCACTTTCATCCTCGTGGACGCTGATACCGACACCCCATTATACATAATATGCCCACAATCGCCTACCCGCTGAAACATTACACGCATATGGTACCGCCATCACCAGCTTTTCTCCATATTTCCAGCAAAGTCCCCGCCATAAATGAGAACCGAACTGCTACCCCCCCTGTAGCATGAGATACTTGATCACCCCCTGTTGCTAACTAGACCTCGTTGGTCCTACTCTCCTAAAACTTCGGCATCTTCGTCTCGGCATCAGGGGAGATGGATGATCTGAACATGGTTCGATCGCGCTTCGAGGCATTGGACATGTGCTCGTGGTTGGAATCAAAAGTAGAAGCATATCCACCTTCTCCCATCTGTGAACTAGAAGCCATACCCGACGGCACCTGCACCCCTTCGTTGAAATAGCTGATGCCTAGTGCGTTGGCCACGATTGGGGAACGACCATACGCAAAGCCACCATCATCGCCTCCATGAGAAGCTTCGAGCCAGGCTGGATTGTATTGTCTATCGTGTTCCGCAGCGACCGCTTGAGCGTCTAGGTGAGAGACTACAGAGTCGTTGCGTCCCTCTGGTTTTGGCGCATCAATTCGGGAGGCGACATTGACCGCGCTCAACAGCGTCTCAAAGCTACCCCGGACAGGGACTCGATGCGAATGGTAGGGCCCTACGTTCTCCAAACTATGTCGAGTCGGAGTCCATGGACCAAGTGCTTGTGCTACAGTCTGCGGAAGATCTTGGAGAGTCGGAAAACCCTCGATTGTGTTGTAGCGGGGTATCATCGTAGGAACTCCAGGGGCTGCGTGTCCGGAATCCTTCGGCCTCAACGTGGACTGCGAAGGGCTTTTCTTAACTGCGCGCGGTGCCGGCGCTTCCTCTTTACAGCTAGGGTGCTCGTCCCAACTCACGTTTGGCTTCTTATGCTTCGCCCCTGCAGATGGAGAAACAAAGTTAGCGTATAGGCCAATGAACACCATACTAGTGCATAGATGATATAGTACGTACAGCAACCAGTCTTCGTTCGGACATCGTTGTTCTTAGCTCCCCAATGATGCTTCCTGACTTTTGCTCGGCTCGCAAATCCTTTGCCACAGATGCTGTGAACGAACCGGTCCCCTTCTGAGCAGTCCCCGGCTGTCTTCATCTCACTGGACTGTGTACTCTTAGGTCCGTGTGCGACTGGCGCTTCTGTTGTAATTGAGGCTGGAGGCGTCGAGAGGCCCGGGACCTTGGCAGTGTCTCCACCGTGCTGTTGTTCAGCTTTGACTTGAGCGATGGATCCTCGACTTCTGCGCTTCGTAGATGGTGGAGGCATGTCGATGGCGCCTTGGCCGATAGGTACTGCGAACGGATTGCCTAGTACAGATGGGCTGGCGTCTATGCCAAAGACTTCATGTATAGCGCTCATATCGGCATCGTAACTTGCACTCATGTAAGGCGGCTGCCAATTGCCGTATCCACGTTGCGCATAGACAGGCTCTCGATATTCTTGATTTCCAAAATTCGGGGGTCCACCGTAGTTGTTCAGCATGGCTGGGTTGATTGACCGGGCAGCCTGATGTTCTGGATACCATAACGAGGTAATCGGGGGTAAGCGTAACCAAGGCTCGTGGGTAGGCTGCATGGACTGGGGAGAAGGTAGCGTGATGAGCTGATCGAAATCGAAGTCTCCGGCGCCCCATTTGGCATCTTGGTGGTAGAGGACATTCATCAAATCCTGCTTGAGATCCTCTTGATCTCTGAGCGTGAGTGTGATAGACGAGAGAGCGTCCCGCTTGGATATGTCTCCACTTCGGAATGTGCTGAGGATAGCATTGATGGTTACTACCTCGACCGAGGACTCGCCGAACCGATTCTATATCATGTTAGTGATGATACGGCGTTAGAGAACAATGATGGGCTTACCTTTGTGTTGTCTAGAAATATATGGACGAAGTGGTCGATACTGGGTGAATGGTGGTGACCGTGTGCTTCTTCGCCTTGGGCATGGGTAGCTACGGAGCGCTCCATGATGCCTTGATGCGGCAAATGGAGTATGGACTGGCAATTACTGAAGCTGCGGTCAATGTGGCGTTGTGTGGTGTCATGGGCCAGGCGCTCGGCCCGTTTAATAGACGAGTCTTTAGGGCAGCTACGTTTTGTGGTGAATGTGATGGGGGGCTGCACGTGGGCGGTTCACCGTGAAACTGGACACATCCACCGACCGCTCTTCGGTCTCGCGGAGGCGGCTCATGTACCGTTGTTCGTTTGCTTCGCGGAATTCAGTAGGTGGAGACGTGGATTGTTTGTTTGCGGGGCGTCGTGTTGACGAGCATGGGCTGTGCATGCACGTCAACGGCAAAACCGCTGCACTGGTTGTGACACCGAGGTGGGAACTCGCCACCATCGCGCCTGCATCTTCTCACTGCCACACCTTGAGATGCTTTAGCCTTCAATGCAATCCAAAGCGACCCATACCGTAGCCTGGATACTTCCTGTACACGATTCGCCGGCCCCGCCTACCCCAACGACGATGCCATTTACAATGTCGAGAAAGTGCCCCGTCCCCGAAAGATTGTGTGCCTTTCCTCTCCAGAATCATATACCACCTCCGCTATACTCTTTCTACACCGCCAACCGCTGTCCATCCGATCAAACAGCACAAAATCAGCGGGCTGTCCAGGTTCCAGGCCTAGAGAGGTAAACCTGTAGCCAATCGCGGCCTTTGCCCGAGACGAGACGGCTTCCTGCATGGTGGCGTTGAGCATATGGCAGAACGTAGACGCAGGGGCAAGTGACTTACGTATAGTAATTCGGCATCTTTGTTCGTGCCGGCTTGATACAGGCCAACTCCCAATGCTGCCAGGCGGAGCGGGTCGCAGTTACCGTACGGTGTGAAGGCGTTACCGACGTTGTTCACCGCCATGGCAGCATTCAATCTGTGTTGGTGAATCATGTCTATCACCGGCAACGTTCCACGCACCTTCTCTGGCGAATGCATCATGAACAGATCCGACGTGGGGAGGCCAACAAATGATACGGGCAGCTCGCCAATCTCTTGTTCTAAACGTGTCCACTCTTCCTTTCGGAACCTGATCAAACGGGTGCAATGCCCAAAGGTGATTTGTTTCTTGCATCCATTGCCCGTCCATTTCAGTCCTTTGATGATTTTCAACGTCTCCCAGATGAGTGGCTGTTTGTGCTCATCCAAAAAGTAGTCAAGGTGGAGGTCCAAGTGCTTCTTGTGCTCTAGCGCTAATTGAGTAATCCAATCAACATTCTCTTTCGATTTTGCCTCATCTTCTTCAACGTACGGGGTGCTGCCGAGCACTTCCACCTTGTCATATAACGCAGCAGTGGCCATCAAATGTCTAGTCTCGGCACCCCCGTCTGCACCAGAGAACAGCGGAAGCTGCGCAAAGGCACAAATCTGCACTCCACATCGGTCCTCAAACTCTTCCTTCAGCTTCAGTCCTGCTCCAAGACACTTCAGCTGCACCACGCCATCAACTTCCACGAATGCTCGCATAGCCGTAACACCATATCGAAGACTCTCCTCGATGAGCTGTCTGCCTCTCCTCAGTAGATCGTCTTCTGCAAACCTTGACTTGGCCTCGCCAGTCATTTCCATGGCTTCTTTAAAGTCTCCGCGCTCAATCTGCAAGTCTTTGAATTTGGGGTCTTGGAGCAGGAAGCATTTGTCGAGGTGGATGTGGGCGTGACAGAGCGAGGGGGCGAGCAGGCGGTTGCCTCCGTCGAGCGTGTCTGAAGTTTTACTGTCTGGGGCAGTGGAGTCATGAGGGTCTACTGATGATATCTTTCCGTCTTGGATTGTGATGTCCCACTGTGAGGACGGCGATTGGTTTGGTATGCGCACGCCTGTAATCTTCTTCCACATGTGGCAGCTTTCCTGTGTACTGTCCATCTCTTGCCTGCTACTGAATAACCAACTGGGAATACTATACAGTGCTCTCAAGGAACGATGAGCCGCGGATGATGATGTTTTGATGGTTTCCCAGGATATGCGCGTCGACGTCGCGGATCGCCAAGGAGTATGCGCGCAAGCAGTGAAGAGATACCATCTCACGCGACGGCAGAGCCATCCTTCACACAGATGGCACGCGTGTTGGATGCATCTTTGGCCTACAGACGATGGCGCTGTTCGATGGGAGGTGTTCTCGTGGGGTTCCCAGCCGAACCGTTGCCCCGCCATGGATGAAAAGGGGACCTATCATTATCTGTGCTCAAAACGGTTCTACCCTTGACGCGTCTCCCAGAAAGCAACCTTCCACTTTTCCATCTCCACCTTGCGCGTTTTCATCGTGAACGTCGCTCTCCCATCGTCGCTGCCGCTCACCAGTCGCGCACTTGCCCAACATGCAACCGAACTATCGGCAATATAATTATCCGCCGCAGCACAATGTGGCTACGCCTGCCCGGCGAGGGCCTGGTATGTGCCATTCTGAACAACACCTACCACAGCTTCCCCCAACACACTCTTGCGCCTGCTGTCCCCGCGCATAAAGAAACATGATAAGCAGAACTGACCTGGATCACTTTTTCCGCAAACCAGGCCCCATTGTGCACCCTCAACATCCAGCTGCGCAGCAGTACAGCAACGCCAATATGCAGGCCCAGCAGCGCGTCGAGGCCGAGCGCCGCGAGAAGATGCGCCGAATCGCAAAGAACCCGACCGATAAGAACATTCCCGAGGGCGTCGACGACGTGTGCATTGGCGACGGTGTGGCCCGCTACAAGGAGCTGCGCGAGGTCGAGCGCACCTTGGACGCGACGATGATGCGCAAAAAGCTAGATGTCGTAGACTCGAAACATCATTCGCGGGCGTCGCGCTACGGGACCATGCGCATATGGATTTCGAACACAGTGGACAACCAACCCTGGCAGAGTAGTGGCATCGATGCGGACGCCTTTGACTTTGAGAGCGACACCAATGCTACTTATCGCGTTAAAATCCAAGGCCGGCTTCTTAATGAGCAGGGCGATGAAGGCCTCGAGGACGAGGATGACAAGGATACTGATGCCATGTACGTTTTTTAAGTCGCGGCGCAAGCCGATTGAGGCGGTTCTGAAGCTCTGTGACAGAATTCATTGCTAACGAGCGCTTTCTAGGGACGAGGACGGCGCCGAAGACTCGAAGCCAGCCCCCAAACCGAAGGTCTTCTCACAATATTTCACTTCCATGACTATCGATTTCGACCGCGCCAAGAGCTTACAGCCGGACAACTTCACCCAGATTGAGTGGAAGCGGCCCGAGAATCCCACCGCGAAGGAGAGCAACTTTAGTGAACTAGAGTTTGAGCGCAAGGGCGACGAGAATATCAACATCACTATCAATCTGCAACGATATCAGAACCCAGAAGTATTCCGACTGAGCAAGTCACTCGCTGAGCTACTCGATACCGATGAGGAGGACCGCGCTGGCGTGTTGATGGGCATCTGGGAGTATGCAAGATCACAGCATTTGCAACAAGACGACGATGAGCGCAAGTTTGCTTGCGATGCCAAGTTAAAGGCGCTCTTTGGCGGCCAGGACTCGTTCTACTTCCCAAACCTGCCACAACTGATCAAGCCACACTTGACAACGCTTCCGCCCGTCCAACTGCAGTATACGATACGTGTCGATAAGGACTACATCACACCAGCAGCTGATTCTGGCAAGACCGCCTCAGAGCCGACCATTTACGATGTCCAGGTAGCGCTCGAAGACCCGATGCAGCCCCTGTTCCAAGATATCCTACGCCGACCGGATAGTATCCAGACTTTGCAAGATATCCAGAAGATAGACGAGCAGCTAGTGCTACTCATGGGTGCGATTGGCCAATCGAAAGCCAAGCATGCGTTCTTTACTAGCCTGTCCAAGGATCCGGTAGCATTCTTCAAACGCTGGCTATCTAGTCAGAAACGAGACCTAGAGGTTCTGCTTGGTGAAGCTACTCGAGGAGGAGGAGAAGATGCTTCCGGCGAGGAGTGGAGACGAGGAGGAGCGGATGGCGTCTGGGGTAGTGAGGTTGCGAAGGAGAGCGTTGCGCTGTGGCTGGCTAGATCGAACATCAAGCCCCATTAGTGGTTCGCTGAGCTAGTTTGTCTTTCTTTCCTTGGGCTCCGGACCTTTCGGCGTACTGTCTGGAGGGGTCTCCTGGAGCATGGTGTACCGGCGGCGTTCAAACAGATACTGGATACCCAAACACCAACTATTACATCTTCTAAGCAACGTCTGCTCAACTTAGCATCATGGCGGAAGGCCTTCAGGCTCCATCATCGCTATCACTAAATTGATATCCGATCAACATTATTCGGTATATGCCTTCAGGCTACTGTATCGGCCAGTGGCTAAAGGTATGTTTACACGGCGGTGGTAACTAATCTTCTTGCTTTTGGTTTGTGCAAAATATATGCAGTTTATCCTTGTTATGGACTAAAACAGTAGTGGCCAGGAGATATCAGTATGCCTCTCTCAGCCTTATTGCGGTAGCAAACGGTCCATTAATAGCAAACGCCTAAAGCCAATCCAAGAATCTTGCGACTTATTCGTCTTCTCACATCATGGCAGTCCTTCCTGCTGAACCTAGCTCCACCAAGAGTAGCGCTCCACCATGAAGCGCGGACTGAGCCCCGGCGTTATGGCAGGGACTTGATGTCTTTATTTTAAGTTTTTTTAGTGCTATTGCTTGTGTTACTTGTTTTGATACTTTGCATAAGAAGTAGGAGAATCAAGACACAACCGTCTATATACCCACCTTTCTCTTTGACAACTACGGATTTGTTACTAGGCCCCGATGGAAAGATCGTCGGTAACCAGCACTACAATCTGGCCAAGTCAATTCGCGTGGAAGATGTGAGCTGGATGCCATTGAAACAGTGATCTCATGGATAGCTGCGCCCGTGTTTGCGGGGGTACCCCACTGGCTGGGAAGAAACAATAGGAAATAAAGACGTCCGCTGCGGTAAACGACATATATTATTACAGTATCTACTTGGAGGGTTCGAAAATCTTCGGGAGGCAGCTTGGGATTTTCTGCAAGTGCTGGATCTTCAGATCACAACTCATTGCCCACTATGGCGAGCACTGTGCCGAGTATCACGGCACCTACAAAGACTTACATGGGGTCTCAAAAGATTAGCCAGCAGAGGCATATCCACTTGTCCCCTGTTTCCGAGGCCAAGCTGCACGTCTGTGGACAAGCCAACATGGCCACTAGCCAGCATCTTACTTTGGCAGCGATACCAAGGGCCAGCAGAAGGGTCGCCTACCACAGTCAATTACAGAATTGAGTTCGGATCCAGGCTCATCGCACACTGTACACGGGGATTTGTTCCGTGCAGAGACTCATTTCTTCTGTCCGAACGTGGGATGCGCTGTGCTAAGGCCATCTATATGCAGCAGATAGTGCATTTTGAGACTAGAAGGAACGCCCATGTTTGAGCGTGACCCGAAGAGGTTGGTGGGGTGTACGGGCAGAGTTGTTGATGCCCGCCTGTGGCCGGGTAAACGCGGTAGCTCTTAGACATGTATGCGAGGAGACGAGGGTCGAGTTGTACGGCATGGAGACTGGGATCGAAATGGTTGTTTGATGGACGAAGAGCCGGAGGATGCTAGCGTACGTAGAGAATAGGGGTCTGTTGATGTTTTTGGGCGTAGGGTAGCAGTTCCATCGGAGATCCTGTTGTAGAGCTATCTCCGTTCACCAGTGAGTAGATGAGCTTTTAATTGGTGTAGGCTGTAGCGGATTCGTCCCTGGTCTACAATCAACAGCAGTTCCAAGTCCGAAATCTCAACCATCGTTACACTGATCTTGCCACGTGGACCGTCTCACCGTTCTACGCGGAATGACCTAGCTTCCAACAGCTGCGGTAATTTTTCTAGTGGACTGGCAGTCTTCAAGTTCTAGAAAGGAAGCACAACATGCCGCTACCGATCATTTAAGCGTGCCGTGCAGCGATCAACGCGAAACCTTCCCGCAGGGGGATCAGCTTACCGTGGTACAGACGATCAAGCCGCTCGCCGCGACCTCGTGTTTTCCAGGGTGCTCGCATCTGACTTGCAGTGTGCATCCAACCGACGTGGTCATGAGAAGAGCCTTGAAGAGAAATTCTCAAGCTTGAGATAGTTGTGGGCAGACGTAGCTTCCTAGTGCATTCTGGAAGAGCCCTCTTACCCATGTCAGTTTCTTCTTCTGTTCGCAGCCACAGCAACGAAATGATCTGGCGTGTCCAACTCTCAACTGCCGCAACCTTACCCTCAAGGCGAGCTCCAACGCCATTGTTTAGTTGTTGAGGCCAGTGCTGCAGCCTCCACAGTGTGATGCAGGTCTGAGGTGAGCCGCCGAGCTCGCTTGTCGTGCTTGAACCCCGAAGGGCCTAATTATAGGCCCAAAGGCCCGCTCAGAATTGGGCAGCCGAGTTGGAGTGATTTGTCGGGATTCGGTTGATTCGTGGAAAGCAGGAGTGTGAGGCTGAACAGAAGCTGCACGCGATGACCAGCTATAGCCAATCGCATGAAGGGGGTTCACGGATGGTCGTCGGTAGAAGGGAAGTTATGTTAAGGTCCGCGGCATAAAGCGCCGTGGGTAATCGTTGAGGGCACACGATACATGCATAGAGATTCCCCGTAGTGGAACCAGCACCTCAACGCTGTACGTCATTTGCGAGGCTCGCCACCCGGAGAACTGGATGCAAGAGATCGGTACCCGCTGTGTTCCACTGTACTGGGACGACGGTGTCTTGCTCATGATGGATACGACAGCGAAAACAAGGCTCTGGGCCCTATGGATGAGCTTTTGCTGGGCAGGAGGATGGAAGATGAAAGCACAAAGACAAGCATTGTCGTATCGCGTGGACATGACCTCATGTCTAACAACTCACAGAAAATATGAACTTCTTCTAGAACACTCACTTGACCGATCGGGGTCAATGTAGCCGAAACTCTATCGTACACGCGATGTATAAAGACTTGGCGGGATCTAGAAGATGGCGCCGACGACGGAAGATCGCGTAGAACTTCCATCGGCGGCCGCCGCCGCTTGGTGCTGAGCTGTTGTGTAACTGCAGGTTACGTGTGGAAACCCTGGAAAGGCAAGAACAAGAGGAGATTAGGTTTTAGCATCTAGCTACCGAGTCGGGACGGTTGCACATAACGATATGCTGTACACGAACCCGCAGCGACTCAGATTTTCCGACGTGGCAAAGTAGTGAAATGTGGAAAGGGTTGAGAAGGGGCGATGAGAAAGGAAGGAGCAGAGAAAGTAGCGGGCGCTAGGACAAGCACATGTGAATCCAGGGTTGTTGCAAGACTGGCGTTGCGCCCCTGAGCAGATGCATTACCCGTGCATCGAGCTGATGTGTTTTGTGTTTTTTTGTTTTCTTTTTCTTTTCTTTTTAAAAAAAAATCCCAAATAGCTGTAGGTTCCACGTTCTACCTAGGTTGGTCATAGTGTCGACGGGATAGTGGTACACGTCAGTTCAACTGTTCGCACGTGAGTATATTTGGCATTGTCCTGCTCTTGCATGCTAGGCTCGATGGGTCGCTTGCGTGTCTTTCTCTTGTAGTCGTCGTGAGAGAAGCGAGGACGAAGGCGACACTCGCCACTGGACTAGTCTATCCGTAGCAGCCTTTTCAATGAGGCTTCTGCGGGTCGGAAGTGCTACGGACGCCATCTGAGATTGTCGCTCGGTTGTACGGTGGGGTTGGCTGGGGGCCAGGGGTGCAGTGAGCCAGGTGGGCCAAGAAGAAAATGAACAAGCATGGCCAATGTCCACGTGGAGGGCTCGTGTAGCTCTGGTACATGCAAAGTGAAGCTGGGGGAGAGGAGATTGTGAGAGACAACCGTCAAAGGGGGATGCGGAGAGGAGATGATAGTGGCGGGACGCCCGAGTCCGGCAGGCTGGGGCGCGAGGTGTGCAGTGTGGTCCTGGATAGAAAATGGGTTTCAGAGTAGGCAAGCTGATGTCGATCAGACGGGGGCGAGACGACGAGTGAGCGGTGGTAGGTGGGCGTTGTCTCGTGATAAGCCAGGCTGGGGTTTGCCGGCTTCTGGCTGCTGGCTTCGGCGGCCGCTCGGTCGACATGGTGCAGAGGTGGCTGACCTGACTGTGTCTGTCTCTGTCTCTCGGAGTGCGATGCAGGTAGGAGTGGCGTCGAGTGTCTATGGAGTGGAGAGAGACAGACAGAGAGAGAGAGAGAGTGTGTGTGTGTGTGTCGTATAGTAGTAGGTAGAGTAGAGAGGCATTGGATGGCTCTTTGGCCGACAGACACACGCGTACGAGGCTACGAGCATGAGATAGATGGCCATGCAGGGTTGCTGACTCTGTGCATTCATTTTCATCCCTCGCGACGCCCCATGCTCTCTCCAGGGCTCTCTCTCTCTCTCACTCTCTACAACTAGCAACGTGGTATCCCTGCCTGCTTCTTGCGCTACCCAGGTGGGTGATGCATTGCGAACTGGCTCGCGCTGGCTCGCTGGACTGGAGCAAATAAAAGGGCAGGCCGACAGACAGCTGGAGCACCACATACACCCACCCACGCTAGCCTGGCTTGGGATACGCCGACGAGACGTGCCCGGCGCTGCTTCAAAACTCCTGGCCTCCTTTCACAGGCCGTCGTTTTGCCTACTTTTCTGTTGCCCTTCTCTTAGCCCTGCCCAGCACGCTGTTGCTGTGTTGATAATACCCGTCGTGCCCGCCTACAGTAGTAGTACCCTTACCCACGCTGCTCTCCGCTGCACCACCGACCGACCTTTGTCCCCACACCCAACCTGTGCAGAGCCCGCCAGACGCCTGCTGATGCATACATAATACGCCCTGCTCCCCATCACACAGGCAGTCTGCCATTGTAGCTCGCCATGGGCCAGAGTAACGGCAAGCCCGTCGTCTTCACCGACCAAGGTGCGTACCACACAAAAGACCGCCCTCGTCCAAGGCCATGCAACCCCAATACGCCCACTCCACACACGACTAGATGGCAATCAAACACGCTTTCAGACCAACTCGACCGTCCTGACTAACTCCCCACCTAGTGAACCTCAATCACTTCCGGTTGCTGCGAGTCGTTGGCAAGGGCGCCTTCGGCAAGGTGCGCATCGTCGAGCGAAAGGACACCGGCCTCACATTCGCCCTCAAGTACATAAGAAAAGATGAAAGTGGGTTTTGCGCATAATCCCCAGGCTCAAATGCCAGCAGAGGGCCGCCCCGAGCTAGCAGGGACTCGATGCTGATGCTGTGTCACAGTCGTACGGTCGGAAAGCGTGCGCAATATCATTCGAGAGCGTCGCATGCTCGAGCACCTCAACCACCCCTTTCTCTGCAACCTGCGGTACAGCTTCCAGGACATTGAATATCTGTACGTTGGCCTGGTACAATTCGGACAAGAGCGACATGGGACGCTAACAGAGCCAGATACATCGTCGTCGACCTCATGAACGGCGGGGACCTGCGCTTCCACATCTCGAGAAAGACGTTTACAGAGGAGGCAGTGCGCTTCTGGATAGCACAGCTGGGTTGCGCTGTGCGATACATACACCAGCAGGGCATTGTACACAGGGACATCAAGCCAGACAACGTGCTATTGGACTCCGAGGGCCATGTTCATCTAGCAGACTTTGTACCTTACACCCGCCCCGCATCCCATGTTTGGTACTAACCTCAGCAGAACGTCGCCTCCGACTTCACACCAAACAAGCCACTGACCAGCAAGTCTGGTACGCTCGCCTACCTCGCCCCTGAAGTGTACGAAGGCAAGGGATACTCATGTGAGGTTGATTGGTGGTCCCTCGGCGTACTCTTCTACGAGTGCATATACAACAAGGTGCGTCGCATCGTCCCAGTAGCTTATGGATGCTGACAAGTGCAGCGACCCTTCGAAGCAAGCAGCCACGACTCGCTAGCCCAGAAGATCTCCAAGGGCGAGCCTACATACCCCGTTACAAACCCGCCTGTTTCCATGCCCTGCTTACATGCCATCAGTTCGCTGTTGGAGAAGAACCGCAAACAGCGAATAGGCGCCATCGGATTCGAGACCTTCACCGACAACCCATTCTTCCGGCCCCTCGAGTTTGGCGCGCTGGAACGCAAGGAGATTCCCCCTGTATTCATTCCTTCGAGCGACAAAACAAACTTTGACGCAACATATGATCTTGAAGAGTTGCTCCTCGAAGAGGCGCCGCTCGAGGCCAGAGCACGAAGGCAGAAGCCCAGAGAAGCCCTCAAAGACGATGCGACCGATCAAGAGATCCGCGCAGAAGAGCTGCACAGGATGATCGAAACGCTGTTTGAGCCCTTCAACTACACAACCGCTGGGGATCAGCGTCCGATTGCCGTCGCAGTTGTAGACCCTATCGACTCGGTTGGTGTTTCAAGAACGAGCAATCAAAGCAACAGCGAGAACACTCCGGCATCTGCGACATCGCAACCAGATCCCTGGGGACGGCCCACGACAAACAAGTCACAAGATGGCGACCTTCAACCGACCCGCTCTACAACGAATCCTCGATCCACCACGCACTCGCCGAATGGGAGTCCTCCACTTGCAACAGCCATCCTCAACCAAACCGGAAATACTGGCTCACCCACATCTCAACGTGGTGAGCACGCAGATTACTTCCCTGCAGATGGTTCTGAAACTGCGACGCCTTCATTCTCTCGGCCTATGAACAACCGTCCGCGAGGCTCACAACGCAGTACTAGCATGGGTGGGGGCGTACAGGTAGTTCTCAACGAAACCGGCCCGTGGACCGAGATGGCTAACCAAAGTTCTGCGCTTGTACAGGCCCCTCAAGTTGAAAAACCATCTGGCATGCTTGGTTTCCTCAGCCGTAAAAAAGGCCGGGACAGGAGTCCCAAGGCTAAAGAGAGGGGCGTGCTCGGCAAGGAAGGCGCCAGAGTCATCATCAGCAACACCTAAGCCCACTTCCGAACCTGCCTACCGCACACGTCTCAACGAATTCCCTTGCGTTGATTTCTTTCTACCAAATCGATTTCTCTGCGCGGCGTTCTAGCATGTTGGGCATCATACGACCATGGCGATTTCGACATCGGTCGCTCCTCGTTTTCTACCCTGTATATCTGCATATAACACAACCACTCACGGTGTGCGAACTGGCGTTGTTGGCGATCCCTTTTAATTTGCAAATAACCGTGCATGCTCGGCGTATAAACTGGTCTGTACATGTACGCGATGGCTATGAATTGGAGGATATAGAAAGAGGGGATGATAGATTTTCAGGAGATCCACTACTGTACATTGGGACTGTTTAGGGGAATCGTTAGAAGCCGTAGTCTGCCAAAAGCAGTCTGCAAAAAAGCTGGAAACGGAGCCTGTCTGTAATTGTTTTTCGGCCATCAAATACCCAAGTTTCTACTCTTCGCTCATCTTTCGTCTGCATAATTTCTCCAGACTCACAAGTATTGACAGATCATTCCCGGGCCCTGAAAACCCATTAGGAGCCTACCGCCTGGCAATGAATAGCGAGTTTTTGTCTGGACGGCATGGGCTTACGATCCGTTGTCGCCGTAGGGGTCGGGTGCGCATTTTCAAGCTCTCGCTCTAAACATGTCACAGGTGATGTGTTAATGTCATATCCAGTCATCATGTGTGTTCCCTGCCCGAACATGTCTAAATCTTCAAGGTACAAGTACAACTGTGTGTAGTGTTGTATGCATGGTGTGGCGTGATGTAGCCGGCAAAGCTTCCCGGACAGAAAGCTACCAAGAGACATGACTCAGTTCCATCTCGAATCTAGACTTGGAGATCTAGAATCTGAATCTACCTATGCAAGGGCACATCGAATCTGCCGTCTAGACCCTTGGGCCTCAAAACCCACATGGCCTCGACGAACATGACTTTAGTTCGCGCGTAGTGTGACCCGACGTGCATGCCAGTGTGGGCGGGGAGAAAGTGAGAGAGAGAGAGTGTGTGTGAGAGAGTTAGACATGGGCTTTGGGATGTTTTGGAGGGGGCTAGAGAGGGCTGTGGGGGTGGGGCTTGCTTGAACCGGAGGGAAAGTGTAACGGATTGACTTGATAGGGCGGAGCTCGACAGATGCGAGCTCGAGCATGCATATGTTGTTATCATACTGAAAATGGCATTGCGGTAGAAAGTAGCCTAACCCTTCTAAGATCTCAGATAGGGTTAAGCCTTGTTGGTAACTAGAGGTTGTGTAGCTACATGCAGCCGCTAGATCCATGAAAGTTTAATGTGACTTATCAATCCACTCCCAGTCCTCACTCTCGTCGGCATCGTCTTCTTCGACCCCTACGACAATGGCTTCATCAGAGATGCTTTCTATGCGAGCTCGTTTCCGGCTAGGGGATGCACTTCTGACGCTGACCATGTCCCACTCTTCTAGATCCTTCTCAGTTATCTGAATACCTGACATCGTCCTCGGGTTTTCAGTTGCATCTTCCTCATCTGCCTCGGAAAGAGAGCCAAATGGTGTCGCCTTCACCCTAAACACTATCTCGTGCGACTGTTGCTTTTTATTCGGTGGTTCATCACGTTTCGCCCTCGCTGCAGCATCTGCAGCAGTGAACGCACTACGCAGCAGCGCTTTAGCTTCCAGCTCTTTTGCTGCTTTCGTCATCATCTGTTGAAACTCAACATCATGATCGCCAACGAATTTCTTTGGGGCCTTGATCCTGAGTAGTGGATACAACAATCTGTGTTGCTGACACTTGCTTCCAGGTAGCGGCCAGTTACCTTCAACTTCGACTACACGCAAGGAATCACCCAGCTTGGCGACTTGAGCACAAGTGATCGCCCAGGGGAACAAGTTGCCGAAAGTGCTCTCTTGGATACGCAATCTGATATGGCGTATATGGGTCCGCGCAAATGGCGATAGCTTTTCGAGAAACACGGGAAAGATGCCCTCCAGAGCCTGAGGCCAGAACTTGACGGAGTGGTACAAGATTGGTAGTGCCTCTCCATAGACGAGCCTATTCGTCCTGAGAAGATTGATGTTGATTGGTTCGACCTGGATGGCTTGGAAGGCTGTTTTAATTTGGGGTTGTGCTGGTCGGCTGCCTTTGTAGAGAGAGTTGGAGAAGCGTTTGCTTGAGCTACTCGAGCTGGGAGTCTCTCGGCATATGCAAAGGACATGTTTGCCAAAGGGTGGATCTGTGAGTACATATCTCCAGATCTCGAGACGAAGCTCTTTAGGGAGGGAGAGGAGACGGGAGTGTCCCATCTGGCCGTGCATCTCCATTACGAGAGTTTGGGTGCTATCGACATCAGCCTTGCTGGCGGGGTCGAGCATCTGCGCTTTATAATAGGAACGTCGGAGCCTGGGTTGAGTGCATTTGAACAAGAATGTGAAGTGGAATAATCCCACCAAGCTCGAGAAAGGAATTATACATGTGCAACTGAAGAGCGATGAAGAGTCAGGGAGTCAGTCCTGCTGCCTCAGCTGGCCACGGCCGAACGCACTGATCAACCTGGGGGCTGTTGCGGGGTCATCAGCCTTCCCCAACTTGCATTGCACGTATTACGCCCTGTTGATCACTAGCCAACACGATTTTCGCTAGCAGAGATGCTGAGATGACTTTTGTTTTCTACACCTGCCTCGCTAAAAACGACAATGAGACGATCATGACTATTTGGAATGAGGGGAGCGTAGATGCGCTCCCCCCGAGGAAGTATTAGCGACAGCGACGCTAAGCCTTACGCCCAAGCTTCAAAGCGTCGACACGTCAGTACGTACCCAGCAAGCACAACGCAACATGCACACGGGCAGATATTCGACCCCCGGGCGCGATGAACGGGGCAGACACAAGGTCAAACGGTGAATCCCATGCGGTCGAGCAGCTCCCTACACCACACGCAACCCCCGAACCGGACCAGGTGGCATCTCCGAGCCGTCGCCGCAACCATGGAGCGACCACCGACAGACCGCTACAGAACGTGACGAATGTGTACAAAGCGGAGCCAGGCGGCCCACTGAGCCCCAATCCAAGTAGCACGAGGACGAGCATGCCCGAAGAGGCCATACTGTCCGATACGAGCGAGAAGATACGCCCAATCAAGCGGCCTGGCGATGGGCGAAGGAAGAGCAGCGTGTCTGACCACGACAAGCTCCTCAAGCTCAGTCCACGACAGATACAAGAGCTTACGAGCGAGCCCGCGAGCATTCCCATACGAGCTGCAACCCCAATCCTCGAGGACGAGCTAGAAAACGAGACACCTGGACAAGATACAGATGGACAGGACAACACCAAGATCTTGGCTCTAGTGCTAGAGCGACCTATAGAATTCAGTCATATCAAGAATGGAGAGGCACGGGGCAGGGGCTCAAAAGGCCGCCAATTGGATCAAGAAAAGGAAGTCGTTCTGATCAAGACGCCGGCGACCGAGTTGAAGCGTGGTCGGCCTGTGCTCAATGCGAGATCGATCACCACGCCCTCACTCGGGCCCAGAACGACGTCAAATTCAAGATCTCGGCCCCATATACAGGCGCAGGATGGAGAGGAGAGGAGACCTAGCCGGCAAGTTCCTCCGCCCCTAAGCCTTGAGCCTAAGGACGGGTCGTCCAAGCCCTTGCAGCACGACAGGCACAAAGATGCCCGTGACATGCGAGACATGGCTTCACCAACACCAATAGCCTTGCCATTGCCACCACTGTCAGTGCCGACCTTCTTATCACTCGAACTCTCTGCAAACCGGCCGTCGCCGCTGTACATCTACCGTCCCCCATCGACGGACTTTCCGTACGAGTCGTCGGAAATAAAGTACGAACGCTTGCTCAATTTCCTCAAGATACCGTTCAAGATTGAGGGCATCTTGGGCTTCGGTGCTCTCGCTTGTCTGGACGCCTGGATGCACGTGTTAACTATTCTGCCCCTACGCTTCTTATTTGCTGTTGCTATCCTCGTACAGTGGTGGGGCTCAGTAATTGTCAAAGAGTTCCGTGACTTAGGGGCATTCGTCTACAACGGTCTGCCCCGGGTGTGGCAGCGGAGAAAGCAAAACGATAACCCAACACCCTTAACGACAATAGCGGATGAGGAGCCTCCTCCCATGTCGGGGAAGCCACCCTCTTCTCCTGTTCCTTTGGCCAACCCTACAGCTAGGCAGAACAATCAGCAAAATAGCCATGCGTCAACGAGCTTCAAGTTTCCAGACCCGAAGGAGCCCAGACCAAAACGTACTCAAAACTCTCGCTTCCGTCATCGCCGGACCAAATCTACCCCTTCTACGCTCCTACCCAGTCACAAGGCAGACATTCTCAAAGGATTGCTGGTCATTGCAAGCTGCTTTGTGCTGATGCGGTTCGATGCAAGCCGCATGTACCATGGTATCCGCGGGCAATCAGCCATCAAACTCTACGTTATTTACAATGTCCTCGAGGTCTGCGACCGTTTGCTTTCCGCCGTCGGTCAGGATGTTCTCGAGTGTCTCTTCTCCCGTGAAACGCTCGACCGTAATTCTGACGGCCGAAGCAAAGTCCTCCGTCCATTCGGCATGTTTGCGCTTGCTCTCGTCTACACTGTGGCGCACGCTACCGCTCTCTTCTACCAGGTCATTACGCTCAATGTCGCAGTCAATTCGTACTCCAATGCGCTGCTCACGCTTCTGATGTCGAATCAGTTTGTCGAGATTAAAGGCACCGTATTCAAGAAGTTCGAAAAAGAGAATCTATTTCAGATCACTTGCGCAGATGTCGTCGAGCGCTTTCAGTTGTGGCTCATGCTTCTCATCATCGCTATGCGTAATGTTGTCGAAGTTGGCGGTCTCAGCATCCAAAGTAGCAACACATCGTGGACAGCCATGTTCACTGGCGCTAGCAATGCTACTACAGCGACTACGTTCACAGCCTCGAACATCATTCCGATGAGCTTCAATATCTTTCCAAAGTACATTGCTCAAGTTCTGCACCCTTTCCTACTGGTAATCGGTAGCGAGATGGTCGTGGATTGGCTTAAGCACGCGTACATTACCAAGTTCAATCAGTACAAGCCAGAGGTGTATAGCAAGTTCTTTGACGTTTTGGCGAAGGATTACTACTCCAACGTAAGCATTTTGATCTTCGAGGCTTGGAATCTTCTAACTTCAAAAAGGCCTTTACCGATCCGAGCTTGACGCGACGTCTGGGACTGCCAGTCATACCATTGTCTTGCCTTTTCATTCGCGCTGCTATTCAGACATACCACATGTTCATCGCCATGCACATGCCACCTCCCCTGACCGTAACATCTACTACATCGCTGACTTCCGAGTCGGCATCTTCGCCAGCGACGACTGCGGCATTCGCCCACATCGACCAAATCTTTCGCCGCGCCCTAGGCCGCTCTTCCTTCGGTGCTGGTGTGCCCCCCCAATCCTGGTTTCACCCCTCTTCTTGGACACTTGACGACCTAATTGCCGGCTCAACCATGCTCATGGTCTTCTTGGTTGGGTATCTCATTCTTCTTGCTTTCAAACTTGTCCTTGGTATGTTGTTGTTGACTGTGGCGAGGAAGCGGTATCGTGGGATGCAAGAGCGCGAGATGATGAGCGTGGATACGGGAGGCAGGAGGATTGGGGGTTGGGGCGTGGTGGATGTGGATGAGGAGAAGAGGAGGGCTATTTATGATGATGACCCGGACGCTTTGAGGAGGCTAAGGGAAAGGGATGAAAAGGGGAAGAAGAAAGAGGATCAGGAGAGAGAGAGAGGGACGAACTTCGGGCATGTGAGTCGGTATGCTATGGTTGCTAAGAGGATTTGGTAGTCAAAGACATTTCGCATTTCACGCAATACTTGATCTCCTCCCGTCGGCCGTGTTGTAAGATTCTTCTTGACGGGGGCAAGGCTGCGACAAGGCGGCCTTTAGACAGTAACGTAGCCGTAGCGAAAATCAGATATGAGAAACGAGTGTGACCGTTTCCAATCTGAAGCATATGCTTGCTTTGCGCTGACTTCTTTCCAAATTATAGACACTACTCGATTTAGGAGAGGAAGTGCCAAGGTTCACACTCACCCGTCAAAGAAGCCGAGGCATAAGCCGTTGCATAAGCCGTTGGTGCATACTAATCACCCCAACCAAGACCACAACCTGACTACCATTACACCCCAGCGTCACTTTAAGCGACCTTTGCATCTGTCCTGGGGTCTCGTACAATCCTCCACAATCAAGGTGTCACTGGTACTCCTCAATAATGGCTCAAAGTACTGGCCCGCTATCATTCACGGAACAGTTTGCCTTGAGAAACCTGGGCAACAATAAGTTCGAAACCATCAATAACCCACAGCGAATGGGCAACCCGTCGAACATAGCATATGGTGGCTATGCCCTCGATACGGCCTGCAAAGCAGCCTGCCTCTCTGTGCCTGAAGGCTACCACCTGTACTCCATGCTGGGTAACTACTTGGGACCAGCATACACAGACCGACCATTACGTGTCAGTGTGCGCGAGATCCGACAAACACGAACCTTTGCCACGCGGCAAGTAGAGATAAGCCAGGAGCGCGACGACGGAAAGAAGCGCACATGTCTCATGGGCCTCGCAGACTTCCAAGTGCAAGAACAAGCAGCGTTATTGAAATACTCGCGCGCGCCGAACGAGTCGTACCCGCATTGGAAAGACTGTCCAACGCAGCACGACGCCGAACAAAAACTGCTTGATGAAGGCAAAATCTCACAGGTCCTTCTTGATGCTCATACCGCAAACTTCAGCCTTATGCCTGCTATCTTCGACCAGCGCTCTATCCCTTCCAGCATCTTCGCACAAAACCTCTACGGGATGGCCAAATATTTGCCTCACTCTCAGGACTCACTTCCCCTTGCCAAACGCACAACAGCAGACTGGTTCCGCTGCCACCAGCCCCTCCCCACCACTGCGGACCACACGACCAACCTCGCATTCCTGATCGACGGCGCTATAGCCTTTACGCCGCTGAGTTTCAGCCACTTGTTTTTCGAGGATGTGGCTGCGGTGAGTAGTCTGGACTTCGCGCTGAGGTTTTTCATTAATGATGTAGATGTGACTCAATGGCATTTGAGGGAAATGAGTACTACTGTAGGGGCTGAGGGGCGCTCGTTTGGGGAGAGTTGGGTTTGGGATGAGCGGGGGAGGGCCGTGGCGTACATGAGCCAGCAGAGCATACTTAGGCCGAAAGTGGAGAGGAAGGAGAGGGCAGAAAAGCTCTGATGCGGGAGGATGTTTCCTGGGCAAGGGGTCATTCCGTGTAGTGGGTGTAGTTGGTGTTATACTGGTGCTATACTTGCACTGCTTGTGTTAGGGTACCTTAATTCGCTATTGTCTTGAACATTGTTGATATACTGCACATGTCTAAGATTGTACCAACATTAGTTAAGAGTCTCAACAACCTCTCGCTTTCCTCCAAAGTGGAATCTCATAAGAAGAACTTACAAGCCCTGCTTAGCTCATTATTCCTACTCTGATCCCGTAGTGCCATGCACCGTCTCCACCTCCGCACACACTACGCCAATATCGTCAAATCAAAGTGCGTTGGCAAGAGAAACGACACATGGAGGACCCGGGCTAAAACATCCGCCACTGACAAAGCCGTAGAGCAGGGAGTGATATGAGCACGATCAAATTCTGCTGTAGATTGCGTCCAATGATGCTCACCTAGACTACTGCCTGCCGAAATGATTTCCGTGGCCAATTTAGTGAAAATGAGCTGATAGTGCATGCCTAATCCAGGTGTTCACGGTGTTCTTCAAACGACCCTATTCAACGTGTGGTGTGGTGTGCTTCGGCGCCTCACGAGACTTCCCGTCGTGGAACGCCCCATTGCAGATATCCGAATATCTTCTTCTTTTTCTTCTCTAGAATTTAGCTTCCATATGTTATTAACTTGACCTTCCTAACCACTCAAACAACGCCTGATGATACCTCTCACTATTCTGCACCTGCGGGCTATGACCAAGGTCATCAAACTCAGCGAGCTCCGCATCTGGAATCCTCTTCGCCGCTTCCTTGCCTAGGACATCATACTTCCCCAGTTTCGCCTGCACAGCTGGCGGGCTCCACGCCTTTCCTATCGCCGTCGAGTCTTTCATGCCTATTAGTAGCAATGTCTTCGCCTTTACAAGCTCAAGCTCATAGACTATCGGCTGCGTTAAGATCGCATCCGTCATCAAGGCCATATTCCACGCAAACGTCGTGTTCTCGCCGGGAAGTCGGTACAGCGAAACGGACATATTGACCCAGACATCATACTCAGACTTCCAGGTATTGACATAATATGTAGCTTGCTGGTACTTCCGGATGGAGGTGTAGTTCGTCGCAAGTTCGTCCTTGTAAAGAAGATCGATGGGCCGCCAGGGTACACCGAGCGCTTTCCAGTCCTCTAGTCCTAGGGGGTTGGTAAGGATGAGATGAGATGTGACATTTGGATACATAAGTGCGAAGCGTGTAGCTAGCATGCCGCCCATGGAGTGGCCCAGCACGTGAGCTTGCCTGATACCCAATGACTGCAGTAACGAGTACGTGTTATATGCTAATTGTTGTAGGGAGAACTGATACGATGGAGGTTTTGAGGACTTGCAGAAGCCGATCTGATCGGGGATGATGACGCGGTAACCATTTGTAGAAAGGCGACGGGCCGTATCCTCCCAGGTTGCACCACAAAAGTTTTTGCCGTGCAGAAGAACGATAGTCTTGTTTGTATAATAGCTAGTAGTGTTTGGTGAAACATCCATGTAAGCCATTGACAGGTTCAGCCGTTGCGAAGTTAGGTTTTGGTACTGAACAGGCCATGGGTATGGGTAATTCCAAGTACTGGGAGGGACGATGACATTGCCGAAGACAGTGGTAGTAGCAACGGCTAGCAAAAGGGTTATACAGTGCATCTTTGCTGTTCATAACCGTAAGTTCGATATGCGAGTTTGTGAGATCTCGCGAAGGGGTCTGTAAGATGATATCAAGTTCGACACCCTTGTCGTTGTGTTCCCTGTATGCGGTGCAATGACGCCAGTCAATCTGCGTTGACCCACTCTTCCTCTTATCTCCTTCCCGATGTTTGTTAGACTGGAACCATGCCTTTTCAAGAAGATATCTCAATACTCATTGCCTTGAGCTACTAACACATTAAACTTTCTTTCTCTTGGGCTCCCCTGGTAATCAATTGCCGCCAATCCTCTTGATTGCCCTTCCAGCACCAAGTTCCAAAGAAATTAAAGCACTCAATTAACAGATTACAGCAGATATGGTTGAACAAACATATGTTTGCGCTTGTGTCGAGACCTTTGAAAGTGGCGGGTTGCAACGACCACTAAACTTCAAGGTGGCGAGGCATCATCATCACTCCTGACCCCAATAATTCTCCCAACACGTAAGTTGTCCACACACACACAGACTCGGAGCTATTTTCCATCTCTGAAGAAGCCGGATCAACGAAAAGTCGATGATGAGGCCGTCTCGACATGGCCCGCGGATCACAGTCAGTGAAGCCTAAACGGCTAAATTACATTGACCCTAGTTGACCCTACACTCGGAACCGCGAAGATGCAGCGCTCGTTGCGAAATAGATGGAAATACGAGGGTACTTTTCAAAATGTGTGAGCCATGGTCAGCTACTCACTTCATGATGCACACAATGCGGAAGATGGAGCTGGAAAGCTATTCATTTGATTTAGGGAGGCTCATCCAGTATCAACTGCCGTGTGCAAGGTATGTGCGCAACCATCAACCTCCTGGCGACCTAGCTAGACAGCCACGCGGAGACATTCTGCCAGTGCCCCTGCCTAGCTAACGATCTACTCTCGATATCCGGGGAATAGTCGAATCTAGAATGCTTGTTTGTAACGACCCTATATGGAGTACTTCTATTTTAGGTTAGTGTTACGGCTGCTCAATCTCAATGAACGATGTCTCCGGGTTGCCGGTGCTGAATAAAGATGTCTTAACCACAACCCGTAGTTCCAACAGCGATTTTGTGTCTTCGTCAAGGCAGCCTATCAAGATGATGTTCCTCGCCGCTTTCGTCGCTGTCGTTGGCTTTGTCTCGCTGTCCTCGTCCAAGCCAGTGGAGTCGAGAGCTGTGGTGGGCGCATCCAATGCGAAGACGTCCTTGACGCTCATCTATCAGAATAATTTGAACGCTTCGGATGACAAGAACCACGTAGGAGCACTCATCCTCGACGCCATTCCTCAGGCCAACGCAGCAGCCGCATGCGACTCTCTCCACGAGAAACTTCTCCCCAAAGCTACGATTCAAAAATTTGAAGCGGATTTCAACGACGCTCTTTCCTATCAAGACTATGCCAAATACCAGGATGCTGAAAGAGGATACTACATTGAAAACGGGACCGTCTCAGTAGGCGACCAGATAAGTTACTCGACTGTGTCATCGGGGCCTTCGCGCAAAGAACTTCCAGTGCTATGCACGCAGTCCGCAAATAACAGTTCTTCGAGTGCCGGACCCGGTAATGGTAGCACAATTGCCGTAGCAAGTGGAAGCAACATATTCATCGGCTACCGCGACCAAAAGTCCTTCCGCTTCCTAGGAGTCCCCTACGCTGACACGCCTCAGCGTTTCAAATATTCCTCGGTCTACTCCAGGACTAGCCAAACTATCCAAGCAACTAGTTACGGTTCGCAATGTGCGCAAGGGGGCTCTGGTAGTGAGGACTGCCTATTTCTAAACATCCAAACACCGTACTTACCCAAGTCCGGCTCAAAGAAACAGCTTCGTCCCGTGCTATTCTGGATCCACGGCGGAGGCTTCACGGGCGGAAGTGGTGCTGATTCGCTTTCTGATGGCGGCAACCTCGCGTCGAAAGAAGACTTGGTCGTTGTTAGCATCAATTACCGTCTATCCACCTTAGGTTTCCTGGCCATTCCCAGAACAGAGATCAAAGGCAACTTTGGTATCGCAGACCAAGTCACTGCGCTGGACTGGGTCGTTGCAAACATTGCGTATTTTGGCGGTGATCCAAAAAGGATTACTATTGCGGGCGAGTCTGCAGGTGCTGGATCTGTACGTACGCTGCTTGGTTCACCAAAAGCGATTGGGAAATATGCAGGTGCTATTGCGATGTCGAACCTTGGAGGCGGTGTCACTCTCGGTCTCAGTGGCGACTATGGAACGACGTACTCCACCTACTACACTATCGAGCAGTCGTACAACGTCGCAGGGCCGCAGATATTTGCTGCGATGGGCTGTAACGACACAGACTTGTCAGCTCAGATCGCCTGCCTTGAGAAAATACCAGCTGCGGAGCTGGTAGGTCTTTCAACGGTAGCGCGGTATGTGGTGCAAGACGGCAAATACGTTGATACACCGAACCTCATCCTCTCTACTCGCAATGCGAGCACCGCACACGTCCCTGTGATCTTCGGCATCACGCGTAACGACGGCGCCTCATTTTCTACTTACCCAAAGACACCCATCTCCAATCATACTCAAGGCTTGCAAGTCGCGCTCAGCATCAACAGCACCTGGGCTCAGCGCGTCATCGAATCGAACCTCTTTCCCTTGACAGATACTGGCAATCTAACACTAGATTCATTTAATGTATCCCAGCGTATCGCAACAGATAAAACCTTCCGTTGTATCGACCAGGCAACCGTGTATGCTGGTGCTTCTACTCGTGCCTTTGAGAAAGCTTACTACTACCAATTCGAGCGCACTATTGACGGCTATGATCCCAACAATCTCGGCCAACCTGCAAACGGTAACCCGAAGAACCCTTACTTCCGCTTCCATGGTGCGGATATGCCATGGCTGTTCGGTACGTTGAATAGAATCCGTGAGCTCGAGGATCTCTGGTCAGTGCAGCTGGTCAGTAGTTACTTTGGTGCATTTGTGAGAAGTGGAAACCCGAACCCGAGCCTTCTATATCTTGATGCCAGAGGGTACGACAAGGTGATTGAAGGAGTAAAGAAGCACGGTAGTTGGGGCGAGGTTGATGCAGATAAGACGGGTGGGAATGAGATTAGGCTCTTGGATTGGCCAAGTAAAAGTGCTGGGTTTGTGGACGTGAAGCAGTGCGCCTGGCTTGGATACCCATTGAATTACTATCTGAAGGGTGGCAAGTAAACAGGAAGGGCTTGGATCATGTAATGATACTATCTTGATTCATATAGCTAATATAAGTTGTATGTGTTTGCGGTTCGTTTCCGGTCATGAGGTGATACGTGGCAGGAATTCAAGGACCCTCCTCGTTTTGCACAGCACTTCATCACCATATAATGTGCATCGATACCTTCAATTGCCGCAGCTCATTGCATACCAAGTGCGACCCTAGCCCAACAAGTCTCCATGTCTTCAACTAGGGTTAGAAAGTCATCACTCTCAAGATGCCGGAAAATGAACTCATTCAAAGTAGCCCTTCGGTCGTCATCAGCCTGCATTACGTACGTTGCAAGGCTGTCGTCATGATTGTTCGCGGAGCCTGAAGCACCTTGGGAGACAATGGGTGACGGATAAGTCGCTCCGGATGTAGGAGGGGTGGTAGGAGTACTCTGCGATATGATCCGACGGGCATTTTGGGCGGGGATACTGAGTGTTTTAAGCAGTCGCGACGATGGATGAGCATTGGAGCTTGACCTCTTGACCAACAGCGGCGAAGAAGCTGGTGACGAGCTTAGAAAGTGCTGGTTCTCGCGCTCCTCAAAGGGTGGAATTTTGGTTCCCATCAGTGTGGCGTATTCCTGATTTGGTGTGCGAGGAGGTTGCTGTGTCGCTTGCATCTCAGGTGTAGATTTATCGATAACCGTAGGCCGTGGCAGAGGAGGAAGTTCGGTGTGCTGGCTTGGACTGGAGCTTGGTCGTAGACTAGCCACGCGTGCCGGCAGAGGAGGCGGACCCATTAGACCAGTTGAAGGTCGGCTAGCAATTCGAACGCTATCGCTTCCGGACGATAGTGGGAAAGATAAGCGCGGAAAGGGAAGTTCTCGCCTAGGCGGTAGAATCGACTCAGCTGTGTTGGGGCGACTGTAAAACATGGCAGTTTCTGGGCGCGCTTCAGAGTGTCTTGGAAATTCTTCAATGGTTGGCATAGGTCGGTCCTGTAGTGGAAAGACCGAGTTGTTGATTGTGTGACCCAATATGTCTGAAGTGGCTGATGTCGGTCGAGTAAAGTACACCGGTGGCGCAAGAGGGTCACGGTACGCTCCAGTAGTGCTGGGATCAGTAATATAGCCCGCGTATGCAGACATGGGATGCAGATGAGCGGACTCCTGTTTTTGAGACTCCAGCGACGTGAGTGCATTGTTGGTCGTGCAGGGCCGGTTGGAGATCTCTGATAGCCTTGACGGAGGGCAGGTTAATGCTCCACTGGCAGACTGGCAAAGATGTGCCCCGGCTAATGAGCTAGCCTTGGTTTGTGATATTGAATCGCGCTCTGGTGAAGGGGTCGGTGATTGAGTCTGGGCCTGACTTTCGCTGGAGGAGCTCATTCGCAGACCAAGCTGGTAGAGATGATTATAAGCGGTGTCAAAGTCCTCGCTCGACCTAAACTTGAGCTGGGCACGGCGGACCTATACAGCCTGTGAGCTGCGCGCGTGTAATTATATGAAAGCTCTCACCATCTTGTTGGGCAGCTTCCAGCGGATAGCCAGTAGGGGGCAGCGAACAATTGCAGATATTGGCAGCTGTTCGGCCTTCAGTTCAATTCCACGGTCCCGCATTGACTGTGCCATTTCATCACCTTCGTTGATCAAGAGCTCGAGCTCGACCACTTGCTAGATGCCATGCATTAGCTCTTGTCCTGTCAAGATCTCTCGTGCGTCGGCACGGTGAAGGTCCACGAATCGTACCCGAATTTGTGTGCCCTGTACCACTTTGAGAAGCTGAGAAGCGCGATGGGCACCATAGCTGTCGAGGACGAAGGTGAGATCATGTTGTTCATGCTTCCAGGTGAACTTTTGCTTTGCCGGGTCAGCATCTTCAGCCACGGAGAGTTTGGCGAGAGGAAGTGATAGCATGCTGTGTTAGTGACGAGGTCTATTAGTCTGGATCAATGGTCTTGCATCTAGTAGTACGCCTGGTGATGAAGGCTCTCATGGAGCTAGCCACTCTAGGGTGGAGTCGAGTGAAGAGGAGGGAGTCTCTAGTTGTACAGACTGCAGAGGAAATGGCGACCTACAGGTCATGTGACCGGGGACTGGTGGCTCGTGCGCGGGCGCGAGGGACTTGGGGCAACTAGGTGCATTCTAGTGTTCATCCATCGATTTCGCGACGGGAGCGCGCCGCGCATTCAACAGCAACCAGAACTGCCATTGCGCCTGGCACACCGCTCATCGCCCGTGGATGTCTCGCGATCCACGCCTCAACAGTCTCAGGTCAATGCGCCAACCGCAATATGGCCCCTAACAAACCGACAGAGCCATCCATCGAGCGCACCCAAGAATATGACGAGTTCCTAGACACGTTAGCAGAATACCACGAGAAGCGAGGGTGGGTGCACTGTTTCGCGTCATTGCAATGAGTACATATTCACGTAGTTTGCAGAACGATTCTAGACCGCGAACCCAAAGTTGGGAGCCGACATATCGACCTATTGCGCCTCTATAAACGCGTGAATGAGGAGGGCGGATACGACAAGGTCTCAGATACTAAAGGCAATAAGCTGGCCTGGCGCAGAATCGCTACCGAATTCCTTCCCCATAGCCCCAGCATTACCACCCAGGCATTCCTGGTCAAGACAGCATACTACAAGAATCTTGCGTACGTGGAGCGCCCTAGGGTATCCTCTCAGCCGCACAGTAGCTAATGCGCTCTAGGGCCTACGAGATATCGACCGTCCACAAGCGCGAACCCCCGCCTAAAGAGATCCTCGAAGACGTCTCTGCAAAGGGTGGAGACGTGCTGACTCGAACCGTCGACAACTTCTTTCCATCAGGCAGCCGCGAAGCCGATCGGTTACGAAACGGAGAATCAGAATCAGAAGACGAGGACGAAGACGCCGACATCAAGAAAACACCCAAAGACGATAAGATGGAAGTCGACGAGCCTGGCAGCGTCGGTCGGTCGACAAGATCGCTCCGCCATGCGCCCCCCCAGCGTGTTCTCTTCCAACCCGACACCTCGACCCGTCAAACGCGCCAGTCTACGGGCCACCTGAACCCCCCCCAGGTCAACGGCTATGGCACAAGCGGGGCTGCTGTGACGATTGCGAACTACGAACCGCGCAACCCACTACCGGCCACGATGAAGCCCGTCGTGACCCCGTCGAACAGCTTAGACATGTACATACAGTCGCGTAAAAAGTACATTTTGAACAAGAGGAACAGGCCCGTGCCGCTCAAGGGCATGATGTTACCCGGCACTGGCTTCCCAGGACCCAACATCTACATCCGCGCTCTCCACGCGCTACGCTCAAGAGAGCCTGAGGAAGAGGCATACGCGCTACATCACCTGGTGAAGATCTCACATGAGCGGGGCGACAAATATCGCTTCGATCAGTTCCCCGGGCTTGCTGAGGCGCTCATCGCAAAAGTCATCGACGTTGGCTCGTTGTTCTTCGATGTGAGCTGGGAGATTTCGTATGTTGAAGATGACTTTGAGCAACCCCATATCCTCAATGGTCTGTCCGCCACCCGCGATTTGCTCAAGAGGATTCAGTCGTTACGAACACTCGATATTCACGACGATCTACTATCGGAGGGCACCGCAAAGGCTCTAAATTTGGTCAACGAAGCGGCCTTGATCATCCGAAACATGGTCATGCTAAAGGAAAATGCCCAATTTGCCTCCATGATTCCTTCCGTTCAGGATCTGATTGTCATCGCCCTCAATCTACCAAAGCACCCTACCGTGGTCGAGCTGCAGCACTACGCTCTCGAGATTGCTGAGCAGTTGACTAAGTACTGGATATTGAGCTCAGACAGCCCGCTATATCGCTCGTTGTTGGCTCAAGTCGATTCAGATGACCGTGGCAGGATCATCACCTCGTTAAGGGCACTTGCCCGAATAGCCATGAACCTCGAGGCTACGAATAAATTGTCCAACGTCCCAACAAAGACGTTGAAGTCAATATGCGATTGGCTCCTCGTGGAAGATGAAGATTTACGGATAGCATGCCTGGACTTCCTCTACCTCTTCACCGGATTTCCGGACAATGTCGAGCTACTTGCGCATGAGGTTGATCTTGAAGGGGTGGTGAACCAGTTGGTTCGTTTACTACAATATGGCGCTGTTGCTTATGAGGAACGTAAGAGTGCACCGAAGACATCGAAATCATCAACGCCGACCGAAGGCGCGCCGAAGCTGTCATCTGCCATCATCGATCATCTCGTTACATTAGATGAGCCCGAGCGGAGCTCACAGTGGCTCAAGACATGTTTTGAGGAAGATCCTGCTGGTGAGATTACACAGATTCAGCTCTGGTCAGCATACAATGCCGCTTTTCAAGAATCAATGACTTCCAACCCAGCTGCATTCAAAGCGCTCATGCCAGCCAAGGATTTCATTACAAATGTCTCCACAACGTTCGGCGGCGCCTCTGCTCAGGTTTTGACTGTTGGTGGACAACCGAAATACACCATTCGAGGCATAAGACCACGAACAGTGCCGGTTGATCCAAGCACGAAGAAGCCATACATGCGATGCTGCTGGCATCCCACAAGCCTGCTCAATGGGCATGCCGACTCCAAACACTCCACCGCAAAAATTGAATGCGGGGAGTTCACTTCCGGTGCCAGGGCAATGTGGGAACATATTGTAGCCGTTCACCTCAAAGTTCCGCGGGACCAGGAAACCGGACAGTGGTTGCTCGAACCTAAACCCGATATTGATATGGAGAACGGCGACGTGCTGTCCGCGACGAAACCGACGAAGTACTTTTGCCATTGGGGCGGATGTACGCATTTCACGCCTGCTGGTACAGAGAGTGCATTTGAAGCTGGTCAGCACATCAAAACGCATCTACCGGATACAAGCATCAAGCAAGTCATGCATGCAAAGCACAATCGTACGCCCTCGGAATCTCGCCCAATTACCTCATCCGCACAAGTTTCAAGTTTGAATTTTCAACCCCAGTTTGGACAACCTGCTGGATTAGGGAGTTTGGGCATGGGCGGGAGATATAACAATTCATCGCGCTCGGAAAGTAGAAATGGGGGCAATAGAGAGGGAGGGACGGGTGGCGCAGTGGAACACCAACCAGCGCCTAACTTTCGTTACTACAACACAGCAACGGACGAAGCGAACGACGCGGCCGGGCTTCCCCTATCCTCGGTCCTCGTCTTGCGCAACCTCGCACGTCAACTTAACAAGATACCACCACCTTCTTCCGTGACTGAAATCGCTTCTCCTTCTTCGCCGACGCACAAGCGTACCTTTAGCGAATCCAGCCCAGAACATCGCAGGAATACGAGTGGCAAGAAACCCAGGTTGAGCGATGCAGCAGGGGAGCGGACTCGGGAGCAGGAAAGGGAGAGGGAAGAGAAGGCCGAACAAGAAGCACGTAGTGTGGGCTGGGTTACGAGAGTTTTCGCCCCAGTACGGGAGCAAATCGCTTTTGTAGCGAGCCATAATCTTACGTTGAGGAACTACATGGGGAGTTTGCTGAAGGCGGTCGCCGAGGGCGGGGGGTAAGGTGAAAAGTACCATATCGGGAGAGGGGCGGCGTTTGAAGGAAATGGAATTCCTTGCGAGTAATGTGAATTCGGAGTTTTTCGAGCATGGATATGGGGCTGTGCGCTGCTTTTCTCTCTCTTAGTACCTTCGGTATGTCGGGGATTCAGGGGATTATTCTTTTGCATATCTTGGGTGTGTGGAATTGACAGCTTCTAGCGTAGCTCCCATTGTGTTGTTGCATTGACTGCCTTCCGAGTACTGCTAATGTGTTCGACCTTCGTCTCCGACGACATAGCCTCTTGCGATCCCACTCCTCCCTTCTTCCATCTTGGCCGCACGTCCATCCACCCCGTTCTCGCCTTCCTCGCTTCTATAGTCACTCCCTAGACCTTGCCATGTCCTGTTTGAACGTAGGTATTCCGCTCCTGGCGACGCGACACCGCCCACAGATGCTATATCGCCATTGGCACGTTTGGTCAGTGCGGAGCTGGAGGATGCTATCTGACCGTTCGGGACTGCTCGGGAGGGGGTGTCTTTAGGGGCGATAGTTGAACGCATAGGTCGAGAATGCGAGACGTAGCGGCCAGTTCTGAGATCAAATTCTGGGGGCGCAGATTCTTCCTCGGAGTCATCGTAGTCGCCGTCATCTTTACCATCATCACACATCTGCTCCGCCTCTCTTGTCTCTCCGTTGGGCAGCCCAGTGCTTATATGATTAGTGTTTCTTTCCTTCCTCTCTTTCTCATCGTTGAGAACGGTCTCGAAGTCCGCCTCCCACGCCCCCGTCCACACACGCTCGTCGTCCGCCTTCAATGCTACCCCAAGTTCCCAAGGCGTGATCATTGGCCGCCAAAACTCTCTACTCTCGATCAAACTACTTTCCCAACATCCAATTACGACCCATCCGCCCACCTCACTGAAGTTGGCTACCTTGGCTGCATTCACCTTGCCAACAACGAAGGTGTAATATTTCTTGCCGGCAGCAGTGATTTGGCGTTGGACGTGTGAAAGGATGTGCATGTAGTTCTTCACGGAAAGGGTGTTGATCAGGATGCCGAAGATGGGCGTTGTGGATAAGGAGGTTAGAATGGCGTAGCGGCGGCGGAGGGCGAGGGATGTTGATGCGAGGGACGCAAACGGTGTGGTAGTGGTGTTGAAAGAGGTGGGGTAGATGTGTATTGAGGATACGCGGGAGGAGAGTGTGAGGAGGAGGGCGGTTGGTGGGTCGGAGATATGGAAGAGGGCATATTCTTGGAGCGCTTCTTTTTCTTTCTCTGCGTCAGATGGTACTGTTCGGTTGGGAAGGAGCGAAGAGGGATTATGGACGATTTCGGTAGCGTAGACGCCGGTGTAGCCTTGGTCGTGGAGGCGGGAGTAAAGAGTTGGGATGTGGTGGGAGTATGGTATGTCTGCCATCAAGATGATTTTGGCCTCTTTGTCTGGGTATGTCTCTTTGAATGTCGAGAGCAGGGGGTCTAAGTTGAGCAGCCGCGCCGTGAAGACATAAATAACGGGTAGTCTCGCGGGAGGAGACAGACACGATCGTCCGTAGTGCACAACAACATCCGCGTCGACGTGTTCTGCGGCCACCTCGTCCACGCAGCAGGCGCCGTACGACGTGTCTCCCAGTATGAAGAGCCGCTCTTCCCTATCCTCGTCTTGGGCAATTAATGTCTTTTCCAGCCTTGCGCTTAGCTCCGCATCTGTTGTCGTCCCATTCTGCTGCCCATTCTTTGGAGCACCATCCTGCGTTTTCTTCACCTTGCCCAACCCTCGAGCCAAATGCTCATACACCCTCGGCGCATCCGTGAGCATATGATCTGGAAATTGCAGTGCTATCCTCTTCCATCTCCCCTCTCTTATTTCCCGGACTGTGCGTTCGATGTCGTATGTGAGGGCGACTTGTTCATCGGAGAGGCGGGGAAGGCTCGAAGTGTCTACAGTGGGGGTAGGATCTTCGAAGATGTGCGTATCCGGCGTGGAGAGAACGGGCGCGGTTTCAAAGACTGGGACAGCCATGTCGTGCGTATTTGTTGCGTCTCGGAGTGCACCGAGCTGCGTCTGGTGGCGGGGTCCAACTTTTTTGACGGGCAGCTGGCGGGGCAGGGGAGCGAAGAGCCGCAACGCGCCAAACTGGTGGTAAGCGGGCATTGCATCACTCATGATAGGACAGCGGTTCATTGAGGCCATTTGACTTGTTCCATGACTATACACTACTTATATACCATCGCTTGGGGGAAAACGCCAGATATGCAACCCTACGGCCTTGAGAAGTCAACCAACCTTCAAATCCATCTAAATCACTCCTACATCACATGATCAAGTATCCAGACACAACGGCTGCCAGAGCGAAGCCGAAGAAGTTTGGTGCATACTTGCCAACGCCACTAGTCGTTGTGATAGCAGCGAGCAGCATCTGAGGAACATAGGGCGCCGACTTCTCCACTACGGTGCCGTTCCAACAGTACTGAGTGAAGCACTGCTGGCACACTTCAGGAAGAGCCTCGCCGTTGCGCTCCATACTCCTCGAGAGCATGGCACATCCAACACAAGTCGGCCAGTTCGACGCGCCCTCGCGCGTCGAGTTGGCCTGCGTGACAACATTGTAGCCGTTCTGGATCATGGCATTGCGCTCTGCGATTGAGTAATCAAGCTTGTTGAACGTCGACGTATTGGACCAGAAAACGTAGGGCGAGTTGGGGAGATAGACAACGAGCGGGGGAATGTTGTTGCCTACCGTGACGTTGCTGCTATTGCAACCGAAGAAAGTAGGACGGTTGTTGAGACCTAGCGCGACGAAGGTGTCGTGCCCAGGAATATAAGGGAATGACGTCTTGTTCATAATGGGGGTGTTGGCACGCTCGTATGTTGCGATGAGCGAGGTGCCATTGGGCCAGTTCAGAGACGGAGCGCCCGCCATGACTGTATCGGCAGAGGAGTCAACAGCGAAGATGACATCAACCCGTCTTGTAGGCTGAATGACCGGGTTTAGAGGAATGTTTTGCAAGTCTTCACCACCGTCGACAAGGGTAAGGCGCGTCTTATTCGCGCTAGGGTTGGTAGCATTGTTGAAGCCGACGAAGGGGTTAGGCGTATAGTCAGCAATATCGTTGCTGTCCTTACTAATTCTACTTAAAAGACTTGTCATGGCATTCTTCAGGATATCAGGGATGCCGGTGAAGCTGTCCAATTGCAGGAAGATCTGGTTGAACAAGGAACTGCTGGTGCCCATGATGAAACCAAGGTTATCAAACCCAGCTACACAACCTTGGCCTTGCGGAAGCTCGCCCTTGGAGAAGTTTGAGCCAATGTACTTGGTAGGAGCGAAGCCATACGTGGTTGGGTCGAACGAGCCCATCTCGAAAGGGTTGAATTCAAAAACCGTGGCGTTAAGGGAGATGATGGCGGCTCCCGGGGCACGCTCGTTAGCAATCAGAATGGGCATGGGCGCATTGCCGTTTGAAAAGTCGGTGTCGTTCTGGATGGAGGAGAAGGTATAGCCTGGAGCGCCATCGCTGGCGTTGATGAGCTGGAACGAAAGACCTCGGCCGTACAAATCCGTTATGGACGTGTTGAAGTCTCCAGCTGGCGACTCTGCCTTGGATTTGGCTGAATTGACCAAGTTGGAGAAATAGTCGACGGTGGAAAGAATCTTGATGTCGCCTCCCCGTCGTGGACCAACAAAGAGCGAGTTCTGAAACTGCCAGATGCCAGACTTGTCACCCTCGTTGACAAGGTTCTGCACGGATGTGAAGTTGTTTGCGTAGATGCTGCCAATCATCCAACCTCCACCCGATAATGCTGACACATATGTGGAAGCTTGCAAGAGCCCCCCGAGTTGTCCGTTGCCTGTCGCGCCCGACGTACGACTATCAAAAGCGGCAAGAGCACCTGCTCCGTTCAACAAGGCTCGGTATCCTCCACCCGAAAACGAAATGGCCACGTTTGGCAGCGAACTGGCGTTGTTGCGGTGTTTGTCTATGTATGCGCCGGCATCGAAGCCCTTGATGTTGGCGCGGACGAGGAACTCGCGCATCGGATCTACCGTGTTTGGTCTTCTCTTCTGTAGCCATGCCGTTTCTTCGCGGGAGAGACGGTCGGCGAATCGAATACTCGGGCGCGACGAGGGACAGTCGACCTCAGCGGGCGCGTAGCCGTTCGGGGCCTGGGAAGATGCCCGTTTCCATGTTTCTACAGCATTCGAGGGCGGCGCGACTTCAGCTTCTCGAAGCGCGATTGCGGACGCTATGCATGCGTCAGTGGGTTCCTGCAGCAACACGGGCCGAGTCACTTACAGCTCGCTAAGCTTGTGAAAGCCGAAGCAGCCAGAAAGGAGGAGTATTTCATCCTAGTGAATGCACAACAGCCGAATGAAACGTACGAAATGTAGGAAATACAACAGGCGCAAGAAAAAGAAGGTAAGCAAACGAATGTGGTCAGTAACTGAGTTATTAAATGAGGTGACAGATGTGTGAGCACTGAGTTGCTTCGACGGGACTCTGCGGAATGACCCACAGCCCTCGCGGCTGTGTTTGGCACCAAGCGCCCGAACAAATAGGGACATGTCAGACTCATATGAATAGCCACGCTTAGCGTGGCTGACGTCCCTGAGCCCGACCATCGTTCTTTTTACTTATATTGGTTCTGTTTTTGGGCTGTATATGGTCATCGCTGTCTTGTCGCGTGCGTCAGCGCAACCAACTACTCCCTTTCTCAGTCAAGCTTCTTCGTACAAATATCCAGGCCAACCCTTCCGGCGGTCAGTCTGACACCTCAAGTACACTAACAAAGACGAGGCAGGCAAGTCATCTTACACCGCAACGCGTGGCGCAGGCGCAGAGCGAGCTACTACTGTACACCAGCGTTCCGACTTCCGTGCCCCGCATGCTGACCATGTACTACGTTGTAGAGGGAGTAACAGAGAGTAGAGCTTTGCTACAGTGCAGAGCTGTCGAGGACTAACACATCCAGCAAGTCGTCCTTGCATACATGATTCAGCAGGAAGAATCACTTTAACGGACATGGCAAGATTTCACGACAGAGCCGTAGGTTCTATACGCACATTCGGGTGCCGAGGACACCGCTTTGCGAAACTGACTCGTCTTAGCTAGAAGGCCCACGAGATTAAGGTGGATCGACAAATCCCGTATTTTATATCCCATCGCCTTCGACTGTCTGGTGAAGGCCCAACAGCTGCCGGCGGGTAGCTGCAGATCCGTCCCCGGGCTTCGGCACCATCGGAGCTTGGCAACCGTGGTTGAAGCTTCAACCTATTCTTTCTTTTTGAAACGTTCTTCACATTCGTCTATAACCATGATTCAAAAGACCAACTGTAGAAAATGCCTCCAAAAATCGCCTCATTACTCGCCATTCTTGCGTGCTGTGGGACGCTTAGTATGTTCATGCAGAATCATCACCGCTCAGAGTAGTAGCTTCACCTCAGAAGGAATAGACATCTGGAACCTACGAGTATCGAAGTGGTCTTTGGAACATTGTAAACATGATTGAGCAGCGTATATAGCAAATTCTCTACAGAGTCTCAAATGTATAAGCAACAAGATACATTGCCCAGACACCGTCAAGTGGCCATCGCTTCCTCGCAAACTAGCCGCACCATGGTATCACTTGTCCAAAAACGCCAAACCAAAAGAAATCAAAGCCCATCCGCCTTTTCGGCCAACCGTATCAAGTCTTCATGATCTTTCTGTCTTCTCACTCTGCACTGAGCTTATGACCATGGAGCCACCCGTCCCTGGTCTCTTCCTCGACAAGCTTCGACTCGGACTAAGCATGCCAACCAAGTTTCGATTTCCCGATCCCATAGTCGTCGTACTCTCATTCCAGACCTCGCTTCTCGCCTTACGTTGTTGGATATGCTGCAATGTCTTTTTGAGCGCGGCATACAAATGCTGGTTCTCGCTCATGTCGAGATCTACCCAAAATGAGTAAATGGAAAGCTGATTTCGGTTCACGTCCTTGAAGCGGCGAAGGATGTATTGACGAGCGGACGTCTCGGGCTCAGTATCGTTGGGCACATAGTCTGGAAAGAAGGATGCGAGGGGCGAATGCTGAAGCTTCTCGCGGAAGCGTGTGAAGTTGTTGAGGAGCAAGATGATGGAGGAACCCGTGAATTTTGGAGAGTTGGCCCAGGACTCGAAGTTACTAAAGTCGTAGAGCAGCTGAGATTGTGCCGATTGACCAAGGTATGGACGGTCGTAGATGGACACGTCAACTGTGTAGATGAGTGAAGTTGCGCCTTCGAGTTGGTGAAACCAGCGATTTTGGAAGTGTGCCGAGTTGTATCCGTTGATGTTGAAGAGATGGACATCTAGCTCATCCCAAGTGAAACGGAGCTCTTTGATACCACCCATGGACTTGTTGAGGCGGATAATGTCTGCTTCGCTGGGCACATAGTCTCTGCTGGCGATCCTTGAGATTTCTTGGGCAAAGTAGGCTGCGTATTGCGGGAAATCGATCTCAAAGTTCCGAATATAGAGCGTGGAGAATTCGGGATATGACCATATATTTTCAACTGCTTTGGTAACTCCAGGTGTGATGTGGTGCATGTCCACCGTCTCCACCTCATGGAGCAAGATGGCAAAGTCCTGGTTTAGCTCAGCGGGGAGACTAACACCAGTATCCTTCAGAAGATCAATGATAGAGTGGATAAGCAGTCGGATGGTCGAGTGCACGGCGTAACGGTAAGTCATTCTCTCCTCACTCGGATAGTAGCCCTCGGCGTAGAGGACTTTCATCTGATGCATAATGAGCTCTTTACCGCTAGTCAGATCGCCGACAAGCACCAGCTTCGTCTCTCGTCGCAAAGCGGTCGCTTCGTTTGCTATCGCCCGGTCGATGGCCTCTGAGCGGATGGCTGCTGCAGCATGGTCGTATTCCTCTCCAGTAGGCGTACGATTTCGTTCCGGGTCGGTCCTCTGGAGCTTCAGGTGAAACAAGAACCTGAACCATTGTATCATTCGCGAGACCTGCGTAAGAGCCCTGATGCATCCGCCATTCCATGTCGAAGATCGGGCTAGCGTCTTCAAGTTTGAAACATCTTCCTTTCTTATTTGTCGACTTTTGTGAAGTAGGATTTTGCGCTGCGCTGAAGCATGACTATTTGGGTCAATATACGAGTTGAGAAAAGTTGAAGAGACAATGAACGGCGCACCATTTGCACGCTGCGAGAAGCAATGTTACAGCATCGTTCTGTCGCTGCGCCACCTTCCGCAGCCGCTCCATCGACCTACTGCCGAGCACATACTTCAACTTGATGGCAAAATCCACTGCATCATGGTCCGACTGTTGGAGTCGCGAATTCAAGGCGTCCATGTGCCGCACAAGCAACCCACATGAGGCCATCAAAACGTCCAAGTCGGAAAGCAGTTGCGGGTGCAAATCATGAACCGCATAAGTGAGCCAGTCTTGTATGTTTCCCAGATTCGACTTCAGCGCGGTTAATTGTGCGATCAAGTTGATAGACGTCCCGTTGTTGCCCTTCCATCGGTCATGGATCTGGCGCAAGCTGTCAATCGCTTGTCGCAGTCGGTCTCGGTTGGTTCCGACAGCGCCAATGAGCGCATACACCTTCTTCTCGTCAGGCGGCGCGTTAGCCATGTCGCGTGTCGCAAAGTCAGTGGTTGAGTTGGGTCGCGACGGACCGCATGAGCGGGGGGCTTGAAGAGGAGGCAACAGTCGCGATCTGAGAGAAGCTCAAGGGACGCTGCGCACTGCCCTTGCAAGTGTCCGGGCAGGCTAGGGTCAAGGTTCGCGCTTAGAGTGGTTGCTATGAGACGGGGGCCTGATGCTATCAGAGCCCGGAGCCACGAATACCAACAGCTTGTGAAGACAAGCACCGAAAGGCGGAAAAATCGACATGAAGTAAGCTCCCTCGGGTTCTATGCTGCGCGACGTATGTGACGAGGCTGAAGAGGCATGAGTCCAACCATGGTGAGTCAACGGACGCGCATGAACCTGTCGATCTCGAGGGAGCGTGCGCCTACAGTGCCTTCGTCTTGTTGGAAGGGCCAAGATTTAATTTCGGTTGCAAGCACCACCGCGGTATGATGGTGATGATGATGATGATGAGAAGGAGAGGCGCGCCACGACAAGAGATGCGAATGAGGTCCCTAGAGCAGTGCGAGTGTGAGTCCAACGTCGTGGGTTTGGAGTTGATCTTCAGCCAGTGCGCAGACGTTTGCAGTCGTGGCGTTGCGCCTTCCTCGTGTGACTCTAACTGGCAACTGCACCTTCTGTTCGCCATGTGGCTAGTGCCATCCGCCGCCACGCGAAAATCTTCTCTCGTCATCGCCAAAGAGTATGTAGTGACTGACTTTTCAGTCAACAGCCAACATGCTTACTATATAACTACCCAGCATCTGGGAGATTCGGACGCCATGACTATAGCGAAACACGCGGAAGACATAGACTTTGCAAAGACGCTGAACGCCAACACGCCTTGATCAATATGGCAGCCCTTGGTACGCTACCAAACGAAATTCTCTCGTTAATCACGGGCCATCTTGAGCGTCCGCAAGACCTGCTATACCTTTCGTTGGCGAGCCGACGATTGTCCGAATTCGCACAACTGGACGGGTGGAAGGCATTTCTCAAGGGACGCTTCGGTCTTTGCGGATTAGATTCGGACGCCCCAAGTTCGGTACATGGCTTGACAACGCTCTACCGGAATTGGGATAGTAAAGGCTTCATCGCAAGATATCTGGAGCCATCTGTCAAGACAACAAGTCTCAACAGCTGGCAGTCAAAGATATGGAGAGAACCGCAAGGCCAGACGATGGGTTATCAGCCCAGTATCGACAGCTATGAAGAGATCTATGGAGGCTGGGGTGAGCGAAGGGAGGTGCTCGTGTGGTCTGCTGGCACGCAGATTGTCATGAGGATCAAAGAGGCCGGATTGAACATAGACAAGATTCGCAAACAAGAAGACCATGTGGATCAAAGTCCAGACCAAACGTGGAATTACGATGCCTTCAAACATCTCAACTCGTGGTTCACATACAAGACACCCAACAGCTTTGAGGGAAGAGATGACATCACAAGCTTGAAGCTACTTCGACCATATCAACGGGATCTGGCTTCGGAAGATGTGGTATTTGGAACTGCGTCGGGGCAGCTGTCGCTGCTTAGTTTGAATTCGGGGCGAGGTGAGACCCTGGAGCAAAAGTACGAGACTGGCCGCCGGGTTGTTACGTCTATCTCCATTAGTTCGTCTAGCTCGCCCATGCTAGCCGCTACGCTTGGAGACTCATCGTTGGCGCTATATCCCATCGATCAGAACAGTATCTCCGACCACCCTGTGGAGCCTGTTGCTCAGATTACGCCTATCATCCCCGGTGCTCGGATTAGTCGACTTTGGTCTTGCAACTTCTTGTCAAAGGACAGGGTTGTTGTCGGGCTCGGCCCATCGGACGAGCCAATTCATATCTACGACATTGCAACCGATGGTTTCTTATCCGAACCACTTCGCACGTTCAACCTTGAGTCTAAGTTTTGGCAGGGCTCTGAGACTGGCATGAGTGCTCAACACAGGACCTCAGTTCATCCAATTCTTGCAATGCCAAGCACTATGCAAGGTGGCTCGGAAGGAGGGAATACCTTTTTATCTGGAGGTTATGACGGTATCATTAGACTACACGATATACGCTCACCTCGCGGTTTCGAAACCATGTTTTGGGACCCCACGAACGACTCCTCAATCTACTCACTAGCAGCTCAAGGACTCGAACGCATCGTAGCAGGCGTCTCAATGCATAGCATGATAAAGGTATTTGATTTGCGATTCTCGGGATCACATGCATACCACACTGTCCAGTTACCCCACAAGAAACCCAAGGACAAGCCTCAAGGTAAAGACTTCGCCTCCAGCCCTATCGTCAATAATAGCAAGAGCAAAGCATCTACAGTATGTGGTGGTTGGAATCTGTATCTCAACCCGCGGGTCCCGCCAAAACGTAACGCGTATCGGGATGACTACTGGCGTGGCCGAGAAGACTCACCCGTTTACAGTCTCTCCATTCCATCGCCCACCTCGCAGAACCTGTACGCCGGCCTCGAAGGGTCGGTGCAAAGCCTAACGTTCCACGGCGTCGCTGACCCCCACCCGGACACCATGCTCTCACAATCCAGAACACGTTTTGTCAATAGCGGAGCCGTCGACATCCAAGCCTCGTACAACCCGCAAGGTGATGCGTTAGATCTTGGCATGTATGAGCAAGGGAGTGAAGAGGGCTTGGGCATGCAATTGCTGGTGCAAGACAGCGTGGCTACAGGAGCGGCGAAGAATACGGAGCGCGGAGATGCTGCACGATCTCGGGGCCTAGACGAGCGCTGGAGAGACCTGCGAGACGAAGGCGATCGATGGGTTAGGGGACAAACTATTCCACAAGTGCCACGGCGAGTTCCTGGGCGCGGAAGAGGTGTTAGAGGCAGAGGCAGAGGCAGAGGTGGGTAGGTAGATAGATGATCTCGTTTATAGACCATACATGAACCACAGACTCCCTGATAGTTTCTGTAATCCGAATCCGTGAACAATGTAGGCTACGATCCGGATTGAAAGCGATAACCATTTACAAGTCCAAAGTCCAAAGTCCAAAGTCCATGTCGTAAAGAGGACTCTGAAGTGAAGCGGTGCGGTACGGTCGAAGCGCTCATATACTGTTTATCATTGCGAGTGGGATGGAGATAGCTAAGCTCAATCATTGGTGGAAGTTATCGCTATCACTAACGTCAGATAAATAGGTTGATGCGATAGAGAATTATGGGTGTATGAGAAATTTGAATTGATAAGTGCGTTAATACCCGCGTCCTATATCTGCATTGATTACAACACATACTGACATACTGAAGCCTACTACTCTTCTCTGGGTCTTTTTGTATTTAACGACCTAAACGGTATTGACCTGAGTCTCTATGTTGAAGTCCAAGTAGCCGTTGGTGTTACAATGAGAAGTCCTTTGGGTAGTCAAGCTTGAGACAACGGTGAACTCTTGATGAATTCATGCTTCTGCTTGCTTGCCAAGATGCTCTACCAGAATAGCATTGTGTTGGCATAAGCAGGTATTTGTGCTGAAGTGGAGAGTACTCAGCGAATTTATAGTACCAACGACGCGGGCTTGGATAGTTGACCAGTCAGTGTTGAGTGATGGAGACTCTTAGGTGCGAAGTTAACTAGCGTGCAACTCCTATTAGCGGGAGGCCGGGTCAGCTGAGTCAGGACGTTGTAGTGCCTGACAATAGTCCAAGCTCTTCTACTGACGCAGGGCGTGAATGGATATGCCTAGTCTTCAGTAATCGTGGCTGAGAGTAATTTGCCGAGAACCGGGCAAAACGTCGGTGCATCCAATCTGAGGTCTCATTTTAGCGGCCATACGCAAAGACCGCGCGTCTTTCAGCGACATCTTGACAATCTTGGGTGATGCTCCCCAGTATCCCTGCATTGCCTTAAGGTTGCCAAAACACGCATTTGGACGCCGAAGTCGGAAACTTGCTTCCCTGAGAACGTGTGCGAATGCGAAACACTTGTTAATATTTATGGGATCGGTTCTGATTTGTCCAATATGCGGCCCAGCTGGATGTAACCTTCTCGAAAGATTACGAGGCCCCCAATCTGGCCCAGGTCTCTGCCTACTCCTTCTTTCCTGTTCAGGTATAGCGAACACCCTTGCAAACAGCCTGCTTTGTTCTCATCAAACATGGTGGAAAATAATAAGGGGTGTAGTGTTATCAAAGGCTCAGGTGTAGACGAAACGCTCAATAGTCATGGTTGGGTGCGAAATGAATACTGCGAATGGTTAGTTAATATCTCTCTTATGCCCTTGGTGCTATATGTACCATACAAAGACCGAACAGTCTCAATGCGGCCCAGGGTAGAGCCCCAGATAGTAAGGCGAGCTTATAGGCAGACTCACGTTTGGAATGCCGGGCGTTTGGCTTTCAGACCCGAAAGATGAGCCAAACGTATAGTAGTTCGGGTCCGACAGAAGTTCGCGTGGTTGTTGTGAGGATGCATGCGCCTGCGTGAAGACTGGTGGCCCTGATGGTGTAGTGTGGGGGATTACTTCTGGACGGGACGGTACTCGTGGAGTGCCGTCTATATTTGACATCCACGGTGAGATGTTCCAAGGTGACATATTCAATGGCGGAGGTGGAGAGTAGAGAGGGGCGTTCCAGTTTGGCCCAAAAGCTGCATACGCTTGTGTGGTACCGAGTAGATGGCTATCGAATGACGCTGCGCTGGCTGCTTGTATTGAGTCAGATACGGATGCGCTACTCGAGCTCCTGGACCCGATGTCATTGTTTGACGGCAGTTGATAAGGTGATGAACTCGGTCCTGATGGTTCGTAGTCCGCCGTAAGTGAGCGTGCGTAAACATTATGATGTTCGGGTGATGGCTCTGCATCTTGTTGATTGTTCGAATCGCCCTTGATTAGTTGTTGGAGATACTGCAGCTTTCGTTTACGCTTATCCCCTGTGAAGTAGTACTTGTTAGTACCTGATCGTAGTGAGTATCTGCTTTTAGACATCGACATACGATAGTTCCTAGAAGCTATCCGATTCTGCTGCTTTCGAATCTCGCTGTTGGCTTTCTTCGGTTTCTTCCCCGGTGCTTCGCCCTCCCCCACTCGCATCGACCTCCTTCCAGGGTTTGAGAATAGTTGCGACTGGAGGGTGGTTGCGGTTGGAGATGTCATGGCGCCAGCAGGTGCGTTTCGGTATCCGGGAGCGTGGGATCAATCAATATGCACAGAAACCGTTGTGAGGGCATGCTTTTGAGCCGCTGACGAGTAGGGAATCGCAGATCGCCAAGGTTACATTGGAAGAGTAAACTGGCCGCATCCTTGACCCGCGGAGATATTTGCTAACCAAAATGAGCATGTAGTTTCCCTGTCATTTTTTCCTGGGCAAAAGCTGATTAAACACGACAAGAATAGTAACGGGTGAAAAATGGCGGCGGGGGCAAGTGAGCGCAAGACTTGATCCATCCGCACTTCAACCTTAAGCTTAATTTCGCCGTAGGATAGAGGCGATGTGTGAGCATCAGGGGCTCCAAGTCGGCCACTAGAGATTTCATTAGCCATGTCTTCATGGGCAAAGCGAATAGCAATGCCGATTCAATGTCACTCAGTGACTTGGTCTCGGGTGCCCGCAATTATGTTTTGCTGTATTGGGCGCACTAGTCGTATAGAGCTGTCGCTCGAGTGGCCATGTCACCCATTGTGCACGCTTTGAGCCGAGCTCGGTCCGTGAAGCATTTGACACGTGAGCCACGGCGGGAGCGGTTACGATGGCCAGCCACTCTCCGCTCAGCAGGCAGGCACCGCACTAGATGCGATGGGTCGGACGAGACGCAGAGTAGGAGTGAGTGGAATGTCGAACCGTGGCTCCGAAGGTGAAGGATGCAAAAGTTTTGGGCTGAAAAGCCCCCTGCCGATACAGTTACTGGTAATGCTGTCAGCGCACTAGCCAATAGCAGAGGAGGCAACATGATGCATAAGCAAGTTAGGTATTGATCTCACGCCGCTCTTTCGGCCACGACCGAACCAAATTGAGTATTTGTAGACTATTATCAAGGAGTTCGTTGGTTCGATACGAAGACTTGACTAATCTGGAAGTCTTCCTACTTTGTCATAATAGCATCAGACCGACTGCTCGCTTTGCAATGGCGAACATAATTAGGCATTCCATCTGTTGTGTATTTCAAACAGTCAATGGTCGTCAAAGTGAAGCATAGAGCCTCCGCTTGTTATGACGCTCAGAGCCTTCGCCGTCTACGCCGTTCCAGATGCAAAAGCCGACACCACGTTGATATGCTTGTGGCACCCCTTGATAGTAATCAGATGGGGGCCATCAGCTGGCCAGTAGGCAGTGAAGTCTAAATGCTTATCAATGAGCTTCATCTTAATAAGAATTTTGCACTCAAATCTCTCTTCTCCGTCTTCCCCGTTCTTGGGGACATACAACTCGATATGTTCCTTAAGAGGCATAAGGTTAAACACGACCTTGCCAATATAGAACGTCTTGCCTACAGTCGGACGTTAGTCATGCCATAAGAAGCTGTATATCTACACAACATACCCCAATTTCGAGCGTGTGAGCGCGTATAGAAGTCTTCTGTACATACATCAGACGCGAACAGATCATGCTCAGCGTTCCAATTGTTAGACAAGCGATGAAAGACTTGTAGGTCTTCCCATTCAAACTCGTGCACAGGCTCAAATTCGCCTTCTCCCTAATCACGAATTAGATACCACATCCCGTATTAGTAGAACGTTAAATTACTTACCACCTTGATGATCCACTTGATAGTCTTCTCAATATATCTCTGTCCGTCAATTAACACCTTCCAGTCATCTTCATCGTGATCAAGGACCTCATCCGAGTACAGATGTGGTTCGTTCCGGATATGTTGATAGATGCCGATGCTCTGACAAGGCACTCTTGCGGGGCCGTACTCTTTATTTTGAGCCCGTAGCAGGGCGCCGGTGGCGACACCAACAGCTCCTGTATTCGAAGGAGCTGCGAGTAGCTTAATGTTCGTCTTGTGCGTTTCATTAATTCGGATAAGGGTATCGGTGATAGCTTCCTTCAGTGCTGGGGAGTCGCCGAAACCGCCGGCCAACGCGACCTTGTCTACGTTGGCATACTTCAATGCATTACTGATTTGTTTCTCCATCAGGTTCGAGATCGTCGTGAGGCTAGGCATGAATATTTTCTCCATATCTTCGCTGAAATCATAGGTTAGTAGGCCCAATCTCGTCTTACAGAGAAAGACTTACAAGCTCAATACAAAAGAGTTGTCTCTGATTCGGCTGTTCCCCTCAACTCTTTGCAATCCCCTAATTGGGAATGGGTACAAAGGGCTCCTGTCGGCTTTTTTGGCCTTCAGTGAGAAAGATCGCTTGACCAGATTCTCGAAACGTGGCATCAGGTCCGAATCGACTATTCTCTCAGTCTCAAATGTGTCCTTCTCCGGAATCTGTGCTTTCTGGAGTTGTTGGACCGAGAACTCGCGAAATCGCCTGTTCAGGTCCCCAGACCCGCATACTACGCCTGTGAAATTGTGTGTTAGGTGTTTTCGCGTAACGATCTAGGGGAGAAATGACCTACCAGTCGCAGGAGTAACTTCCCTACCAAGTCGAAAAGGGTATTCGCGGCCGATTGTGTATACCCCGACATCTGTAGTACCCCCACCACAGTCTAAGAGTACGAACACTTCACCCCCCTAGCAACAGTCAGCTTCTACGGCCCATGCAACATTTGCAAAATTAGGAAGCTTACCTTTGGCGGATAGAACGTGGAGGTCAATGTATACGTTGCGGCAGCTTCAGCTTCGTTGACCATGAAGAGGTTGCAGACACCGCCGTTATCAACGCCAAGATGAACCTTCCTCATAGCCTCCTGCAAGCACGCGCTCATCCTTGCGTTTGCAGAAGGATTCCAACACACAGGAACGCAGAACGTAATCTCCACTAAGACTTGTTAGAAGTGAACATTCAGTGTCCAAACGCAGCAAGACTTCTACCTTTACTACCATTGTCGAGACCATGGTCTCGTCGTAAGATATCCTTCGTGTGCTGCAGATAGCACACTAGTAGATCGAAGATGACTTTTTCATCCTTCTTAATGATCTGAGCTGCCTTAAGCTTCTTAAGCACCTCCATCAGCTCTTTCCTCATAGGCTTCAAGTACGAACTCTTGTCTAACAGCAGCTTGACGTTTGTGACATGTCCCAGTTCTACATAGTCACCATCAGGGAATTCGCGTTGTCTTTCTATCTCATACCCATAGGTAATCTTTAGCGCTTGCGTTCTGTCTTGAGAATATGTGATTTCCGTAGGAACTTGTCTGTCAGCCCTGTGAGGCGTTGGGTCATCTGGGAATTCCTGGATTGTGAAGATGGCCTTTCCAGTCCCAGAGCCTCTAGCGCAGGCAACAGTAGTGTATTTAGTGCCGAAGTCGATTGCGAGACGGAAGTCGGGCTGATTAGAAGTGGTTTCAATCGTCGACCGGCGTTTTGCAGGTCGTTCAGGGCCGGGTACAGGGTCGATCGTACGGGACCTGGACGGAGTTGGGTTGGGTCGCTTGCGGGTCCTCTTTTGCCCGGACATGGCTGGTTTTTGCTACGATGTTGTGGCGTGTGAGTCGCCTAGAGCTAAAACAGCTGCTATTAGAGGATAGATTGAGAGGAAGTCTTAATGGGTTAGTGGAAATAAGCGATATCGTACTATAGGGCCCCAGCGGATGTGGCACTATGTGGCAAAGTGAGTGACTACCAAACATGCATAGGTGAGGTAGTGTGGGTGGGTATAGGTCAAGCGCACAAACGCGGTAGGATTTGGCAGGTAGTGCAACCGGTGAGTGTAGCATGCAGAGAGATAAACAGATGGGAACAAAGAATGTCCGATGAGTGAGGTGAAGGTGGCTGGGAAGGTCAGTTCAGAGGCGGAGAGAGTATTGACGCACCTTCCCGTCTAGCATGCACCTTCCCGCGTAGCACACACTTTTCTCCCCAAACCCCAAACAATGAACGTTAGCAATAGCGATATGAGTCAACAAGAAACCCCTCGATTAATCCTACATCCCCCAAAACCTGAATTGGCGTCGAATCCTGGCTCTGAAGCCATGGCGAGAGCGACGCGAGCTGGCACACCTGCGCGGCAATGGGGCAATAATGAGAACGCGTTCATCTTCAACTACGTGGACGAATGCCTGGGAGACCAACAACACTACAATTCCACGATAGCGAAGAGGATTTTCGATTACTCGGGACGAATATTGACATACAGCGGAGTCCAGACGCAGCTGTATCGTCTTATGAGCAAGTTTGATCAGACAGCCTCTGTACAACAACTGCTGCAGGATGGTACAAAATGCCTAAACATCAAAAACCTCCCGGATGAACTAGTGCGCGAGATGAATCAACAGCGCCTGGAGTGGAACCTCGGGGAGTTGGTGAGAGACACATTCTCTCGCGATGTTGCAGCCGACATGGGTAAAGATAATGTACAGACTCCTGTAAGTAAAGCCTCTATCTTTTACTATTAAAGCAGTGCTCATCTCGTTTAAGATCAATATCGAATCCCGAGACAGACGGTTGCCTAGTATCTCGAGGTCATATCGAGAGCAAACCGTAACCGACTCGGACATGACGGAGGACGACCCAACAGATGCTGAGTATGTGGACAGTATCCTAGATTCCGCTACCGCAACGTCACAGGATACTAGCAAAGGAGACGTAAAGTGTCCGGAAGAAAGGCAAACTGCTCCCGTAGCACTCCAGAAGGTCGAACAGCCAATTGTCACTCGACCAGCTCCCTCGCATATGCACCCTGGGGGATCTACGCAGAAACGGCAGGCACCACCTATTGAGGTGATCGACCTGGACGAGGCTACTCCACCTTCTTCTAAGCGACTTGCTCTGGACAGGACAGTGAAAGTGACTATGGACTCGCCGAAGCCATCAGCGCCTTCGGAACATCTGCGTACTCCAGATAGTGTCAGCCATCCGCCTCGAGAGTTGCCGACCGATGCACCTCCAAGAGGCAGTATAGCACAAACAATCCATACACCCACAGCTCAAAATATCTCTTCGACGCCTCAGCCCCAAGCGCTCAACAAAGCGATTGAAGGAAAGCTTGATGATTTGAACTATCTCGTGCTCTCACTATTGCAGGAGCGTGTGGAATTGAAGAACCCGATGACACCGGACATGGAACAGAGGATGAGAAGTGTCCTGACGAGCATGCAGCAAGAGCCTGGGCATCTCGCTCAAAGGTTACTTAGTTACCTTGAAGCGGCTGACGCTGCGAAAAAAAATTTGTCAAATCAGTTCCGAGCAATGGTCGGCCGTCAGATTCTTGGAACGAGTCCGGAATTCCCCCCAATTCCTATTCAGCGAGAGGTCGATCGAGACTGGCAGTCAATTCGGCAAGGTATTAAGGATGCATTCACGAATGAGGTTGGTGTTGATATCCAAGGTCCAATTCCAACACTAGTGTCTGCAGGCTATGTTGCCAGTACCATTGATGAGCTGTTAGATGATCCTCGGGTCCGAAAAGGACTCTTCTCTAAGCTTGAAGGTCACTTGAAGAGCCCACGCTTAGCACAGTCGTTGATGAGTGCTTTATTCTGCCGCTGGCTATTCTTCACCCCGGATACAATGTGCGAGGGAAAGCACAATGAGTTGACAATGAAGCAGTATGAGGCGATATCGCTTAGTGGTATGTACGTGGATCGTCTCTTGACGAGAATCTTACTGATAACATGATAGACGGTCTGGCAGGGGTGCAGCGTATTGACGTGCTAGGCTTCAGCCTACTCTTCGCAGATCAAGACTTCCAGAAAACCGAATTGCAGAAGGCTGCAGTTAAACTGGTCACGCGCTTCCGTCACATGATGAAGAGCGCGTGTTCAACCGCGTCAGGTGTCGAGAGCATCCAAGATCCCGAGGCTTGGGCTCAAGGAGCTTTGAAACTCAAACAGAAGCTTATGATCAGTCCTAAGGAGTACCGTATCCATTTCTGTCTCCCGGCGACGCTATTCGACCCTACGTGGATGATAGCAGAGGATGCAGAAGGGTATCGCTGCCCATCCGCAAAGGCGAAAGGGAAGGAAATCCTCGTGTGTCTTTTCCCTGCGCTCGTAGAGCAGAACAGCAGGACTTTTGAAGCTGGGGCAGGCATATCGGATGCACTGGTCAAGAATAAGAAGTTCTTCCCCACGTGGCAGGAGAAGCGGGGGCTCAATCCGAAGTGCGTGATATCGAAGGCTGTGGTTGTGATAGTCTAAGGAAAAGACGGTTGCCATCCAAGATGAACGCACTAGTGGATTGCGGTGGAACGTGATGGCCACTCGAGTTCATCAGATATGTATAGTATAGAAGTGGATAGGCTGGGTACTTAGGAGCTGATTGGCTATCCTATAGAATTCCCATCATTCCAACATGACTATCCGCAATTGCAATCCAAGCCGCGCGATAACACATAATTCTATCACAAGTGTGCACTTGTATGCGCATCGAGGGCGTAACTGCGGGTTGATGCGGTATTATTTACACCGCAACGACATAATCATTTTTTTATATTGCCAAAAACTTCTTAACAACATACAGACCTCAAACCGCGGCGCACGCCTAATGACGCTCCGGCATCTGGTGCTGCCTCTTCAAATAACTCGTCTGTCAAACGTCAGTGTCCCACTCTGCCACACCTTCTCTCACTGCCACCCCCAATCAGAAGACTTACCTCATCAAGCACACTCATTAGCCTCCCCTCCTCCCTCACAACCCTCATAACACTATCACTCACACACCCCTCCAGTACGACCTTGCACCCTCTTGGCAACCACCTCAGAATATGAAACGCATTTGCATAAACACTGGTTGCACCTGACACTCTCCCCCCATCATCCGGTAAGCTTGCCCGCAATATAATCTTGAAGCTCTTCAACCCCCAGCAGTAGCGTAAGCCTAAGCGTACTAGGTCGGCGAAGCCGTCAAGAATATCGTGGTGCGAGGGGATTGTCAGGACGACGTGTTTGATGAGGGAGCGGGAGCGTTGGTGGAGGGCAGAGAGAGTGTAAATGCCAGAGGCAAGAGACAGAGTGAAGACATTATCGCTGTAGAGGACTTGGCGGGCTTCTCTGTATATCAATTTGTTCAACCGTAGGATCTCAGGGACTATAGGATCTTTCCCTGGCATGTGCTCAGGGCCTAATGTCATTCGAGGCTCCGGTCGTATCACGGTGCCGCAATGTGGGGTGTGGGTGTGCGCGGTGGGGCAGGGTGTGGTAGCATGGCCGTCTTCGTCGTCGTGTTGCTCGGGGGCGCGATCAGCATGAAGAAGGATAGGCTCGGCGCGATGGAGAGCCACATGATAGACGTGAATGCGGAGTTCAGCAGGGAGCTTCATGAAAGGAAACGTCTGCGTAGGACCACTGATCTGTTCGTCCGAGGGCGCGACTTGCGACTCGGTCAATCTGGTCGGTTCGGGCGTGAGAAGGCTGTTTCGAGGTCGCGTAGTAGAGGGACCTGACAAGGTGTGCTCCTCGCTCACATTGTCTTCCGCTTCTTCTGTCTTCAATCTTTTAGGTAACATGATCCTCTCGTGGAAATCCATCTGGTCCGGTATCATATGTCTTCTTCTTCTCTTCCCCAAGATCGCGCGAGTCCTTTGATCCATTCTCCAAACTTCGAAGGCCTCTTCGTATCAAGGGCGGTGGCGGTCAAATGGGCTCGATCGGAATCTGCGCGCATCAATTTGCTAATGTAATAAGTTTACTCGTCGTCGAAACTCGCGTTCAATCGATGTCACGCTTGCGCGCATCACTGTTCTTCAACTAACAATACATCCGCAAAAAGAAGCTGAAAATAGAATGCTGCCGCTGCGACCGTCGAGAGCAGCGACTTGGGTCGCTGACAAGGCGATGGCCTCGCGTTTTGCGGGGTTGAAAGCGATCGCTAGCTGGATCGGCAAATCGTCAGTGCGCATAAAGACGACATCACGTGTGCATCTAGCACAAAAATGGCCAAGTGGAGAGATGGATGTGGTTCGTAAGTCGGATGGTGGGATCTCTCGATTTATTAAATTCTCGGTCTTACTCACTTTCTACGTAGCTGCCATTGGCTTATCTCGTTGAAGCCTGACTCGCACTGTGGGATTGAAAACAGAAATGTGGCAGTATCAACTCAGCTAGCTATCGCATTGAAGCCAATCCACCTCTATAACAGTTACTACTGTAGCACTTCTCGGCTGCTCAAGGTCGCACATGCAGCTCATGCACACCCCATGCTCATCATGAACGTAAGAATGGCTCTGCCTGAAGGGAATCATATCTACTGCATGCATCAATCCAAAGAATCCTTGACTCTCAAGCTTCTCCCTGTAACTTTCGCCATGGGGTCGAGAAGCTTTCAAATCTCTCCGTCCGCCCAGTGAGTGTTGCGGACGGAAGGAATAAGCAGGTGAATGGGTAACGTTCCACACCAAATATCAGACAAGGAAAAATCAAGGGTCGCTATCTACCCGCGCAGTCACCTTATAAGTCAATCAGGTTGTTGCCACCGGGCTGCCGCTGCTGGTTCTGCTGAGCACCAAAGGGATTCGCATTACCATACGGATTGGCGCCGAAGTTGCCTGCCGGTCCAGTTTGTGCGGGCATTATACGATTCTGCTGAGGCAGGCCAGTAAACTGAGAGTTGAGGAAGGGATTGTTGCCAGTTGCATTGGCACCGATTCGGTTCAGGCCAGCACCGGCTGAGTTGACGAATGTCCCAGGAGCCGTATGTTGGGCAGGCATACGGAGGTTGCCAACGTTTCCGAACGTATCCTGACCCTCTCCTGTCGCAAGAAGGGAGTTGAGCCTGGCGGCATGCGGGTCCATCTCCTTCTGCGGTTGTTGCGGCTGCTGTGGTTGTGCTGGATGAGGCGTCGAGAAAGACACCGGAGGGTTGAACGAAGTGTTGTTGAATTGTGTTTGTGTCTTTTGCTCGTGGAGGGTGTTGAGGTTCGGTTGTGTGAACGCTTGCGTGGGCTGCGGTCGATTGAACGATTGAGCGAACGGGTTGTTAGATCCAGTGGGTTGAGGCATTAGAGACTCCTGGGGTTTGTTCGTTGCCCACGGATTATGGCTGCCAGGTTGGAGGGTGTTCTGGTCCTGGAGCGGTTGCTGCTGCTGCTGCTGCTGCTGTTGGCCCATATCGCCGCCGAACCCGCCGAATTGGCCGTACGGGTTATTCATGTTGAAAGCAGTTGGCTGTGGTTGAACAGTTTGCTGTGGTTGCATATATTGCTGTTGCTGGCCACCGAATTGATCGAGTCCAGTAGGCTGCTGCTGCTGCTGGAAGCCACCATAGCCACCAAAGCCATTTTGATAGCCCGTCTGCTGTCCTTGAATACCGGTTGGTTGAGAGTACGCGTTGTTGAGAAATCCGGTGTTCTGAGGTTGCTGTTGGTTTTGGTCCACGAGATTGCCAAACCAGTCCACTTGGCCCTGTTGCTGATATCCCTGGTTGTTGCCCGTGGGTTGATAAGTGGTTGGCTGCGCGGTGGTCTCCCCAAAGAGGAGGTCTGCGTTTGTCTGTTCTAGCTCCTTCCGACGCAACTCCTCCTCCTCTTTACTCAACTTAATGGCCTTTGCAAGATCGTCGTCGTCACCCACAGTCGTAACAGTGCGTTGCCGGCGTTTCTTCTCTTCCTCTGCCTCGTTCTTGCTCGCTTCTAGGGCCAGCCTGAGCTCAAGGTCCTCCTCCTCGTTCCTGCGGGGTCGACGCTGATCGCCATCGCGCGGGCGTCTGTGTGAACCTTCTCCGTTGTGTGGGCCTTGCCCTCCTCCAGGAAACTCCTCGATACCCGTCACGCGCGATTTCCACGACTTCCGGTCGGCTCGTTCGGCGCGTAGCCGTTCCTCATCCATTATCAGGGAGGTCAACTCCTTGGCTGCCATTCGTACTGCGCAAGTCTTAGTCAAGCTCGGTTGAGTTCGCGCATGTCAACGACTTACCGTTCTGGCCAACATCGCGCCCATCCTCGTCAATATGCTGAAACTCTCGCAATGTCTTGATAATGTAGATGTTCTTGCGCGCCCACGTCACCACCAGCTCCGAGCCCTCATGCAGACAGTAGTCGAGCACCTTGAGCGATTTCAAGACGTGACGCCAGTTCTTCCCCCTGTCGTTGAGTCGCTTGTCGAGCATATCCATGACTTGGTAGAAGTCGGTCGAGCTGGGGCAGCTGTTAGCGCAGCTTCCGCGATGGCATAGATGCCCCTACTTGTTGAAGGTGATCTGAGCGATCTCGGCCATGTCGGAGCCTACAGGACCCCACGGGTCGTTGCTCGTCGCTATAAGAGGATCGCATCAGTCGTCATGTTTGTAGGGCTAATTCAATTAATGCGTACCATTGCGGACCTTCACTTCCACCCCCGAGTAACCCTTGGTCACGTTCTTCACGCTGCGCACGACTTTACTCATCTTGCTGGAGGTAGTATGTAGACAGAGAGGTGGGTCAGAAGTATGCGCGACTACGGGGACGCAAATAGGGTGTTGGGGTGGGTAGAAAGCTATCTGGGTGCTGGTGACGCAAGTCTAGCTTGGCAAGGGACAGCCGAGCACGAGCTAGCCAGGCGATGGTTAGGGTTATGTGTACGGAGCTTTTCGGTAGTACAAAGAGTCGCAATTCGGGGCAGTGGAGTGGCAATACTGGGAGGTAAGAGCGATGGAGGTTCGTCTGAGCGAAGCCGGGCGAGGCTGGGAATTTGGCGCTCCTTCCGATCTAACGTTGAGCTTGGAAGCGCAGGGTTCCGGTCGGCCAAACTTGAACCTCTCAGGCACACTACTACATAAGACTGATTAATGAATGAGTATACATGTATTGTATACTATCCTGTGTCATGACTGACCTCACACATGTAGGCCTATGAGTTGTCAGTTGCGCTCAAACATGGGTGTTCCAGAGTTAACCCATCGTTTGCCGCAAGCCAAAAAGGCCCATCAAGGTACCGTATACCACCACCCCCCTCTTCGCCTCGCTTGCGTTTCCATTTGCCGCAGGCCTACTAATGTATTCAAACCTGCGTGCGCTACTTCACAATCATATGCACTTCATGATAACGTCATCTTCACATTTTCTTTTGGGGTTTCCTACTTTGGGCACAGTATTTGTGTGTAGTCTAAGGGCGGATGTAAATCCTTCATTAAGTACCAGTCTAGAGAGTGCCTGTGTGTGCATATAAAAACCAAAGCCAAAAATAAAGTGACCAAGAAGCGAGCCGGACGCCCTTCCCAGTCTTTGTATAAGGGACGCCCAACTCCTGCCATCCGAGCACAACTCCGGGTGCCGAGAGCAGTGTATCACTGTACCACCTCCAAATGAACCCAGATAGAAAGGAGACTGCAACAAAGGAGATGTTTGGTCTGAGAGTACAAAGGAAATGTCCTAAGAGAGACTAACCGACGGGGGAATGAACTGTCGCCTTCCTGCAAACCCATGGCAATCGCCATGCAGGATACTCGAGCAATCGGATAACACGCCAACCAGTGAGAAGGAAATCTTTTGTGAGAACACAGGGGTATAAGTCCTGCCGAAAAAAACACCAAGGGAAAGGAACTCGAGAGTCGAATGTGCTACTGATACAAAATGGATAGTGACAGATTTACTGCACAGCAGGGGCCCACATCTCGCCTCCCATCCGCTGCTGATTGGGGTTGTAGTGGTCCGGCTCGGTGCTGTTGGGGCGCCGGATGTTGTGATTCTGATAGTACATGCTGTTCTGCGGGTTGTACTGTGGCTCAGGGTAGACATAGCCGTTGTCTGCAGCTCCCGGAGATGGGATGGCTTGCTGGGACGGGGACTGCCAACCCATGGTCGACATGTGAGGGCTGCCATTGGCGCTACTGGTTCCACCAGGCTGGTTATGGTTTGCCGACGCCGGTGGCTCTAGAATCGGCGGTGGCCCATATGCGCTCGGATGTGAGGTGATTGTGGGTCGAGGGCCACTCACGTTCGAAGCATATGACTGCGGGGTCAATGCAGGAGAAGCACGCGGGCTAGGCTGGGGCATCTCGTTGCGCATGTGAGGGGGAACGTTCATGCCTCCCATGTAGGCATAGTCAGAGGGCTGACGGTGCATGCCAGGGACAACACCTGCAGGCATCCCGTTGGCGGGAGAGAGGGATAGGGTGCGGTCGTTCGGGGAGGGCGTGTTGAGTGGCGATGCCGTCTCGGAATAATCGCCACCGTCAGAGCGACCAGTCCTGCTCGGCGCAGTAGCACGCGAGGCGAGAGCAGCGGCGGTGGCAGCAGCAGCCTCTTCAACTGTGCCAGTGTGGTGGTTCTGGTGGCGGGTCAAGGTAGTGCGGCGCGTAAAAGTCTTCTGGCAGTCGGCATATGGGCACTTGTAGGGACGCTTTCCAGAGTGAATGCGGCGATGACGTGCCAACGAGCTCGAGTCACTGAACGGCTACACTATACGTTAGACTTGGTCAGAGAGACGCGAGACAGGAGAGAGGTACCTTTCCACATCGCTCGCACATGTGAGGCTTTTCGCCAGTGTGGACACGTTGGTGGACCGTCAGGGCCGAACGCTGAATGAATTGCTTGCCACAGTTGGGGTAGTCACACACGTGGGGACGGATGCCGCTGTGGATACGTTCTACACATGTCAGTGCGATACTTTTGGTGTTGCGGCCCAAGCTTCCTTACCATGACGTGCGAGGTCACTGCGTCGCGCGAAGCCTTTACCACAGGTCGAGCACGCGAAGGCCTTTGGAGGACCCGTGTCAGACGCGGGGCGACCACCGTTGTGCTGCTGGGGATCGGACAGCTGTTGCTGTTGGGGAGCGTACGCGTGTTCGGGGGGCGTTGGGATATAATTGTTGTTGTTGAGCATGGGCATTGGGGCCTGCAACTGTGATGGCGAGGGATATCGCATGCCGTTCAGGTGTTGGGGAGGGATTGCTGGGTACGAGGGTAGTTGCTGCTGCGGTGCTTGCGACGAGTAGCGCGACGAGTCTGACGGGTGAGGCGATACGCCACGCTCCGAGCCGTTCTCCGACTTGATGCGGCCGCCGTTCATGTAGGGCGGCGCGCCGAAGTGCTGCTGCTGGAGTTCGTGCTGCATTGCGTGCTGCATGCCGAATGGTACTCGTGTGCCTGCATATGCTGTTAATCGCGTGTTCAGTATCGTGTCCAGCTCCATTTGCCTTGATGGAGGAGCGTATTTCGCGTGACGGAGACTCGACGAAAGGGCACGATTAGGCCCAACGAGCAAAAGACGGGACGGTGCGCACCAAGTGAGGGAAGAAGCGGGCTGGCGGAGAGCCTCGCGGTCGCAGACGTCGCAGTGTAAGGACGATGATGGTCAACGAGCCGCGTGAGTCGCCGCAGTCGAGGTGGTCCGTCCTAGGCGTCGAACTCTCGGGTCGGATCGCGTGTAGGTCAATGCAGAGGTTGCACTACAAGTTGAGGTCAGTGTCGGTGAGTTGAGCAGAGGGGACAGCAGCGATGGCCGTGGGGCCAAGGGGAGGAGCGTCGCGCCCCAAAAATGGTGGGCGTCGCCGTCACGCTGGCCACGTCCGACGAGTGGAAAAGGGGATCGAGCGGTGTGAAGGGCCTGCAGCGGCACTGCGCGGGCTGCACGGGGCGAAAGAGGACGGTGGAGAGCGGGTGTACGTACCTGTGATGGATGTCGGGCGGCGAGAGGGCAGGGCAGGGGATGGCAGTGGATGGAAGACGTGGTGTTGAAAGGTGCAGGTACTTCTTTCCTTCGCTGTTGCGCGTAGTTGCCCAGAAAAGAGGCGCTAGACCCAAAACAGTCTTGGCGGATGAATCCGATCCCCCTAGCCGTGGAGTTTTACAGGACAGGCAGATGCGCGACGGACGTCGACGGCCAGTGCGCGCTGGAGCTTTCACGCTTTTACACTTTCACACTTTACGCTTCCACACTTCCTTTGGGGGTATTGAAATGATATCGTGCACCTAACACAGGCAGTCTTGACACTCTGAGACCTGTCTTGCCAACAAACGACGTCCACGCCGTGGGTGCCCTTCTGCCACAATTCCCAGGGGGGGCGACTAGCAGGCGGCTGATTCTTATCTTTATTTTTATTTTTATTTTTATCCTTATTTTTATTCTTCAGCTTGCCCGCGAACCGCGAAACCCCGACGTCGTTGCTGATGCGGTTCCGGAGAGTCGTCTCTTTCCCTTTGGATTCTGCTGCTCGTGCCGCAGCTTCACGGGGACCGGGTTGATGTTGGGATCCAAAGGGCCCAAGACTTTTTGCGAGTGTTTCTCCCTGTGGCCGGCAAAAGGAATTCGATATCGTGGCTGGATCTCAGTGTCAGGGTCCTGTGCGCTCGCTGACTGTCTGTCTTGCGTCGAGGAATGCAAATGCTAGGGATTGCACAGCTTACCTTTGTCAGATTGGCTCTGCTGTGCCTCTCCCCGTTTCAGTGACGGGATGTGTTGGGGTGAGATGCTGGTCAAGCGTGGTCAGGCCAACTCTGGAGATCTACGTGTACAGCTTTCTTGAACATGTGGTGCGTGTGAAATCAGGGACCTGGGGTGTTCAAATACCAAACTCGGACGTCTTGAGCATCACGCACGCAGACGTTTGATGAGCAGCCCTATCCTTGGGCTCATGTCGCGCCCTCGCAACCCGCCAATTTGTTGACCAGTACCCTTCGTGCTAGTGCTCCGCTGCTAGCTGTCAAGGATGCACAACCCGAGCGGCAGCCTACAACTATACGTCTTGCTCTGTTGATTCGCACGCTTGCTTTGCATGAAATGAGCCTTTGCCGGCAAGCATGGTTTTTGAAAAAGGGCACGCAGCTTGAGCGAAGCGAACAAGACTCTCCCTGTGTTACCATGGGTTTGTCACAATTCTGGAGGCACACACCATCACCCAGCGACGCAGCGATTCCTTGATAGTGGCTGGGATTAGAGAGCATGGGCCACACTTGGAAGGCCTATGGAAGGCCGCTAGAAAGGAGGAAAAGCACGGTGCCCCATCCGGCCCGAGCAACCAGGTGACGGCGAAACATGAAGCGACAGCATAGATGGAGTGTCTTGAGCACCCACACACACACACATACACGAGGGCTGTGCTGCGACGCTGGCATTGGCAGACGCTGGCCGCTGTTGTGTGGGCAGAGTGTTGCTCCTTCTGCCGTGAGCCGACCCCTGATTCTGCCGGCCATTAATTGACCACTCGGGCCGCCCGCGAACTGATGGTGGCTGCAGCCGCCTGCAAGTTGGAACACAGACATTTCCGCCAAATATAGAGCTATAGCCCTCCACCACACCACAGGCTAGTAGGAGTGGAGTAACTACAGGAAGCATGACATCATAGAGGACAGGTTCTCATTGGCATTAGCATGCGAAATGCGGCGCTTAGTTTCCATGTCCCTCCCTCCCGGAAGCTCCTCCTGCCTTTTGCAGCCCCTGAAGGAGCGGAGTGTCCCCCTGTTTCCGGATACCAACTGCTTGCCCTTCTTACTCGTATAAGTTTCAGCAGTAACCATTTTGCTACCGTCACTATTCGTAGAGCACACTCTTGAACAAAAACTTCATCAGTCGCCAATCTCACGACCATGCTTGTGCCCGGTGCTGCTGCCGCCAGATCAGTCCGTGCATTGTGTGTTCCACAACAGCCATTGCACGCAGCCAGACCCACAATAGGCTTCACAATGTTTCGGTCATGACCCGTGGACTGTCGTGCAAGCGAAGCTATACAGCATTTTGGCAATTTCTCATCAGCAGGGAAGCTTGACCTTCCACGCCTATTCATTTTCTTACTGAGCCTTGCACGTGTACAGTTGTCCATTGACATGAATCTACAATACTGCACACGTTCGACTCCACTTGTTTCACTACCTCCTGTTCGCCGTGCCCTTTGCGTTTGGGGAATTGCATCAAGCTATTCTTGTCGTTCCAAGGCACGACGTGCATCATAAATCCACGCACTTTCTGACATCGCTACCTGCCACTGGTCAGCGGCTGCGGCCCCAGCTTGACATGCAGCAGTCCTGACGGCGCCCTGCTGCGGCCACCAACACCCAGCTAACGTTCCGGAACAAGGGTGACTTCTGACATCCCTACCGTCAGGCTTGCAAATTATCCAAGCGTCCTTCCACGCAATTTCCAGAAGGAGCTTGGACAGCATGTTTCACCGAGCGCTTTGCGCGCCTCCCTGGTCTTTTCTAGAAGATTACCCCTTTCTACTACCACTTCCTCGCCGAAACACAACCTAGGAGAGAAAAGCGGTCCAAGGAAGGATTTCTGCGTCATCATAGTGTTGACAGCTTTTGTAGTCGCCATTCAGCAAGCTAGCATCCATCAAGAACGTGCCGGTCTGCCCAACCTTTGGAAGATGAACGAATCACTAGCGTCAGGGCGAGCGAGCGCGTGCAATCCGCCTTTGCAATACATGGTGCAATTGATGTGATCACTGTCTGCATTCAATCGTCGTTCCAAGGACATGCCCCTTTTCACCGATCCTACAAGGCTAGAAGAAGAGTACTCAATATCAAAAATACAATATTTTTGCAAATGGAGAAATCGCTCGTCAAAGCTTTCTGAACAGACAACCCGCTCTCCTAATGCCGACGCAATGAGTGGAAATGGAGCTCAATGTGCATCCAACAAACATCCACAATTCTAGACTCTCGGAACGCCTCCAGTCCCGAAAAGCTCCATCTTTACCCTATCACTAGGAACACCATAGCTCTTTAACTTTGCCTCAACATCCACCATGAATTGTGTCGGCCCGCACACAAAGTACTGCGTCTTCTCGTTGTCTGTGAACAGTAGTTCTTTGCTGACCTTGTCCAGGTCGACGCGACCCTTGGTGTGGTAATGCCGGCCCTCGGTTTCCCCCTCTTTCGGGCTTGACGAGAAATACACAGTATGTACGTTGTCGTTGCTTGCGGCGATCTGATCGACATTCTTCTTGAAGGCACGTACGTTGGAGTTGCGGGCGCCTTGAATCCAAGAGATTGGTCGGGTCGACTTCTTCTCGACAAGCGTGTTGAAAATGCTCGTCAAAGCAGTCAGACCGACGCCTGCTGATATCAAGACTACCGGAGCGTCCTTGTCGTCTTCTTTGCCCTCGAAGAAAAAGTCGCCAAACGGATGCGACACTCTTACAACATCGCCTTCCTTCTTTGTCTCGTGTAGTATGTTCGAAATGTATCCCGGATGCGACAGACTATTTGGTTCACCGAGCTCAACACCCGGCTCTTTCTTCACACTGATCCGCAGATAGTTTTTGCCAGGCGCATCGCTCAAACTGTATTGTCGTGCCTGCCACACACCACCATCACCCAACTCCTCCACAAAGACATTCACCGAAATGTACTGCCCTGGCTTGAAAATTGGCAGCTTCGACTTTAACTCTGCATCCACTGGTTCGAGATAAAATGACGTAATCGCTTCGCTCTCCTTCTCTTTCTTTGCGATTGTAAAGTCCTTCCAATCCGCCCAATATGCCGTTTCTTTATACATTTGATCTTCCTTTCCGATCATGATGTCCGCCAACTGCCAATAGGCTGTACCCCACGCATCCAGAATTTCCGGTGTTGCCGCATCACCCAACACGGCCTTCATCGTCTCGATTAAATGGTGCCCGACAATGTCGTAGTGCTCCGGTCGAATGTACAGGCTAGCGTGCTTGTGACATATGAGCTCAACAGCCGGCGAGAGCTTGCCCAGGTCATCGATGTTGGCGGCATAGGCATAGAGGGCGCCCGCAAGAGCCCGCGGTTGATGGCCTGTGACTTGGTGTGTGTTATTGAAGATGTTCTTGAGCTCGGGATGCGCAATGAGCATGTCTCCGTAGAATTTTGTGGTGATGTCCAAACCATGTGCGGCCAGGACTGGGACGGTGGATTTGATGATTGCCACTTGAGAAGGTGTTAAGCCGCCCATGGTGATTGTGTTGTTGGTGAGTAGAATAAATCGGGGTTGATTTGTTGTTGTGATTAATGATGTTGTTCCTGCTGAATGGGTATAAGGCAGGTGATAGTTGTACTGTTAAACTGCTTGTCCCGATTGAAGAGGCTATTCACCCACAGATCCTCCCCGTCCTCATATATACTCGCTATCTTTCACTCCATCCAGAGCTTGACTTCCTACAAGTCCCGTAACTACTTGCATCTCCGCGGTAGTCTCTCTTCATCCCCACAAAACGGCCAGAAGCCAGTCGGCGACCCTAGGCAAAAGATTGATGATTGAGCATACGCGTGCAGCCTCAGCCGTGCTATGTTTAGCGCAACCAATCACGAGTGCGATATTACGTACCTGGTTACTGTTTCTCCGCCACTTCCGCTTGGGAGAGTGACAAGAACGGCTCGCTTCACGGAGCGACACATGGTGTGGCGTCAGGTACCAGTCGCATGCAAGGCGTGTATGAACGGCTATCGTGGACGAGACGTAGATGATGGTGGTTCTGAAAAAGGTGGACCTGTTTCAACCCACATCCTTGCAATTCTCATTCGAATCAGCGACCTCAGTGCCATCCTCAGCTTATCCCCTCCGCGTTGCGGCCTTACACTACCACAGCAGACCATGTGTATCCAAGCACGCTGCCGAGGTACCATATTTTCACTCGATGACTAAACATCACCCCATCATCACGCCCGGCTTCATCCGATGAGATGTCATCTCAAGATCGAGTGCATAATTTTCAGCTATCGTGTGATTCTTCAAATTGCAAGGTAGATGGTTTCCTACGTCTCCGCGGCAATGTGTAGGGCACACGTGGATGGAGTCCGATCTCGTGCGCGATCCACAGTTATGGGCCTTGTACCGCCACGAGGTAACATGTCGAACGTATGTAGGAATGGCCATAGAACATGTTCGACCAGGCACCCGATATATTGATTGATGCGCAATGCTCCCAGCTAATTGAGTTCATTTTGGACTATTCACATACATAACGCCTTTGACTCTTCCTCATTCTCTCTCCTTTCCAATCCTCCCACTCAAGTCTTAATGACGATCGACTTCTACTCATACCACGACACGAGAGACAGTGCACTTGCCTATTTGAATTGGCGCGGAAGAACCGATGCAGGGCGAGTATATCACGAGAGGTTTTAGGTACTCGCATATGATGCCAAATTCCATAACGCCTCAGAGGCGAGACGTGCGGTCATTCAAAGACGTAGGCTTTAGACATTGGTTTCTTTGCAGGCCCCAGAATATTTCTCCATCACCGACAGTGAAGTGAAGGGAGAACGGACCCTCATGAGGCCGGGCTTCTACCTAGAGCTAAGTATTGCATCTCCTTTGAGCTGCCCACGAATTGCGGCGATAGCAATAAGATGAATGAAGGCAACTTCAACATGAGTATGAAAGAGTACCCACATACAGATTTATACGTGCTCGTCCTAGTCGATGCTCATAGTCATCTAGTATGTTTCCAACCTAGGACTTGGCTAAACGTAAGCTTGCTAACTATCTAGTTCAAGGACGAGATCATAAAGAAGGGCATGACATCAGTTGGTCCGCGAGTGGTTCGAGAGCGACTCTATACAATGATCAAACAGCACTTTGTCTAGGACCATGCCCGAATTGCCGAATACATATCGCATTGTGGCTCGGGTCTACGCCGATCTTGCTACCTCGGACTGTAGCTCGAATAGGCTACTTTATCAGTTTGCTGTAGAATTCTCGTGGGCCGATGCCTCTTTGACTTCACCAACGTGTGAGATGGGGTGACTGGGGAACAAACGATAACCGGTATGTTTCCTAAACCACGGGCTGGCGAATCAAAATTGCATTCGTCAACACTCTTGCCTAGAGCTCTTTACTAAAATCTCTAAATGATCAAAACTGCCAACATATCTTCTTTGCAGCGTGGCGACGACCTACGTATCTCGCTTTGCTCTAGGCAGCTGGTTGCAAAGTGACAATCGTGACTAGTCTTAGTATGGGAGCCCGCTTCGACGTCGTTCCCTTTGTCCACATCACTGGTCGCCTTCCCGCAGGTCTTCTTTATTGGAAGCCTCCCCAAAGGCTGCGAAACTAGGCCATGTACCTGTCAACAAGCATGGCGAGCAACTTGGTCTCTACTTGCAGCACCCGAACGACGCCCATTACCTTGAATATGCCAATCGGGTTCCCAAGGACGCGGAACAGGCTTGCAACTGGCACCACCTCTTGAACGACTGCCGCGACAATCCGCATGCTTATTCGGCCACTCCGAAGAGATTGCAAAGGCGCTCTTCTTCATGCAATACAAGGCTAAGCTGATCACATGTGCTGATGGAACGCAGTGCCGTCGCCTTGAGTGGTGCTTTGGTCACGTATGTCAGAGCAAGAAATCTCTTGGCAAAGAGGTGTAGGATTGTCCGATGAAGGCGTTCCACAAGGCGCAATGATGGCGTTTGGTTAGTAAGTGCATCACCATGATGTAACATGTGTGGATCGTGCTGGAGGATTAACATCGTGTACTTTACAACATAGGGGTTGGTCCACTGAAATAAGGTGACTACCTAGGTAGGCAGCGTGAAAGTCAGCTAATGGAAACCTGATTTCGTTGTAGTTAATGACGCTTAATTTCGCACACTTCTGGGCCGTAATTTGGGGTCGAAGATGGATGGAAGCCACGAACAACAACTCAAGAGCAAGATGACAAGCGGTAATAGCGATACCCCCTCCCTCTCGAATGCGAATACACCCCCGCCCCCGGCCATCGTGCAGCGGGGGCAGTGCCTAGTCAGCCAACCAAATGCACAGCAGAGTAGTGATAGGAATGCCACCCTAGCGCTGAAGAAGAAGGTGGTCCGTGTCGTCCCTTTTTAGATCGGGTTGGTGATTAACCGACGTTGCGCAAAGGCACATGAACGGAAGCCTCAAAGGCCCAGGCATGGGCACGCGACGGGATGCGATAAGGGCAGTAACGTCGCCTTCTCGTCCTTCTGCTCTCGTTTCTATATTGCAAGTCATAGTGTGACGGATTCTGAGGCTTGGAGATTGATTTAGAGCTTGCTAGTTGAAGAATCGGTATTAGAGTGGGGTTTCCGAACGAAACCGAGCGGCACCTGGGTTAAGATGGACGACGTTGCGCATACGCGGAGTAACGACGGCATGTTGAAGAATGCGGCACCCCAAGTCGAGGAAAATGACACGAACCCAGGGACATGCAGTTCGAGAGTAGTAGATGCAAGAGATGGACCAGTGGAGGCATCCGAGGAGGGGGACCAGCGGCCGGGGAGCAGGAAGAGACAAAGTTACAGCCGTGCACATTTCAAAGTGTACAAAAGACGCTGGCTAGGACTAGGACAGTTGGTCTTACTAAATATTGTTGTTAGCTGGGATGTAGGTTTCTCTTGTTTCTTGCAGTTTCCCTCTTGGACAGGCTAGATGCTGTGTGTGGCACTTGCACTTTGTGAGCTATCGCGTGAAAGAAATGACTATTGTTCAAGATGAGCACATAGTCTCGAGCTCAACATAGCAGAGCTGACACTGTTTAGTGGCTGACATTCGCCCCCGTTTCTTCAACATCCGCCACCTACTTCAACGTTTCAGAAACAGCAATCAACTGGCTCAGCACGGCCTTCCTCTTCTCCTTTGTCGTCGCCTGCCCGTTTGTCATCTATCTCCTGCACCGCGGCCCCAAAGACGCCATCATCGCCAGCTCTGTCCTGCTGTTACTAGGCAACTGGGTCAGATATGCAGGCACCCAAGCCAATGGCGGTATCTACGGGCTTGTCATGTTCGGTCAAATTCTGATAGGACTGGCGCAACCTTTTGTTCTGGCCGCCCCGACGAGGTATAGCGATATGTGGTTTACGGAAAGCGGACGGGTAGGAGCGACGGCGCTTGCGAGTCTGGCAAATCCCTTTGGGGGTGCTGTACGTTTGATTTCCCTCCAAATTCAACGGCCAAACCTAAAGCTAATACTCTGTCTGCAGCTCGCACAACTCATAAATCCCTTCCTAGGGTCCATCCCTCAGATGGGTAAGTAACGCTGGTGTACGAATTACAAGTGAGACATGTGCTGATTTTGTATTCTAACATTCAGTCCTCATTATATCCATCATTGCAACAGCAGCGTGTATTCCCTCCCTCTTCATCCCCGCCGCTCCACCCTCACCTCCAACGGCATCCTCTTCGCTCTCAAGGACACCAACAGTAGAGAGCCTGAAACACATGATGCGCTCACCGCCCTTCTATATCCTCTTCCTGACTTTTAGCACTTACGTCGGATTCTTCAATGCGTTCTCCACGTTGTTGAACCAGATTCTATATCCGTATGGTTTTAGCGAGGACGAGGCGGGCATCTGCGGCGCGGTTTTGATTGTCGTCGGCCTCGTTACGGCGGCCATTACGAGTCCGTTGTTGGATCGCACGCATGCCTACCTGCAGGGTATAAAGATTCTCTGCCCTCTGATAGCAGCATCCTATCTGGCGATGATTTGGGCACCACAAACACGAACGATTGCGGCACCCTACGTCTTGAGCGCGTTTCTTGGGGCGAGTAGCTTTGGTTTGCTGCCAGTTGCGTTGGAATATCTTGTTGAAATCACATTCCCAGCTTCTGCCGAAGTCAGTTCAACAATCTGCTGGTCAGGTGGGCAGGTATTTGGTGGAGTTTTTATTGTGGTTATGAATGCGCTGAAGGACCAACGACCTGTTGATCTCGAGCGCGTGAGGGAAACTGGGCGAGCAAGCGGCGGTGGACTTCGACCACCGGGAAACATGTATCGTGCACTGGTGTTTCAAGCGGTTGTTGCATTGGTAGTCCTCCCACTTCCATTGATGCTGGGTATCAAGCAGTTGGGGCTATCTCATGGAGAAGGCAGACTAAAGGTGGACGAGCATAGAGATGGGGAGAGTGTCGTGGATGGGAGCGTGAATGGGCACGAGCAGTGACTACTAGAAGACTTTGCTTACGAAAATGACCCTGATTGATGGATCTGGGGCATTGTCTTGCATCTACTCGTTTGGGCTGGAACAAATGGAGTTTTGGTTGGCAGGAGGAAATAGTACAGTGATATTCTAAACATGACTCTCATATTTACAGTCATCCACGAAGTGTCTTGATCTTTTTGCTTGGATCCAAATCTACGTTCCACTATCGCGCTCGGGGTCTGTTGGGGGGTTCATAAGGCGAAGGGCGTGGGCCAGGCATAGAGAGATTTACTTGAGCTGGGCGAAGAGCTTGGGAGCAGCGCACTGGGTCGCGCAATGAGCAAGATGGAAAACTAGGCGGTGTTAGAGTCTGCTTCAACAGGCTGGTGGAAGGGGCGACCGTACATTCTTCGACGCAGTCCTCGCTGGCCTTGCCATCGTTCTCGATCTGGCCTGTTACGCGCTCGACGCACTCATCATAGTGGTGCTTTGGGCCGTGGCACTCCTTGGACTCGGCGCATTCTGTGACATTAGGTCAGCCGCTGCTCTAGTCCTCAAATGCCTGTGCAGGCTCGCGATGGAGGCCGTTGCCGCTGCAAGATCCACCATTGCTCATCAAGTTGCATCTGAAATATCCAGAGCATCCATTGATGGCCAAACTCTTTCTGTATCTCACTGGTCCTCATGGGAAAGACTCACCCTTCTCGAGCTGCTCCTTTGGATCCGGCTCCTCTTCCTCCTCCTCTTCCTCTTCTGGCTCCTCATCCGCATCATCTCCGCCACTTGGCTTGTGCCCCTGCTCCTGAGAGCCGCCCTTGCTCTGGTCTTTCTTGTTGACCTCGGCCTCGTCGCTGGACTCTTCGTCGGTGCCGGACGCGGGCGTCTTGGTGCTACTGCCACCCTGGGGCGCTTCGGCGTCGGGGGAGGGCTGGGCAAACGTCTCCCAGACGTCGGTGAAGAAGTCGGTGATACCCATTGTGAGTGCTCCGGGGTAATTGGGGTACGACGAAGAAGGGTGGTGTTGTACGGAGGGCTGATGGTAGTAGCGATGGGTTGGAGAGCTGGAGAAGCCGGGATCGCGAAAATGGCGGGTGCCAAGGAAAGTGCTAGTGTCATGCAATTGCGCGCAACCTCAGTGGGTAGACGTAGCAGGCAGTTCCAACAATCACGGTGAATAGACAAAAGGTGGATTCAAGTACATGACTACCACTAACTAACTGCGGTGCCTCTTGAAGGCTTCCTGCACACTAACGCCCTGCTCAACATCTGCAAGCACCCTCTCATCTGCTCCTACAAGCTTGGGCAGCAGCTCAAGCAGCTCGTCCACCTTTGCTTGCGGCACAGCCACGACCCCGTTCTCAAACGGATCTATCATGACAATGTCTCCCGGCTCCACGATGGTCTCGCCCACCCTTATAGGCACATTGCGCGCATGAAGCTTGGTCTCGGCTCCCGCACCGATGACGGAGGTGCCCCTGGACCAGATGGGCAGCTGAGTGTCGTTCAGTGCGACGACATCTCGCACGCGGCCATCGACGACGAGGCCCTTTGCACCGAGATGCTTGATGCGAGTTGCCATGATCCCTCCGACAACTGCACAAGACTGGCCTGCTGGTTGGCTGATGACCAGGATGGTGCCGCGCTCGGTATAGTCTGCAAAGGGTCTGGAGTCGGGCAGGTTGGAGTCTGGGACTTTGTCTGATGGTAAAGCTGGATTAGGGAACGACTTGGTCGCCTTTGGGGCCATGAGGAAGGTCGACGCTGGAGCCAGCACCTTCTTGGGCTCTGCGGTGGGCAGGCTTGTAGTATGAAGCAAAGGTCCTGCCATGTCTCGGTCAGAGGCTGGCTGCCCAGGTCAAAACCCACGAGTTTAGACGTACTCAAGTCTGCTAGAAAGCCAGCACCTGGTACATGGAGCTTGAGCAGCCCATCCGCTAGCTGTTCGAGTTCAGCTGGCAGCTTGACGGTGGAAGCGCAGGTAGAGAGGTACATCGCATGCCGCATACTTGTATAGTTCTGTCCACCTTGGGGACGCCATGCTGGTGGTGCTAAATGATGTGTGCACCCGTGTTGAGGTGGTGAAGGCTGCTCCGTCACAAGCAAGCTCTCGTGTTGTAATAGAACAGCCCCGCCAGCCCGAGGTCCGCGAGGCCCTGAAGCATTCATGGTGGTGTACGAATAGTACCTGCTACCCGTGATTGCGCAATGGATGGGCGACCATGGATCTGAAACTAGACTATATTGGAGCCTGCGTCAAACATGGGCAGCTAGGTACCTAGGTACAAATGGATGCTCCTGGGATTCTCTTTTCCTAATAGTGCAGGTAGGTAACGTGACACGTCTCCAGCCAAGCAGTGCAGGGGTCGGGGGTCATCGGGAGTTTGATCTGAATGTTCCGTCGGTTTCTATCAACCACCTCACGCCCAGCGGCCTCTCGTTGCAACACTTTAACAGACGCCCGCGTTTTCTTTCTTCTATTCCTCCCATCTGGTAGTTCATCGCTATTTTCGCGGCCTCTGCCGCAACCGAGCCCCCAACATGGCCTTACAAGCTCCTGTCGCAGTGCAGGTGAGTCTCGCCACGAGTCCCGACATGGCGTCATGGACCGCCTGCTCACTATGATACAGCACGTCGTCTCTGCCTCTTCCGAGCTGTGGCCTACCATGTCCGCCGTTCTGAGATCACCATGGCAAGGCTTTGGCCGCAAGCCCGCTGCCGCCGCCCGACAACTTCACACCGCGCGCCCATCGGAGCCTTCTCTAGCAGCAGCCCACGGCCAAGTAGGCAACCCTCGTTTACGCGCCTCCTCCAGCATACTGATGCGACCACAGTCCCGCTCGCTTTCCGTCCTACCTGAATTCCTCGAGTCCATCCCCATCTCGGCGCTTCGATCCACACCGTCTTCCGAAGCGTTGCGATGGACACCCACCGTGTCTGGAACTATATGTGCAGGTGAGTCGTATGAAGCAACATCGCAAGAGTGGACAACTGACGCTGTGCAGCACCGCGACTCGGACTATGCAATCCCCTCGCCCGGAACATGGCGTCTGGCCATCTCAGAGCACGGCAGTACTCCACCATGTTGCGCAACGGGCCCCTGTCACAGCTGCGTCAGCTATCGAAGCCGGGAATGGTCGGACTGGGCCTGATCCAACAGCGATCGCTCTTTGGTGGACCTTCTCATGAGCAGTTGGCGCGCCTCGAGGAGGCTGCCAACAAAAACCCCACCAGCGCAACGTCTCAGGCATCCTTCTACTCGGCTCTCATGCGCGCCAACATGCCTCAAATCATCGTCAACCGGTACAACACGGGCCATTTCGCTACAAACGCCGTCGTGGATAGGTTCTACAACACGGCCCTGCAGAAGACGGGACAGTCGGGCCAGGTGCAAGCTGGCCAAGGGCTCTCGCAAGAGCAAATGCAAGCTGTCGCTCAGGCCGTAGGCGCCAATGCTGGTGGAAGCCAGATTGGCAAGGCCCGCGCCGGTGCTGGTGTCAAGAGTGATCCCGTCTACGTCGTGGTCGAGGAGTCCTTGATGAACGTCATCTTCAAATGGGTCCGATGGATCTGCGGTTTCGCTTTGGCTGCCTACGTCTCCCTGATTCTTATTACCCTTTTCGTTGAGACCAGTGGCGTGCTTAAAAAGGTGGGCGGCGCCACCAGCGCTGAAGTTCGTCCGGAGCATCAAAACACCCGCTTTAGCGATGTCCATGGTTGTGACGAGGCAAAGGAAGAGCTCCTCGATGTTGTCGATTTCCTCAAGCATCCCGACAAGTACAACAAGCTCGGCGGCAGACTTCCCAAGGGTGTTCTGCTCATCGGTCCTCCTGGTACTGGTAAGACGCTGCTTGCCCGTGCTGTTGCGGGCGAAGCCGGTGTCCCCTTCTTCTACATGTCTGGTTCTGAATTTGACGAAGTCTACGTGGGTGTCGGAGCTAAGCGCGTCCGCGAGCTGTTCACAGCTGCTCGTGCCAAAGCCCCCGCTATTGTATTCATTGACGAGCTGGACGCCGTGGGTGGAAAGCGAAAGTCGCGCGATGCCAACTACCACCGCCAAACCCTGAACCAACTTCTCAACGACCTTGACGGCTTCGACCAGAGCACTGGTGTCATCTTCATTGCCGCTACCAATCATCCTGAACTTCTTGACCAGGCGCTCCTCCGGCCTGGTCGCTTCGATCGACATGTCCAGGTTGAGCTTCCGGATGCTGGAGGACGTTTGGCCATTCTCAAGTACCACACCAAGAAGATCCGCCTTTCCCCGGAACTCGACCTCTCCAATATCGCACGGGGCACGCCTGGTTTCTCGGGTGCCGAGTTGGAGAATCTCGCAAATTCAGCAGCCATCCGCGCTTCCAAGCTCCAATCCAAGTTCGTTTCTATTCAAGATCTAGAATGGGCCAAGGATAAGATCACGATGGGTGCTGAAAGAAAGAGTCGCATGGTTCCGCTTCAGGACAAGATTCACACGGCTTATCATGAGGGTGGTCACGCACTGGTCGGTCTTTTCACGAAGGGCTTCAACGACGTCCATAAGGCTACCATTCTCCCTAGAGGTCACGCTGCTGGTATCACATTCTTTCTTCCTCACGAAGAGCATCACCACACGCGCCAACAGTACATTCGCCAATTGCAAGTCTCAATGGGCGGCAAGATGGCCGAGGAAATCGTCTTCGGCGCCGACAATGTTGCCGACGGTGCTTCTGGCGACATCCAGCAAGCTACATCACTCGCCTACAACATGGTTACCGCATGTGGTTTCTCGGACGTGCTCGGCAACGTCGATTTTAAGTCCAATTACGAAATGGTCTCACCCGAAACCAAACGTCTCATAGACAACGAAGTACGCAGGTTGATCGACGAAGCGAAGCTGAGCGCCAGGAAGCTGCTACTTTCAAAGCGTCAGGAGCTGGATCGGCTAGCGGACGCGCTTGTTCAGTATGAGACGCTGGATAAAGACGAGATTCTGAAGGTGATTAAGGGTGAAGACTTACCTGGTCGGTTGAAGGCAATGCCAAATCAGCCGATAAAGATACCTGACAACCCCCTCAGCGCAGTTGTACCAGCGCCTAGGGGCAATGAAGGGTCAGGGCCGCCAGGACCGGGGCTGCCTGCGTAGTCCGGAGGTTGGAAATGGAATCAACTAGAAGTTTGGAAAATGCATTCTGGTATGCATAACGAGGCGAACGGCGTTGATAAAGCCCTCTTCCCTCTTAGCCTCCGCCACTTGCGGAGAGCGATTTAGTTACTCGGAGGCCTCGTATATTTTTGTACAATATTAAGTTTAAACAGCCTTGGCGAAAAGAGCTTGGTCTGTTCGGGCATGGAATGTATGGCATTGAGCGGAATCAGGCTACGCCAGGAAGGAGAGGAAGAAAGACTGTGTGTAACTAGACTGATGAATCGGAAGATCAAACATCACCCCGTTTCCAACTTCGCTAGCCGAGGCCAAAACTATGGAAAGTGACTGTAGTCTTTGTCCGAATAGGTTCACATTGACGGCCCACCTCCCCACCATATAAGTTGCTTTGACTTTGAATACATGGAACAAGTTTTCTTCCACGGTTCAATTTTGCTACTACTTTCAGCTTGATGGACAAAGTTACCATTGCAATCCAAAGCAAATTCGTAAGATGTCGGCTACAGATGATGTTGATTCGTGGCGTGCGAATCATTACACCCGACTACAGGACTGATCTCTTCATGCGTTGGTTGTGTTAGTCAAGTGAACGAGTGAACAAGTTTTCAACCTATCAGGAATGAATAAAGTCTGATGTCAGAGAAGCAACACAGTCAACCAGCGCTTCCAGACCACTAGTACATTGGTCCTACGTGAGACCGAAAAAAATAATAATATCAAAAGGGTATAAGCTCGCAAAGAAAGACGTAGACCGCCATGTGCTCCCATGATAAAACACCCCGTTAAACTACCTTTCCATTAGGCTTGATTCCCACTGCCCCTATGTAGCTTAATTTTTTTTTATTGCATCCACTAGGACATGGCTCCTCGGACAGGGGGTTGCTTCAACACCTAGTGAACAGAGATTGCTTGGATTGAGAGCCACAGTTTGAATCGTGCCATTCTTACATCAGTCATTGTCATGACCAATCTTGTTTCAACGCACTAGAGTCGAAGTTATTCCCGCCGTTGCCGTTGGGAGATGATGACAACTGTTGCGCAGCGGCAGCAGTCGCCTGGGCTTTTGCGGCCTCGTTTGCTGCAGCCATGGCGGCGGATAGGTCGTGATCGACTTTCGAAGGTTGCGAAGGGTTTCCGTTACCGCCGCTACTAGCGGGACGAGCATCAACCCCTTCACGTTCCCCCACGGCGGCCGCGGCGAGATGCTGCAGACCAGCCATGTTGGGTTGTGGGACAGGACTGGTCAGTTCAGGGACATTTAACGGCGGTGTCGGCTCCTGCTTTTGATGGAGGAGATCTCGGATAGCGGTGTCCCAGCCGAGACCATCCGAACTACGGTATATCATCTGGCCGTCTTCCAGCGCGTCGCTCATTGCTTTGAGGCTGGCGTGCGCGTCCACCTGTGTTTCCACCCTATCCGAGAGTTCGGTAAGCGATGTTGCAACCAAGGCGGCAAAGATGTGGTGAAGTGGTGTGATAGCCCCGTTAGTCAAGTTACTTAGGAGCTCTTTTGTAACATTCAGCACCTCCGAGGAGGAGGCATTTTGGGAGGAAAGCCGTGCTACGAAGACACGCAGGTACTGATAAGCAAGATGAGGAGGGGAATTGCTGGTTAGGGTGGTGATGTCAATGGATTCCCGGAAGCCGGTTAATTGCCCATGGAGGTAAATGGACTGAGGCGAAGCCGCGTTCAATGCTGAGAAAGCGAAAGGCGACGACGGATCCATATTTGGAACGCTACCGGCGCGGTTAACGTAAGCTATCTGGCCTACGATTTCCGCGGCACCTACACGGCGTCAGTCATGAACATACTGATAGAAAGGAAAGCTGAGACTAACGAGCTAGATGATAGCCAACTTCGCCCAGCGCAGAATAATCGTCCCGCGAGAGAGAGCCGGAATGCAGGGGAAACATGATGTCTTTCGATCGACTAGATGCATAGAAACGGTCCAGGATGAATGCAGTCCAGAAAACACGCCGTGCGGTGTAGAAAGCTTCTTGGTCCTGTTCTCTGAGTATACTTAGTGTTCTCGAGTCGTTCAAGCCTGCGTCGGTGAAGCAGCCCGCAATTTGACCAAGCAGCTGAGCTGTACTGCCCACAACGCCTGGTCCTGGTCTGTCGGAAGCAGCTGCAAGCAGTATCAGCGACTGACAGTAGACCAGGTTATTGTAGAGTTGGCGTGAGCTGTCTGCATCGCTCAAGCAGTATTTGGCTGCATCTACCGAGACGAAGCATTGTTGCAACAGTTGATTGAGGCTCAGTTCCATGGTTGGTAACGCCTTTGAGGCGAACGAACGAATGCAGCCTTCAAGAGATAGAAAGAAGGCCTCCCGTAGCTTTGGGGGACAGTTGGTGAGACGGTTCAGTGCTGATTCGTCGTGAGGCAGAACTGGTAGAGTCGGATGGATGATGTTGTAGTATCTACGTTGGGATGAGCGACCTAGTTGGCTGCTGGAGCAACGGGAGACTTACGCTTTGAGGGTTCCCTCATTGGATCCTGTGATAAGACTACCGGCCAAAGTCAGCTCTCCGAATGAGGTGCGACGGTTGCCGTTCAGCGAAGGTTCTTGATCAGTTAGCAGTGGAAGGCCATGGCATTCGAACAAATGGCAATTACCACGATCCTGGCCGGTCCAGCTGGGTCGGCCAAAGGCCTCATGAAAGCCTTCTGTCATGGAGTGAGTGCGCTGTCGCTTGAATTGGGGTGGACTCTGTGTATCGGGAAAACTTTGGTCGCCCATGGCTCCAAAGTCGAAGTTGTGCGACGGGTTCTGAGGGTGCTGGATCTGGCTTTCGAGCGAATTCAGCCGGTCGGCCAGTTCCTTGATATACCTTGATATGCATGTAAGCTACTGTGGACGACCAAGGGGGCCCATGTGAAATACCCTTTGCTAGGTCCGCGCTTCATAGGCTGTCTGCTGAATTGGCACCGCGCCCCCGTCCTCTTACAGCTGGAGCAAGACTCTGGCCCATTCTCGGTGGTGGCGTCGCATCGAATCTACCTTGGGTGAGCAGGGAACCAAAAGCAGCTGGGTACGACTGGGTAGGATGAGCGTGACGCACTTTCTTCCGCCGACATTCATCGCAGGCTCGCGACACCTTTGATCGCTTGCGACTCGGGTCGTTTGGGTCATAGGCGTCGTGGTGTCCCTCCAAGCTCATGACGGCATGCGCCATCTGCTGCGGAGAGTGGGTAGGCCGTAGGGGAGTCTGAAAGTGCTGATGCGCGCTCAATGACGGAGCCATCTGTGCTAGCTGCTGGTACTGGGGTTGCTGCGGGCCGCTCGTATGTGCCATGTCGCCGCCGTCACGAAGCTGCTGGAGATTCTCTTGAAGGCGTAGCTCGGGGTCGGTCATGTGCTGCTGGTGGTGTTGCGCCGGTGGTGTTCCGTTTTGGTTGACGTAGGGTCCCGGACCTCCGCCCATTTGCGCGTCGGGGTCGGCGTAGTTTGCCATGATGGAGGGGCGCGAGGGCGACAGAGGTAGACGATGGTCGTTGGGCGTATCGGGGGATGAAGTTGGGGGCGGTTACGCGTTCGCGCGCGGCGTAGTTTGGCGTTGTGTGAAGTGAGTGAAGCGTGCGGTACGGCCAAAGCCGAGGGAGGTTTTGCACACGTTCAACTTTACGGATTTCGTACTAGCGCGGCAAAAGGCAAGAGAGGAGCTGGAGGCACCCCTCAAGGGCTGGAGGGAGCGCGGCCGCAACCGCATGGCGGGTTTTGGCAAGGGGCGAATGTTGAAGTTTGCTTAAGCTTGCCGTGCTGCTCGAAAACTTCTGAGAGGGTTGGTGATGATGATGAAGTCGCTGTTCGGATTATCTCTTCCACCGTACGGCTCCGGACGGCGGCCACTGAGCAACTTGGTCCAAGAGCAACAAGATGGAATGCGAATTGCAGGGAGATGCACGAGCAGGACGGCTTTTGGTCTAGAGACTTGTAGGATGCTCTACCTGGGTTCCATGTCTGCTGCCGACCCTCTCTCTGCACATGTCTTGGGTGCACTTGTAGCAGTGTATTTATGCCATTTGACAGTGTACATGTACATGTATATATATATATATTTGGTTACTGCAGTCTCTTCCATGCACGATTCCGAGCTTTTCAATCGAGGCTGCCGCAGCTAGCATGTCGTCTCGATGCAAATTGCCACGGCCTTGGAGGTACTTGTTTTCCAGCGCTTCGGCAGTAGAGTGACAATATATACATAGATGGCCCAACAGAGGATTTGTATGGGGGCCATGGCATATATACATACATCCAAGGGACCCGTCTGTTCACCGTCGTTGCCAACGAAGAGTTGTTTCATGGCCAACAGGCTTCGTTCGACACACACTGCTGCTACACTGAGACATTGGCTAGGCGGAAGACGTTCCGCAGGCTGGTGCACGAGCCAGTCGTAAGGGGGGCCCGTGCCTTCCCTGGCCGGTCGCGCCTGCAGATTCGAGCAGGCAGAGCCCGCGCGCACTTGCCGATGGCGCTAATCCACACACACCCCCAACCAGCCAATGGCACGCCGCCCAGGCCCGAGTGCCTTCCCTCTTAACCAGTTCCTCCCGCTCGCTCCTTCTCTCCCATCACCACCTCAACCCGCACAATCGCCCACCCTCAACCGTTGGTTTGGTCGTCCCTCAGGAGCCCCGTCCCACGCTTTCGGCCAGCGCCTCTTGCGCTCGGTTCCCCTCTGATCACTCTCCTCTCCTCTCCGCTCCGCTCCAACACAACCCCCTCCCACGCCCTCTACTCTGTCGTCCTCGGTCCTCTTCCCCCCGGCGTTCACGGTCCTCGTCCAACATAGCATACCCAATTGACCAAGATACCCTCCGGCGTTTGATTTAGCTTCCTTTCCACACTCTCCTTCTTGCCTGTATCTTTATCCCCCCCAACGCCTCACACAGCCTCGTGTGACGCTCTTCATCTTGACTTCTTCCTCGTCTTCAGCCTGCCGCTCGGCTCCCTCCACCCAGCTGCGACGACCGCGTTTGGCCGGGACCGCCACGGAATGCCTCTTATCCATGGCGCAAAATGGGCTTGCTCGTCCTGTATCAAGGGTCACCGAGTGAGCGGCTGCAGCCACAATGGTACGTCGTCGAGCCACCTTTACCCTCCTCTACTACCTATAGCGCACAGCCTAACCCGCCTCTCCCAGATCGTGAACTGCACCACATCAACCCCAAGGGTCGCCCTGTCAAGCAATGCGAGCACTGTCGCGGCGCTCGCAAGTCCAAGTCTCACCACGCAAAGTGCGACTGCGGCGACAAGAAAGACAAGGACAAACTCAAGGACAAGGGTGACGCCAAAGGTACGACGCCGACGACTGGCATGGCCGACCCCGACCACCTCTCCAACGATGCTCTAGCTCACGACACGGGCTGCCAGTGCCACTCGGGCGCCAAATGCATATGCGGCACCGTCAAGGAAGAACTCAAAGTCGACACTAGCCGTCAGACGCTCCACGATGCCCGCGCAAAACCAAAGTTGATGACGACGCACTCGGAGAGTCACTTGACCGTCTTTTCCAACGGCCACCACAAGCCCTGCCACCGCAACAACAACACGGCCCACATCTCTGGCGCGCCTTACAAGATCCCCCGCCCCCATACGCTACACGGTCATTCGGCATTTGCTGCTTTGGCACAGAGCAACAATAGCTACACCAAGCCAGATGTGCCAGCTACGCGCTCCATGGATACCCTCTCGCTCTCCAACAACGACTTTTACGCCATGTTTGGTTCCACCCCGCGCCCCCAAGACAATGTGCCAATCCCGAACGTAACCAACAGCCTTGACACGCTTCCCTTTCAAGATGCCATCTTCACGGGTCAAGCAAGTGTCTTTGCCCAGGATGGCAATTCTCCTAGCAGCAACAGCGATACGTTTTCCAGCCAGCAATGGCCCTGGACCACCGCAACGGCCACACCCGTCAACGGCACCTTTGGATTCGGCAGTCTATCTACCTCTCCTTCACAAGATTGCCTCCCTAACCTTGGCAACGACTGGTCAATACCTTCCGCTGGCTTCAATCCACTTTGGTCTGCTGGTGATCTTCCCTTGGATCCGAGCAAGTTTAGCGACAGCTTGACACAGCCAATTTCGCACAGCGGCGAGTCCAAACAGAGCGGTCCCGGTCTCACCGCGGCTTCTTCAGCCCACTCGGAGATTGGAGATGCAAATATATTCGGCGACATGGAATTCAAACCACCTCAGTCGGCTGCTAGCGAGTCCCTTTTTTGGGAGGACAGCCCGGTCTATCGCTTCAACACGTCTGAGCCAACCGAGAGCATCACTGCGCCAGCGACAATGCCAACTAGCAGCATATCCATTCCCAATGTTCAGCATCTCGAGCCCACTTTCGCCAAGAGCTTGAGCGCTGCGCCCACGACGATGACGAGTACCGCTTCAAATGACTTCGCCGAGACTAGTGCGATTGCAATGCCAACCACCAATTTTGAACATGTTATTCCCATTGATCCCTGGCCTCTGGATCAGAACAACGCAGTGTTTGGCGGGATGAACACTTTTGAGCTCTCTTACACCAACAACTGGTTTTAGACGCCTGTGGGGGGCTGAGCTGGGGCAGCTTCAGCCCCTTTGATGACGCCATGATTGATGACGCTGGTGGTGCGCGATGCATACCAACCTGGAGACGCACTTACATTCATACCTTCGCTTCTGCCTCTTATGGCTCCCTTTCGACCCTCGGTCGCCTGTGTATATTCAAGACCTGGCCGAACCATTCGCTTATCTGTGTTTGAGGCCGTTGTTCATAATTTTCATCTACCGTTGTTGTTGCATTTGGACGATCGAGCAATCAAGCCTCGTATATACATGTGGGAATGTAGGCGGTGTTATTCCAAGAGTGGGCGGATATGCATGTGAGGGGGGGTGCTTTGAAAACTATAGACACGGGCTTCGGCGTTGTACTCGTCTATTACGCCCAACAAATAAAAGACAAAGATTTCAATTCATGTTGCATCCACCATGACATGTCCACTCTCTGTGTGTCTGCCCACCAACAGCGCCGTGCATGGCACGAAGCCTGGAGTAGCGCCGAGTGACGTCCTCTGGAGCACCCTAGTCGCCAGACCAATGTATGCAAGCAGAGATTTTGCCGACGTTTGATTGATCGGTCGGCACAGATCGTGTTCTCCCAGCAAACTAGACATGTACGGTAATAATGCCCTTTGGAAGCCGGGAATGCGATGATGGTGATGATAGATTTCGCCTCTCATGATTCCGCACTAAGCTGTCTTCTTATTGATGGCTTCTTGCGGACACGGAGCGCTGAGCGCGGCAGTCTGGAGGGGCATTCCACGACAAGAGCGATTGTGCACAGCCTCCTGCACGAGCTCAACAGCCGTTTGGTCTGTAAACCTGCGACCCGATGCTGGCCAACCAGCCACCCTGCATATGTAGCGTAGTTGTCGCTTCCATGGCGAAGACGGGCAAGCGGTGAGGTGCGAAGATAGCAACGTTCCAATGGCGAAAATGTCTCATGCACAGGATCAGGCCGACCTCCTACTTTGGGGATCCCAGGAAGACATTGCTGCCCGTGTACACTACGCCCCAATTGATTTGATCACGAGCAATGCGTACCTTTTTTTTTAGGGGGGTGGGGCGGCCATCGAGGGATCTTGACGATGTCACTGCTACCTCCCATGCAGCCATGCCATAGTTGCGCTCTTAGCATCCTTGGCCTCGACACTCACGACCCTGGTCCATCAGCTATGAGGCTTCACCGGCCATGTATGACTTGGTCAGAAGGGTCGTAGAAGACATGTGTGGCATTTCCATGTCTGTATTCATTAGTGTTCTGCCGGCTCGGAGCTTGTTGACTGCTTTGCGTCTTATAATAGTCGTTTGATCCGATGGCAAAGATGTTATAAGGAATTCCACGCATTGTAAGAGTGGTCACGATTTGGCTGCTGCGTGGACTTGGGAATCATTCATCCATCGCGCCCAGTTTCGACCCTCTCAAGATCAATCCTGCCTTATGCCTAAATCTAGTTAATGGGTAGTGCTGGGTGTGCCGGTGATGACGCACGACCCCCCGTTTCCATTGACGCGCTAACCTTGCCCTCAACGCGTCGTCGCGTCTCAACGACTTTCATTTCCTAGGTGCCCGTACAATCACTACCATGCGCCGCACGCGATCAAGCAATAAAGACGTGAATTTCAACATCTACTACTCGAAAAAGGTGCCGCAACAGGTGCACTTTCCACACAGGAAGAAAACCATACGAAGACGCTCTACACCGGTTCGCGATGAGTCAAAAAAGCGACAGATGGTCTTCCTACCAGAGAAGATGAGGACTAAGAGCGAAAAGACTATCAAAGACTCGGACTCAGAGGGTGAATATGAGGAAGTGGAAGAACGTGGTGGGGATAGGATTGACCTGGGAGCAGATGAAGAGGATGAGGCAGAGCAGAGCTTGAGCAGTGTCGCGAAAGAAAGAGTCGGAAAGAGGAAGATCCATACCATGAAAGAAGAAGATGAGGAGGAGGAAAAAGAGCCCGTCAGACCCACACCTAAGCGTAGACGGGGAATGGTAGCCCCAAAGCATGAGCGTCACGCGAGGCAGACCGAGGCCGAACACGGTACACCAGCCGAAACTGAGGGAGAAGGAGCTAGGAACCACATACTTAGGAGACAGTCTACAATGACCCAGCTGGTCAATGGACGAAGACCGTTGCCGAATAGTGAGGAGCCCGAATTCAAGCCCATAAAGCGTAGCCCAAGATTGAGCTGGAGTAGGAAAAGCACGAACAAGGAGAAAGACAAGCAGCAGCGGACATTGACACAAATGATGCCTGGAATGCCACCGTTTGAAATCATGTCGGATGAAGACAGGGAGGAAGCGCTAAGCGATCTTGAAGCACAAGGAAAGGACATTCGAGCATATGAACATGCTGTAGCGCAGCGGCTTGCTCAACAAGGACTGCACCAGGTTCAAGGCGGCGGTAGTGATGAAGCAACTGTGGGGCATCAGGCCAGGGAAAGTGAACAGTGGCTTATGAATACGGTAGATGACCAGGACGAGCTTCAGGTACACCCACAGAGTATGACTGCACTGGTGGTAGAGTCTGTTGAGGAGGTTGCCGATCAAGACGACAAAGGCAGTTATCAACCAACGCAACACATCGATGCTCCAATCACCAGAACAACCCGAGCACTGCGACGTAAGAATGAGCGAAACCAAGCGCAGCCGCTAGTAGACAATATGCTACCTCTTTCAAGCAGTATTCAAAAGTCAAGATTTAGCCTACTATCCACCCCGGAAAAGCGACGCATCCGCGAAATTCCGTCTTCACAGTCGCCAGCCGACTCACCTCTGCTCACTCAAGTGTCGGACGAGAAGTCAAATCGGTCACCGCTGAAAGAACAATCGGGAAACGGGACCAGAGCTCCAGAGACGCCATCAAAGCGTAAACAAGTGACTTTCGGGTTGCCGCTAAAACCCCGTAGTTCGCCGCCCATTCTGGGGAGGTTTCAAAGCACAATCCAAGACTCCGAAGAAGAGGACGAGGACATCATCGAAGAGGATGAGCCTTCAAGTGCACAATGCATAGGCGTCAACATGCATGGCAGACCTGTTGGGTCTCACACGCAAGCAATGCTTGATCAGATTGACCAAGCATGTGCTCATGCGGATGAACATGCCGCTTGGCAAGATAGAGGTTCATCCGAAGAGCTAAGTCTACCGACCGCTACTCGAAGCATCCATGAAGCCTCCCCTGAGCTTGGCGAGCAACAAGAGCAGCCGATAGTAATGCAGCAAAAACACATACTCCACGCGCGACCTTCATATCGCACAGCTCATGCTGGTATCAAGCAGGAGCCGCTACACGATATCGAGACATTGGATCTCACTACCGTTGACCTACCTCTACTACATGAAGTGCAACCAGCTACGACCCATGGGTCGGCAAACGATGAAGCCGAGCTACATGCAGCAGCTGAGGAGCTCTACTCGACGCCGCCCTTTAGCGAGCCTTCTCCTCAAGACACATTTCCCTCAACGCCGATGGTGATACAAGATGATTCATCCAACGAGGAAGATGGCCCTGACCCGATGCCTCCGTCCCAAAATAGACAAATCCACGAGAAAATGCCATCCAGCAGCAGCAAGCAAACATCGATAGACCTAGACGATGAACCTGTACAAGTCCCACGCTCTCCATCTACGCAAGCTGAAACGCAACAATCCCATTCTAGTAAAGCAGAGCAACAACTCCAAAACGAATGGCTCTCATACTCGCAGTACCTTTACACCCGGCCACCCCAGTCGTCAAGCATGCATGTGGGACCAGATGCATTTAGCTACAGCGCAACGCCAATGCATATACACCCTACTGCCGCACAATCATCACAAGCTCTAGGACCCCAGTTGAGTCAGGCAACAACAGTAGACGAACTCACACCCAAGAGGAATCGAGTACAGCGTACAATGAACGCGAGCGTTACTCCGCATAAGAAGGCGAGCTCTCAAGTTTTTGTCTCGCCGAACAAGCTGCCGCCACTGTTTATACCAAGCAGCTTCCCCAGTCCAGCAAAGGCTGCGATTGAAGGTTGGAGTAGCCCAATGTATGGCAGGACGCAAGACTTGACATCTAGTCAGTTTGGTGCCACTCTAGAGGACTTTAGCATTCCACTTCCGCCGCCCCTTGAGGATGAGTGAGTAATACAATATTATTATCAAATTGCACATCGCCGTCGCGAGAACTAAACAAAATCAAACTGTCAAATCCATACAGGATGCATTCAACTATGTACTTCTATGGACTTGGATGGGTCCATCCGATTTGCAGTTATGGTACTAGTATGTTAGTACGCGACCATGCCACGGGAATGATAAAGCCGCACAAAGGCGTTGAGTAAATATACATCGGGCAGCCGCACTTGAAATCTTATGATCGACTTCAAGTCCGGCTGCAAACCCGAGTGTGCGTAGGCGCCTCTTCTTATTGCATTTTGGCGATGCAGGATTGTTGTGCACAGCGAGATTGCTCTCTATAGTGCACATATTGGGAGACGTAGAGGCGAGCTGTGGGGTAACTGATGGATTTTTTCGCTAAGCCAGCTGAATCAGATCTGATTAAGCAGACATGTCAGTCAACGCTCCCATCCCCATAGCGCCCACCTAGAACACCATAGCGCCGCCGTCGACGATGATATCCGTGCCATTGATATACCTCCCCGCATTACTACATAAGGTAACCAGCGGCCCCGTCAACTCCCACGGGTGCCCCATCCTCCCCATGGGATTCCTCGCATTCCACGAGTCACGGGCTTTCTGGAGCCCTTCTCCCTCGTTTAGTATGGTATTCATGTAGCCCGGGCTCAAACAGTTGACACGTATGCCGTAACTGCTCCATTCGGCGGCCAGGCTCTTGGCCAGCGACAATAAAGCGGTCTTGGAGGAGTTGTATGCGCATTGTGGTTGTGGGTAATTTGTATGGTGTGCGGATATCGAGGCTGTGAAGACGATGCTCCCGCCTGTCCCCTGATGGCGTAGTTGGCGTGCTACGGCTTGCGCGCAAAGGAATGAGCCTGTCAAGTTGATATCGTGTGTGCGGCGCCATTCGTCGGCCTTCATTTCTATAGCATGTGTGCAGCCTACCACACCCGCGAAACAACACAGTATGTCTATGCTGCCCAAGACCTTGACAGTGCTCTCAATGGCTGATGCAATGGCGTTTTCGTCCCGCACATCGACAGCTTCGGTGATTATGCGCCGGTCGGGGAACTTGGAGTGCAGGAGCTTGACAGACTCGAAGGCCTGATCAGGCTTCATGTCCCAAAGGGCTAAGCCTGAGGCGCCGTGTTCGAGCAGGGCTTGTGCCGCTTCGAGGGCGAGAGTGCCTGCGCCGCCAGTGACTGTAGATATGCTTCAGTAAGTTATGCTCAGCGTCAAAAGAGAGAAAAAGAGGGGAGGGGGGAAGGGTGAGGATTGTACCCTTTGCAGGCGTTCACGTACTGATCGCATTGCCCTTGACTTGGAATCTGTACTGCGCTCTTTGAGCCGGGGAAAGATTGTCTGGGGGAGGATTTGGTGCTGTGAGCGGGTTCTCGGCTGTCGAGAGTACCATCTCTGGTAATTGTCGGTTTACGAGCGAAGCGCGGTCGGCTGCAGTGTCAGGCATTTTGAAGGAGATGGCCAAAACTGGGTCGCGATGAGAGTTGAGCTGTGTACTTGGAAACCATCTAATATATATATACAGATCACATACCTTCGGACGACAGAAGTCCGCCGACTTTAACCTCGGTGGAGAAGGTCGAGCATCATGTCGAATGAGTTGCCCCGCCCCCACCACGCTTCTGTCTTGGCCCTCATCAATATGGATCAGCATTGTCATGTCGTTGAGATGAAACCAGCTTTCATTACCTTGTTGGGTACATACCGACCAACCGTCCTTGAATAGAAATACCCTTCCGTATACCTCAGACAGCCAGCCGTTGTACCTGGCCTTCCTACAGGAGCTCCACAAACAGCTGCAAAGGCTAGGCTGCAAACATTTTATCACCATGTGTTGGCGTGCAAAAGCACTCATAGAGTGATGACCCTTTACAGCTGCTGTTTGGCTGGCCGAATCAAGGCACCTCTCACGAATGTTCGAAGGCCGTCACGCTGTACTTGGTAACGACATCCTCGTGACGTTCTCCGGGTGTGGCTGAAGCTTAACCCTGTGCTGCCAGTTATCTCCGAGACCCGGCCACGCTCATCCATCCCACCTTCGATATACTACTCACCTAACCTTATTATAACAATGCCCGTGTACTAAAGCTTTGTGCTTTCTGTCTTTCTTTCGAGCGACCTCTTGATAGCTGTCTACTTCTTTACTTGCAAACGCCATGCCGTTGTTGACGAATCCGATTCCGCGTCTACGGCGCATACACCGACACAATGTCGAAACCTTGAAATCGCAACCGCTGGCCGAACTCTCGGGTTCACTTGGGGATTTGGGGACGTTACTACCGCTCATGACCGCGCTGGTCATCACAAACTCCATATCCTTACCTTCAACACTCTTGTTCACAGGGGCTGCCAATGTATTGACTGGAGTCGTATTCGGACTACCTCTACCAGTCCAGCCCATGAAAGCCATTGCAGCCGTCGCAATAGCTCGCAAGTTCACACTCGAGGAGAACTCAGCAGCTGGACTCGTCGTTGCCGGCCTAGTGGGGCTGTTCAGCGTCACAGGGCTAATCAACTGGGCGAATCACGTTACGCCAATACCGGTTGTGAAAGGCATCCAAGTCGGAGCAGGACTTTCGCTATGCTTGAGCGCTGGATCGAACATGCTTATGCCCTTGACTTGGACGGGCCCTTGGTGGGGTGATAATTTGCTTTGGGCGATTGCAGCAGTCGTACTGCTACTATTCACATTCGCACGTCCGAGGATGCCATACGCTATCCTAGTCTTCACGGTCGGCTTCGTCCTCTCAATTTTCGCGCCAAACAGCACCTCTTCCGCGATAGCCGACCATGCGATTCCCATTCTGCATCCTTCAGGAAGAGACTTTCTAAAGGCAACAACAACCGCGTCTCTAGGCCAGCTACCCCTCACACTCCTGAACTCCGTGATTGCAGCATCAGCATTGGCCTCTGATCTCCTCCCTTCCCCTCCTTATCCGGCCGCGCCTACAGTCACCGAGTTTGGCATATCGGTCTCAGTAATCAATCTAGTCGGCTGCTGGTTCGGGGCCTTGCCAACATGTCATGGCTCAGGCGGGCTCGCAGGCCAGTACCGCTTTGGTGCACGTAGCGGCTCGAGCATCATCTTCCTAGGCTCTCTCAAGTTCCTACTCGGCATCATGGCTTTCTGGAAGACTGAAACGATCGTTGGTGTGCTTTCCAATATACCCAAATCTCTCCTCGGTGTTCTAGTGCTCGCCGCAGGGGTCGAATTGGCGAAAGTGGGTGAGAGCGTGAATACAGATGCCCGAGATCTCAGGGTTCTGGACAGAGATCATGCCTGGGATGGTAAGAGAGTCAAGGATATTGGAGAAAGAGAAAGGAAAGAGAGGTGGATGGTTATGTTTGTCACCGTGGCAGCTTTGCTCACATTCAAGAACGATGCGGTAGGCTTCATTTCCGGCTTGGTGTGGCACTGGGGATTCAAGGCTGCGAGACGAGTGGAGGGTTGGACGGATGGGCAAGTGGGAAGACTGTTTTGGAGACGAGTGGAACACAGACCGTCGGAAAGGACTGCACTACTTGCGCAGGAGGAGTCTGACATTGTTGCTTGAGTATAGGCGTAGTATTCCCCCTTGTTTTTGGGTTACTGTGCGGCATAGCGATGGATTGGACTACATTATGTGACAATAGACTGCACTATATCGTTGTACTGGTTGGCGTTCTTTATCTTGCAATTTCAACATCATCCAGGACGAACTTGATGTCGCTTTGGTGCCCAAGGCCAGTAATCAAGTCGCAAATGTGTGACTTCATAGTACGGAAGATATACAAGATGATGTTTAATTGGTCCAAGGGCATTTGATTATAACTTCAGTGTGCGAGGGTACGTGGGTGACACGCAAACATCCCATATTTACATCAGGGAAAAGACAGATTGGGAATCGAACATTCTAATTTGTTTCTTGCTATACAAGCGTACAAATACTGATTAGAAAATATACAAGAAAACTTTGCTCCCAGTAATTACTCACGCCTGAGCGCATGAGGAAAGATCTATTCTAAATTTGAAAAAATGACCGTGCGTGCCAACTATAATGCATGAAGAGCGACCAGTAACAGGATACAAAAACAAAATGAAAACGTCGTCTAAGTCCGGGGCGGGTGGACATGAGGAAAAGCTCACACTTTCTCCGAAATCTCGTTATCCTGGCGCGGAGGAGTCTCAGCACCAGTGATAGATGCATACCTCGATGGCTCCGCCGCCTGGCCGCCAGTGTGGCTTCCAACGCGAGACGGCTCATGTAGGTTCTGCTCCTGAACAGCACCCTTGTGCTCACCAACCTTCTCCTTGCTATCCTTCTTCTTACTGGTCTTTGGCATGCGGATAAGCCAGTACAGGGCAAGCGCAGCAAATATGTTGAAGATGACATACGCCCAGAGGATTCCAAAGTTCCTCCACGCATCGGAATAGCTCGACGAGAGCCTTGCCAGGAAGACATTGGTGTCAGCCATGGCACAGTAGGTGCAACGACTGGTGGCTTTGGGGTTGGTGACGACGCCGCCGGCGGTGCGCAGGAACGCAGCCATATATTTTTCGCACGTATCGCCCTGCGGTGGATCGAAGACGATAAGCTCGTTCACTGCGCACTGCACGGAACTGTTGGCGAGACCGACAGACAACATGCCAGATACCAAATACGTAAAGGGTGAGAGGCGGTACATGAAGATCCAGAAGCGGGGAAAGGTCGAGGGCGAGGCGAGCACACCACAGAAGATCAAACAAAGCGAGAACATCAAGTTGGCTATGTTACCACCTGTCTCGGCCGATTCGACACCAGCGATGACCATATGTGTGAACGTGGAGGTGAACATCAGGAACATCCAAACGAAGAGGAAGAGCTGGAAACCGCGGAGAGTGACAGCATCGGTAGCTTCGGCATTGCGATACAGACCAATAGGGTAGTACCAGCAAAAGAAGATGAGGACAGCCATGAGTGAATTCCAGGGAAGTTCGACGGCAATGTTGGAGATCATGAAGGCCTTCCACGAGTAGGCCTTGCTAGGACGCTCGCGAACCTCGTACAAGGCACGCTGAGTGACAAAGTGAGGCATGATTTGCTGGGCTAACTGACCAAAGATAGTCATCAACATGAAGATGGCAAACATCTGATTTTGTAGACCCTGCTGAGTATTGGGCATCTGGTAGAGGGAGAAACCGATGAACAAGGCGGACATGACGCAGAGGAAGGTCTTCGAGTAGATGTAGGAGGGACTGCGCCAGTATTGCTGGAACACACGAAGGGTTGTCTCGCGGAGTTGCTCACCAAAAGGCGCGGCAAACTCACGATAAGCGGCCTTGTCCTCACGCTTCTGGGCCGAGATAGTGCGTTGAAGGGCATCCATCTGCGAGCGTTCCGACTTGAGTTCAGCAAGATGATTTCGCACTTCAGCATACTCGGGAGAGTTGCGCCATGCCTGATGCCAATCCACGTCGGTATGCGATCCAGGCGCTGCGCCAATGACTTCCAACATCCATTCAGCAGGATTAGCATCTGCGGGGCATGGATGCCCACCGTTGCGCACGAAGTAATCGACTAGGATCTGCGAGTTGCGACCAACGTCGCCATAGTACACAGTTCTCCCGCCTTTTGCCAAGAAGAGAAGTCGATCGAAGCGCTGGAACAACATAGCGCTGGGCTGATGGATGGTGCAAAGAATGGCCTGGCCGTTCTTCTTCAGCTTGTCAAGCAGATCGAGAATAGCCCAAGAAGTCTGGGAGTCTAGGCCGGAGGTCGGTTCATCCAAAAACAGAAGCAAAGCTGGCTTCGCGGCAAGCTCCACGCCAATAGTCAGCCGCTTGCGTTGCTCGACATTGAGACCTTCGCCTGGCACACCAACAACAGCGTCGGCATACTCGGTCATATCTAGCAGTTTGATAACTTCGCTGACGTATTCAATCTTCTCTTGGCGAGAGATGTGGGCGGGTTGGCGAAGGAGCGCAGAGAACGTCAAGGCTTCTCGGACAGTCGAGGTAGAAAGATGCAGATCCTGTTGTTGAGCGTAGCCAGTCTTACGTTGGAAAGAGTCGTCGCGAGGCTTGCCATCCACGAGCATCTCGCCAGAGATAACACCCATAGTTGTCCGAGTAGCCAGGCAGTCCAACAACGTGGTTTTACCAGCACCAGAAACGCCCATGAGCGCTGTCAGAGTACCTGGCTTGACCCAGCCGTCGACGTGATCGAGAATGCGACGATTCTCACCCTTGATCTTGATGTCGTAGCAGACGTCCTTCCATTGGAAGATGGCAGTCTGGCGTTCGATAATGGCAATGTTGTCGGAGCTGTCGTTTTGTACCGCGACATTGCGGCCAGTAGGAGCAGACTCTAGGTCTTCGGTAGACTTACTTGTAGGGCCGGGGAGCTTATGACCACGTCGAAAGACGAGGACTTCACCCTTGGACTTCTTTGCCGTAATGAGCTCAGTGCCCGCCAGATAGATTGCCATCAAAGCGAACAGGAAGGCCCAGAGGATGCCGTAGTTGCGCCATTTGCGGGATGCAGAGTAGTTGAAGGCGGAACCGATATAAGCGTCGCCAATGACAAAATCCTGGCCCGGTACTGATCCGACCACGGAGCATGCGCGCTCAGTGCCCGTAGCAGCCTGGTATCCAGTGCCCATAGGAACATACTGAGTACACTGGAAACTTTGGTTGTGGAATTCGTTGACCATGAGAGCCTCAAAGCCATAGCTGACAGGGTTGATGTACTTGATCCACTTGGACCATCCCAACATATAGCTCGGAGGGACGGTGAAACCTGTGTACATGACGAGACCCAAGATGAGAATTGCAGCGGGAGCTAAAGCTTGCACGAGGGACCTAGACAGCGCGGCGATGGATCGGAAAAACATGGACATGACCAGGGTGAGGGTGAATGAGATCAAGACAAAGAAGAAGAAATTGCCAGGCTCTCGTCTCAGGTTCGTCATGAAGTAAAGGACCAGATTGAAGGTAATGCAGTTCAAGACCTTGTATGGCATGTCGGTCAACATACTAGCGAAGGCTTCGGCCGAAGGGTGATAGAGCGCGTATCGAGAGTGTTTTTCAACAATCGGGCGTTGGGCGTAGAGAGCCAGGATTTCGAGAGCGGAACCAAAGGCGTTCATCAAGATGGCAAAGAAGAGCAAGGCGGATCGCTGGAAGAAGCTGCCGGTAGTGGGTTGAAGGTTGTAGAAGACGGAGGAGATGATGAGAGCCATGACGGAGTTGGCGATAAGCTGCGTAATGGTAATACTGGGATCAGCCTTCAACCGTACGAAGCCTCGCCACAAGCAAAGCTTCACTTGCTGGATATATGACAGTGTGTAAGGCGATTTCTCACGTTGACCCTTGGCCTTCTGCGCCTTACGAGACTCCTTGAATTGTTGGCCAGCCTCACCGCCAATGGGATATTTCTGCTCGTAAGCTTCGATTTGTAGTAGCAAAGCAGCTCGCTCTGGAGAATCCTTCCATCTCTGGGCGAACTCATCGGGTGTACGTGGAACACGATCCTCCCAGCCGGGGCGGACGACGCGCTCCAGGGCACTGGTCATGGACGTCAAGAAATCGGCATCAGTCTGTCGATCGGGGCATTCAAAGCCCATTTCCACGAAGAACCGTTTCGCATCCGTAGTATTGCCAAAGTAAATTTGACGACCTTCGTAGAGAACAAGAGCCTTGTCGAACAGGTCGTACGCAGCTTGAGGAGCCTGGTAGATGGCGACGCAAGCCGTGGTGCCGCTAATTTCAGTCTCCATGCGAAGGGTCTTGCAGAACTCGACAGCGTTAGCAGAGTCAAGACCTCTGGTGGAGTTGTCCCAAGCCTGTAACGGCGCTCTGCTAAGTGAAGCTTCAGCGATGGTTACGCGCTTTCGCTCACCACCAGATACACCACGCATGTAATCGTTGCCGACGCGGGTGTTGACCGTATGACTGATTCCGTAGAGTGCCATGATGCTAAAGAAAAAGTAGGTCAGTGTGTGTCTGCTATCCGGTTATGATTCAGGTATTTACTTACACGTCACGTTGGTGCTCTGCGTATTGCGCGACGCTAACACCACCGGGGATCTGGCGAGGGCGACGAGCCTGAGCTGCGAAGTACAGCGTTTCGCCAACCGTCATCATCGGAAAGTGAACGTCTACCTCGGCGGTGTAGATGGCCTCGCCGCGGTAGTTTTTGTTCATAAGTTCTGGGCTGACACCCTGATAGTTGATGTGCGAAGCCTCATCGACTATAAAGCCATGCGTCTCTCCTGTAATGGTCTTCAAGAAAGTCGAGCAGCCGGATCCAGGGGGTCCAAGAACAACCAGCATCTCGCCAGCTTCAACTAGACCATCCAGATGCTGCAGGATGTTGATCTTACGGCCCTTGTCTCCCAACAATTGTTTGAACAGCCCTGGTCCCTCCAACCACACGTTGCCAACACTCTTTTGATAATCCGTGTCGTTACCATAACCATGGACATTCAAGCCTCGGAAAGATACACCTGCTGTACGGGTGGGGCCTACATTCTCGTCCTCGAGTTGCAAGTTCAGCATGGCCTTCGTCCAGGCGCGGGCGTTGAAGTTGTCGCCATGGGGATCCAGGGCTGAGTTGGGAGGCGCATTGAATGGGTTCTGGTACTCTGTCATAACATGGCTTTGTGACGTCAACCGCCTCGCAAGCTGATGAACCACTTCTTCTCTGCGGAGAGTTTCATCCTCTTCCTCTGAGTTCCGGTTTGTCGTGTAAGAGGTGTCTTTGTGGTCATGGTGATGGTTGTTGGTCCGCGGCGGGCTATCCACGTTGGTGGCAATGGTGGATGAGTCTGAACTAGAAGCCGTGCGAGGCTTCTCGTTGACGTTGAGATTTGACTGCGAGGGTTGTTGTCCTGGCATCTCACTCATGTTGGGCGATAGATCGCCAATTAGCGGTTGTGTTGGCCAAGTTGAAAGGATGACAAGTTGACAATTTGACAAGAAAAGTTAAATGATAAAATAAAATAAAAGGGAGGTATTAAAGGGGTGTACGGCGAGGGAGTTCAGTGACAGTTAATCGCAAGTAAACACAGGGGAAACAGGCTGATAAAAAGTAGGAGCAGGAGCAACTAATGAGGGTGGGCCCATGCCGCCCCAGTAGACGATTTTGGTCCAGCGGGCGGCGGCGGACATACGGCTTGGCCTGCGTATCGGAGACGGATAGGCTGCTTGCCCGGGCGTGGAGCTCGCTTGCGGGCAAGTCCAAACGGCGGGATACGGTATATACGATACCGAGAAGACCATGGAGCCAATCAGAGCGGGTCGACTACGAAAAGCCCTTCCTTCGTCCGCTGGTTTTCGAGTAGGTGTACGAGGGTAGGTGTATAGTGACTTCGGTGATTGGTGATTTATTCTGTCGTCATCTCGCAGTGTATCTCTATGTGTGTGGTATTCTGATGCAACTCGCCCATGATCGCGCCTGGAGTTTTCCACTCTCTAATAACCAGAATGTGAATGTAAAATGTCATGTGCGCAGTAAAACAACAACCTGCTCCTACGTATTCGTCTCCAGTAGTCGCTTGGGTGTGATTGTCTGATTTCCTCTTCCCTACCAGCCATGGATGCAAAGCTATTCGCGAATTGCATGTCATGTTGAACGTGGGTCCATCTTGAGGCCATGCCCCCCCGCCCATACAGATCTTCGGACGAAAAACGCAGCCCTTCAGGGACAGAGTGGAGCCGCCAACAAGGTATTCGTTCTCGCAACCAACCAACCGTTCGTGGCTGCATGTCTCCGTTTCCGGCTTCTCGCGTGCTGATGAGATGCTGGCGTGGGAGGCGGAGCGCGCGGATGGCGCTGGTTCCGTAACCGACCACGCGGGCACCCCAGTTCAGCCTTACGGTGTCTCGGCGTCTTGTTCAAATGCTTCCGGATTCCCCTTGCTTGGAATGGCTTTTGCGTGATGTAGCATCCTTCCTCTCGGGTGCTGACGCTTGCTGTTGTGCAGGCTTGGCTGCCTGCAACGGCGAACCCGGTGAACCATGATGGCGGATGGCCTCTTTTCCGACTACCGGTCCGTTACCATCCAATTCGCATCTAGCAAGACGCCTCCATGGATACCTGGCTCTGCAAATGGCACATTGGGTGTTTCGCACAAATACGCCTCGTAGGGCCTAATAAACCTTGCTTCTAAAGATGATTGACGCGCAACAGCCGTATCGCACTACTAAGCTTATGGCTCACGATGCATGTGAGCTGGACCGACTTGACCGAGCTCCGCCAGATTTAGCACACTCCGCACCATGGCGCTCGCCGCGTCCCACGCCCACCTACCTGATAATATCAAATACAACAGACGACGAGAGACGTGGTGAGATAGGAAAGAAAACTGCATAGGGTGCTGCATACGGCTCAAGCATACTGATCAAGGTAGGCCATATAAGCGCCCTTCGTTCGCGACCATCTTGTACACTTTCTCGGCGCAATAGCAAACGAGAAGCCGCCTTGCGGAAAAGAATTCATTGGCTAGTATTATACTGGTGGAATAGCCATGCGCTACAAGAAATTTAAAACGCTTGAACGATCATTCATCACGAGCACATATGCACATGTATCCCACGTCGTCTCCGTACCTCCAAGTCAACCCCAAGCTTTGCGCCCGCGCCAACCCACCACTCACCCACACAATTCCGTAAAACATACAATTGCCTTCTGTGGGTGATGAAATGGTTTCCAGCATTCAAACAATGCGAATACGTATATCATGAAAGCACATCCAGAAAGGTAGCCAAAGCCTTGGGCGGACAAAGTCAGCCCCACAAAACCACTACTGTGTTCCATGTTCATGACCAGACACAACATCGACTGAACCGAGCTCATGCGATGCCGACCCATCTCATCTCAATACGAGTCTCCGAAGAATTGACTCGCGAGAACAATATCCTTGTCATTATTGGCAAAGTCCCATCCAACAATCGTCGGGTCTTGGCTACAGCAGATGATTCTGCGCGCGTCAAACTGCAGCTTGAAGACCCTCGAGTTAGTGCCCTGGTTATTCAGCGGACCAGCGAGTGGGTGAGGAGGGTGATGATGATGATGATGATGGTGATGTGGTGCAGCATTGGTAGCGCCTCCTTGTTGTGTAGGAGCTCCTGCTTGTCCTCCATTCGTGGTAGCTTGAGCTGCCACTGACGGAGTGGCGGTGGTATTTGATGTGTTCATCGATGCATTATTTGTCGTGGTGCCCTGTACGGTTTGCGAGGCTGCATGGAGGGCTTGGGCTTGCTGGGCGAGGCTTTGAGCTGCTTGAGCCTGTGCCTGTGCCTGCTGTGCCAACGCCTGGAAGTTGTTTTGTTGTGCAGGTGCTTGAGCATTCTGCTGAGCCTGCTGGCTTCCTTGGTTCGCATTAGCCTGAGCCTGGACAACGGGCCTCCTAGGCCGACCACCGGCGGCTCGGACAGCGTCGTTCTGATACAGTGTCTTCGCCTTCTCCCAAGCTCCATCAGTACCTCGTTTCCAGATGATAACTGTCTCATCATAGGAGCCGGAGACGATTCGTGCCCATTTGCTGCCTCCACCACCGGGTGGCAGCTTTGCCCCGTAAGCAAAGATGGCCTTTGGATCACGGGAACCAGCATTGCGAGCGCGGCGTTGCGCTCTGTTGAGGCCCTTGTCGGAAAGAAGACCGCGAGTCTGCGCCTCGAAGAAGTTCCGGTCGACCGCTCGAGCCTCAGCCTCAAGTTCCTCTTCGTTTCCGGGGAGGTCGCCAAACTGGGCCTGCACGGTGCGCACAAGGTTGGTATGCCCACTTAGGCAAGCTACTTCTGCTCCTGTGGCTCTATCAAATATTCGAACAGTTTCGTCCGAACTGCCACTGACAATTCGTCGCCCGTCGAATTGCACACAAGCAATGCCCTTGCTATGGCCCGAGAAGGTTCGCGTGCAAGCACCCGTCCGCACATCCCAAACCTTTACACTCCTGTCACCGGATGCAGAGACAATCTGACCGTCTAGGATCTGTATGGCATTCACAGCTGCGCCATGGCCTTCCAAAGTCATGATCAGACTGTATGGTTGAAGTGGCTTGAAATGTAGGTGCGAGTTCTCCACCTGCTCCTGCATGTTGATGATGTACGAGGGGAACCGAGCACTGGACTTGATGGTAGACGAGGGATAGGTATCATCCGTGGGCCACATCTCCTTGCGATTCCAGACCTTGATGGTTTTGTCTTTGGAGCAGGTGACCAAATACCGATCATCGAATCTTAGATTTAAAACCGACTCGGAATGTGCCTTGTCGATCTCCTTGATGATGCGCCCCGTTGAGAATCGCCACAGGATCACTCTACAATCACTGCCCCCGGATACCACGATATCTTGATCAGGGCGTTCGTCAAACTGCAAGCACAAGACGGAGGCTGTGTGACCAGCGAGAGGTGGGTGTACCAAGCGTAGAGTATCCAAGTTCCAGATTCTGATAGTCTTATCCCGGCTTCCGCTGACCAGGTACTTCCCGGAGTACTGTATCGTATACACGCACTCGGTATGAGCCTCGTCTGGATGGTTAGGATGTGGGAGTTGGAAATTCGAAAAACGGCCAGCATCCCAATTGTCTTCCAGCCTTCTCTTCTGCTTGTAAAGGAACTGCCAGTTGATCTTGGCGTCCGGGCCTGGTAGCAGAAGTGAGGGTTGTATAGCAGGGCCCAGTGGATTTGCCAGAAGAGAAGTGGGTGAAAAATCACTGGTCTGAGCGGTCTGCTTCCTCTCTCGCCGTGTCACCTCTGTGGGTGAGACAGCGGGTGACGCATCGTGGAAAGAGATGCCTTCCATCTTGTCCTCAGCTTTGATCAAGGGGCTGTCGTCGGCCTCGACGGGTCCATGCTGTTCCTCCCAGGTATTGCCTTGTGCATAGCCCCCGCTGGACAGCGGCTCAAGGGTATTGTATATGCTGCTATTCTCTGATGCTGGACCGTCGCCAAATAGCTGTCGCTCCCGCACGCGTTTCTTGGACGAGGGCTTGTCGTAGTCCATGTCTTCGGCTGCCCTAGGTCGCGTCTTACGCTCCTTTTCCTTGAACTCGGCGCGCTTCTGCCTCTCGCCCTCTTCATACGCGCGCACCTGCGGGAAGTTGGAGTTCCAGCCTTCCAAGCGGAACAAGAGCTTCCAGAGGGGGCTGTCCAGTACTCGGTTCCTCCATGCGCGTGACAGTGTGGATGCGCGCAGTAGCGTCTCGGGGTCCAGGTAGGAGAGAATCTGGAAGGTGATCTCGGGTGGGAGGTGGATGACAGGGTCGAGGTGCAGGAGCGGGTTCAGCTTTTCGACGATGGCTGCTATCGACGAGGTCCGTAGCGAGCGCAGGATGGCATAGGCGAATTCTAGGTTGGAGTTAGTATAGCTGAGTGCTGTGCATGACTATGCTGCCTCGACTCACCACTCCGCTCGTGCTCACTCAAGGCCATGACCCAGTCGGGTAGGCTGAAGGGCGAGGCGGGTTCCAAGTCGCCCTCGCCCAGGCCTACGTCGGTCCTCATTACCATGTCGCTCCCGCTTTGACTCCTGGTGTCTTCGGAATATCCCTCGTCGAATCTGTTTGCGCTCATCGAGGAGGCGGGGCGGAAAGGGTGCATGTACGGCGGTGCGGAGAATGGGGTCGGGTTCCCGAGGGGGCCTGCCATGGTGGAGCGAACAAAGGGGCGTCGCGGCGCAGAGCTCTCTATGGCGGCGGAAGAGGGCGTCGAAGGTTTACGTTGGCCTCATGTGCTGACGGGGTGCCTGCCTTGTGTGTTGCCTGGAGGGTGATGAGGGTGCTGCAGGCATGTGCGGGATTGGAAAACGAGCGCTAGGCGGGGGGGGGAGAGGAGTGGTGCTCTGCAAGCGAAGGTACTCGTAGATCAAGGGCGTTGCAGAGGGGTGTGACGTGGGCAAGAAAGAAACGCTGAAGTGGAATAATAAGATGTACTGGACTCGATGTTGTGCCTGTCGTCGCCGCCCGTGGTAGTCGCTTCCGCTCTGGAAATGAACCGTGCGCGGCAACCCGCCTGATGTGGATTGGGGGGGACACGGGGGGGGGCGCGTCCTTTCACCCAAGCAGCCCTGGTACCTAATGCACAGGACGACAGGCTAATAATGATAATAACAATAATAATGATCATGATGATAATCGATTGTACCCTCGTTCCACTGGCCCTGTAGCTGTAGGGATGAACATGGGATGGGTATCAAAGTCCGATATCGAGTGAGTGTGGAATTCCGTACAACTCACTCACTCACTCATCGCCATGGGACTTCAACACCAGAACCGACATGTGACTTGCCTGTCTGTCCTGCAGTGACTAATAATAAAAGTAGGTTGGGTCCTCCCACTTGCTGCCCGAGAGCTGTCGAGTCGCGCATTGCATCCCTTGACTTTGATGGGAAAGCAAGCCGTCGATCCCACGCAAAGCTATCACGTGCAATGGTCTGACGGCGAAGCCAAAGCCGCTGCTGGCTGGGTGAAACACACCCGGCCGCACCCCTAAATCCATCATCTGCCCTACCAGCCCACTGCAACACACAAGCCCACACAACACACATCCCACTGTCCAACTCGACGTCGTCCGGCCTCCGTTATCGCGACACCGAGTCCTGCAGCCCTGCCGCACCAGCACCAGCTCTCTGACCGCCCCAAGACGGCACCCTGGCAAGACCCTGGCACTGTCTTATTAGCACCCCGTAGCCCGTAGCCGCCTGACAGCGCAATCGCCCTCTGCAACGGCTGCTACTTGCTTTGCAATCTTATTATCCACCCCTCTCCAACCTTGTTGTCTCGTCAATCAAATCGTCTCCCCTAGACTGCCGCGCGGAGATGAAGAACTAGCATGGAGAGCGGCATTGCGTTCCACTCGGGACTGGCACGCGCCCACACGTCGATTCCCTCTCCCTCGCCATCGTCCACCCACTCGCGCATTGCCTCCAGCGGCGGTCCTCCTACGCTCATGTCCCACCAGAGCTTTCAGAGCCAGTACTCGAGCTACTCGCACAGCAGCCTGCGCGACACCCAGAGCACCCAGGCCACCACCACTACCACCCTCTTTGGCCAGTCACCGCCCGTCTTCCCAACTTCGACCCCCGTGAATGGGGGCCCCGTTGAAGCCTCTGACAATGTGCTCAACAAGCGCGCCGACAAGGACACCTCGCTCTTCCAGCGATGTCTGACATTGCAGATGCGCCTGCGCGCCATCCCCGGCTTCGACCGCTTCATGGCCGAGGAGGAGAACAAAGCCGATGACGATGACGACCCGGTGACATTACTGTGGAGGACGTTTAGAAGGGGCTACCCGCTCATGGAGCTATACAACGCCCTGGGGCCCCGCACCCTGCTGAGCATCCCAAACGCAAAGACGGACGAGAAGAGCTTGAAGAAGAGCGAGAAGATGGCCACCTACAAGTTCATTCAGAGCTGTGTCAACGAGCTGGGCATCTCACAGGAGAGCTGCTTCATTCTGGGCGATTTATATGGCGACGATACGACTGGCTTCGTAAAGGTGGGCATTCCAGATTCTTGGTCATTGCAGCTCCGCCTAATAACTTTTTGCAGGTCATCAACGTAGTGAACCGCGTGCTGGACCAGCTTGTTGCGCTGGGCAAGATTTCCGAGACCGCAGAGACCTTGGATACCGAATCCGGCACCTCGATCAAGCGAACGCAGCGAGAGCACATCATCGATGAACTAGTCAAGACAGAGCGCACATATGTTCAGCACTTGGAGCTGTTACAGGAGTTCAAGAAGCTCGTAGAGGAAAAGGGAGTCATCAGCGGTGATCAGGTGCACGACATTTTCCTGAATTTAAACGCGCTGCTCGACTTCCAGCGCCGCTTCTTGATTCGCGTCGAGCAGACAAACGCACAGTCTGCATCCGAACAAAACTGGGGGAATCTCTTCGTATTGTACAAGGACGCCTTCAAGGTCTACGAGCCATACATTGCAAATCAGAAGAAATGCGAACAGATTGCCATGCGCGAATTCGACAAACTAAAAGACACTGGCGGATCTCCAGAAATGCGACAAATGGTCGAATCACCAACGCTTCTCACGTCGTTTTTGTTGAAACCCTTCCAGCGTTTGACCAAATACCCACTTTTACTTCAGGTATGGTTGCCTCCAATTTGAGCGCTCCACTTGGCATGCTAACACACGGTAGCAACTACGAGACAAGGGTGATCTCGATGAGCAAAGAAGAGAAGATATTTCAAGTGGCATCGCCGCAGCTTCCTCTGTGCTTGCAGGCACCAACGATGCCATTGCTCGTGAAGAGCGTATCGAAGCCGTCGAGGAGCTTAAAACTCTGGTGGAAGACTGGAAGGGTCACCGTATAGAAGGCTTTGGTGACCTACTCCTCTATGGCCAATTCACCGTCCTGAAGGGCGAGAGCATGACATCCAAGAATGAGGAGAGAGAGGTAAGCACCAACATGTCTTGTCCAAGATGACTATGCTGATGAACATGACTAGTACAAAATTTACCTTTTTGAGATGATTCTACTCTGTTGCAAGGAGATCAACGTCAACAAACCAAAGAACAAAATGTCTACAAGATCACTCGTCACCAAGGATGGGAAACCAAAGCTGCAGCTCAAGGGCCGTATATTCATGCAGAATGTTACAGAAACCATATCATTGCAGAAGCCAGGTAAGGCCTACTTCCCCCCCCTATTCCAACCAGGATAACTTCTAATCATGGTACAGGTTCATATACATGCCAGATCTTCTGGAAGGGTGACCCCGGCATCGAGAATTTCATCATACGGTTCACTTCTGAAGAGACTATGAAGAAATGGGCTACTCAGGTGGACACCCAAAGACGTGTTTGGAAGGATCATGCACGCTCCAGCGCCAGTACTACGGCTTCCAAGCCATCCGATACACAATTCGCCTACATGCGGGACAAAGTCCTTGAGAATCCCTACCAGGAAGAGGATGACGATGGCGAGGAAGATGTCGATGTCATTGCCCCTGGCTATCCGCGAGACAGCTATGGACATAGACAGGACAGCCCCAGTGCTTCTCTACGGTCTCGCTCTACGACCGGTGAGAGCGGGCCTCCTATGGGCGAAGGAGATCCAAGGGTACCACCTCCACGTTTTCCCATGGGCTATACTGGCCAGCCACCACTAACCTTGCGTACCCAGCAAATTCAAAATGCGGCCAATCAAGAATCGTACTTTTCTCCCACTGTCGAAACTCCAATGTCAACATACTCCAACGTGCGGACAAGCTCATCATCCGCAGGCACATTCCCGTTCCCCCGGCAGGCACCGCCAAACAACTACTCACATGAAGAGAACAACCGATATACCGCTCCTGCTCAGACCCGTAGCCACCTTTCTCGCGGCGAGTCTGGTCAATATCCGCAAGGACGTGCTACACAGCGGCCCTCATTACCACCTAACACTACTTTGTCATCCCAGGGTCGGTTACGAGCGGCTAGCAGCCCCGATATCAACTCCAATCTCCAAGGGCAAGGACGAAGAGGACCGAATGGCCAGCAGCCACCCGTACCCGACGTGCCACCCTTCCCGACACACTACGCTTACAATGCGGCGATCGTTAACCGCAGCAATAGCAATTCTCCCAACAACATACCACCACCCCGCGCTGCGACCCAGTCACCAGCAATTCAACGAGATCGGCTCATCCAACAACGCACTGCTGTCGAATTAGCAAATGCCAACAACGACTATCATGGGGGTGCTGCACGTCGCGATCCAAACTATCCGCCTGTGCAGCGCACCATGACACCTGCATCATCCTTCGAGCGAAGCCAGGGCACGTTAACACCAGCTTCGATGGAATCAAGAAACATGTCACCGCCACTTTCCCAGGAGTCAAATATCCCAACTCAGCTGAAAGTCAAAGTACACTGTCCGTCGGCAGGAAGTTCAATGGTTTTGGTCGTCAGTACCAATATCAGCTTTCAGTCTTTGAAGGATCGGATTGATGCAAAATTGCAGCGCTCGACCTCGGTGTCGTTAGGGTCTGGCCAGGTGAAACTCAAATACCTCGACAGCGAAGGGACATATGTCAGTATACAGTGCGATGATGACGTTCAAGAGGCATTTGAGAACTGGAAGGAACAGCAAAGAGATCTCAATCCAGGCGGTGGCCTCGGCGAAATCGAGCTTTTCTGTCAACGGTAATGCTCTTATGTTTGCATCTAGGGCACGGCGCGGCATGGCATGGGCACGGCGTTTATGGTGTGGAGGGCATACAGGGTTCATTTCCTACATTTACTAGCAAGTTTGTAATGCAACGCTCGCCAGCGAATGGGATCGATCAGATCAACAGACACATGGAATATTAGTTACGGACTGGCAAAGGTAGACACTGACACACAATGAGGGTCAGTTTGGTCTATCAGTTGCATCCTATATTCTTATCAGGTTGCGAGTTGAGCAGCATCTCCATGTAGCTACTGCTTGGAGCTTTTACACTTCTCCTCACATTTCTAGGGAGGGCGGCGGCATGACTGATGACGGAATGAAATTATCTACCTTATATCACACCATGGCGCAAGGTCAACGCTTGGGAATTACAATCTACTCACGCAGATGCAAACTAGGCTCGTGGCCGGTTTGGATACGTGGATCTATTTCCGCAGAAAGTGTGCTCGTGAAGAACCTGTAAGAGCGTAGGATCTGCTGTGCTTATTGTACTAGTTTTCCACGTCAACTTTCCCATCTATCAGCCTATTTCATTCTTCGGCTCCTTCCTTCTCTTTAAGCGTTTTTTCTTTTGGTTTGTTCCTTGCTCACTACCAAGAGTTGGAGAAGCCGCCCGATGACAAAGTGTATAGTCATTGGGTACCAGAGTAGTATAATTGAGTGTGTTGAACTTTACAATGCCGGTTGCAGAGAACAAAGTAGGTGGCTTGTCAATTCTTCTTTGTCCATAGTCTCAATCAATCATTGTCTCTCCTTTCAAACGTTTCCACCTTTGTGTCCACCGTCCTGATCTTCTTTGTCTGGGTGTTGCTAGATAGTAATGTGTATATATGCGCTTCACCCTGGACTTCCGTACATTAACTTGTAGAAATTCACTCTCATATCTGTCAGACTTGCAATCGTTAGATTCACTACGATCACTCGAGCTCTTCATCAATTTTGAGATTCACCCTCCAAGTGTTAGGACGGTGAAAGCTACGAGCCGATCACGCCTTGGCCTCTTGCCAAAAACCGCACCATCTTTGCAATAAGTCTCTGGTATTATACGTTTCACCCCACTATTCGCGGCACTGAACTATACCTAAGCTCTACCACTACAACAATTATTTCAACTCCATACCAATCCATCATTCCATACCGCTACTTGGCGCATACCGAACTCAATTCCTGCTACTAGCACATATCATTCGATATCAATAATTCAAACGCCTACTAGCCAAGAAACACACCATTCACCCAAGATGGCGTCTTCCACCCAGTTCTCTCGACTACAGCCCAACGATATCCCTGAGGTTGACATGATCAAAGTCTCCACTCTTGAGTATCCCGACACAATCCCTCTCTCGACTCGCGCCAACATACGCATACACCCCCCTCGCGAATGCGATCCGGAATGGACTTCCAAAAACAAAGGCCCGGGAGACACGCTACCCTCTTTCCCGGCCCTCATTTCGCTCCCCAATCCTCTGGCCAATCCTGCATTGTACGCTGCTGCTGCTGATACTATTCGCATCTCCAACTGGCGCTTCAAAGAGCATGCCCCTTACACGCAAGTTCTAAAGGAGGAACACGTGAAGCAACTAGCGAAGGGCTGGAGGCTGATGTATCCCGATGAGGTGAAGTACCCATTTCCGCCAGATCTACGAACACTGTACGTCAAGACTGACGACAAACACCCCGCACCGGCGGAAGGAGGGCTTCCTTTATGGACGCAAGCATGCGAGGAGTTTCAGGAGATGAATGGCTTCGAAAAGCCTGCGTTTCTGAGCAAGACGCGTGCGCAGCACAATCGCGAGAACGAACTTGATGGACATGGTATTGAAAAGGCCGAAAAGTTGTATCTGCGCATCTTCAAACGCTACTTGGTTTGGAAGGAGCATGCTGAGAAGGAGGACGAGAGGCATGATCAGCAACCAACGCGTAAGGAGCTGCAGGATTTCTTTGCAAAGGCCGAGGTTCAAAAGAATGGAGCAACGTTGGCGGATATCTGCCAGAGTTTTCCGGAAGCGAAAGATATCGAGATGCTGGTTTTCCGCATCGAGGGCGTTGCGGTGTACACAGACAAGCCTGACGAGGAAGGAGACCCTGTTGAGAGTGTATACATGCCCAAACCTGCCCCAACCAAGGACAAGATTGAAGAAGTGGTCATGGCAGCACTCACTGAACACGGTGCAATTTCTTTGGAAAAACTCCTGAAGCTAATCTATCCGCTTGGCTTTGGTCACGAGCAAGCCTTCGCAGCCGTCATCAAGAAACTAGCAAAGCCAACTCTGACAGGGGACAATTTTGCCCTCGAGTCATCACCAAGTCCATCAGCCGCGCAAATCCGTTCGATCCTGTCCCCGGTAAATGGACTTACCTTTAAATATCTCGTTCAATCCTTTTCCGGCCGCCTCCTAGAAGAGTCCGCACTACTAGCACCACTGAGCGAGGCCGCATACCAAGACACCGACGGTCTCTGGTACCTACGCCTTATTGAGACCAACGGTGAGGTTGTTATGGACGAGGGGCTGAATAGGCAGTATCGCGCCATAGAACGTCTCCATCACATGATCAACAATTCTCGACTGGAATTGGTGCACTTGCTGAACGATGTTGTGGTCTGGGACTCGAATACTGGGCGGTATATGAAGAAGGCCAAGACGCCGGAAGCCATCGAGATCTACCGGGAGGTGGTAACAACGCCCATCCCATCGCCAAGCCCAACTGAGGTCGGCACTCCTCCACCACAACCACCACCTTCCCCCGAAGGCAGGGCAAACCAGAGTAGGGGTAAGCGCAAGCACGTAGAGGAGGATAAGCCTAAGCAGCTGTCGAAGAAGACCAAGCGCCAGCCACAAGGGGATGATGACACCATACTGGTGCGATGCAATGGTGTGACCCAGCAGATGAGGCAGTGCAAGAAGAAGCAGCGTCGCCCGAGGGGTGAGACCTTTAACTGTGGCAAGCACAAGTAGTTAGGTATGTTTTGCGGCACATTTAGGTGCGTTATAGGAGCAGAGCTGGTGGTTGTTAAAGGTGTTGAGCGTTTGGTCCAGGGAGTGACTGTTCCTTCGTTCACAGATCGAGGGTAGAACAATACAGTCCTAGTCATGTCATGTAGTTATTGCTTCTTGTGAAATGAGATTCATACCGAACTACCAAAGGTATATGTGAATCCGTGCGAACCTTCCAAATGCAATGTCATGACCCAAAAAAAAAGCATCCCGGCCCGACCTAGGCGCTTTTGAGGAACCCATGCTGAGAGTTGAGAAAGGAAGACGCCGTAAGGACACCTGCATTCTATATGTAGATGTTGCCAAATTCGAAAGCTGCAATGCAGAATAGACAAGAAGGAACAATGTGATTAAAAGGTGTAAGAGTCGACATCGTCCAATCGGGTATCGTTTTACATGATAATCGAGGGAGCTACTTTGAGTTAGTTGACATTCATTGAGAAGAGTAGCAGGAATCACTTACTGTCAACGTTCTGCTTGATAGACTTGTGGGGCAGAACAGAGCCACCGTTGACGTAGACCTCGTCACCGATAGAGACATCGTCGCCCAAGACAGTCACGTTTTCCAGACGCGCCCACTTGCCGACGGTGCTGTTCCAGCCGACAATAGTCGACTTGACCCAAGCATGGTCCTTGACACGGCTGTTCTTCAATAGAACGCATCGCTGTAGCCGTACACCGTCACCGATGACAACATTGGGGCCGATAGTGACGTTGGGGCCAATGCGGCAATTCTTGCCAATCTTGGCTGATGGGTCAATCAAGACGTTGCCGCCGTAGACAAAGGGCTCTGATGCTGGGGTAAGAAGCTTTGAGTTTTTGCGGGCGAGCGACGAAAGGTAGAGACAGGTACCCGACAGAAAGTCCTTGGGCTGTCCGACATCCATCCAGAAGCCTTCCAGGTCGAACGAATGTAACTTGCCGTCCTTGACAATGGCAGGAAACGTCTCCTGCTCGATCGACGTGGGTCTGAGCTCAATGCGCTGGAGGACGGATGGGTTGAGGATGTAGATACCGGCATTGATGCGATTCCCAACGAATTCGACGGGCTTCTCGACGAAACGGTCAATCTTGGAGGCGGACCCGGGCTTGTGCACAACAACACCGTACTTGGACGGCTCCTCGACCTTTGTGACGACGATTGTGCCCTCGTCACCGTGGTGCTTGTGGAAGTCGGCGAGCTGCTTGAAGGGGTAGTCGCAGGTAACGTCGGCGTTGAGGACGAAGAAGGGCGACTCGTCCTTGCCTAGGATCTTTTCGGCAAGTTTGAGGGGCCCGGCGGTACCGAGGGGCTCCGTTTCGACGGAGAAGGTGATGGTGACATTGTATTGCTTCTCGTACTGCCCCACTTATTACTGGTATGCTCTGCTATGCAATTGAGCGGGTGGACTAACCGTCTTCAGCGCCTCGGCCATGATCTCTGGGCGGTAGTTGACTGCGAGCACTACATCTGTGACACCAGCAGCGGCCAGGGCCTCGATCTGGTGCTGGATCATAGGCTTGTTGGCGAACTCGACGAGCGGCTTCGGGTAGGTGAGCGTCTGCAGCTGTGGTTAGTCCTGCCATGAAAGCACGTAAATGTAGCATCGCGGGGCTCTCGAGCGTGGGCACCGAGGAAGGCTCTGCCAGAGGAAGGCGTACCAGAGGCCGTAGGCGGGTTCCGAAACCCCCGACGAGAATAATGGCTACATTGGCTGTGTGAGCTTTGAACACCAAAGAGTGGATTGCGGGCGCTGACCTTTCATAGTTGCGGCGGTGGTGGTGGTGGCGGTGTGTGTGTGTGTGTGTAGAGATGGATGTGGAAAGATGGGCAGCGATTGATTGCCGGGAGTCTTGAACACAGTGGAAAAACAAAGGGTAGATGACAAAGTATACCGGCCGCGAGTGAATGTGTCGTCAAAGTCGACGAGGTTGAGGACAGCTGGTTCTTTTGAAATGGGGCTCGTCCGTTAGTGGAGCTCCCTAGCTTCGCAATGGCCAAGGGTCCAAAATTCCCCTTTCTCGTCAATTGTCTCGTAAACGTCGTCTTCAGCCCCTTGCAACCGAAGCCGAGCCGGCCGAGTCCCTGATCGCTCACCTTAGCCGCTTCTAATTCGAGCCTCTTTTTTGCCTTTGGCCTGGGGGTGACATCGTATACTTGAATTGACTGTAACCCTATTGCGACTCGAGTCACCGACTTGGGCCAGCTCTCCTGAGGTTTTGCCCACGTGCAACCTGGTGCAAAAATCGACACATTCAACATCAGACTGTGTCGAGTCACGCCTCTCCTCGTCGCCCTTGCGATAGCAACATGTGGCTGGCTGTGGCTCACTAGGCACCAATCCGGGGAAACTCCAGCGTAGAGCGTGCGAGTCCGCCTCCAATTTGCTTCTGCCGCTGTGTGGAGATGACAGCAGACAATGGCAGCGTCTCAGTCGCCCCCCCCCCCCCCCCCCCCCCCCCCCCTCGAGTCCCTCACCATTTCGTCGTCGTATAACCCAGCATATAATGATCTCGTACACACGTCGTATCTACGTGGCGAGCGAGCCACTTTCTCCATCATGTCATCGTGATATGCTTACACAGCCTTACAAGGGTCAGGCAGGTCGAGGTATTTTGAGCATCTACATTGCTTGATTTCATCTTACTAAGACGCCATTTCAGACTACCACAATACGATGCTGCTGCCACGCTGCTGCCTCGTTTCCGTATTTCTCACAGGGTGGCCGACCAGAGAGCCTCGTTATTCAGCGATGCCGGATCCTGCGATCTTTGATGGTGTCTCCCTAGGACTATTAAACCGGTATTCGTTTGCCCATTCCCACTTCCCCCATTTGTATCTCCACAAGTCTAATCCAATCGCCTGACCCGCTTGGCACCTCTCCAACAGCTGGTTGCGAACAGCATCAAACGCGTTATCCACCTTGTTCTTGTCATCTACCTTGTTCATCACCGTCCAATGAGGTTGAAACCGCCCAGCGTCTTGATCACTTAAAAAGGACAACCACTGGGCTCGTAACTGTCCATGCACATGTTTCATCTTCTGATACCCAGCATCAACATTCACCCCGAATCCCCTGCGCATTCGGAAAGGCTTGCCAGTAGAGACAAGGAATGTCTTCATACCAGACGACGTTTGGGACAGGCCGGCCTCTAGCAACTCATACTGTGAGTGCGGCAGAGCATGGAAAAGGGTCAAGTGCGCCGGCGTCCGATTCAGATGTTGGGGGAAATACCTCTCGCGCAACTCGTTCATCGGCCTCGACAAGTCCCCTGTGATTTTCAACGTGAGTACATAGACACACTCGCCTGCATTCGCAGTGTTCGGTCTATGCTCAGATCTCGGACTTCTGCCAGAGCTTGGGGCTGCCTTTGTGTCTTCCAAGAAGGGGTGAAGATGAGAATCTGAGGATGCTCGTGTTTGGCTTTGGGGCTGTCGGAGGGTGCCGTTGGGTGTGCTGCTTGCAGCGGCATATGTTTGGGGCATGGTGCGCACTGCCTGAAGATAGGATCTGCCTAGCTGCCTGAGGACGACGATTCTCATCAGTTTGGTTGCTGTTGTTGTTGTTGTTGTTGTTGTTGCAAATAAGTTGTGAAATTTCCTGCGGAGCCTCCGAAATATATACGTCACCAATAGTCGCTAGTGCTACATGCACATGATGTAGAGATGGTAATTTACGAGTTGATGCGAATTCTCTCCACTTGGCTTCGAGCACAGTCCTATATTCAATGAGGAATGCGCGACACAACGGAAGAAGTTTTGTGTATTCTAGATGGCTACTATGTAATCCTGTTTCAGATCAAGGTTTGCTGATGACTTGCCATCTTCCGCGCTCCCGTCTCGTTGTCCCTCGTTGCCTCTACACGGTGGTAGATAAGGGCTACGATGGCCGAGTAGGACCACCTTGTCGTGACTGAGCGTGTAGGATTTCAAGAGTCTGACAATGGCTTGATCTTATGTACGAGGAAGTAGCTGACTCCAAGTAGGATTCTCAAGCCCTCCAAGCCGCCGCCACTCTGAAGTCGTGATGCCTGGCAGCCAGCATGACGCCATAGGCAAAGGCTCAGTTGCCTCCTCTGGCGATAAGAAACATCACATGACTGTGGCGGGCGATAACGGAAGCGGGGAAGGCGACAGCTTCTAGCTCGCCCATAGCACAGCCCGCGGCCAGCAGCGAGAGTGGCGCACACCTGGCCAAGAGTGAAGAGGCAGAAGAAGAGACGCGCAACCCAGCGCCTGCAGGTGAAGCGCTGGGCTACCAAGGGAACTGGGATAGCAAACAGCAGATAGTAAATAGTAAAGAAAGAAAGAAAGAGAGAGAGAGAGAGAGTGAGTGATGAGTGACAAAGGCCGCATTCGGAACCTGCTGGAACCCTGTTCTCATTGGTGCACGGGCCGCAGCCACACCATTACTCACCACATCCTGGCCCTGGACCGTCACCGGTCACTGCCTCTCCGCTTGCCGCCTACGCCTGCCTCCATATAAACCCTCCGCTGCCTCCTCTACTCTCACTCTTCTACACTCCACGCACATCCACACTTGGCCAACTGCTCAACCGTACCCTGCACACACCAGACATACACCAAACACCACCTGCTACAGCACAGCTCCAACCATGCAGATCTTCGTCAAGACCCGTAAGCAGCCGCCGCCACCCCCGGCCAGTCGTTGCGCCCCAGGTTTGCTAACAGTCTCACAGTCACCGGTAAGACCATCACCCTTGAGGTAGAGTCGTCCGATACCATCGACAATGTAAAGAGCAAGATCCAGGACAAGGAGGGCATTCCCCCAGATCAGCAGCGCTTAATCTTCGCTGGCAAGCAGCTCGAGGATGGCCGCACCTTGTCCGACTACAACATTCAGAAGGAGTCGACCCTTCATCTTGTCCTCCGCCTTCGTGGTGGTATGCAAATCTTCGTCAAGACCCGTAAGTTGCCACCCCACTCGTCGCGCGCCCGGGCCTGATGCTAACTCTACCCACAGTGACCGGCAAGACCATCACGCTTGAAGTCGAGTCCTCCGATACTATTGACAATGTCAAATCGAAGATTCAAGATAAGGAGGGCATTCCCCCGGACCAGCAGCGTTTGATCTTCGCCGGCAAGCAGCTCGAGGATGGCCGCACCCTGTCCGACTACAACATCCAGAAGGAGTCCACTCTGCATCTCGTCCTGCGCCTGCGCGGTGGTATGCAGATCTTTGTCAAGACCCTGACTGGCAAGACCATCACGCTCGAGGTGGAGTCATCGGATACAATCGACAATGTCAAGTCAAAGATTCAGGACAAGGAGGGTATCCCCCCAGACCAGCAGCGTCTTATTTTTGCTGGCAAGCAGCTAGAAGACGGTCGTACTCTCTCCGACTATAATATTCAGAAGGAATCCACGCTCCACTTGGTGCTTCGTCTCCGTGGTGGTATGCAGATCTTCGTCAAGACACTCACAGGCAAGACCATTACCCTAGAGGTAGAATCGAGCGATACCATCGATAACGTCAAGTCCAAGATCCAGGACAAGGAGGGTATCCCACCTGACCAGCAGCGTCTCATCTTCGCCGGTAAACAATTGGAAGACGGTCGAACGCTCTCCGACTACAATATTCAGAAGGAGTCCACACTGCACTTGGTGCTTCGTCTTCGTGGCGGACAGTAAGCGACCCTGGAGGCTGACGACGGAAATCTGGGCATGGCGTTCATGGCATCATCACGGCTTACGGGTTGTGATTAGGAAGTAGGACCGGCATCATTCATAGTTCATATGGCTGTCGCCTGCCTTTATCATTGCAATCAAGCATGCCCACGGGCTGATTATGTCTATCTCTCTCTCTGGTCACCAATCACCAATTTATGTCTCTTGTTTTATGTGATGTCGTGCGTATAACTATAAACTCGGCTCCGCCTTCTAACAAAGTCGCAATTTTACATGGTTCAACAATGTTGGCGCGTGCAGCCATGGCGATGCTCTTTATCATCGATCGCGGGGGCCTCCGACGACTCAGCGCGGGGATACAGTTAACGCCGACGTCTGCGACGTTAACCGTATCCCCGCGCTATGTCCGCCATAGGGCATCAACCTTCGAGAGAGCAAACCTTAGCTTCCAAACCACTTATCATAGGGAACTCCTCTAACTTGCCTCCAGCCATACGCCTGACACCAACGGAGTTTCTGGCAAAAGTTTGCCAGCTTTAATCGCGATATTCAACGGTAATTTACAAGACGCTATCTCGACGCCTTTTCACAAGACTTCAAAACTGCGCGCACTTCCACATACCACGAACAATAGCGAATACCGGAACAATGGCCGAGAAGAAGATGGAATACGTCAAGTACACCTTCCACTAGTCTAGGTGCTTGAGTTTCACAATGAGCTCTCGCGAAGGTTCAGCGACAAGGCTAACAGATGGCGCAGCTTGGGAAAGTCTGGCCTCAAGGTTTCGAAGATTATCTTGGGTAGTATGAGCTACGGCTCTTCGGAGTGGCAGCCATGGGTGCTCAATGAGGCAGATAGCTTGCCGCTTCTAGAGCATGCCTACAAGTGCGGCATCAACACCTGGGATACAGTACGTCTAGCGCACACCATCGCTACTTCAGCATTGTAGACAGGCATACGGGCAAAGCTAACGGCCAGCCTCTCTAGGCCGACGTCTACTCCAATGGTCAATCCGAGAAGATCATCGCCAAAGCCCTCAAGCAATACAACATCCCCCGAAACAAGGTCGTTATTCTCTCCAAATGCTACTTTGGTGTCGATGAGTCGGATTTTACCCGCCCTATTGCCCAACTCTCCACTAATGATGATGACATGGTCAATCAGGTCGGCCTGAGCCGCAAGCACATCTTCGATGCTGTAGAGAAGAGCGTTGAGAGGTTGGGCACCTACATAGATGTTCTTCAAATTCATCGTTTGGACCGGGGCACACCGAGGGAAGAAATCATGAAAGCCTTGAACGATGTCGTCGACAAGGGCTGGGTGCGGTATATCGGGGCTAGCTCGATGGCAGCTTGGGAATTCTGTTCACTCCAACACATTGCGGACAAGAATGGTTGGCACAAGTTTGTTTCGATGCAGAATTACTATAACCTCCTCTACCGCGAGGAAGAGAGGGAGATGGTAAGCACTCACGCTGCGAGCCCAGAATATGCCGGCGCACTACTGATATCTCTCGGCTAGATCCCATACTGTCAAGACACTGGCGTTGGTCTTATCCCATGGTCGCCCATCGCACGCGGTGCCCTCACACGTCCCTGGAGTGACCGCTCCTCCAAGCGCGCAGAGACCGACAAGTTCGTTGATGCGCTTGTCTACCAGCGCGAGAATGCAATCGACAAGAAGATTATCGAGCGAGTGGAAGAGGTCGCCAAAAAGCACAATGTCAGTATGGCCTGTATCGCGACTAGCTGGGGTATCAAGAAAGGCGTATGCCCCATCATTGGTCTCAGTAGTAAGGAGAGGATTGAGGAAGCAGTACAGAACATTCACTTTAAGCTGAGCGACGAGGATGCAAAGTACCTTGAGGAGGCCTATGTGCCGAAGGAGAGGCAGGGATACAACTGAGCGGAGAACGTGTGTAATATACTTGAGATAGGTAAGTTATTTTGAGTTATAGGGGCGCGACGCCGTATGTTGTTTCTAAGAAGCATATCATTTCTTTAGCGTGCGCTCAAGTGAAGATCATACGATGTGATTAGGTATCAGACTGCGCACTAATGATGCAACCAAATTATTCTGCGGCTTTTGGACATAGGACAGATGTTGAAGAACTCTTCAACTACATTCCGCATTCACCTATTCATTCATTCATTCATTCATTCGGCACGTTCGAATCGTGCGGAGGACGCAAGGGCCCACCTGCACCTTCCCAACCATTCCCCTACACGCTAGCTCCACCCGGCTACTTGATTAGGAATCATTTGATTGTCATGTCTTAGCCTGCATAAAAGACACTTGTACAACAGTGGCAATATAATCCACTTTGCCATCTTGAAGTCCATGCCAAGGACAGCAGTTGAGCCCGTGGACTTTGTGTGTGTGTGTGAAGTACAATCACTCTTCTATTCACGATTTGAGCACTCTGGCGACGGCTCGTAACCGTGTGCAATAGCGTAGTGAAACGGCCACTAGTAAACGTAAGACACCATGTGCAAGGGTAACCCACCATGAAGAGAAATTTGACGCACACCTCCAGACGCCCCGCTCTGAGCACAACCGCGGAAAACACGGGAAAGGATCGACTTCCCGGCAGATCAGTCTGCGGAATAGAGGTTCGGAGCCTTAGCGCGGGTGTATATCGGGGGAAAGAGAAGGGGGGGCAGGAAGAGCGGTGAGCTAGGACACGATTTTCGGTCTTGTAATTGAAACACATGGCCGCATTAGGGATGTGGGCCTCAAGGCGAGGAATGAATCGCCACAAACGTCAACAGTTACAAACATGGGGACGAGGGTGGAGTCAAACCTCTCCCTGATGAAATTCAAGTGCACCTTAGTCCAGCTAGTGGAATCCATTCGTGAAGTGCCCAATGTGCAACTGCAAATGCAGAGTGATAAGCATATAATTCTCGCCCCATGTCCCAAACACTGATAAATACACATTTGTTGTCGAAAGAAAGGTCAAGATGCCGCTTGAGCATTATCTACTGAAAGAAGATAATTCTGAACAAGCCGGTCCATCGATAGACAATGGATAAAAGTAGACTCGCTCGCTATGCCAATAACACAATCGTAAGAAAAAGGAAAATGAGGATTTTGGTAAAGGACAGGATGGTCGTGCATCAACAGTATGTTGATGTGTTGAGAGAGGTGTGCGACCATCGGAGGTCTCTCTTCTACAGCAAGCATCATGAGAAAGAGCAGGAACCAGGAATCACGATCCTGTTCCGCTCGCAAACAAAAAAAAAATTCAAGAGTCGTGGCCATCATATCGTGGACCATCGTCAGCCGTGAAGAACTCGCAAAAATAAAAGTCATATGATCATATGAAACTCTCCGGTGTCGTCCGAAAAGAGTGTGAGTAGTTGAACGTTGGGCGCCGAATACTGATAGATCGCTAACTTGGCATCCAATAGATGTCGGGGAATCGCAAAAATGCAGGCGAGTCATTCTTCGTTTTGGAGTCGTCAGCCGTGTGTAGCAAACTTCGAACACGTAAGTCGTAGATCGTGTGTGATACCGTGAAAGCAAGCTGCAGGGTGGATGTCGCGGTGAATGAAATGAAGGGCAGGTCGAATACAGGATAAGTAACCTGAAGATTAAGATGGTAGGATGTCGAGATGGTGGAATTGACGAAAACATCAGTTGGCTCGAATGACGAGTTTGGAGAGGAATTTGTTCGACAATGAGTCAAAGTCGGAACGATCAAACTTGCAATCACTTCTTGATCGCAAATACGTCTCTGTTCACAAAATCAGCCTCGAACTTGGTCAAATAGGTGGCGCATTAGACTTACCATATTTTGTGACGTGTGCGCGGACTTCTGTCATGGCGTCGCACACCGCGGGGTTGGAGTTCAGCAAGTGATGATGTTTTCGAGAATCCCACTCATTAAATGCTGGCAGTTTCTGGGAGATAGCCGAGAACAGGCCGACGATGACACCGACCGGTGTGCCTTCCATCTCGAAGCAGAACTTATTGACGGCACCGAGGTCAGGAACACGGTAGTTGCAATCGAACTGAATGAGCTCCCAAACTGCCAAAAGGATAGCGGCGAGCATGAAGATGGTGGGCCAATTCTTGAGCTTGTCACCGCTGTAGACTGACTGGTAGAGGGAAGATAGCTCCTCGAGAACGTCCTTCTGAAGCTCACGCCACATGTCGGCAAGAGCGCACTTGACCTGGAAGTTGATCATGACAGGCGCGACAGTCTTGCCGCAGAATTTAGACTGTTGGTCCTCAACCTTGCCAAGCGGGCTGTCTTCCTCCCCAAGACCTTCTACCATGGTAACGTGGAGGGTCAGGTTGTAGGCAAGAACAAGCTTCAACGCCTTACGAATGACGGGGAGCTTCTCTCGGCAGTAGAAGCGATAAGCGGTCTTCAAAAGCTCGGTAACGAACATGGTACCTTCGAAGTACTCGTCAACAAACTGCTCGAAACCACCGTCTATGTGACGGTCGAGGTAGTCTGATAGCATGGCGCGTGAAATGCCCTCCATACCGGCAGATAGCTTGGCAGTGTTGATCTCGAAGTGGAGGCCGTTAAGGCTCTCAAACCAGTCAACGCCGAAGCACTTCTCATCACGAACGAAGACCTCGCGAGCCATGATGGGAAGAAAGTGACCGTAGCCGTGAGTGACGTAAATCATGCGCTCCTGTGGCGAGAAGCCCTTGATGTTGCCAATGGAGAAGCCGAGGCTAACGTGACGCTCATAATCCGCCTTCCAATCCTTCATGAAATAGGCGATGTCTTTGATGTCAATGCGCGTGCACGGAACCTGCCAAAGACGTGCGTGGGATGGCTGGCAGCCGGCGCACGGATCGCCCTTGTCACAGGTCTTCTTGAGGAACTTACACCTCAGACAAGCCCGAAGCTTGCGGATTTCGTGGGCCTGTTGTCGCTGATCTGGCCGCAGAGGACCCCGCCGCCTACCGACACGCTTTTCACCGGTAGCGTCCTTCTTGGTAGTATGGGCCGGTGTTTTCTTCACGATGGTCTTTGCAGGCTTCGCTCCGGCAGGTATCGCCCCGACAGGTGACTTTCTGCGGCGAGCTGGCGGCGAGCTGACGGCAGACGAGGTTGGCGAAGCCGTGCTTGAAGCCGACTGCTTGATCTGGATAGGCTCTGCGCGCGCCAGTGGTGGACTCACCGACTGGTTGGGGGAAATGTAGTTGGTGTAGTCGGGTTCAATGGGAAGTCCGTGGCTGTGGTTACAATGATCAGAGTGGGCGTGCGAGTGCACCAACTCCAAGTTGTTGTCCGTCTCGGACTGGGGCGAGTTCATGGGAAAATGTATCTCTTCAAAGCTGCTGAAGGAATGGGCCGACGGGGGAACGTCCGAGTTGTTTGAATTTGAAGAGTCTGAATTTGTGCGAATGTGGAGGGATTGAGCGGGGTTGAAGATGATGGCCGAGTTGTCGGAGAAGTCGTAGGAATTGCGGTGTCCAACGTCGACCCACCCGTTGTCGCTACTTGAAAGAGAGCGAATCTCCATCCATTGCTCGCCCGGTGAGCCTGTCGAAGCACTGTTGGCGGTAGCCACGTGGGAAGCAGCAGTGAAGTCTTGGGCACCCGGGATGTTGGTAAACTCTTGCTGGAAGTCGGCCATTTGGAATGGCGCCGTGTTCATCGAGGGTGGTAGGTCCATGCCCGCCGAGGCCATGAGGCTGAATGGGGCCATGGCCATCGAGGTCATCATGGAGGCCTGTGACGTGTTGATACCAAAGTCTACGGGCGAAGTTTGCAATGGTCCACCATATGTCGCGTTGAAGCCCGACGACATGCCCATGGCAGCCTGGCCATAGCTATCCTGCGTAAAGGCATCGGTATTGATGTTCATCCAGGTTGCCAGCATCGGGTTCATGGGCTGCATTGCGGTAGGGAAACCGAGGCCGACGGTCTGGAGAGGGGCGATGGTAGTGGTAGTCGGCATCGAGTTGTGCGCAGTCGTCCCGGCTATTGAGTTGATACGTCGCTGATGATGTTGTTGTTGCTGCTGCTGTTGGTGGTGCTGCTGCTGCTGCTGTTGCGACATGGTGCCGGGGGAGATGGGCAGCGGCCACGTCTGATGGGAGAAGGTGTAGGTTTGGCGGTTGGGGTCAAAGGTTGGGTCGAACCCTCCCTCTACGCCGCCGTAAAGGGTGCCGTCAAAGTCGATGTTTTGATTCTCCATGTCTGGTCACCGAGGGAGAATGGTGAGGGTCGAGAGAGTGAACTCAGCCTCTCTGAGCTGATAGTAAGCGGTGAGAGTCAAGCGGGCGAGGGCCGACGCAGTGTCGCGAGCGCCAAGACGCAGCAAAAGTCGGTGAGCAGAAGCACTCGCACGCCCCCACAGGTCCAATGGCTCGTCTGCATCTACCTGGGCCTTCGCAGTAGCGCTGCTGGCGCTGCAGCAAGCGGACCGCGCCATTCGCAATCGACCGCACTGGAAAACCCTGATCAAGAGGCGTTGTGGGCGGGGATTTCCACTGCTAGACTGTTCTCGTCGGCATACCGTCTTCAAGTCGAGCACCTGGTCGACTCGAACCGTGGTTTCACCACGCCCCCTGGACTTGGACGCTCCTCGTAACCTCTCCGTCTCCGCCTTTTGGTGTCTACTACTATTCTACCGACGCGCTCCGCCTTTCGGTCTGGAGGCTGGCTGGCTGGCTGGTGCTGCATGTTCAACGCACGCCCCAGCTGGCGCCTCACCATGGCATGGTTCTGGCCAGTCAGGCCACGGAGCAGCCCAGCTGTGTCGCCATCACCCACTTCTCTCGGCACCGGCGTCGCCTATCGACCTGAGGAACCCCTCCTTTGTCGATAACAACACCCGATAAGCGTTGTTAGATAGTAGACTCGGGGTCCAGGTGGCATGGGGCGTTGCGGAGAGCGAGCGCAGCGTTGAAGCACATGCACCAAGAAGCAGGAGGACAGACTCTGACAAGCAACTTCAAGTCTCCAGCTCCGCCCACTGCGTGCATGGTCCTGCCCATTTTCTTGCAAACCACAGAACCAAACGTCCAAGGATACAAGCCGTGACGGATCGACGAGCAAGGACCAAATGCTACCTACTATGGACCAGGGCCAGCCCAGTATTTGCCTCACTGGCATGACCTGGTAGTATGCTGCGACAGCACTTCGCCCGTCCAGTTCCCAGCCTCACCGACATCTTGTCCAACGCCTCACAACTCAATCTTCCACCGTCGTACATTTCTCCAGCCATCTCAGAGCATGCGCACGCCTTGCTTGCTCCACGCGCTGAGCCCGCTTTCCTGTTTCTTTCCTCGTGCTTGCGAGCGCACTACCATGGTTGCCGCCACCAACGTTCCTCACTCGCTGCTTTAGGACACGGTGCATGTCATCAAGCGCGTTGCGTAACACGGCTCCCGCATCGTGCTACTGCGTGTCCTGCCTTGCATTCGCATTTTCCACTTCCAACAGTTTGACAGGATGGCCCTTGTCCCTTCTCACTGGGCTCGTTGCATTGGTGCTACGCCAAAAGTGACATGTTGAGCGAAACTCAGCCCAGACGCCGCCTCGTGACTTTTTCCGCCGTCCGTCTTCCCTGGCCTTTCTCCGTATTGGCATGCCTTGCTTGTATGCATGCCGGTCATGTCTTGCAGCTACCGGACTTGTCCTAAGCGCGAGACCGGTTGCCTATTTCGTCAACATGTACTTGCGACCACGCCCACTAAACAGTTGCCTCAGAAGCCATAACTTTGATCAAACACCTCGACATGCTAGGATACAGAGGAGAGAGTAAGCTGCTTGATGCCAAACCCTCGGTGAACGGCCGTGGATGTGTAGCTCAAAGCGCATATACTCTCGGTCGCCTTTAGCTATACGACATATTGGGTTAAAATGTTTCGACAAACTCTAGGTGACGTGATAAGAGGCTGGTAAGACTAAATGTTCATGGGTAAGATGCTCGTCGCGGTCCGTAATGAGGCTTCCTTACGTAGGAGCAGCTTAGTCTCAGTGCACCATCCCAGCGTGTCACGTATCTGTCAGCAGCTTATTGCAAATCCCGACATTCACTTGAAGTACTCTTCCGTTCGATCAAGGACACACACAAACCTCATGCTTTGCTCCACCGCCTCAATAATTCCTCTTCGGTCTTCTTAGCGCTTCCTTGCCTCTAAGCAGCGTTATAGCTCCAGTAGTAAACCTGGCCATCATTCAACCATTAATTGTGAACCTGTCTGGCCGCTAGCGACAATGTACCCTGGAGCCATTTTACGAGTTAGCAGATCACTGAAACTAGATTCTATAACGAAGGGCACATCGACACTGATGCGAGTTTGTCAGGAGCGGTGGTCCATTTCCCCCACTGCCGGTCTTCGGCTCCACGCACGTCTCCCGTACTTGGTGTAACGCAAGCTGGACCGGTAAATAAAATTACCCGTTGGGCGAGCTGTAAGATTAAGTAGTCTGGTATTTCTCTATATCTTGATCGTTGGAAGGTCTGCTTGCACTTGCTCTGGACATTTGCCAGAGAGCGCCTGGTTTTACCCTCACTAAACGGAGCTTTCTCAAGCACACGATATGGCACACATGGGCGCACTTCCCAAAATCCATCGGTACATTACCGCACATAATGGCGGGGGCAAAGCCATCTTCAGCAAAGCCTTCGACGACGAGAGCAGAATGAAAGCCAACGACGACGGTATTGCCTTCGCACTCAGCTACACCACCAAGGGCTTTCCGGTCGACATGGACAATGATAAGGACCTCGATGTATACGGGGAGTATCTCAAGAACACGCCAGGGCTCGTCGTTTCAGGCGGGACGGTACTCCGTCACGTCGACATTCCCCCGAAGACGGAATGTACGATGCATCGGACTGTGAGCCTAGACTACGGGTGTGTACTCGAGGGCGAGGTCGAGCTATTGCTGGATAGCGGCGAGAAGCGCAACATGAAGCGGGGGGACGTTGCGATTCAACGAGGAACTATGCATCAGTGGATCAATAATAGTACAACAGAGTGGACGAGGATGCTGTTCGTGCTGCAGGAGAGCAAGCCATTGAAGGTTGCGGGTGAGGCAGTTGGCGAGGAACTGGCAGGTATGCCAGGTGTGCGATCATCCGACTGAGATTGGCATTTGATGCTTGACATGGAGCAAGACGTTCGAAGGGTACAGAGGAATGAGAGAGCTCGCGGGCGACATCCGCAGTCGCAGTCGCCAAGCCCACTAGTCCCAAAATAAGCATCCCACTTCCACTTCCACTTCACATCCTACAGCATTTGCGCAAACGCAAAGGGCAATCCTTATAGTCTTGTCATACTGCAAAACGTTAGGTGTGTACTGCACCACCTAAGCATGACATGACTTGCCAAATCCGGTAGCTGCGCTCTTGAGCGAACAATACTAAGCGCCCCAGCACGAAAGCCATTGTCCCCAACAACCACTCACACATGCCCAATTGCTTACCAACCAAGCCCAGTCGTTCGAACGTGGACGTTAAGAGAATGGCTGTCCCCTTGCGCTTCTCTGCACAAGCTCCCTCATCTCGCCTAACAGAGATAATTCCCGAATCGGATCGGGTTGAAGAGCTTTCGGATTCCGACGACGAGTACGAAGATATGGGTACGGCTACGGTTGAGGAGCAGGCACATATCGCCTACCTTGATAGTGTGAGGACACCGATCAGAGATACTCTCGAGACAGAAACATCACAGGTGCAGGATGACACCTATGGGGTCATCCTGCCCTACCTGGAAGGCAATCCGAATGATTTTTCCCTGAATGCTTTTGGCGTACCAAAGCTTCAACGGGAGAAGCATGTTGCCATGCTGAAGATGGTCCTGGGAGACTATCCAGGGAAGTTTGCCATGATGGACGCGTCTCGACCATGGATCTTATACTGGGGTCTGCAAAGCATGACAGCGCTAGGCCTCGACATATCCGGATATCAAAAACGGTAGGTCAGACAACAATGGAATTCCTGATGATCCCATCGCTCAATCCGATATCATCATGTTGCTTCTGATGCAGATAATGTCTAACAATAAACAGGGTAGCACACACCTTCTCTTTAGCTCAACACCCGGAAGGCGGATACGGAGGTGGATATGGCCAACTTCCTCATCTCGCATGCACCTACGCTGCGGTCCTATCACTGGCCATGGCAAGCGGGACTGAAGCATACGACTCCATCCATCGCAGAGCCTTGTGGCACTTTTTGGGGCGAATGAAGCAAGCAGACGGAGGTTTTACCATGGCCGAAGGCGGCGAGGAGGATATTCGAGGTGCCTTTTGTGCCGTAGTAGTCTTGTCTCTTCTTAACCTCCCCCTGGACCTACCTCAAGATGCACCGGCCCGGAAACACGGACTTACCAACTTCACCGACGGTTTGGGCAGTTGGGTATCACAGTGCCAATCGTGGGATGGTGGGATTTCCGCAGCGCCTGGCAACGAAGCTCATGGTGCCTATGCATTCTGCGGTCTAGGATGTTTGGCGATCATTGGACCACCAACGGAGACACTGCACAAATATCTTGACATACCGCTCCTAACTCACTGGCTTTCATCAAGACAGTGTAGCCCTGAAGGTGGATACAACGGCCGAACAAACAAGCTTGTCGATGGATGCTATTCGCATTGGGTCGGAGGATGTTGGGCAATTATCGAAGCTGCCACTACCACAGGAGTCTGGAATCGCACGGCGTTGGCACGCTACATCTTGGCTGCCTGTCAGGAAAAGAAGGGCGGGTTGAAAGACAAACCTGGAAAACACTCGGATGCATATCACACGTGCTACAATCTGGCTGGGCTGAGCGCGGCACAACATCGATATGTATATGACGAGGACATCAACAGAGGTATCGGGATGGGAAATTTAGGTGCGGCATACCACTGGAAGACCGATGGCTTATACGAGGGAAAGAACGAGGTATGGGACGATGGCGATGTTGTGAGAGCTGTTCACCCTGTGTTTGGTAAGAAGTGCAATGCGCAAAACGTATGTAAGACACTTGCTAACTTCATTTCTTTTCAGTCATACCCTACATGGCGGTTTACGAGTGTAGGAAATACTTTGAGGAGAAGGAAGGTTTCTGAGGTTGCGCTTGACAGGGCTGTGATGGCTACCCACTTGACTCTGTCCTACCCACAAACGAATCTACAAATACATCATCTCGATCCATCCCCTTTTGAATCTCGAATCTCATATACTTTTTTGACTACCATATTCGTTCTCTCTCTTATCTGTGGATTTGTACGACCCTGCTTCACTTGGGGCTATTGCGTTGTGCTACTACCAGCATGGTCCATCACTGGGCGCCGCATTTGTTAAACTCAACAAAGATGACCAAGCTGCCTTCGCTCGATTTTGTTCTTGAAGTTGAAATTTGTTCTATTCAACTTCACATCAGCCCGCCTAATGGCAAAACGATTTCATTTCAGCGTTAGCTTTGGAGGAAGGTAGATACTGCTCTCAAACGAAGGGTATCCGAGCACAAGTTCAAACGAACTTGCTTACTGAGTATTGTAGCTATAGAAATATGTTGTTCTCTTCCTCGAATCGCCCCTTAATCAAGCGTCCGTATAGAGTACCAGCGGTGGCCCAGCAACATTTGGTTTCACATATGCTTTAATCGCCGTATGGGCCTGACACTCATTGTCGTAGTAGTCCATATCGTTCTTTGATTCAAAAACAGTACGTGCTACCATCGTGTAGCCTTGTGATCGAGGATCGGCATGCGCTGGGTTTGCTAATGCGAGCTGGATGTATTGCTTTCCGTCCTGAATTGAGTGTCAGCCGTGTCCGACATGCTTCTCACACTCGGCAGAAATTGATTCCAAGGCAGCCCGAGAAGTGATTCAACGCTCTGTCCGATGAAAGTGCATTGGCGAAGCGTTATTAGGCCCGATGAAAGTGCATTGGCGAAGCGTTATTAGGCCCCGTGATCAAAACGTCTTGTTCCACAATGTAGTCTCATCAACCCACTTCACTCTGCTAGATAGAGCCTCGAAGCGCACGCATTTCTAGGAATCCACTAACTGCCAGGTATATGACTCAACAACATCATAATGATTGAGACAACCCCTAGAAGCAATAACAACAGGGGTGGATGGAACATGGAGTTCGTGGGTGACGAATGTTTCGACGTGCAGGGTATGCAGGTTCCGCATGTGTTGTCGAGGTGGTGCCAGCGGGTATGTATGCACGCTATACAAGAAGGAGGAACATAGAGTGTGTGGAGATTGAGTCAAGGGCGTGCTTTCATACCTTGACGGCATCTTGACTCAGGGTTGAGTACTTTTGGATTGCTTCTTGGATAATGGCAGGATCGGGAATCTTGAAGAGGGTGAGTCGGACTATTTGTGGCATGTTGATGTTTTGGAAAGGGTTTTTAAGCGGGTTTCAATAGCGCACTGTATTGCTCAGGCTATGCGAGCTTAATGGTCTAGGTATATTTATTCATGTAGCTTCGGCACGGGTGAGGAGAGCCATGCGTAGCGACAAATCAATGTCGGTTCCCCCTACTCCTGGCACGATGTTGTGCTCAGCTCATATACGCCTCTTTCTTATACGTAGTATCCTCTGCAGTGTTAGAGTTATTAGTTGGTGGCTGTTTCATATGTTGGCCACCTTGATCTCAGATTGTTGACTGTACCTTGGCTTTTAAGTATTGTAGGTGAGGCTCAACGAAGCCAATAGGCTATTTGATGGTCGCGTCATCGTTTTGAGATGTACTAAAGCTCTACAGGCTCCCTTGTGAGTACTGACGTAGCCCAGGGGGGAAATTTGGTGATGAGGCAACATTTGCGGCTGTGAGGCGACACAGATCATCGCTACCCGAAGGCGACGACAACCGCAAGCTGCCACCATGCTGTCAATCGTCGTACATCAGTTGTAGAAACAGGGAGCGACTGAGAAGCTCCCCGGCATCTAGCGCTTTGTGCCAGCATAGATAAAGACGCCCGTGGGGAAGAATCATGGCAGTCGGAAAGGTTTGGGGGATTTTGGTTGTGTCCCACCTGTGAGGTCGGCAAGCCAGAACCGGCCCCTCATCCAAATCTTGCGGCGAATGACCGACCGCAGCAGTACGTTGTACGGCTCACGACGCATGGCTGAACTGAACTGGGGGCGAGGCTGCTCCTGTTTGGAGGAAACGCTCGAACTCGTGGGTCATAGACCGCCCGGGGATGGAAAACGACCGATTCGTGAACAGAAACCTTCCTCAACAAAGCCTTTCAGCTGACAAGGGTACCATCCTCAGCAGGTTGGAAGGTAATATCTCTGTCAACAATGCATATTATAGATTCATGCGAAGACAAGGGGCACTATGGGCAGGCGTGTTGACAACGCTTGCTTTGCTCACCGACTTTCTCCTCATTTGCAGAGTGCGCAGTGCGGGTGGTGGCGTCATGCTGAGATCTCCCGCCCCGTGTAACCAACACGCGTTTCGCAGCCAGCGCCATCTATCGTTCGATGAAGCTTCGCAGTTCCATCGCCTTATTCGTCTCGAGGCACATGATTGCAGTTAGGTTCCGCCATTCGCAAGCGCAATGCTGTCCTGTTATTCTGATACCCACTCGTCGTGACAGCCTTTCCTCAACCAAGACTTTGGCCCGACGCCAAAACGAGGCCGCTGTACGTGGACCGTGGACCCTCATGTACCCTCTCCTGGTCGTGAGCATTCCTGGCCTATCGAATTATCAAGACGCTCAATCCGCTGCTCGGCCGGTCACGGAGTGAATCTGCAGCTGCCCGCTAGCGATGCCCCGATGGCATACCTTAGAACGAGTGCTTAGGAGCAAGCTCCAGCCTCGAGATTTCCCTGCCTCCTGCATCCCATTGGAAGGTATAAAAATGGACAACGGGGACAGTTCGGTCATTTGGAGTGAGCTGTTCAGGGCGGTGCTGGGATCCCATCCCGTCTACAGAAACTAAGTGCCTCAGGAACGCCTGGCCCTTGTCAAATAGCCTTTCGTCCAAGCGCCAAGATATGTCCTTCCTACTTGAATCTTGCAATCGACGCTCGAGCACTGTCTCTGCAACGGCTGATTCACGTCACAAATATGCTTCACAGCTAACAGCCGTTGGTCCTTTTCCTTTTTGGGACGCAGACGCAGATGGCTTCCTTCAATCCTGGGGACCGTGCTTATGCATGATGAGTTGTCCTTGCCCGGTGGTTGCACCAACCCGAAATCATCTCTTCGAGCCCTCGAACCTGCAATCAACTCGTCTCGTTTACCTTCTGGCTGCTGCTGCATAGCGTCCTACTATTCCTATTGTGACGCTGTTCCGCCTAAAGCTACTATGCTTTGCATCTTCTTGCAGTCACGATATCGTGCCAACTCCACTCCAGTCGCGACACCCGCGCTTGGTGCCCTAGTCAAGTAACAGTCCCCATTTTTCTGCACGCTCGGTTTGGTTCTGGTCCTGTTCATCAAGTTGCCCCTCATATCCTACGATTAGACATTTACCATTCCTTCGCCAAGAGGTTTGAAGGTATTGGACTCACCTTGAAGTGGATAGACTCTCATGAATTTGGATCTTCTCCTCACTTCGAGCAAGCCTTGATGAGGCCATGGGTTAGCAAGTACAAGCGAAAAGTTCCTTTCCCATGAGAACGGTGCACTATGTCGTTGTTTATGCATCCATCTCAGGCATCTCAACATGCATGATGCCGATCGAGACGTCCAGCCTCTTAACGAACGGGTGAGAAACAATCGACCACGATCACTCGCCCGTTTACCGCGCTACTGCGGCAGCACTGGTGGCAAAGGCTAACCGGTGAAAGCTGTGCCTTTAGAAGTTTGAGTCTTTTACAAGCTAAAATTCTAGAACCTTAGCCCGTTGGCTGGTCCTTCGCCAACACATCAGTATGGGTCTCTCCTACAGAGCCGCAACCAAAACCCGCAGATTATTCATTTCGACATGCCCAATCGCCCCTCGATCCTGACTGGTGGGTGAAAGCTGCGCGCTTGGATACCTGCTACACTCGCCTGCTGCAATATATTACTTCATCCCACAAGTGGAAACATATGCTTGCCCATCCCCATTCTATCGTCTGCAGGCCACGCCCCTTCCTTGTTCATACCTCGATAGCTACTTTTTCTCTTCTGTACATCTGTCACTTCTTACATTGACAACTGTCAACGTCCCACTAAGTATCCGTTGTCGTACAACATCTGCCACGAATTTCTCTCTCGATCTACTACGGTCGCCACCAACGAGCGCTTGCCAATTCAGCAAGATTCCGCATCACTCTTCCCTCTTCGGGACTTACGAATCTGCATCAAAGCGCCGTCAATTATACCAATTGCTCTAGATTCAACACGTCAACAGTGGTCCTCGAACACCAATCATGTTTTATGTAATGTATCTTACAGGTATGTCTGACACCGGCCCATTGAATCCCAACATGAGGCACCACGTGTCGAAAATCCCGCGAAGTCTCATTGAATTGCCGAGCCCCCATCAAGTGGCCCAAAATCGCCTGAAAAGTATCTTGCCTTTCTGTTAGTACGGTTTAGTTCAACGCGTCGCCGTGTCGAGGAACAAGAACGGAACTTAACACATGAATCTCACAATCACGCATATCAGTCTATGGATCAATTACTCACTATGGACTAGGCCTTTGCCAACGACGACATTGGCCCGACCCTCTCTTCCAAACTTACCGTACACGATATGGCTATGGGTCCACAGTCCGAGTCAACAACCGGGAGTACTCCACAGACGTTGACTACGAATCTGAAGAACTCGCAAAGAACGCTGCTGCAACTCGAGCCTATATGATCTGTCGCAACTTCTCGGTGAACGACGGGATGTACCCTGGTCAACGCCCCGGCCAAGGAGGTGTGGTCCAGGGCCTACCTACACCTATTGGCGCCGGTAGGAGGAACACATGCTCGTCCAACGACTACGACAGTGTGAGTAACTCAAGTGGCGGCACCAGCCCGAGAAACTCCGATTGTGGCCTTGACGGTGCAGAGGCGGTAGGAAGACGGTCCAGCAAGTCCTCGACGTCATCGACGTCAAACTGCTGTTGTGGCCGGGGTGTCGTCCGTGCCTACGAGAGGTGCAACTACTGCCTTCAAGATGCCGGATACAGAGTGTGATTGGCGGTATTCTGATTTCTACATGCACACCATGCAAATATTTTAGCGTCAACAACAACGATAAAATAACGATGCGACACACATCGAAGTAACAAGACTTGAAGAGCTCAGGCTCAGCGATACTACGATAATCCATGGCCTGTATCTTTACGACAGACGCGATTATAACGACCAACACACGCTTTAACCTTTCTCTACTCGGCCCGGGATGGTAACTGCTTTCTATTAGCGAGCTTGCTTTTTGGGATGTGTCATGACTGCTTATGTCTCTCTTTGGTTCTACGTGGCTGCATAGCGATGTTATTGAAGCGTTCAGCGAATGTTTCTCTTCTCTCGGGTCGGACATCTCATTCTAAGATTGCCTGCCTAACGACTTTCCTACTCTTTCCTGATGATGATCCAAAAAAGAGAAAGATCACGATGATCGGTCACACGGCCGTATAACGATTATACTTATGAAATCATGAAATGAAAGCAGTATCCCGGCTTCAAATCGTGCTATGTATTATGCAGCACGAATTTCAATGATGTGGCGCTGGGGTATCGTCAATATTAGTGCGATCTATAACTAGTAGATTGTATAGGTCTTCTAGGTCTGGTAATTGAAACAAGCGTACTAATGTCTTTAGTGAACGTCAACCTCGCGGAGCTATCTCCAGCCCACCGTATATATTCGTAGGATACTTTGAACAGGGCATATGGGTTAACTTTCGTCTAGCGTAATAGAGCTGCATTGCCTGATCTAAGAAGCCTGTAGGACATGCATGCTTCATATATCCATAATTTTTTGTAATAGTAACTGCAAAATGCTTTCTTTCGACCGGAGTTGCGTACTTCGAGATGACGTTCACCTGAATGGCCATGCTGAGAGTTCTTCCGAGCGCATTACGCGTAGGACAGCCCAAGCCCAACAACCACACCAGCGCATCGAGCACCTTTTCGCACACATAGAGAGCAGGTGATGGTCGCTAAGGCATTCATCTTCGACGATGTTGCAAGTTTGTTGGCTCACAATGCCGGCAAATACTTGTGATTTTCGCCTAACGGCTTTTTAAGAGTGAAATCTGTTACAGGACTGACAGGACAGGCGAGAGACGTTATTGCATCTCGAGGCAGTGAAGCAGGTGCCTGTCGAAGCAGCCACGTTGGCGATGCTCGCGATTCAACGTAGCTGTGATTTTTTAGATTCGGGGTTTGGCGAACATGACATACCTAATGTGTAGTTCCATAGCGGTCAGCTCCTCCATTTGAAATGGCACTCAACCTATGACAGGTACTTTAATCAGTTGCAAAGGCCACGAGTACTACAAGACTTTGATTACTATAGGTTAGGCGAGTAGCCTACGAACCTACAGTCGCACAACACGCTTACGTGTCGAACCATTCAAGCGCATCGTCCTTCCCGAATATGGCCCTATATACTCGATCTCCATCATCCTTGATTACCTCCTCCGTATGAATACTGTGCAGTGTATACTCTCTCTCGTCTAGGCTGCTACCATCTGTGCCGTCCTTGGCAGAACCAAATACGCGAACATGGATATATGCATTGTTCGCAGCGGGCAACTTGACTTTGGCAAAGAGATGCAGGCCGTATGCTGAGGTAGCCACGCGGACGGAGTCGAGATCGCTCGTAGAGATGGAGGCCAGTTCGGCGTCAGAGACGCCTTGGACAGCGCGGAAGTATTCAGGCTCGTGTTCTAGATGGGTCAGAATACAAGAAGAGGGCGCGAGAGCAAAGCCTACTGTCGTGGTCGCGGCGGAGCTTGATGAGCCCCTCCTTTACTGACTCGAGGATTGAATTGAAGGCATCGATGGAAGCTTGCTGCGGCGCATGTGCTTCGCTTAGCTGTACTGTGTCTTCGGTCGCCATGATGTTGATCGTGTTTCTATGGAATGTTGTTAAATAAGAAATAAGTCTTCTCGAAAGATGGAACTTTGGAAACTGTTAGATCCAGACAAATGGCATGCGCTGTCCGAGAGTGCGAGGTGAGACAGGTCACGTCTCAACGACTTTCGTCGTAAGGGACCCCCACCCAGCCCTGCAAAACTTGGAACTGGGCCATGGAAACCTGACATGACTGTAGCCAAGACCCACTCAAGGGTTACGCGTCTGAGTACTCCCGCGATTCATTGTATGGAGGTCGATTCGACAGCCTTGAATCATTTTGCAGGCCACTTCCGATGCGATGACGTCGGTTGGATGAATCATGAGATGACTGACCCCCTGACAGCTAAGTTTGCTAGTGGGCACGTGATGCCGAACATGGGTTATATACCACGACGGCTCGCATCTTATTCTTCGAATAGCAAACCGAGGCTTGAATCTCTGAACATGGACCTGCGTGACAACACACTGTAGGCCGATGGAATTGTTCTTAGTAGGTGGTACCAGCAAGCTCATAACGTTTTGCGTCGGATTGCTCCATTTGCCGATAAGAGCGAACGGACTTCGTAAAGGGTGTGCTCTAACTGTACATCGTAAGCTCATCTCAGTTGTATGTTTGATAAACTCTCTACCATATCAATACACGTCTGCCCAGAAAATCTACATTGTATTTTCAACATGTCGATCACCACCTTACGCAGGAGCGAATCGAGCTGTCGAGCTCTTGGTCTTCCGAGCGACCCTTCCAAACCCGCTTACAAAGTCCTCACTAACCCTCTCACCACACCCAACACTCATAACTCATATTCCCGACGGTGTACCAGAGAATGCACTTTATTCCGTGACAGCCATTCCAGATAGTAGATACGGCTAGGTCATCATTGCTTGTTGTTTTGTCACGACCTTCTACCATAACAGCATCATTACCTGCTGGGGTGTATTGCAAATCGCACTTCTTGACTCAACCTTGAAGAATGCCCCATCTTCCACGCTCGCCTACGTCGGAATTATAGCTCTCTCAAGGGGGGGGGGGGGTACGTTGTAAGGACTTACCACCCTACACCTGATGCGAGGGGCGAGGGGTAGGCTCGCAGTACACGATATCATTTGGTGTGTTCCTTATGTGAATGAGTCTTATCGGCGCTAGCTTTTGCACGTCGAATCTTGCGGGATTTTTTCGAAACTGCTGGCCTTATTAGCGGAATTGAAATGGCAATAGTGTATGCCGTTATGAATGCGTTTCCGGTGCAGTATTTTAGCGCTCGTCTGGGCCTTGGAAATGGCCTCATGAGCTCGGGGGTGAGATTGGTGGCTGTGTTATGACCGTCGCGCTGGAAGCTATACACTAGCAAGTCGGAGTTGCGTGGACTTTCCGATTCTAGGGGTTGCTGACCATCGGTATTGGCATGCCCGTCGCCTGGATGTTGAGAGATCGCGTCCTGGAGCGGGACGTTCCCTTTGTTGATTGGACAATAACCAGATCCATTCATCGCGACCTTCACTGCCAGCGCTATTGGAGTGTGTGCTCTCTTCATACCACCTCAATATCTCCTACTGTTTGCACAGTCAATTGGTCTTAGCCCGGGTCAGTTGCAGCATTTAACTCTTGCAATGCTATCGACCGGTTCATTGCTTGGGCCTTGCGCGACAAACTTGGCCTCCTGAACATGATCGCCATCACAATGACACCCAATACAGTCAGCATACCAGCTATCTAGTCGGTCTCGAATACATTAGGGCCGCTCGTTCTCTTTGCCGCATTGAACGGTGTCGCTAATAGCTCGTACTTCACAACGCAGCCTATAGTAGTTGCCAGCATTTTTAGCCCTAGACGAGCCGCTATTAGCATAAGTATATTAGCAACAAGGTGTATATGTGGCTATATTATAGGCGCTCCCATCGCCGGCTATCTCCTCCAGGCTGCGGGCGGTAGACAAGGAGATGTAACAGGGCGGGATATCGATGTTTATAGGCCCGCTATATTATACGCTGGAAGGACTGCTACTATATCCGCTTTATGTGTTCTAGCGGCGAGGCTTACGGTGGCTAAGAAGCCCTGCAAGAGGGTATAATGACCTATTCCATCACGCTCTGGGTTTTATCTTTCCAATAACTGCAAGGCGGCATCACGCGATCTGAATGGCGACGGTCAATCTAGTCATATCAGGTGATCATGTTAGCCCAAACTTGCCTAAGCCTAGCCAGACGATATCTACTTTGGGATCATAACCCTGTAAACAAACTCACACTATCGCATTGTGCTCAACGCATGACCTCTCGTGGTCACAACCATCCAGATAAGTCATCAGGTAGTCTATTCATGATATCGCCGTTATCTTAATCGACTGTGTGTTATTCTTGAGCCCCATCGTACGTTCGACAGACCCTCTGAACTTTACAAGTACAGGAAATATGTAGCCAGATTTGTCGCACATACATACCATTCTGCACCCTCATGTGGCATGCCACTCCACCATTAGATCATCCCCCAAGTCGTATGGCTAGCGCACGACGCAATTTGGAATGGGATAGATTGAGGGAAATTTAGAAATTGTCTTACTAGAACTAGGTATTGCCTCCATAAGCGATTTAACTCAAATCGAAACCAGCACCCGAGAATACGCTGTACAGCAACTTTGCCTTTAGAATCATCTCGTCCCTGTACATTGGCAATTTTAACAAATTAACACACGTACTGGTGCTCGGTAGCCGTTCTTGATCACCCCCGGCATCCCTGATGCTGAACCTTGGATTCAGCGTACCAAAGCCTAGCAGGGGTGCACGAGGCGTACTGGTCACAAACTTGAGCACAGCACGCCGCTCATCATCCCCAATATCTTTCATGATCTTCCAGAATAGTTGGATCGTAGGATGTTCGAGCCCGTCATCACCGATAACGTATGTGCCGCCGTACATCGTGTTGCGACGTAGATCTTCGATGTCGATTGATGTGCGGGTACCACTTATGAGGGTTTGTAGTTCGGATTGGTTGAACATGGAGAGCCAGGAAGGCTGCACCATGGTGCTGAGGCCGCGGAGGAAGGCTGTAGTCTGGGGATATGGCTGATTTTGGAGTCGATGGCGCGCCATATAGCTTATATAGACGAGGCGGTTTTGGTTGGTGACCGGGATGTTTGCACCGTCCGGCTTCAGCTCCTTGGTGGTGGCTTTGGTCTTCTTCGGTTCGGTCGTGTGATCTACGATTACGGTATCGGTAACGGTGAAGTTCAGCGAGAAGTCTTCGACATCACCAGCGTAGGTCTTGAGTTTATGCAGCCCTTGATAAAGCGCTTCGTCCAAGTCACGGAGGTCATTCAGCGTAGGACGGTAGCCAGACTCGTTAGGCGCAGACCCGGTGCCGCCGGTCAGAGCCCACTTGCGGAGGAAAAAGGGGGCGAAGTTGACGTCAATCAAAATACCTTCATACAAGCACTTACCGATGATGCGACCCAAAAATTCGTAGCGTTGGAGCAGCTCGGAAATCTGAAGTCGGAACTCTGGTGAGTTTTCGTGAAACCCCGCTTGTCTGAGTGCCTCCTTGTGTTCCTCGACTGCCGCAGGATTTGGGTATAAGAGATGCTGGTCGTTTTCGACGAACATGTCAATGTAATCTGTTGGCATGAAAGCCCGGTTTGTAACGCTGGTGAGAAACTCCTTAGTCACGCCACCGCCATCGATACCAGCCTCAGGCGCACCAAATTGGTCCATAAAAGTAATCTGAATCGGCTCTTTGAGGCCTTGTCCGAGCGGGTAGAATTGTTCGAATGCATCTTCAAACTCATTATCTCTCCTGATCTTTGCGGCGTGCTTTTCAAATTGGTGACCAGCGTCGGGTCGCTGCATGATCCTAAACTGCCAAGCCTCAGGATTCAAGCTGCCTCTTCGCTTGGTCATATCCAAATGTACAAACTCGCGGAATATCTGCACTCTTGTGGTGAAGGGTATGAAGAATGGCATGTTCTGCAGGATCTCTAGGCGGGGCGCCACTGCTTGCAAGTACCTTCTGCGCGAGGCCTTGCGCTGTTGCCGTTGTAGCCTCTCCAGTCGTCGCTGCTGCTGGGTTCGGCTAGTGCCAATGAGTTGCGGTGTGTCAACAACCTCTTCTACTTCGTCGTCGATATCATCTGCATCTTCCTCCTGTATCTTGTGACGTGACTCCTCCTCTTCCACGACAGCTGGTATGAAACCTGTCATGTCAAATCGTGAGGTCATCAGCCAATGATCTGAAGGCAAGAATTTGCGCCGAGAATCTCTTTCGTAAACCATACGGAGGAGGCCAGTGACCAGGCCTTTGACATAATCAATCTTCAAGCCCGCGACGCCACCGATTGAAGGCTCCACAGGATGGATCTGAACCTCACTCTCAGCCGCCCTTGTACTGAAATAGCTCAGGCCCGTGCTGCTATTTTTGGCAACGACCTCGGGCAGACTTATGTCAACTGCATTGAAGTACAGTGTAAAACCCAGATTCTTCAGAAAGGTAGTCAGATCCTTTACGTCGCTCAAAGGTAAGCCACTATCGCGAAAATGGCTGGAATAGACATCCTGTTGACCAGCAGAAAAGAACTCTTCATCGTCTGTTACCTTGAGGACGAATGTATACAGCTCCAGGAACACTAGAACCACCCGCCATTCGTCTGTTATAATAGCGTCGCGATCAATCTCCTGTTGCGCTGGTTGCCAAAAGCCATGCTGCGTTAAGGCCGACATACGCGGGAATTCTTCACTTTTGACTTCTAGCGTTTTCGACTTGAGAAGGCCAATAGCCGCACGGGAATCCCGGAATATGGTAGAAAACACTGACGAGCGTTTCGATGCCTCCCAGAAATATCGGATTGCAGGTAATTTGGGTTTGCTGGATGCTGAGGGGGCATCTGATGGACCAATATAGAGCCACATCCGTATTTCATCCCCTCGCCGTGGAAAGAAGCGTAGCAATGCGAGAGCGTAATTCGCTAGTTGCCTAGCTTCCTCGATCTTCTCATCCTCTGAAGCTTCCGATGATTGTGAAAATCCAGACAACAAACTCCCTATGCCCTCTTGGTTTACTAAGGAGATGACCTGCGCCTGCAAGAAGCTTGTTGCCAAGCCAGGGTGTTGAGCAATTTCGTCATCTCCTGTTACTTCGGTGACGGAATGTGGGCTATCGATGATGTTGACGGGGAGCGAGTTGAGTAACAACGAGACTACTGCTACGAAGTCTTTGTGCACAGCATATGCTTCTGGTGTATTGAAGTTGTGGGCATAACGGTGGAAGTAGATAAAAGAGCCCAGCAACCGTAACCGGCTGGTCGTACTTTTCAACTCAGACACTGTATGTAGTCCGGGGCCCTTGAACAGGGTCGCCAGCGCACTAGCGAGTAGCTTGTAGTTGATCGAGTCGGCAAGTGAGTCTCGGAACTTGTGTATCAGCGGCGACTTGGAGTCGGAACTCATCAATGGAAGAGTCAGGAAGGTATAACCGAAGGCCTCGTAGGCATCCAAAGTATACCCCGTGACTGTCTTCAAGGGTGAGGTGACTGTGCTGAAGATGACGTCCCATGCTTCCGAGGTAGCCGTTTCTGACGCATCGAGGGTCGGTGCAAGTCTCGATATAGTATGGGCGAGGGTGCGATAGTATTGCTTGGCGTTCTGGGATGTCTCGGAGGGTATCTGATCAGCCACAAATCGGACGAGATCAAGGAGTTTGCCGGTGTGGTCCTGACATGTTAGAAAAGGTTTGCTCTGCCGTTCCAGGGCTACCAGCAGCATCTTTTCCAGTCGCAGATATGCCAACGACCACCGCCCGCTTGACGTGATATGCAGTTGCCGTACTGTCTCCATCTGTCGTGAGCCGTAATGACTCACTCGGCTGAGGTCCTCTTCGCTCCTCGCAGAAGCAAAGCGTAGCAGCCGCTGCAGCTGTACAAGGGCTTCTTCTTCAGAGCCGTAGGATGTCGTCTGTTGTAAGCGGCTTGCAGAGCGCTCGGCAGCATCCCATTGCCGCCGCAGCTCGTCCGCAACCTCCCGTCTACTCGTATGCCCTCGCCAGACTCTCTGTATCCGTTTCGCCGCATTCAGTGCATCTCGTTCCCGCTGCCGTTGTACTCGTTCCTGCTGAGCTCGGTCGAGGGCGGCTTGTGATCCAGCCCCGGCGCCTGTACTACTGTTGCCAAGTGGGTTTGGTCGTCGACCGCCGAGGTTGACCTGTCGCGGCCGCCGCGTGTTGCCGGTGAAGCTAGTGAACATAATGGCGGGGTGGTCGAGGGAGTCCAGAAGGATATGAGGCGGCGGATTGCGGAGATGAGTTGTAGGGTATTGTTGAATACTGCTGCAGGTAATGCACTTCAGGCGACCGAGTGGACTACGGAGTCCTCGTAAATCTACAACTCAAATCGTAAATCGTGTGAACTTCGGAAGGCCAGCCAAGCCAGCTATCGATACCCCAAATCACCAGATCGTCGGGGTGGGGGAATTTCAAGGGCGGTGGAACTCGAGAAGAAAGAAACATGGATGTACTTCGTCGTCCACCAGCTTCTCCCCAGCTCCAGCGTGTGTGATGAAGCAACCAACATCGTAGTCAGCAACCGCCGCACCCTAACTCCGTATGGTCCGTGCATCTGATAGTTCTCTTTCACATGACTTTCAGGACTAATATTTAACATCTCGACTCTTTAAGAGCGTAATGGCTCTGTACTAAAGCAATTAACTACTGTCTTCTAAGAATAACTGCCTCTTTAACAAGACTGTAGAAGCTACTTCGCCTATTTTATTAGGGCGTTAAAGGCATGCCCGGGTTTGTAGCTGTTGTAGTCCGCGGGAGCTACGAGTGTAGCTAACGTGTAGAACGAGCATTTCGATATATCGGCCTACCTATGCAAAGGTTATTATCAATGCACAGTAGTAGTAGTAGTAGTAGTAGTAGTAGTAAAACGTCGTGCGTCTTACTCGTAGTTACGGGTCTTCGGCTTATCGGATAAGGAACGCGCGCATCGGGGATAACGTGAACCACTCGGACGACCCTTTCCGGATCTTGCATCGCCCTACACATGACCCGCAACCTCGGACACCCTTTGCTTCTCGAGCACGCCGCACCGGATGATTCAAGGCAGCTGCGCTGCTACTCAGCAATGAGCACGACCAAACCCTTCAATTGCGATAGCTGTTCCGAGACATTCACAAGATGTGTGAGTACACGACCGCGACACACGCACCTCTTGCTGACAGCAATGTTTTTTAAAGGAGAATCTGAAACGGCACAAGCGGACTAGTAAGGCCATACCAGCTCTGCTGCGTCAAATAGTGATCGTGGAGATGTCTAACTTTGTAACCTAATAGGACATGGCGAATCTGCGCGAATATCATTCGAATGTTCTCATTGCCATGCCAAGTTCATTCGCAGGTATCGTTCGCCTTATCTTCATCCCTCATATGGGAGAGCACTTCATGTTGCTGACCATCTGCTCGTAGAGATATTTGCAAGCGGCACTCGAATAGATGTCAAGAAAAAAGGTTAGAACGACGACGTACATCTTTGAGATCCAATGCGACAGCCGCTTTCGTACGCGACACTGCACACCTACCGCAGAATGAAGTTTTTCAGGATACGTCCCCTGCCGTGGAGTTTCCACTCGCGCCGAGCAGTGCAGAGAGTCCCAACCGCAAAAGACAAAGACAGCCACAGTCGCCCATTATTGATCCGTCCTTCGCAGAAGATATTGATGTAGGCAGCATCGACTCTATATGGCCAGGGGATTTTGGAGATGAATCACAGGGGGCCGAACGCACCGATGCTCCAGTGTCTTCTGGATTGACTGACTCTAGGTAGGTAGCGCCTCATCTCTTGGATGTCTCAGCAGCCCTCTTTGTCTAACCTTCATCTTTACTTTCTAGTGACTCCATAGAGCTTTTCGTAGCGTCATATTTCGAGCATTTCCATCCTTCATTACCAATAATCCATCGAGGCACATTTCAGGCATCTACAGTATCGAAACCACTGCTCAATATTGTCATCATCATTGGGAGTTTATACTCTGTTGCCGGGTTTCGCCATGATATAGCCGCTGGCATGACCGAATCGAGTCGTAGACTCTGGGCGCAAGGCGTGCAGGAGCTTGATCGTCTTGTAAGTACATGGAATTACTGGATTTCAGTACACGAAAGGCGCCTCGTACAATGGATGGAACTGCGTTGACCATTGTAGAGATGCTCGGATTGGAGAGAGCTGCGAAAAACATGGGTGATGCAGGCATGGCTCTTGCACATCGTTGTTGGAGCATACGTGGGCGACTCTACACAATACAATGGAGCAAGACGGCTGCTACGATACTTGGTCGATGTAAGAAAGAAGACATGTTCCATGATTGCCTAGCTTACACTAACTCTCTTGAAGACTGTTCGGGACTTGGGGTTGCTGAACCAAGCGGTTGTTGGCACTATGATGCCAGCCACGAATCATGGGGTAGTGGCAGCATCTGACGCAGACGACATGCAGCCACTCGAGCAGACATGGATGTCGTACGTCCAGGAGGAGAGTCTCAAGATTTCTCTTCAAACTCTGCTGTTCCTGGATCACCACATCTTCTCCTCTTGTAACATGCGCCCGCTCCTAAGCTCAGTTGAATTCGTGTGGGAGTTACCCCTGTCCAGCGCGCTTTGGGAGGCAGAAGATGCTATGGTCTGGAGGCTGAAACTGATGGAGCAGCACGGCGACGCCACCGCGCTGGGCGATGTGTTGGAATGGCCCATCCCTCTCGGTCGGGGATTATACACAACGGCGTCTCAGGCTACGCAATCCCTCATGTCTGAGTCACCATGTCCGCAGCTGCTAAACACGCTCTTGGCCTCGCCGATGGCCACCCTCGCTGTGCTGACGAACCTGGACTCGCTTGTCAGGGACTTTACGCGTTGCTACTATCAATTACCACCTAGTCCATCCGATCCATCAGCATACCATATCTTGACACAAAGTCAGAACAGGCGCGTCGTTGCCGCCCTCAAGGTCCTATCGAAGCTAATATGGACCAAACTTTCTTCTGAGGTCCAACCCTCCCACGAGTCACTTTGGCGAACATGCGACATGATAGGGCGGTCCATCAAGCTTAGCCTCTGCAAACCCGATGATTTGCTGGTTGGCGGCATCGTCGAGAGCAGCATCACAGCCGCCTTGATGACTGCAACACAACTAACTCTGGGGAGCTACGTCGCAGTCCGACGGGCTACTCAGTCACTTCTTACATTACACGGTGCCGACGAGGGAACACTCTCCATCACCGACGACTTGACTGCCGCCTTGGCCAAAATTGCTGGCGCTAGCCCATCGCTGGCTCATTGCGAGGGCCCATGGATGACCGCCATTTGTTACCGGATCCTCCTGCTCATCTGGAAGACGTTGCGCTGGGCCATCGCCGAAATTCGCGAGAAGCTCAACGTGCAAATGGCTTGCCTAGGCACGACGGATGAGTTACCACGCTCGTTTGGAGCCTGCTCCCTTATCTTGAATTCACTCATGGAGACGATCTTGCTGCACACTTCCGAATTTACTGGCACTGCAGATAAGTGCAACCGGTTATGGGCCGCAGATGCACAGAGTCTGTCCACTCTACTAGATGACAGCGAGGCGGATCTTGTCAACCTCATTATACATATATGCAAGGCCCGGCCCGTATGGACTATTGGGCCGGCCATGGCAAGAGTGGCAGACGAGATTTTGCCTACGATTACATCGACTACCGCGCAGGAATCTCTGCATATAGTTTAGCTATACATTGACAAGTACTATTAGCCTGAATCTGTGGAATCTATAGTTTGGTTTGTGTCACGAGGGCTTCTCGGAGGCTCAAGTGCGGGGTTGCTGCGTCCCGCTTTCCTAAACTAGCAGCCATTACAACAGCATACGCAGGTAGGCCATTGACGTTGTACTGTACAGTTGAAAGTGTGCTATGCTTAGTGAATGAAGATTGCATGTTATCGTGGCACCTTGCCGTTGAATGGTTTCTTGCGTTACGTTGTCGACCAGGCAAGGTTCACGAGATAGCGTCGATTACGCCGTCTTATCGCGAATTTCTGCCCGTGAATACCACTTGTATCATGCTACGCGGTAGCGACCGGCCCGAATGATATCTCTATATGCGCATTACATTATGTCAGGAAACACTACAACGCCCGATGCCGCGTGCGGCAGGCCAACCTCGTAAATCCACCGTGTGGAGCTCCACCCTGCACAGGCTGCCGACGGAGCTAGGTCTTCAGCTTGGTTCAATCAACTACCTTTAAAGACGCGCAAGGCGCTACTTTCTTCCCAAAAGAAAGAAGGGCGAAGTGAGCAATTTTGTTCTTCAGTTTAGTGATTCGGCATTTCCGTTGGCCCCTTCCGCATTTTTGACACCAAATACAAAACACCAAACCAAGCGTTCACCATGTCGAGCCCTCAGCTTGGCTGGATAGGCCTTGGTTCGATGGGAATCGGAATGTCCAAGAACCTCCAGAAGCACCTCTCCAGTTCGAGTTTCCCGGCATTGGTATATACCAATCGCACCCTGTCTCGTGGTGACTCGCTCAAGGACTTGGGAGCAATTCCGTTAGAGTCAGTGGACAAAGTAGCAAGGAAGAGCGATATTATCTTCTCCTGCGTGAGTGCTTGGACTCTGAGCAAAGTGTGCAGAGCTAATAAAGGTTTGCAGGTGAGCAATGACGCCGTGCTGCAAGCAGTAGTTGATGAGATCATCGCATCTGGCGATATCACTGGGAAGGTATGTGTAGACTGCTCTACGGTGCATCCAGACACGTCGAAGAGTGTCCTAGCCAAGATTACCAGAGCAGGCGCACATTTCATTGCTGGTGAGTCACTCCAGATGATAATTGCAATAGACGAATTTGGGCTAACTGAAACCGTAGCTCCTGTGTTCGGCGCCTCCCCCATGGCCGAGGCCGGCAAGTTAATTTTTGTTGTTGCTGGCCGTGGCACAGCCAAAACTGCGATTACGCCATACTTGAAGAACGTCATGGGTCGCTCTGTTATCGACCTAGGCGAAGACGTGACAAAGTCCAGTCTTCTCAAAATTGCTGGCAACGTTTGTGTAGTGTCCTTTATGGAGGTGATTTCAGAAGCCCACGTTTTTGCCGAAAAGACAGGTCTGGGATCAGAGATCCTTGAGCAAATGCTCGGAGACATGTTTGGCCCCGTCATAGAGAGCTACTCTAAACGATTGACATCGGGCAACTACGCCCCGCCGCCGAATGGTAAAGCTGGCTTTGATGTGTCTCTTGCTATCAAGGATGCTAAGCATGCTCTCAATTGCGCTGAAGCGGCTGGTACCAGGATCAAAGTCAGCGAAATTGCTTTGAGTCATTTGGAGAGAGCTCGAGAGCTGCAACCTCAGAGACCCCTTGATAGCGGTGCTATATATGGCACTATCCGGTCTGAAGCTGGCTTGGATTTCCTCACGGACTTGTGCAAATCGAGAGATAGCTCGTCATGATCGCCGAAAATGGACAAAATAAAGAATAACTTACAAACCAAATCACTGAATGGACTTCTACTACGGTTATCTACATTTTGAAAACTTGATACTACTATATCCATGAAGTTAGTAGTGTGGAGATGATATTATAAGGTCAAGAGCATCAACAAGAATATTACAGTTCCACACTACATTCAAATTTTGGTATACGAGCGTTATCAATCAGGTCATATTTCTGAATTAATATCCTCGCAATCGGTTGACGAGACTAGTCTATCCTAGGGTCGTTCATGTTTTGCATTAGGATACCACAACCTGATGACCTTGCCGAGGGAGTCTCCGTTATGCAAGGATTGATGCCGCGCTGTAATCGAGACCATGTTGTTAGCCTGTGAACCTAGAAACACGGGAGCCTTGACCCTTCCTGCCTCCTCCACTGCAGCTCGCAAGTCATTGGCAAGAGTACGTAGGCTGCCACCCTGCTCTACAGTGTCACCTACAGATAGTGTCTGTAGCATCCCCCGACCGACCAGATCCAGCAAACGGCTACCTCCAGCGGCGTCCGAACAGAGCTCATACACTTGGGCTAAGTCCAGCCCGAGCTGAGCTGCAAAAGCCAGTGCTTCAGCTGCCGCGCATAGATGTATGCCTTCCAGCAAAGCGATTACCATGGCAAGCCGCTCCTCTTGAGACTTGATACTGGTGTCAATGGCAGGATTCTTGCTTGTCGGATACACACCTCCTGTGTAAAGCCGCACAAGCCCACTGTCATCGTCTGCGCCAAACCCTCGTCCAAACGCGTCCAAGAATACCTGCTCGGCTATGCTGGACATGGGCGTCGGGAAGTCGTTGCGCCTTGCCTCGGATGTAATTATGTTTGCATCTTTCAGGATGATAGTCAAGGCACTGGCGACCGGGCGAAAGTTGGTAAACATCCTAGGGGTGCGGTGATCGAACATAAAAGACGAGCCACGAGAGCCAAGTATTGCCTCTCTTGTCTTGACCGGGTCGAGGCCTAAGTGGAATGCGAATCCCATCGCCTCACTTGCGGCTAATATATGGATGGCCGCCAGTACTTGATGAACCATCTTCATATTGCTACCCGCTCCAATGCTACCTTTCACGATGTATAGCTTCTTCTTAGCTGCCATCTCAGACATGAGAAATGTCGCCTTTTCAACTGCTGCATCCGCGCCGCTTGCCATGATAGAAAGGGTTCCGTCAGCCGCACGCTGGGCTCCACCAGAAATTGGACAGTCGACAAGGAAGATATCATGGCGGCCTGCATCCGTGAGCTGGCTGGCGAAACTCTGAATGTAAGAGCTCGAAACAGTGGATGCGATCAGTAGTGTTGCACCTCGAGATAGTGCGGGAGCAGCGCACCCCTCGCCATCAAAGAACACAGCCTGCGTTTGCTGGTTGGTAGCCACACAACTGATAACGAAGTCTTTGTCTTTCACCGCTTCAGCGGGGGAGTCCACAATGCGGCCACCCTCCGCCAGGAATCGCTCTCGAGTTGGACCCCAAGCGTCAAACCCCGTGACATTGTACCCTCTTCTCGTGAGATTGGTGGCCATGCCAAATCCCATGGCTCCCAGCCCGATGAAAGCAATGCGATGCTGTCTTTCTGCCATTCTAAGGATGATGTGCGTATAATTGATGGACTAGATTTGCTTTGTTTAATTTGGCCTCCGAAGGTTAACATCAGCTTGGCTGGTTCTCACCCTCACATTGTTCATATTGACTTGGCTTTATGGCATGCTGGTTAGTCAGGGTAGCATGTATGTGAGAAGTCCTTGCCCAGTTCGGATTAGCACGAGAACTTCCAAAGGAGACCACGTGGAAAGGTGGAGTGGAGTGGAGTGGAGGAGAGGAGCTCCGCCTACGTGAGCGGTATTGAAGCGTTCGGCACAACCCCTCTATGCAGGTGCGGGGTGTGGAGCTCCACCTCGGATAACAAATTTTGGATTTTCGTAGTCGTCTCGCTGTAGGAATAAAAATCCGAGAATGCTCCCAGTCATCGCGTCATATCAAAACCAGCCTGTGAAGTTAATCCTAACGCCAAGATAGCCCGCCAATTAAAAGGTACTGCAGAGCTGGATGACCGTGTCAAGATTATGATAGCTAAATGGTCGCCAAATCTGTAGGGCTAGTCTATAGCTCTATCTACTGTAAGCGAGAACATATTCACTGGCACAATCGCCAAATATGATCAGAAGAACTCATGATGCATGTTGGGCACCTCGTATCTTATCCGTGTACATAAATGTAATGTGATCTAATGAATAGTTACCATCTAGGCCATGAACTCTTGGAGATAGTCTTCTGAGAGCTCAGGCTGCCTGTCCTCCCCATCTAACAGGCCAAGGTACCAACTCAGGTCGCCGCCATTGAATTCTCGGGCAGCAAATCCGTTACCAAAATAGCCAAAGCGATTTGACGTTGTGTGCGTCAGATTGTAGTCCTCCCATCTAGGGTTCTCCATGGTCTCAAAGAACTGGATGCGTGATCCCGGCCACATCATGATCTCTCCATCGACAGTTCCCTGCTTGAACCATGATCGGCAAGGTGATGACCAGGCGGTCCGAGGCAAGAACTGCCTGCGGTGCTCGATAAAGTCTTTGACAGCGTCCACTTTTGGTTCAAAAGATGAAACTTCCTCGGCAGACATCTTGTCCAGCATCTTCATAAAGTGCTTGGCCATGAGCTCGGTAATCGGAAGGAAGCTTCCGTGGCCGTAAGGTCCGAACGGTCCGTTGAAAATGAGATAGTTGGGGAAATGAGGTACGGTGACGGAAAGATATGTGTTGGGAATGTCCTTCCACTCTTCGTTGAGGCTTTTGCCGTCACGTCCGATGGTAGGATAAGCCGGACGCCAGCTGACGTCGAATCCAGTGGCGCAGACTAATACGTCAAACTCATGCTCAACTCCATCTTTTGTTCTGATTCCTCGCGGGGTGATGGTTTCAATGGCATCGCTCACGACGGTTACATTATCCTCGCACAATGCCTCGAGATAGCCGTTTCCAGGCGTCGGTCGTCGACATCCGACAGCAAAGTTCTTAGGAACAATGTGATCGGCAATCTCGGGTTTCGCCGCCAATTTTCTCCGCATTTCTTGTTCAGCATACTGTTGACGATGGTAAGTTTTCGAAACAACTAGCCATTAGGCGAATACTGGTTCTTACCTGTCTGGCTTCTTGCTGCTCTTGGGAGCCGTTGAGAATGAATTTGAATCTTGAGTTCAGTTCAGATTCGATCTTCTTCCGATAAGCAAGATATTTCTTAGGGTCATTCGCCAGAATACTCTTTTGCTCTTCATTGTACTTGAAGTTTGAGCCGCCTTTTCCAGCAAACTTTTGGGCGAAACCCCCAGTTACCCAACTAGAGCTGCGAATGAAACACTTCATATGACCAACGACTGAAATTGGGTCAGCTTCAGCTCAAAAGCGTGAAATGGCTCGTCGAAACAATGGTAGAGACTTACGGGGTTGAATGCTGGGAACAATCTGCACAGCTGATGAACCCGAGCCGATTACACCTACGCGCTTCCCTTTCAATTCAACAGTATCATCCCAATTAGCACTATGAAGCATTGGTCCTTTGAAGGACTCTCGACCCTCGATTGCGGGCCACTTCCATTTGTTCAAGACCCCGCTGGCGTTGATGAAAACGTTTGCTGTATCCTCGAATACATCGTTGGGATCATCTCCCCTTTGGATCTTGACATGCCACAGCTGCTCCTCTTCGTTCCAATGTGCCCCAACGACTCTGTGGCTGAGTTTGATGTATTGCATTAGATTGTATCTATCGACAATGCCTTTGAAATACGCCAAAATCTCGCCTGCACTTGAGTAGCTACAATCTCGATTAGCCTATTCTCGTAGCGGAAAAGCCGTGATGTTTACTGACTACGATGACCAATCTGAAGATGGTGCCCATGATAATTGGTAGTTCACTGAGGGAATGTCGCAACCGCATCCAGGGTACCTATTTTCGTACCATGTGCCGCCCACGGAAGGATTCTTATCGTAGCAGGTGAGTTCAAGGTCCAGCGAGCTTTCTTGGACTTCATGCGCAAAATTGATAGCGCTTGCTCCTGCTCCAACAACAATAATGCGAAGTTTGCGGCCCACTCTGCTCGGTTGTTCCATAATCTTATATGAAGTCTTCGCTCCATTACTGAGGCCGTGATCCAGCGTGATCTCCTTGACCAGCGGCTCCGGCTTCTTCAACGCAATCGTTGGAACAGCCTCTGGCAGAGCATCGATAATGATAGAGCCCATCACTGCGATTGTATGATCAAAAGAAGGAGAAATGGTTTGCTAGAATCTCGGCTCAAGTGGATGAATGAAAGAATATTGGTTTGTTTAGTGAGATGCGAAGGTTCATTCACGAGTCGTCCAAGGTTTACCTCTCTCTTTTAAACCAAAAGGGCCAGTGACGAGTAGATTTACCTCCTATCGGATCAAAGAAACGAGGCGATCATTGTGGGGCAGACCATGCAATGAGCGGTACTCGATTGACTAATTTCAACCGATAACGCAGTTTGGTGGCGCGCGACATGTAAGGATTGTGGAGCTCCGCCTCCACATCGCTATCTCCGCCTCCACATTACTACCATCCGTGGATCCCTGTCCACAATCCAGTGGACCGTGTGGAGCTCTCCGATCACATCTATACAATTCTACACTCACGGCTCAAACGCCTGTGAATTAAAGAAGCGTCGGTTCGTACACACTTAGTCAGTTTTCGAGCCACTCTCGACATACGACCTTGACTTTTCATCATCGCACGGAATAATTCAGCCTCATCAACGTGGTCAACGACTTCGTTATCACCTAATCATCGATTCCGGATCACATGTCTATGAAAAACTAGCGCATGATGCCTGCTCGATCAGATCGTCCTCTTCGAATCTCGATTGATCGGGGGGGAACATTTACCGATTGTATCGCGCGTGTTCAAGGGCAGGCCGACACCGTAATAAAGATCCTATCAGTTGATAAGAAGAACTACCCCGATGCACCAACGGAGGCGATCAGGCAGGTTCTGGAGAAATTTTACGATACATCCATTCCTAGAGGTGCACCTCTAAACCTGAATGACGTCGGTGAGTACACCACAAGACCTTCCAGATCAGGCGAGCGTGGAGGCTAATGGAAGTCGGACAGAATGGATTCGCATGGGAACGACGGTAGCGACAAATGCTTTGCTGGAGCGCAAAGGGGAGAAGACAGCCTTTCTCGTAACCGAGGGTTTCAAAGAAATCCTCGTAATTGGCAACCAATCGCGACCCTTCATGTTTGATCTGTCTATCCGACGCCCAGAAGTGTTGTATTCGGACGTGTTTGAAGTGGAGGAACGAATTGTGCCCGCCACATGTGCCGATTCTGAGCTCAGACGACTGGCCATAAACTATCCAGATACGGCGCAGACGGTATCCTGCGCGTCTGGCGAGAGTATACAGATAGTAAAGGCTCTCGATGTCAAGAAAACTAAGGAACATTTGACCAAGCTGCACAGTCAGGGATACAGATCTATTGCTGTATGTTTGATGCACTCCTACATATTTCCCGACTACGAGATCCAAATTCGAGAAATCGCCCAAGAGATTGGATTCGAGAACATTTCATTATCACATGAAGTATCACAGAGGTCTAAGATCGTCCCCCGGGGCAATTCGACGGTCGTAGACGCGTATTTAACTCCAGAGATCGAGCGATATCTGCGTCAATTTACGGACAGCTTCCCGGACCTAGACAAGAGCGACTGCCGGATCGAATTCATGCAATCAGACGGCGGACTAGTGCCATCCTCAGACCTCTCAGGCTTACATTCCATCCTGTCAGGCCCGGCAGGCGGAGTGGTTGGTTACGCGGAAACATGCTATGATAAGAGCAACAAGGTTCCGGTGATTGGTTTCGACATGGGAGGTACGAGTACTGACGTAAGTCGGTATGATGGTGAATTTGAACACGTGTTTGAGACAACAACGGCAGGAATCCCGATACATGTTCCGCAACTCGACGTCAATACAATTGCAGCAGGAGGAGGTAGTATCCTTACATATAGAGATGGCCTTATGATGGTTGGCCCAGAGAGTGCATCATCGAGCCCTGGACCGGCCTGTTATAGAAATGGCGGCCCCCTGACCGTCACGGATGCTAATCTCGCCCTCGGTCGCCTAATACCAGAGCACTTCCCATCTGTCTTTGGGCCAAATGAGAATGAACCACTAGACAGAAATATCGTGTTGACAAAGTTTGAAGAGCTCACGGACTTGATCAATCGAGATACTGGAAGATCACTTTCCTGGACCGAGGTTGCCAGCGGGTACCTCAAAGTCGCCAACCAAGCCATGTGTGGTCCTATTCGCAGTCTGACTGAAGCCCGAGGCCACGATGTCTCGAGACATGATCTTGCATCATTTGGCGGGGCAGGCGGTCAGCATGCTTGCGACATTGCGGAGATCCTCGGCGTTAGGAGAGTAGTCATCCATAAATACTCTTCTATCCTATCTGCATACGGCATTGGCCTCGCTGATGTTGTGCACGAGGAACAGCGAACGTGTGTTAAGAACATCGATACAGCTACCCAGGCCATTTACCAACAACTCCGTGAACTGGCCGAGAGAGCGAAGGCGCACCCCTCGATGCAGAAGTTCCCGGTTGTCGAAGGCCAACAGTTCTTGAGCATGCGGTATGATGGAAGTGAAACACTTATGATGATTCGTGCAGATGAAGGGATCGATTCTCGGCAGACATTCATCGAAGCACATCATCAGCAGTTTGGATTTACCCCTGCCAATCGAGCCATATTCGTCGATACTGTTCGTGTGAGAGCGACCGGAAGGTACATTAACGCTGCGAATACTAGCTTTGAATTTACGCCCAAGATTCAAGAACCAATCGATGCTCCCAAGCCGTACTCGACCAAAGAAGTATATTTCACCTCTGTCGGGTGGAAAGACATACCAATCTATATGTTTAATACCCTTCGACAGGGCAACATCGTGGCGGGACCAGCGCTCATAGTGGACAAAACTCAGACCATTGTCGTCACCCCAAACGCATCGGCAGTACTAAGCGGAGACAATCTAATTCTCAACGTCGAAGCGTCAAAGAAGGAGTCGCTGAGTGCATCCGTGATCGACCCGGTCCAGCTGTCTGTATTTCGTCACCGTTTCTTTGGCATCGCGGAGCAAATGGGACGCGTTCTGCGGAACGTCAGCGTGAGTGCCAATATTAAGGAGAGACTAGATTTCAGCTGCGCTATCTTCAGCCCTGACGGGTCTTTAGTCGCAAATGCGCCTCACGTTCCCGCGATGATCGGCAGTATGGCGTTTGCGGTCAAATCGCAGATTGAGGAATGGAAGGGGAAGTTGAAAGACGGTGATGTGCTGCTCTCCAATTCGCCACGGTTTGGTGGAGTGCATCTTCCTGATCTAACATTAACAACACCGGTCTTCGATGCAGAAGGAAAGGAGATCATCTTCTGGGCAGCGTCACGCGGACATCATGCTGACGTTGGAGGCATTATGCCTGGTTCCATGCCTCCCAACTCACGGTTTTTGTGGGAAGAAGGGGCTGTCTTCGATTCGATCTTGGTAGTCAGAGATGGTAAGATCGCCGAGGACGAGCTGCATCGGATTTTGTGTGTCGAGCCGGCCAAATACCCCAACTCGAGTGGTTCAAGGTGTTTCCAGGAAAACGTAACCGATATCAAGGCTCAGATTGCGGCCAATTACTGTGGTATCCGCCTAGTCCGACTGCTGATTGTAGAGTACACTATGGATGTAGTACAGGCCTACATGAACGCAATCCAGGACGCCGCAGAGCTAGCCATTCGAAACCTGTTCAAACGTTTAGCCAAAGACTTCGAGCAAACTGAGATAGGTGCAATTGACTATATGGACGATGGAACTCCGATTCAGCTCAAAGTTACTATCCGAGATGATGGATCAGCCATATTCGATTTCACAGGCACCGGGACTCAAGTGCACGGTAACTGGAATGCCCCAGAGGCTATTACCAACTCCTCTGTGCTATACGCACTGCGCTGCATGGTGGGCAACGATGTTCCTTTGAATCAAGGATGCATCAAACCCATTGATCTCATCATCCCAGACAACTCGCTACTCCGCCCCAAGTTCGACGCTGCAGTATGTGCAGGAAATGTTTTGACTAGTCAGAGAATTGTCGACGTCATCTTCAAGGCTTTCAATGTCTGTGCTGCTAGCCAGGGCTGTATGAACAATTTCACCTTCGGTATCAATGGCACAGATGGTTTTGGCTATTATGAGACAATTGGTGGTGGTTCAGGAGCAGGCCCGACCTGGCACGGTACCAGTGGAGTCCACACAAATATGACCAATACGCGCATAACTGACCCAGAGTCACTTGAGCGCCGATATCCTGTCATCCTAAAGCGCTTCGGGCTACGCCCACATAGCGGAGGGAAGGGAAAGCATCCTGGTGGTGATGGGCTAGTACGCGACGTTCAATTTCGAATGCCGATGTCGGCGGCAATGCTGTCGGAACGAAGGGCGTTCGCTCCTTATGGTATGAAAGGCGGCGAAGAAGGAAAGAGGGGTTCCAACACGTGGGTGAAGACGGATGGGACATTGATCTCCATAGGCGGAAAAAACTCCATATCTGTTCAGCCTGGTGATAGGCTGGTTATTGAAACACCCGGTGGCGGTGGTTATGGTGCTACTGAGGCTCTGGCATGATTAGTGCCATTCAAGAACCTCGGAAATTGCATGGTTGAAACTATTCTATCCGTACAAGCCTTGTTCTGTGGTATTCAGCCTGTGTTGAGTATTTTTCAAGAAATCTCACAACTGTCTTGTTCATTATAGTGAGATCAAACACATATTTTATCTAATTCAGGCAAACTTATTGGTTCATCAAGTCTTCGGGCGTGAAGAAGGAAGATGCCTACGAGTTCTGAGTAGGGACAGTTTGAAATCCAAGTGAGAACCATGTTGGAAAAGGTCTGCTGGACCTTCACATTCGCCGTGACGGCAATGATCGGCACACGTCACTTTGTTTACCCTCATTTTCAATCCCCTATGTCCTCTTACAACGCAATAGGCCTTGCATCTATAAGGCGTCGCGATTCACGAAGAAGAAATTTACAGGGGCGGTCGACTGGGCAAGACGAGCACTCCTAGTCAGTGTGTTGGCCACCTGTCGCACTGTAACAGCAGAAGGCTTGGCCAAGTGTCAAATGGATTGTAAAACTAATCGTGAGTTACGCTTGAAGGTTATGGCACTATATAGCAACTAAACTTGAAGCTACTATGATCATAATAATTCGCAGATTCTCAGGTTAACTAGGGGGTTTCTAGCATAGATTCTATGCTTCGAGTCTACTCTTATTGCAAACATAATATCGAATGCAGATCTACAAAAATGAATATCGAATGCGGACCTACAAGAATGAAGACGCCATAAATGAGTTTGCGGCAAAGTCATAGCGGCAGAGAGCGGCAGCTATAAGCGTACTTATGTAGTGAGCAATACTTCCCTTATATGCTCTTTACAGAATATAGCGAAAATTTGGCAATTGGAAATCAGTCAGATCAAGAAACTCCACATTCTCAACGTCCTGAACTTCCTGTTGCTCTACAGCCTTTTTGTCTCGCCTCTTGTTTTCCCAAATATTGACAAAGCGAATCGCTATCAAGGTGCAAGCGGCCAAGCCGTACATAATGGCGACCATCATCTTGCCATTCTTGTACAGAGGCCTCTCATTGGCGCGGAAGGTCTGAGGCCCGATCCAGTTGCCAGCTGCGTAAGCAAGAATCTGGGCCCCACTTACGGTCGCTTTCTTCGTGTATCCCAGAGTGTTGTTCGAGATCATGACCATGACGAGGCACCAAGCTGAGCCGGCAGCACCGATAAAGTAGTATCCGACAAGGAGTGCTGCCTGAGAACTGAGAGGGAGCGTGATCATCATGATACCTCCGATCATTGGGATAAGGATGGCGATGAAGGCGAAAAGGGTCCTGTCGAGATACTTGTCGGAAAGCCATGTAAATGTAAGCTTGCAGAATATGTCAACAACGCCCGTCGGCATGTTCAAAAGCAAAGATAGTCGGGAACTGAAGCCAAAAGAGTTGATGATGATGGAACCAAACGATGTGATACCGCCATTTGGTATGTTCATGAGCAACGAGAACAGGACGTAAAGATATGTTCGTGGGTCGCGAAAGGCTTCGAAGAATTGTTCCCACTTCCACACCCTGGACCCAATGCCTTGGTTGTTACCGCGAATCCGGTCAATGGCAATGCGCTTTTCGCGATCGTTCAAGAATCTGGCGTTGATCTGGTTGTCGGGCATGTAATAGATGAGCAGCCCACCAGTCAGGATCGTGGGTAAGCCGAGGACAAGGAACAGTATCTTCCAGGTGGCGAGTGACGAGTTGTGAACACCAGATAGACCATAAGCCATAGGTCCCAACGTCAGTAGAGCCACGCCGTTACAGGACAACCAGTAGCCCATACGTCTTGCTTGCTCGTCTTGCTTGTACCTACAAACACGCAATCTTGTCAGCACCAGTCCAGTGTTCTGCAAGCTAAGTCAAAGGGTTCTTACCACATGGATGTTAAAATGACGAATGCCGGCGTTACAGTAGCCTCGAGGGCACCCAAGAAGAAGCGTACACTGAGCAGACCAGGGTAGCTGCCAACGGCACAGTGACACGTAAGCACTGCACCCCATAACGCGATATTGATTGCAGTATACTTGCCCAAAGGCAAGCGACGTAGGAGGTAGGTCGTGGGGAATCTAAATATTGTTGTTAATTCCAGTTTTACTCTCTGTCTACAGAGCGCGTATGGGCACTTACTCATAGGCAATGTAGCCGGCGTAAAAGATGCTCGAAGCCCAGCTGAATTCTTGGGATTTAGGGTTCAACTTCGTGTCTTCGCGTATACCCATCAAAGATGCGTAGTTGAGAGACGTCTTATCGGCGAACTGCAATGCGTACACCCAGCACAGCATAGGCATCAATGCCCAGTCGATCTTGCGTAGGACGACTCTCGCCTCTTCGGCAGTGTACGAGAGGACCTCGCCCCTCATGAATGCCAGGGCCGGATCAGCATTTTGGGCCTCGATCTCCTTGCATTCACCCTCGCAGGGGGCCGAAACGACTCGATTGATACCATCTTCATTGGAGGGGGCTTTGGGGGTGTGTTTGTCCGACATGACGACAACAGGTATCTTATCAATGAAGGAAAAGCGATGAATTGGCCTTACGGATGGCCCTGGTAACGAGGTCTCCAGTGAGTCCTTGCAGTGATGGAATTGAGAGCTGCCTCGATCCTCTTAAAGTTGACCTCCTCATCGAGATCCTGGGGTAATCCCCCAGACAGGGTGGAGCTCCACAGTCGCTTAGTACTTGCCGATAACCCGAGGTCTAGCGTTATCGTGGTGCGGAGATAACTTACGCCCGTGCACTGATAACAAGCCTGGCGGCGACATCTGGAGTTATGCAGGTGGCATCTACCGGTATAGGGGCACGACGAGCATTGCAGTGCGTCATTCGCCCCAATAAGCCAATGCCCTTGATACAGAAAGTGACCGTAGTTGATTGTTAGTTGTGTCGTGGAATAGCTAGCTAGGTACCTCCATAAATGGACAAAATAGAGACTTTGCAGTGTGCTTTCCGCGGCTACTCTTTTGATAATCTAGACATACATAACCTAACAAATCTCATCTAATCTAACATACGATGTTGTTCGGCCCTATGCAGATAACGCTTAAGAATTAGATCCTCGATAACCGTGAACGCTGTTTCTTCTCGAGCTGAATCACGTCCTCTAATGGCTCAAGAATCTCTCGATTCAAGGCTTGTACAGTAGTAGTACCCAATGGTCTCCTGCCTCGTCCTGTTCCGTATCCAAAGAAATGCGATATCACTGCCTTGACGCCAGCCACTCCAACCTTTTGCAAAGCTCCGTCGGCATTACTTAACTTGGACTGTAGCTGTCTGGCTTCTTGCAGCTTTCCATCCTGCCACAGGTTAAGCAATCTCACGTGTAGTGCCGGAACTACGTTTGCGAGGGCAGCAATAACGCCGTTAGATCCCGCTACCAAGCCTGGCAGCATAAAGTCAGACTTGCCAGCGAAGGCTGCGAACGAATCTTCAGGTAGGCAAGACCAGACCCGCTGCAGTTTCCCCAGGTTTCCGCAAGTGAGTTTGCATCCGACAATTTTGCCAGGATTAGACTTCGCAAGGCGGACGATGGAGTCTGAAGATATGTCGATTCCCGAAGTGACTCCGGGGAAATTATAGATGAGGAGAGGGATTTTGGCTTCCGCTGCCACCTTCGTTGCTAGTCAGCTTCTTGCCTGTCCTATCGAAAGGATTTTTGATGGTGTGAGAAACATACTGAACTGAAGAAGTTCTCTACAACGGCTGGGGTCATTGCTGCCGTCCAATATGCGGGTGGTAGCACCAGCGCATAATCAGCTCCAGCTTGACTTGCTTCTGAGATCAGGACTAGGGTCTCACGGACACTGGCCGCACCACAACCCACGATCAGTTTAACTGTTGTAAAACCGAGTTCGTTGAGATAGCTTCGGGTTGTTTGAATGATGTTTATGCGTTCACCATGATCCAGATGGGGCGCCTCGCCATTACTGCCTTGCAGAACAAGACCAGCGACACCACCCTCAGCCATGCGCTTGATGTGGGCTTTAATGGCATCGAGATCCAGAGATTCATCCTCTTTGAAAAAGGTTACTAGTGGTGTGTAGACACCGAAAGGGGGTTTCGTGGTAGCCATGATTGCGATTACGAATGCTAAGGAGGAGGCTGGTGGTGACTTTGTCGGGGCTGTGCTTGAATGCGGCTGATTCAGTCGTTGACGCGCGAACGGGAGGTAGATAGGCAATAGAGGCTTGCTTCGCAATGCTGCCGGCTACAGCACCCAGATGCCATAATCTAAGCTCTGGTATGTTTGCAAGCTAATGTGGAGCTCCGCTTGATATGCGTCCCCTAACTTGGACATCTGCTCGGCCCGAAGTCATTACCTAAGTAGGAGTTGGCGCTTAGATCCTGTAAACTCATATTCCGGCGCTAGATTTAGTTCCCATGACTCTCGTTGCCGAAGCTCTACTATGCAAGCAACCTGTACCGGTGATGCATGCCACCTGGCGCAGCCACCAAGTGGAGCTCCACCACCTCCACCCTCCACTCTTTGTGGAAGCGTACCTCTCTCTGGCCAATACACACACATGCCAGATCCTCGTCGAGTCGTGGGGATGCTGACATGCTCCACTCTGCACGGGACATGTGGTTCGGGTAAGATTTCAGTGATATCGGAGCGATGTCGCATAATTCAATTGAGGCCCAGATAAGTGTATCGGTGGACTTGGGTATTACATAGTATACTCACTACTATTTACTCCTCCTCGACTGAGCAAACAACACAGATAGTCTAACGTGGCATTCTCAGAATCCTAATCGCAACATTGCGACCTCTACGATGTCATCACCTTCTACAACACAGGATTTCTTCACACAAGTTCCTCGCATTCCACCTGATGCAATCTTTGACTTGACGAAAAAGTTCCTCGGGGATCCTGATCCAAGAAAAGTCAATCTAGGTCAAGGCACCTATAAGGATGAGAATGGCGCACCCTGGATCCTTCCTGTGGTGAAGGCAGCCAAAGACAAGACACAGGATGCGAACCACGAGTACCTCCCAATCCTAGGACTTGCCACGTTTCGCAAGTTGGCGACGGAATTGGTGCTCGGCAAAGACGCATCTGCGATTGCCCTGCAACGAGTAGCATCGTCCCAGGCGTTATCCGGCACAGGCGCCCTTCACCTGGCCGGTGAAATGCTATTCAGAGCTTTGGGAGGTGAAGCGCCAGTGTACATTACGAAGCCCACTTGGTCGAATCATCGGCAAGTGTTTGCTACCATTGGCTTCGAAGTCCATGATTTCAAATGGTATGACGATAATACGGGCCAAATAGACTTCGAGTCGATAACGAACACTCTTCGCAACGCGCCTCCTCGATCAATATTCGTCTTCCACGCCAGCGCGCACAACCCGAGCGGCTGTGATCCTAGTGAAGAACAATGGAGATCTATTGCCCGGATCGTTCAAGAACGAGGCCTATTTCCATTGTTTGATGCAGCATATCTCGGCATCACGTCAGGGGACTACGACCGTGATGCATTTGCGATCAGACACTTTATCAATGAATGCGGATTACAAGCTGCTGTGTGCAGCTCCTTCGCCAAAAACATGGGTCTATATGGGGAGAGGATTGGCCTAGTCACCTTCGTCACACAGTCATCTGATGAAGCCATGGCAGTTGAGTCTACGTTGGAGCAGATTACAAGAGGCGAAATCTCCAACCCTCCAGCCTTCGGCGCAAGAATTGTGTCTGCAGTCCTAGAAGACGAGTCTTTGCGAGCTGAGTGGGCTAGGAATCTGAGCACGATGAGCACGCGCATTGCGGATATGCGCAAAGATCTCTTTAATGCTTTGATCAAGTTGCATGCACCTGGAGACTGGCGCCGTGTCGTAGAGCAGCGCGGAATGTTTTGCATACTAGGGCTGAGCTTGGAACAGGTCCTTCACCTGCGTGGTAAGTTGTCTCTCATACATGTCCCCCTTATTGAGTGCAGGAGATCCATGTCACTGACTGTTCCGCTTCATAGAAAAATACCACATCTACATGGCCGATACATCAAGAATTTCGATAGCTGGGCTTAATCCAAGTAATGTTTGGTACACAGCTGAAGCTATAACTAAAACAGTGCAGGATAAGAACTTAGGAAGGATAAATTATAAGTAATATAGCTTAATATTACTAGTCTAAGCTGCTCGTATAAACTAAATTTAATATAAATTATTTATATTCTCTTTAATATACTTCTAGAGCGAGTAAATAGCTTTTACTAATATATATTATAGATCCTCTATAGCCCTTATAGGAAGGCATATAATTTTAGGATTATATAACCTAAAACTATATTATTTAAGTAATATATTATACAGGTAAGCTGCGCGCCTAAGCAAGCTACGTACTTTACTAAAATTTTACTAAAATTAGTAATATATTACACAGGCGAGCTGCGCGCTCGGGCGAGCTGCGCACTTTGCTAAAATTTTACTAAAATTTAAATTATATTTATAATACAATGCAATACTTTAATACAATAATATATAATTTTTTTTTAAAAAAAAAATTAAATACAGTTTGCAGTTTAGGCTTTAAAATAAAATATAAATTTTTTTTAATAAGCTACTACGCAAATATTTAGCATTTTTTTAAAAATATTTAGTAATTAATTTAAAAGAATACTTCTACAATACAATACTAAGCCTAATAGTATAAAACTTTTTTTAATAAAAAAAAAAAAATTACTTAGTATATATTTTATTTTAAAAATTAAAAATTTCTACTTTAACTAGCCGCTGTAAATAATATAGCTAATATTTTATTAGCTAAATATAAGCAATTACTTATTAGCAGGAATTAAGCTAGCACATTTATTAAATAATATTTATAATTTAGTACTAAAATTTTTTAAAAATATAATTATTAAAATTTTTTATATAAAAATCTTAAGCTTATACAAAGCTAGTTCTAACTTATAAAAAATATAAAAGCTAAATATAATATTTAAAATAAAAATATATATAACTTTAATAAAATAGGCTTTATAATAGGCTAGATATTATATAAAACTATTATTTTAAATACTAATTATTAAAAATAGCCAAAAATAGTGCAGCAGAGTAATTAAAAATAAATAATAATAATTTAAAGTATTAATATAATAAAGTAAGCTATTTTATTTTTTATTATTTTTGCAGGCAAGAACTACTTTTTAGCCTAATATAAAAAAAATAGCCTGCTTTATAATTAAGTTATTATAGTTTCTAAAAATAGCTAAATAATAAATAAGCTTATTTTTAAGTAGTTAAAGCACTTTAATAAATATACTAAAAAAAAAATTATTAGTACTTATTATTTATTTATTATTAATAGTTATAAGAGCCACGCATTAGTCTAATTCTAATAGTATTATAAAAAATAAAAAATTATTATTTTTTATATGCCTTTACATTTATTGCATTTATTATAGCTACTTAATATAAATTATTTTGCGCTTTTAAAAAAAATATATAAATATTAAGCTAAAAAGCTAATACGTAATAATATTAATTATATTACTAAAATTAAATTTTTATTATATTTTAAACTAGCTTTTAATACTACTATTATAAAAAGTAATATTTTAAGTAGCTTTAAAAGCGCTAGTTTAATTTTTTTTAATTTTAAAATTATAATATTAAAACTTAATATTTAATTATATACTTTACTACTACCTACTATTAAAAATAGTTTTTAGGAGTTAAAAATACTAAATAATATTTTAAAATTTAAATTTTAGTTAATATTAATTAAAACAAAAATTTAAAGGTACTTAAATAGTTTTTTTACTTTAATAATTAAAGCTTTTAAAAAAAATTTAAAAAGTGCAGCTATAATTGCGTATAAACTTGTATTAGTGCAAAAAAAAATTACTAAGCTTTAAGCAGCTAATAAAGCTACTATATAATAAAAATTATATAAAAAAAAAAATATAAAAAAAAAAACTTTTATAATAAAAAATAGTTTTTAATTAATAATTTTAAAAAAATTTAGAGCGCGTAGTAATAAAAAAAAAGCAAAAAAATAAATATATATTAAAATAAGTAAGCTTTTTTAAAAGTATTATAAATATTATAGTAAAACTAAGTATAATGCGCGAACGTACAAATAAAAAGTAAAAATAATTTTTAAATAAATTAATTTATTATAATTTACTACTATAATTTTTTATAGTACTATACTATTATATATAATACTAATTTTAGTAAAATTTTAGTAAAGTGCGTAGCTTGCCCAAGCGCGCAGCTCGCCTGTGTAATATATTATTATATTTATAATATAATGCAATACTTTAATATAATAATATATAATTTTTTTTAATAAGCTACCCAAACTAGTAAAAAGTCTAAAGTACTTAGTATTAAGTATATACTTAGTTATAGTTGCACAGACCTTAGGTTAAAATTTAGTAAAAGTAGTAGAAGTTTTAGATTAGAATTTAATTATAGTTGCATAAACTTTAAGTTAAAAATAAATTAGATTAGTAGAAACTTAAGTTAAAGTTTAGTTTTATTATAGACTAGCCTTAGGATTATTCTATTCTAAGTGTAAATAATAGTATTATATACTTTAAAAAAGTACAGAGATTTTTAGCTATTTATATAAAAGTTTATTGCTAAAATTTACTAAAAATTTTAATCTACAAATAGTAAAACTTAAGTTAAAACTTAAGCTATAATATACTTTTTTACTTTTTAAAAAATTTTTTTTTTTTAAGCTTTAGGCTAGTTGCAATGTTATTAAGTTTTTATAATATTTTAATATAGTTTTTTTTAATAAAATTTTAAGTAGTTTTAAAAATTATTAGCTTTTATATACTTATAATTATAGCCTATACTAAATTTAAGTAAATCTTTAAGTAAAAACTTATAATTTTTTTTTAATTATTTACTTTTAGAACTACTTTTATATATTTTTTTTAAACTTTTTTTTATACTTTTATTTTATAAGCTTTTTTTTTATATTAGCCTTATAGCGCTGCCTATTTTTTTATTATAGTAATTTATAATTTTATTTCTAGCTTTTAATTTTCTACTTTAAGCAGTAGTAGTAATTTATTAAACAGTAATTATAACAGTTTTAGTAGCTATTACTAAAAAAAAAACTTTTTATATTGCACTAATGTATTACATAGGCGAGTTAGTTGCCTAGTTAAGTTAGTTACAATGCTAAAATTTTACTAAAATTAGTACTATGCATAATAGTATAGTACTATAAAAAACTATAGTAGTAAATTATAATAAACTAATTTATTTAAAAATTATTTTTATTTTTTACTTATATATTTGCGTGTTATGCCTAGCTTTACTGCAGCATTTATAGCACTTTTAAAAAAGCTTATTTACTTTAGTATGCGCCTGCTTTTTTACTTTTTTTCTATTATTATGCGCTTTAAACTTTTTTAAAATTATTAATTAAAAATTATTTTTTATTATAAAAGTTTTTTTTTTTTATACTTATTTTTTTTATATAATTTTTTTTATATAGTAGCTTTATTAGCTATTTAAAATTTAGTAATTTTTTTCTGCACTAATATAAGCTTATACGCAACTATAGCTATACTTTTTAAATTTTTTTTAAAAATTTTAATTACTAAAATAAAAAAATTATTTAAGTACTTTTAAATTTTTATTTTAACTAATATTAATTAAAACTTAAATTTTAAAGTATTGCTTAGTATTTTTAATTCCTAAAGACTATTTTTAATAATAAATAATAATAAAATATATAATTAAATATTAAATTTTAATATTATAGCTTTAAAGTTAAAAAAAACTAGACTAGCGCTTTTAAAGCTACTTAAAATATTTTTTTTTATAATAGTAGTATTAAAAGCTAGTTTAAAGTATAATAAAAACTTAATTTTAGTAATATAATTAATACTATTGTATATTAGCTTTTTAGCTTAGCATTTATACGCCTTTTTTAAAAGTGCAAAATAATTTATATTAAATAATTATAGCAAGTGCAATAAATGCAAAAGTATATAGAAAGTAATAATTTTTTATTTTTTATAGTACTATTAAAATTAAACTAATACGTAGCTCTTATAACTGTTAATAATAAGTAAATAATAAATACTAATAATTTTTTTTTAATATATTTATTAAAGTGCTTTAATTACTTAAAAGTAAGCTTATTTATTATTTAGCTATTTTTAAAAACTGTAATAACTTAATTATAAAGCAGGCTATTTTTTTTATACTAGGCTAAAAAGTAGTTCTTGCCTATAAAAATAATAAAAAGTAAAATAATTTACTTTATTATATTAATACTTTAAATTACTATTACTTACTTTTAATTACCCTGCTGCACTATTTTTAGCTATTTTTAATAGTTAGTACTTAAAATAATAGTTTTATATAATATTTAGCTTATTATAAAGCCTATTTTATTAAAGTTATATATATTTTTATTTTAAATACTATACTTAGCTTTTATATTTTTTATAAGTTAGAACTAGCTTTATATAAGCTTAAGATTTTTATATAAAGTTTTTTAGTAATTATACTTTTAAAAAATTTTAGTACTAAATTATAAATATTATTTAATAAATATACTAGCTTAGTTTTTACTAATAAATAATTACTTATATTTAGCTAGTAAAATATTAGCTATATTATTTACAGCAGCTAGTTAAGGCAGAAATCTTTAGTTTTTAAAATAAAGTATATGCTAGGCAATTACTTTTTTTTTTATTAAAAAAAGTTTTATTTTATTAGGCCTAGTATTATATTATAGAAGTTTTTTTTTTAGTTAATTACTAAGTATTATTTAAAAAATACTATAAATTTATATAATTTTTTATTAAAAGAAATTCGCGTTGCGTTTTAAAACCTAAATTATAAACTATATTTAATTTTTTTTTAAAAAAATTGTATATTATTATATTAAAGCATTGCATTTAATAGTAAAAAACTACTAATTTTAGTAAAGTTTTAGTATTATAACTAACTTAACTAGGCAACTAACTCGCCTGTGTAATACGTTATAGTAGAGCTAATTTTTTTTTAATTAAGTATTTTAACTAAGCTAGTGCGCAAATTTAGGCAGTATATTATTAAAAGCAATTTTAATAATAAAAAATTTAAAGTAAGGCCTATTTAAGGCTAAATATATACTAAATACATTAGTATTATTAGGAAAATTCAAATTATATATT